TGAAGCACGCCGGGTCCGTCTACCCTAGCAGGGGCAGATGTGGAAACACGATCCAATCATGATCCGGGGTGCCTCATGCTGGTGATCGGAGACGATACGAGCGTCACAATCCAGGCCAGGCAGATTGCGGGTGGCAATGATGCGTCTGCTGCATCATGTACTCCACGACGGGCGCGGATAGTCGCCTGCAGCGGAGCGACAAAAGGGGGGAGGGGGGGGGTTCAAAGAAGGACGTAAAGAAGAAACATTGCCGGGTATGCACGGTGCAAAGGAGGGCCCAAGAGTCACGACCACCGCAGAGTTCCCAATCCTGCATTTTATCATGCTTAGCGGCCCCCTCTGCACCTGACTGAATTGGGACGTCTGGTGTAACGGACGACCTCAGGTGGCTGACTACTACGCCTACAACCTGGACTGCACTTTCGAATGGGAATGAGGATCCGGGAACGGTGCTGCACGACTGGGTGACTGTGCGTGCCAAATTGCAAGGAGAATTTGAACACCTCAGCCTCGAGCTCGGACACACCTGACTAGGCACATCGTCTCTAACTAGGTGAAAGCAGGATTCAAGGAGGTGAGATTCCTACCGAGATGGCCGACATGTGTACTGGCCAAGCCGAGTACAGTACTGTATACTACTTTTCCTACTGTACTCTTTGCGATGATCCTGCTGGGCCATTAGTCAAGTCAAGAAGAGGGACCTAAGCCATCAATCAAGCCGAGGGTGGCAGAGTCTCACCTGACCTACCTGTCCATTTTACAATATCCAACACGTGCCTATTGCCCAACATCCACCCTACCCGAGGGCATTGAAGAGAGGACCATGGGCCATGAATAGAGACGGTCCTACTCCTCCAGTACTACGACTACCTGTGGCATACTCATACTGGAGAACTAGAAAGAACAAGAATCCCTCTTCGGCCGTGTCGATCTAGACCGCTTGGGAAAGCCTCTGCGAACCATTCATCCCAAGACCCCCTTCCCCCTCCCCGTTCTGACAGGAGTCCTTGAAATTGATCCCCAATCAGCTTGCCCTGTCGTTCTCGGCTCAAAGGTTTTCTAAGGCGGCACGCGGGATTCGGTCAAAGTATATTTTTGATAAGGACGGTATGATGACGGAGTCAGCCTGTCTACCGAGACCCACTTGCTTCGAACGCAAAGAGGCGGTAGTACGGTACTCACCAGGAGTACGAGTGGACGTGGGTTCAGATTTGCTCCGACTCGCTCTTGTGCACAGGTGATTTTCCTTCCATTCGGGTTTGTTTTTGTTCTTGTTTTTTTTTTCCCCCTTTATTATTTATTTTCCCCCCTACTTTTTGGGTCATTTCCCATCATGGCTCCTTGCTCCCTTGAGATTCTGAAAACCCTTCCGCTCCCCCATGGACTTCCCTGCGGTAAGAGGCTTCAGCTCGGACCACCTTGTCCGAATGCCTGATGCACTTTACCGCCGCAGCAGTGGAGACGGGAGACTGGAGCCACCGACCCATCCCAAGGGCGTGTGCGAGACACAAACCTTTCCGTGATGCTGCTCGGAGAGCTGTGTTATTCAGTGGTAAGTTCTGTGGGTGTGGTCTTCTCTATTACATACTACATGTATACCCCCTTCCTCAGGGTACAACAACTCTTGGAAGGCCACCTTTGTTGAATGAGTCGGATTCATATACTGTCACATTCAACAGTAAACACTAAACACACCCGACTAAAGTACATATTCCTACAGCCAGAGAATACCAACAGCCCAGCCGGGTGGTTTGAATCCAACTCTGATGACCATGATATGTGATATGTTCACATTGGAAAATGTACAGCATTGTTGATCGTGAATGGACACAGCCGAGCATTCTTCTCGCAGGGCTGATCATCTGGTCGAAAAGGATTCATGTCCCGTACTCGGTAGGCCCCATCACATTTCTGGAACATCCAGAAACACAAGAAAAGAAAAACAGAAAAAACAGAACAGCACCCCCCAAAAACGAGGAAAATCATGTCTGAGTGAGCCGCGGTCTCGAAACGGCAATCCAGACCGTTGATCAAATCAGATTACGCCCCGAGAACAGATGATGAGTGGAGACCAGGCGAAGGAAGGTTCCTGGCTCTTGGGACGTTACGTTCGAGGCATCGTTAGGGAAAAATGTTGAGGCTGGGCCAACGAGAGGCGGTCGACTTCTCATCCGTAACACTAAGCTGGATTCGTCATTTGCGGGGCAGCGTGTGGGACTGTGGACTCAGAACTGTGGTCTACCCGAGATGTCCGTCCATTCAGTTGATCATGCATCTCGAGTCGATGGGATCAGGACTAGGGGCTGTTGCACAACTATGGAGTAGATATGCAGGGTTGGAGAGGCTCGACAGAGAGAGAGAGAGAGAGAGAGAGAGAGAGAGAGAGAGAGAGAGAGAGAGAGAGAGAGAGAGAGAGAGAGAGATGCTCCGTTGGCAAGCCACATAAAAAAGTGGTGATCACGGCTGGAAACCACCGTACTCCACGTACTATGTACTGTAGCACCCCTAGTAGTCCTACAGTACAACTGCCGATGTGTTGGCCGGTCTTGATTGTTACAGAAGAAGTGGTCAAGTACACTGTAGGACGATGGAGTATGAATGCTGCCCCAGATCAAGGCTCAACAAGGCCCGTGTGAGAGTTTCCCGGTCGGCTCCTGGTGGCTTTGGCCTATGGACTCACTGGACTCACTAGACTGTGGGCTGGTTTCACAGCACGGTGCTACACTCCTAGTGACTCCGTAGTCCGTAGTGCACTCGTGATGGGTAGGTCTCCATAGGAGCATTTTTGATCTCCGGTCAGATCCTCGAGTACGCGCCTTGCACGAGGACACACCGACCTTCCGGCAAGCTAAGACTCTCTGACTGACATGGTTGAGACAAGCAAATTTGGAGTCATGATTAATACACGAATCATCACCACCACTGAGTCCATCCATATTATCGGATTAGGAGAAGGATCAAGTGTACTGGTGTACCAGTGTAGTACGATATGGAACGGGGTCTCCGTGTACCTGAAGGAATCCCCGCCCGTCTCTCTCCAGTCTGGCGATGCGGATCGTTTTTCCTTGACACTGGATTACGGCATAATTCTTCCTGTGAAAACTGGAAAGAGATCTTCCAGGCTACGATCAGGCCGTCAGATTTACATACAATAGTTAGAACAAACGGTACACCATCCTCATACATAGGTAATCAGTGCTCTTCCAGAGTTAGGTAATCCAGTACTCGAGACGGAAAGTGGAAACTCTATGGGTAGTACAACCTTGACGAAACCGTGGACCATCATCACCTTCCGCCCAATATTGGGCGAGGAGCTTTAACGTCCCCGTTCCACTATTGAGGTGTAATTCTTACTTTCTTCTTCTGCTTTGGAAATTCTTATTTCTTTCTCCCCCTGTGGCTCAGGCTTTGGGTTCATGCGAAAGACCGCCGACTCTTGGAAAACCCCGTGTGGTGAGTGGAGGGGATTGACACTTTCTCGTGACTTGTAGTCCCGTAGTAGTAGCTTCCTCCTCCTGTCATACAAGCAGTCATCGGATCGACGGGTGTACTGCCTGAGTACACAAGTACAGAGAGGACACGTTCAGACTGCAGTATATGCAAGCATGCATCAGTACAAAACGTAGCGGCCGTGACTCGAGACTCGTAACTCGTAGCTACGAGCAGTAACTAACAAGTACAGTGAGTACTAGTAGTAACCACCTTCACGACTACCCAGTACCCATGCACCATGACTGATGCAGGTTGGGTTGCATGTTTTAGGTACATGATCCGGTCCACCTCAACCGCCCTTGGTCGAGGCCAATGATCGGCTTCAACACCAGTCCGATCGTCTCTCCCTTCACGAGTGCACACTTCACAAAGGGCTCCGGGAAATTCCCCTTGCCCCCAGCGCCTTGGGTCGGGTGCTTGGGTTGACCGAGCCAGCGCACAGGAGGGCGACTTGCCAAGGTGCCAGGAGCCGGTGATGGTTGGCTCTTCTTAGCGACCACCAAATCCCCCCGCCACACGGTGGAATAACCTTCAGTGAGATCAGTTGGGACGGTCACGCTGATTAGTCCGTGACTGGAGATCGGACTGGGTCCCTCTGGAATAATCGGGATTCCCATTATTATGCGATCAAGGCAATTACGACTCTTTTGGAGAAAGGGGATCCACTCCGTTCTTATTCCCAATCTGGATCTGGCACCTCTCGACGGAGTTCTTCCTTGACTTGACCCCCCAAATGGTCCCTCCAGATTCAAACGAAAAAAAAAAAAAAATGAAAAAATGAAAAAAAAAAATCCTGAATTTTGGGAGTTTCCCAAAACTGCCCAAAACTAAAACCCTAGAATTCGGGACTCGGAACTATAATTGGGCTAGGCTCAATTCGTGAGTGTCAACGTCGTGTCATCTTCGAGCATGCCGACGGGCTGCGGCGCTGCAGAGTGCAAGAGTGTGGGTAGGATCGTGGACTATGGGGCGCTAGATCGTCGCTCTCCTTGAATCAGTCCCTTTATAGGAACCTTGTCGCCCTTTGATTCCGCGATCTGGAAATCTTGAATGCCTCGATCCTATATAGACCTCCTCCGCCTTGCAAGTCACTCATCCTCCTCCTGCTCCTCATCATCATCACACCGCCATCAACATCCTTCCACCCGTAACTGCCTGGCATCGACATACCAAGCGCGCTTTCCTCCACCTGGGAAGCTCCTGCTTGACCCCACGACCTGACCACCAACAAATTGCCGGAGGTCAAATCTGCCTCCTGCCAACCTCATTGATTCACAGTGCCGCGTTGAGAGCGGTAGGACATCAAGTCGGCACTCCAGTACTTGGTGCGCATTGCCGCGTATCTCCAAAAAGCAGAATATCAATCCCTCTCTCGTCACAGCCACCCTTTTGGTTCGTCCATGGCGAACTTTCAAAGCTACACCCGCCCTCATGGGCCACATGAAGCCACTTCACTCAGCTCACAACGCCCTCAACGACATCTCTCGGACCAGTCCGCCTATGCCACCATGCAGGACTGGATTCGCGCATTTCCCCGTCCACGTCTCGGCCGTGTTGTGAAACCGCGCAGTGCGGGCAACAGCCCGTCTGCTGCCATCCGTCGACGAACTACCGTGGGTCAAAGTGCCATGTACAGCGTGCCCTCGCAGTACCAACAGTCATCGTTGGAGGCAACCTACCTGGCGTCGGCCGCCCAGCAGTCTCGACCCATCAGCTGGCATCCGTCATCAGTGAGGTCCCGTACGTTCTCAAACCCAACCTGGACGCCCGAGGATCCCACGGGAAGCTTGGCCACCGAGGGCATGCTGGATACTCAGATGCATGGATTGCCCACCGACCCCGTCAGCACATATCCGCTCTCTGCTGGCCCCGATTTTCAAACGGGCTACTTCTCCGCGTATACAGGCTTCGAGGAGCCCTTGCCCGTGCAACAGCAAACCTCCGACTCCATGGGCTGGGACGGTTCCAGCTATTTTGATTATTCCAGCATGAACCATTCTCTATCCGACCCCTGGTCCATGGAGATGCTCACCTCGGCGAGCAACATCCCCCCACCGAGACCACTTGTCCGAGTTATGCCAGCGTCCCATCTCCTGGCGAGATCAGCGGACCTCCCACCCCAGATTTCCTTCCCATTCAGCAGTTTGACGACGAGCCGGCCTTGAACTCAACGCTGATCAGCCAACCGGAGGAGGAAGAGCTTGTGGGCATGGGTCTCTACAGCCAGCCCAGCACTGCTCAGAACTCCCTGCAGCAGGGGCTCACTGGCAAGGGACTCAAGCTTGAGGAGACTTTCTCACCATCAGAGGATGAAGATGAGGACGCCGATGCGGATGCGGATGCGGATGCGGATGCGGACGGCGAGTCTGACGAGGATTCGAGTGACTCTCGCTCCATGCCTCCTCCTCCTCCTCCTCCTTCACAGCCGACTATCTCTTCACCGCCTCCTCCCGCGTCCCACTCTCCATGGTCGGGCCCCAAGCAGACATCCAAGCAGGCCCTCAATCTCCTGCACAAGTCCTTTTTCTTTGATAACGACGATTCCGACCAACCCACCATGGCTGTAACTCAGCCTTTCACCACCTTCACTCAGCCCTGCATGACCTACGGCCACGGATGGATTTAACTCCAAGGCCGCTTTCCCTATTGTGCCAACATTTCCCCCCCCCCTTCAATTCTGTATCCCTTTAGCGAGCATAGCATGGTGTTACTCATCTCTTTTACTTCTTTCTGACGGCATTACATATTGCTTCATCTCGTCATACACACCCCCTCATGAGAGTTTTCCATTGACACCTTTGTATTTGTTAGAGGACACCTTTTATGATGTGATGATCACCAGTTACCGGCATCGGTTCAACGACTCCTCAGAGGAGTACCAATAAATGAATGGCACCTATTCTATAGGTGGCTCTTCACTTCTATCTATCTACCTTCGCTTGCCAGTCAGCAAGGCTACATGAAGCATTCCTGCTGCTTACCTAGCCAGCTCATCAATAGCTTAACTTTATCTGTAATCTTTACTCAAGGTTGGCATTCTTCCATCACTGGAGCCCGTCACTTGAACGAACTTTCAGTAGAGTCGCGAGACGTCAATTCTACTTACGTTCTCAAAAGGAGAACATCGGGATCCAATTTCAATCTATTCTGTCCCGTCCATTGACGAATCAATATCAGCTACTACATATAGCATCGTCGCCCAGAGGATGAGTGGCACCTAGGTGAACTTGCGAAGAACCTAAGGTTGATTAGGTAGGCATGAAGCTCGATGATATATTTTGCCCTACATTTTCCCCTACCAAACTGCCGAGGCAGCGGAACATTCCTTCAACTCATGACACAGATCTCTTCACACAATCATCATGACCTACAAACCAGAACCGATCAAATCCCCCCCAGCCCCCTAGCGGGATACCAACAGTCGATATAGATCGTGTTAGAAGAGACATGCATCTGCCGATAAAGTTGAGGCGTGGAAGCCGTTGGCCGAGGCAGAAGCCACGGAGGGACCCAAGCCTTTGAAAGTTGGCGGGGTCGCCGAAGTGGAGCGACGTCATACCCACTCATCAGAACGTTCTCACTCCACGCTTATGCCAACCTGGCACGGAGTCAAACCAAAAAACAGGACGGAAGCGCACAATGACACCCTAGTTCGTGCAACTGGACACTTTATAACATTGAACTCGTGATGGCTGAAAGTCAGAGACCGTCATCGACGGTGACCGCGAATCCGGTAGGTGCTCGGCCTCACGTTGGCGTGCATTGAACGCAACCGCGCCAGACACGGGCAGACTGATAATGTGCGCTTGATTGCAGAGCCGTGGAGATCCTACTGCTGGAGGGACGAGCGAGTCGGAACACCAGCAAAACCAGTTAGAGGTGCGGGCTCAAGCTTGATTTTGTTTCTCCCCATTCGTCCCCCAGTCATTCTGACGATGGCCCTCCCACTCCTGGGGCCTTTGACTGCAGGTTGTCTTCTACCCTGATTCTATCCACCGCCGCAAATCGTCGCTCGTCACCATGGAGAAGCCGCGTGTGAGGCCACATCTTGACCAGTACGACAAAACGACGGCCTGCTATGTGCATTCGCTCATTGCCGGCGAATGGGCCGCACCGACGATCCAAACCCACGAAGACGAGACCCAATCCGTGATTCGAACGCTGAGTGACGAGGAGTCGAACGTGGATTCCAAATCTCATGGCGAAGACGACGTCGTCTCGGTGATTGATAGTGATAACAAAGTGCTGAAGCCCGTGCCGACTATCGTCCAGTCGAGGCACCTGACCAAGCGACAACTGTCCGATATGGCTTGGAATGTTCGCAAGCTGTCGAAAAAGCTGGGCAGCATCAAGCTGAAATTGACCGTCAAGAATGTCTTCATAGTCAGCAAAGCGCACGACGATTCACTGGTGAGCTTGACGAGAAAGGTTACTAAATGGCTACTCTCCAAAGATCGCGATGCGCCGTACAATGTCTACGTCGAGCGCCGTCTTGAGACGCACCCCGACTTTGGCGCTTTGCAACTTATCCAAGAAGAACCGACGGCCAAAAATCGCTTGATTTACTGGGACTCCAAGCTTGCGCAGGAGCAACCGCATCTGTTCGACTTTGTCGTCACACTCGGTGGAGACGGCACGGTTCTCTACACTAGCTGGCTCTTCCAGCGCATTGTCCCTCCCGTTCTCTCTTTCTCCCTGGGCTCCTTGGGCTTCATGACAAAATTCGACTTTGGCGACTATCAAAAGATTTTGGAAAGCTCGTTCAGGGAAGGCGTTGTCGTGAGCCTTAGATTGCGATTTGAATGCACCATCATGAGGTCCAAGGCGCGTCTGAGGAATACGGATACCAAATCACTCGCCAGCCGAGATCTGGTGGAAGAAATCATTGGAGAGGAAGGGGAGGATACGTTGACTCATACCCCAGACAGAGTTTATGAGATTTTGAACGACGTGGTTCTGGATCGTGGGCCGAATCCAAGTAAGCCTTTTCTCCCGGCTCGACTGCAGCCCTCACCCTTTTCGGCATGTCAGTGCTCCCTGAGCATGACAATATAGCTAACCCTCGTTGTCAGCCATGTCTCAAATCGAGCTGTTTGGTGATGACGAGCATTTCACAACTCTGCTTGCAGATGGAATCTGCGTTGCTACCCCGACAGGTTCGACGGCGTACAATCTTGCGGCTGGCGGCTCACTTTCACATCCCGAAAACCCCGTCATTCTAGTGACCGCCATATGTGCGCACACGCTATCATTCCGTCCCATCATTCTGCCAGACACCATTGTCCTTCGTATGGGTGTTCCTTATGACGCTCGTACTAGTTCATGGGCCAGCTTCGACGGGAGGGAAAGGTGAGACTTTGCTTGATCCTTGGAGAGCCCCAATCAGAGGATATAGAACGCTAATTGTTTCTGTCTTTATGATAGGGTTGAACTGCACCCCGGTGACTATGTTACCGTGTCGGCTTCGAGATACCCATTTGCCAATGTACTGCCTCAGAATAGGCGTGGCGAAGACTGGGTGCACAGTATCTCCAAGACGTTGAATTGGAACTCACGAACCAAACAGAAAGCCTACAAATAAGATGGCATCGGCGAGGTCCGTCAAGGTTAACATCTCATGATGTTGACACAATGTGTACGGAGTTCGAGACGAGGGCCACATGGAGTGTCTTTCTCTGACTGTTTGATCTTTGTTATTGATTTCAGCCCTTCGCAATAGCCACTGGATGGCTGAATTCACGGAATACACGGATGGGTCAATGATTTCCGCATTTAAATTTGTCTTGAAATCGCAGGATTTTATGTGCAAATTTTACTTGTCACATTGCTGTCTCTTGACTTTGTTTTTTGCAAGCATGAAAACTCGTGTACGAGATGCATTCCTGGTTATCTTGATTGCTTTGAAGCTTTGCCTGCGAATTTAGGTTGAAAACGACATCCTTCAAGACCCGTATCTACCACACTTGACTCATTCCAAGAAGCTTCTCGAAATTTCATGTGCATTGTCGCATGGTGGAGCCCTCTTCAATCACCGACCTTCTTCTTCGTATAAAGTCACGTGCTGAGCATGTGACCTCTAGTCTAGACCCAAAAAGGACAGACCCACCCGCGCAAGGTGAATCCACTCTTCCGTATAAAACCCTGTCGACAGTTTTCTCACCTTCTTCCACTTTATTCATTCTCACGTCTGTCACGGGGTTCTCTGCGAAGATCTAATGCGATCTGCTGCAGGGCCTGGTCTGACTGAGTAACTTTGGACACTGCGACCATCTCTTCAACAGCTAACTAACATATGGTAAGTGCCAATTGTTTTCGCCTTCAGAATTCTCCGTCGCGCTCGACCAGCAATGGGCCTGTCTCTCGCAGACAACCCAATCTCTATGATGAAAATTTTTCCTACATTCGCAGTTTCCACGCTAGCCATCGTCGAACCTAAATCAAAGATGGTGTTGAGCGCATAACTTCCTTGGATGTCTGATTGAAATTGCTGGTCACGCTTCGCAGTATTGCGGCGATTTGACACTTGGAAATGAATCTCGCTAACCTGCTTGGTTCACAGTTTTCCCATGATTTAAAAGATCGCAACGGCAATTCCCTTGACATTCGAGACTGCGCAGCTCTGTGAACACCCAGCGCTGGTAGGCTTCGGCACTCGGTTAGCGGTGCATGGTTCAAAGCTCTGCAGATCTTGATGTTGAAGAATTTGGCGATGCGTACTAGCACATCATTTTACAATGAACCGATTGAATTATTCTATTCCACTTTCGTTCTCTATCGTAAATCTCGACTGTAAATCTGAAAATTCTTCCAAATATTTGGTTGCTTGACCATGGCGTTTTATGTTAGCGCGCACCTGTTCTTCCACGTCCATGTTCAACGTTGCATCCCCGGGCAGTGTGCTCCACCGTAGTAGATCTTAACCACTAGATCCCTCCGTATCGGCCCCAAGTTGACAACATTTGAACTTCCCCTACGCATTCCGCCGGTTAGACCATGATATCAATCCCACACTGAACTACCATCAATCTTCCTGATCTCACTCAACCACAACATTTGACCAGAGTGTCGTCTTCCAACATTCATCCAAATTCCTCCGGCTTGCCCTTCGCCCCCCCCCCTCCCTCCGGCCCTCGCGACTCAACATGGCCGCACCACCCCGGCACTCGGCGATGCTCTCAATGAACAGCGCCGTGGCTACGCCGCAGCCCATGCCCGGCGACATGTCTCAGGGTCCGCCACAATCATTAACACCTCAACCGTCACAAGGCCTACGAGTGCCGTCAAATCGCAAGACAATCTATGACCGACACTTGAACCGCAGCCGAAATGCGGAGCTCAGCCGAGCTAGCTTCGCGTATCTCTTTGCTGAGATGGTGACATATGCGCAACGCCGGGTAACAGGAATTCAAGATCTTGAGAAGAGGTACGCATTCGGATCTCATAGCATGAGAGCAACTTTGTTTCGGCAATGACGGAGATTTGTCCGGCCGCTAATAATCGGCTTGCTTCCCCTCCCCCAAAAAACAGATTGAATGAACAAGGGTACCCGCTTGGTCTGCGTCTCCTCGATCTCCTCTTCTACCGTACAACGACAACCTCATCCTCAGCTCTCTCCAGTTCCTCAACTTCCTCCTCGCCGCCCAATCGTCCACTTCGTATCCTGACCCTCCTTCATCTCATTCATGGACCGCTTTGGCGCTTGCTGTTCGGCCGGTCAGCCGATGCTCTTGAGCATTCAGTCTCGCCTGATACACCAAACGAGTATATGATCACGGATAATGATCCTCTCGTCAATACCTATATCAGTGTGCCACGGGAGATGAATCAGCTCAATTGCGCGGCTTTTGTGGCGGGTATCATTGAAGGCGTCTGCGATGGGTGCGGGTTCGAGGCAAAGGTCTCGGCGCATAATCAACCGACGGAAATGTGGCCGAGTCGCACAGTCTTCTTGCTCAGTTTTGGAGAAAGCGTCATGGAGAGGGAGAAGGTGCTTGAGCGGTCGGGCATCAAATAGGCATATGCGCGAGAATTTGCATGTCCAGCGAATGCAAGCTCAGATCCACCCCCGCCCAAGAGGAGCAGGCTTTTATTGCGCGGTAGAGTCGGGTCAAGATCAACCTTGACCCTGCGAGCCAACGGGTTGTACCTGCGTCACGATGTCTGTCTCTTGTGCGAGCTATTCTGGTACATGCGGGGGATTTGAATAGAAACCCGTGTGGGGATTAGAGGCAGGGAAGGCCTGGTGCAGGCGCTTTGCGCGTACTGCTACGATTTTGAGGGAATCCCCCCCCCCCCAAGGAACTCTAGAAAAAGGGATAGAATCAGTGATGACCAGACCAATGACAATGCACCTTCCTGGTGAAGGTGATTTGTTGTCGCGTTAGAATGCATGTTTTTTTACAAAGGTATTCGAATGCTGTTCAATGCCAGTAGTCCTTGGACCAATCCACCCATCAAATGGATCCACGAATCGTGATCTTTATATTTACATCAAGGAGAGCGCCGTCATCAGGAGCTTTCAAGTCGGCGCCTCTTATCACGGTCATCACTGGGAGATGGGCTGCGTTTCCTCCGCTCCCTTGACCGGCTCCTCTCGTTGTATCGATCTCTCCTAGGCGATCGGGACCTTGACCTTTGTCGCGGACGCACTGCACTGGCATTGGCACCTGTCGGACCCGTAGGCCCATGCCCTCGATCGTCGCCTCGATCAGGCATGAACCGCTCGTCTGTGACACCAACCGGCGGAGCATTCTGGCGACGCCGATTCTCGTAGCCATCTCCGAAACGTCCTGTATCCTCTGTTTTCAAATCGCGATAGCGCGTGCGACCTTTCTTTCCCAACTTCGTCATGTCGCGAATCTGCATGTATTGAGGTAATGTTTCGACCGCAACCTCGTCGGCAAATCGGCGACCCATAACATTGCGCTGGTCGAGACCTTCACGCTCTTGATCATCTCGGAAGAAGGCGCCCTTGTGAAAGTAGCGCTGCATAAACCCAGTTTGACCACGAGTTGCCTCGCGCTCTTCATTCTGTTTGGCAATGAACTCGCGGTCCTCACGCTCCCGTTCCTCCGCGGTAAGGTTGCGCCGGCGCTCGACCTCCTCGCGTTCCTTCTCTGCTTCTTCGATTGCTTCACGCTCGCGCTTGACTCGTTTTAATTCCCGAAGCTTCCAAGCGGCATATTCGGCTTCTGGGTCAAGACCGTCGCGGTCATCGATGCCAGCTTCGTCGTCCGCCTCTGCGAGATCGTCGTCGTCCCACGCCTTGTTCGCTGCGGACCGGGCAATCGCTTCCTTCTCAAGCTGATCGCGCACCAATTGGTCGGCTAGCTCCTGACGTTGGGCGCGCCGGGCTTCATTTTCCGCTGCGGAGTTGGCAGCACTGACAGATGCTCCAGTCGAGGCTTCTGCGCCCTGCGCACTGGCATTATCTCTCTTGTCTTTCTTGATAAATGTAGGGCGAATTAACATTCGGCGCGGAGCTTCATCCTCGGAGCTACTTTCTTCTTCTGAGCTCTCCTCCTCCTCCTCTTCTTCTTCCTCGTCGTTCTCATCGTGCTCATCAGATTCCTCTTTTATGGCATTGGACAATGAACCTGTCCCCGACGGACCTTTTGCGCTTGTTCTTTGCGTAGACTGGATCTGAGATAGCTGTGCTTTCTTTGCAGTTGTCTGGGGTGTATCGTCTTCTTCTTCATCCGTGACAAATCCTTCTTCGTCTTCGTCTTCCTCGATCTGGCTCTTCTTGATCGCGGCTGCAGGGAATGAGCTCGCTTTGGGCGCCTGCTGCCTCCTCCTTTGCTCCTCTGCGCGACGGTTTCTTTCTTGTTCCTTTTGGGCTTGGATTTCTTCCTGGTCGTCTTCGTCTTCGTCCGATGAGGGTTCTTCAGCGACTGCTTTCCCGGGGCGGTATCGACCGGGCTTGACCGGGTTCGCGGTCATCTTGCGATGTTGGGACGGTAGCGGAGGTGGCATGTTGTCGACGAGACAGCAGCGAAGCTGGATTAACGCGGTATCGACTAGTTGTGGATTGAATGCCAGATCCGGTATTGAAAAGATTCGTCGGGCTGCCGCGCGATCAACTTCCAAAACTCCGAAACTCGGTGCTGCTCGCCGATGGAAAGTTGAGCTGCGCTTCGAATTGATAAGTGATACTGTCACGTGGTGATAAGTGGTAAGGTTGGTACTGTAGCTCGTGATATTCAGAGATCATGTGTATGACCAATACTTTCAATTGCATTAGCTTGAACGTGATACTCAGACAGAAACCTGGGCATGAAAAGAATTGCACAGGCTCCTGTGCTGTGGCTGAACTTCGCCTCTAACTTGAGGTCGTGCAGGGCTGTCCCCCGCGTCTATAGTCATCCACCTTGCGTACTCTAAGCCGGGAAGAGCTTAAAGTGCCCGAAATCAGCACGTGATTACGCGTCCGTGTATCGCGTCGGCTTTGTCGGGGAAACCTCTCTCAGAGTCTCCATCACTAACTAGTAGGTCGATACCACAACAATCCTGAATTACGAAAGCGATCGCATCATTGAAATCTTCGTCAAGGTCAATTCAACACTTGAAAGCCCAAATATTCAGCGATATCCGACAACATGTCGCTTCAAACCCCCCGCATCCTCCCAAGCCATCTCAATGCTTTTCACCCCTCCAGCTCAGGCCCACGCTCAACACACACCGTCCGCATCCTCGGCACTGTAACGGGACTTCGTGGAGACCAAGCGACAATCTCATGTGGCAACAATGGAGACGTGACACTTCTCTTGAAACCCGATTCGCATCTTCAAATGGGAAAGCTTGTCGAGGTCGTGGGAAAGGTGACTGACTTGGAAGGTGGTCAGGTAAGCTACGTTGTGTGTTTGAGATGTGCTTCGTGCGACAATGGGTGGCAATTTCGACGAATTTTGACTGTATTCTCATTGTTCTTGAATTACTCGCTAATGAAGAACGTTTCAGGGACTTGGTATCAGAGTACTCGGCACAACAGACTGGGGCAATCCTGCCGATTGTGGTATGTGTTCGACTACATCGTCCGCTCGCTGGGCGGACGCAACATGCGATAGACAAATAACTAATGTGAATGATCGATTCAAAGATTATAAGATCTACGAGCAAGTTGTTGAGGCCACGCACCGATTCAAATCGATCTTCTACGACGGCGAGTGAAACAAACCCGTGAAGGTGAAGCTCTCGATTTCCCAGGGCTGGAAAGTCCCGCTTTACGGGCAGGTACTGAAAAATGAAGATGAAGAAACATTTACCATACTCTTTCGACGATACCGTGGACTGTGCACATAATGGACGAACTCACGATTACTTGAATACTAGATTATTCTGAATGGGAACGATCCTTCCGAATCACTTCTCGCTGTTTTAGTTTCGTGCTTGATCCACAAATGAGCGACGCTCGATAACGCGTTTTATTGCATATGGGGTCGATGCATGGCCTGGCGTTCTGCGTCCGCAATTATCAAATCTAGAAACAAATAGTCGCTCGTAGAGAATCGTCGAGCTTCTCAAAGTGGGTAAGATGCCGATTTGACTCTACTAGAGAGAAAGATGTATCGAAAGGATGTGCTGCTCATAGATCGCCATGACTCTACCGGCATGTCATAGACGTATATCGCCAGGTTAGGTTCTCGTAAATTTGGCTATACGGTCGAAAATAGGAAGCGATTGATTTGGTTATACCTTCCGTCCACTACCCGCGCCCACGACGAATGTTCATGACTCCCTTCAAGTAATATCTGATCCGGCTCGATCGAATTATCGCACTCTCCCGTCTCGGGCGTGCGACATGTAGAGGAAAGCCTGTCTGCGGGAGCCAATGTTGTAGTCTATGACCATGTCATTGCTTATTCGGCGTAGCACAGGGCTATTGTTTCAATCATAGGTCATGGGTCCATCCATGTCGATACCCAATGTCATAATCCCTTCCAAATGTCAAAGTAGACTAGGTGATTACGACCTCAGGCTACTTCGCCTTAAAAGGGGTGGGAGGGTCTCCATTGATCTTTATTCGCGACGCGTCGGCTTATAAACAAAATATCAGTCAAACCATTTCTCGGACATTAATTCATGTTTTGTTTCAATCAAATGCAACACGAAGCTGCTTAAAAGGCTACCTATTCGGGTCCATAGCATTGCCAAAAAAAATCAAAAGTCATCACATCAGAAACACAAGATTTTTAACAATGCAGATCTTGTGCATGTAATCGAGAACAGCAGTAGGTCATACAGTACCTTTCATACCTTGAACGCCAACGCTAAAAATCACAGGTATAAAAGTTGATAAAGCACAATGGGCAAAATGGAACAAAGAAAAAAGACAAACAGCGAAAATGAGTCGTAGGAAAGGCGTTGAGAATCATGCATCAGAAGGCGCTGACTGCTTGTGCTCCTTCAAAGCATTGGCCATCTTGGAAGTAGCGACATCAGTTGGAAGAGCATCGGAACTGAAGAAGCCGGAGTCGGGAATCACGCCGGCAGCAAAATTGAAAGGATTGAAATGTGAATTAAGATTGTCCTCCTTGAGAAGTGTCTCATCAGAGAAAATGGAATCAATGAGAGCGTCAGGCGAGCCATTCTCATCACCCGACCCGGCGGGAGAAACGTAATTTGAGGGAAGCCAGTCCGCCCAATTGTTACTTGAGAACTTTTCATGCCCAAGCTGAAATAAATTGGGACTGGTGGGTAGATCCTCAAAAATATCAAGAATCATACCATCGAGAGCCGTGAATGGTTCAGGCTGCAAGCTAATGTCGGGCAGTGCCGAGCTCCCTCGCTTAGCGGGCGACTTCTTAGGAGAGGCTTGTATGCGCGAGAATCGACTCGGACTGTCTTGAATGTGTTGCAATCGCTCCGCAGCAAGTCGAGTGGTATTCTCGGCAGAGACAGTATCTCGCTTAGGGCCAGTGGGCGAGTTGCACGGTAATGATTGACGTCTCTCATGCAGTGCGGGACGCGTGAGTCGGCGCCGAGGAGTGGGACTGACAGGAAGATCAAAGTCCAAAGCAGAGCCCTCGAAGAGTTCGTCAATAGCATCGTTCGCAGCCGTCATGTTCTCTTTTGCCTGCATTTGCTTTTCTGTGCGAGAAAGACGCGGACTACGGCGGGGCGAGCAGCTATTCAACATTGACGAGCCCAGTTCCTTCAGCGGCCCTTCCTTTTGAGAAGACGCAAAAAGGGCACGACGTACAGGCTTAGGTGTTAAGTTGTTCTCTTCAGTAGCAGAGATTTTTCGAGTCTCCATATTTCTGGCCGGACTCGATTGTATGGCAAGTCGCAACGCATCGAGAGCTTCGCCTTCGTCCCAGCCAGATTTCTCGGTGGAGCGGGTTGGCTCTGCACTATTCGCTCGTCTTCGCTTGCTCGGATGATCTGCTTCATCATCGGAATCCTGAGTTTGCTGGGTGTCATGGCGAGGATCGTTTTCTTTGTCGACGTTGGGTGTCTCACCCTCTCCATTCAACTCAAATGAAGCATCGGTGGGAGCCGGAGAGGAGTGAACAGCACGGGCAGCGTTAGCCTTGCTGCGAGCACGCGTGGAAGGTTTCGGAGGCAGTCCGCCACTCCGTTTCCGATTTTTGGGAGGACGCTTGGCCTTTTTGCTCCTTGTGGATGCAGGAGGTTTGCCATTCCAACGATCCGGAGGGCGCATAGTCCTGAACTTGTGTATCCACAGGCCACACGGGTTGCAGAGAAGCAGCTGGTTCCAGCCTTCATCCTCAGGAGTAACCCCCTCAGGACTGATTCCTAGTCCCTTTTTGTAGATTCTGAATCTGGCCACTTCTTGCTGGTCGTTTCTCTCAGTGGCCTCCCAGAACAAAAGACCTTGTTGTTTCTGCATCTTTTTAGCATCTTGTTCAGTACCAACAATGTCCTTTGTCCAGACTCGTCTCCAAGTCGGCGTGTCAATCGATCCACAGTGTTCACAGTAAGGGGGGGATGATGCCTTCTGCAATAGCCGCATCGAGCTTCGCCTGGACCTGCTTTGCTCTACGCGCGCCACCTCCGCTGCGAGGCGCCTTTCGCGAAGACTCGGGTTGGGGTGGGGGTGTTTCCGCGATCGAAAAGTCACTCATGATTCCAGCACCTGCCTGAGGAGGCCAAGATGGAGGCTGGACAGTCGGGCCGGGTTCACCGGTCGGCGCCGCTCGCATCATGTGCTCAATCTCACTCTGCGACATAGGAGCAGGTGCCAGTGATTTGGGTGTTGGTCGAGCGCTGGCGCGCGAAGACGGTCTTGACCCAGACGAAGTACTCGGACGAGGCATTTGAGCGGCTTGGTGTGATCTCAAATCAATCACAGTCTCGCTGACGATCATGGGATCCGTCATGACCTCAGACACTAGACCAGTGGCACTCATAGGAGATGTGGCTTGGACTGTAGAGAGCACGGAGCGTGAGCGGTTTCCACCGTCTGCACGGCGACGATTGGACTTCTGTGTCTCTTCCACAGGTGTAGCTGCACCATCGTCAACAAAGTCATCCAAACTTCCACTCATGAAGCCAGAGTCCGTCTCGATTGAGAACGGAGGCAGGTTAGGGCTCGACTGAGTCGGGAATCGAGATTCCATAACCGGAGGTGACGAGGGCATATTAAAGGCTGCCTCAAAAAGGCCTTGGTAGCGGTCTTCAGGCGAGTGAACGAGCTGTTCCTGCGGTTGATCATCGCTGGATTGATAAGGAGAGGTGTAAGAGCTGTTGCTTTGTGTAGAACTCTCGCGCAACAGACTTGATGGCAGTCGCGCCCGTCGAGAGAATTGCAAAGGATTGGATATGGGAGTTGGGGGACGGATGGGCTCTTCTTGGGATTGCTCTGCTCGGGACGCAGGGTTGATTGGAGTTGGACGGTGAATCCGAACAGAGGCTGCAGTGCTGGCAGCCACCCGTAGTGAACTTGGTTGTCGTTCAATGTTCATATCTGATTTCCCTGGCCAGCCAGCTTGATAAAGCTTCGCTCTCTTGCGTTGCTGAGGCTCTGGTCCATCCTCTCCACCGCTGCCATAGCCGGATTGAAAGGAGTCTCTGCGCGCACGGTTCTCAAAGGGGTGGGGCCGATGATCGTTATCGCGCATGGAGGCACTCGATGAAGGGCGGATCATATCACTATGAGAGAAATTTTGTCGAGACTGGAGGGCTTGGTGGTTGTGCGCCGGAGTGCGAGTCCCAGCGGGAGTTGACATACGGCTAGGAGGACCGAATGAGTGCGTTGGCGAGGATGACCGAATCGATTCGTTGGTTGAATAACTGGGGTATTCCCGTGGCGTAGTACTATCACTCAGGAGTTGATGAACGCGCTCGATGCCCGATTGATCCTTTGGTGAAGCTCCACTAGCCTGATTCTGGCTCCTGGAAGCCTCAAGTAGGGCAGGGTTCTGTCTGAAGAAATTCGTCCAGCTTTGGGCATCGAAATCTTGCGGGATAACATTGCTCAGTTCACGGTACTTCTGCATGCTGTCGAGATACTCGCTTTGCATCACTGTAGGCACTGGAACTAGCCGCAGCTTGACTTCTAAGGTCTCATGAACTCCCTTGGAGAAAAGACCCACGGGATTCTTGCACACACGGCCTGTGACCATTGTCTTCGACTGGTGAGCGGGAGCATCTGGCGTCGGAGACGCGGATGCAAGCACCCACGATAACATTCCCTGACCAACCAAGGGCGTTTCGTATTCGGAGTAGTCGTAAGCATAGACTGTGTAGTCCTTACCCAAGTGCGCCACCAACTCAGGACTATTTTAAAATCCATGTTAGCTTCTTAGTGAGCTGATTTAGTCTTGAGATGACGAGGCAGTCGAACCTGGCAGAAACAATAGCCTGGATGCATGTTTTCAATTCAATAACACCGATTTGAGTCTGCTCATCCAGGTAGGCAGTCTGGAGATCCAGCACATGTGGCCAGCGAGCTAAGCAGTTCGTCTTATTCTCATTGTCAAACGTGTAGAACACCTTCAGTCTCATGGGACGGACGGTGATACCGTCCTCAGACTCCATCTCAAGAAACTCTGTCTGCACACCATGCAAGATATTTTGACCGGGAGCAGTCACCAGATGTTGAATGGGAAGGGATAGAGAATTGGTGTTCTGAACGGAAGACTGGTGACAAACTACCGGATCAGAATTGAATTAAGCAGTAGCCTAAGATCCTGACTTGACCGATATCGTGCGAGGCTGGTGGATTTATTCGTTCCCACAGGAAAGGTTCGAAGGGATGGCGAGGGGAAACGGGGACGATTGACAAGTGCGGGCCGAGCAGCAATGGAGTCTGTCGTCCGGGGGAATCAAGAATTGATGCTGCAGAGGAGAGGGGCAGGTCTGGAGCACAGGAATGTCAGCTAAATTGTTCTGTGCAGTCAAAGCTCCAGGTACCAACACAATGTAGACCGGTTCTTGACAAACAATTCTCACGGAGCCAATGGGTGAGGTGTAAGAGATCTGGATAGCTTACTCTTGCAAATAAGAGAAGGGGAGAGAGGGAACCGGGGCTGGCGGAGAGAAGTGAGGAGTTTGGAAAGACAAAGCGGGTTTGGAGAGTGGAAAGCAAGCCTTGCATACGCGGGTTGAAGCTATCCGCCGAGCAACCGGCGTGGACGCGACGTGACGCAGCCTACCGCGTATAGCACCTGGGTGCCTCACTTATAAGGCAGCAGCTCGGGCAAGGTCACGAAGTCATGTGATATCCGATTATCGAACTTGTCGGCCGTGATATGATTGAGATCCGAAAGAGAGAGCTACCAAGACCTTTTTATACCCCATCCACCCACATACATCATGGCTGCCGCTCCAGACCCCAAGATCCAGTAAGATTCGAGAAACGTGACTCACTTGAGGCTTTGAACCCTCGCTAACCCGTGACTTGTGCAGAGACCTGCTCAACAAGCCTAAGAGCGAGCTAACGTATGTCCATCCCGTTCCCTCTGTTCCTTCCCGATAATCCCAATCTCCAGCTGCGTGTTGTGTTTGCGACATTGCTTGGTCGTCGCCGAGTCTCGTTTCAAACATTGGGCGCATACATCGTTTGGTCTTTGCGTCGGCGCATATGATAGTCCTCGGCCGCATCCCCCGCTCTTGACACGATTGAATCACATTCTTATGCATGCGGGCGATCAAAATGACATGGAAGACTAATCGTGAAATCGATTTGCTACAGCGAATTTGAGGTTGGACTTGTTGAGGAGCACGAGCTCAATGCTGGCCCCCTCTCACTTCTACAGACCGCCACCCGCACACACACTCAAGTCCTGATTTCCTGCCGTAACAACCGCAAGTTACTGGCCCGTGTGAAGGCTTTTGACCGACATTGCAACATGGTGCTGGAACATGTGAAGGAGATGTGGACTGAGAAGCCCAAGGGCAATAAGGGCAGGGGTGTGAATAAGGAGCGCTTCGTCAGCAAGATGTAAGCTCTTATTTCAGGTGGTCCTTCGAAGTCGGTCTGCAATTATGGCCTCGAAATCCTCCTAGTCGTCCTCCACTGAGCCTCTACCATGTCTTGTGCTAATGATGCTTTGGTTCAGGTTCCTCCGTGGCGACTCCGTCATTCTCGTTCTGCTTAGCTAAACGCATCACCCCCGGCCCAACAGTACGACTCGTCTCTCTATCTCTCACCGCGCACCTTTATCCTTCCTGGGTATCGAGAGCCCGCGCTCTCCATGTCAAATCCTCGCCGGGCATTATTGTCTACCCCCTATGCAATAGTTCTCTGCTTCAGAAGGGTTTGTACATGCTTCTGCGTCTATTCCTCTCTGCAAACCCTTGGCGGGACTGTGCCTTGTCGATCTCGATACCCTCTGTTCTTACTTCCCCTCTATCCCGACTGCAAATGCCCCTCCGCCCTTGCATCTGGTCACCGCCAGTCCGAGCCAGAGCTTAACCTTCCCCTAACTTGCATCTCTGTCGGCCCCTAACGCCATCCTGGCCGATTCTCACAAAATACGGACGAATAAAAATGAAACGATTTTCAGTAAAACCAGATATCATTGTCTCTTTCCTTTCACATAACTTCGTCGATATCTGCGGCTAGGTGTGCGCGGGTATGGAAGATTCAAACCCTAGATTTAATCGTTGATGTCGACTCGGGAAGTGAATTTCGATCGTTTTCAGCAATTGTCCGAGCAATTGTCCGCTGTCGACTCATAAGAGAAAGTCGAATGCCGGGCTCGCTCTCGGTTCGTAGATAGCCTTAGCCCTGCAGTAGCTACTAAGCTAGTGTGGCCGGCGATCATTCGTGTAGTGGCAGCCGGAGCCTGTTCAATAGGTACAGATGCACCCAGTCACACGACGATATGAGAAATTTGACCGGATGAGGGAGAATCTACGCCGGCGTTCCAACCGATCTTCAGTTACAGTAATTACACCCCTGTGAATCTCGGCGGGCCATAATGGAATTGCTAGACCTGTTTGCTGCTTTTGGATACAAGGCCTTCATGTTTAGTGAAACCTATCCGTACCATACCTAGCACGCTTCCGATAACCCAGTCAAGAATTCACTAAGCCCATAAGCACCCGGATCAGGCACCTTGCCTAACCATTCTGCCTCACTACCCACATAGACAGAACGACCCAGACTCGCCTTCATACTCTTCGTCGACTCCGTGCCCTGCTGTGCCGCAGCCGCCGCAGCACGTACATCATGAGTTTCGAAGAGGGTATCGCAGAACGGCACCAGCGCATCCATTAGTGTGCGATCCCCTGGCTTCGCCGGTGTATATTGGCTCAAGGCCGCGACGGAATGTTTCAAGGCCTGGGCCCAGACTTCTGTGGTGACGGGACGAGCAGAGCCCGTATCTTGGGCGCGGAGTCCATGGGCCAGAGCGTTCAAAAAGATCGCATAGATGGCACCGGATGTGCCGTCCATAACGTTCTCAACTACCTCGACAATCCGAAGAACTGTAGTGACGGCGTCATTTGTGATGGCGGGGGATGGTTGGTCGAGGAGTTTTTCAATAGCCTCGGCGCCTCGCTTGAGACCGATGCCGCAGTCACCGTCACCTACAATTGTGTCGTACCGGGTCACCTCTGGTTCGGCTGCGATCACTCGCTTCAAGCCTGCGCTTAGACTGGTCTTGATGATGGAAGGATCCACTGGTGCCTCAAAGCGATCAGTATCTTGAACATAAGCCACGGGTGTAAACGTGTACGAAGAGAGTTCACTCACGTTGCAAGTTGCTCGGCGTCTCTTCCACAACATTCGTAGCTTTCAGCTCCACCGGCGTATCCAAACGATCACTCCAAGTGGCGGTGGAAATGGGTGCGGACCAGCCTACAGCCTCGGCGGGGGCATCGATCAATTCAAGCATGGACTTTCCTGGACCGAGGCCATTGTCCGCGAGTTTCAGAAGTGAGATACTGAAGCCCATGCCATTGAGACTCGTCAGGAATGTACCTGAGATCACACGCACTGGCTTGATCTTATGATCCCGCAGGAGCTGACGATGTACTTCATCAGTGATACCAGCTAGCTCGATCGGGCTGACGCCGCCGAGATTGTTGATCAGGAGAACAAAATCATCTCCAGGACCGTGACGCAGATATGCTCGTTCGACGTCATCCTGGCTCAACAGCTGGTCAAGCATGATCGAGACCATTTGCACCAGGTCGGCCTTCATACGATGTGAGCCGGGCTCATTGTGAATGCCCATGCCAATTTCAACTTCGCCATTTGGAATGAAATCTTCAGGCATCCCGCGGCCGGGCACATGGACGTGCTCTAGTGAAGAACCAATGGAGACGAGGTTCTCATTGGCGAATTGGGCTAATTTGTAGACTTCTTCGAGAGAGCCCCTGAGCAAAAGTTAAAATGAGCATGGTAGAGCAAAATGACAGGAAGCCCGCTCTGAATGACAGACTTACCCAGCCTCTGCCAAAGCACCGGTGATCTTCAAGATCAGCACGCCGCCACCGATGCCCCGCCGACCAACTTTACCACCCTTGGTGCGGCCAACGCCTACATCGTCGTTGATCGGGAAGAACTCGGTTCGAATACCCGCCGCGCGACATTTTTCAGCCGCCATACCAAAGTTTAACACATCGCCGGTGTAATTGTTGGGCAAAATCAGGACACCTGCATCCGTGGGAACTCGATCAATAGCTGCTCTCCGAACCTGTTCGGCCGAGGAGAGAGGCAAACATTGAGCCAGCAACCGAAGCATCGCAGAAACCTTTGCCCACGAACCCTGCAAATGCCGGCTCGTGGCCCGAACCACCTCCGGTGATAATGGAGACTTTTCCAGGCCTGCGAGCAGCGTCTGGGCGGCGAAAGATGATCTTGTTGGGGACATCGAATGCTAGAGATGGATTTGTCAGGGTGAGCGAATTGAGTGCTGTCAGTACCAGGTGATTTGGATCGGAGAAGAAATGTTTGGCTGTTCGACCAGAGAATTAGTACTTCTCGAGGGATTTTGTATTTGAAACACACAAGGGTTCACAACTTCTCATTCCCAAGAAGAATGAAGCTTACTCTGCATGATTATAGTTGATCGCAACCCTGTGCTCGATCCTTTCACGTGGATTCCAAGCGAGCCCTTCCCAATTGTTTTCACGGTGTCTGTCTGCCTTTTTGTCCTGACAGATAATTCACCAGCCTTTCTCGAGCTGAACTACCTTGTGGAGAGTCCAAAATGAATTTCCTAGCACAAAGGAGACAGGGGAGAACGGAGAGTTCGGGACCGTGAAAGCTCCTTGATTGCTGCAAGCTCAGAAGGCGATCCCGAGTATGACTGTGCAGTAGTATGCACAAATTTGAGATTTGACAAGAACACCCTGGCCTGGGTATCAATGTGTTATAAACGGAGACGAAAGTTCTCTGTAAACTTGTCAGTGGCTCCGTCGCACAACGACTTGTACATCCACGGCCCAAACTCGAAATATATGCGGTATGGGCTTGACAATTTGTACTACGGTACGTACAGCTGTTGTGGTACCGCGCGGAGTATGTAAATTGTAAATTCACTTCGATGCGTGGAGAAAGCGGGGAAAAGTGGAGAATCGGAACAGGACCGTGAGGAAAGTACTGCGACATCGATGGGAAAAGCCCCCAGGTGTTAGTATAACTGGCGATAATTTCGAATTGCTCTTGATCACAATGTCCCAGGCTTGAGCGATAATAGAACGTTCCGAGGAAGGCACATTTTCCTGATGTGGGAAATCACAGTAAGGCCAAGTGAGCACAGACGTGACTTACCTGGTGTTGTGCCAATTTACCCCCAAGTTGCGACGGAGTCGTACCTCGAAATGCCTGCAGTTGCAGTGGAAAAGCACGAATATGCGATGAGCTCCTGTCGATGGAGATTTGGAGAGAAAAAAGAGACGTACACACTCTTATATTGCTACCACCTCAACGTTGACCACATTCCGACATTGCCTCAGTTCACCCCACTCCTCGGAACTTGGAAAATTAGAAAAACAAAAGTGGTAAATGCACTAGATTGAACTGGTGATCGCCTGAGCTTCTCTGCACATCCGAGCCGAGATGGATACTACAGTACAATTCTCATCAACGCGGAGCTCAATCTGTGGTCTGGGCCACGATCGGCTTACCTTCTACGGACATTCCGACACCAGATACTCCACGCCGCATCATGTGGCACATGATCAGAAACCCCACATATTGACAAGATCTTAAGCATGGAAGCAAAGTCTTCTGGAGTCGCCATGGACGCCGGTGAAAACACGCACTTATCGATGCATTTTCCTATCCGTATGAGTCTCGATTATGACTGTTAGTCACTCTAGCGGACGGCTATGGCAAAGCCTGAGATCCAGAACCGCGGGCCATTGCCGACGCAAACTGGCAGTCCCACCTGCCTCGGAGGTGCTCCGATCAGATGTTTACATGGAATACATGCAGTTATGCTTCTATGAGCTCGGCCCATTTGTGATGCCGATAATCCTGGGTAGTAGGCACCTAGTAGGCACCCTTGGGGGAGATGCAAGTACTGAAGTACTATAAGACAAGTAACGAATTTCGAGCAGTCAAGGGTCGAAGTAGAGCGGACCGACTCTGATTGTCTCATTAATGAGGCTATCATAAGGTAGACATGCACGGTGATACCCAACAAATGATAAAGAAAAGCATCCCACTCATACACATAATTTGAACCATATTCCTGTAACCAGCACCAAAGCCGACGATCGCATCGAAACATAACAACGACCACAAAACTCATCCAGCGCCCCATTCGGTTCCCAAACTTCGGTGTTCCAGGTCGCTAAGAGTGAAAAAAGAAATGAAAAAGAGGCAGTCACTATGCTCATAAACAGACACGGCAGGAAGCTAAGTCGAGCACCATTTCTCTCAAAAGACCGAGCCTTATGCCACGTATCTATACTGATTGTTATCGATACGCTCCATGTAGTCTTTCTCGATCAACCTGTTGATCAAGCGATGGTTAGCGTAAAATTTCCCCAACAAGGGTAGAGAAGAACTCCAGAGCACCCGAAGAATCCTATCACGTACTTCTCAATATTGGTTTTAATCTCAACTGGCTGAAGCGTGCCCCGGTGACGGGTGGCTTCAATCACCTCTGTGATGAGCTCAACGTGTTTGATCGTTTTGCGACTCTTCATGATGCGCACGATTGCTGCTTGCGTCTCATAGTGCCGATCTGCGGCAACTCGCTCGTGAGTAGTTTTATTCTCCTCCTTTGTCTCCTTCAATTGAATCTGGTTGATCTTGATGCGCATCTTGGCATCACTGAATCCAGTGTTGTAGGAGAAGGTGTCGGTTGTCTCGACCTCCTTGCCTTTGGGCGTCTTTGTTAGAACGCGATACTTGGCACAAGCAAGCGACTGCAAAGTCCGCTTCAACTCAGGATCCGCTATGAGAGCAACATTATTAGCCAACAGTAACGCACAATGAGAAGGAAAATTCTGGATTTGCTTACAGAGTCCCGTTGCGGTTTGGATATCGACATAACGGAGTGTCCCATCCTCCTCAACGTCATTGAAAAGGAGAAGCACGATAGCTTGGAATGAACTGACGACTAATTCCTTGGAGCCTTTCGGGAAGCGAGCGCGCAACTGACAGTGTGCAAGCTGGTGCTTCCAATTCAATCGGCGCCCTGTATGCTTGTTGCAGTAGAATTCCTGGAAGTTATTGATGGCAGTGGCAATTATTGAAGGGATGCGCACGGGAACATCGGCGTACGTGGGCCACGCGGCGGCTGAGAGCACGTTGACACTGAGATCAACCGGTGGTCGATGCTTTCGGTGGCGCTCACGATTGAAAGCCGTATAGGCCGTCATCTCGTCGCGAGCTACTTCGATGTCCTTGAACATGGTCTCCAGGTTGAGCGTGAAACTTGAGCCACATTCTGATGAAAATTAGCCGAATCCAAATAGGGAGAGCTCACACACCGGCAATCTATCTTACCTTTTTTCAGGCGACCCAGCATGCTCTTTTCGGCATCATCGCTTGCACTTCGGCCCATCAACAGACGCCTGGCGAGATCATTCTTGTAAAACGCCTCAAATACGGCCTTGCCTTGCACAAAGCGGAACAAATCGAGCACTTGATCCAATTGCCGATTGATCTCGGCGTCCTCATCTACCATGGCGTCCTCCTGTTGGCTAGCGGGCATTTTCCAGCCGCCCTTCAGTAAACGGTCCACGTATTTGGCAATCATCTCTCCGGTCTTGGGGTTATCAGTGCCACCGGTAGATTCACCCTTGCGGCCAAGGTTCATGAACTGGCCAAATGCTTCTCGCAATGTGTGGCCGAGGCCCTCGTTTCGATCGAAAGACTGAACGAGTGTCTCATCGAGCTGTTTCTTGAACTGCAGAAGGCGCACGATCATATCCGCTTCATTCTTCTCGTCGAATACGATACTCGAGCCTTCCTCAACAATGAAATGGCCAAGAGCGGTCTTCAATTTGTGGGTCAGGCCGCGCCGACTGAGGAGGGAGTAAAGCTGCTTCAAGGCCGTCTGATTTCCTGCTCGCATCAGACCTAGAATCTCCTGCTCATTGAGTAGGACCTCCTCGTGCCCTGTGATCAGGATCTCATCCAATAGCTCAGAGAGCCGTTGCGTTGTGCTCCTATTCAAGGCAAAAAGTCCACATCGCTCAACTTCTCGTTCGATCAGACGATGGCTGTTCTCAACAAATGAGGCCAGGTGCCCGGTCGATTCTCTCTGCGCCCATGATGCAATGAATTTTTCTGAGCTTGTGATGAAAAGTGGCTCAAACTCAGTACTGTAGACATCGAGATTGTGGAAGAGTTCTATCGCATCACGAAGTAAGGTCGCGTCGTGCGCAATCTTCGTTTCGGCGCCCCGATCGGCAGCAATGAGATCGCAAGCACCCCGCAGAATCTTCGGTTTCAAGGTCGAGTCGGCGAAGACGTAAGTGCGAAATAGGACCAAGCCCATTTCCTGAATGACAGGGAAGTCTTTGGAGTGCAGGAGGAACGACTGGTCAAGGTAATAGAAGACCCAGCGAACAGTTATCTGTTCTTTGTCAATACTTGAACAGTGCACTCGCGATGGAGACTCGTACTCACCAGTCTCGAATGCCATCCAGACCATGCGTCGATCACTGCCCGCAGTGTATCGACATCCGTCCCGGCTCCGGCTTTAACCAGGTTATCTCGAAGTGTTCCAGCCACATAATTCTTGCATCTCTCTTGAACTTTCTCGGCAAGGAGCGCAGCTTTCTCTTGGCGGCAGATATTCTCTGCGCCCTTGTACAATTCCTCCAAGGAGATTGCTTTCGTGCCATTGAAGATCGCTGATAGCGCGGCGTCCAGTTGCGCCCAAGTTTTGTCGAAATATTGCTCTTGATTCGCCCGAGGGCCGGCACGTAGATTTTTGACCACTAATTTCTTCGCGCCTGAATGTGGACTGAAGTTATTCTGACGGGCAGGGGCCCCAAAAGTCTGGGCGTTCGACGCCGGTGTGCTGCGCATAAACGCTGCTCCGTTCTTAGGTGGAGAGCCGGAGAAGTTGTACATCTTGGTCGGCGATACCGTGTGGCTCGACGCAGACCGCGAAGGAGACAGAGAATAGCGAGGCCGTTTCGAGGTGGCAAGTGAGCCTTGATGATCGTTGTTGCGAGAGGTACTCGATGCGAGCAGTTCTGAGATAGTCCGCTGCGATTGCGGTTGCGATAGCTCTACTGGGTCAGGGAGCTTCCTCTTGCCGCTCGGCTTGCGCTTACCGCTCCGCAGATCGGGGTCGGCACTCGGATTCTGCTGCATCAAGCCGGTTCAATCCGACGTGTATGTGTTGGGGGGGGGAGGCGGGGGGAGAAGCCAGAGTATTAATAGAAAAATGATAGCGATAATAGATCGATCATAATTCAGTGAGGGCGGTCTGTGGCGGAGCCGGGAGATTGGTGAATGAGGGGATGGGCAATATCCGGGCTGAAAGTAGGTGAGAGTAGTCAAGTCTCAGTACTCCCTCCAGGACTAGTGTCAACCTCCGCACGGCGATAAGATAGGAGTGGAGCGGACCCGTGTTGGGACCGCCAACTGGTGAGTGATTACAACATCATCCGGTGATGAGCCGTCATGACCGGAGTTTCCCACAAAGAATTAAGAAATAGATTCAAGTGACCAGTGACCGGAGAACCACGCAATGATCAAACCGTCGCTGGATAAAACTGACGAATTTATAATGGAGATGAAGTTAATGGCTGCCGGACAATCTCTAGAGCTGAAGTTTTCCCGGTGTTAATCATGTACAGAAGTGTCATAGGAACCTGGTGTGAAGCGACCTCGTTCGAAGAGCAATATCATACACAGCAACTGGTGTGCGACTTTGAAGAGTGAATACCTTCATAAAAAACTCTAGCACGCAGCTCTTCGGCGAATTGGGTTGCTCCGCTTCCTCATGGACTTTCGACCGTTCGGCGCAAGGCTCGTTCTTTTCCCCTTGGCGCACGATTCCTTCTCGAGAATCTGCTTCGCCTCCGGGCTCTCCATCCACGGGCTCATCCTCTGGTAAATGTGGAACGTCCGTCGAAGGATCCATGTGCCTTTCATTTTGCGTCTCTTGCTTGGTGTCATCATGCTGGCTTTGATTTCGTTTGTTTATATTGACGACACTTTCGAGGTCTTCTATCTTCATGGACCCCTGCGAGCTCTGCGGGCTCTGCCAGCTCCACTAGGTAACATCCATGGAATATGATGTGAGTGGTCCCTGTCGTCAGCAGATAGGTAGATTTTGGGTGAGTTTCTCCGGGGATCTTCCCATTCCACAGGTCTAATTAATAGCCTATGTGGAAGACTTTGCGACACTCGCTATACAGAGTTGTCGAACGGGTACTTAAAGATCTACACCAGGGATCGTCTTATTGTAGGCCCCCGTTTGCACAATGATTATTCGGTTCATGCGCCCGCAGACAGATGTCAGTCGGGAAAAAGAGTGGCTAGACAAATCAGGCAACTGCATGATTCATGCAAAGATGGCCTCTAATGATCATGAGTTCCATAAAAGTTGCCGCCCTCGCTCGTCTCTGGGCAAATATTCGAGCCTAGCGCCGATCTGTCTCATGACGAAGTTGACGGAAACAGGCTAGGCATACATCTCTCAGTTGGCTCGTTATCAGGTAGACACCCCGATGCTTCAGCAACCAGTATGGTGAAAAGAGCATGTCTGACAAGTGATATGCTGTAATAACAGCAGATCTCTAATGCGACTCTTTAATGATTACTATAGTCTACCTTCCGTTAATGAAAGAGACGGCCATCTTGAGAACAATGGGGTCATGGAATTGGATTATGGCACAAGAGAGCCCGTGGCTCTCGGTGTGATTGATAACCCCCACAAAAAGAAAGGACGACACAGAGCAATTCTGTTCGTTGCCATCCGTAAATATGCCACCAGAATCGCTCAACCGTGAACTCCACCAAAATATGACAGAAGACGCCGCATTGTTGCAGTTATGCCTATCTTTCATCCGCAAATTCATGAAAAAAGAGTGGGCTGTGTGCTCTGCTGCACCTCAGGATCGTCAAACTGTGGCATGTCAACGGGGTGTGGTAGGGTTGGGGGTCGGGATGTTAATATTACCTCAATAAAGTCGGCAGCCGCCACGAGCGCCATAAATGATTTGACCAATTCGCAGAGAGCTTCGCGGTGAGGGGGCGGTGTTGTCCCACCAATTTTGGCGAATCTTTTAAAAACGCCGACCATGCAGGGTCTATTCTCAGAGATAAAGGTCTGGGTCTGCATTTTGATCTGCTCGTTGTGGACGCCTCGTGATAAGACAGCAGAGACAATGACACGGATCACGCAGAGAAGGAGGTCGTAATATTTCCGCAATGCATCCGGATTATCAATATCTGCAGATGTTAGCGCATATTTCCTCAATATCGGGGTTGGCCATTCATGGAAGTGGAGACATACCAATTCCGATATCCGGATCCGCAGCAAACAATTGCGACTCGCGGACAGATTCAAACAGCCCAGATTTGATCACGTGTGTCGCTCCACTCTTTGTCCGTGAAAGTTGCTGAAGGAGCGCTAGTAGTGACTCGTAATATGCCAACAGAGAAGCGGTATCTATGAAATAATCATAATTAGAATTGCCAAGTCTTCGACACCGAGGGCCAGATCGATCTGTCTTACCGGCTGCCTGGGCATTCCGTAATTCAGATGGTAACGATCTTAACGAATCGAAAAAGAGACTCAAATAATTCGACTGCGACATGGATTCAGCCAGGACGCCATCCGTTCGACTGTCAAGAGCTGCAAGGCTATTTAGTAACAGCAGGGCCGCAGCTCGACAGGTCTCTTGCCCGGTGTAAGCATCGTCGCAGATGGTCTCGACGAGTCCAGGACCAGCAGTCTTGATCATCTGTTGGCTTTTTCGGCGAAGGTTCTCATGACTGATCTCTTGCGATGAGATGCGATTCACGTAAATTGAGCATATGCTGTAGAAGACCTCTCGCAATGCTACATTCCCCGATGCGAGCATGATGCCGCGCATGGACACCTGGAAGAGCTGATGAAGTTTTTCGTCGATGATGTCCCCACTGCGCGAGGCAAATGTGCCTGGACAAGCTCTTGCAAGTTGGCTGATCAACGTCTCGCCCAAACGGGCAAGTTCAATAGACTCTGCGGAGTCACCATCGATGGAAGCTTCTAGCTTGGGCAGGATAAGCTGAATGGCATGGAGGATGAAAGTTGGCCTGGTTGCATCGTCTAGAACAGAGCAAGTGGTGATGGTGGTGACAAGCTCTGCCCAGGCGCGAAGCGCGAGATAACGATTGTGTAAAATCTGCCGAAGCTGATTGGTGGCAAGAATGAATATCTTCAACGTTTCCGCTTCCACTTCGAAGGCTTCCTCATTTTGAGGTCGTGGCGGACTGGACGCGAAGAGCTCGGATTTACGAATTTGAATTAATTCGTCGATTTTGGCAATGTCAAACAAAACAAGAGGGCCCCGTTCTGAGTCAACGCATTCGTGGATAGGGAGGTCGTCGAGGAACGTTAGTTGCGGGTAATGGAAATTGCGAGAAGTGTCGAGGTCGGCGAAATCGAAGAGATCGAATACCGAGACATGCTGAATGAGCTCACCGCTGTCCAACGTCGAGTTTCCGAGGAGGGTTGAGAGAACACTAGCTTGAAGCGTGGGGGAGCTCACTTTGGCCGCGGATCGAATCTCTGTGGCAGCATATGAGAACAGGTGACTGCGATACAGCAAATATTCCGCCAAAGCCGAAGTAGCATCGGTCATCCAGAAGTCATCGGCTGATACGGGAAACCCGTTCCAGAGGGTGTTGGGGCCGATAATCTGCTGGCTTGCGAAGGCATTCACCAAGAATGCTTGAGAGCGCATCTCACTCAAGGTGAAGAAAGTTGCGAGCTTGGAGGACCAAAGGTGTTTGATTACTTCAAAGGCCATTCGCTTCAGATGCACTGTGTATGACGTGATAGTCCCACCCACTTCGTCTGGATATTGTTGCAGGAAGCCGATAATTGCATGCAGCAAAGACATTCCCTGGGCGAATAGCCCATTTGAAGGCAGGTCAAGGACGTTGCCAAGACAGCTGAAACCAAGGAGAAGGTGCGCAACTGTGGGTCGATCGGTTATCATACCCAAGCAGCTATTCAAGAGCGCAAGAAGGCTTTCCCGAATCACATAGCCAGCTGTTTTAGGGCCGTATTCAAGCTCCCTCAAGTCGGGTTCCATCATTGATACCAAAGAGCGTGCGACACTATCAACGTCAACCTCTGATGCCAGTACCTCCACAATTTTGTTGGAGGACTGCCATTTAATGAGCTCAGGTGACGACATCTTGTTCAATTTCCGTGAGCTCGTGAGCTTTTCCAGGAGGGATAAGGATGTGACAGTCAGTTGCTCGTGGCCCGTACCACAGAAGAGGCAGAGTGCAGGTACGAGGGACAAGTTATTCAGCACACTGTCTTCAAACGAAGCGAGTGATGAAGTGGCTACCGATGAGTGGTCAGTGAATTTGGACTTGACCAACGGCTTGACGATGTTGAAGTACGTAGATTGGAGGTCCATAATAAGATTCATCACTTCAACGCTGCGTAACACCGTCAGAACCAAGACTGAGTCAGACGAAGCTTGAGCTACCTCCGATATGTTAACTCGACTTATTGAGAAAACGGATCTCAACACATCCTCATTGAAAAGCCACTCCATTACACGGGAGAACGGGTGCATGCGAGTGTATGCCTCGAGATTGTGTGCTTTCGCGGCAGAGTCAACAATCGTCGAATAACTGAGGAATGTCACAAGCTCTTCGTTAAAGGTGCGCAAACTTGTCACGACAAATTCAAGACAGTTGTAAGTCAACAGGCGTGAGTTATGGCTCCCCAAATCTTGTCCCCGTCGGGATAGGGCATGACCCATAACAAAGTCAATGTACGGTTCAATGCCAGGCATCCGGTAGGCAGCTCCCAAAGAATCCGGGAATGCAAGAGATAATGGTTGTAAGCTTGTGCCGGTATTGGGCGTGACTAATGAATTTATCAAAGTCACAAAGGCGTTCGTTTGATCGAAAGCCTCGCCGATCTTCTGGAAGGCCTGCTGTTCATACCACAAACTATGGTTGGAATGGGCAGGCGCTTTAACAAGGTTTGAAGCTTCATCCACTAGCGCACTTGTCAAGAAAGAGTTGAGGGACTCCCACATTTCAAAACCATCACCCGGAGTTCTGTCGGTCATCAAGGCAGATAATGTGGTGAAGATGGTCGCCCTCAGATGAGTCGGAATCGGGCCTCTACACAATGTCAAGAGCTCCTCTGCAACCTTGAAGGATTTATTTTGAAGCATCCAGTTACGGATGGCTGCGCTTTGCTTGCATAGATGACCTATAAGACGAAGATAGGAAGTGAGCATGACTGGAGATTCCGGCTCGCTGAGGTCAATGCGCCCTGTCTTTCGAGAAGATAAAGTCCCTTGTCTGCCTTGTTGACCGTGACCCCCGACTGGAGCTTTCTCGGTGACACGGGTCGCATAAAGATGCAGTTCGGCAAACATCTGACTCCAATTCATGTTCGTGGATCGCTTCAATTTTGTGGATAAGAATTTTTCCTCCTCGGTCAAGAATCTGTGCGCCGCAGCGGCATTCTCTTCACCTTCAGATATCGAGCAAAGCATTTCACAGAAGGCACTGACTCGAGGCACGGTCTGCCGCTTGGATGCCCATTGCAAAAAGCCGTAGAGATTTCCATCGGCGTCACTCCACCATTCTTGCGCAGGTTCCACTCGGTGCTCGTATGCAAATGAAATGATCATCAAGAATGTTTCCAGGTGGGTTTTCGCTTCAACGACGGCGCGATTTGTGCTGGATGTAAGTCCCTCTCTGAGAGCAGTGATTTGATCCAGCCGCTGGATGTCCTCTTCTGATTTGAGCCTGCGGACGGCATCGGGCATATTTGCGATGCAGGACTCGACGAAGATTTCGAGGGTCTCCATTAGCAAGCCTTTCATGTAGGCGCTGCAGTGACTGGAATCTGGGAGACTGATTGGGCTCTCTTTCAAAAGCAAAGCTACCAGCTCGCTGCGCGCGGGTTCTGCCCATTGCTCACTGTTGACACTCGAGCAAATAGCTAGCAACAATTCCAATGCTCCATCGTCCAAACATGTCATAAAAGTCTTTGTCCGCTCTTCGGCTTCCCTCTCCGCGTCAAAACTCGGACCGAGGTCGGAAGGATGATTTTCAAAATACCAGCCACTATAGATGGCGAGCCAAAGAGCCGTCATCGACGCATGTAATTGGGGAAGCCTCCAGGACTGTCCATCCTTGGCTTGAGTGACAACCCCGTGAAGGCTTCGAGCTTCAGTTGAAGACCCATGTTCTGAAGACCCATGGCGATTGAAGGCCGCTATCGCGATGGGGACATAGTGAACCAGTAGAACGTCGAGACGGTCCAGCTTCTTCAGATGATTTGCGAGGACGCGAAAGTCTTCAGCACTAGTGTAAGTTCCCTGGAAAAGATAGAACAGAACCGCTGCGAGAGACTCATGCTGCTGTTGCAAACTGCGTCGCTGGTATTCAATGGCTTCCATGATATCTTGATCTTCTTCTTGACCAACGATTGACGCTTTCTGAATCTGATCGCCCAACAGGGCCAGCCATCTCTCAATGTCTCCCAAAGAGTGAAGGGCCTTGCGTGTGTAATCTGAAGCATTTTGCATTGTTCCGTTTTTTGTCTTCAGGACACGAGCTAGCATGTCGCTCATGAGAGGCGAAATAATTCCAGGTTCCTCCGATTCACAGGTCCCTCGGCAGATAAGGCGAAGACACTCGAGAAGGAAATGGCGGCGCTCGTGGAATCTCATGATCGCTGTGATCAAAGGTGGACGGTCCAGAATCCGGGAGTCTTCTTGCGCTGCCAAGAACATAACCGCGGCCTCCAGCTCATCGATGTTCAGGGCATCGGCTAGCTGGAGAGCACCTTGTTGGAAGTCTTCATTAATAGAATACTCAATCTCGGCAACCGTAATCTTTCCTGTAAGTGTTCGCTGATATTAGCATCATTTTTGAGAGAGCCTGTTTTGACGTGCAAAGATGAGAGCTCCTTACCCGAGAGCACAGTTTGGCGACTGCCATTGCTTTTCGCGGGCTTGTCTAGGAGTTTCTGGAAATCATCGATATGTGTCTCTAACTCAACTATGAGTCGCTCAACATTGAGAAAAGAGCTGTCAGTAGTGGCGGAGAGATCCTGGTACAGGCCACGGAGGCTTGCCAGGTTCTCGTGAAGATCTGCCATGATGGCGCAGGATTTGTGTATTCAAAGATTATAGCTCGGAGCTCTTGCGGTTCCTGAGAGGCGGAACGCGATCAAAATTCCGGGCGGTCATCCACTCAGACAATACTGCCGCCCCAGCACTTACAACCCGCGGGAGCTGCCAAAAAAACACGCAAGCGATATCCACTGCCCAGTACTATAGTCCTGAATCATAACCATCTTGAGGCGTACCTTCTAATTTGCTCACAACAAAGCAAGTCAAATTGATGTCGCGCCTTGCGACGTGTCCATCGAGCTATCGCTCAGTGTGGAAAAATGGGGGACATTTTCATGGACAAGGCGCTCACACGGCTGTCCTCAGATAAACAAAAGGACCGTGTTGATGGGTTAGCAGGTCAGATTCTATCAAGCAATTGAAAGCATATTGATTTCGAACTAAACGACGATGCAGACTTGAAACATATTCTCCAGCAGAACAAGGAATGCCCCGAGCTGTAAGAGGCACTGTCAATTCAGGCCAAAACTGGTAAACTAACTCTTCCATCCAACCCCACAAGCCTTGGGTTCAGCGACAAGGCTTGTCATAGAATCTTCGAGGCTTTGTTCCAATTCGTTGCCACTGAAAGAACAAGCTATATTCGTGCGAAGCGCTCAATTGGCAAGAGTTCTTCGGGCACACGGCTATCAACGTGTGCTTCAGTGCTTCGTACAGCAGTGGACATTTTTGTACGCAACATCAGAGCAAAGACAGTGCGTGCCATTGTCGACCATATCACCGATTCCATAGCAGTTCCCAGGGAAGGTCTGTGGGAGCCGCTTAGTGTCGACTACACAAAAAGTCTGAAATGCCTTCTCCAGTATCCTCCCCACACTGAACATCTTGACGAGGGTGACTGGGAGAAGCTTATGGATTTCTGCCTGAGCGTAATTGATGCATCTGAGAGAGATGACAGTCAACTGAGCATTCGCACCGGACAGCAATCCACTGCAGATGATCAGCTTGATGCGAGCGACACTCCTTCAACGCCACAAATATCAGCGCCCATCTCGGGAAACAGGGACTCTTTCGTGGGTGACAAGACTGCGGTCGAAGAGACTTTGTCTTGTATCAAAATCCTGACAAATTCTCCCGTGGCTCCGATTCAATCGACCGCCGAGAGCATTTTGCAGTCTCTTGAAGGATTCGTCAGCTCATCGCCACGAATGGCAGCAAATGCACACCAACTTGCATTCAGCAGTATTAACACGGCCATCTCGAGGGTCATGTTCGACCAGTCGGAGCTTGTGAGATCGAATTTGTGTAAACTGGTCCCAACTGTTCGAAAATTGTGGAATACAAAACTCCAGGCTCTGAAAGAGGAACTCCTTGTCAATGTGATGTTGTACCTAGCCACTTTCAGTACCGTGACGGACGCCGCCCCATTGGAGACTCATATCCGTCTTATCCAGGCATTGTCTGATTGTATTCATGCCGAGTATCTTCGAAGACATGAACGCGAGATATTACAACTTGACGACGTCATATTCCACATGGGACGAGATGCGTCCGTGAACCTCATACATGGGCCTCGGCTGGGAAGCAGTCGCTCAGTCTACGGCTGGACCCTTTTATGGATCCTCGCAGAGCTATTGAAATTATTAGAGAGCGTTACAGCTCATGACCACAGCCATTCTACAATGGCAGAAGCTTCCACGAAAAGAGTCCGTCTTTCATCCGCATTCGAGGATGTGTTCAGACATGCGACATCAGGAGCTGGGATGCAAAAGATATGTGCACTTCAATTAGTGCCATTTTTGGAAGACAAAATGGATATGAACGAGACGGAAGCATTTGTACAGAAAGCCATTCCGAGCATTGTGGATGACAGCTCCTCGATTTCTTCTTGGACAATGGTCGCCCTGACGAGGTAAGAAGAGTCATCTGCATCTAATATGTCAAATGCTAAGATTGGTCTAAATCCACAGCATAGTCAAAGGGTCCAGATCACGGCACCCACGACTGAAAGCTTACTGGCCACAGGCTGTAGATCTTGCGATTCGTGCCTTCTCTTCATCTGTAACATCAAGGCCCGCATGCAATTTCCTGGACGCAATTTTTCATCATGACTTGCTTGAACATTCGTCTGCCACGGAAACTATGCTATCAATGCTTTCATCCGCAAAATTGAATGGGCCATCTTCGATTTCTGACTCGGCTCTGGAAATGTGGGCCACAATTGCTCATAAAAGATTGAGTTTCAGCCCAGGGGTCGCGCACGAGATATCGCAACAAGTCTGTGCTTGGCTCAGGGATGTCTGGTCGATTGGTGTGCCCTCCAGGTCTACACGTTGTGTTTTTCATGCCAGTGGGCATATTGCTAACTTCCCCGACTAGGACGGATGTCTGATCGGCTGCAGACTGCCCAGATTGCTCTTTTCGCTCGCCCAATCAGCCTCTTAAAACTCCTCATGGCATGCAGCAACTGTGCCTTTGGAAAGTCAGATCTGCCACACTCTGGGTCTTCAGGTCTCATAGCTCGAACGTGGCTCTACCTTGACGAAAACAGAAGTCTTCTTCGATACCTCTTTGATAGTGTCTCCGAAGTACCTCATCATGTTCTCAGTGCTGACAGGAAAACTTCGCTGCTGAAGCTGTCTCGACGCCAGAATGAGGATGACGAGGTCATCATTGAGTTCCTACGTTCGAAATTAGATGGGTTCTCCCAGTTCTGGAAGGCAATCACCGGGGAGAAATCATTTCATATTTCTCCAGACATCTTGCAGATCATGACATCTTTCTGCGTGACATCCTTCCTTTTCATCGCATCTAAGCATGAGCCCCTTCAATCAGAGGTCCAGAGACTCCTCGATGATTTTATTGTTCTCTGGGAAGCCCTTTGCGACTTCATATGCGCAAACTCATCGAATGCTCTTTATCCTTGTCTTGAAGTATTATCACCCATCCTCTGCTTGGATTCGGAGCTTGAAACTTCCCAGATTGAAGAAAATCTGCTGCCGCTGCTGCGATCACTGGTAGAAAAGCTCGACATGTCCCGTGTAACTCCGCGGGTGATTCCTTCCTCTGACAAGCATACCGTGGATCTCATTGATCAGCCCAGTCATGATGTCGTAGATCATTCGGTGAAAGAGGTGATTCTCGCCTCCAATCGAAATGCGGCTGATTTTTGCTCCGATTCATTGACGTTCCAACGTCGCGAGACAATTCGATTGTCACTCATTGTGCATACCCGCGGCGTGGACCCAAGTACCGGCAACTCCGGGTCTGCCCTGTTGAAGTATGTGAAATGTTTGGAAGAACACGACCTCCTGTCAGCACAATCGATTTTACCAGCATTCTTTCGTCGCTTCACCAGGTTATCGAGAGAGAATCTGATAATCATCCTCGAGACCATTGCCGAAAGATGCTTGCAGTCATATGAAATGGCGCGATGTGAAGCCTCACACACAATTTGTGTTCGTATGATGACTGAACTCACGGAAATCTGGTCAAAGTCTTCTCAAGATGATTTGACTGATTCAGCAACAGATCTGTATAGCTGGTTCGTGGAATGTCTCATAGGTAAACAGCGAGCGACAACTCGAGTGAATGTTGCCATTTCTGAGCTTGTGCAAAAGGTCATCGACCTCTGTCCGTCATTTGGCAAAGAAGGGGAACTTCCGTCGCCAAGAACCATCATTCTCACTATACTGCAACAAGGAGACATTCAGGTGAAGTTCAGTATTGCCGAGTTCTTGCCGAGTCTCTTCCAACAATTTCTTTTCCGAGACCATGATGCCGTTTTTGAGGACGTGCTGGAGAGTCTGCCGAGAGACCCTGATTGGGTCGAAGGTATTGCTATTCGTCTCCTCGTATTATCGAAATTGGCTTCGAAGTGGCACACATTACTACGAAGAAGTGTTTACCACATGTTTGAGACACCAGCTCAAGTTTCGGGTTCCCTCAAGTACGCTCAAGCATGTATAACATCCACATCGACCGCTCTCGGGCTGCAACATGCGCGGCAGCTCTTTCGCTTGTTCGCGTCTCAGGTGCTTTACACTTGGACCGAAACCCACAGCGTGATGTCCATGCCATACTCGACATTCCGGTATGACAGCCTTGCCGAAATGCTGAATGATGTGAGAGACGAGCTTGTCGGTCAGATGATGATGCGTGGTAGGGAAGCAGATGTCCAGGAGCTCGCAGCCTTTCTTGACGTCCCTTACATCGAATTTATTCAAAGTTCCTTCGCCAAAGCGGAGGCCTACAGTATCGCAAGAGACATCAGCACTCCCCCTGAGCAAGGAGGTCAAATAATGGGAGCCGAGATACGCTTGAGAAAATTACTCGGATCAGAAAGCTTCATGACGCAAATTGAGGCTGGCTTCCCTCAAATCATCGCATATCTTTTCCTCGCTTTAGATCGACATGAACAGGCAGAGCGCGCCTACTCGAAGCGCCCTGATTTTCAATATGCGTACTCGATTCAGTCCAGAATTTCGGCAAGGGCTTCATCTCAGCGCTTGTTGCCAGTAAACCAGCAGCCAGCTTTCCGAGCTCGATACTTGTTGGACGAACTCGAATTCTTATGCAGGTGTGCCGGCTTTGAGCTGCGTGGTATTTGGTCACCGGCCCTCGCAATATTTGTGTGTCGTTCACTGTTGGATTCCGTACACCCGGCTTTGGGAGCTTTGCACGCGTGCTCCGTTGTTCGAAAGATCAGGATCCTCGTATGTCTTGCAGGCCCGATAATGCTGGAGAACTATCCGCTTGAGATGCTTCTCAACTCGCTATGTTCATTCATTGTCGACCTCGACTGTGCCGAAGATACCATTGGAATTATGTGGTATCTGCTCGAGGCAGGGAAGCCTTACCTACTGACAAGACCCGATTTCGCCGCAGGCATTTGTTTAACCGCATTAGTGTCACTCCGCCGGTTCTTACTTTCATCGGTCCAGAATAGATTTCGAGAAGAACAATTCCAAGAAGCCTCGTCAGTCGCGGAGAAATTCCATGAATGGCTCTGTGGCTTCATCGACAGTTTTCGAGACACTGCGTGGGTCGATGCCATCAAATCGTCTTTCGAAGGGCTGTTGTCAGCCGCGAAGAGAATACCCACCACATTGGAAACAAGCTTTGAGGCCGAGAGAGATCTGGTGCTCACAATTCTGCAACATCGCAATAACCCCCAATCACTTCTAAGCGAACGCACTGCAGATTTAGTACTTTCGATACTGTGTGCATATCTCGAGAGTCATGGAAGCCCCATGTGGTGTGGCTTCGGTCCTATTGAGAATCCTGCGACGCTTACCTGCTCGCTTTTGGATACGGTTTTCAAGCTGAATAATGGACGGGAGTACAATCTTTGGGCTGCTGAAATGATAGGGCTTTCTTTTGCAACCACAGGCCGAATTGATGAAAGGCTTACACGTGAACAGGAAAAATTGTTCACGGATATGCCAAAAACAGGCGAGATAACATCTTTATCTGAGCAGTCCAAAAACACCATCCTTCGACTACTTTGCGACAAACTTCAAGTCCAAAATCCTACTGAGACGGGCTCCATTGAGCGGACGTTGCAAGTCATTCTGAGCCAAACTTCGACAGACGAGGACATTGAGACTTACGCCGATGTTGTTCCAGCGACACTCATGCCAAGCCTTCTTTGGAGCCCATATCCTTGTCCCCTATTGCCTTCACTAGCTACAGATGTGAGTCTCAGTGAAATGGCTTGTCGGAAAATGACCAAGGCGATCAGTTTGAGCGATTGGGCGTCCCAGTTAGCTCTTGCATTAACCAATACTGTTTCACATGACTGTGTCATTGGACCGCTTCAAGTTGTTTTGAGAGAAATGCCGACTTTTGCCGTGCAGGCTTTGCCTCATGTAATTCATGCAGTATTTTTGTCAGGTGATTACAGGGCGAATCAGCGTGTCCGGCAAGATCTGTCCAAGATATTTGAAGGCATCCTTGAGGATGTCACGGTTGGAATGATGCCGCATGCCCGTCTTGTGATCTATTGCATCCTTCACTTGCGAAACCTGCCTTTTCCCAGAGAATCCACTATTGTTGACCGCAATAGATGGCTTGATCTCGACTATGGACTCTTATTCACAGCAGCCCATCAATGCGGCCTGCAGAAAACTGCTTTGCTTTTCCTCGAAATAGAAGCCTCAAAAGTGATATCAAGCTCTCGCCGCTCTTCTGTGACCAAATACGAACCGCCGGTGGAGCTACTCAACGCAATTTTTCGAAACATTGATGACCCAGACCTATTTTACGGCATTCAACAAACCTCGTCTCTAGCAACAGTGATGGAAAAACTGGAGTATGAGGGGGCAAGCCTGAAGACACTCCTCTTTCAGAGCGCGAATTTTGACTCTGATATCCAATTGACTGAACAAGTCGACTCCTCTGGCGTTCTGAAAGCGTTGAATGCGACGAACCTGCAAGGTATTGCCAATTCACTGTTGACTGCTTCAGATAGCCATAATAGGGGTTCTTCCTCTGCTGCCATGCTGCAAGCCGCCACCAGTCTTCAGCAATGGGACGTTCCAGTTTTGCCGCTCCGCAGTTCGCCATCAGCAACAGTGTTTAAGGCTTTCCAAAGTCTCAACAGGTCCATGGCGGTATCTGAAGTTTATGCCTCACTAGATACGTGTCTCCTGACGTCTCTAAGTCATCTCGTTCAGCCCGGTCAATCAGCGATCGAATTGAGAAACACGATGCGAGCTCTCGGTATACTAGCCGAGGCCAAGAATGTTCTTTCTGCTTCTTCAGCAGATGGCATCAAGAAGGAGTGGCAGACAATCATAGCAAGAAGTGACTGGTTGAAAAGTGCGAGGTATGTTCATCATCATCACATATTTCTTCGAGTACCACGATCTGATGGAAAAAGCTACGTCGAGGCTCGGGAGACACTTAGCTGGCATGAAGCATTGTGTTCCTCATTTCGCAAGAACGCGCTGCTAGCCTCTAAGTGGGAGCTGGGTCTCGATGATACACACCTACTCGAAGCCAGAGTTTTTCGCCGCTCGCTTGAGATTTCAAGAAGTCACGGAGCATCCCAGGCATCCTTGAAGAGCGCGATCACTCTATCCAAGCTGGCGAAGCCCTGTGCTGAGCTAGGGATCAACATCCAAGCAGTGGCTGAGTTTGATCTCGCCAACGTTCTGTGGGATCAGGGCGAAATGACCGCCTCTATCCGAATGTTGCAACAGCTGAAAGGCAAAAGCGATCTGCATAAGCAGGCAATCCCCTTGAGCCGTGCTGAATTGCTTGTCACCCTGGTACGCGGATTCGACCACAGGATTGACACGATCTAATCTTTTTTTGATAGGGTCATCACGTTGCTGAAGCTCGACTCGAAAAACCGGAGTCTATCCTGCAAGACTATCTTTATCCCGCAGTTAAGGAACTTAAAGGTGTCTCTGAAGGTGAAGCTGCCGGTCGGGTCTATCACGGATTCGCCAGTTTTTGCGATCAGCAATTACACAATCCTGACGGATTGAATGACTACACAAGAGTCAAACAACTGCGTGATCGAAAAGAGAGCGAATTGCTTGGTCTAGAGGAAATGATGCGGAAGGCCGAAGGACGCTCTAGAGAGTCTCTAAAAATTTTCCGTGCCAAGGCCAAACAATGGTTTGATCTCGACGATCGCGAATACCAGCGTCTCTCTCGGAGCCGCGAAGCTTTTCTCCAGCAGTGTCTTGAGAACTACCTCCTGGCTCTCCGAGAAAGCGAGACTTACAACAGCGATGCACTACGATTTTGTGCCCTTTGGCTCGATAATTCGGACAGCCAGACAGCAAACAAAGCTGTGTCGCGATATCTCAAGGAAGTGCCCAGTCGAAAATTTGCGCCATTGATGAACCAACTCTCCTCGCGCCTCCTGGATGTATCTGATGACTTCCAATCTCTCCTGAGTGGGCTTGTTTTCCGCATTTGTGCAGAGCATCCGTACCATGGGATGTATCAAATATTTGCCAGTAGCAAGTCGAGAGGCGGCAAAGATCAATCTTCACAATCGAGGTTCCAAGCTGCCACCAAGCTCGTGGATCGTCTGAAAAACGATAAAAATATCTGTCTGACCTGGATATCAATTCATAATATGAGCATATCCTACGTTCGCTTTGCCATTGACAAACCCGACAACAAATTCAAGACCGGCGCCAGAATCCCTCTGAATAAACTGCCGACGGGCGTACGTCTCAGCAAAGATGTGGAATCCTACAAATTGCCCCCTCCTACGATGAAAATTGAGCTTCGAGCAGACCTAGACTATAGCGGCATTCCATCCATACAAAGGTTCAGTTCCGACTTTACGCTCGCGTCCGGCGTGAGCGCCCCGAAAATCGTGACTGCCGTTGGCACAGACGGGATTCGCTACAAGCAGTTGGTAAGTGTCCTGGACTAGTATGGACTTTTTGCGGCACTTCTAAGACTGATTCATCATCTAGTTCAAGGGAGGAAACGATGACTTGCGACAAGATGCTATCATGGAACAGGTATTCGAACAAGTGAGCAGTCTTCTGAAGGACTATCAGCCCACGCGTCAGCGCAATTTGGGCATCCGTACGTATAAAGTTCTTCCTTTGACCTTGCATGCGGGGATTATTGAATTCGTGCCGAACACAATTCCGCTGCACGACTATCTCATGCCAGCACATGTAAAGTACTTCCCCGAAGACATGAAGCCTAGCGCCTGTCGGAGGAACATTGCAAACGTACAAACGCGATCGTTTGAGCAGAGAGTCAGAACCTACCGCCAAGTCACGGAAAACTTCCATCCAGTGATGAAGTTCTTCTTCATGGAAAATTTTGGCAATCCAGACGACTGGTTCACCAAACGCTTGGCGTATACCCGGAGTACTGCGGCCATCTCCATTCTCGGTCACGTTCTTGGACTGGGAGATCGGCACGGTTACAACATTTTGCTGGATGAGAAGACAGGAGAAGTGGTACACATTGACCTGGGTGTCGCCTTTGAGCAGGGACGGGTTCTTCCAGTACCCGAAGTGGTTCCCTTCCGGCTCACTCGTGACCTGGTTGATGGATTTGGCATCACACAAACCGAGGGTGTGTTTAGACGCTGCTGCGAATTTACGCTCGAGGCCCTTCGCCAGGAGTCATATAGTATTATGACCATACTTGATGTCCTTCGGTATGATCCATTGTACAGCTGGACTCTGTCACCATTCCGAATGAAGAAAATGCAGGACGACGATGTGGACGGCGATGGGCCTCCCGTGCTGCCCGGTCAAGAAGACAAAGGCCCGACCAACGAGCCCAGCGAGGCTGATCGGGCTTTGACTGTGGTCGCCAAGAAGCTGAGCAAGACTCTCAGTGTGACTGCTACCGTCAACGAACTGATTCAGCAAGCCACGGATGAGAGGAATCTAGCCGTACTTTATTGTGGTATGTTTTTTCACCCCCTTGGTTCAGCATCAGCGAAATTGACTCTGGATCATACAGGATGGGCTGCATATGCTTGATGACGATCTCTTGAAATCGAGACGATCCACTCAGCCCAAAACAATTGATCGTGGTCTTTGAATGTTGGATTACCATAAACGGGCAGACTCATGTCGGATTGCATTCAGACTTGTCACTGCTGTGCAGGTCTTACGGCCTGATCGCCCTCCCGTCTGTGCACTATCTACGGAGCTGCTTCTACGAAGACGTATTTTAACCTAAATTGTTCCTCACAAGATCTCATTCCAAATCGCAAGCGGCTTCCTTATTACCGCATCGTCTCTGTGCCATCAATAGATGGCCTTGGCACCTCCTAGATGAGTAAGCGCTGTATGCTGGGGCTGGCTCGAGTACCTGGTACTTGGCCTCGCAAGCTTTTCCATCAAGTCGGCGGGTTTGTCACTGAATTCCAGATGTTGAGCGGACAGGCACTGTCAAACTAAGAATACAGGCATGTGTGCCAATTGAGCGTCATGGCTCATGTATGTAGGTAGGAAGTAGGAGGTATCTAGTAGGAGTAGGACTGCACAGTACACACTACACAGTAGTACACTCAACACTGTACAGTCAACAGTGTACCCTGGACAGTAACTGAATAGAAACGCCAACAATACAACACGGGGTAGAGGAAACCGCCCGAGGATGGGTCGGCCACTCTCTCTTTTTCAGCATCAGGCAGGTATCTGGGCAATTGGTTGAGCACCCCTGACTCAATGATTCCAAGTAAACCAGCCGCTTTTTGGATCTCTGCTCTCACTAAGAACAGTAAGTGATTAATGTTGTCAGCCCTTCGTCGAAATCTAGACCGTCGAAAATGGCACGAGCATAAATATTTTCTGCGCCACATGATCCATTTCGTCTGGAATCCACTCTGTCGAAACTCGAAACTGCGGAGCCCCACCAGATCAACCCCAAAAATATCCCTTCCAGGAGTGTCTTCGGCCGCAAAACATCACCACTACTACTCACTGTACTCAGTTACGGCAACGACATACAGTAGATGTTGATGTGTATGACTTGGTCAATGTTAGGAGATCGAGACCCGTTTCAGGCTTTCGGCTTCCCGTTACGTGATACCTACGATCAGTCTTCAGCAAATCCTGCTGTATTCGTGACAGTTCCCTCGGTCGATCCCTGAATTGACCTTGTAAAAGCGACGATCTTCCCTTCTGTTGACTCCAGAGTCCACAGTCCACACACATCGATTCTGGCACTTCTCCGATACAGTACTTCAGAAAAGTCATTTTGTCCTAATCGCAGAAGAGAAAACAGAAGCCTTCGTACCCATTGTTATGGCGGATGCAAGCAATCGAGGCATTGTGGTGGTCTCTGGCGGCAGTGCCGCAAACAACCTTGTAGATGTCTTCAATGCTGTCCGGGAAAGCAAAGACTGTCTGCTGAGCTACATCATTCCAATCAGCGACAACGGTGGATCTTCGTCAGAACTTATTCGAATCTTTGGTGGGCCAGGAATCGGTGATGTGCGAAGTGAGTAGTCTACATGACTTCCACGATGAGAGCTCTTTGTCAAGCTAAACAAATACATCCAGGTCGCTTGGTGCGTTTGATCCCGGACTCGGCTGCAAATCCGGAGCGTGCGGCCATCAAGTCACTCTTCAACCATCGTTTGCCTGCACAGGCTGCAACGGCAGCGCACGAATGGCTGACCATTGTGGACGGAACTTCAGGCCTTTGGCGATGCATCACTCCTGCAAAGAAAGAGTTGATTCGTTCATTCTTCAATATGTTGAATCTCGAAATCCTCAAACGGGCCCGGCCGCCTTCCTCCACCTTCGATTTCACCTCTGCAAGCGTGGGCAATCTATTTCTCACGGGTGCACGACTCTTCAGCGGCAGCTTCGAGAGTGCCATCTACCTCTTGGGAAGCATTTGCGGCGTGCAGTCAGATATCGTGCGAATCATTCCGGCAATCAATTCAAATTTTTCTCATCATATCTCCGCAACTCTCGAAGACAGCACGGTCATCGTGGGACAGAACAGCATTTCCCACCCTAGTGAAGCGACAGCTCTGCAGCCCGATCGGGGCTCTAGGCCGAGACGTCCAAGCCTTCTCCTTGCCGATGGGGATGATCTCGAAGCTACAAGCTCTGATACATCCGACGCTGTGTCATACGAAGAAGATCACCTTCCGGGATCTTTGGCGACTTTACGAAACAAGAACATTGCATTCAGCAAGGCGGAAAATGAGGATCTTCCCTGCCGAATCAGCCGAATTTGGTATATAAATCCATACGGACAGGAGATCCGGCCTCCTGCCAATCCGCGTGTTTTGGAAGCGCTTAGTGATGCACAGGCGATTATTTACAGCATTGGCTCTTTGTACACTTCCATTATACCCGCACTTATACTTCGGGGGGTGGGCAAGAGTATTATGACAAGCCCAGCACGACACAAGATACTCATTCTGAATGGGTCTTTGGATCGTGAAACCGGACCTCCATCAAATCCCTTCCTGGCTTCTGATTTCGTCGAGGCTATTGCGCGTGCTTGCGAGGAGAGTCGAGGGCGACACTACCCAGGTACAACGCATGCCCTTGACGACTCATCCGCGTCCCCGGCAACCATTCGTCCACAAAGATCAATCCCATATACTTCTTACGTGACTCACATCCTGCATCTCGACGGACCCGGAACCCCCAAGGTTGACCGGGAGCGGCTGGCAGAGATGGGTATTGAAACGCTGCGCCTGTATGGGCGGAAAATCACGACCAACACGGGGGATCAAGAAATATGTGTGGGCATGAAATACGATCCGCAAGCACTCGTACAAGCGCTGGAAGTAGTTCTCGGTAAGAAAGGCGATGCGATGGTACGCGGAGGACTAGGAAGCGGATTGAACAGGAGAAACACGCTGGATCCCGGCCGGCGCGATAAGTAAGTCACAATGCTGACTCGAGTCTACTCGTGAGAGGAGGAAATTTTCCAGATCATCTATCAATCCAAAAAGATGCCTCTGATCCGAACTCGCCACCCCATAGTGCGTTCCTCCGTCGTGCACTGTGAGAGTCCGACTGAGACGTAGATAAATCAAGCACTTCATCCAAAGAGGGCTTGAACCCTGCAAATTATTGAATTTCCTATCCTGATTTAACGCCTGATCGCTACGGTGGTAAGAAAATCGAAGAATCGTTAGTCGTTGTCGGGTCGAACGAGGCGGTCCTTTTTGCTGATCACTTTCATCTTTAAAGGAATCAGACTTCGTCGAGTCCCTGAATCCTTCGATGAAAGAGGCTTCCGGCACACTGGGCATGTTCCCTTCGCTGGCTTATTTTGTTCAGAACGCCCGCTTTCAATAGAGCGCAAGTACTCGATGATACATTTGTGGCAGAAGAGATGCCCTGAGGGATGTGAAGACGCTTGTCAGATGTGATTTCTTCACCAGATACGGAGTACGGAGATTGTCTCTTACCGCAGGAAGTTGTGGTGGAATCCTCGAGGTGGTCCATACAGACCGGACACTGATATGCGGCCAGTGTGGCCTGGGGCTTATCCGGCTGCTCTGGGCTCTGGGCTTGAATTTCGTCGGGACGCTTTTTAGCCAGGGCTCTTGCGAAAGATGATGTGTCCGTGACATCTGTTAGGTCAATAGATTCAATCTGAACCCCCGCAACATCTGGAGTGCCGGGGCGGGACTGATCATCAGGATCATCTGGCTGGCGGCGTTTGCGTTTGGTTCCTCGAGGCATGGAGTAGGGTTCTGACCGGTCAGATCGGATAGATGAAGGAGATAGTGTTGGTGAGACCTCAAGTGAAGAACGCAGCGCGAGTGGCGTTGTCTGTGACAAAGTGAGGTCAACAACAGAAATGCGTCGACTCATTCTGCAAGTTTCCGCGGCGGTGTTGTTCAGCCCGAGCCCTTAGGCGTTGATGGACGAGATTTGATTGACCAGTGGGCGTATAATTCTTCCGGGACCTTCCGGAATGCCATCGAAAGGTCTTTGTTTTGTTCTGGCAGGCAATACACACGGGGCTTGCAAAGACATTTATAAATTTTAGCTGCCGACCTGAAAAGCTTGCCCAGTAGATAGATGCCCAGGCTATCAAAGAGTTAGGACGATGGCGACTGAAAGCAGGGTGGGGGACCAAGGGATAGTAAGGTTATCGATTAAAGTTTAGTAATTTGATAAGGAAAGCGGTCAGCTCTATCGTCTGCACGCTTTTCCGCTTCCTGCATGACGCTCAGATATATGTTGTGATTAGTTACTAGCTTTTGATAAAGTCATCATTGCAGAACGACAAGCTTTTACAATCATCCTTCTCTAATTAGTCTTTGCGTGTGACTTCTGCAATGACCCAACTGTCATGCGACACCACAATATAATGCTCGTTCCTTCATCTGCCGCATGATGCTGTCTTGGAAATGCGCGCCCTGTCAAAGGGGGTTCTTAATGCGAGCGCAACTTAGCCTACGCTCTGCCGGCCCAATCTCTCTCCAGACGGGACTACTCTTGCCTCAGAGTTCTTTGAGATCATATTCAGTATCAGTCACTGATGAGAAAGTGTTCAGTGCCTCCCTTTCCCGTGAGTGGGCAGCTTTCGCCGAGCTAAATACTCGACGTTTTTGTGGTATATAACTGACTCTCTCCAGTATCTGCTTCATCTAGATTCAACGAGATTGGTGTTCAACAGTTGAGTGACTATGTACATGCTCAAGTTTTTCCAGGAAAGGGCCGAGTGCCCGATCCCGAACTAGTGGCACTCTCCAAAGATCACTTGGCCAGACACGACCTTCTAGGGAAGTCTCAGACTGGCGCCGAACCGATTGCTTTCGATCTGCCACCGCTTCATGGCCAAACACTCGATGAACATTTCTACAAGCTGGGATTAGATGCGTCAGAACCCTACCTAACCGATGCGAAGACGTTTGCTGCACTGAGCTGTCCCCCGAAACCGCGCAAGTGGGTGAAGCGTAGTGGGTGGACGAAGTACAATTCAAATGGATCTTCAGAACCCGTTGATGCCCCAGACGAGGCGATGCTGACTTTTGACACCGAGGTCATGTATAAAGATAATCCATACGCAGTGATGGCCTGCGCAGTGAGTCCAACTGCCTGGTATGCGTGGATTTCGCCATGGCTCCTGGGAGAGACCGAAGATAAGGTCCATCTGATTCCTCTGGGTGATCCTTCTAAGCCACGGATAGTGGTCGGTCACAACATAGGCTATGATCGCGCGCGAGTGCTGGAGGAGTACAATATGAAGCAGTCTCGCAATTTCTTTCTCGATACCATGTCGCTTCATGTCGCTGTCAATGGAATGTGCTCGCAGCAAAGGCCGACCTGGATGCGACACAAGAAGAACAAGGATCTTAGGGACAAGATCGCGAGTGAACACAACTCCGTTGAATTGGCTGCGTTACTTGAGAGCAATATGCTTCGAGAAGAAGAGGAAGAACTATGGGTTGGGAGAAGCTCTGTGAACTCCCTACGAGATGTTGCCAAATTTCATTGCGACGTCACCATCGACAAGGCCCAAAGAGATTTCTTCGGAGAGCTGGATCGAAACACGCTTCTCACAAAGCTGGAGGAACTGCTAGACTATTGCGCCGCTGATGTTGCAATCACGCATCGAGTTTTCCGTAAAGTCTTTCCAACCTTCCTCGAGACGTGCCCTCATCCCGTCAGCTTCGGAGCCCTTCGACATCTTTCGTCGGTCATCTTGCCCGTGAATCAAACATGGGAGGAGTATCTCACGAGAGCTGAAGAAACATACCATAGACGACTCGACGACGTGCAACGGAAGCTTCAAGAGCTCTGTGATGCAGCGTTGGAGGTCAAGTCGCAACCTGACGTGTACACAAGCGATCCTTGGCTGCAGCAGCTGGACTGGTCTGGCCAGGAGATCAAGATGGCCAAGGGCAAGAAGAAGGGCGACCCACCGCGGCCGGCTGCCAGGCAGAAGAAGCCCGGTATGCCGAAGTGGTATAAAGATTTGTTTCCGTCGAGTAAGGCTGATATCAATCTCACTGTGCGTACGAGGATTGCACCGATACTACTCAAACTCTCATGGGATGGCTATCCTCTGGTCTGGTCAGATAAGTACGGGTGGACGTTCCGTGTTCCTCGAGACCAAGTCAAAAAATATGAAAATCAGCCAGTCGTCGCATGTGACATGGCCGAGGAGCCGAATCTGCAGCTTCGTGATGATCGAAGAAACGTCTACTTCAAAATCCCCCATAAGGACGGTCCACAGGCTCGATGTACTAATCCTTTGGGAAAGGGGTACATGCAGTACTTCGAGCGCGGCGTTCTGTCCTCCCAATTCGAGCTTGCCAAAGAAGCATTGGAAATGAATGCCTCTTGTTCATATTGGATCAGTGCCAGAGACCGCATTATGGGTCAAATGGTCGTCTATCAAGATCAAATGAACCGGATGCAACCAAATGAGAGACCAATTGAGACCCGCCTGGGTTTCATCTTGCCCCAGATCATTCCCATGGGCACCATCACCCGCCGCGCTGTCGAAAACACATGGCTTACTGCGAGTAATGCAAAGTCCAACCGGGTTGGCTCTGAACTCAAAGCCATGATCAAGGCGCCGCCCGGCCATGTATTTGTCGGAGCGGACGTGGACTCCCAAGAGCTGTGGATTGCGAGTTTAGTTGGAGACGCGCCTTTCCAACTGCACGGTGGCAACGCTATCGGATTCATGACTCTAGAAGGATCAAAAGCTGCTGGGACCGACCTTCATTCTCGGAGTGCCTCCATCCTCGGTATATCGCGCAATGACGCGAAAGTGTTCAACTACGGACGAATTTACGGCGCCGGCGTCAAATTCGCTGCTACGCTTCTGCGCCAATTCAATCCTTCCCTGACCGAAAAACAAACGCAAGAAACTGCAGCCAATCTTTACAAGGAGACCAAGGGAATGCGTACATCCCGTCGCGCTCTCAGTGAAACTCCCTTTTGGCGAGGTGGCACTGAATCGTTTGTCTTCAACAAGCTCGAGGAATTCGCTGATCAGGAACGACCTCGGACCCCAGCCCTCGGCGCAGGAATCACTGAAGCGCTCATGCGCCGCTTCATCAACAAAGGCAGCTTCATGACTTCTCGCATCAACTGGGCGATTCAATCTTCAGGCGTTGATTATCTACATCTCCTGATTGTGAGCATGGACTATCTCATTCGACGATTCAATATTCAAGCTCGGCTGGCTATCACTGTTCACGACGAGATTCGATACCTGGTGAAGGAGGAAGACAAGTACCGTGCCGCACTGGCCCTCCAGATATCGAATGTTTGGACTCGGGCCATGTTCTCACAGCAAGTTGGTATCGATGATCTTCCCCAGTCCTGCGCATACTTCTCAGCCGTTGATATCGATCATGTTCTGCGGAAAGAGGTGGACATGGACTGTGTCACTCCATCACATCCGGAGAAGATTCCTCACGGAGAGACACTGGATATCTCTCAAATACTTGAGAAGAATGAAGCGGCGTATTTGGACCCTGCGAATGTCCCCGTCTCGCCCCCTCACCCCGAAAAATACTCTTACACCCCCCGCGAATCGGTCATGTCATCTTTCCAGGCTTCCCACGACTTGGCATTCATCAAGGCTCAAATCACCAAGGACGACAAGGAACTCCGTGAAATTATCAAGGAGAAAACCCAAGCCGCTCACAGCGGAAAAGCCGCTACGACCCGGTCCTCATCGGCCAAAGCAAAAGGCACGACCAATGTCTGGGCATCCGCCAAGCCGCAACGAGCAGTCTTGATGGATGTTGACACTGGGCTTTACCCCGATTTTCGAAGCCCTCGTTCCTCGAATAATGGACCTGGTAAGACCCAGCACCAGGTGGGCATGTATAAATCTTGGAAACCCCGGCCATCGGCTCGAGCTGAGTCGTAGGATATCTTCACTCCCTCGAACTCTTTCTTTAATTCTTTCTTTATCTCCGATTCTCCTCATCTCTTTGACTTTCTTATCCCACGCCATGGCATGGCTTTGATTGGCGGAATGTGTTATGCTTTTATGTTATTAACCTTGCATTGGGAATGGGGCCTAGCATTGGGGTGGTGTCCTGGAATGTTCAATGTACTTTGCATTTGTTGACTTATAATACCAGCACATGTATAAAATCATGCTGAATTGCATACTGCCCAGCAAACCCGACCGACGAGGGAACTGGCTGGCAAAGAAACCTCTCCAATTTGAAAACCAAAGATAATCGAGGGTGCTGTGATTGCTCTGGGCTCACATTCGACTCATTTGTCACACGCTAAGGTTCGTTCATCATGACCACAGGTCGTTGTCTGTCTCGTTGTGAAAAGCTCGAAGCACGGTCGTACCAACTGGCCCGATCGTGCAAATGCGTGATCGTATAGGAAAGATCTGCAATAATCAAGGTAAATGGAAATTGAGATGAAATGAGCCGTGTCATCAAAGAAGCATCTCGTCTTCTAGCCGGGCTACACCAGGCGTAAACATGATCTCCTGTCCAAGTCAACATAGTAGTCGCGTCGATATCAGAGGTCACTTGTTCGATTCAGAATTATTGTGGAAGCTGACACGATAGTTCGACTCCATTTTGTCGGAAAGGATAAGGCGCCAGAAAGTCAACTTTTATCATGTCGTACCGATAATGGTCCCAAAGTTGTGACTCCTACCAAGGCATCACAGCCTTGATCGGCTCTGTGGAATCCTCCGATTCGTCGGAAGTACCTTTTGATGCTTCATTCAGGTCCTTCGTCGTTAAAAAGCAAGCTTTCCAGGGTACGCTTATGTTAGTACGTCGATCCCACCAGCACCTGACGTGGCCAAGATTGTTCACTGGCCCGGGCCGCTGGCGATAAGCCTTTGGGTCCGCTGGACTTGTTTCCACTTCAAACGTCATTTCCCCCGCGTTGATTATCAACGGGACAAACAACGCAGCAGTTGTACGAGGGAAAGAAGCCTCTGTGCTTTCTGGACGGTCTCAATGCCCTCATACCCAGTCGCGAGCTCCTGATTTCGTGTCGTCAGGATCCCCCGACTACCCGTGATTTTCACTGTAACCGGTCCCCCTTACACGAGACCGATGAAGTACTGTCGATTCCAGCACCCTCATCCCAACCCTTCGGCGCCGCTGCAACCATGAGCACTCATTCGATCGACTATGCGCAGCAAAGCCCCAAAGCGGAGTCCCCTCCTTCGGTTGATTTGGAGGCAGGCCGTCGGTCGCCCAACGTCCCGACGCCTGATGACAGAGAGGGTTCTGTGACCGAAGCCTTCACAAGCGCGGCGGCCAGGGTCAACTCTACAGACACTGCAAAACGCCGTGCGCGGCGATCGAATACAGCGCGATCTTATCATCCCGATGGCTTTCTCAGCGAGATCAACTGGCAGCCTGGAACAGAGCCTGGCATCGATCCTACAAAGCCCCTGCCCCCGTACAGCTCAGAATGGCCCTCCAACATACCTGGCGATCTGCAACGTGACTGCGAGATAACCGTGGTCGATTTTTCGCAATTTGAAATGCGTCAGTATGAGTTGGACAACGAAACGTTACCGGCATTTCTTGCTCGCGAGCGGGAGCCCTGGGTCCAGTGCCGATGGATCAACGTAAATGGGCTCAGCTGGGACGTGATAAAAAGCGTCGGCAGTCACAAGGGGCTTCATCGACTCGCTATTGAAGACATCCTCCACTCAACCAATCGCACTAAAGTGGACTGGTACTCCGACCATGCTTTTGTTTCTCTTACTTTACAGAAGCTTGTCAAATTGCAAGACCCGGACAGTAGCGATTCTGAGGACGACGAGAAGGGAAATGACTGGGGAACCAAGGAGCGCAAAAGCTCGGTGGCCAGCGATAAGAGTTCTGTCACCATGAAGCGGCTCACCAAGCGGCGTCTGATCTTATATGCTCTGAAAGATTTGTTTCGATCCAGACGCCCGACGCAAGATCGTAAGGCAAGGAAGCCTGTGGGCGCAAGTGTCCGCCCTGGTCCCAGACAGTATGATTCACGACGAGTCTCTCAATTTGGAGATATCGCACCAGCTCGAGCTGCCTCATCGCGGACTCTCCAGCGATACCGGGGCGGCCCTAATGAGGATCGGATCGATTTCATGGAGCGCCATGCGGTCTTGGCCTCCAAGGGTCTGTGTGTCACCCTAGAACAAGTATCGGTCTTCTTACACGCCGATAATACGGTCACGTCCTTTTTCGAAAACAGTGCAGATGACATCGAAGCACCTATTGTTCGGCGTTTAAGCTCGCCCGAGACGAGTCTCCGCCAGTCGTGTGACGCGAGTATGCTTTTGCAAGCGATCCTTGACGCGGTCATTGATCTCGCTATCCCCGTCACGATGGCATATCAAGATGCAATCGGCGACCTGGAACTGGAAGTCCTGACCGATCCCGATATCGATCAATCCAAGAGTCTCTATATTTTGACGTCTGAGATTGCCGTGCTGCGGAATTCAATGCAGCCGATGGTAACAGTGATCAATGCTCTTCGTGACCACCGGTCAGAGCCTATAGGAACTCCGGGTTTTGGCGGCTTGCGAAAGGCAATGTTTAGTCCAGCTGCGACGCCCGCTGAACTAGATATGCCCCCACACTCTGCTACACTGACCGGGACACTTACTCCGAATCTGAAGAGTCTGGCTGGCTCGGGTGTTATCATCAGCACAATGTGTCATACTTATCTTGGCGATGTCCTCGATCATTGCATTACCATTGTGGAAGGGTACGATCAGATGCGTCGAGCCGCCGACAACATGATTGACCTGATTTTCAACACAATTGGTGCGTATCAGAATGAGAGCATGAAGCAATTGACTATTGTCACATGTCTCTACCTTCCCATGACGTTTCTGACGGTATGATCCGGCTCCGTTCCTTTTGTCAATTTTCCGGCGACCTGAGCGCTAACGATTGACTGTAGGGTTACTTTGGAATGAATTTTACGCACTTCCAGGGAATTGAAAACAGTGATTCGTATGTCTCCTGAACCAACGAGCTTCAACGAGGACAGACAGACACTAACTTGCCATTTTCGCAGCTACTTTTGGAAAATTGCGGTGCCATTCGTATTCGTCACCACTCTGCTGCTCATGTAAGTTGGCGATATCCATGATCAGGTTAAGGTCACCAAGTGTTAATTGTCCTCCAACTAGGCGCGACAAGATTCAACGATATGCCGTCATGCTTGCACAGAGACGACTCATTACCAGTTCCCGGAAGCAGCGTAAAGAGAGAAAGAAAAGATGAGCTGGTTCGATCGCTTATCCCCAATATCTTGGAGTTCAGTCGCGGATCCATTCTTGTGATGTACATGTGAGAGATATGGCATGTTCGACAGAGATACCCGGGGAACATCTGCTTATAGGAAGCGTGTCCCCCACGATTTGTATTATACATTGTTGCACTAGCACTTTTTGGACTCATCCAATGTTCTTTCGACGGAAAGCCATATAAGCCTTCCATGGTAGCCTCCAATCACCACTGAGTAGTTCTGGACGGAAAACATCGAAATCGTACTGCTGCAGCCGCTCCAGCCATAGGCGAGTAGCTACCGCAGGCATGAACACACCAAATGCCCGATTCACTTCATCCAGGGGCGACTCGTTGCCTCGAGACTCCCCCATCGCAGTAGTTTGATACTCATGGCCCTCCTCGCCTTCATGCTCAAAGTCATGTCCGACGTCTTTGCCAGCGCGGAGATTGCTCAGCATCTGGTCCACGGTGATCAAGTGGTCACTTGCACGTGTGGCCACAGCGAAGACTGCATCACGCAGACCCTCTGCGTCCGCGCCTCGTCGGAGAACCTCCTCTTCCTTAACGCCGTTCTGCGCCATAATGTCCAAAGGAAGCATGACCGCGCCTTGCTTGACACCGCCATTCATTCCCGGTGGTCCACTGGGGGACTGGGGAGACGGAGGCGGGAAAGCGACTAGAGGCAATCCTCGCAACACGGCGGCAATGCCCACAGCCTTGCCAATGTGCGACGCGACATGATCCGCGGTCACTGATGTCATCGGCAGTGCGCCCAACGTAAGGTACATGAGGGTAGAATAGGTATTCTCGGCATAAGATTCCAGAGCCGCAATGTTGGGGTATGGATCGTTCGTGAGCGTTTGCTCACGAGCATTGATCAGGCGAGTCAGCCAGCCTCTGGTGATTTTCGCACGGCCTTGGGTGCGCTCGTGAAGATCGGAGATGGCGGAGGCCAGTAGGATCGCCACTGGTTCCTTGGGGGGAGAGCCAGCAAGGGTTTTGGTGACCGCATCACGCCAGAACTGAAGTCGCATGAGGCCAATCGTCGGTGAAGATGTGGTCTCTGGGATCATGGATAGAGATACGTTCAAGGCACGAAGTGCGATGTAGAACGACCGGGCATGCTGGGGAATGAAGGTGCTGAGAGTGTAAGATGGTCGGTCATATTTGCTAAGTCAAAGATATCATAGTTAGTATCATTGCTCAAAAGAAAGCAATCTTGACCCTCTCCTAGCCTGCACCTAAGCAGTTACTCTGGGCAAAATTCACGTACGAAAGCAGTGAGACACAGTATCGATGCGCTCCTTGCACCTCCTCAGGTGTAGGAGTGGCGCCCACTGGAGCAGTTCGACTCAACCCTCTTGAATGGGACCTCTGATTCTGACGTGAAAACCAGCATGACCTGGTCGCCCGGCACGGCCTGGCGATGTTACGGAAGAATGGCATGGAAGATGGTTGAAAAGATGAAGATGAGCTTGTCCGAGCTCCGCTCCGCATCCAATCCACACCGTTGTATTGGGCCCGCTCAGCGACGTGACAGATGGGAGTAAATTTAGCTAAATTTTGGAGATATTTCCCGCTTGGACAGAGACTGCCCAAGCTACTTAGCCAGGAGAAATAGCATGAGTGTATCTTGATCAGATTCCTACCTCACGTGTGACTGATCAACCGTGAAAATCCTGGTTGTCGCCCGAGCCCGCCATTCAGTGTGCACTTTGACCTTTTTGGGAATCTGACGTCGATCGCGCCCGTTTCGCGTTCCTCGGCGCGTCCCCAAACCTTTTCTTTTCGGGCTCCTCGCCACAACGATCAAGGCCGCGTTCACGACGACAATGAGCGACGATCTGGAGCACAGGCCCGCGAAGAGACAGCGATTCTTTGCGGACAGCCCGGGGAGTCAGTCCACAACTGCCAATTCGAATGCCGAGGCTCATGCGCAATCGTTCTCGAAGCAAAGCGGTAGCGAGACAGAGCACAACGACCAAGCAACACTGCTCTCAACCCCTTCGAAGCTTTCTTCGGAGAATTCTGGACTCACGAGTCCGATAACGGCTTTGTCGACATCGTGCGTGTCGAGAGAAACTCCTTCCAACGACCTCCATGTGGAGCCTTCATCGCACAATGCACCTCCGCGGCCTGTTGCGGATGAACCAGATAAACAAGAGCAACCCAGTTATTATGATGGCTTCGATACTGAGCTGTTCGCAAGTATAATCGGACAAAAACTACCTGCGGATTCACTACTGAAGATCAAGGCGGCTTCGTCCAATAATCTTGAGCAAGCAGTCAACATTTTTTTCGATGGATCGTGGAGGAAACCAGTCAATAACAACAAAGACCGAAGAAGCGCGGCGACGCAACCGCCTCTCCAAGCGACACTCAATTTGCCGAATTCAGAAGAGAACCGGCATGTCCAGTCATCCCCCAACGGCACTACAGGCCCAACGGATCATCCGTCTGTGCTGCCCCGACAGCCCGCCAATAGATATGTGGGTGCATTTGGTGTTGGGGGTTGGGCGACACGGAGTGGGTTGGCCCTGCTCAAGCATGGGGACGTGGTCAATATTGAGCGTGCTCGATCTCAACCAGTGGCCAAGCGCGGTCGCAATGGCAAGCTCTTTACGAATAACAAAGGGGATGTCCTCACAAGATTCACAAACGCGGCTGGGCAGGAAATTGGCCGGCTGCCACACGAGACGGCAGAATGGGTGTCAACACTGATCGATCAGCAAGTATGCCAGTTCGAGGGAGTGTGTGTGTTCATTCCAGACAGGGTTCGAATCAACGACACTATCTATCTCCAGTTGAAATGTTTTATGCGCCGGGAAGCATTCCAGCGAGGAGCCTTCATGGGCAGTTTGGACGACAACCGATCCATGGGCCTATTTGAAGAGAAGGAAAGCACCGAAGAGAAAAATTTGCGTCTTAGACAGGTGGCTCTCGTGAAGCTGTTTCATGAAATCAATCTGCAACCCACATCGACGAACCCCACGACGGAAAAGCACAAGCGCGACGGCCTACTTCGCGCCGCTGAGATGGCAGATCAATACGATGGAGCTAAGAAAGATAAGTCGAAGGCCGGTAAGGACCCGAATGACTCGTCTTCTGAGGAAGACACCGCGGAGCTGGAAGAAGACCAGCTCGATACACTGTATCGTAAGGCACAGTCCTTCGACTTCAACATGCCAGAGGCAGAGCCCGGGCCAAATTTCAAATTGGATCTTCGAAAATATCAGAAGCAGGCCTTGCACTGGATGCTTTCCAAGGAAAAAGACAAGAGGGGCGCCCGCGAAAAATCCATGCATCCATTATGGGAAGAATACAGTTGGCCTACCAAAGACGTGGATGATCAGGTTCTGCCGTCGGTGCAGGGCATCGACCACTTCTACGTGAATCCCTACTCAGGTGATCTCAGTGTAGATTTCCCTGCTCAAGAGCAGCATTGTCTCGGAGGTGTGCTTGCCGACGAGATGGGCCTCGGAAAGACCATCGAAATGCTGAGTCTTATCCATTCCCACAAGTCCGAGCCTCCATCTGGGTCCGTGGAGACTATGAGTTCTGTCAACGACCTGGCAAGAGTTCCGCTGACTACGTCCGGAGTGGTTTCTGCATCATACACTACGTTAGTCGTCGCGCCAACTTCGCTCCTGGCACAGTGGGAAAGCGAGGCATTAAAAGCTTCCGAGCCTGGCACGATGAGAGTCCTTTTATACTACGGAGCGGACAAGGCTGTGAACCTGCGTGAGCTTTGCTGTGAGGCCAATTATGCCAATGCACCTCATGTGATTGTGACCAGCTATGGAGTTGTATTGTCCGAATTCCGCCAATTTGCATCACAGTCAGCCTTCACCTCCGCCTCGCATGGAGGCCTCTTCTCTGTTGAATTCTTCCGTGTCATCCTCGACGAGGCCCATATGATCAAGAATCGTCGGTCAAAATCTGCAAGAGCTTGCTACGAAGTTCAAGCTGTCCATCGGTGGGTCCTGACGGGCACGCCTATCGTCAATCGTCTCGAGGATCTTTTCAGTCTGGTACGCTTCTTGAAGGTGGAGCCTTGGAGCAATTACTCTTTCTGGAAGACGTTCATTACTGTTCCATTTGAGAACAAAGAGTATGTGCGTGCACTGAATGTTGTGCAAAGCGTACTGGAACCTCTTGTGCTTCGGCGAACAAAAACGATGAAGACTCCAGAGGGCGAGCCGCTCGTACCTCTGCCGAAGCGCACTGTCAACGTTGAAGAGGTGGAGCTTTCAGAGCAAGAACGAGAGATCTACGACTGCATCTATACGCGAGCTAAGAGAGCCTACAACGATAATGTCGAGGCCGGTACCCTACTCAAATCGTACACCACTATTTTCGCCCAAATTTTGCGCCTCCGCCAGACATGCTGCCACCCGATTTTGACTCGCAACAAGGAGATTGTCGCCGATGAAGAGTTCGCTGCGGCAGCCCTTGATGCCACCAACAACCTCACAGACGACATGGATCTCCAAGAGTTGATCAACCGCTTCACGGCATCGACAGAGAACGCAGAGGCCGAGGACAGATCTGTAGTGTTCACTGCGCACGCTCTTCGACAGATTCAAACCGAGTCGAGTGGTGAATGTCCGATTTGTTGTGAGGAGCCCATGATCGACCCTGCAGTAACCGCATGCTGGCATAGCGCCTGCAAGAAATGTCTCTCGGACTATGTACGTCACCACACGAACAAAGGGGAAAAGGCTCGCTGCTTTTCTTGTCGCGCAGATGTGGATGCCCGCGATATATTTGAAGTTGTCAAGCATCCCGTCTCACACCCAGTAACGCCAATGGAAGACGGCTCAGGTAACAGCACGCCTCTCTCGAGCTCGCAGCCCACTCCTCGAATCTCTCTCCGCCGAATCAATCCTCTCTCGCCGTCAGCACATACATCTGCAAAGATTCACGCGCTGATCAACCACCTGTCTCGTGTACCGCCGAACACAAAATCCGTCGTCTTCTCCCAATTTACGTCTTTCCTGGATCTCATCGGCCCCCAATTGGCTAAAGTGGGTATCTCCCACCTCCGCCTCGATGGCTCCATGCCGCAAAAGGCGCGTGCCGCCGTCCTTGACCAATTCACAAAGACGGACGACTACGCCGACGACATTCTCGACACAGAGGATGAAACGTCAGGATGCACCCGCTCCTCGAATCCCAAGTCGACCAGACCAGAGCCCAGCCCGCGTGTGCTGCTCATCTCGCTCCGCGCAGGTGGTGTCGGCCTGAACTTGACCGTTGCCAGCAACGTGTTCGTCATGGATCCCTGGTGGAGCTTCGCCATCGAGGCCCAAGCCATTGATCGTGTTCATCGCATGGGTCAATTGCGCGATGTGTCTGTGACGCGGTTTATTGTAAAGGATTCGATCGAGGGTCGGATGCTTCGTGTGCAGGAACGCAAGATGAACATTGCTGGCTCACTCGGCCTGCGCGTTGGGGGCGATGAAGGTGATGATGATAAGAAGAAGGAGCGCGTCGAGGAGTTGAAATTGTTGTTTGAGTAATCAGAGACATTTTGGCTTTGCGTATGCAATGCATACGGGGAGTTGGTACTATGGGCCCCGAACGCGGGTCGACCAGGCATGTACATGAACATCTTAAGCATACGGAGTACCCGTTGAAAAGAATGATTGAAATTGATACCCATTCAGGTCCTAGAAGCCGTTCCTTAGTTGCTATTTACATGTATCAATCACTCTCGGTTGACGTGATTTCCTGGTGGCTAGGTTGATGTACAGGTATAGAGGTATAGTAGGCTCTTTCACCTCATAGAAGTATATCATTAAGAACAACATAGTAGCGGTAGCGGTACACATGGGGATATATAAATCTCAATCGCGCAGAAGAAACAAGGTCAACTATACTCTCAGGTCCATGGAACACATCCTCAGTATCCGCCAGTTGTCATACAACACACAAGACTCAACCAAGAGCTACGTGCATCATTACTCAAGCGTCTCGGCAGTACTCTAATGGCTCGAAGAGTGAGGGTGTGCAACCTTGTGCAGCTTCTCCTTGATCTTGTGCAATGGACCTTGCTTGCCATGGTCGGAGGAGGGGTCGTGCTTCATTTTGTCAGCGCTGTCATTAGCATTCTGCGCCGCCTTGTCATCAGTGCCGAGTTTGTTCTGTGTAGCCGAGGTACTCTCGGCCTCCTTTACAAAGTTCTCCTCCGAGACTGGTGCCGGGCCCTGCGGACCCTTCAGAGCTTCCTCACTGACATCTTGGTGCCCAATGGTGTTTGTAGGCTTGCTGCTTTCGCCTTGACCTTCACTGGTGGCCCCGGCGCTCTCCGACACACGTTGTTCAGTCTTTTCGGTCTTGGTAGGCTCGACGGTATCGCCAGGGATGGTCTCGCCACGAGGGCCCTGGCTCGAACTTGACGGGACCGATGTCAAAGGGGCACGTTCAACAGGAGCCGCCGGGGACGCATCGGACGTGGTCTTCTTTGACTCTGAGCCGAGCGCGGGGTCTTTGGCTGAGTTCTCGGAGATCGATGTCATGGGGGCTCCATCGACCGGAACCGGGGAGAACTCGGACGAGCTCGTGGCCGGTTTTTCAGAGGCTGGGTTTGAGCTGGTGGTAGCTGGGCCCACGGCGGCACCATCGACAGGTACTGGTGATAGCGCCGTGGAGCCCTTCTGCAATGGCGCAGCCAAGCCCGTGCTAGGAGTAGTCGTGGTTGGATCCACGGTTTCGGGCTTGGACCGCATAGCTAGGTCTTTGCGAAGAGGATCTGACTGTGCGCCATCCAGGCGGGGCTCTTGCGAGGCAGTATTCACATCGAAGATTGGAGCGTCAGGTTGCTCTGTACAAGTTCGACGTGAATCATTAGCCTTCCACCTATCTACAGATCTCGAGGAGCTTTATCTTCCAAGAATCATGAGGCTAGATCGTGGAGCGGATATGCTGAGACTTACCATCGCGATTACCAGCATCGTATGGGTCACTTGCGCTTCCTGTGCCCTGTACTCCGGAGACAGGCTCCTCGCCGTGGGCGGTCGTCTGCTGCTCGGTTGAGTTGTTTTCGGTGCCCCAAATGGCAGCGGAGGCTGCCTCCACAACCTTGTTCACTGTTTCCATTACAGCGGAATAGAGTTCCAAAGGCGGAACACGAATATATATAGAGATCTTGTTTCGGAGAATGTGAAAGATAGAGTTGCGAGCTGGAACTCGAAGAGGTTCAAAATGCAGGAATGAAAGAGGCAGGTTAAGCTAGATGGAGTAGGGTTCGACGAGCTTGACCGATACAACGTGTCTTGCGAGAGCTTTAAAAGTCTAATGAGGAGGGAGTCGAGGAGACGCCTTGAATGATATCAGGGCGAACGATCAAATGTTGGGCAGATAGAAGGTGAATAGTATGTCATCAATGGTCGAGAGAAAGATAGATTATAGATTAACTGGCGTCGGCCACCTGCACAATGCGGCAATGGAGCAGGGGACAGTGAGTCGTACAAAGTTCGGGAGGCGTCTCTTTGGGACTGGGAGCTGCGAGCCACCTCGAGGACTACGTCAGCGGACGTTGCAAGGTATCACCACCCGTCATCAGCCCGCATGCCCAATTCGTGCACAGAGGCCCAGTCTGGTTCTCCGATGATTTCATGATTGGATGGGTGGTGCTTCAAAAAGAGAGTCGCTCAGAGCCGGAGGTGCGTTCGCGCGTCGGCGAAGAGAAGAGACCAGGATGTCATCATCTGACGTCACCATCACGTGGGGCTCCGGAGTCGTGACTCAGGAGTCAGGAGTCCACTGGCAGGACAGCTCTCTGCCTTAGCTCCAGTCGTCTGTCTGACTCTGCGGTGATCATAACATGCAGCATGCATGGGGGTCAGACTGCAATTCTGAGCATTATGGACTTCAATCACGGACACTGATGAGTAAAATCGCATCTTGTTTTTCGTTCTAGACTTCCACTAGTGCTTTTGCAAGATGATATACGTACTGTAGGCCCGCTTTTGCGCACTGGGGTCTTGAGTGTGCCAGTGTGGTGTCTGTAGTGAGCTCAGAGCTGTTCTCTGACCCATGGGAAAGGCCTGTAAAGGGTCAAAGCTTAAATCGATTACCTTGTCTCGTGGGTTAGAATAATCGAGACAAGGATACGGCCATTCAAGCCACCATTCTACGACAACTTACCAGTTGCGGCAATAATGCACATGGAGATTGCGCCACGTGCAATGAGCGTCGACCTTGACTGTATCCAATGGATTTCGGTAGCTTCCGCATAGGAAGTGGCAAGTGCTTGGTAAAACGTTAACCTTATGCGTCTGATTCTACTCACTTGCGGTTTGAAATGCTGGACAGCGTACACTATTGCTTCACTCTTGAACAGGTCCCATGCCCATGTGCTACATGTGCTACAGCGTGACCTTGTCTCATTACCTGGACCACGAGCCAAGTTGAATTGTAAACGGTAGTCTAGGACACGTATTCAAGGCATCAAATTGTACCAGGATTCAAAAACTTGGAAAGGCATCATCCTGTTTTGAGAGTACCAACCCGGCATGGCCATTATTGACTACCGTACCCTGTATTTCAATTGCAACTGCGTGATGGACTTGGCGATAGCTCGATTTCATTCAAAGGGGGGGGGGGGGGGGGGGGGAGTATCCCAGCAATAATGTTACTTTGTCGTGTCCTGGACAGGGCTCTCCGGCTTCACTTGCTCCTTCTCCTTCCCACCAGCTTCGTGGTCCGGTTTGGCTGCGTTTGGATTCAGAGGATGCGCAGGATCGTAACCGATGCTTTTCACTACACCGAGACCCTTGGTCTTGCCCTCGCGGAAAAGGACCCGATCGCCCGGCGCCAGGAACTCGGGTCGTTGTATGAAGCGGAACGCGACAAGAGACCGGTCGCCCGTACGAATGAACGGGCGGTCGATATCTATTACTGCGCAAGTTTGGCTCACAGCCCCGACGTGCAGCATGGCTTGATACTTGGGCTTGATTGTGGTCGCGTGGGACAGTATCAAGACTGCATTACGTTGAAAACATCAGTCAGGGATCCTACATTGCACATAAAGGGACAGACAAAGAGGCGTTCGACGACATCGAGTGAGCTGTACATACCTTCAGCCACGAATTCGCGGTATACCTTGGGAGGAGTATCCATCTTCTTCAGCACGACCATGCCCTTGCGGACTTCCTTGCGGCGCACACGCTTCAATGCGAAGGATCCTGACTGACCGGCAAAGCAGGCGTTCACCTGTATTCGTTTCCGCTCGATACTTTTGATCGTCGTCGTCGTGAATTGGCCAAGAGAATCCGGCCCTACAACGACAGAGTCACCGGCGTGAATGACTCCGGACTTGACTACGCCGGACACGACGGTGCCGACGTGGGGCACCGAGAACGTGTCGTTAATTAGGAACTCAAACGGACCATCCTGGTTGTAATGGCCTCGGTGAGGAAGAATGTTCAAAAAGGTGCGGACAAGGTCCAGATTCTCGCCAGTCACATTGGACACCTGGAAGATGGGACAGATTCTCTGACTGACGAACTGCGTCGCCGTATTGATAGTTTCTTCCATGTCTTTGACAAATATAGGAATCTTGCGCGCCCCGGGCGACTTGAGAATCTTGCCCAGCTGGGACAAGGTCTCCTGCAAGATCTGGGGAGGACAAATGTCGATTTTGGTCACAATGACCATGACAGGGACGTTGAGAGCCAGAGCAATGCCCAAGTGCTCTCGGCTCATACCGATCAGGCCGTTGTTAGCAGCGACCATCAGGAGACAGTAGTTTGGGCTGCTGCTCAGCATGCCAAACACAGTTGTCCGCAGGTAGCGCTCGTGGCCTGCAAGGTCAGAGAAAGAAATCACTTTCGCAGAGCGTTTCCCAATCTCTTCCCACGAGAGCTTCCTGCCCTGGGTGTTCCCTACGATCTCACCATGACTGTCGAAGCCCATGATTTCCATGCCGACGGAGCTAGTTCGCCCACTCTCAATCTCGTGCTTATGTCGGAAAAGATTGAGTCGTGCACGGCCACGACCATCGTCGAGACTGCCTTTGACCAGCACACCTAGCATGGTGCTCTTTCCAGCATCAACATTGCCCACGACTGCGACACGCAATTCTGCAATCTCTTCCATGTTCGCGGCGACCTGTCGTACCAAAACCTTCCCCCAGGCGTCTTTAACGCGTTCGTTCTTCACTGGCGACTCCTCCGGACCTCCGACATTGTACGTGAGAAGGATGCGGCAGTGAGCGGGAATAGTTTCGGCTGCCTCGCGCAGTCGTTGCAGCGCGGTTACCCACTGTGTCAGGTCAAAGCCCATGGAATCACCACCGTCCTCGAGTCCCAAATCCAGTATTGTCTCCCCATGACCTTCGTCGATTCGTGTTTGTATCGTCGCAGCGAGCTCTTGTAGGCTATCCTCGGTGGCCGCATCGCCTGTGCCCAGCAGTAGGTCCTTCAACTTGACGGCGCGGGGCGCGTCCGAAAGACCCAGCTGGTCGAGGATCTCCAGCTCGGCATGATCCTCCAGGTCGCGGGAGACACTCCCGGTTTCATATCCGCTATCACTGGGAGGTTTTGGTGCCGGGACAGCGGAGCGCTGCGCTTGCTGTTTCTCGGCGTACTCGGCGAACTCGCTGAGGGCCTATTGTCATGTGAGTGAGGCGGCGCACTTTCAACAATGCGACATGGCCAAAAGACAACGTACGATCTCGCCCCTCTTTCTCTCCTCGGCGTTGGATTTTGGTTTAAGCTGTGGCATGTCTATTCGTGATTTGGACACGGTCGATGGAGGACAAAAAATAGAGGATAAACTGGTTCACTCCTTTGTCGACTGTTGAACAAGGACGGGTTTCTGGGGTACTGTTGTAGTATGTAATGACGTTGCGGGTAGTTCCGGTGGATCTCGATCTCCCTCTTGCTTTCGGATGGTTCAGTGTACTAAAGAATCGAACGCGGGCTAGACGGATATTCGAGGAATCATTGCTTGATCGCTTCGCGTTTGAGAAAAATCGGGGACGGGGGAAGCACGTTTATTTATTGATTCATGTCCTGAGCATCAGAAAGTCAAAGGTCGTTTGCTACCTGGTAGAGAGACAGATGATGCAAGAGAGTCGAGTCGCAGGGCGAGGAGCGAGGCCTCGTAGCTTTATCGATAAAGGTGGACTGACTCCATCCGTTGCGGGAGCCCACCTGCACTTTGAGTCATCGACAGGCCGAACGCCAAAAAGGTAAGCTTGACCACAACGAGTCGCCGCTGGTTCTGGAAACATCACAACTCTTTGCGGAATCTTCCGTCAAAGCTGGGAATTGGCTTGGCACTTTGGGATTTAGTCTTCAGCATGTGGCAATTTCACTAAAGATCTGAGTCACACTATCTCTACATGGAAGTGGACAGTGCCTTGGTAGCACGAGCATTGCGGCTCTGCCAGGGACCACGACGACTAGACCACCGTACCTACATATAGGTACTCGCTACAGAGGAAGGTGGTGGATCGAAATTGGTACACCAAAAAGTCATGGTCTCATATCTGTATATTGACGAATTGATTCATGGATGCAGTCGTCTTTCCATTTCACTTGGAAAGCGAGCACTCAGCAATGGCCAACCTTTCCCAATGATACAATACAATGTACCGAGGGCTCCTCTTAGGCCTGAGGGGAAATCAAAACGACGGAATCGCCTGGTTATTGACCATACTTGATTAGCATTCTCCATGGGAAAAAAAAATAAACCATCCGAAAGAAAGCAAATACGGAAAAGATTGCCACGAAACGGGATCGCCGTATTCAGACTCGACTCACCTCGCACGAACAGCATCTCTTCTTGTTTCTTGATTGTCTGAAGACACCGCAAGATCACATCATCAGTGATCTCTCCTTCCTTCGCATCCCAATCGATCCCACCAATGTGACCTTACCCGCGTGATTTCTTGTTCATTTTCATCCTCTTCCACCACATAGATGGTCTCTTCCACATCCCCTAATACGAGGTTGCAATGGCTATCGTATGCCTGGCACAAAATCGGGGGTCAGTCAAGCGTCAAGGTATGAACGACCATAGTCCCAATAATAGAAGGAAGGAGGGGCAAAGTGGTGCCAACGCGTCAAAGCTCACATGAAGACGGCCCTTGAGCTCGCGGTCTCCGCGGAGCTTGACAAACACAATCTCATCTAGTGAGAGACGAACAAGATCAAGAGGCTCCGAGACGGATGCACCAGCATCATCGTTGTCGGCCATGATTGGGGGGTGGAGAAAGTGAATCAGGGCGATAATTGACCGTGTCGCATCTCCCAGTTCCATCTCCGGGAGATCAGAATCGGCGAGCTCAGCGCGTTACCTTATTGGGACTAGCGTGGACCATCGGCCCTGGTGTCTGTCGGGGCAGAATCCGGGCGGAGACTGGCGGAATGGCTGACTGAGCACACGACGTCTGGGCGGTCGCCGCGGGAGATGCGCAGGTCGTTCCAGCCCCAGGCCTTCCTTCAGCTGCTCGCTCACGCAGGTATTTTGTCGATTCGGTTTGTGAGACGATTTCAACTACACACCGCGACCATGTCTTTGTGGAGATTCATTAACGCTGTATCTCTCACGGAACGGATTGCGCATACTACTAGAAGCTAGTGGGCACTGGGCACTGGGTAGTGGTACTCAGGTAGTTACTGACTGGTAGTTCACTACCTAGTTAACTACGAACCCGGTCTTGAGATTGTCCATTTTTTGTGCCCGTGGCGGTATTATGCCAGAAATATAGTAGGTGCCATTAGAGTCATCGTGAACACGTGCCAGCCAAAGTATGCTTCAATTCAAAAGATATCATTGTCACAACTTCGAACTTTCTGATCTGTCATTTACTACCTAGTCTAGCGAAGTGACTCGGTCCTGCACATCGACCTTTCCCCTAGAGTCCCCCAGTTTTTCAAAGCCCGTAGACAGACCCCAGTCGGAATTGCTCTGTCCATCTCGGCAGTCAACAGGAAGCGAGGGCAGAAGCACTATGGCCTTGAGGCGACATTCGAAGTCGAGAAAACGGCTCTGAGACTGAGAGGTCCCTGATAGACAGCTCTGCGTCTGGACTGAACCAGACCTCTGATCTCTGACGATGAGGTCCCCCCTCGCTCTCCACCGGCACCACCTGTTGTTCTGTCTCCCATGTCGAATCAATCGATTGATCCACGATCAGTATGGAAGTAGCGCAAAGCCATGGTTGATCCTCCAAAGACTGTCCACAGAAACACGGCTCGACCGGTCACTATCTCTCGCGATCAGCACTCTTGTCTCACTGTTGATGGAAGCAATGTCACACATCGCATGATAGCGTTGACCCAACACGAGTAGTAGCTCGTATGCACTTTGATTCTGGTACCTATCCCTATACTAACATGGTACTCCTAGCTTGCCTATTTCAGTAGTACTACAGTACATCACTCATTATGGTTGATGCGGCTCCACTTTTCGCCCCTCTCCACAACGGCTCCTCCCACCCTCAACCGTGTCACGTTGCACGGAGATGACATGACGGGGGCCCCGGCAGAAGGTACCACACTAGTACTTCAGTGTAGACTCCCGTATGGGGGACAAAAAAAGCCTCGGAGGACGTCTGAATGCTGGATTGTTTTCTATGAGTATGGTGTAGCGGTAGACTACTACCGTTAGCCCATGAAGTTGCCCCCAGAAAAGGCTAGTTGGCCGGTGGCCTGCAGCTGCAGATGCAAGCTGCCCTCGGTCATTGTCATTGAAGCGGTCGATGCGTCGTCGATGACCGGGGGTCTCCCTTGTACGGTCCAGTCGGTCCGTGTGATTAGTCCTCTGCTCAGAGAGTGCGCTTTGGCAGACAAAGGAAGGCACCCCCTCTCGCACAGACAGTGACTTCCTGCAGAGGTACCCTTGTCCCTGCACGAGCGTGATGACCCCCTCCCCCTCAGGCACTGAACACGCAGTAACATCGAGTACCCCCAGCCCATGTCTCTGTGTCTCTGTGTCTTCATATACTTGTGACCGTCGTATCCTCCGCAAGTCTGCTACCAATTGAGAGAGTAAGGTTCTACTACCTTCCCAGAAGAGGCGCTTGGCCAGACGTACTGGAGAGTCACCATGCACCATACCCCCTCTCTCCTCTTCCACCGACCCCCGACTCAATTTTCATCTTCATCACTTCATCATCTTTCCTTCTCTCTGCTTTCTCTACGTGCCGTATTTTTCATTCCATCGCTGCCTACCTGGCACACGTCCTCATGAGGGGACCCATTTATGCTGGCGAGAGATGGTCCTCTCCTTGGCTCCACCTCCGCCAAAGTGGATCGTCCATTCCCCGTGTCCACAACGGTCAACACACCACGCGACATCAGCTTCATCAGAATGCGACGGGTCAAGGACGTCCAGTGCCAGTCCCAGGTCCTTCAATCTCCCATTCTCTCTTCATCCCATCCAAGCTGGGCAAGCATCAATGGCGGCTCAGAAGACACGTTGCTCGTCCGTACCATTCTGGAAACAACCGTCTCCATGCGAGCGTCGTGTCTGCCTACGAAGCCAACCGGGCGACTCCCTCAGGGCAGGTGCACCGATCACCATCAGCAGACACTTTCGAAGAATGGGAGTCTCCCCAGCAGGAGCAGGAGTACGCAACCCGATTCTATCATACCCTCCAAAATGGACAACCAGACCAAGTCATGAAGGCGATGACTGATCCACGGTCGGCGGGGCTGGTCGGCACGTTACCCCAGACCGTCTTCCTGGCGGCGCTCCACCTCCTCTCCCCGGCCCATTTTGTGGATCCCGTCCGCCATCTCCACCACCCCTTACACACCTGGGCCGTGCTGGTCCACGGACTGAAGCGAATCGAGGAGGTCTTTGACACTTTTGTTCAGAATCTCTTCACCGTGATCGGATACCGCACCACATATGGCGGTCAAAGACTGGGCTTGGCCGAATTCACCCACATTCTGGACTGTGCGCGGGCCATGGGCAATGGCAACTTGGCCGACCAGGTCTGGGCAACGATGAAAGAGACGCAAGTGGTGCCCAACGCCCTGTGCTACACCCACTATATGGAAGCGAAGATCTGGGATCACTGCTACACGGGAGCGGAGGCCTATCGATTGCGTGTACAACCCAAGGCGTATCGAAAGCGGCGTACTCGGGAGCCGAAGATCGGGTGGCAGGGATTTGGCACCGCGCAACGAAGCGTGCGAAAGCTCGTTCTTCGTCTGTTTGGTGAGATGCAGGCAGAAGGTCATGCAGGCGACGAGCGAACATATATCAATCTGTTGCTAGCGGCGGCACGCGTCGGCCATTCTCGGGCCATGGTACACATTCTGAAGGAGGTGTGGAACGTGGACGTGGAAGCGCTCAAGCAGGAGCCAGATGATGCCAAACTGCCACCCGTCACCAACTATGACTCCTGGTCGGCTCTCTATCCGACGGAGAACCTTCTCTTCGCCGTTGCGCATGCCTTTGGGGTTAACAACGACATTGCCGGAGCGGTTCGAACCGTCCAATTCCTTTCCTCTTCCTACAAGATGCCCATTCCTGCCAAGGTCTGGCACGAGGTGTTCGAACGAGCCTATGTGCAATCTCGGGAGCGATGGTCCGCGACGGAGACGACACGGAGTGAAAGAGACACGGAATGGGCCAACACGGTCGGTCGAGTCTCGGTGGATATTGTGCAGTCCGTGTTTGTGGCAATGACCTCTGAGCCGTACAACGTGAAGCCCACCATGCAAGAGTGGCGCTTCATGGTCAATACAGCCATCGGTACCGGCTCTTTGGAGGATTGCAAAAGATACATCAACGGGGCCTACGATCTCTTGGAGGAGACCCGGAATAGACAGACGGAAGCACGCAAAGTCGTGTTGAGATGTCTCAATCCGGCACTCCAAGCGGCACGCCAGCAAATGCGACAAGGCGCGCCCCAACCCAGCCCCGAGCTTTTTGAGTCTCCGATACTCGCGGAAGCGATTCGCACCTACGACCTCATCCGTCTCGAGGCCTGGCAACAACTCTACCTGCTGCAACGCATGCTCTATGTCGTCGTTCGGACGCCCGGCTGGAAAGACATTTCAGAGAAGCAGTGGCTGCTTCAAGAACGGCCACGCATGCTCGAAGAATGGGTGGATTTCCTACCTAGCAAGATTCAACTATTGTATAACAGCAACACCGGTCACATTGACATGATGGGTCCCAAGGGCTTTGGCAGTCGTTCCTATAAAGTGGACTCCCGAGAAGTGCCAGTTCGCCGACACACTGGCGGCAAGGACCTGTTCGACCCGGGCACGTGGCCGGCGTGGACTGAAAAGTCCAAGTGGGAGGATCTTGCAAAGCGATATCCGTTCTTGGATCGTACCGCGGCGCCATTGGACCGCCTCTTCACGTTCCAGGTTCCGCAGTCGGAAGAGCTGTATCACACTCTGTCTAAGATGCGAGATACTTGGACGGAATATCCGGAAGATCATGCATTGTCTACGAAGAACAACCCCCACGGTGGATTCTTCGGGCGCTTGGCGGCATTGGATATGCTCAAGACTGAAAAGGGCAACAGCGTCTTTCTGCTGGATGGGAAGTCTTGGATTTAGAGATGTGGAACCTGGAAGATGAGAGTATGTCTGTGCGGGATTTTAAAGCCCAGCTTTTTTTTTTGGCTTGATGTACATCTGATACCCCTTGAGCATGAGTATGAATTCCTTCAGCTGGATCCAGCCCAGCTGGCCCTAGCCCCGATGTCTTGCAATATTACGTATAAATGTGTCTAGTGTTTCTAAGACGCTCGGTGTTCTACTCGTAAACTAGATTGTTTTGATCAGTATGTCACCATCTGCTGGTACTTTGGACTAAGAGGGTCTTGAAATCGCAACCTTCCCATGGTTTGCATGTCTTCACCCCTCGATTGCATGATTATGATTATGTACAAATGGACGGTTGAAGGAGCGTGCTGCACACTCCCCGGGCTCCATACAAGAACTCCAGATATAGCAATGCCCAGTTGGGTCAGACCGTGGGCAGAAGTCTGAAAGTACTGCCCGTACTCAAAACGGGACAAAGCTCTTCAAACCTTTTCCCGCTTCAAATCATTCACAGTCATATACCTCCCGATCGTAATCCACCCCCACCGGAACCAAACCATCTGACTCTGATGGCCCCTCACCATGGCCGACTGCGCCGTGAGCCAATCCCCCACCGAACTGACAAACATCAACCGCCTCGGCGTCCCAGCAGCCCTTGCCTTCCTCGCATCGCGTTTACTGAACAAGGTCCCCAGAAGCCCAGTCACCATCGAATACGGTGCGTCCAACACCCCGATGTACTTGCGCAGCATGGAGGTCGAGGTCAGCGTGTACAAGGTCACGGGGCAGTCGAAGCCCTCCTTGTCCGTCATCATGGTCTTGAGGAACCGGACGGCGCCGTGATACAGAGAGCGGTGGTTCGGGTGGTTGCTGACGCCGTGTTGGTCGAAGGTGAGCAGGATGTCGATGGTGGCGGTGGGTGCCTTGTGCACGTTCTTCTTGGTGGTCCCGTTGAGGGTGGCGGCGACATCCGGGGAGAAGGCCGAGGCCAAGAGGGAGGTGATGTGCTCGGCCGCCCACGTGGTGCTCATACTGTCGGGGAAACGGGCTGGGTCGTCGAGGACGAAGACGTCGGAGCGATCGCGGACTCCGAGGAGGAGAGCGGATTTTTCGAGTTCTTTGCGGCGGGTTTCGCCTAGTCCGTCTGCATCGCCTGGACAGAGAGAAAGACAAAGGGGTGGGTGTGAGTGAGGAATTCCGATGAGGATGAGGATGATGATGATGATGATGGTATGATGGAAGGTTTGTGTGCTCTGGAGATCAAAAAGGACATACCGGTGCTGAGACACAGGATTTTCAAGTGATTTCCCAGCTCTGGCTTGGTGAGCGCCAACACCGTGGGTGAGAAGAACATGGCCTCATCGTCCGGGTGCGCGATGAGCAGACAAATGCGCTTGTTGCGAAGACGGGGGAATGAGCTCGTAAACGGGGACGAGGTCGACGAGATGGTCCAGAAGAGAAAGACCGCGGCCACGGCGATCGCCACCGAGGTCCAATTGAATGAGGACGACATATTGGAAAGAGACGTGATCTGATGGACCGGCAGGTTCTCCAACGGCGGTGATATGCTGTAGCAGGTGTGGAGGGTGTTGTATACTCCGCCGCAACTATTTACAGATCCTTCCCCCACCCTCCCACCAGATCTCAGATCTACTCGATTGAGCTGGTCTAATATCTGGGGGTCTTGGCAGATGGTGGAGCGATGGTCTGGGCTCACAACAATGATGAGGCCTTCAGGCGGAGGTGGTACGGAAGTGTGAGGGAGTAGTAGAATCGGTTTATCATTCCACTTGGACGTTAAATCTGGGAGAGAGATCCGCGGGGTGTGAGGCTCGGGGAGAGAAACGATGTTTATTCACGGGTCTCCACACAAAGGACCTTTGTTGTTCCTTGAGTCTATTCTGAGCGAGCGCACAGGTACATAGAGAGCTTCGACTCGGGTATGACCATGGCAGAACGAACACGGTGGCCAGACGCTCAGATATCGCCATTCGCCAACAGTCGGAATAGGGGAGACGCCCGGCTGGAGTGGCTTCTTTGGGATTCGGGAGCGGATGATCCCCCGTGATGAAAGGTCACATGATCCTTAGTTTATCCGCTTCATGCAGACGGTCCCCAGACGTGTTTGGGGGACGGACATGGACCTGTTCGAGGGAACCGAGGCTTGAAGCAGAGAAAAAAAGAAGATGGTGGACCTGAACACAGCATTGACAGCCGCGAGGGAATGCAGTGCTGCACAGAGACCAGAATGCCACGGTTGCAACTTGCACCACCCCAGACTCCAGCGGATCAAGTCATCCGACGGGAGTCTCGAGTCTTATCTCTGCCGTTCCTGTGCCACCTTCCGTTCGCAAGCACGATTGGTGCGGGGCGATCCCGTGATCAAGATCTCGACTCGCTCAATCAGCCAATTCTCGAGCGTCGATCTGCGACCCTGAAAAGATTTCCCCTGCAAGGCAAGGGCGTCGAATTGATAACCTTGAATACTCTTATTTCAAGTACAGACGAGTGACGGGGCCTCAGTGGTAGGTGAACCCAGGCGATAGCACGAGCGCGTCGTCATGGACTGTGCGAGACTCAAACACTACTCAACCTTGCTGCGTACGGAAATTTTGCCTCTCCGAGACCGGACCGCCCAGTGACTGTACTGACTCCTGAGTCTACTGACAAGTAGTAAGACTAAGTAGTAAGTAGTAAGTACGGAGAACTCACTGACTCAGTAGGGTCAGTCCTCTGACTACTGTCTCAGTTGCCACATAACGACTGTCTGGATTGTCTCCAGTCACTAGCAGAAGTGGCACATCGAAGGATACTTTTGAGTCAACGTGAAAGATTTCTGGTGGAGTGTAACGTCCATCCTTGGGTGATGCTTTATCGCGCAGGCCATCAAATAGATCATTTACACAATCCATCGATAGCCTGACGTGTACTGTGATGGCACCGCCACCGTTCTTGCCCACGCTTAGAAGAGAACAGAAGGTATCGTACGGGATCATGCCATCTGGTCGCTCCTATATGAGATCCAGATGAGACAAGACCCAGGTCAACTGAAGGGCATGACACCCCTCCTGGACAACTGTCGAGTACACTATCACTGGGACACATCACCTCCAGTAATATTCTTCAAGTCGAGACCCCTCTCGTCCCGACGCCAGGCTGCCAGCTGGCGAATTGAGTATAGCAGTGTCACCCCCAAGACATCGGGCGTCGATCCACGTTGCAAAAGTGGAAGTTTCTAGATAGGTGGAGCCATCCGGGGCGGCACACCGAGATTTCATCGGCCCGGTGCCCGACTGAAAAAGTTGACGGAAATCTCCTAACTTCTCCAAGCAACCGGGTTTTCGATCGGGGAGGCAGATGGGTGTTTCCCGACGGAGAAGGAAGCAGTGCGGGATTCCGCAGTCGTGCTCTTGCACGCATAACGCATATTTGTGGCGCCTTCTGTTTAAGGTCTTGCGTACGCTGTAGTCTGTAGTCTGTGCATCAATTCGGGTAGGGCGGTGGCCGCTCAGGTCTGGTCTGATTTACAGGAGATACTCCATAGTCCATACTCTATAGTCATCCTCATAGTACTGGGACTGGAGCGCGACGATGCTCTCTCCACTGCGACTCACCGGTGGTCCCGGTGCGCGACCGCTACTTTGAAGTGTGACACATGGAATGAAGAGAGCGTGTGTGGAGGATCAACTCTTGGGATGGACGGATAAAGCATTGTGGTGAACATTGGCTGCATAGGCCAGTGGCCGTGAGGAGGACTGGCGATGTTGTTGATGTTTCCTACTTTTCTTAAAAGTTACTACCTAAGGTACCAGGTAGGTAGTAAGGTACTAAGGTACTAGTTAACTACTAGTTAACTACTAGTTACTAGTCAGGTATTAGGTAACAAGCCGTAGTCAACGTGACTTGGGATTAGCTATCCATATTTCGATAGCCACGTTGAATGAACTAATCGTACAAGTCAGATCAGACCATGTTGTAGGACTAGGTATAGTGGAACTGGAATCTAGCGATAATGATGCTGTATATCCCATGGACCGACTCTGTTCAGCGCTTCAAAAGATCCGTGGAATATTGAGTGTCCCGAAGCAGCACTCCTCTTGTACCTGCCGGATTCGGCCCGTCGAGTGGATTATATAGTACCCATTATTAACCTCGTAACCGCGCATACTCCCGCCTCGGCCTTCCACTCCTCTGGTCGCGGCCGCCAGTGGCGTGCCGCGAACCTGGCATCGCGATGATCTGGGACCGAAGATTTTCCATAGTGTGACCGTGTAGTGGTGTTTCATTCAGCCCCGCGGACCGAAAGATTTATATTGGACCCGACGCGCTACCATTTTGGAGGAACACCATCTCCACTGAACGGGAGAATAATGAAAATGCCAGAGTAGAGACGTACTCTACTAGACTATGGCACAGTTACACAGCTGCAGAACATGAGAGACCAGAGAGTGTAATTGGAAAGTACCTTATGAAAGCCGGTAAACGGTTGATAGTTGATACTACTTGATACTTGATGGCCACATAATAAATGCTAGAGGGTGGCTGAGCTTGTGCAAGTGGGCCGCCTGGCTAGACTCGGGTCACGTCCACTGCACGAATACATGTATCAACATCAATAGCTCCGGCCACTTTTTGATCCTTACAGAGTCAAAAGAACCCAGGCTGGACTCTCAGCCTGGCCATACCACCTTGGAGGCGCTCAGGGACTTGTTTGCCGTGGATGGCCGAGAAAAATCTCTTCATGGCACGCTCTGTTGCTGAGCGGGTACCTGCGGGTCTCTGGGCTTGGGTGCGGCCGAGAACAATCGAATTTTGGGGTGGATTGCAAGACAATGGAAGCTCGTGAATTAGACTAGTCGATTTTTTTTTTCTAGGATTCTGAGTTTCAGACATGTATTTGCTGGCCGCCGGAAGATTGTTGGTCTTTGATGGGCGCAGGAATGGGACCGAGCTACCTTATGGTCGAGTGTAAGGTTTGATATACATCATGGTCCTCTTTCTAATACTAGGTAGGACGACTACGTACTGCATAAGTAGACATCAACATGACGCTATACCGTAGTTTGAAATTCCGATACACGTGAACGGGCAATTCGTACTATTGCATCAATGCACACTACCAGCCTAGTGCGTCCAAGTCAATGCCGTGATTCGAGTCTCAGGAGTCAATCCACGGAAGAGAGAGGTATGACTGGGAGAGACTCCTCTACTCAGGCAAATCCTGGTGAATGAATCTACTCGTGTGGATGATCTCAAGGATCGTGTCTGACTCTGCGCAAACCTTAGGATCGAGATTACACAGTATTGCCCCGAAGGGGAAGTTCGCCAGAGAGTTGCCGATGGTGGCCGTCCGCCCGATTGGCCAGCACATGGTCTGATCATGATTGTCCCCTGGCATGCACGTCATGTGAGCCCAGCACTGTAAAAAAGACAATTGCTGTAAGTTTTACTGTATATCGAAAGCTTTACTCTATTCATATATTCATATCTGAGACTTGACCGTAAGAATCACGTCCTTTTGTCCGGTATCCATGACTGGAGGTGGTCCATTGATCGTATGTAGTGAGACTCGTCCTAGTCCAAACTCCAAACATCCTGTCGATGGCACTGACACCTGGGTGGGAGGCCGATTGTGATTTGCCAGCCACGGCGGCATCAGCCTCCAAATTGAAAGGAAAATCATTTCCCGTATGATAGTACTGAGTAGTAAGTACACTCACAAAACACATGGCATATGATCCTGATACTGCTCTTTTCTTTCCCCCCTGTTTTGTTACCTGTTCGGGGATTCATCACCAATGCTTGGTCTTTGCAGCAGTGGCTTTCACCATGTCGTCCTGAACCGGAGTGCTCCACTTCCAAAGACGGGTGATCGATGGAGCAAAAGAGAATTGAAGAACGACTGGTTCTGATGGAGTCGCCGCGAACGTTATTACATAGAGATCACCATGTAGACGTGTCCAGTGTCCACCGCGGACCGAAGCATTCAAAATTGTATGGCATCTGGATGTAGATCTTCCTTGTAGAGGGCGATGTCTCTTGTGCCTGCTCTTCCACACACGAATGATGAGATTAGGAGAAGAGTTGCGCGGTCTGCTCTCCAGTCGGAAGGTGGAGTTGTTTCTTCCTTCCTTTTTTTTTCCGTTCTGTGCATCGAAGCCGAGTCCACTCAGACGGGATCGATGATCTACATTCTACAGTATATTCCCCAACGTCGAACCGTTGGCGAGCTCGTTTGTTCGCCAATTTGTACAGTAGACACGATTGTTAAGGAGCCAGTGCTATCAATGTGACGGGAGTCTTTCATGACTGAATCACGCCATTACTGAGCAAGAAGCAGCATCTATCATGGAGTTTTAATCCACCGCCGGTCTAGGTCCGCGGCCCCCCGTTCGGCGACACAGCACGTCGTCGATCCAATCTGATACCGTCCAACCGTAGCGCCGAGGGACCTCATGTGGGCACGCCGTACCTTGCAAGGTTCTCAAAATTCCTTGGAGCATGGATTGAGGGGCACAGCTCTCGTTGCTTCAAAAGACTGTAGGAGTAAAGGTACCTCCTACTTGGATGATCGCTCCCATGACCCGACCCACTTCAAGCTACTCGTGTGTACCCATGTACACACGTACATCTTACCTCGCTTCAACAGCACAGGCAGCTGACGCGAGACAGAAGAAGACCTCCTACCGTACACGATGCAGCCATAAGCTGCATAAAGCAGACACCGGCACTGCTTGCCGCTGAGAATCCAGCCCATGCACACTGGGTACTGACTAGCAAAAGTGGGCGTTTTGAGGCATTTGTTTTCCCTGCGCGCTATCTCCTCTTACCCTGCATTTTTGGCCTGACTGCGGCTCGATGAATGCTGCGGCAACGGTGCACGGGCTGGTAGGGTGGTACACTACCTCAGGTAACGAGGTCCTAAGATGGAGCTTTCATGTTGGAGGCATGGCCTCGAATCTTGATGGAGCCCCGACGTGGGAAGAATAAAAAGCCCGACCTGACCTCTTTGGTCAACTTTTTAGGTAATTAGTGTGGGCTCCCGACGCGGTGATTCGCCCACGAGCTCGCATGTGAAGCACAGAGCAACTCTTGACAGGTCTAAGGATTGACAGGGCCAGGATCTTGGGAAATTGTGAAGCTATCCACATGAAACATTCACGGATTCTACAGTACACCAAGAATGCCGGATTTCCAGAATTGGACCTGGGGTGATTGCAAACCCGCGACAAACTGGTCAGGTCAAGTCCAAAGGGGAGAAAAAAAAATGCGACTGTACGTATGACCACCGACGCGCCCCGCAAAATGGCGCCGGCCAGGCAATGCGGGGTGGAAAGAAAGAAAAATGGACAAAAGGAGGGAAAAAAACAAAGGGAGAAAAATGAGCGTGTGGTCTTCCACACTAATCCCAAAATAGTGAACCGGCGGTGATATCCATAAGGACCGAACGGCGACCGCCGCTTCGGCTCATGTTGAGTATGACCACCTGGAAGATCGGCAGGTTGATACTTGTAAACATGAACGATGGTAGTTGCACTGACTGCACACTACATACTACATAGTAAGTACTCTGCTCTGCTCTGTTACTGCACCTCATATAGGGAATACGAAAAGGTCAAACCTGCAAGTCACATGACAAACACGACGCGTACCTTTGCAAAACCCCCCTAGTAAGTTGTCACACTGCCATACTGATGAACACTGAGCAAAAAAAGATCCCTCCCATCTTAGATCACACATAAGGGCAAGATGGTGGATCGCCCAGGGTCCTTCAACACGAATCTCTTGCCCAAAACGGTCGAGTGGAGATGCCGAGAGGAAAATTTCTTTCAAGGTTGCACGCAAAGAGGATCTGCCACTAGCGGGAAGCCCGTATCTTACGTGGTTTCTCTCTTTACGAGGGATGGTATTGTGACTGAAAGAACCGTTCCATCGATCGGGCCGTCGCTGGGCCTTTGGTGGCGCCACGTGATGATCCTCTCTGGTCTTCGGGTCCCGCTCATGGCCCTCTCAGCTCCTCTGCCTTTGGGCTCTCCCGAGTCCCCATCGATGGGTGTAAGGCGTGGAATGGGCGCAGTCGCGTATGTTGTCATGGTCAATTCCTCTCGGATCTGAGCTCATCGTCTGATGCACGATCGATGTGACACGGGGCTTTCACGAGGCTCAGCTGTCTGGTAGAGAGGGGTTGAGTTTCCCCAGCATAAGGTACCTGCTCCTACTTGTGCTATTATCTCTGTCACCTAATAATACACACACCTTTGAAGTGTTTCCTTTATTTTCAGCTCTGCATGACTAAATATGTGGTCTATTCAACAATTAAACACCAAGCCCATGTACAGCCAGAATGACAGTATGACTGACAACGAGCGGGCCGCTCTATCCACGAAGCCGCAATATCCAGAACAGAAGAACCTTGCCAAAGCGCACTTCGGCAAACATCCCATGAGAAGCGAGGTTTCTCGGTCGATTCGGCACTCCAGACCGGGAGGGGGTAGCCCCCAACCTGGCAAAAGGGCTCTCAGGTGACCTCCGGTGCGCCATGTTTCCCGCTTGGACTGTGATTTCGAACCCGGCATCGACCTCTTGGCATGGCCAAGTTCCATCTGCCGTGCGATGGGGACCAACCCTCAAGTATCTCCTCTGTCGACGGGGGACGTGGACACTACGAGTACTAACTGCGCTCTGTATGGTATTCTGTGGTAGTACTATCAAGGCTCACACCTCACGAGGACGGGGGTTGTATTCAATCATACAGACTACCTTAGTACCTACATAGCACTTTCCTCGGCAGGATGTCGGCAGGGGCCGTCGATATCCTTCCGCAGTAGCATCATCTAAGCTCATAGTACCTAGTAACCTACTACCTAGTAACCTACTATCACATGAACGTCGAACGTCGAATGTGCTACATCGCACATTAGGTTTGACTACGACCGACGTTGCATGACCATGGATTTATTATTGCATCGATAACCCGAGTCCTGTCTGGAACCCTCTCGTGCGAATGACTGTGCGGGAGGACGGCACCGTGCTCGGCATAATCCCCGGGTCCTCTGATCAGACTACATTTAGACTTCCGGAATACCTAGTCGGTGACTCACAGTTGCGCACATGGGGTCTTGCTGGTTACTATGGAATCCAGAGAAGTCCCACACAGTGTATTGAGCGTCCCAGAGTAATGAGTAATATCTCTGGGTCCAGAAGTCGGGTCCAGCCGTGGACAATTCAATTGTAGTTTAGCAATGGACAATTCGCGTCCCAATGTAGAAAAATAACGTGTCTGGACTGGACCACAGCTTTGAGGATGACAATGGAATGATGCCGACCTGCCTGAAACTGTAATGAATCGATCCTCCAAAATTGCGGGATGTGGGGTCAATTGGCCGGTCAGGAGGTCTTGGAGTAGGCGATCACGTCAGATGATCGATGGCGGTGGTGGTACTGGGCCGAGCAGCCGGGTTAAGTTTTGGCAGATTCAAGCATTGCTAGTATAGACGGGAGAATCTATGCGGCACTAATTGTGATTTGTAACGGGCACTGGTAGAATTCCACGGCGCTTGCAAAAGACTCAAGTTTGATGACGGCCCGCTCTTTTGTTATATGTCCTGAGTTAACACAGACTAGCGGTGGACAATTGACTTGGATAGCCCGTCGTTCAACGACGCGCTGGCCACAGATCAACTTGGTATGCAGGACTGAAGCTGAGCAACCAAGACCACTCACATATGGACATGTATTATAATATGGATTGTGAGTAGAAGAATGTTTCTGAGGATTCTTCTATTCTATTCATCCAGTGTTTGGCCGAGACCTACTGTAGTAGGTAAAAATCTGGGAGAATTACCGGCAAACTTACCCAAGCTCACGACCCTAGGATACACAACGACTGTTTGACAAGAGCTTCAGTCCATCAAGCCATTAAGGTTGTCGAATAGCTTTCTGAATCGGAGCCCGAGGACACCGTCACGTTAATGTGTGGTCGATGTCCAGGTATCCGCTTAGCCGGCGGTACTTTCACTACTTTCAGCCTTCAGATCACCTTAATGGGAAGTTGTTTGGGTAGAGTCTCTTGTCCCGCAGGCTCAGCCATGCTCGCAACTTCCTTCTCATGGCCTGAACTTAATTAAACCAGAGTGAATGACTACTGAATGTCGGTCCGCCAAGCAGTCGAAGAGTCGAAAGCGCCCATCTCGAGGTAATAACCAGGTAAGATCCCTGTACGAGTATTGTCAGGACCCACAATGACGAAATCTGTAGCCCCTATAACCGCATGAAAAAAAAAATTCCTAATTTCTAATTCCAACAAAAGGAAATCACAGGTCGGATCTGATTTTCACGTCCGCCCTGTAGATGTTCCCACTGCGGCCATGCTTTCGGTGGCCAGGCCCGTATGACTCCCTCCGGTACCTGGCCGCCGCAGAAGATGGAAAAAAGTGGACAGAGTGGGGAATCTCCTAGAATTTTTTTTTTCTTTCTTTGGGTTCGAAGAGTTTTCCACGGATTTGGTGGCTTTAGGCTCAACCACATGATTCTGTGTCAGGAATTCAAAAGCAGCACAATCCCCATGACCATCGATATCTCTTTCTCTCTAACATATTCCTATTCGATACGCACAGATTCGGGACATTGTATGATGTTTAGGCTTCCTGAATCAACAATCTCTCAACTGTTCCAGCATCGCACTGCTTCCTAAATATCTACCCCACACAAACACAATCCACCAAGACCTTGACATAACCTTACAAGTATACCAACTATCGATTTCGACTTGCGCGCATCTGCGTAATTCGCCTTCTCCCACACACATCCTCACCATCGTGTGGATTATCTCGACCTGTCTTCTGCCACCATGCCGGGCCGTCTACTTGCCAGCTTCGTCCGGGGCTCTGGTTCCCACCACTCCTCGGTTTCCACAACCCCCATTCACTCTAATTCCTCATCCACCACCTCAGTCAACGAAATCATGCATTTCGGCCCAAAGAAGACTCACGGTGCTTCTGACCGGGCTCGCTCGCCGGAACGCCGCCTCTCTTTTCACATGGATCACTTGATTCACCCGCACCGAGATCACAGCAAGGACAAGCGCCGCAGTCTTGGACGTGCAGGCCGCTCCAAGGAACGCCTTGGCAAGGAAGACCTCGCTCAGCCCTCGGCCAAGTTGGATGTCCTGGTGGAGTCTCCTCCCTTGGTCTGCTATGGCACCCCCAGCAACTCCACCGGTGCCTTGTTCTCTGGTCGTCTGCGTGTGACCATTCCGGAGTCCGCTGGAGAAGTCGTCTTCAACGAGTTCAACGTGCGCCTCATCTCCAAAAATACCACCAAGAAGCCCGTCTCATCTCACTGTGCCAGTTGCGCCACTCGTACCGAAGAGCTTACTCGCTGGGACTTCCTTACGGAGCCCTTGCACCTGAAGCCCGGTGATCATGACTTCCCCTTCAGCTATCTCTTCCCGGGTCATCTTCCTGCCTCCTGCAACGGCGCGCTGGGCCAGATTGAATACTACTTGCAGGCGCATGCGCACAGCACCACAGACGAGGACTTTAACCTGAAGTTGCCTCTCAACCTTCGCCGCGCCCTCATCCCCGGGAACGACAAGTCCTCCATCCGGATCTTCCCTCCTACCAACCTGACCGGCCGCGTCGTGCTTCCCTCCGTCGTTCACCCTATCGGCAGCTTCCCCGTCGAGATGACCCTGAGTGGCGTGGTGGACAAGAATGAAGAGACCCAGACCCGCTGGCGTCTTCGCAAGATGATGTGGCGCATTGAGGAGCACCAGAAGATCGTCTCCACCGCCTGCCAAAAACACGCCCACAAGATCGGTGGTGAGAACAAGGGTGTTCTCCACCAGGAGACCCGTATCATTGGCCACAACGAAGAGAAGAGCGGCTGGAAGACCGACTTTGACACCGCCGGTGGTGAGATTGCCATGCAATTCGATGCGAGCATCAACCCCACGACCAACCCTGTCTGCGACATGGACGCCCCAAACGGCCTGGAGGTCAAGCACAACCTCGTCATCGAGCTCATTGTCGCGGAGGAATTTTGCCCTAACCGCAACACCCGTCTCATCACCCCGACAGGTGCTGCCCGAGTGTTGCGCATGCAGTTCAACCTTCACGTCACCGAGCGCAGTGGCTTGGGCATCAGTTGGGACGAGGAGATGCCTCCAGTCTACGAGGCTGTTCCTGCCAGCCCTCCGGGCTACTTCAAGTTGGACGACAACGACACTCGCAGTGTTATGGAAGATTATCGAGGATCACCCCTCCCATTGCCTGATTACGACGAGTTGGAGCGTATGGAGTCCCTCCGCCTGGACAGTGACTCCACTCACTCTTCTGCCCACTCGGCCGGCAATCGAGGTCGCCTGCGTCTCACCATTGACGACCTTGTGACTGAACAAACCCCGCCACCCTCCGAGCCCGTCTCGCGTGTTCCGTCACGCTCTCCTTCGGTCGACAGCTCTCGCCTCTAAAAATTTCTCAACTCCTTCAACACGAATTCTCAACTCTACATGCTTCTATCTTCCTTCTCTGCCATGACGACTTTTATGACTGAAACGACCCAAAAAGAAAGATATCCGCGAAGTCACAGACTTGCCAGAACTTTTACCTCACTTCTTCTCATTTTATCTACCTTTACGATATTCAACCTGTCGAGTGGTCACTCGTCTGTCTATCATGGCTCGCCCTTGCTATCATGCTCCTCTTCTCTCTTTCTCAAAATTTTTCAAACCTCGGGCGCAATGGTTCGCAGAGGCCAAACCTCCTCCCACACCAGACTGCAGATCGCACGCCGATGCGAGCTGGTGACAACATGTGGGCGAGATGGCCTCCTATCTTTTTGTTCTTGCACTATACCCATTTTGCATCCTTAAGGATTCTTACCTGCTTTTGCTTTGCTCTGAGAAACGCAAGTGTCTTTTGGCTTGATCTTGCAATGGAGCAATTAGATTGTTGGTGACATTTTACCATCTTATTAATCACTTAATGAAATCATGAGCCATTATGACACTTCCATCCTGGACTCCCACTATATCCACATCCGCCATTCCAATTTGCCAATCCGTAGAAACCTAGCCCTTGGAACGTAATCCTCCACCTCTGGAACCCATGATCCGTATCTTGGAATTCAATTCTGCGTGATCTCCGTACATCACACTCCAAGTGTGGACGCGTAAGAGTGATGCGCAACACATTCAACCTAGACACGAGCTCTTTTTCCAGCGCTCCACAGCTGGTTCCAATATTTCATTCCTCTGCTGGGACCTAGGCTTTGAAGAGTGGTTCCACGGTCACACAAAGGCTGCCTTTTCCGAACCACGACCCGCGCAGAAGTTGTTTCCAGTGTCTGCATTTCGGGCCTGCCGAGAAAGCTGGTTTCATGAGTAGGGATGTGCTTGACCTCTAGAAGTAGCCCGTGTTTTGTGTTGTGGATGACCTACACAGTATCCTAAGTCTCTGGGTCCGTTCGCTCTTGGCTAGCCTTGTATGATGATGATTCGACAAGTCTGGACTACGTAGAGGTCTAGACTGTGACACTCTATACAGTGTCATCATGTCATCAATCTCGGTCATCATATTCTAGAACGTGCATCGATCGAGGCGGGTGACGAACAAATAGCGGCATCCAAGAGATCTCGAGGTAAAGAAGACGTCCAGGAACAGACTCCTCTGGTTACGGACCTGCCCTTGCTCCTCCCATCGAAATACCATTCTCGAAGGCTTTTACCCGACTCGAGTCTTTCCTGATACTCTAGATGGCTCGTCTACAGGTGCCAAGTATCTCCGTATGATACTGAAAAAGAAGCCTGTGCATTCTAGCTACTTTGTCGAAACTATACAGGTATGAAGTAGGGCTACTCTGGGCAATCGACAATGCAAGATCCGGTACAGCGACAAATAGAAGGGGATCCCCTTTTGGCGTCGAATTCCATTTCCGAGGCTTGACCTGACTCATTTATATGGATAGTCCGGGCGGATATGGGGATCGTTAGTCAGTGTCTTCACGGTGGTCAGTACCTGCCCAATAGTTAGTGAATAAATCCTCTACGCAATCTTATAGTTCTGAGTTATCATATCATCACGGACATGAAATGCAAGCCTAGCCGCTACTCCCATGTCGCATGCTTCCGATCGACATAAACCCTACAATGTCATTGACAAATCCTCCAGACGACAGACATAAAAGTGCTGCACCGCCATCGAAAACACATGTGCTCTCCTACATTGTCCAAGAAGAATCTCCGATCGTACCTTGTGGGCTGCGTTCAAAGTGGAGCCCCCTCAGATTTGAAAAAAATGGAGATATCACACCACAGCTCATGCATGAGGGTACTCATGCGGGTGTCTGTGCATTTGGCACATCTGCCCAACTCCGCTCTGTCTACCTGCGTGGTGTCTGGGAGTTAGCCAGTCCCTTCATACTGACTGTTTGGCTGCCTTTTGATGGATGTGGGTGGGCGTGGTTCCAGAGAATAAAGTTCCGCAGCGGCGGTATAGTCAGCAGAAGCCTACGAGGCAACCTGAGCTAAAGCAGTAGCTCGAAGCGGAATACGACCAAGTACTAAGGGTCGCATTCCAAATATTCCGCGGTGGTCAGTTAGGGTTGAATAAAAAGGAAGAGAGGAAGAGAAAGTCAGACAGGCGAGGTGGGGGTGGAAGGGAAAGTTTAAAGGAGGGGACTGTTCTTTGTTTCCTACCTTCTCTCAATCTCCCTCTGTACGCTTAGACCTGCAATGGTTTTCGACAATATTCATACACCTTGAGATGGAATCATTTTCAATATGAAAACCTCTATTCTTGACAGGAACGCTAGCGCAGTAACGAGGCAAAGTTGACAGGAAATACACAATGTCAAGTATTGAAATCACAACACGCCGAAATCGACCACCATCAAAACGCCGTTAGGATCCAGTGGGGTATAAAAGGACAACCAACATCGCAAGAAGACCAAGTCACATATCAACGCCCACCAAGGTACAGCACCAAAAGAGCAAAAAAAAAAAGACATCGCCATCATCAATCAATGCTGACAATAAAAACGCAGCGTGCTTGACTGAAAAGGCTCGGAAGGAATTGATCATGAATCAAAGATGGGACCAAATGCAGGTACACCGCAGGATTCCAACTCATACACAATCTGTCGAGTCAACCCAGGGTTACTGATCACACACACCGCTTCAGCCCCAAACTCGCGGATTTGTCGCCGGATGATAGGGACCATGTCGATGCGTCCTAGTCGATCCGTGTCCATGATGATCGGACACTGATCCATGCGATGAACAAGATCCATGACCTCTTGCCCATAGGTCTTGAGAGGTGCTCTCGTCTGCCAGAGCACTCGCAGCTCTGGGCGATTGTCGTCGCCAAGGAATGACAAACACGGACCAATCCCCGAGCCCGTGGTCACGACAATCACTTTCTTGAATACTCGCATCGAGTATGCAAACCCATACAGAAGCACACCACGCTTCCAAAGATGGGTGGGTGGGTTTCGGATCGTGTCCGCAGTCCAGTCACCCGCCTTGGACACCAAGCAAGAAAAGCTGGCTTTACCACGGGGGCCCGCTGGGCTGAGGTCGGGAAACGTGGCGAAGCCATGCCAATCCCGCAAAGGGTGCTTGGCTAATTGAGTGCCCTTGCCAAATGTGGTGATGGCGTGGTCAAAGTGCAGTCGCACTGCATGAGATGACAGGACCTCTGCACGAACGGGAACTTTGCGCAACATCGCCCACGGCTGCACTATGGCCGCGACGGTAGCAAGCAAGAACCAGAATGCAGGTAACTCGATGAGAAACCGGCCCAACGTCTGTCCCTGTGCCTGGCTGACCTCGTGAGAGAAGACCAAGAGCAGTGCCATGAACAGCATGACCACAAGCCAACCGGAGAATCGGTGGATGAGCTCAAAGTAGTCGTGGAGTTTCATTCGGAACGTGGGGTGCGCCACGATGATGATGGACAGCAGAAGGAGAAGAATTAAGTATGCTAGCGCCACGGGAGCTGCAGAAAAGCCAGCAGCACCGACCACCGCGCCAGCAGAAGAAGGCAACCAATATTGATGGGACATGACTCCAATGAAGCCCATGTACCAGATGAGAGCTGCGATGCCGCAGCCGCTATGTACGCCACCATAGTGGTATACCTTGCATGCCATGTGCCGTAACGCAAATGGTGCGGATCGGGGGATGGCAAGTACAATGCGGAAGATGCTGTTGACAACCAGTGGCTGTCGAGCCAAGCCACATGCCAACAGGTTGGCCGCAGTGGCATTGACCAGAGCGAGCAGCTTGTGCCTGGAAATCATGATCCAGATGAAAAGGCCCACGTTGCTGCAAAAGACGAGAGTGAAAAGACGACGGTACAGAGTCAAAATGCCGTACCGCATGAATGCAAACCGCTTGGGCTTCAAATTCTGCGTCTGAGCCTCGACATCCACGGTTTCATTTGTGGGTGTCTCCAAAGAGCCCATCTCCTGAGAGATGATCTTTTCGGTGACACGTTCGTCGCCGCTGTCCGCGAGGGTAAACTCACTGGATGTGGGCGAGGTACACCCATCGTTATGAGTTGATACTCTCACGACCACGGGCTCGGGGACTGAGATCGGTGACTTCTCTAGGTCTGACATGGTGTGAGACACAAGAAGGCAAGTATGGAAGAGATTTGTTCAAAAGATGGCTGCGTGAAATGCAGGGATAGCTGAGATGGTTGTCAATCTGACGGGGAAACGATGTCTTATGGTTCGTTCACAAGCGCCGTTCACCATGTGGATAAGAGGGGTTGGCCGCGGGTGAGGTGGACAGTAGAGGGAACGTATGGAACGTGAATGGATGATGTTCAACTATTTGTTTTCCGATGAGAGCAGGAATTCGGACCCCGAGGAAGTGTGGACGTGAAGATCCTGTCCAGATATTGACGATCTCTTCTGCCCGTGGATATCGTGAAGGAGTATGACAGCCCAACCAAGACGGCTTGGGTTCCCCGAGACTCGACAAGTTCGATACTCAATTGAGTGCTGTGCATCACCGACAATCGGGACGGGACACTATGGTTTTATCATGATCCCTCACTCATCGTCTCCTCCATTCTTCCGGCCTACCGACTCCGCATATTGCCATCTCAGCCTCCTTTCAAACATCCCTTTCCTGACTATCTTCCGAAACATGGCCCTTGGAAGACAAAGAGTGGTCTTCCGGCTGACTGTTCAAGCTGAAACCGCCCTTCCATTACATTGCAAATAATTCTTTGCGGGTGTGTCCTCCTTGCAAGTTGGACTTCCATGCCGTGTCTCGGCAGTCATATTGCGGGTCACGACTCTATCCAGCTGGTCATTCTGCATCCATTCAAACACGGACAATCTCGATCACCAATGATAGGGTGGAGTCACCCCCATCGCGGGTCTATCTGATTGAATCTATGGTTCGTCCTTTGATCACCGGATGAAAGGGAAGCAACATCCGCACTACTATAGGAAGTGACAAGAAATAGACCGGGACTGTCAACCGCGCACGGGATGGATCGGGAGTGTTCCTCCAGTACGAGTATATCGATTTGACCCATTTTCATTCATATTCGAGTCTTGGACTCGGTGAGAATCGCATCCAATCAAGACTCCACGATTGATCCGATTTACTGATTGATTCCTCGGGGAATCTTTTCCTTTCGGTTTTGCGGTCCAGACTTGAACTCTCGCAGATCTTGCATTTATTGTTCTGCAGGTTGCCACCAGCATCGCGATCCTCCATGCGTCGAGTTGCATATGGCCTGGATCCACGAGGGTTTGTTTGCCCATGCATGATGACTCCATTGGGCCCTCGAACCGAACGCCGGATGGGGACGCTGACTGGATAGATTCGAGTTGAACTAAGGCTGGCCCCACCAGCTTGGTCCAAGCCTTGGGAGAGCGGGGTTCTCCCCTTCAAAGTGTACATTTGACAGTCCCTTTGTGAAGCGGATCGTCCATTGACACATACGACTCGGTCGACACCGCCACCATCTTGCCAGCTGAGAGTGGGGATTCGACCAGAGACGAACAGGACGAGTGCACGGGATGAGACCTTTTGCATCATCCAAACGCACACCGGCAAGTGTGAACTCCTGGGTTGAACCTCAGGCTATTGCTATTGACCTGAGTTGAGTGATCGTCGTGCGTTTGATCCAGATCTCGTGATTCACTTGCCCGGATTTCTTCACGGAAAGGGCGGATTCACGCAGCTGCGTGCTACTATTGATTTTCTCAATGTTCTTTCCGTTCGGTCTGCTCTTTTTTCCTTCCCCCCCCCCCCCCCCTCTCTGCACGGTATCATCGAGCCCTTGCAGCGGGAGGGAAGAACCATGATCGCCTGTGCCGCTGCATGGGCGTCTATCCAGCCTGATTGGAGCGAGACATGCACTTTGGGAGATACAATGCATTGATCAATGTGGCCACACGAGCTTGGAAGGAGCCAACATTGCATGCGTGTGGAGCATCTTGAATCCCGCTAGTTGTACCTAGAGCGCCAGAACGAGGGGCATTCGATAAGGTCCAGTCCGGTCCAATCTCGGTCAGCGCGAGCGCTTTTTGGAACCCATTCAACTGCACGCTTGTCTCTGTCCGATTCGAATCCAGGAGTACACACGGAGGTGTTGGGCCGTTCCGTCGGGACCGAGCCGAGACAGGCCCCTTGGGCCTGTTCGACCAGATTGCAACCTTGCACCGGAAAGGAACTGGAAACGAAGAAGGTACGATTTGATACACCCGACATAGAGGGGCAGACAGCTACAAGGGAGTTGGTGTTATGACTACAAAACTTGCTTGGGCACGGAAAGACCACTCCGATGCTCGGTCCAAGTCACGACTCGAGAATCACGACCCGCGGAAGTGGTCCAGCGGAAGATCAACCGCCCGAACCAGGAAATGACAGCGCGACGATCTGTCATGGAGGGGTAAACCGTACGGCGGCACAATGTGGTATAGTGTATACTGAACACAATCCGAAGACATTCTTCCATCTTTGTCACCATTGGCGAAAAACGTCTTGATTATCTCTCAAGACTGCTACATCACTCCAAGCGAGCAGCGACCAAGCGAGCTGAAAAACAAATGGTCTGATCTCGGCCCTCCACACTCAAAGTCGTCGAGATCCCTGTCGGCGTGGTCCCGAAGTGTGCCGTGCTCCGCTCGATGCCGTGGCACGTCCAGGAAAAGGATCCGGTCATGGACTTGATTCAACAATCCACACGACGAGGCTGTCGTTTTCGGCATGAACTATCCACGCACACTTTCTGGATGGGCGAGGTGGAAAGTGGAATCCCACGGCCAGGAAAATGCAGGACGCGCGCGAAAGAAAACAGCAATGAATCAATCGGTGAACAATCGATGTCATTCGATCACACTTCGGGGTCCAGTGGTTAGGCATCACACCAAAAGGTTCTCGTACCGGCAACGGAAGTGGATTTAGGTTGCGCGGGGGTGCATCCAGTAGATGCTGGGCAGATGCGCTGTGCCCATCTCGATCGGAAGATCTTCGATCGGAATTGCTGCTTTGGACCCGTCAGGGCCCATCGTTCGTTGATACCTTGCAGGTGAGGGGAGGGCTCCTGTAGTCAGTAGTGGGCCATTCTCTTCCCAGCTCCCAATCTGCTGGATTCGAGGTTCTTTTGTCGCGGCACGAGAGAGAGAGAGAGAGGGAATGAACAAGAGGAGAAAAAACATGTAACTTGGCGGGAAAGGCAAACTCAAACCATTAACCGATGGTCGATGCAAACACTCGAATTCCGGTTTTCTTGGACGAGAACCCCAGGAATTGTTGGGTCTCCGATCGTGCATATTTTGTTTGCCGGGCTTTCACTAACAGCTTTCCAAAATTTTCTCCCTGACGACCTAGCTTCCTGAGGTCGGAGATACGCCCAGTAATCCGTTGGAGTTGTTTGAGAATGCCGCGGTCCAGGAACCCGGATGGCAAACGGATAATAGAAGAATATACTATCATCTGTCTGTCAGGGACGGCCGGACCGACGATCTCGAGAATCATCCATTTTGCCCGCGGGTGATCCGAGCGTGTGGCTGAGAGCGAGGAAGGCTGTCTCACAGCTTATCCCATGATCATTTTCCTATCCACTGCAGCCTGCCAGTTTTTCGGGCCCGACATTATTATCATGTGTTCAGGATGATTCAACGTTCCATGACGGAAGGGATGGCAAAAGCAAGGCTGACAAGCCGGTGGACCAGAGACCAGATACTGGAAAGAACAAGGATGCTCCTGCGCCACTAGTGCTGCTTAACGCCTGGCTGGGTCTTGGATGTTTTACATATTTGTTTTTTTTTAAGCGGGTAAGGTAGAGTGCCTTAGGTAGGGACCGTGTTTGTTTGTAAAGAGGTACTTTTTGACATCCTGCGCCGGGTCTGGCCGCGGGATGTAGGATGGAAGATCTTGACGCTGCCGCCGACTGGCGCCTAGTCCTACCATACGTCTTGGGAGACCGAGAGACCTGTTATGGCAACGAGTCTAGAGCAGGGTCACCGGGATGGAGGGGTTGGCAACAAGTGAAGGCAGGGGAAGTAAAGTATTGAAACAATATTTAGTTGGCAGTGGGACTAGAATGTGTCTACCTTATCCTCCATAGTACCAAACATGTAGTAACTACTGCTACGCCGCTGGACAGGAGAGCATTCAAGTGACACTTCGGCTGTCCTCCGGCTATGCTGTGTACTGTGTAGTATGTACTATGTAATGTGTGCATGATTCCCAATCTGATCGTCGAGTCTCCCGTCTCTCTACCATCACATGTACAGTCGATCAATTATCCCATCGGTGTTTGGACAAATCCATGTGTATCGTCTTGGCACGAGAAGATGGATCGGGTCCACTTATGGATATGGGATCGCATCCAATGGATCATTAGATACTCACATCATATGTTGGAGTTCAAATGGATGTCACTATTGCAGCTGCTCACGGCCAATATCACAGTAGAACTTACTTACTACTACACAGTACACAGTACACAGTACACACTACACGCGGGGTCCGGTTTCGGTTCAGTTTCCTTCTTATTCCAATCGTCGGCAGGCCGAGATATTCATCGCTCAGGCTCCCGTTCCCGTTCCAGGTCATCTTCCACGATCTTCCACGAATGCGTGTTCCCCTGTATAGGAGGAATAATAGAAATGCTTGATTTCGTCCATTTCCATGTCCTCGACTGTCCAGCTTCCCTGCTGATGACCCTTCTATCCTGCTCCTCGGGTCGACATTGCTCAAAAGCTTAAAATTTGTCTCACGAGACGAAACACTTGTAGATCATCAAACTCTGCTGTGTCTGATCTCCTCAGCCTTGCGTGTCGACGAGATTCTATTCGCCTTGGAACGTTAGGACCTTGGAAGTCGTCATCATCTACATTGTACTGAGTAAGGTAGGTAGTCATGAGTTCATGGTGTATCCGAAGCGGGCAATATGCCATATTTTACCCTTTTGGTTTTCTGACTTCCTGATTCGGGGAGACTACTAGTGACTGTTGACAAATTCTCCCAAGGCTGGTGTTTGTCGGCGGTGACAGAGTTGGCAACCCGACCGAGTGATTGGTCCATCGCGATGTAATTGACAATTGGAAAAGGAAAAGGGAAGTGGGGAGGCAGAAATATTCGATTTCATAAACATTTGGTGGAAAAAAATAAGAAATAGGTCCTCGTATATCGCAAGGAATTATCCACACTGATACAGTTATACTGTACATCGTGCAGCGATATAATCCACCACAGGAGCTCGAGGATCAGCAATTCACTTCCCAAAGTGATCCAAGTAGGACGGCTTTGTATCCCTTCAGCGTGAAGGGTCCAAGGACTCGGTGAGGTCCGGCAGCAGAGTGGGGCTTATGTCAGCCGGACCGGCTGCCCGGGCGGTCGACTGAGTCAGTTGGAATTCCAAATCAATCGAGAAGGATTACCCGATTAGGCAAAAGACCATCAGACGGAGGAGATGGTGAAGTGGTGGACTAGACCTGGTTGGGACCAGCGTGAGACTGTCATCACAGTAGACGAGAGCAGAGCCAGACGGACGATGGACCATTTGCGCCAATCTCGAAGTAAAGAGAAAATGCTCAATCGAGGGGTTCCAAATCAAATCATTTTCCAAACAACAGACTACAGTCCGCGTCCGCGTGTGAGTGTCTTTCCATGTTCCCCTCCACTCCACACTCACAGTACTGCCAGTGGAGAGAGTTTCCAGTGAGACGACTCTTGATACACACCTCCCTGGTCAGATCCAATATAAAGTGCCCTCCCCCCCCCCCCCCCCCCTGTTCCTTTGACAGGGATATCGATTTTGTGCATTCCAACAATTGAGTTGTGTACTTGCTTCCCATTATCAATTTTTCCCAACTCATGGTCGGCAGACCCCAACCAAGTGTTTGCTTTGCAAGATCGTCAATTGATCGACTCTACAGAAGTGTGAAGACTGTCGATCTTGTCTGATCATCGGGCGAAACCTCGGCGTCTTTAGTCTTAACATCTGCTTTCACTTTCCTCTATTCCTCTGGACCATCATATAAAGACCCTCAGTCTCTTCCTGAACAACCCTAGCCAGCAGTCTGGTAACGATCACGATGATGTCCATGTCCACCTACTGGCCCAGCAATACCATCACCGTGCCCTCCAATAACATGCCAGATCAGATGCAACACCACGACTCCCAGGCAGATCTCTTGACCTTTGCCTTTTCCAGCCCCAGAGCGTACAATCCCAACCAGCCCATCTTCATTGATGCCGAGGATCCATCTCGCTCCTTGACGGCAACGCAGTTTCGGTATCTGGTTCGAACTTTGATCGCTGGGCTCAAGGCGCATCAAGTCCAACGTGGGGATTGCGTGTTGCTCCATTTGGGAAATAGTGTACGTGTAACCTGATTTCAACCCAAGTCTCTGTCTGTGCACGCAGGGGTGGTGACGTGAACGAGTGCCCATCACTACCAAAGTCTCAACATGTAGAGCTGGGCCAGAGGGCACTCTCCTTACCCGAGTTTATGAGGAGCTTCAACTGACTTGCACTCTTTGTTTTTTTTTGCGCTACGCTCCACAGATTCTTTATCCGGCTCTCTTCTTCAGCATCATCGGCGCTGGGGCCGTGTACATGGGCTCGAACCCGCGAAGCCAACAACAAGAATTGGATCATATTGTGGGACTGGCGGAGCCCAAGTTGATCCTCACCACCCACGATGCCCTCCCTACCTTGCAAGAGGTGGCTCAGGCTCGTGGCATTGCACCAAGTCAGATCTGCGTGGTCGACGAACGCGCTGTCGATCATTGCGCCCAGCTATTTCTGCGACATGAGATGAGATACCCGGCCAGCGCGGAGCTCCTCGGTGGCACCTGCGGTGCCACGAACGGTCGCATTGGAAACTTTGCCGATCTACTCTGCTATGGTGAGACCGACTGGATGGTGTTCTCGGATGCTCTCTCAGCGCAGAATACCCCTGCCGCCATGTTCTCGACATCGGGAACGGGAGGTCTTCCCAAGGCAGCCATTCTGTCGCACCACGCCATCATCTGTCATCACCGGACAATCTACTACGACGTGCCCTACCCCGTGAGTCGCCTAATGGCACTTCCCATGTTTCATCTGTTCGGTGCTTTATGGACCCATATCTTCCCTGTCCGCCACGGCCATCCGCTCTTTGTGCTCCCTCGGTTTGAACCCAAACAGTTCCTGGCCACGGTCCATCGGTATCAAATCTCCGAGACCTATCTTGTTCCAGCCATTGTCACTTCCCTCGTTCGCTCTCCCCTGCCCGTGTCTGAGTACCTGACCTCTTTGCGCTATGTTGGCATCGCGGGAGCCCCCATCGACGGTCCTTCCATCATGCAATTTCGCAGTCGGCTTCATCCGTTGGCATACGCATGTCAGCTTTGGGGCATGACCGAGGTGGGAGTGGTTTTCCAGACTCGGTATGGTCAACATGGCGACCCGGGCAGTATTGGAACATGCCTCCGAGGATATGAGATTCGTCTGGTCGATCCCGACGGGCAAGTTATTCGCAGTGATGAGTGCTCTGGTGAGCTGTACGTGCGAGGACCGGGACTATTGATGGCCTACAAGGGCCGGACCGATGCCAAGGAAGCACATGGATGGTATCGCACGGGCGATTTGGCGTACATGAAGGAGGGTCATTACTTTATCGTGGGACGCACAAAGGAGTTGATCAAAGTCCGAGGGTAAGTGAACAACAAGTTGCACGGACCTTGTAGAGCCCTCTTTCACTTTCACACACACACACACACTCTCTCTCTCTCTCTCTCTCTCTCTCTCTCTCTCACAATCTGAGGTTGAGAGTCTTGTTTTTCTTTACCGAATCTAATGATTTTCACAGATGGCAAGTCGCTCCCGCCGAGCTCGAAGGCGTTCTCCTCGGCCACCCTGGGATCTCAGAAGTCGCTGTCACCGGTGTCGATCTCAAGGACGGCCGCGGTGAAGTGCCACGCGCGTTTGTCGTACGTTCACGCGACTCGACGGTGGGCCGTCTCACGGCAGAGGAGATATACAATTTTGCTCGGCGCCAATTGGCCAGCTACAAGGCGCTCGACGGCGGAGTAGTCTTTGTCGAAGAGATCCCCCGAACAGCGAGTGGGAAGATTCAGCGATTCAAGCTGGCACAGATGAACGAGTATAGAGAGATGGTCTCTTCACTTCTTCAACGATTGGAAGGGCCGGCAGTACCTACGATGGGTCGGCTCACCTCGAATGCGGATGTTGCAGCTGTGGGAGTGGCTTGAGCATAGCGGGTTGCTGTTGTTTTTTTTCATTACAGACTGACGATGGTTTATGGTGGCTCTATTTGGTTTGGTATTCGAACGGAGGCGTTTCTTCCATCACTGCATAGCGAGCTTGTTGGTTTCTTAGCTGCAATTTTTTTTTTTTGCTTTTGACATCTCGGGTGGCTTCCATTTTTCGATTAATTTTCAATCACAAAGACATTTTGGATTTAACTCGTGATTGCTCGATTACTTTTGGTAGGCAGATGCGTTACGTTGGTGATTTTTCCAATAGACCCTGTTGTTCTGGGACCGTGACAACACGGCGTGTTCAAGACATAATGTCAGATAAGGTTGGGACCATGCGCTTGTCATTCTTGAACGTATTCTTCGCCATGCAGTTGATACCTCAGTCAGATTCCATCCGTTGGAGTAGATTGGACCATCATTGATAATTGAGAATCATCATCTCAGCGTCCTCACACGACTTTCCGTAAGATTAATTGGAATGGAAAACCATCCCTAGCCTCAAGCATCATCACGAGACAATCCGGAGTCAGGAACCTCAGACGGTACTAAGAACCTGGTGGAGTCTCGGCCAACTTCCGACGTCCTTCTCCATATTCCATGCACGTACTTTTGTCCGATCCCTAGCATGGTGCATTTCCGGCCTGGAACCTTCAGGCTTTAAACCTTGAAGATCTGGGATTCATGCACGCAAGCAAGATGCGATCCACCGTAATATAGAGCAGGGTACCAATTGGACTGTACTGCCTCGGCTTGAGGGCGAGAGTCCGATTCACAATGCGCTTCTGGTCTGAACAATGCAGTGATCATCCGTGGACAGGGCTGGTGCTTACCATGAAATAGCATTGTTTCTCCAGTGACACCCAGCATCTCTGGTTAGATTCGAAAGAGTCGTCTGCGTGCCGCGTGGGTATCGGTACGCAACGTGCATTTGCATGCTCTCTCATTCTCTCATGTCACCGACCATGATATGTGGGTTATGAATTGGAAGTTGTGGTCAAGTTTCCAAAGCTGTGTGTAGCCAGTGCCAGACCGGTGACTTACTTTACTGATCTCGGGATTTTGAGTCCATGGAGACACCAAAGCATGGCGGCTGTCTAGCGCCTGGACGAAGAGCGTCGACTTGAGATCTATATTCTTGACCAATGATCAGCTGTAGGTCACTTGCTCCCACCTCACCCAATTTCCCGAAGGCGCGGACTAGATTGTGGCTTCAACTTGCAGGCAATCAACCCTCTTTGAGTAAGTAGACGAAAAAAGACGAAAAAAGGTGCAAGTCTGCCAAGTACGGCCGGAGTCGAACAGCCAGTCGTGCGGAAGCTTAGCCGTCTACTATGTGATTTCAGGTTGGTCGGTGCAATAGCTGGAGGTCACGGACAGGATTCCCTGAAAAGTCAGGTTATTTTACATTGTTTCATTGATGTCCTACTCTTGATGTATCTCGGTCTATCTGGACAAGTCTGTACTCTCACAGATGAGATAAAGCGTAATGGGAATTATTTCGATCCACACAGCCGCGGCGATAGCTGCCGGAGAGCTCCAGTACTCAACAGTGAACACCAGTTCAGCCTCTTCGGCAGGCCACGCGGGTTGGCGGCGTCCAAGTTCTGGTGGTGCGTGTGAAGCCAAACAATTGCCTCTGTATATTTGCGAAATTGGGCCTCTGGAGGATTGACCACGGTCTGTGTCGAATAAGGCTCCTCGTTCCTGTGTCAGTGAGGTTTATTCGCTGAACCGTCATCATGTGGAATCTTTGCAATGAAAATCTTCTATAGTATCAAATTCTCAGGCTTTGTATTACCGTTCGTCTATATTTCCCAAATCACGTGCCTGATATAGAGGTCATGAAATGCTGCCTCGCACCGATGACACATAGTCCGCATCTCTCTAGCTTGCACAGTGACCATTGAGAGGGGGAGGGTGCACCGTCGTTACATCTCACGATCGTCCAGAATCTTGGAGAAGATGGAAATGGCGCATATCCCCATCTCTGGCGAGTCCCTGGTTCCATCAACCTCCGATGATTATCTAACCCGTGGTTCCACGTGAGACGCAGGAAGGGCTCAGCGGCGACAGCTGAAGGAGAAGCACCGTCGTGAACCCTGAGATCTCCCAGTCCACTGTCACCGGTGTGTCATGTGGGATTCTGGTTTTGATCTTCCGGGTTCAACCCTTTGGCACTAGTAAATTGACAACCACATTTGCTCCAATCGTCATCCTTTGGATGACGTTTAACTTTTACTTTGCATTTATGTAAATTTGACCAAGCACCCGCTCCCTTCCGATGAGCGCTACTCGGTCAGCCGATGCTACACATACAGTAAAGGCACGAACAAAAAGGCCATTCCCAACTGCTACAGACTGATCATCCGTCACGGATACACCGATGAGATTGTGACCCCGGACCTAGGTATTCTCGTCCTGGACTTGATCCGGGGATACCTTGCTAACAAGCTGCTTTCTACCAAGAGCCCTGGTGGCCACGAAGACCAAATGAGCGTTCTTCAGCGTGCGTGGAAGTCCCAGGTCATTTACATCGTTGGCAAAGAGCAGATGAAGATTCCGGCCAAGACTCCGATTCTCCGTCGCCTTTTCCTCTGGATATTCTTGTGGATGAGGGACGCTAGTCGGACCAAGGTGCAACACTTGAATGTGGAGGTAGACAGGGTGGTAGAAGTAGGGTTTGTCAAGGAGATCTAGACGGGATCAGTCCATGGGAGATTTCTTTTGGGACACTGGAATCCAGCGTTCTATATTTGATTCGGCTGAAACAGGGTCCAGTTATAACTGTATATATCAATACCTGATGGTCAATTGAGTTGTCAACCATTTTTTGTTCCCTGGGTCTCTTGCAATGTGTGAGGCAAGACCACAACTACTTCAGAGAGAATGGACTTGACCCTCCAGCCATCCAAAGAGAGACATTCATACGCGATCAGCTTCTCCAAATTCCACTCGATCAAGTCTCGCTCGGTCCCGACCTCGCCGGCCGTCAGTTCGTTTATTCCCAAGGCCGGAATAGAGTATCGGTTCGCTTCAGTCAAGCGATAATTGACTTGCTGTATGAATTGGAACTTTGCCTTCGGCTTACAGAGCAGGGCCCGAGAGACGGGCACAGTAGTTAGAGTCTTTGGCCACTGGATAAAGGGCTCGAATTTCCATGACTTTGTGGGTGAGATGGGATGGGCTGGTCGATTGGAAGGAGAGGGAGCACAACAGCAGAAGAGGGGAGACCATTTCAAGGCGCGTGGCGAATGAGTACCGACTTTGGCTCGAGAGAGAGATTAGAAAATAGTTTCTTTGACTTTTATCGAGGACTCGAAAATGTCCATGTTTAGCCTAGGAAGAATGACTGTTCCATCAGATAAAGATCATCAAAAGCCGAAGATTACACGAGTGGAGACCCCAGCCGTGATCGGATCTCCCCCCTCCCCCCGGCGCCGAGACGTCGGAGTCACGTCGGAGAGAGTTGTTGTTGGATGGTTCGCTCCGAGTCTCCGAGCGATTGCGGGATCACCTCGGCATTTGCTGTTGGTGGAGTTGCGATGCGACGACTCAAGTCTAGGAAGGTTTAAAGGCCTTAACACTTCCATTCCGAATGGTCATATTGAAGGAAAGTCGCAGATTGAAATTCTCTCTCCTCAGTGTCCCACTCTCTCAGACTCAATCCCAGCGCATCAATTCTCAACCCCACACCATGCCTCAAAAGTTGACCGTCGCGGTCGCTCAAGCCCGCACCGGGCCCTCTCTCTCCGCAACCCTCTCCGCACTCGAACGCATCACGCAACACGCCGCCTCGCAAGGCGTCAGCATCCTGCTCTTCCCTGAAGCGTACCTCGGCGGATATCCTCGCACCTGCGACTTTGGCACGGCGGTCGGTGCTCGTGCCCCCCACGGACGCGAGCAGTTCCTGCGATACTTCCAAGATGCTGCCGATCTGGGCGATACCCCGGCCGGTGCGGGGGACGACTGGATTGAGCGTAAACTCCCGCTGGCCAAGGGGTCAGATCGTCGCGGAGACGGGACGCGAGAGTTTCTCGAGAGGGTTGCTCGTGAGACGGGAGTGTTCATTGCGACGGGGGTGATTGAGAAGGCCGGGGGCACTTTGTACTGCTCTGCGCTCTATGTCGATCCGAATGCCGGTGTGTTGGGAAAACGGCGGAAAGTCATGCCTGTAAGTTTTTGTTTTTGTTTTTGTTTTTTTTTTTTTGTGAATTGTAGAGGGGCCAAGGCCGTTTCCCCTCGATGCAAATCGCAATTGCAGATGTACAGAATGAATAGGCCATGGGACCCGGCTGGAGTGTTTTGTGGAAACTGACAATTTCCCTCGATTTTCCTCATCGGATAGACTGCCTCGGAACGTCTGATTTGGGGCCAAGGATCTCCATCGACCCTGAAAGCAGTCACGACGGTGATCAAGGGCGTGCGACTCACCATTGGCGCCGCAATTTGCTGGGAAAACTTCATGCCCTTGTTGCGGCAGAGTCTCTACTCCCAAAAGGTCAACATCTACCTGGCCCCCACCGCGGATAGTCGCGATACCTGGCTTCCTCTGTTACGAACGATCGCCGGCGAGGGCAGGACGTTTGTGCTCTCTGCGAATCAGTGCGTTCGCTACCGTGAGCTACCCTCGTGGATCACCGAGCAGGCTGAGAAGCAAGGAACTGCCCTGGAAGGTGAGTCGCGAGAAACCAATTTTCTTCCTTTTCTGTTCCGTGATGCTAATCACTTTTACCGCAGGGAACCCGTACATTTCTCGTGGTGGATCTAGCATCGTCGGTCCCCTGGGAGAAGTCCTGGCTGGTCCCGTGTGGGAGACGTGTGTTGACGATGCACTTGACAAGTCCAGCTTGGAGGGACTGTCAAAGGATGAGGGTCTCTTGATCCAGGAGATTGACTTGGAGGATTGTGAACGGGGGAATCTGGATCTGGACGTTGCAGGAAGTTACTCCAGAAGTGAGTTCAAGTTGACGGTTGATGGTCTTGACTTGAATCCTCCTCCATTCTGAGCATGATATTGGAGGATCCCCCCCCCCCCCAAAAAAAACGCACACTTTTGATGAGCAGACTTGGTCCCTCGGTTATGGGACCTCTTTAGCAGCCCGACTCGACCAAGAGCGCTGGGCTGTGGTACCTTCTTTCCATGCATTTTTAAAAGACTCCTGGACGTTTACCTTGGATGATTTGATCAGAATCTGTCATTGCAGTGACATTGGATCTCAATTCAATCCAACATGGCATTTCTTCTCTAAGACAAGAGACCTTAGACAATCTGATATCCCTTCCAATATACACCCCAAGCCAGCGGACCCAAGGCTCCCAAAGCCGCCGGTCCAAACGACATCTCCAGAATACACCAGATCCACATGGTCCCGTACGCGGGCGCCTTTTTCATCACCGCATAATACGGTTCCCCATTCGTCACGACAATCAAATGCGACCCCAACAAAGCCGCAATCGGCAACAATATCAGAGTCCGAGGCGTAGGCGGGAAGACGAGTCGGAGGAGGAACGAAACCGACAGCTTGTCCCTCGTGAGCGGGAGCACGGAGACGGGCTGCGAGCCCGAAGCTAGAAACCCCAGACTATGGTGTAATCGCAAGGAGACAATGTGGCCGTGGACAAAGTGGACGAGGAAAGTAAGGAGGGGGAAGGTTAGAAAGACGGACTCCTTGATCAGGCCCAGCACGTTCGTAGATTCGGCGTATTGATGCGCGGCGAGGTAGGCGAGGGTCAGATGCAGGGTGGTCAATGGGATTGAAAGGAGGATGGTATCGAGAAGAGGCGGAAGAGATTCATCTTTGCCTTGGATCTCGGATTCGTCGTCTTCATCTTCATCCGGGTCCTCGTTGTCGTCCTCATCATTCTCGACTTTGCTGTCATCCTTTGACGGAGCTGTGCGCTGTCTCTGCGACCGCTGTCCAGCTCCCTTTCTTCGACCGACCAGCAATTCACTCTCGACCTTGCCATCCGCATCCACCAAGTTGCCCGCCTCGTCAACTGTCACGATCCGCGTCCCTGTTGATTTTGATGGTCGTCCATGCTGCGCTCTCGGCGTCGAACCGGCATTCAGCACATCTGCTTGCTTCAGGAGCTCCTTTTGTCGCTTCTCAATGATGTCATACAGAGTCGGCACATTGCTCTTCGAATCCCCGCTGCGATCGGGAAGAGCAAGTGGAATATCTGATACTCTAGACGAGGTGGTCTGTGTACTCTCGGCGGTGGTGGCAGCAGCTGCAGCGGCACGACGCTGCTTTCGATTTCGAGGGGTATCCATCAGGGATTTGGAAAGAGAACAAAAAAGGTTACTGCCGTGGGCGGAAAAAGGGTCAAACTGGGGGAGCAAAAGTTTATAAAAATAACACAAACACTAATTTAAGAGGCTGCATGTGGGGTCGGGTCGGGCGGAATCCGCCGATCGGTGGAAAACGGATTTTTTCTGGATTTTATGTAGATCTTGCTAGATCTGTTGCTTGACTGATTCGTCGTTAATTCGGACACTGAGAAATCTCTTGCAATGATAATATCTTTCATCGGTCTGTATCCCTGAATAGCTCTTTCCGAGACTAGGAAGACAAATTCACTGACTTGGATAACAAAAGAATGAGAGCTGAGGCAATTAAATGAGCATTGAGAAAGGTCAAAATTTCTTACTTGGTGATTATCGTCAGACACGACTAATATCATTCCACAGCATCCACTATCCATTAATATATATAAATCAAAAACCCCAGATTAAAAAACATCCCCGAATACACACTCAGAAGCAGCATTATCAAGAACACATCAACGCCGACATCCTTGTTCGACTCGAACAAACCGCTAATTCACGTTGCTTTTCACCAGCCTCGTTACTGCCCTTTAACCAGCCTGGTAGATGGCAGGACCAGCAACAACGTGGGGGTTGATCTGGCTCAGGTTGAAGGGAGTATACACGGCGTCAGAGTCAGTGATAGCAATGAAGATAGTTCCATTGATGGCGGGATCACCCTGGAAAGTCTCCAAATCAGGCTGGACGGTGTATCCACGACCGGTACCATTGCTGGTACCCTGCTCGGTGACGGTCAGGGGAGAATAGGTCACGTTCAACTGGGAGACCCAGACGACGTACTGGCCAGCGCCGGCCGAGGTGGAGGTGACGTAGGAGTTGTTGGGACCAATCTCCTGCCCGGGCTGTTGCCACTCCAGATAGACCTGGCGGCCAGGGTAGGAGAGAGCACCGGTATCGTGGGTGACACGAGCCCCATCGTTTTGTCCAGTGGCAGGCTGGTTGTTCGTCTTGTTGCCTCGGACAACATTGGCCGCGGGTCCAAGGGTATTGTTCATCGGAGTGGTGCCATTGTTGGCAGTAGCACTGCTGGGCTGGTTAAGAACTTGCAACCCGGGGAAGTTCTGCCAAGCGAGACGAGTCTGACCCTCCGGGCAAGAGGAAATGTATGGGGCCAGCAGAGTCCAGGCCCAAGACTGGGGAATGCCGACCTCGAACCAGACGGGCATGGGGAATAGACCCTGGAACTGACGGAAGATCATCTGTTGACGGGCCTCGGTGGTGATGGAGAGCGTCAACAGGCTGGCAGCCTCGCGGGAATCCAAGTGAGCGAGGAACCCGTAGACACCAGACTCGCCCCAGCGAGTGAGCTTCTGACAGAAGTCCAGGTACTCGGCGACGTTCGTGTAAGGGTAGTTGTAGTTGCACTGCTGAGGCGCCTCGGCGCCGAGCATGTTGCTGATCAAGGTGGCGTGGCCGACCTCTTGCTCCGCCATGAAAGCGATCAGATCACGGTCTGCCTTGCTCAGACCAGCAGCCTGGAAGTCCGCGGCAGAGAACCGTCTCAAGCCATCTTGGAAGAGGTCGAGCTCGATCCATTCCTGGTAAAGAGCAAGGGCCTATACGGTAAACGATTAGCATTGCTGCACATGTCACCAATAGACAGTAAGATCCATACCAGAGACTCATAGTCAAAGTCGCTCTTCGCGTTGTAAACGGGGATGGTTCCGTTGGTACCAAGGCCCCCGGCGGGCACATAAGGCGCAGGCTCGGGGTTGTTCAGGTTTCCATTACTGGGGTAGGTAGTCGCTTCAGGCGACACGCTACCCATGGGAATTCCTGTACCAACAGAGGACGCCGTCACGGCGCCGGTGGTATAAGGAGTGCCGCTGAAAGGAGTGTGCGCAACAGAGCTAGGGTGACTCCGGGTTGGGGGCGCAGACATGGAAGCCGACATGCCCATTGATGAGGACATGCCAGACGATGGAGTACCCGACTGTTGGCGTGCAATAACAACTCCCCGAGGAACAGCCGCCACGAGGGGTGCAAGGCCCACGGCGCCAACGAGTGGGACAGCATTCCACTTCATGATGAGGGTGTAGAGGGGTCAGCCTTATACCACGTGAAATGTTCTCTTACTGGAGAGAAGACAGAAGTGGGCACAAGGTTGAGGAGAAAGAGAGAGATCAGATCAGACCCAGGAAGGACGGGGGAGAATCATTTATTAGTAGTATTTCGGAAATGGTCACAGCTCCAGGTAGTGAGTGGATCAGCTTCCGAACTATCCTGGAAACATCGACGTCGGTGACAACTTGCGTATATACAGTAGGAGCCCAGTCAAGAACATTCCGCATCTGCCTAGGTGCTTGACGGGGGCAAATGATAGGCTGCATCCAGAATCCAGGACTAGCCACGTCGGGGATGCGGCAATAGACTCGTATTCGCGATTTTTTCCCCCGATGTTTATGAAGTCAACGACCTCTGGCCTGTACCCTAACGCGTCCAAGCCCATCTGTAGGGTAATCTGATGAAGTGGAGAACCCTTAAGGAGAACTGAGGTCAGTCATAGGTAACCTGAGAGATGCATGGCTTTTGGCCAGCAGAAGGGAGGCAAAAAATCAAGCGGAACAAGATCCCAACGGTCAACAACCGGACTCTTGGTTGCTTGCGCGGCCTTGAAAGGCGGACAATTCCTTCGTTTCTTGGAGAGTCCTCCTCGATGTTTGCAGTGAACAGCACGCCAGCGCTACAGATGATTGGCAACCCACGTTCATCATGCTGTCATTCATGTCACCCCGTCCCTTCAGCTTCCCACGAGATCCTGATCTGAGCAGGTGGCGAGAGTACTTGAGAAGGAGGGCAAATAGTGAATGCCGCGGATGTCTCGGATCTTGCGGGACACGACGTTGCGTTTTGATAAAATGGAGGTGAGATCTACCGATGGACTGCATACGCTTATGCCGATAGACTCAGGTTTCATTCGGCAATGACTCTGGAGCATCTTCCAAGGCTGCAGCATCTATCGATGGGGCTCCGCCTCATGCGCTAGCATGCCCCAGAGGTGTATCCACCTTTGAAGTTCAGGTCATACAAGAGCCTTTCCGGCGCAAAGGATGGGTCATCATTTTTCTTTTCAGTCAATAGTCCAACATGCAGGGGACGATCGAGTAATCCTCTCCATCAATGGAGTACTGTACTTTCTTTCTGCAATGCAACACGCAGGAATTGTTGAGTAATGATTCATGGTGGAGAAAGATGCCGCGGTGGTGACGTCGAGCTCGAGTGGACCTCCACCCCCGTTCGGGAAGTTTCGAACGGCCATCTATCGAAGATCCCGATGGGAGTCAGGATGCCCTGTCCAAGTGGGCAGTGGGAACCCATCCCGGTCGCTTTTCAAGCATTTAACCTGGCCCCCTTTGGAGAACCTCTCCGTCAATGGCCTCTGCCAAGGTCGATCGTGAAACACATCGTGTCCGATCTTGGATAGGCAGCACGGCTTGCAGGGCCTGACTGGGAACTTTCCCGACCCCCAGATGCACCATCTGCATACTGGATGCGCACCCAATAGGGCAAGATTCCGCATCGAAGATGTGGAGGTCTAGACCAGACGTGGTGGGCTTTGAACATTGGTAAATGGCGGAGAGCTTTGACAGCAGGAGATATGCTCCGTAATCAGATGAGGCTGTAGAATAGCAGCAGCAGCACCAGTAGCAGTAGCAGTCGTAGTAGTAGTCTCATGTGAACACTGGACACTCCTGATTTAGCACGTTGGACCAACCCAGCAGTACCTTACTGGCCGCAAGATCTACTCATCCTGGGGCTGTTACCTTGTCCACGGTCGCTTGCACCATCTTGTTATTACACGACCAGAACCCATGAACTCTGCACTGGTGTGCTCACTGCTCAGTAGCACACTGTCGTCACCATGACAGTAACGGTCGCGGTCAGGCTGGTGGGAAGGTAGGTAACGCGGGAATTGCGCTCAGCCGAGTACAAGACAGCTGGAGATACATAGAGTGTTCACTTCTTTCTCCTTTGTTAGGCCCTCTGGAGCAATCAGGTGACCTGGCAGGAAGGGCACGCATGGAGTAGTAGTACCGAGCATATTGCCGAAATGCCTCGGAGGTTTGTCGGAGGAGCGCCGATCGCACTGAAGGAATCCGGCGCGGATGGGGTAAGAAGATAGAAGGTAGAAGGTCAATGTGGAGGAAGAAGAGCGACGAGAGGTGGGCGCTGGATCGCGGGGTAATTTTTATTCCCAAATCCTCAATCGCAATGTTTGTCGATTCATCTTTATTTCGTAAAGCAACTGAAGGGTGCAGATTCAAATTTCCCAGGACCACTCACTTCTCAGTCTTATTGCGCTGCCGAGTTCATACGCTCCATCATGGCGCATCTTGAAGCATCCAATCTTTTCTCTGTAAAGGAGCGTGTGGTGGTCATTACGGGCGGAGGTAGCGGTAGGTCACCTTCTCATTACAATTAAATGAAGGAGACTAAGATCCTGCTGTGAATGACCTTGTCGAGCTTGTATACTAATCTCCAATCCAAGGTCTTGGCCGGATCATGGCTCGCGCTCTCGCAATCAACGGCGCTTCCAAAGTATTCGTCCTGGGTCGTCGTGAAGATGCGCTCCGCGAGACCGCTGCTCAAGCACCGGAAGGAATCGTCATCCCCGTCAAATGCGACATCACCTCGAAGGAATCATTAGAATCCGCGTACCAGGCCGTCGCGGAACAAACCACTCACGTCGATATCCTGTTCGCCAACGGTGGGATCTTAGGTCCCCTCATGCGCTCGCCCGAGGCTCATGCGGATGGAACTCCACCCTCTCTGACAGAGCTTCGCGATGCGCTTTTCAATGTCCCCATGGAGGAATTTACAAAGGTCCTCAATGTGAACGTCACGGGCACCTATTACACGGTGCTGGCCTTCTTGCCCCTACTCGAGGCGGCCAACAAGAAGCGTCCAGCTCCTCAGGAGGGCGTTCTGACGCCTCCTTCGGCGCAGGTGGTCATTACCAGCTCGATTGCAGGATTTGTGCGCAAAGTGCCCTTCAGCTATGCCTACAATGCGTCCAAGGCAAGCACGAACCAGCTGGTGAAGCTGCTGTCGACCAATCTGGCCGACTACAAGATTCGTGTCAACGGTCTGGTTCCGGGTCTCTATGATTCTGAGATGGCGAACAATATCTTCGTCGCACACGGTCACACCACTGGCGGTGTCTCGGAGGGTTCATTCCCCAAGGAGATGATCCCACTGACTCGCGGTGGCAGCGAGGAGGACTTTGCCGGGTTAATCGTCTGGCTGGCAAGCAACTCTGCCGGCTATGTGAATGGCAACCTGCTCGTCACTGATGGTGGACGCATGAGCGTAGTGCCCAACTCGTACTAAACTCTCAAGAGTCTCCGACATGTGGTTGTATGAGTGGAACGGTTTAGGCGAGAATAGAGATTTGTTTGGGTTGAAAGTTTGCTGAAAATCTTCTATTTCGCCAAACTAACACACTTTCTTGGAATTCAGCAACGCAAGTACATGAATAGATGCCATACGCGAGATCTGCCCGCCGAGGACATCTTCGAAGTGGTACCAATCAATGCCCAAGAACTAAAAGGAACAGAAGTCTCTCCATCGCTCGCTCAATATGTAGCGGTGAGTCGCTGCACGAGGTAGTCTCCGGCCGTGATGCCGGCGTATTTCTTGGACTCATTTATATCTTCGCCGTAGGTGCCGGGTAATGCCTCGATCAGCTTGTTGTTATTGGGATTGCAAAAGTAAGCGATGCTGTATCGCGAGGGATACGTTTCTGACGAATCTTGCTCATCCAGAGCCGCTGGCTTGGGCGGCTCAATCACACGATGACGAGTGCTCTTGATGGTATCGTTCGACCAGCGGGCCAACAGGTCCCCCGCATTGACAACGATCGTGTCAGGGATTGGCGTCGCATCCACAAACGTCCCTTTAGGGCTCCGCACCTGAAGTCCACCATGGCGATCCTGGAACAGCAATGTAATCGATCCGTAATCGCTATGCTCCCCGGCGCGAACTTGGTGGGGATTCTGTTTGAAGACATCCTTGCGGACTGGGGGATAATGCAGAAGCCGCAGATTATTATCGCCCTCGTCAACAAACTCGTCGAAAAAGTGTTCAGGGAGACTCATGCCCAGGGCGATCGCACACATGACCTGTTTGTGCAACTCCTTACACATATCAAAAAAGGACAACATGGTCTTCTTGAACTCTTTGCCTTCCTCGTCCAGATGATCGGGCCATTGATTCGGTAGTCCGTCGACTCCCTCGCGACCGATCTCCATCGTCTCTTTGATGTCCGGGGCGGCGCCCCGCAGTGTCTCCATCTGGCCGGTCTCCTCCACCGTTGCGAGCTTCTCGCGTCCAATGGCAACGTATCCGCGATTGGACTGTGGAGTCGTCCATCCCAAGGCGTCCTTTTGGCTTTGGGGTCGGCGAAAGAAGGTTGCTGATGAAGCAAAGACTCGTGAGACTACCGACGGAGGGATACCATGATCTTTCAGGTAGATGAACCCGGAGGACTTGAAAGCGTTAGTGATGGATAAGGCGACTGCGTGTTTGTCGGATGGGGTTCCAGTGGAGAAGGGGCCGAAATCGATGAGCTGTTCAAGATTCAGAGGATGTTTGAAGTCAGAGAAAGCACGACCCAGAGAAATCTGGGGAATCTGGCGAATATCTTGATCATCCGATGGGAATGAATGACCAATTGTACTGCAGAGACGCGATCAGTACTCCTCAGAACGGCTTACCGGTATCACGAGATCGTCCTTTGATACGGCGTTGGACACCGGGTTGAGCTCTTGTAGATGGCCAGCCATGTCTTCTCGTCTAGTGAGGGACGTGTGAGGTGGTGGGAACAACTCTTCGTGTGAGCCCTCGAAATGCCCGTCGGTGTAGTTCCTGTGATCTGTGAGAGGAGAGAATCTTCTGATAATGGAAGAAGAGAGAGAGGGGGTTGACCCCCAGACGCATGATGATGCACCCCCGGCTCGAATGCAATCCATTGCATGATAAGGCGGGCGTCCAGAGATAAGCTTCAGTATAGACCACGGCTGGTCCCCGGATTCCCTGCATCTCTGCAAGACTGATGATAGGCTGGAGAATATTTGTCGGTGCGCCGTTTGGACCCGGTTGCTCCCCTGCGAGTGATAGGTAATGCAGCAATTCGGCTTATGCGATAACTTAAGAAAACACTGCTATCGCGGACGAGCATTTGATCAGCGGACAGATGTTGGTTGATTGAGACTCAATGGGCACTACAAGTACACTGCGTTTTCAGGCCGTCAGGTTGCCGTGGTACTTGAAGTGCCAACTGAACAGAAGGGTTTGATTCATAGGAGCAGTCAGCTAGTCCTTCGAATACTACTTACTACCAATAGGTACCTTGGGTACTAAGTATGCCAGTCAGTACCTGTGTCACTGCTAAGAACCTCCTTGCTGTTGTACCTGACTACCACCAGGCGATCTTTGGCCTCAATTTCTTACTCCTTAGTCCTTGCTATCGGGCACCGGTAGTGTGGCAGCGGACTATCCTTCACGGAAATTGTGAATTTATCATTGATGATAAACCGCTGATATAATGGGCATATGGAATGCGAAGTCTTTCATGAATCAGAAGAAGGACTGAAGCTATCCAGATTCTACCCTGTGCTGTGTGCACCATCAACATCACCTTGCCAGAGTCCCGAGGCAGGTGTCTGGTACGGGCGGGATCCTGCATGAATCAGGTGCTTACACGGGGACCCGCAAGTACCTGACTTGTCCGTCAGTACTCCAGAGCAACTTCCAGGCTTAACTCCGAGTCTGTGCCGAGGCGGTCCAACAAACTGCCCGACCTCGACCTGCCTGACAAATATTGTTCATTAAGCATCCGTACTTTCGTACGTAGCTCACCCCGCACCAAAGCTTCCCGTCGACTTTCAAGTCCAGATCCACCGACGCAGGTACATATCCTGCCTCCTACCGGATACTCTCTCCTCGTTGCCTATTTGACTCACTTCTTGCAAGTTCACCCACCCTCTTCCTCGCCAATACAATCTCACCAACCATGTCTTACATCGCCGTCGTCGCCTATCCGAATGAGCCGGACACCGAGTTCAACACCGACTACTACCTCAAGAGCCACATGCCCCTGGTGGCCAAAACCTGGGGTCCGCAGGGCTTGAAAAGCTGGAGGGTGAACAAGTATGAGCATGATCTGGCCGGTGCCACCTCCAAGTACTTGATCACGGCCACTTTGATCTGGGAGAGCGAAGAGGCCGCCAAGAAGGCTGTCGCCGGCGAGGGCGCGCCCGTCATTTTTGGCGATATCCCCAACTTTACCAACAAGTCCCCCATCACTCTTGTGGGTAATGAGCTGGCGAGCCAGAACATTTAAGGCGCGGTCTTCCTACAGAGAAAGGATCGACTGCCCATCTCAGACTATTCAACCGGTACGTCCCTGCGTTAGAACCTCACGCGCCCTATGTGCGCTCTGGATGGGTTTTCGCTGATTCGGACCATTAGTTTGGAACGGGATCTCAATCAAATATGTCTGATCAATGAAGAAGTCTCGTGAGGGGCGGAGGAGATGTGAGATATAATCTTGAGAGAATCATATGAACAGATGTATATACTCGTTAGCGCTGAATATTCTCAAGTCTCTCATCACGGCGTGTTCAACATCCCGCAAATCGCTTGAGTAGTTCATTTTGCCTGCCCTCACTGACAGCGAGCATGGCTCGTGGCGGCCACACCAAGGTACCGTACTTATGGCTCTGAAGGTCATACACTAGCCTGCTTCTATACTTCTAGCAAGATAAGCGGATCAAGTAGATTGATTGTGGATCCCACTTGTTCTACCCATTTACCCAAGGCTGAGTGATGGATTCATACGTCTGTTCAAAGACCACTGACTTGTCAGGACACGGGAATGAACCTTCATGTTTGACAGGGAGTACTAAGCAGCAGACAGCGGCTGTGAGACTCCAATAAACACTAGCTTCGAGGTACCTCATGGAAATAGGCGCGGCTGACAGTGATGTTCGGACTTGAAGCTTCAATGCTAATGCGGGTGAGAACGACACCTTCCTCCTCACGAGATAAGCATTGATCTCTTGAGATCAGATCTGGGCTAAGGTAATTTGGGTGTGGCATAATAATACCCGATTGTTTACCTCATTAGTGATACAACGCAATCAGCCCTCGAGCGACAGTCCTGCAGATCAAAGATAAGACCTCACTCGAGACAATTCCCCGCATCGTGCTTTGCTTATCTTTTGCGCCAAGCTTGGATGATCCATGCTGGCAGGCTGGCATCTACACCTGCAGCTGCTCATCCTTTACCCCTCAACCCCTCGATCTCGACTCTCGGTCATTTTCCTTCCCGAAAGCTCGCTCTTCTGATCCAGCAAGCCATTCACTGTATCACGGGTTTCTCATCATGTCAGGTCCACTCGTAGTCGACATCCACACTCATGTTTATCCGCCCGCATACATCGATATGCTTCGCGCCCGCAAGAAGGTGCCGTATATCCACAACCCCTCTGACGGGGGACCACCTCGTCTGATCATCCTCGCATCAGACGACGACTCGAACATTCCCGTCGATCAGCGCGGCCGACCCGTCGATTCATCATACTCGGACATCAAAGTCAAGCTAGACTTTATGAACAAGCACGGAATTGACTGCAGCGTGATTTCTCTCGCGAATCCCTGGCTGGATTTCATCGGGGAAGAGCAAGCCTCGGAATGGGCGCAAAAAATCAACGACGATCTCGAATCAACCTGCGCTCAGTCGAATAGCACAGCGGCGCCATCAGCCCGGCTCCGCCGTCTTTTCGCATTCGGGACTTTACCTCTCGGGGCACCCTCGCCCGCGGCCATTGCCGACGAGCTGCATCGGATCAAGACCCTACCTCATCTTCGCGGCGTGATTATGGGCACCACCGGGCGAAGTCAGGGATTAGATGATCCGAACCTGGACCCCGTGTGGAAGGCATTGGAAGATACTCAATTGATGCTCTTCCTACACCCTCACTACGGTCTACCCGACGAGGCCTTTGGTGGACCCGAGATTGTTCGACGCTACGGGCACGTTCTGCCTTTGGCGCTGGGATTCCCGTTGGAAACCACCATTGCGGTGACGCGCATGTATTTGAGTGGCGTCTTTGATCGGTTCCCGCGTCTTCAGATCCTGCTGGCTCATTCTGGGGGCACACTTCCCTTCTTGGCGGGCCGGATCGAAAGCTGTATTGCTCATGAGCGGACTTTTAAGGTGAATGGTGGGAATGTTCAGGGTCCGCAGAGGGACATCTGGGATGTTTTGAAAACGAATATCTACCTCGATGCTGTGGTGTACGGGACCGCTGGGATGAAAGCAGCGGTAGAGGCTAGTGGAGGGACTACTGATCGTGTGCTGTTTGGTGAGTTTCTGCAGGTGCTTGACACTGTTTTGGGTGATTGTGGACACCCTTTTGGAGAGGCTTTTACATCCAAGAATCACTGCTAATCCAGTCCTTCTTCAGGAACTGATCATCCTTTCTTCCCTCCGCTGAACGAAGAAGACGAGAAGTGGGCCAGTGTAGTGACAAATTACTCAGCGATTGACAAGTCCTTTGAGCAGAATGCCGACGCGATTGCTAGAGTACTCGGAGGAAATGCCATTCGGCTCTTGAAGTTGGCATAAAGTTTATAAAATCGAACGAGCTCTAGCGATATCAAAGTTGACAGCGAGACTGGTAGAACAAGACAATATAAGGTCAGCACATTACAGGGGAGTCAAAGTCCATCGTGGCCACGCGTCAAGGTTTTGTTGCTTGATTTAGCCAAAGACGAACGTACATATCGCGTGATAAGTGTTGAGACAGTCAAAAGCTGGTTATCGTGGTCACAGGTCATTCTCACGCAGTGTCCGTTTCCATCTTGGCAAGGCACTCCCAGCCGATCAAGTGCCAGACATGCTGCACGAACCATTCTTTGAACGTCGAGCTATCATCCTTCGGCATGACATCCTCATTCGGAGGCGGAGTCGATGCACGAGTGAGTCGATTGTGGAAATCCGGTTCTGCTTCGCCAAAGACCGCCGTGAGTAATTGGTTTGTCATCTTGGTCTGCAATTGCTTTCTCATGTCGACTTGCGAACGATTACCGGTAAATCGGTCAGCTGAGAAACAGTTGCCGGTAATTGATATTTTGCGAAGGAAAAGGACGAGCTGTCTCGCTTCGATCTCGGCCCATTCGGGTGTCATTCCGGCTCTTTGCATTTCTTCGAGACCCCGAGGAGGTTTCAAGTCCGGGATGCTAAGATGCGGCAGCGCCATGCCGTCGAAGCTGTAAAAAGCAAGCATCTGTCCGACCCGGTTCACTATAGTATAGAGCATGCCTTCCAAGACTGCTCGACAGGGCTCCTCGCTCAAATCCAGGGATCGAACCAGCGCAGCAAGAAGTCCAGTGAGAACATACTCCGTTCCCGAGCGGTCCTCACTGGGCTCAAAGACATTCTTCGTCTGCTTTTTCTTGGAAGCAGCCGGGCCAGGCATCACCATGTTCACTTTCGCAAGGGCCTTGCAGTATTGGGCGAGCGCGGTGGCGATCGATTCAAAAAGGCACACCATGAAGTAGACAACCTGCTTCCTCGGATCACTGGCGTCGGTGGGCGACTTGGTTTTCACAAGAACCTGCTGTAGTAGAAGCCAGGACATCTCTACTGCCTTGACAACTGCGCTAAGTTTGGGCTCTTTGTATTTCCACGGCTGGGGGTCTCTCAAACTCAGCATGGTCTCGATCTGGGACTGGATGACAGTCAAAACTCCCCTCTCTGCTTGTTTGCAGAGATCTGCAGAGTGTGCCGCGAGCATTTTCATTTTGTCCCGTTTCACCCGCTTGACTTGCAAGGCGCGAGTCAGGATAACCATGTGTCTTAAGAAAGACACCCCTTGAAGACCGTCAGTGGATGCCAATCCATACAGTATTTCTAGGGTCATGACCAAAAATCTCAAGAGCTGAAAGTACCTTTGTAGGTGTGATGAAACCGGATATAGTCGCGCGAGTAGGCATTTGGTTCGTTCTTTTTCGATCTCTTTCTGGCAGTGGTGAGCTCTACTTCAAAATCTTCGATTTCGCGCTTCAAAGATGGTCCAGCAATATTGAGCTTCAGATTCAGCTCTGTATTTTTCTGTTCCAGCTCGAAGATCCGGTTGTGAAGTTTCGTCTGCTCAGTTTCAGATTTCAAAAAAGCGTTGCGCCAGTGAGCAGCACTGTCCCAGAACTTGTCAGAAAGATGTGGTTTGCTGTCGTCGACCTTTTTGACGTTTTCTCGGATTGCAAAGATGTGGTCTGTGATTTCATCGCAATAAGTAAAGACAGCTCGATGTGGTGGGGTTGAGCCAGTGATGAATTAGTACCTTTCACAGTAATGCCAACAGGCTTGAGCTTGACAATTGCCATTGCAAAAGCCAACTCGGCTGTTGGAGGCATCCAAGCTGGGCGTGATCGAGCTTGATCTGCCATACTGGCAGAACTATAGCTGTGATTCATACAGAGAAGCGTATGAGAAGTGAGTGTCAATGGAAGTAGAATAGGGCGTGGAGGAGAAGCCGATGGAAAGTAGATGGTAACGAGACAAGTCCTCTTCGAGGCCTCCTTGGGTCACTTCAGTCGAGTCTGGAGCAAAGTGTCCAAGTCAGGTGAGGAGAGGGGCACCACTCGGTGTGAGCCACCTTTCGTGTATGTCTCCCCATCAGAGCTGTGACATGCGTTGATATTCTTTCCTCCAATTGAACTTGTCAGATTATTCAAACTTGGAAAGAGATGCAGGTGGGTGACTGACTACCTTATTGCCAAAAGGCAACAAGAGTGGCGCGCTGCTTTCGGCGATCAGCTTTTGACTCTTCCTCGAAGAGCCTTTGGAAGATTTCTCTTTTCTCTACTCTCGCCCACTATTTGTACAGATCACTACGAGAATGACACCGAGATGCCTCTCTCTTGGTACCATCTCATGGCCTTCCAGGCTCACACGCGCAATCGACGGAAAGGCAAACCTCACTTTGAGGATCCCGACACATTCGGCCGCAGCGTCATAGACCTTTGTGTCGCAAGTACGGATGATCCAAATTGGCTGACTTGAGGCTTAAACTTCATCGGCGAACGGATGGTGACGCCCCATAAACACTTCAGCCCTATCGTTTGATATCCGCCCGAGCAGTCGCCGCAACTCCGTCCGCTCCGAATAGAGCTCGCCCCACCCAATCCATTTGTTTCCCGCAATTCCATCCTACTTGATCTTCGTTACTGCACAAATCCCCTGATTTGTGCTCTTCGCCGAATCGCCCAAAATGCCAGGAGACGATCTCAAGGCGCACGCCGCCTCCAATCAAGATTTCTACGCGTTGCTCGATTTATCACCTGCGGCGAACGAGTCCGAAATTCGTCGTGCATATCGTCGCACCGCCCTTAAATACCATCCTGATAAGATCGCCAACCCTACCGATGCCGACATCGACAAATTTCACCTTCTACAAATCGCCAACGATGTTCTCTCCGACCCGGCGATCCGTCAGCTCTACGACAATGCGCGCGAGGCGCGCATGCGCAAGCAGCGCGAGCGCGACCAGATGGATGCGGCCAAACGAAAAATGCGCGAAGACCTCGAGGCTCGTGAACGAGCGGGCACAGCTACGGCACAGCAGGGCGTAAAACGATCATGGGGCGTTCCGGGAGGAGAAGAGGATGCCGAAGCGAAACTTCAGCGGGAAATCGAGCGGATTGCTGAAGATGGGCGGCGGCGTCGACGCGAGGCAACGGATAAGATGAAGCGGGATCTGGAAGAAGAGCAGCGAAAATTACAAGCGGAGGAGGAGGAAGCACGTAAAGCTGCAGATCGGAGCAGTCAGCGTGTGGACAGATCACGAGATGGCGGTACGAATGTCCCCGAGCTGGAACGCTCCGTCAAAGTGCGCTGGGTTCGAGAAGGGCAGGGTGCGGATTGGGATGCCGAGTCGCTAAAGTCTCTCTGCGCGCCATTTGGAGCCATAGACGGTGCGTTCGTGATGAAGGATAAACGGGCTCGGGTGGAAGGGAAGAAAGGCAAAGTGACCTATGGTCTGGGTGTGGTCGTCTTCAAGTCGATTGTCAGTACGCAAGCAGCTGTGTTGGACGGCGAAAAGAAAATCTTGCGAAAAGAAGGCGATTGGGCTCTGGTGGACTCAGTCACGTATTCCTCGGGAGCGGCCCCAGATCTTGGGTTCAGCACTGCTGGTCAACCTGAGGTGTCCACAGCCAAGACGACGACAGATGCAACAAACGAACCCTTCAAAACATCAGCCAAGCCGGCTTTCAGCTTCGCCGGTCTCAAGCCTGGAGTCCCGTCCTCTGGAAAGGCGCCTTCGTTTGGATCATTTCCAACTGCTGGTGGCAATGCTCCCAAGGCCTCGTCCTTCAATCCATCTGCGGCGTCGTCGACCCCAAGTCTGCAAGAGATCACAATGATGCGACTCAAGAACGCCCAGCGAGAGAAAGAACGCAAGGCGCTCGAGGAGCAGCTTGTCCGTGAGGACAAGGCCGCTGATGCGGCAGAAGAAGCAAAATCTGCTGGGGTGTAATCAACGTCTATATGCATCATGCACAACTCACTATCCCCTGAAGCGGTATCCCAGAACGCCAATGCTGAAATTTGTTTTCGATATTGTTGACGTTTCTTTTTTTTTCTTTTTTTTACTTGCAAAAGAGATACCCTGGCTACTCGGAATGCCTCGTTTTATGTGGATAGAATTACGTTAGACTATATACACAGCATGATGTCTATTTTTACACTCGTTCCATCTCCCGGCCGATCATGCTCACTCTCGCCGCTGTGCTTCTTCTTCCTCTCCCAGCTGCTCGACAAGAGTTCGAGCTCGTTCGCCCTCAACTTCGCCTGAACGCGCGGACGTCTTCTTGGCGCCGCCGGCCAGAATGAACTCTCGGATCCATGATGGCACAAAGGCCTGCAATTTGACTTCGGAGGGCTGTTCTGACTCGCTTGTCCATGAGACTTTGAACTCTTTGTCGGGAGAATACTGTGACCCTTCGCTAGTAAGCGCGATATCCGTCATCATTTCCAAGCGGCAGAGCGCAAGGCCGATGTTGCCGACGCCGTTCAAGAATTTGCCAGCGCTGCGGCCTCGACGACCATCCGCCTTATTGATATTCGAGCCCTGCGCTGGCACAGGAATCTGTGCCGACGGGTCATATATCGGACTTGTCGCCGAGGGGGCCTCTCCGGTGTAGAGTTGGACTGGAAGGATACGCTTCCGCACCACACCCGTGTGATGCGTGCGAATGGTCAATTCCTGGCCAACGTAGCAGCCCTTCCGAAAGTCAATTGCACGGCCCAGATCCATGTTAGACTCTAACGGCAGGGCTGTTTCACGAATTATCTCGCTCTGCCCTTCTGCTATTCCATGGAGCATTCGCCGTACTGTGTATGAATCCAACTGTACCTCAGATCCGGCAAGTTGTGATTCGTCGGGCAAGTGACTGCGCAGATCGTCGGAGCCAGGGGTTACGAGACGAGAGCCGAATCCGGGAGCTCGTGAGTCGATGCACCCGACCACATCTGGCGATGATGAGAACGGGGAGGCAGTGTCCGCTTCAAGATTGTAAGCCGCCCAGCGTGGTTCGGAGTGATTCCTCCATGAGGACCACACAGTTCGCTCGTCGATTTCAAGCGCGCGCAACTTGAGTTTAGCTCGAAGCTTGTGCTTTTTCAAATGCTTCAGCAAGGTGGGCAGCTCGTTTCGGTCCACTTCGACTAGCCATTCGCGTTCAGTCTGATCTCCGTTCGAGTTCGGGAGCGGGTAGATAAAGACATCGTTCAATATGCGGCCTTGCGAATTCAGAAATGCAGCGTATGTGCCAGTATTACGGACTCTCTTCTTTGGATCATTGGCGATCAGCATGTTCTGGGTGATCAGTCCTTGGAGGTAGGTTGTGCTGTCGAGTCCGGTGATGGAGATGAGTCCTCGGTTTGTGAGCCGGGTGTAGCCGACATCTGGTGGAAGAGGTGCATTGTGAAGCTGGTCTGATCTTCGGACACTTGTCGAGAATAATCTTCTGTAGGCTAGACAACGGCTACAGATCGATGAAGGGTGTTTAATCATCATGGCGAAGACGACTGGGCTTGAAAATGTGTCACTGGCTCGGCATCTCCCCGACGGGCCCGAATATGAAATGACGTTAGGCGGGGAATGTCGGCAAAATAAGGCAGCTTCCGCGCGCTAGGTGGAACAGCAAACGCGAGCCTTCTCGAAGCAGTATCTCCAGATCAATATGGTTATGTTGTTTCTTCTCCCCCACCGCTCACTTCACTTACTATCAAATTAAAAGAAGCTGTGAGTAAGTAACTCGATATTCGATGTACTTCGACTGGTAGGTTTACACGTTTAGCAATTCTTTTGTGAGAAAGGTGGTTTGTCGCAACCTGTAAACTCGTGCGTGTCTGCTCTCAATTGTTGCCCCACCCGCAATTATATGTCTCCACTGGACGAGAGACGTTAGAACTTACCTTATGTACCTATCTCCAAATGCCCGGTGTTGTTGTTGGTGTAGACGGCCGGCGCGCGCGGTTGAAATTAAACTGATTCAGGATGAGACCACGCCCTTACAGGTAAGGTCCCTTTAAAATAGATATATTCAAATACAAACCTTACCCTCAACATAAACACGAACCCCATCCGGTTGTCATGCTACATGGTATATAGTATATAGTATACAGTATATACTATATACAACGCCCGAAACCTCACGCCCTCGCAAAGGTCAATGTAACTAGAAGGGTGTTTTTTGGTGGATTGGTCAGGTATGCGCTAAATGGGCTGTCAACTAACATGCAACGTCTGCTGGACGATCGTTGTGATAACGCAGAGACCAATGGCAACTGACAAGAGCATGGACTGATAAGTAGATCGAATCAGCTGAGGTAAATTTCAATCCTGATGCACGAAAACCTCGGTACCGAAATGATCTAAGATCAAACAGGGGGCGTTAACCCAAACCGGGAAGCCTTCAGGGTAATGACTGCATAGGACTTTCATATGGCATCCGAGGAGCCTGCGAGCCTTGCGCTATCCGACTGGCGGGCCTGAGATCAGCCTGAATATCGAGCTGTCGTTTCCGTTTCTTCACCCTCATCAAATCCGTCTGCGGAGGCGTTGGCACATGATTGTGTTCACCATTCCTGATTCGCAACTCCCAATACACCAAAGGGACAGTATCTGGCAAGGATGGAAGCTCTGGTCTGTTCGGGGGTAGTGGTGGTGGTCCGGTCCGTTTTCTCAACTGAAGCGCAAACTTGCAATTAGTTCCTTTTGTTTTCCGGGACCGGACATGCTCCGGATCAGGCCAACAAGAGCAGACGAAGTCGGATTTCATGGTGTCAGATCTCTTGACGGTTAGGCTGTACCCGTGGCGCGCAGCAAATGCGATAACAGCTTGGTGTCCAGCTTCGCGCGACACATAAATGGCTGGTGGCGGTGCGGGAGGTGGGCCGGGACGCAATGCTGGGGACGCAGCGTCGCTTTCACCCTTTTCTTCTGCATCGTCCTCCATATCACGTGCTTCTGTGTTATTCGAGGGGAGTGGCGGACTAGGGGAAGATTGCAGCGGTCCCGTCGAAGTAGGAACGGTGCCTTGCATGGACCTAGAAAGGGCGTTTTCCATGGGTTCAGTGCCATTGCCATGCGGAAGCATAGCCGCCAGCAAATGACCGTGAGCAATCTCGGGAGCGACTGCTGGCGAGTACGCAGGAGGCATGACGTGCCGCGAACGTCCATGATTGTGAGTACCATTCGCAATCCTCAGACTCCAAACGCAGGCCAGCATAGTCCCCTCGGGGACAAGGTGCTTTGCCTCTGGCTCTTTCAATCGCTTTCGCAGCTGGAGCCGAAAGGGACAGCCGTTGGCCATTTTACTTCGATCCCCATTTTCTCTCGTCGCGGATTCCCTTGCTTTGGACTTGGGCTCGGGCCAGCGGGCGCAGAGAATGTCAACCTTGACCTGATCTGAGCGTCGGACAGTCAGGACATATCCATGGTGGGCGGCGAAAGCCTTAATATCCCGCTGGGCATCTTCGCGAGTATCATACAGTCGAACGGGAGGCGCTGGGGGTGAAGGCTCGCAATCGGCTGCGATGTCGAGAATTTCCTCTTCCACACCAGGATCGCAATGTGGAATGGAACGAACGACTTGAAGAATGCGATCCACCACTTGCTTGCTGTAGAGCTGTGGGAGTGGGGCCTCCTCGGCGGGATTCAAGGTTGTCGTCATTCCCGCTCGTTTAGTGCCGGACAGCGTCGGGGAGGGGGTGGGGTGCTCGGGTGTTCGGGATGAGGTTCGGGAGGGCGTTGAGGGAGGGCATTTAAGCGTGTGACCTGACGGAAGAGCGCGGGTTGCGAAACCTGAACGGCAGTCTAGACACGTGATATTCAACCACTAGATAATAGAGAGTATATAATGATACAGTACCTAGTACCTGTGTACGCGAAGGGCCTGTGATCTTGGGTTGATTGTGTTCTTCCCGAATATTGTTAAACGCGTCGCTTTAGCATATTCCAAGACGATCTGGCCGAGTGGTCTAAGGCGCTTGACTAGAATCCTGAATGCTCGGGCTTGAAATCAAGTCTCTTCGGAGGCGGCGGTTCGAATCCGCCGGTCGTCGAGCATTTTTGAATTTTTCCCCCATCAAGTGGCAGATTTTCCAGAGCTTCATAATATCAAAATCAAAGCCCTTCTCATATCACATGACAGTTTGGCCGAGTGGTCTAAGGCGCTTGACTAGAATCCTGAACGCTCAGGCCTGATATCAAGTCTCTTCGGAGGCGGCGGTTCAAATCCGCCAGCTGTCGATTTTTGCTTTTGTTCATTATTCAGAGAGCTATCTATCTATGAAGCCGTTGCCAATGAAAGATGAATAGATGAATTTTTGCTGTTGCCCGTCTGTGTCCAATCTACTGAGGCGATCGATCGATGGCTTCTATCGTGAATCCCAGGACCAGAGATGATTTCCTCTTCGGCGTTCGCGTTCAAGGAAAGTACGAATTCTTCTCCTCTTGGCTATGTATGTGAGTGAACCATCCGCGTCGGTAATTTGTGACGACGATAGATTGACTGACCCCAATCGCCAGCAGTAGGGGTGCAGTTCACATAACGGTACAGTCTGGATACGAAGGTGACCGAAATTGGAAGGGCATTGACGGATGCCAAAGGTGCACGCTGGCCTAGCCCTGGCCTGTATGAGCATAAGCAGCCATGCCGAATGAAAATCCCAAATCAATGTCAGCACTACAGTCAGTCCTACAAGTTCAGAGGCAAATGTGCAATATAAATAATTTTTGGCATGTATTTAATTTGCCAAGTCATCCGGCGACGCCGATGACACAGACCGGTGTGGCCAATAACCAAGTAAACATAGAACTATGTACTTCAATGCTTGCTGCTCTCCTTAGCGAGACCAGGCATTGAAAAGGACAGCGCAAGCCTTCCTGGCCAAGGATCACCTGACCTATTTGGTGACGCCTTGCAAATAGCTGAGCAAGAATGCCTTGTTGCTGGGTGAAGAGACCCGGTTACCGGAGGTTGAGGGCTCTTCGATCCCCAGAGGAGTCCCATGACGGGAGATTGACCCACCGCTGCCAGCGAGGTGCATTGATGAAAGGGGGCTGACAATGCCCGAGACATTGGCCGGCTGCGAGGGGAAGGATGTAGACTCAAGCTCTACAGCTGACCCCATTGATGGAGACCCATGGGGTTTACTGAACAGAGACAGGAGTGCCTCCTTTTGCGCGTGGGTCTGGCTTGGACGGCGATCCATGTTCGCTGGTGGCACTAGCCCAGCCGAGTCTTGTACAACGCCCAGACTTGACCTGCGATCTATGTTATGCGCATAGGGGCCGGCTGACGACACATCGTGAAACCCATTCTTGTCAGAACGACGCAAAATCTGGGGCTGAAAAGGCTTCGGAGGTGCCGGAGCCGACGGCTGGACCGTCTGAGGTAGCGAAGGCTGGCCTGTTGAAATCGTTGAAACTGTAGCCGCTGCAGTTGGGTTGTCCCGCTTGTCGCTCTGAGGCCTTGGCAAGATAGTGATGGGAGAGGAAAGCTGTGCTGAGGCGCGGGGTTGATCACGACGACCGGAACCGCTCCTGCGCGTTGAGCCTCCATTTGGCGATCTCTTTGACCCTGATCGGGAAGACTTCTCCGATTGCGGGTTGCCAGAACCTGCATGAGGGTTCACGGATGCTTGGACGACATTCGTGGATGGCCCTGACCTCACACTTCCCCGAGGCTGTCGATTCTCTGGCTGCGGCGGCGGCCGTTGCAGAATTTGCATTTGCGATGGTGGCGCGGTCTTGACTGAGTGGCCAGACAATTCTGCAGGCTGAGGTGCCAAAGAATTCTTTGCACCCTTGAAGAGATTCAACAGCCCGTCTTGATGAAGGGGAGTCTTACGCTCCTGCGTAGCATGTGAGACAGTTGCTGGCCCAGACATGTCCGCGGACCTGCCAGCTGGGGTTGTGAATGCCGCTTGAGGAGTTTTGCTGCCATCCTTGAAGAACCCGAGAAGTGCGAGCGAATGGCTTGTAAGCTTAGGTGGGGGAAGTTCGCTAGCTGGTGGCACGGCTGCACCGGGACCACGAGAAGGCTTTGTCTTTTCAGAAAATTGAGGATCGCCTGTTCTTTGGAATGGGGCCACGGCAGGCTTTGAAGGCGCAGCGGTGGGTTGTTGTAAGGGTTGTTCATGGCGCGAAGCCATGCTCGAATACGCAGGCGACCCGAAACCTTGAGGCAACCCGGACACAGGGGGGAATTGGTGCTGATTAACATGCGACTGACCCTGATTAGGCGATGATTGATATTCTGGGAGATGTTGTCCACCTGGTCGCTGCATAAAACCTGAAGGCGCCAAATGTTGCTGCTGTTGAGATAAGCCAGGGAAAAAATTGGTCGCGATGCGCGGATCTTGATTTAAAGAAGAATTGACCAGGCCAGGAGCTTGAGAGAGTCCATGTTCGTGTACATTTGGAGCAGGAGAGCGCTGAGTGCCTGTCCGAAGGAGAGCTAGGAGCGCATCTGCCTTGTTCTGATCAACAACGCTAGCGGGCAAAGCTGAAGTTGAGGTTTGCGCTGGAAGTGTCTCGGGCTGTGCTTCAGCGATCTTTAGCAGCTGCTTTATGTGGGCAGAGGCATCTGGGGTAGACGCTGCTGTGCCGACTTCTGGGAGGTTGCCCATAGCGCTGCCATGGGTCCCGATTCCGGCGTTGTTGGTGCTCTCGTCCATTGATGCATATTCCCCGGCGTGCACAGCGGACTTGACGCCTGACTGATCCTTGGCTGCAAGTCGCTTCTGTTGAGCGATCCATTTCTTCAGGGGATGCAAGAAAGGCGCCACCATGTAGAACTTATTGGCATTCGCGACAGCCATGCCCTCGTCCAGGTGTTTGTTCTTTCTCAGCGTTGGCAGCTCCGACAGCTTGTACCATTCGATCTTGCTGATTTCTTTGCGAGTACGAGGTTCAAAATGCGTGTCGCGAGGGACACCTGGAAAGACGAAGAGTCGCATGTGCTGCTCCCGCATGGTGACTTCAATGGACTTGACCGAATCTTCTGACTTGATCAAGTTGGCTGCACGAACGTCGAAGCCAGTCTCTTCGTAGACCTCACGGATTGCGCAGTCCAGGTCTGGCTCGCCCTTGTTGATCTTGCCTCGTGGGAAGCTCCAGTTCGCACCCTTTTTCCAGCCCTTGACCAGGACAACAGAGTCCATCTCTTCATTAAGGAGAATTGCGCCACGTACAGGGACTCTGGTCTTGTAGGCCAGAAACTCAGAGAATGCGGCCATGTGATGGTAGCGCGACCATTGAGACATGAGTGGACAGTGTTGAAAGATACGAAGACTGAAGGCCTTGAGAGAGAGTGAGGGTAACGCTGGATCGAGGGGCCGAATGAAATCCTCATAAAACCATTGCGCTTCTTCGACTTGGAAACAGATTCGTTCCACAGATTCAAGCTCTTCGTGGGGTAAGTTGATGATGAAGCGCACACATAAATCATCCAGCCCTGAATCAAGTCGAAACGATAGGTGATTAGAATGGCTCAACTGTAACAAGTATCAGGAAAGGCATGAGGGACCCACAATCTTCTAGTTGCATCTTTGAATCGGTCATGATGGGCAACGAAGCTTCGCATTTCCACGCGGACAACCAAAACAAGACGCTTGTTGAAGCCGCAAGACGCGACAGGGTTCGGTTCGGAGAGGGGGGCTTGCAGAATAAGCGCCGCGCTCCAAATAGCTTAAGATAATGAGAAAGAGAACTGGATAGATGTTGAACGTAATTCGCAAGGGGTGGAAATGACAAGGAAACCCAATCGAAATAGGTGAAGAAAAGTGAGGTTCATCCAAGCTCAGGCGCAAGACGATACAGCGGAGCTGCCCAAATGCAGCCGGGCCCAGGCGGTCGAGAAGGTGGTGACGATCAGCTGTCTCAGGCAGAAAAGCGCTCGGGCCAGCTTTGACGATAAGTCAGGATTTCTTTGATAAGGATAATATTGATAAGACTAGACTATGTCCAGCGGGGGTTTGGGTGGAAGACGGGCTGGGAAGATGGTCGCAAGAGGACGGGAGAGTGTGGCGTTGCAACGCCGTGGCGCTGTGGCTCGACATGCGCCACAAAAGATCGGCGGCAGGTGTTCAGGCTTGGAAGAGTTGGCCCAATCGAGTGGGCTGCGGAATGACGTTGTGCCAGAGCAGCCAGACTGCCAGCAAACAAAGCGGCTGGGCTGATCTTCGACCTCTCTGACGCCGCTGATTTAAATCTCAGGCTCTATCCCCTCAAAATCATCGGACACCTTTGAAGAAGCTACGCTTGTCTAATTTTCTTTTCACTCTCTCAACTGATTGGTTCTCACGGTCTGCTCGCCCTTGATACCCAGTTGGTGGCAGACCTCCCCGTACGACACAACCAGGAGCTGTACTAGACCGCACAAAACCACAGTACCGGTTATTTTTCGAATAGCAGGACATAATGTCTGGCTTGCTCTGGTCTGTCGTCGGCAAGAGGGTTCTCGCCGAGTCTGCGAGAAATCACTTTGGTACCGAGGTAAGTTTGAATGTATTATACTTTATTTGCCCAAGGGACGCCCATGCGAGCAAATCGAACTAATGATGCTTGACGCCGTCACAGGACCCTTATTTTGAAGAAGTCCCAGCTTCGCGCCTTGGCCAAGCTTTGGGCAAGAAAACCCAGAAGCGTCGCAAGGCGATACCTCCTGGCTTATCGGAGAAAGATGGCAAGATCCTCACTCAAGTCAAGCGGCGAGCGTACCGACTCGATTATGCTTTGTTCAACCTATGCGGAATACGATTTGGGTGGGGCAGTGTGATTGGTCTCGTCCCCTTGTGAGTGTGTCCTGAAACCCGAAATTAGACTTGCTGGCTGTCCATGCTTCGATCACACGAGACTTTGCTGATAAGAGTGCTGGGTTATGACAGTGTCGGAGACGCCGCAGACGCCGCGCTGGCTTTGATGGTGGTAAAATCATGTGAAGGAATCGATGGTGGTCTTCCGCAGCGCTTGCGTATGATGATGATGATCAATGTGATGATCGACTTCGTTATTGGCCTGGTTCCCTTCATCGGTGATGTGGCAGACGCCGTGTACAAATGTAACACTCGAAATGCTGTCTTGCTTGAAAAGCATCTCCGCGAGAAGGGCGCAAAAACGATCAAAGCACATGTCCCACGAGAGAACCTGCCAGCCGCTGGTGGAAGACCTGAAGCGCGGGTGATTGACCACAGTCTTCCAGATGAGTGGGATAGGCAGGAAAGTGGAACTGTGGAAGAGTTGCCGCCACAGTACACTGAGCAGACCATGTCTGGGACACAAGCAGCAGTGAATGCTCCGCAACAACCTGCTAGGCCTGCGCGGGTGAAGAAAGATCGTGATGGAGGACGCTCCAAGAAGTGGTTTGGTGGCTCACGGGAACCGGATTCTGACCTTGAGCGTGGAAGATAGGTCACGTCGTCTTATGTTGGGATTTGAACACGTTCAGTGAAAAATGATCTGCTCGGTTGAGGGGGCGAATTGAATATCTGGTGATGTGTTTCTTGATATCGGACCGACTTGGCTCGCATGATGTACTTAATTTGTTCGGAAATTTATTTGATCGATGACTCTGGTCGGGACCGCATGCAACCATAGCAAAATTTGGCGCTGTAATTATCGCTTGACTGATTTGCAACAGTAACACCCGAATTGCCCTTGACGTTCCCGACCAGTCCTCCGCACAGCGGACACGAGGGATCGTCAGAGCCAATAGTTGACTGCAGCTTGTTTGCAGTTCTCGAGACATTCGCCATCACACCTCGATACTTTTCGCCTTGCGTCCGTACGTAGCGCATCATGAGATCGTCGATGGAGAGATTTTTGGTCAAGACATCCTCTGAAATAGGCGCATCAGGTACCACGAGACCCGAAAGTTCCTCACAAACGCTCAAGTACTGCTCCAATTCAGGCTTCGAAAGATCACGCAATGGGAAGTCAAAGTTGACGCCCCACGGTGACATGCCGTCAGACACAGACCAAGTCAAAGAAGCACCACGACCCTTGGCGACACTTGCTAATGTTTTCGCGGCGAGACGAGTGTCCGAGTCGCCCCAGATGACAGCCTCACAATTCAGACTCTTTGCATATTCAACAACCAGACGAGTCAGAAGCACTGAGTCCAAGTCACTCCTGGATGTAGGACTTGAGATCGTTGTACGGAAAGCCGTAAGACGATCCTCGTTTGTCGCCTGCTCCTGGTCGACAAAATTCTGATTGGCATATTCCGCAATGATCTCCCCCATTTCTGACACGTACTCGAAGACGCTGTGCAGTGGCAATTTCGTGAAGGAGAGTCTGGAGAAAGCCTTGCTGACTGCATCGTATACATCGTCATTAGCACCGCCTTGTGCATCAACAACGAGCACGTGTACCTCGAAGCCAACGTTGACAAAGGTCTTGGCAAACTGGCGCCCGATATCCTCATTAATTATTTGTAACAAAACCGAGGATGATATGCCGAGGGACAGGGGAAGCAAGAGCTTGGGTGCCTTCCCATTCGATTTTTTCATTTGCTTAAACTTCGACATGCGCATGGCGACCTTGTGGGACAGAAATCGCTTGAAGCAAGCCCTATAAAAAGTCTCTCAGTACTTTGCTGGTAAGGTACAATCACATCAGGCGTGGCGGGGTTGTGATTTGATTTGACTTACCCACAATAATGCCTATGCCGGGTGTGTAGGATGGCATCTGCATCTTTGCAGTCCATACAAATCTTTTGCGACTCTTTAGCGGGCATTGTTGCGAATGAGCTTCCTTAGTCGGGAGACAGATCAAGTCAGTTGGTCGAAAGTAGTGTACAAGAAGCGAAGAAAAAGGTATTCGCTCTCAATAAGTGGCGTACTCGCGAGCCGGTCTTCCTCAACAAGTCAAGTTGCTAGCGACAGTGAGGAAATGCGATCAAGATGCTTGATCATCCCGCAGTGGGCCATTGCTGAATGCCACCCATCGGCTCTGGCTTAGGTAAGATTCCATGTGCGGAACCTGGAAAGCTGGGCGTTCCGCCCCGGTTTGTTCAGGCCACGCAAGTGCAGCGCGGCGGTTCCGGGAGAGCTTCTGTGGATCTACTTTGAGAGACTACCTTTCCTTCCAGCCATCCATCCCCCAACCGACCTTTGAATGCGGCGCAACTTTATATCAGTCTGAATACCCAATAGCGGAGCCTCGAGAGCCTCTTGTCTTCTTTTTGGTCTCCTCACAATGAAGGGCTGGCTTCGAACCCTCAGCCTCACGGCTTTGCTCGCGGGATCCGCGCTGGCCAACGAAGTTGAAATTGTAAGATAGGCCAACGTCGTCGCCTTGCATTTCTTCGGTGCTAACGACGCGGTACTCCAGAAATCTGACGCAGCGCATCGCCAACAATGCTCGGGCATGTACGGTCGAAAGAGCTGGGGGGGCAATGTCGACCCCTTTATCTTGGTCAAATTCTCCAAGACAGACAAGCAGGAAGGCGATCCGCTCGCCAGTTTGGTCATCTTCGAGTGGAAAGACGAGGAATTAATTGGCCGATATCGCTCTACGGATGCTGAGGTTTGTTGACGCATACGCGTGGACTGAATCCCAAGCTAATACGGGGTGTACCAGGTCAAGGATACAATTTGCGACGAGGCGGCTGTTGATGCGAAGCTGTGCACGAAAGAGGAGGTCGGATCTTTTATCCTCACCCAAAATGCTACTGATGTATCCAAGAGCCCGATCATTTCCAAAGCCATTCACCTGAATAACCCGGACGCCATAAAATACCCAGTACCTAAGACTGGATTCTACTGTGTAAGCACATACGCTTACTCAGGAGAGGATTATAATGGAGTGATCACCTTCCGCAATTCGTATGGTGAACTTCCCGCGGCACAAATCGCTAAGCTCCCGTTCTACGGAGCCTTGACTATTGTCTACGCTGTGGTTGGAATGTACGCGATGACTCGGGATGATCTTCGACCTTGGTTGAACTATGCTGACTCTAAATCAGTTTCTGGGCTTTCCTATATGTCCAAAATCGTCATGATATCTGTAAGTAGTTCAATCTTGTCTTTCACCGAAGACAATATGCTGACTATGAACAGTGCCGGTTCAGAATTACATCACCGCTATCCTTGTTTTCCTGATCGTCGAGCAGCTAATGACTTGGGGTTTCTACGGTATGTTTCTGTCCATTGTCAAAGGTGAAATTATGGGACCTGATACTCATCTTCCATCTCAGACTATCAAAATCGGCATGGACTGAATACCATGGGCAAGGCATTGATGATCATTGTGGCGATTCTCAACGCTGGTCGCAATGCTTTCTCTTTCTTTTTGCTTCTCATCGTCTGCATGGGCTACGGCGTTGTTAAGCCTTCCCTGGGTCGGACAATGATCTACGTCCGAATTCTGGCCATTGGACATTTCATTTTCGCCATGGGCTACTCGATCGCCAGTTTGACAATTACGCCAGAGACTGCTGGGCCTCTTGTTCTGCTCATCGTCCTGCCTTTGGCCGGCACCTTGACGGCATTCTACGTGTGGACTCTGAACTCCCTCAATGCCACCATGAAAGATCTTATCGATCGAAAGCAAAAGACTAAAGCTTTGATGTATAAGAAGCTTTGGTGGTGCATCCTTGGCAGCATCATCGTCATTTTCGGCTTCTTCTTCATTAACTCGTTTGACTTTGCGGGCCACAGCGACGCTGACTTTGTGCCCGATCATTGGAAGACTCGATGGTTCGTCCTTGACGGTTGGTTGAACCTCGTCTACTTCTTCGATATTGTGTTCATCGCTTATCTCTGGCGACCAACTGCGAACAACCGGCGCTTCGCCATGAGTGATGAAGTATGACATCTCTATTCCTGTAACAGCGATAAACTTTGGTTGTGATTGTAATACTGACTCGGTCTTCTAGCTTGCCCAAGATGACGATGGATTCGAAATCCGCTCTTTCGGTAGTGGTCTGGACGAGGAGGATCCCGCGGACGCACCACCGGAGTATCCTGGCAGCTCTGCTGCCGCTGGTCACCGAGACCTCTCCCCCGTGCCTCCAAAGCCGGTTTCAGCTTCAAACCAACGTACTTCTCTCGATGATGAGACAATCTTTGCCGTCGGCGAAGACGGAGACAAGTGGTCCGACGACGAGTCGCCCCGAAACTCCAGCGAGAGGCAGAGACTCACTCATTAGATGTGGCCAAGTCTTAGCCCGTATTTGCCGCCCCTGTTCTTTGCTTTCTTTCAGATAGAGTGAATGAGTATATCACGTCCGTTTTGCCACAGGGCAGAAATTGCAGGCTACCCGATGGTCTTATGAGTTTGATGCATGTTGCGGCGTTGGTTTCTTCCGAGATGTTGTTTTTACGCCAGCAATTCGACACGGACAGTCGTCCTCCCAATTGGCCTTGGCCTTGTAGGCTGGTCTTTCTATAGCCCCGTTCTAATAGCACACCTTACGAGACACTGGTTTTGGCTGTAATCACTGGGCTGTTGTTCTGCAGCTAATATGCGCGCACAAATGTAGCCCTGCACAACTTAGCAGCGTGAGCTCACGAATGTGGGTTGATTACCATATAAGAAGTACGGCCGCGACCGCGCGGGCCTTCCGATAGGAAACGATATCCCTACAGCGCGTTCCCAAAGTGTGGAGAAGGGTATTTCGTATAGCTTCGCCGCTACGCGCAGAGATTTGATTCGACCCTTTTCAATATCCTCAAGAGCTAATAGAACCTTGCCCTCTTGGTTAGCTGCTTTTACCAGGATTCAGAGCGTTTTGGTGGCATAATTCCTCGTTGAGGCGGAGCGTGTAGAGAGGGAGATGCGATTTTGGGTGGGTCACCGGCTTAACCGGGAATTACCTTAGAAAGATTTAACCCGATCGCGTCGTTCTTGACATCCATCCAGAATCTTGGAGCTTGTACTGACTCAGTCGGACTGTCGAGCGAACCCGCCAGAAGCCCATCGACTCGACCAAGGCGGGTCTCGTCAGTGCGGCTTGACTCATAGAAAAAGACTCGTGCAAGGTATTTTGGGTACCCAACCACATCAATTCGAAAAGCAAGCCGTAGAGACTAGAGACTCGAGACACCCCCAACAAAAAAGACTATCAGGTTAAACTCGGCCATACTAGTCTTGATGCTCAAGTGACTCTGCTGCTTTGGTTGCTGTTAGTAGTGATCAACAAGTCGCTCCCTTTCACGCCGCAATTGACGAGCCTTTGCGGGCATTGAGAGCAAGAATAGTCATTCTGTGTTGATCCCGCCTATTTCTCCGAAGAACATCAAAGTAATCAAATTGCTCACCCGCCACTCGAAATTCTTCCAGAACCTCCAACACTTCGGGCTGTACCCGGCATTCTAGATTCTTCTTACCCTTTCGGACATTCCCCCAAGCCCTTCGTCGAGGGAGCTAGAAGTGAGACTGCTGTGATTGTACCTCGCAGATAGAAACACCTGACGAAAGATGACACACGCTCCTGCCGACTTGGAAGCTCGCAGCTCCCCATCGGAGCAAACCGTGCTCTCTGCTCTGAAGAAATACATACCATCTCCAGTCCCGCCAAGCTTGAAAGTCTCGGAGCAACTGCATGAGCAATGTCTCGCTCTTCTCTCCGAAGTCGACCACCTGCAAGGCCTTCTTCAGCAGACCCTGCGCAATCCACAACTTGTCGAGGTCCGCCAATTCCGATCCAATGTGATTGCGGAACTGAAGATGCTGCAAAAGCTTGAACAGCGCTTTCAAAGTCATCCGGAGACGACCGCCAATTCAAAGCGGAGCAAAGTGCAGAACGGCAAGAGTCGGGCTTCCGATGCAGAGAGCGATGGGGATGAGGCAGCCAATGAAGCAGAAGAAGATGATGATGAATCGACTGTGGAAATGCGACTTATGCACGCGTTACGGTCTTCCAATTTACCCTTCTACCAGGCAGTTTGGAGCATTGCGAAGGATTCTTGCCGTGGATTGTCGGCGTTGGGGAAACGGTTTTATTGGGATGCCCCAGTCAAGCGGCGCGAGAAAGAGCCAAAGGTCGTTGCGAAACAAGGCGGTGGAGGCAAGCAGCCCAACAAGGACAAGCGCAAAAGCGTCTTTGTAGATATAGTGGCAGACGATGGAGAAGAATGGGTCAAAGTTTCAACCATGTCGGAAAGCAGATTACTATTTGAGATGGCTAAAAAAGGCTGGGAGCGTGACTCCGAGGACGAATACTTCTCCGATGCCGGGAGTGAAGTAAAACCACGACGAACAGTGCTACGGAATTTTGAAGGCTCGGATGACGACGCGGATGACGACGAAGATGAGCTGGAACTCATCAAACTGGCGAGAGATTTGCGAAAAGCGGCTGATGCCACGAGACTACGGTACAAACATCCACGGCTACGAGTCGTGCTCTCTAAGATTCAAGAAGGGAATGTTCCTGAGATTGATGATCTTCTTTGCGAGATGCGCAGCTATGGAGTCAAGGTCGTGTGCCAGGATGCGCTGTCAGAAATATCACACGGGAATTCTGATCTCTCTCACCTGTTGCCTCGCCCATTTAAGCGTTTCACCGAGACTCTGAATGTGGATTGTACTCTGCTTCTCGCACTCGTGTCCGACCTTTCTCATGCAAAGGAGATCGAAGTCTCACCCAGCTTCCATAGAGCGATCCTCCGCCAAATTGAGGTTGAGAAGCAGCAGCCGTTGCTCCCGACTGAGCTCTGGCCCGCCATGGGGGGCCACGAATTGATCTGCACCATCGAAGCAGGGGTTCGTATGCGCGAAATTGTGCAGCTTATAGGGACGGAGACCGAGAAAGAGAGGACGAAAATTATGATGGGAGATGCGCCATACACCCATATCGACCGTGTATCAGCCATTGAGAAATTCCAAGCCCTGTCGGATTGGCAAGTACCCGCCAATTGGAAGATTCCCATCAAAGTCGTGGATGCACAGCCAGCCATCACCGCAGCTGAAATTGAGGGCACATTGCCGTCCTTGGCGAAGCAAGTTGCAGAGGGATTGTCAGATATCAATCACAGCGTGTTCATGTATGGATGGGCGACGGGGATGACAACAATTTCCAGCAATCGCACGATTGATAAACAGATCGAGGCCACAGTGGAAAAGAACCGGGGCACGGATGAAACCCTCGAAGGCCCTATGGTCTGGATATGTGATACCGCCCGGAGTTTAGCCGGCAAAGAAAAAGATCGACGACCATAGACGAGCGAGACGAGACGGGCATTGCCAAGTGTTGCTGAGGCTGTCCACGCTGGAGACCCTGTCTCTTCAGTCGAATCAGGGGGACCAGTCACTGCAGAATCTGACCATTCTGCAAAGGCGACAAAACGTTTCAAAAAAAGCTCTTCAGTCCATCAAGATCAGATCAATGTTGAACCGCACAATAAATAAAGGCGCATGTTCAAAACTAAGAATAGTGAGATCAAACCGCTTCAGAAGGTATCGATACTGAGGCGACAAGGCTACTTGTCCGACGGCTTGGAAGGCTCATCGGGCTGCCAGAACACGATGTCTTTGTCGGCACTTGCGATCATGTGATAGCGGGGATTGTATTCAATCAGCGCAGTTCGGCCTTGGTGGGACAATCTGGTCGCGGGTTGTAGCGACACATTTGACTGCCGTGCTTCTCGGATGTCATTGAGATCCCAGACAAGCACATCCTGCTGGTCCCCATTACCTCCGACAACAAATCGTCCATCGGTTGTAAAGCAGACATCACCTTGACCCAAGGGCTTACCGGTACTTGACACAGGCGCAGCTCGACCAGGCGATCCACTCTTTCCAGTCAAAAAAGCCTTGATCGTTCCATCAAATGCGTCCAGTATGAAGTGTCCATGGTGATCAGTTCCAAGCATCAGGTATTTTCCATCATTGGAGAATTCCAGTCTGGTCCAAGCACGCCCACGGGTCGAAGGGGTGTACATCTCTTCGTATGGAGTAAGGTCGAAGGTGGAAAAGGGCGCTTTGTCGTAGTTTCGGAAGTCATAGAGAAGAATCGACGCCGTCGCCTGTGAGGCAACGGCGATGACCGAGGCAGATGGGTCGAACGCCACAAGGTAAGGAGTTGCCAACTTCAATTTGCCTTGAGGATTTCGAGAGCCAAGGTCCCAGACGGTGACTGTGTCGTCTTTGGAGCAGGAGACGAAGGCATCGCTGCCTGGAGACATTGCCAAGCATGTTACCTTGTCAGTGTGACCCGAAAAGTAGCGCACGTATCCTTCGTTGTGGAGATCGAGTAGACGAAGAGAATCTTGTGAACAATGTCAGTCCCGTACACATAGACGTTTCGACAAATGCTCGAGCTCACTCACGATCAACCTTGGTACTGGCATGTAGCACTTGACGAGAGTGGTGAGTGAAGCGTGCAAGATGAACACCGTATTTCTTGCTGGGAACCGATTTGGTAGATTTGCCTTCTTTGACGTCGAAGATCTGAATGGTCTCATCATCACCCGCGGCGACGACGAATTCACCCTGGTCATCAAAATCCAAGGAGGTTGTGTAGTGCGAGGACGATTCTGATTTCGAGCTTTTGAAAGACTGAATGAAACATGTCAGCAACGGACCGAAGACGAGATAGGGAGTTTAGACGCAATGCGTACCTTGCAGGGTCGGTAGCTTCGAATCACGTCGGAGATTCTTAGCGACTGTGAGGGCTGAGCAGCTTGCCCAACCGTAGGCTGCTGGCCTTCGGCCATGGTGAAAAAGAATGCAGTAGACAAAGACCGAGAAGAAACAGAAGCTTTTCAAAGAGCGTTGTAGGGGCGAAGCGAAGGACAGGGAAGGCTAAGTAGACGGTTCAAAACCTCATCGCAATCAAAGAAACAGTCGAAGCAAGCTCGAAACGCGCTAGCGGGATAAGAGCAGTGTCGCGCTTTCCTCTTTCGGTCGAACAGAGAGCTCACCACGTGCAATTGCTGATTTTCCCGAGCGTCAGAAAGGAGCTTTGTTTATCCGCTTCACCGCCCCCGGGGTCGGAGAGATGGGCCCGAAGAGGTCGCCATTGACCAATTATGCATGCTAAGATGCGGCCTACGGTAACCGCAGGTAAGCTTTCCGAGAGCATGCATCTCAGGCGTTCCAGCTGACATTCACCTCCCCTCTGTGTAGACGCCTGAACGGCACCCGATATATATACCACCCTCACTTGAGGCCAGCTGCCTGCCTGAATTGCTCACTGCTTGGCTCTAGCAGCTTGACTGTTCTTGAAGCTGTCGTCTGGTCATCCAACTTGCCTCTGTTGGTGTCTCCGATTCCGCTCCGATCTCCGTCAAAAACATCCGTCTTCAATAGCGACGAGCCAACATCTGACGCATTATGTCCACAACCACTGGGTACGCCGAAGCATGGAGTGAAGGAATGAGTAGGGAATGAGCGCTGGTCGGTTCAATACTGATCCATGTATAGAGCGTTCCTCGCCGGAGGCATTGCAGCATGCGGCGCAGTCACTGTCACCCACAGTTTCGAAACCGTCAAGATTCGGTCAGTCTACTTCAAGAGACCGGAAGATGGATTATTCATGGTAATTTTGGATGAAGCTGACTTGCCAAAGACTTCAACTTCAGGGTGAATTGCAGTCGAAGAACGAGGGTGTGAAAAAGTACCGTGGTGTATTGCATGGCGTCAAGGTCATTCTTCAAAATGAAGGCCCGCGTGGTTTGTTTCGTGGCATTGGTTCTGCCGTAGGTTAAGCCCTCTCCCAAACCCTTATCTGGAGCAGATACTGACTGGGGCATTCTTTGAAGTACATCTATCAAGTCCTCCTGAATGGCTGTCGCCTCGGCTTTTACGAACCGATTCGCTCTACCGTGACAAACGCGATTTACAGCGACCCCAAAGTCCAATCGCTAGGGGCCAACGTCTTTGCTGGCGCAGCTTCCGGTGTTATTGGTGCAGCGGCTGGATCACCATTCTTCCTTGTCAAGACTCGTTTGCAGTCATTTTCCCCCTTCCTGCCCGTGGGTACCCAGCACAACTACAAGAACTCAATCGACGGTCTCAGCCGCATCTATCAAAGTGAAGGTGTCAAGGGGATTTATCGTGGAGTTGGTGCCGCGATGATACGGACCAGCTTCGGTAGTGCTGTTCAACTTCCTACGTACTTCTTTGCCAAGCGCCGATTGACCCGTCACCTGGGCATGGAGGAGGGACCTGCTCTGCACCTGGCCAGTAGTGCAGCGTCGGGCTTTGTTGTGTGCTGCTTTATGCATCCCCCTGGTATGCCAAGACTTAGCATCCCTGATGTTGCTTCCGATGATTATACTGACTCAATGACAACAGACACCATCATGGCTCGCATGTATAACCAGACTGGTAACCTTTATCAAGGGGTCTTTGATTGTCTCTTCAAGACTATTCGCACTGAAGGTGTGCTGGCTATTTACAAGGGCTTCTTTGCTCACCTGGCCCGTATTCTTCCGCATACTGTACGTTCGACCACTCCCAGCAAGGGCGTTGGGCTCGAAAAGCCTGATAATTTGCTAACTTCTCACTTCCCCTCCCCAGATTCTGACACTGAGTCTCGCCGAGCAAACGAACAAGCTGATGCGACGCTTCGAGAGTCGTATATTGCCTGACGCTCTGAAAGAGAAACTTTGATGCCGTGAGAACGACTACAAAGTTTGACCGGCAAACTTCTGGTACTATAGTGGTCGTGGTCTCCGCCTGCGTGTGAATTTTGCATTGAGAAGGATGAATCATTCCAGCGACGCTGGGCTTTTGCTTGGTGTTATATATAGATTAGGCGTTTCGCGGGGGGGGGGGGGCCTCATTAGGAACATCTTGTACATGAACCTTGAATACGGGCTAGACTTTAACGAATATTCATTGAGCCAAGGTTTTCCAACGTGGATGCACGGCCTTCGCTCGGAAATCGCTTAGTTTCGCAGCGAGATACTCGACATCAAGCTTCATTTATGTCAATTCCTTAGTACCATCAAATTCCCAGTCTTGTACATGGAAGTACGTGGAACATATTTGGTCTAGCTTGAGACCTCACGCTCATTCATCAAATAAGTGGAGCCTTATGACTCAATCAAGGCCACGGAGAGATCGCATGACCATGCACTAACTAGTCTGAACTCTGTAGTCTGTATACTTACAATTTACAGTAGGGCACGTCCACTCACCCGAGTACTACAGTTAGTGTTACTGTCACCCTGTGCTTCCACACTTTGGGTGGGTCCCGGATAGCTCCTGCCGAGACACTCTAGCTCTTCGGCATGTTGGAGGCTGTGGAAGATCTTGGCGAGGAATCCCGGGGAGGATGATGCCTCCACTGAAGGGGTTGTATCCGCATTTGGAGTAACCGCGGAGTCAGACACTTCGACAGGTCTGCTGCGCTGTAAGTAGTAACTAAGTGGTATTTAAGGACTAAAGTAGGGTAGTAAGATGAGAAGATCAAGTACTAACTACGAAAGTAGTAGTTATGGCTGACCGGTGCCCCTGATCCAGTCTTGGCGGAGAGTCATTCCCGGGCGTAAGCGTGGGGGCGGAATGGCTTCAGTTCGATAACTTCGCGAAGAACGAGTGGATTTGGAGATTGAGTCTAAATCCAATATAGTGGTGTGGTAGGATGCATGAAAATGAAGTTATAGGATGTCACTCATATAGATATCACACAATGTTCCAGAGACTAGAGAGGGACGGGAGTCTAACTTGGGCGCCAGATGGGTATCTATCATCCAGGTCATAGTACCACTGGTGTTGATTCTTTTATGTGTATAAGTGTACACTCATTTCTAACCCACTCAGCTCTGTCAGTCATAAGCCTAGCTCAACCACCCACGTCTTAGTTAGAGTGCTGATAGGACATGCTCGAGTCTACCTCATTACGACTTGTCTTTGTTTTAATAACTGTCTTGCCAAACAGTAGACCTCTTTTGCAAAAGAGCATGCGGTCGGAGACATGGACAATTCAATCCTGGTGGGTGTCATCCTTGGCCTTCAAAGACTCCACCAGGGCAATGGCCCCTGAGAGCCAAGAGCCGCTCCGCTATTGGTGAGCGTGCAAACATCGATGTCCGGCGTAGCCTCTATTGGTGCACGCTGCATATGAAACGGTAGTTCATTGTGCTCGAGCAGTTTGCGGCCTGGAGGGGTTTCAGTGCTATAAGTACCCCATATCTACCCGTCTACTCAGCATCAACCGAATTTGCCAACCCGAAGCCAGGCCCCTTTCGTCTGTTCTCTACATTGTCAACATGTCGGCACCAAAGACCATTCTCATCTCCGTTGCCCTTTCCATCGCAGCCACTGCAGCCGCAGCCGTTGCGGATCAAGCCACTTGCCCCAATGACTGGCTGCCCCAGACACGCCGTGGAGAAGTCAAATGCTGCTACGGCAATATGGTCATCGAGGACAAGGATACCTTCTGCTGCGTCTATGACATGAATCCCGTCACGACAAGCAGTGCGTCTGCGGCCACAGCCACCACGACCACCGACGACTACGGCAGTTGGTCAACGGCGGACGAGTGCTTCACCAAAATCCCTTTCACTGCGAGCAACTACTCTGACCTGGTGTCCTCGGCTTCTTCTAAGATCGTTGCGACTCGCACAACCGCTGTCACCACGGAGGCAAGCGCGACAAACACTGCCATCAGCTCGGCCGCTACAGACGGAAGCTCAAGTGCGACCTCCTCTGGAGGCTCTCAGTCAAGCTCAGCTGCCGCGTCCACCACTAGCAATGCCGGATTGCCGAGAGCGACCGCTCAGGATATGGTTCTTGGTGGGGCCGCTGTTGTCGCTGGTCTCCTCGTGCTGTAAAAACCGAATGCAAATGGGAGGCCCAAGGAGAAGCCCGAGATATTGTGTACAAAATAGCCGGAAGAGCTAACCTAGGGTCTCAGTGGGCGAGGGAAGTTAGGAAGGACCGAATGTATATAGATGCACGTGGCTGAATGCATACAAATGCGTAGCATCTCTTCTGCTACGTCTGCTGTCTCGGAGGCTGCGGTCGCCAATGTGCGCTGCCTGTGTGACTCCGAGCTTGTTCGCGGAGATGACCTCTTCGGGAATGATATACGATTTGTTCGCTGATGTCTCGCACAAGAACCTCCTCGGGCGTGCGCTGAACATTCAAGGTTCGAGTCCCAGTTCGACCCCGGCAGATCGGTGGGGCGTACAGTGGAGGTGTGGCTGCATCGCCCAAGTTGTGAGGAAAGGGAGCCGCGATCATGTCGTCACCTGGTGTAACTTACTACAGAGAAGGGGAATAAACACTGACAGCTGATCTAGCACATAGCGACAAAGGTCATTAGCTGCCTCATCGACGAGAAAGTCGAGCAGGACGTCCTTTCCTGGAGGACGAGCGACTGGGAGATGGCACGCCTGTTAAGTTCCTGGCCCATTTGAGGGGGGGCTAACTACCCCACTCGGGAGTCGATGCTTATCGATTAGATATCTGACAGTCCATCAATCGGAACGCTCTCACTAGTACTGTGTCTAGTCCGGTAAGTGTACCAAGTGTTGGAGTACACACTACATGCAACTACCTAATGATTACTCAGAGTCAGCAGTAGGTCGGTACGGCAGGTGCTTGCAATATGCGCGTAATCCACCGGACTGGTTTACGTGATACCTCATCAGCCTAAGGACACCGGGAGATAGCCGTTTCATGGTAATGATCAAGCTCTAGAAGTTGACCTTTCCAAGTTCTCCGGAAGGGACTTTCCCTTCTTCCATCATTTCCAACTACAGTACTTCTTGCCCCTGTCTTGACTCACAAGGTCGCATCTGACTCTTCCAACGTTGATCTATCTGTGAGACCTCCCTGGCCTACAAACCTCGTTCTATCCTCCTTGCTCGACCTCCGCTCTGTGGCCTGAGTGTGGCATCTGCTCTCGATCGGATCTGACGCCCAGACGACGGGCACATCCCCGCAGACCCACACCCAACAAAGGCACATGTCTGAGTCTCAGACATCCTCATCCTCGCGGTGAGTCTATTTGGACTATCAAATAGTCTGCTCGTGATCACTTGTGCACTCGGAAAGAGAGTTGGCACGACAAAGCCACCACACAGAGTCCTCATTCTCGACGACACCCATGATCGATCCAGAGCCATGGCTAATAGTACGGAGCTGAACAGGCGTTCCCCAAGTGCCCGCTCAGCTGCTCCCCTCCAGTATCCGACTTTCCCGCCAGTATCAGCCTCCGTTCAAGAGTGGCTTTCGCACTCTCGCCCAGCAGCCACCATGTCGCACGATCGACCTACAACTCCAGCTACCAGATCCCTCGGCGATAGCTGGGCAGACCTCAGCGTATCAGATATACACTCTGAAGATGGGAGCCGCTCGGAGCATACTGATGCGGAATCCTTGATCGACCAGACCACGCCCGACGATGTAGCGAGCCTGGATGAGCGATACAGCAGCAGCGAGATCGACGGTCCAGATGATGAGTCGGCCAGAGGAGACACCGAGGAGGAGGGGGAAGAAGAAAAGAGGCAGGAAGATGTCGATGGCGAGTTTCAGCGCTTGACAGCCTTCGACGAGTCGCCACTGCGTTTGACCGAAGACGACGACCACACAATCGACGACAGCAGCTTGACCACCCGTCCAACGTGCCGCCAGTCCATCGATTCGATAGAGTTTGTGGAGCCTGAAAAATGGCCTGAGATGGAGCGAGTCGAGCTTAAACATACAATCCACGTGCTCAGTGAAGCTGAAGCAACTCAGCTGAAACCTACGCTGCCACAGAATAAAATCAAGGATGCACTTCTCGTGACCACCGTCCAGCAGACTATGACCAAGGGAAGCTTGGACCTGGACAGGCCATACCGTGTGCTGTACACGGGCCAGCCAGATTCCCGGAACATCATTCTGGACAAGATAGGCGATGTCCTGGTGTCCAGCTCGACGGCAGATTCGCCAGCAAGTTCTGCCAATTCCTCTCGATACCATGTGGTGCCTACCTCGTTTGGGGCTGGAGCTGTGCCAAATCTCGCAGAACTGCTTCCTATCCACGTGCAGCTAGTCGTGGATGAGTGCAAAGAAGCAAGTGCTGAACCTCATGAAGCTTGCCTGGAAACTTTACACCTGGACTTTAAGAATCGCCCGCCATGTCGCTCATACTGGGATGGCTCGTGGTACCGAATCACTTCTGCGTCAGAATGGACCCTTCCTGACATGGCCATTATATTCGTCTCTGATAGGGACAGTCAGGCTCTCGTGCAGACACAGCGCTGCGTTCAAACTTTCCTGGAGAGACACGAGATCCCTGTGATGGTCATTTCGGAGGAACCGCTCTGGAAGCGAGCGACCGAACACATCCAAGTCAACCAGAACAGCCTCCACATGTGTCTTGAGTCTCGACACCCGCAGACAGGCGAGACCGCTGTATTGCGTCGATATCCCATCGATTTGAAGACATTTGAAAGTATCACGCCAGGTCAGCTCAACCGTAACCTGGCTTCACTCATGGATCTTTACCCCAAGCACATTCGCAAGATCGCCGCGGCCGGTCCTCAGGCCGCGGAAATGTGCTCTTCCACCGATCCTCAGAACTATCCTCGTAACCAAAGACGCCCATTGTTTGGAAGCAAGGCTTGTGGGCCGGGTCCCACTCTTAGTATGATCGTCTTAACGCTTATATCCGCCGTCGCAATTTCTTTTGGATATGCAGCGGTGAGTACAACAATTCTCGGTGTCTCGCAATGGATGTCCAAGGGAGAAGTATTCGACAGCGCCTCTGCGCCCGAAACGCTTCTACCATCTTCTTCCGCAATCGTACCCACGGTGGCCCCGACATCACTTTCCCTTTGGGGCGCCGGTCAGCCTTACCATTCCTCAAGCCAATCCTCCGCAATTGTCAGTCAAGATGCCAGCTCCATAAATGTCTACCGAGATCCGCCTCAAACAGCAGACTTGTTTGAAATTCGAGTCGTTGGAGATTGCCACGTAGTGATCAAACCCCATCGAAGCATTCTCGCCTCCCGAAAGCCTCCACTCTTCGATGTGAGTGTCCGACGACATGACGAAACCTTGCATCATGAGATCTCAAAGCTCTTCGACGGGGTATACACACTGCGACTGGACCGAGAAGACGCATATGGCCTGGTGACCATCACTGTTTGTACTAGGTCCAAACCCCTCCGCAAACAGGTGGCCACAGTTGATTTTGGCACACCATGGTTGAAGATTGCAAGCTGGAGGTGGGCGGCGCAGAAGATCTCGTCGGAATTGACGAAAGATTTGCAGATCGCCCAGAACAGTTTGGCCGAAGTATACAGCCGAGTCTCTACTGATGTGCAGGTCAGGGTGGGCGATCTGGTCAAGCGATCTCATTTCCTCCACCAGAACACCCTGCGAGATCAGAGTCTAGTGGCTCATCAAGCTGTGCTCGCGCGTTCCAAAGAAATATCACAGGTCATTTCTCGAAGCGCAGTTGAACAATTTCGCGCCGTGTCTTCTCTGGTGCATAGGCGCTCTGTTCATCTGAATCAGGAAGCCAAGGGCCTCATCAGTGGTGCATGGAACCGATTAGAAAAGACAGTCGACCGCGTTGATCTATCCTCGATGATTGATCGCGTACGAAGTGCGCCAAGCGGTACGCTGGACCGGGCTCAAGCGCGAGCACGCCGCATTGTGGGCCGTCGGGAGCGTGATGATTAAGAGCACCACCGGAATTCATACTTGTTGTTGGATGCAGACGTAACGCTCATGCATTTGGTCTCCCTCTGGCTTCCTAGCTGTTTGGAATTTGCTTGCACGTAACGCTTTGCTACTTTGCGCCTATCCGTTAGCCCAGGTTGTGATTTGCGCTTTCTGGGCTTGAACGAATTGATGTTCTCTGTCCTTTCGTTTACTTACAGTATCTTCAATACCAATTCAGTCTACTTTAAGCGTATATGCATATACTCTTCTTAGCTCCTTTCTAGACTGTCTCAGGGATTGCGTTTCCAAGCCATGAACTTCCGTCCTCCAGGACAAGAAGCTCGATACAAGATGAACTGAACGAATCGTGACGGTGCCGTCATCCCTCGCGTTCCTGGCCCGCTGGAGCAGTTCAGTCGCAGGGCGGTGGCGTGTTCTGCCTGCACATGAACTATTAATTTTTCCCCCCACCTCACACCCTCCCGCATCAACAACAACAAGCGTTCTCTTACCCCTGGGATTTTTCTGAGATATCTCTGCTCATCCGTCTTCCTTGGATCTATACCACAGCTTCCCTATAGCTCACCAAACCTGATCACTTCCCTCACCATGTCTGACGTTGCCGAGACCAAGCCTGACCAGGCTCCTGTGGCTGACCAGGCCCAGACCAGCACCGGCGAGAAGACCACCACCGAGACCGCCACTGAGAAGGCCACCGAGGCTGCCGAGACTGTCAAGGAGGCTGCTGTGAAGACTACCGATAACGTCTTCTCCATGTTCGGTGGAGGCCCCAAGAAGGAGGAGAAGAAGGAGGACGAGGAGGAGAACGACCGCTCTGGCTCCGCCAAGGCTCAGAAGGCCGAGAAGAAGGATGACGAGAAGGAGGAAGATGTCGAAGCTGACAAGGTGGGTTACAGACGTGCAGAGTTATCAGCCCTGGGAGCCCCGTTGAATCATTTGATGCGTTTGCAAGACCTCCCTTCTCCGAATACCACGGGGATGGTCCAGAACGCGGGGTGATCTCCTGAGACCCCGCAGCTGGGATGGCTTGCTGCGATCCAACTTTGACCGCATCACAATGCTTTACAATTCTTGTTTTGAGACTCTTGATCTATTCCGCCCATACTGACGCTTCTTTTCCTCGATTCAGGTTGTCGCCGATGCTAGCTGGGTGAAGACGGAATTGAAGGAGGTCGTTGAGACCAAGACCCACGAGGAGCTTGAGGAGCAGGTGTTCAAGATGCGCGCCAAGCTCTTCAAGTTCGACCCCGAGTCCAAGGAGTGGAAGGAGCGTGGTACTGGTGATGTCCGCCTGTTGAAGCACAAGGAGAACCAGAAGACTCGCCTGGTCATGCGCCGGGACAAGACCCTCAAGGTCTGCGCCAACCACTACGGTGAGTGACCCCCTAGCATCTTCCATGTGATGTTGGCAGTCAAACTAATTGCATCACTCTACAGTCGTCCCCGAGATGAAGTTGAGCCCCAATGTCGGTAGCGACCGCAGCTGGGTGTGGAACACCACCGCCGATGTCTCCGAGGGTGAGCCTGAGAAGCAGACTCTGGCCATCCGCTTTGCCAACAGCGAGAGTGAGTTAACAAAAAACCATCCCATCGGCCCTTTGTATCTTCTGATTGAGGATGGCTACTGACGTTTGTCCAATCTAGATGCCAACTTGTTCAAGGAGGCATTCGAGAAGGCCCAGGAGGAGAACGAGAAGCTTTTCAAGGCCGAGTAAATCCAACTGTCACTGCACAAGATGTCGCTTTTCGGCCCTTTTCCACAGACCTTATTGCCTTCATCAGCATGGTGTGAATCATTCCTGGCTTTTGTTGCAATGACGAGCAGCTTGCATTAGCATCCACCCTTCCTCCCCCTTTCTATCATACCATACCAATATCCCCCAAATACGAAAGAACTCATGACCATTTCCCCCAACATCTCTCGCCTTCTGCCTCTCAACTCCACCTTCCCATTCCCATGTTACCCTTGATTATGCCACTCTCAAGGCTGTCCCCTGATGATCGATGCTCCCCGATGAAGAGAGAGCCATCACAACGTGATACGAAATGAAAGGGTACACCCCTTGATGTCCTTTAACTCCTTATCGGCAGTAGATAGACAGATAAATCATTCTTGCAATTCAGAGGTACCTCTCTCGCATATACAGGGCTATTACCAACTGTCTATGTCTGTTATAGGATACGATTACTCCAATATAGTTGAGGTGAGACCCAACTTGTTGTGTTTTTGCGGAATGGGACACTCCAAACATGCCTCTTTGACCATCCAGCGCAAATAGCGAGCTCTCAAGAGTCTACTTGACATAAAAGTTCGTTGCTAGGCTGAGCTTGAGAAATCAAGGCAAAGTAATGATGGGAAACTTTGTATTTGTTTATCATCTCCATATTCTACTCGCTTCTCACTTGCTCTCGTCTCTTCGTTGTATGGGTTGGTGGATCAAGCTTGATTAAGCTCCCTTCCCTCTGAGCCTCCGTTTGTCTCGTCCACCCCTCGACTACCTAAACTTTACTTCCTGCCACTCCCATCCAACCTTACTCTCATTGATATCTCATTTACTGTTCATTTCAAACCAATCTTAAATTTTTTGACGTCCGCCTCTTCTTCCATTTTGGCAGAAGAGACTCCAGACAAAACCCTCTCACCATCCTTCGCCCATCCCGTCTTGCGATCTGCCGGCCCATCTCCGACCGCTGCCCGCAAATCCGACCCTCCATTATTCCCTGCCTGCCCGCGCAAACTGCTCCCGAGGGACTTTCGCGTCAACCAGCGCGCCATCCTCAAGGACCCTTCTCGCACGCTCGACTCAAGGAGAGATAATCGCATATAAACCAGCAAACATGCCTGAGGTGAGAACTTGGACTCCAGAATCCATTCATCGTGTCTGGGTCCCGAAGCTTTCCAATGAAGCTCGGATCTTGGAATCAACATCACTGAGGATCGTCTCGCGTCGTGTTCACTTGAAGTACTTTGGTAGTCCGGTGGATATGTCAAAAGTTTTGACTCTCAGTTCGTTTAGCAACGACAGCTCCAGTTCATTTCACTGACAAGTATTTTCCGCACACTAGGTCAAGCGCAACATCCGCATTGTGACGGAACAACATATCATGTACGTTGATCCTGCCTTTCGCTTTCGCTTTGGCCTTCATCTCACCTGCTCGCCACTCTTTCGTTCGCCAACCATACTCAATGCCTCGAGTCTTCGAGGAGCTTTTTTGTCGCCGAGTTCTCCTTGTGCGACGAGGAGAACGCGGCAACGCCCCATGCATACTAGATACCAGGATGAAGCGGCGCTCGCTCCGCAGAAGCAGCATCCAGCTGCCCCTCCAATGAGATTGGAATGAGAAATAGAGCAGAAAGAATCTTGAACCTGAGCTGACAATTTTTCTCTGCTGGTGAAATAGCGACAAGCCGTCCGACGTTGAGGGGTTCCCGCAGCGCGCCTGGTCAATTGAGATCTTTCTAGTCAATGACAAAGGCGAGCAGGTGCCTGCCTCCATCTTCGACAAGGTTATCTATCGGCTACACCCGAGTTTCGGCGATCGTGCAAACCAGAGTCAGTTGCATTCCCTCCTCGGTCTGAGTTCGAAGAGGTGGCCAACCCATTGCGCAAGGATTCGAGCAGTGGATGCCAAAGCCATGAGCTACTGCTGATCACTAGTTCTGTATGCAGCTTTCAAAAAACCCCCTTCCGTATTCAAGAGGAAGGATGGGGTGAGTTTGATATGACGATCGACTTGGTTGCCGATAAGACTCACACGATCCGCCACGACTTGAACTTTGCTCAAGAGCGGTACGAGGCCAAACACACGATTGTGAGTATCGGAGATATCTACTCTGTTGTGGCGGTGGATTATGTACTGCCGCTACTAAATGTGAAAGGCTAATAAGGGAAAATACTATCAGACCTTCCGTAACCCCAAGCCTGCTTTCTTGGCCTTGCTGCGCGAGTCCGGCCCAGTTCCGGGAGATGAGAACGGGGTTAAGGGCAAGCGAGGCGCCACTGGTGAAGATAGCGTCAAGAAGAAGAAGCGGACCGAGAAGAATGTGAGTATCGCGTGACTAATTCACGCTATATGAGCTTGCGCGCTAATCACAACTCCTTCGCCAGGTCGATATGGACAAGCTTGCCGATGGGTTGCAAAAACTGAATGAGGATGATCTCCTGCAAGTGGTACAGATGGTACATGACAACAAGTCAGCAGACTCATATACCAAGAATGACGCCGAACGTGAGTTTCCCCCCCCCCCCCCCCCCCCCCCCCTGCCTTATCCAGGTTGTGTACCTTCTCCACACTTGACCCGCTATCTTGATATGTTCCACGCGACATCTGGTGAGGTAATTCGAAGCATCGAAGACTAATCTGTATGAACCTTTTCCTGCAGTGGGCGAATTCCACGTAGACCTCTACACACTCCCAGATGCATTGATCAAGATGCTCTGGGAGTTCACAGCTGAACGGGGCGCTCTCTGAGCATGTTCATCGGGCGGTGGAGGCGTAATTCTTTTTTGCAACACGGATTCCAAAAAAAATGACCATATATCGAATCAATTTGTCTTTCTCATCTTTCTGTTCTCCTTCATCAGGCGAAATGAGAACCCTCCTCAATGAATTGAGTGGAATGGATGTCATCAGATCTTCTTGCTGCCTTCTCTTGCGTTTCAACCGGTGTTTTTGGGTTCCAAAGCTATCTCGGATCAACAACGATGCTGTATCCATAAACTGACCGTTCGTCCGTCTATCTCGCTTTTCAATCCCGCAAATGCGTGTCATGTTCTGCCTTGTCCTTTTCTCGGTCACTTCTCCGTGAGTTGAATCTGACTTTTTGACTTTTTTTGCGCTGATGAAACTTCTCTTCTCTTCGCTTCTACTATATTTGCGCTTAGTTCTCAGGGAGGGTTGCGTCGAGTCTTTCTGCAGTGGGACTTTGGTGAAACGCCCTTTCAAAGCGTCAGACGAAAAGTAAGTTGGTTGAATTAGGTAGGTACGGTGATGCATACACACAGTCACACCCACATGTAATCCGGGAATATTTGAAAGGCCATTTTCAATCACACTTCAATTCATAAGCTCGTTCTGGGCACCTAAGTACCGATTGAGAGGATGTTCCGATGTCTTAAGCCACCAGTTCCAGGTTTCTTCTCGAACGTGATACTTATGCCTAGAGACAGGTAGTACCGAATGCATCCTATAGATCGACTCATCGAAACACTGGTCGTTCTTGACGGAGATTGATTCGTGCTTACAAATCTATCTTATAATCAGATCCGACAAACAAGGTGTATTCGTCCAAGCCATCCTCACAATGGCTATTCACAAATGATAGATCCGGTTTCTACCCAGCACGATCGAATGAGAGCTCGGGCTTTTCTTCTCATGGCTAGAGACGCGATACTTGAATGGAGGACTTCTTTCGAGAAGAATGGGGACGTGCTCTCGATAGAAATGGTTGATCCACGTCAACTGTGTACGAAGAAGAACTGGGAGCGATGAAGAAAGGCCACGGGCATGGACATGGACGGTTATCGGCCGTTGGTAAGGTACTTGGAGTGCTTCAAGTTTATTATTTGGGATATATTTAGTACGTCTGGGGAGATGGAAGTACCGTGTAGAGTGTAGTAGGGATCATAAATACAGTGGTTTTAATTATTTGGCGAATTAAAACCACACCGCTGACACCTTCGACATCAACGCCGAACTAACCAGATCAACCGCGATTAGCCCTATATTATCACGGCGCGGCTACGGATTGTTTGCATGGCATGTGATTCTGCCGCTCACCACAGTCCATAACTTAGGTAGAATCTCTCCCCCACAGCAATCTCACTCTTTATCCCTCTCACACATCGATACTGCTGACCTACCGTAGCCGTATCTCATCAGTAAGTCGTATTACTTAGTATATATATGTAGGACTAATAACTTTTACGGGTACCGTGGTAAGTATTTTGCGCATATCAATCTTTTTCCAGAAGAACGCCCAGGCGGGCCCAACCTACATGCTTATACTCTGCAAAAACTCTCAACTAGACTGCTAATTTGAGAAGGGGCCTCGGTCAACCTCGGCATCTGGACAGTACTCGAAGCCGGTATCATCATCATCGCCGCCTGTCTCCCCTCAATATGGCCGCTGATCGTGCGAGTTCTCCCGTGTGATCTGAGAAGCAAAGTGTCCTGGCACAACCGCAGCCACCGTCATACAACCAGCCATATCAAGACCAAGGGGACAGAAGGGTTCTCTTGGCTAGGCGACTAGCCAGCACGCTCTTCGTGAGACAGATACCTGCTCTCGACGTGCGAGTCCCGCTCTCGAACACTATAGTGTGTCTACCAACGACCCAACGCGAGTGAATGCAGAGAGCATCTCTCTTCGGAGTATGAATCAAATCTGGCAGGAGCCCTAGGCCGTATTTAGGAAAATTCATACAACTTTGCAGTTGTCATGTATAGATCTACTAGCTGGGAAAGTCTGTTCAGAGCAGCCACTGGAGGAATGTTCCACCTTTAAATTTGTCACTCATCCGCTGAAGAGACCTCTCAATATTGGAGATGGCACAATGTGGCACTTTCTTGTATCAAGCTTGGCTGCTGTTATCTCAGGTGGTTTCAGATCCAAGGTGGACGTGAGGTAGTCGACCACCCTGGCTATAGATGCTCTCACGCAGAGGTCATGTATCTGAAGGACATCCGACAGGTATTAAAAGAAATCAAATTGAATCACGATTGAATTGGGCAAAATGAAAATACTGTACTCCCATCGATCTACACTCATCTAGTAGATTCATCTCTTGGTACCGTGGTACACGGGCGGATACTCCTACCTTCCGCCAGGAACATCCATGACGTGACGGACCTTCCTGTCACTGTTGATACTTTCTTTCCACATCAACCAACGTATCCCACAATGGCTCCGGCCGACAGCGAATGTGTCTGTGAAATCACTTCCCACTGGGAGGATATCCTTGAGTGGTGTAAGTCTCTTTGCTTTCTTGAAATCCTGCTTCACCTAACATCTGCACTGTCCCCCGTTTTCAAGTTTATGCTTCTATATTCACACAATGGTGAACACAGGTTCCATGCTGCCGCCAAACGCCGCGGCCTCCGCCTCTTCTTCCGGTACTCGGGCCCGACAAATTGCGTCAGCTCCAGGCACGCCGTTGGCACGGTCTCGAGCACTCTCAATCGCACGGGAGACTGTTATCACCACGGTCACGCAATCCGGTGCCTTCTCAGAGACCGTGAGGTCCCAACTCAGAGCCATATACGATCCCAAACGGCCATGCTGGGTTTGTCAAGCGACGAACGCAGACTGCGCCCATGTCTTTGCGAAAGATGACGACCAGGTATACCATTCCTTTTTGTTGTTTGTTTAATAAGCTCAACGACGTTAACGTGTTTTTACAGGTATATCTGTGGGCAAAGATAGGCCTAATCCCCTATGGGGCAAACCTCAAGGCAAACGAAAATGCGATTTCCCTTTGCAGAAACTGTCACTATCGTTTCGACCATACCTCACATCCAGGACTTGTCTTCTTCCCTGCTGACCTGGAATTCTTCATCAAATTCGAGAAGGCCGACCAAGCTCGCCGTAAAGAAGCGGCACAGACTGGTGTATCCACCGGCCGTCGCACTCCATCAGCAGCGGAATATAAAAATGACCAGATGGAACAAGGCTTGGTTGGCCCACACTCGATTGGGGGTTCTATATCGCACTGTTATGTTGGAACCGTTTCTTTGCTCGGGACTGGACAGACACATTGGCAGGGCTATTATTGAAGCCCGCACGGAGGTCAGGGAATGGCATGGCGAGCCAATGTATACGCTCCGCCGCGCGTTCCAGCTACTGGGAAATATCCAGAACAAGGTTCTAACCCCTCAAATCAAAGGACAGCTGCAAGAGCTGATGGATCTGTACACCAGCGATCCGATTGAGGACTGTGACGACCCGGATTTTGATTTCGAATTGAAGCACTCCAATCGGTACGACAGGGGCACCAAACGTCCACATCCCGGGCCTAATGATACAGAGAATGCCGAATCTCCTGTTAATGCCTGTGAAAACTTGGATGAGGATAACGGCCCCCGAGACCCGCAGCGAGGCCCAGAGGGAAGGCCAGCGAAAAGACTCAAGCGTGGCTGTCGCTCAGTTGACGAGGCCTTTTCGGCGGAGCACCGTCAAATGATCCTGACACCTCATCGAACATTATCACGCCGATGGCAATTAGGACCCCTGTGCACCGCCGAGGATGCCATTCGTATCCACGCCCGATTGACGGCACCCATTTGAGACAATGGACAAACGGAGGGAGTGTCTCGCTCAAATCTATACGTTGCTTTCTCGTGGATACGGGGCCATTTGGGCTGTATTATTATCTAGTATTGCTAGGTCACTTTCACTGTCCTGCGCTTCTGTTTCATGTACTATTGCGATGATATTGTAGACCCGTTGGCCATCTCGCTTCATGCTCTACTCTGAAAGATGTACATGGTGAAGGATTCTTGAATTTCGTAAAGGGTGGCAACAGATCCACTTGGCATGACTCAAAAACTGAGTTATGGCAACTGAGATGTGAGTTGAGCGATTTCCTGTTCAACCGACATGAGTTTGGTCATGAGATTTTCTCGGGCCTCACGTCGCTCTCGAAGTTTTTCGCTCCACACCATCCTGTCGTAAAGGAACATAGTCCATAGGCGCTTGATCGCGGAAACTGCATCGATGTCCCTGACCACCCCCAATGACAATTGGCACAATCGAGAAGTCTCCCAGGGACAACAACGCAAGAAAAAAAAAAGCCCAGACGCCGCTGGCAGTGATTGCAAGCATGCTCAGGTACAACCTGTAAACCAGTCGCCTATGCCAACAGTGCTTCGACATTCTCGCTCCTCCATCCGAGTACTCGATAGAACGCCAGGCCATCGTAGGAAGATCGGGCACGCAAAACAGGCTCCCGGTACAGCTCATTTTCGCGTAGTGCGTCTAGTGTGGTTAAATTGTTCTGACGAGTTCGGTGGCCTCTCATCCAAGGATTTGCCGGTGCGGCGTGGGCCCAGAAATCTGGCTCTTCTTCATCAGCCGTCTCCTCCCCGTCTCGCTTGCTAAGGGACCGGGGTGTATTGGCAGGGTCGTAATAAGTTGAATTCATCACTGACGAGATGTGAGCCTCTTCCTTGATACTCTTCTACACTCTTTAGGCGTTACGTACTGTTGGCTGGTAGTAGTAGTAGTAGTAGTAGTAGTAGTAGTAGTAGTAGTAGTAGTAGTAGTAGTAGTAGTAGTAGATGAGAGTAAACTAAAGGATATCAAAGTAGATGAGAGTGGATGAGGCAGATGGGTCTCGCAGATGTAAAGAAGAGACCAAATAGGATTGGTAGTTGCGAAGGCAAATCACCATGACCCTCTCTTTCGCAATAAACACTACTCAGCTTTCTATCCTCAAAGACATCACATCCATCTCCATCTTCTTCTCCATCACCAGAATTCCGGGTCCTCACTTATTGAAGGTGACACCAAGTTCGGGGAGCCGATGCCGATCCCCGAGTCACATGCCTCGACCGCTGACAGGATAGATTTTCCCCCAAGACTTATTCCTTCACCTTCCACAGTCAACGAGGGCCGCAGCACTAGTCTTCAAAACAAGAGAGGAGGAATGTAGCCAAGTGGATTGTTTGGTAAAGGAGGAGCGAATAAGGGCGGCAGCAGAAAATCTCGACCTAGGCAGGATTGTGTAGGCCGCACTGCCTTGACCAGATGACTCCCCAACTCTGCACTGTGTACTGTGTAGTAACAGTGTAAGATTCGGACACTCTTATCTATATGAGCTCGAGTGCTGGACTGGGGACAGTCGATGGTGAAACTAGTAGAATCAGTATGGGTCATATGGGATCTCTTGGTCGCATAGAAAAATGTGATATGACAGTCCAGTATACCGGTACGATAGATGAGAGCCGCTGGTACACATTTGAGCCAGTGGGCAAAAGATCAAGAACGAAGAGGATATCAAACGACAGAAGAGACAGCAAAAAAGATCCACCCATAAAGCCCAGTAGCATGATGGCACGTTTCCACAGCGCCAAGGAGACAACAATCGCGCTCAATCGCTATTTCAAACGAGATGTCTCAAAACAACAGAACAGAGAGATGAGAAGGGGCAGACCGAGATCAAGAGGCCGGAGACATTCTAGTCCCCATGCAAAATGTTACAGAATGAGGTATATTCAGATGCGCAAGTGCCAAAATGAGGGCGCCGATGACCAACAAGAGGAAAAAAAAAGCCGAAACACCACATGCTATGCAGAGGAAATGATGGAGCGTTCTGAATGAAGAAGAGGATGTCTCAATTTCGATCAGAGAACTCGATGCCTGTAGAAGAATGACGTATTAGTGTTTGAGTCATGACCCGACTGAATCGAGGGGGAAGAAAAATGTATACGCACAATTTCAACAGATCCTCCAGACTGTCCGCACTGCAGCTGCGACCTCGGGGAATGTTGTGAATGATGTCGGTAATGGTGGTAAAAACATCCCCACCGCGGTAGGCCAACAGAGCGGGAGCGCGGATGTGGTTCATCTCGGCAATTTCATGGTGTAACTTGACGAAGCGAGTGGACGTTTGTCGTCGAGCAATGGTCACGAGACATTCTTCGACAATGGCGCTTTGATCAGACTATAGCCAGGTCGTGTTAGCACATCCGTCTTTCAGACAACCTGATCGAATCCGATCTCAAGTAGGTGGAAACATGGTACGTACGTAAGGGTCGTAGATGCAGACCACCACCACCGTATCTGGGGTGACCTGCTCGACGGCGTCCAGATACCCCGCGGCGTCGACCGTCTCGACCGAGCCAAACCGACGGCCTCGTGGGGATTGGCGGCGGGTGTTGCGGTTCTGCAACTCCTGCATCCGAGAGGCGCGCCACTTGTTCATAAACTGCTCCTCGTCCCCATCGCTCTCCGACGAGCCCTCGGGGGCGGAGGAGGAGTCATTTCGAGACGCCTTGTTCAGTCCAAAGGCGGAGCCATTGGGATCGAAGCCCGCGGCACTCAGCAGGGTCCTGCGAAAGGACTTCTTCTTGGCCCGCTCAAAGGCTTGTGCGTCGGCAATGACACCCTTGGGACCGGTGTTGGCTTCAAAGACGGTGTTGGGGACGTGGTAGTTGCTGCGGGAAGACACCATGTTGCTCGATAGATCTTCGTCCTCGTCGGAGGAGTCGATGAGTCGACGTTGGCGGATCTGACGGGGTGGAGAGGAGAGAGAGTCGTTATCGTCCGAGAAGTGGGGAGACTCGGCGCGATCTTCTGGGTGGGAGGAATGTTGAGCGCGGTTGTTTTGAACCAATTGGTCGAATTCTTCTTGAGCTGACATAGTGGAAGAGAAAAGAAAAAGAGAAGGAAAAAAGAAGAAGATCGTTCGAGAAGGGGGGGGAACCAGTGGAGTGTTTAAGGATGGCCGGAGGGATGGGTATGCGGAGACGCCGAGGATGGAGATGGCACGGTGTTTGAGGATCGAGGGGGGAATCTTGGGCTCAAAGAGGTGCACGGGGACGGGGCGAGATGGGGCAATGGCAGAAGAGGAAATTGAGGATTGAGGCACGAAGAAAGAAAAAAAGGAAGTAGTCGTCTGGACAGGAGAGCCAGATGCGCAGCCGTGAAAGTGGAGAGAGAGAGAGAGAGAGAGAGAGAGAGAGAGAAAGAAGCCACAAGGTGAATCCTCCCAAAGAAACAGAGGGGCTCCACCACGGGATTTTCGGGGGTTCGGGGGCTCGGGTGTGTTTCGGAAGTGCAACGTGGTGTACCAGTCCCCACAGAGTCGAGTCAGAGTCACTCCCGTGACCAGAGATCATAGTGTGGCCGCCTACCAACCCCCCCCCTAAGAGACCTCTGAGGTACCTGCAGACTACGGCCGTGTGCCAAGTTCCAAAAACAGGACGTGTGCAGACTGCAGACTGCAGACTCGGGGCGGAAATTCCCACGTGATGCTAATCGGTGAGGATCGACCAAGTCAGCCTGTTTCAGATGTCTGAAACAGGGCATCCTGGGGCTGATCTTCTTTTTTTTGCGCTTTTTCATACTTTTGAGTTTCGACGTGTTGACGCTCGGTGCTTTTTTTTTTCTCTGGGTCTCTCTGTGTTTTGGAATACTGCATACTGCATAGTGCATACACCGCATCAGTGCATACTCATCGTGTATAGTGCATACTGCAAAGTGCACCATGGCTTCATTGGACCGCAAGGCTTTTTCTTCCTCCTCGTGAGACCAGTCCAAATCTGTTTGAAGCGACAGTAATGGGCCCGACTATTTATAGACTGCAGCAGAGCATGAAGGTGGTGTCCAGGAGAGAATGTTGGGATCGGTTTCAACGTGCCGCTGTCGGGGCATAATCCAGAGCTTCAAGGGCCTGATCAGGGATCGGTTAAAGAACAGGCAGTCATGCTCATGCACTCATTTCCTCCATGTCCCATTCAAACAAAGAACAGGCCGCCACTCAGCATCGTCCAAACTCGACAGCTAAAGATAGGACCTGACCCAGGGTGGACTCGGCGGAGAAGCTCAAGAAGGAAGAGATCGTCAACAAGAACAGTCAAGAGCAAGTGATCGTACCTACTAGGTACTACCTAGTAGTAGTAGTAGTAGTAGTAGTAGTAGTAGTAGTAGTAGTAGTAGTAGTAGTAGTAGTAGTAGTAGTAGTAGTAGTGGATATCACCGGGGAAGAGAAAAGGGACCCCCCAAAAGAAAAGGGTCATTTTCACGTGAGTCTCCGGTGCGATGACGATGCTGATGATGGTCCGGACTGCGGAGCGTGTTGGATGAACCTTGATCGAATCTAGATGATCGGAACCCCCGATGGGTCGAAGCAAACAAGGATTGGGATATTCCATCGATGCCGATTCACACGACTGTGCAGTGTGCAGTGTGCACAAGTACGTATTCACTGACCTTAATTGGCAGTGCTGTGTCTACTGTCTAGAGGATGCTGAAAGTATTGAGTAGCAGTAGTACGAGTAATACCTGTCGTGCCGTTAAGCAGTGAGTACTGACTAGTAGTACTACTACTCAGTACTACTGAGTCAGTAGTAGGCTAGTAGCAGGCACCTTTATCGGCTGGAGGCTAAGCCCCTGATGATTGACGAGGCTAATCTAGTAGCTAATAGCTATACTGACGCACTCTAATCTAGAAATCATAGATTCCAACTGGATTCAAGAGCTATAGTATATGTGGGTAGTGGGCACTGGGTAGTGGGTAGTGGGTACTGTCGTGGTGCAGGTATTCGCTCTTTGTCTCCTCTAGACTCACCGTAGTGGTAGCTAATATCTAACTCAGTTGTAACCCCCACCACTTTACCTCACAACGAGTGAACATTCCGGGGTCTAGCCTGATGCCGTATCGGGACTTCCTCAATTGAGTCACTTGAGGACGGTAGCGACTCCAGCGAGAGTATGACTACGCCGTCGTGTGATTCCAGTCAGCTGACCTTGAAATCTCGACCACCTCACGAGGCTACCAACCCTGTCTCTCTGATATGTTATAATGCTCCCTTCCAAACAAGACACTCTTCACCTGTTGCTTCACAAGTTCTCACACTGACCCATTCAATTTCTGAGACCGTCCACGTCCACATGTCAGGGTGGCTGCGCCTAATCCGTCGGTCAAGATCGAGTCAAGATCCGTCGCCTTTGACCCCAAACAAGAAAAAACCCCCCTTTCTCCACTTTCCTCGGCCTCAGACACTGGGGTCCGGGATGGAATCACTCCGAGTTGTCGTCAATTGCTTGTTGATAGTTGAACAGTTCCACATGAGTCTGGAAAATCCAAGGCATCTTTGATTGGGGACCAACTTTGCTGCTATCGCACATGTCATCGATAAATTGTCCTTGCTGTGGCACTGTAGTGTCACTGTCCAGCCCCTCTAGTAGACATGCGTCATCCAAGTCAAAGTCAAACATTCAACTTTGCATCAAACACGGAGGTGAGTCCCCCTACAGCGATCAGTCCATCTACGAATATGACCTCCTGGTGTGATTCAAACTGGTTCCAACCAAGTTCCAACCCTCACCACCTGCAACCCTAAACCCATGAACATTCCGGGTCCCCCGTCATCCGGGTACACCTCGGTGCTATGGCCATATTCCTAAAACACGTTCCCAACACCGAAGGATCGACACCAAGTTAAATGAGAAAACAAACTTGGACCCCCTCAAATTAACCTTTGGACTTGAATTCTCCACGCAGCCCCAGAAACTCCATGGGGCCTTTCACGCGAACCAATGTTTCCTGTTTAGACTTTTCACCGGTGGGTTTGATCGACACGCGTTGCGGGATCGTTTGTATCAACATAAAGTTTGCGGACTACTCGTCTTGAACTTGTAGGGCGTGCTACCGAGCGAGCACAGCCTCTCGTTGACTGATCGCGTGATGAACGTTGCCCCTGAAAGAATGTTTCCTCCGTGATGGACCTATTATCATATCAAATGATTTGGCCGAGGCTACAAGGACATTGCGAACACTCGGACAATCCAGCCCGCTCCCCTACCTTTCTGACAAGATGGCTGCTCAAGAGTATGGGATCCTGCTTCATCCCCAGACCTCTGTCATCCTTTCCCCCTCAAACATGACACAATGTATCACTGCCATGTCCCAGTGCTCTGAACAATCAAGGGTTCTAGGTGGTGGGTAGTTGGTACTGAAGCGAGACCCCATAAACAGCTCTATTGACTGACCAATTCTGAGAACTTACACCAGTTCTCAATCAATTACCTCACCCGCTTTGCCCTCGCAATCAGTACCTGACCCATGAGGAACGGGAGGCAGCACGGTCACAACCCGAAGGCAACCAGTGACTGACCAAGAGGCAGATAGTGACACGCTTTCGACGACCATACCACTATGTGGCGAGCGCAAGCTTCCCAAGACCAGCGGATGATCAGGCCGTCCGAGGTAGAAATGGCCTTCTCGTGTGCATGAATGTCCAGGTTTACTGCCGATGAGCCTTGTTCCACGATACAGGTTCAGAAAGAGTTTGTTGGTCGTATAGTGCCATTCGGGTACGTCGGAATCACAATGAGCAATGTAGGCCTTCACGGGGCGTGATCTTGCACCCGTGCTGTAAAGGCGCGTCGAGTCATTAAATGCATGAAGGGAGCCTTTGACTGTTCGAAGACGACGACCGACATGGCGTTCAACTGCTTACTGATGCACTTGTCCTGTCCGGCGGCCATACTCATGACTCATGCCCCAGAACCATCAGACGAGCCGGAGAATACATGCGATCTAGAACATAAACCCGCTGGCACGACGGTGGCTCCCTTAAAAAAAAGACGAATACAATGGATCCGGGAACATACCCGGTGTGTCGAGATGAAAGTGCAGAAAGTGCTTCTGATTTGCGCGACTTTCTGGTCCTCGATTGGGCTCACCTGCTGGCTACAGAGTCACACGCGGAGCCCCGAGCCCCGAGCCCCGAGCCCTGTCACCCTACGAATCAGCCTCGTCTAAACAGCCTCGTATTAGCAGAGTCAGTTGCCCTAGGTAAGACTTTAGGTTGTACTCGTCCAGGGATTTGTAAACTTTTGAAACCTCAGCCATCTCACCAATGCTCATCGGAGAGTTTCATCGGAGAGTTTGAAATGCATGTAAAGGACGCGGAAAGCTGATGTAGCAAATTTAAAATCAGGAGTATCAAATTAAGAAACTCCGCAGGAGACATATCATGGAAGACGCACTAAATACAAACAAAGAAACTCTCTTGGGCTCGGATCGACAAATTTAGCAGCGGGGTGGACAAAGTCTCGACAAGGGAATTGGAAGCAAAAGGTTGATAGGCGGACACATATCAAAAGCAAGGGGTTCGTGAATGAAACTTTCGAGAGGGGAAAAAGGATTCGAACAAGGAAATTCGACGCGGAAACGCAGGCAGTAGTTTCAGACACAAGGCGAGATCACGTCCATATTTCACCGAACCGATTCTTGTCCGTCCCTCCACTGAGATGGTAGATACCGGGAACCGATGCGGGAGAAACAAACAAGAAAACCTGACAAAGGGGTAGTTGAACGAGACTGAAAGAATAATAAGGCGGCGTTGAAGTATTCAAGACTGGAAATGGGAAATAAAAGTGGTAAAGTCAACATGGGGGAGAAGAGAAGAGAAGCGGCTGAAAATGAAACGTCATCGCCGACTAGAGTAAGAGGGAGAGAAATGAAAAAAGATCAAGGGACCTGTGAAGCCGTAGGGGTCATTTGGGCCGGATCGTGACAGCAAGTGTCACACTTGGGAGGCCTCGCCACTGCTCAAGTCGAATTGTCAAACGTTCGGTAAAGATCAATGCAGATCAATAAAGCGGCAGAAGTTCTTGTCATGATTGAACGTCGCTGTCGTCGCTTTCATAGGTTATCCAGGCAGGACGTTCACCAGCCTCGCGTGACATGGCATTGTTTTCAGTTCGGATGAAATGGATCGAAGTCTGCGCCGTGATTATCCAGAGACCAATTCAGGTTCAAAGGTGGTTGTGTATTATCGTACAGTGGCGAGATTCACCGAGACAGGTGGAGAGATTTCAAAGACGTAAAAAAATATAAAAAAAAATTGTGGACAGAGCGAATGGTCGCGGTGGGTATCTGGTCTGTTGTTCAGTCGCGGAAGACTACCACGCCCAAACCTTGAGCTAGATGATCGGAAAGTTGTATCAGTAATTTGAAAACTTCCATCAAGTTGTTTGGGAGAAAACTTTACCAGGGAATCCCAGGATCCAGTGCACAGGCTGATACCGTCGTTGCTGACACCCAGGCAGCTGACCCGGTTCTCATGGCCGCTGAGCGAGCCCACCTTATCGCCTCGAAGGACATCCCAAACCTAGGAATTCAGTCAGCCATTCGCACGTTTCCATTGGTGTCAGCTCCAGGAAACAATCAGCCATACCTTGCATTCGAAGTCATCATAACCAGCAAACAATAACCGACCGGACACGGAGAATGCGACCGAGGTGATGCCGCACAGAACTTGGTCGCTCTGATTACGCCAACTTAGTTAGCTCCATTCAAACTATACGCGATTCACACGGAGCCCCAAACACATCCGAGAGGCGAGAGAGTAGTAGGTGGTCTTACCTGGTAGCTGTTAAGCTCACGATCGGCACGAATGTCGAACAGACGGCAAGTGGTGTCGTCGGAACCGGTACCAAAGGCATTGCCATCCGGGAAGAATTGAATGGCGTTGATATCGGACTCGTGTCCAGCGAAAGTTTGGACAGCCTTGCCTGTCCGAATGTCCCAAAGCTTAGCGAATGCGTCGCATGCACCAGAGACGAAAATGTTCTGGTTCGTGGGGTTGATGCTGATGGACATGACATCACCCAGGTGATCGGCAAATTCAGTGACTTTGGTGCCCGACTCGATGTCCCATAGCATACAGGTCATATCTCCCGAGGAAGTGATGATTCGGCGGTCGTTGATGAAACGGCAGCAGGACAGATAGCCAGAGTGACCGGACAGCTCGCGAGCAACACGAGTAGGGCCTTCACGCGATGATAGGTTGTAGATAGAGCAGATGTTGTCAAGACCACCACAGGCGACATAGTTCCCGCTGGGCGCGTAGGCGCAAGTCATGACCCATGAGGAGCGTAAAGGGATGGCGTGCACCTTGTTCGTAGTGTAGGCGTCCCAGATGATCAACTTGCCATCTTGAGAAGCTGACACAAGATGGCGGCGGTCGGTCGACCAGTGCATAGCGTAAATCTTGGCGAGATGACCCTTCAGCGTCCGGCGAGGCTTCATGCCAATTCGAGGAAGGGTATCGGTCTGGCCCTGCGCAACCTGGCGAACTGTATAGAGGAGGTCAGCCAACAATATCCCATTTCATTCGCCATTGATCATCGATCCGTCGCCTTTCCCTGAGAGTCGTTCGTCGCAGCGGAAATCGCTCGGAAAGAGCGTCCGGAATCGAGTGGGCAGAGGTGGTCAGGGAGATCGTACGAGAGGTATCGGCCAATTCGTCTTTCCGACGTCTGATCCGATCTTTCAAGCCCTCAGCTTCGCGCCTGGCCGCAGTAATCTTGGCCTGCATCTGTTCGCCCGTCATGTCGGCTGCCATTTTGCCGAACAATTACCCCAAAGAACCGTGGTGGTGGAATGCAGGGGAGCGAGGAAAACAACGTTCCAGGGGGGGGGGGAGGGCGGAGGAGGTGTGGAGGAAGGTTGGCGGTTGGGTGAGAGAATCGGAAAGGGACCCAAGGGAAAGAGGACCAGGAGACGGAGGAGGAGGGGGGGGAGCGAGTTAGGACGAGGGGGCTGAAAGTGGAGCGAGAAGCGCAGGAAAGGGACTGGTGGAAGTGTCTTTGACGAAGGCCTTCAGGCACGGGAGTCTCATAAATCACGTCTGGTCTGAGTGCAATGGAAAAAGACAATGGGCTAGTTTGGTAAGCAGCCGATATCTGCAAGAAGAATGCCACCTAATGAGAAAATTACGCCTGGAAGAGACAGGGAGAGAGCATCAATTGGCGCCGGCACTCGAATTCTGGAAAATTGGCTTAAGGGGGAGGAGAAAACGAGCTAGTCCTGCTGCTCGCGCACTTTGTCCGATGAAACCGTAATTCAGCCCGGTAATACAGTATGCATCAGAAGTGTCACACAGATTCACAGAGGGGCCTCACATACAGTCGTGGATGGATACAACACATTTACGTAAGGTTGGAGTCTCGTACTGTTGAATATCCCACGAAAGCTCAGGCTCAGGTCACTTCGTTACATAAAGTACACATGTATGTATCCAGTATTGTATGTAACTCCCACTGTATGCCTCTCAAGGCTCTCAGGCTCTCACAGTCTGCTCTGGACTCTGGACCTATGGGCCACTGGTCTACTAACATCTTGAGGGTAATATAATGAATGCTAGGTAAGTACACAGTACACAATACTTCTGCTGATTGAAACTCTCTTATGAGGATCGAGACGGTATCACTTTAAAATTGGAGCGTCGAATATATGACTGGAACGCCTTTCCAAAGTAATTTGAGTGTTCAGTGTTGAATGTTAAGTGTGTTCTGGATGCGAGATCTGAAGAGCGCCACTGTAGCCGTGTGGCGTGTACTCGTGTAGTCCTCCGCTCGATGAGTAATTGTAAATATGGAGTCATCTTGGAGGATGATGGATAAATGATAATTGAGTAATGGCATATTATACTTGTAGAGTGCGTATCTTATGAAATATGTTTCTTAATCATACACGTTTACCCAGGATCGCAAAATCCCAGATACTGCGTCAGTGAGAACTTAAGACTTGCGTATAATGTATACAAGAACGGCAGGTTTTGGGTATTTTTTTCAGGGGGAACAATCGACAACAATAATAATATCGGTTGGGTCCACTTCTATTCCAAACAAGTGTACTGTGGGGTGGACCACCGACTGGGGAGAGGGAACTTCGGTACTGCTGTAGAAGTGTAGATTAGTTAAATGACAAGTGTACTTCAGTGGTGGTGGCCCATGACGACGACATAGGAAATTGCTTGAATTTCGATAGATCCATAGAATATACAGCAGAAGGAACTCGTGATTTATTGAATGCCTTCGATCATTTTGTTTATACTTGATCTCGACCATCCTTCAGTTTTAGTGACGAGGCCGGTTGAAACGAGTTAGCCCGTAGTCAAATGAGCCGGGACCCCTAAAGCTACTGGTATCATGTATGTGACTATGTATACCCGGGTATTTCATCGTCAATAGCGGTCTGTTCAGTGTTCAGTATTCATACTTAAGAGTGCGACTAGAGCGATCCACCAGACTCTCCAACGTTAGAGCCTGTGTCCCGTCCATTATTCAGTAGTATTTTGGGACCTAACCATGCTGGACCCTGTCAACGCTTAAGGCTTGACAGCCCGTGGCTGGGCTCCCCGTGCTTCCTATACAACACATGCTTAGCACTTGACAGTTGCAGCGTCTGTCAAAATGAGCGGGCGCTCCAAGTTATTTGCTCCTCATACATATTGCATATACTGGTAAGCGAACATGAGCACCTATGACTTTATCTTCTGGTAGCAATTCAGACCACGTAATTGGCTCTAGGACAAACTTATTGTGCGTTGATGTGTTTGTGCAGCCCGCTCCAAGAAGAAGAAAAAGAAGACAAGGAGAAACAAATTTCTTCTGGAAGCTCTGAAGGTGTCACTAATCACTTATGTCCTGAAGTGGACTGACTGAATTCTGGTCCATGAAAGTGTAATCAAAGAGGGCTGAGCGACCTGAATCCCGGGGCAGCGGATCGCCGTCGGTGGTAGCGCCTATGCGGGACACAAGTTTGGTGTAAACAATGGTAGGATTACCTATGACGGACACGGACTATTGAAATTATACATCCCTCTATTGCAATAAAGCCTGGTGTACGAGTCCAATAGGTCGATCTTGATCGGAGTATATACCGTAACTGGTGAGAGCTAACCTACTGTCAGCGGAAAGCCCGTTCACTTCCAATGTGCATTCAACGAAACTGTCCACTACCAGGTAGAATGGAATTATCCAAACCGAGTGCAACGTTATACCCAATGTAAGATGACATGGCCTGTAGAGCCACAAGCTTCATTACCTAGCAGGCAACACCTGGTTTTCAGTACCACGCAGAATGTGTTAGCTATGCCCGAAGTAAGGATCTTCCTTCCCGTCGGATCCCGGCTCGGCGCTCAAACTTAATAAGTGTCTGGGACAGTAGTTAAAGGATAGTCGACATACAACGTATTAATACAATAAAGCTCGAACCCTGGACAAATGTCTCTTTGGTGTACACGAGTATTCCATGGAGTATATAGTGTGTACTGGATATAATGTTTGTAGTCAGCATGTATATACTATCCATGTAGTGGACCACAGGACACAGTGGACAGTGCCACTGGGCACTGAGCAATGAGTCACTAATCATGTATTTTCAGCCGGCAACCTCTCCTACTGATGGCGCCTCCAATAACTCTGATATTCTACCTACCTTCAGCCAGCTCTTCTTTGATCGAAAAATCTCGGTGACTGAGGTATGTCCCTCAATAGTGCTGCATAAGCGTGTAGAGCGTAGATAATGCTGGCAGGTCTTTGTGGACAATGGACACTGGGCATGATTTGGACTCTTAAGCTCTCGATATATGCGTTGACAGCTTTAGATCGCCGCCTTGGAGCAGCGCACGGGGGCCAATCCCTGTCTCTGGTCTTAGGCAGCTTGTGCTGTGTCATAGGCCTATAGGCAAATGTGAGGTATCGGAAGCTTCGACTACCACAATCATAATGGCGTCTACAATACCAACGGTCATACTAAGAGGTGGATTGATCAAGGCTCGAGTCAAAATATACTCATCGTCGATTGTGAGTTGCCTTGTCCAGTTTACCTGGATGATGCGGGAGTTTGATCCCTCCAGACAGCTGTGTGCCAGTGTTATGCTGTGCAACTCAACGTTCTTATTTGACCAAATTCAGGTAAGAATCTGGACTGTCAGATGCTTATGCGTGTCGGCCTAACACAGGCCCGTCTTGAAAAAGTGTTCCATCTTATAATCTTACAGTATATACGATACACAAATACAGTATCCCGTATGTATCTATCATACTGTACTGTATCAGTGTTCGGGCCCCAATCTCATCTCCGACCATTAAATTTTTGCGAACCCAGGGACTCACTGGACTGGCTATCGATTCTCCACGCAAGAACTTAGAATTAATTTGGTTATCAAGTTTAATTTTGTGCGCGGTGAGATTTCAAACACTTCATTTGAACAGTCAATAGTATGGATCCCAAAAACAAACCTTTCTGAAGAGTCAATGGTTGTAGTCTTGCTTTCGTACCTCTAATTGCATCAGAATTTAGTAACGACCCCTCGATATCTTTATAAGGGCGCTTCACATTGACGGTCGTCTTGATCCGTATACCTACGACTCACAAGAGAAGAGCGAACACCGCCTGGTTTGGATCAAACTCGTTTCACGACTACTATTTACGCCACAGCCCCGACACACTGGAAATTAGGTGCTGTTTATTTATTAAACTATCGAATCCACGCTACAGACTGTTCTTCAAACTCTCCACTACTGCTACACAATCTGGTCTTACCAAGCAAAGCAGTGACATGTAAATGGGTATTATCAAAATCAAAGAAAACTTCGTAGATAAATACCTTATCATCGCACCATACACATGCAGGCCGACGACCTGCTACTGTAAGTGACGTGTACTGTAGTAGAGTATCGGTTCCAGTTTGGTAATTCATTCACTAGACCAGTTCGATTTCCGGTTTGTCGCCGCCTCGGCGGGTCCGAGTTCTAAATCCTACCCGTCCTTCCAATTTCATGGTGCGCAAACCGTGTACAGGTTGGTCTGTGCGGACTCTGCTGAGGGGACTTGCTTCTACAGTAAGTGCCTCGGGTGTCGCAGAAAGACACAGAAAGGATGGATAATTTGCTCCCATTTACCCAATTTAAAGGTCTTATCCTTGAAACTCCCAGTGTCGCCCAGATCGGTTGTCTATCTGCTATCATGCGATGATTGAGAAGTTAGTAATGTGAAAAGGCGCCCAGGACAGTTCAGTAGTACAGTAAACAAGATAATAAATTTACTACTAATACAATAATATACCAGGTACCATGTATGAGTATTTTTGAAGTCTTTTTTTCATTGACTGACCCTCTACGGACTTCGAAATTGCCTGGTTCTGTCCAGAATCACTCATCTAGCACCGTCTCCAAAGCTCCGCCTCAGCATTGAGATGACTGCAGTATATGGTTCGTCCTGGAAAGAGTAAAGGGACCACTTCATTTCGGTCTGGTTTCTCCTGCTTCACTCCAAAATTGAACAGCTCATCATGCACGTCCGATGTATGTAGAAGGGTGGCCCACAACTGTAGGACCTGCTGAACGTGCGAATGCTTAATGCTCCACCTGACTCCACCCATGTATGTCTATTGTCTACCAGACCTACCTAAGAGATCTATGTGAACTTGTGAAGTGCATGGATGTAAGATTCAGGCCCTTGACCACTTCACGACAGAACACTCATCACATACAGCTGCAGGGTGACCACCTTGAACAACGTCTGCTATCTAGTCAGTTTGTGGGTCCACGCTACCGACTCTAATCTCGATTGCCGACTCTTGATAGTGCATGAAGCTGTAGTTGTGCATGGTTTGATAACCAGGTGCAACACGTGCTACTTTGTCAACATATCCAGGCCCACGGAAAGATGACATAGATCGCGTGTCGATTTCCAGAGACTAGTCAGGTCTCCTTTACCTGGAGAGGAACAATGGTTCAAGCCCAGAACCATGTGCTCTCCAGCCAGATATGCCCATAAGACACTCACGAGTTCAAGACCCTCAGGGCAGGACATCTATAGTATAATACCCGAGGTCTAAAGCTCGAGTACAAAAAACCGGAGTCGATAGCCATATTCCCTATGTCAAGACTAACGCGGCTCCAGCGGCGTTGATCTGATGTCAGGTTCTTTGACTTCAGCATGGGGACCGACAAGCAGGCATCGCGTGTATACAATGAGATGGAGTCATTCGCAGAGGACCTCCTTCTCTACGTCGGATCAATGAAGTCAAATCAGGGAAGAATAGGGCTAGCTCTGCTAGACTGATGATTATAAATTTACTGTTGCTGAGCGCAAGTAAGAGCAGGAAGGACGTATGTTAGGTAGTGGCTGACTTTGGCGGCAACTCTCCGTGCGGCGTGGCCCGCAAGGTTATATTTTATTAATCAGCCTTGCTTGACGGCGGCGGAGTGAATGCGTGGTTATGATTCCACGTTCCCGTTCTTCCCGAGGCCGAGCGACGGTCTTCTTTTTATCAGCCGCCGGGAGGGTCCCAGAGGCAAAAAGACTGTCGGCACCCATACTTTGTATGAAGGTAGTCAAAGCCAGGCTGAACAGGTAGATTCCAAGCCAGCTCGTCAGTTACTCATATGTGCCAAAGCCCAAACTTGGTCTTATTCAGGCACACAGTGAGATGGTCAGCGCTGCAATTACGCGTGGTGATCAACTCCAGCGCGGATGAGGGTAGATGGCAGTACGAGTGACAAGTCCCTTCGACCGCCTGATATAGTCCTGTAGCGTGCAGGCCAGTCGTACTTGTACGGTTGCAGCAGTGGTAAAAATAGACCGCTGTGACAGAGAACTTGATGGGGCGGGAGTGAGACTACGATACTTATCCCCACGACACACTACATGGAGTCAGGAATGAGTATACCCTGGGCAAGCATGGGACTCATCAAGCGGTGATCTCACTGAGAGTGGGAATGTGGGTAAGAGATCAATAGTCTCGTAGGCCGGTCGCATTGACTGCCACTGTAGTCCCTCGTCAAGCGTGGTGTGCTCGACATGGTCTCCGGTGACTGCAATTTTTGCTACGACGGTAGTACTGTCGGAGTAAGTCTCTACCTGATTTCTTGGGAGTGGCGGGTGCCAGTCCTCGGGTGCCGTAATATTAAGGAGGACGCCTCTCCGCTTTCACCCTCAAAGGCTTTTTCAATCTCACTCCCCCTTCTCACTGTCCACTTTCAGAAGCGCGCCCTATCCATCGAGCTTCGCATCTGTCGATTCCTGTTTCAATCCGATTCTTCTCGCATCTCAGATCCTTGGCCGATCGTGCCAACGCCCATCGCAGCCTGCTCCACCACAGTCGACCTCGGAGAGTCATCACAAGATCTTCTCCCCTCCCACCAACCCCCTCTCGCTTGCCTTCCCCTCACTCCTGGGAATCCATCGGGCGCTGTATATATCTTCTGCGCTGACTGCCCCGATGTCTCTCGGTGCATAAGATATATTCCGTTGAAGGGGTTCTTTGTTCCCGTTTTTCTGAGAATCCACAGTCGTCCTGGGCTGCCATCCCTCCGGTTAGGGGCTGTCACCCCCCCCTCCTATCAACATCCCTCAGGTCCTCATCATCCGGCCAGTCCGCGAGGCTTCCTTTCCTCCTCATTCTCACGTCTAGCATCTACCGGTGTCGTCTTTGGACACCTCGCTCTCCTTCACCATGCGTGAAGTCAATTTCAGTATTCCTAATGTGAACAAGGCCTCGGTCAACATCACCACGACGCTCTATGACCGGCGGGCCCTTGATTGCACATCCACCCTTCCACTCATCAACTCGCTGAATCATCTCGCCTACTTGACAACTTCATCAGCCCGGATCCGAGACATTCTCACCGTCGATGGCGGTATTGAACGACTCGTTTGTATTCTGAAGGAAGGCCGGAGCAAGGATCTGATGGAGATGTGGAAGTGGAGTCTGGCCTTCCAGTGCGTGGTCAACATTGGTGTACGGGGATCAGAAAGCGTACGGACAAGGGTCGTGGAAGCTGATATGGTCCCGGTGATCGCCACAATCCTGGACAACTATATCAAAGTGGTGGACAAGGTTCGGTCGCGCGCCGAGCCCGACTCCCACAAGCACAACTCGAGTCGACAGGCCGCCAAGTCGAGTCCTTCCAGTCGAGATACCTCTGAGCGCATTTCATCTCTAGATTCGAACAATCACACCGACGCCCGACCTCATTCGCGTCGCCAGGCTCCGCCTCCGAATATCGAAATCCCCCAGCCATTCTACCAAGACACTCACCCGACCGACTCCGATGCGATGGATATCACATCCCCCCCTCGTGCGCCGATGACTTCTCCCCCCGAAAGAAGCACTTTCCGCCAGGAAATCCACAATCATCGCGTTCACGACGTGCGTTTATCTCGCGCCAGCCACCGCCTCCGGGCCATGCAACCTCTTGCCACAGCTGTGCCCTCGATTGACACAAGCGAAACTTTTGGCCTGCGACCTGTTCGGGATGCCGATCGTTTGCTGAGCATGCCGCCTGGACTGCAAACTGGCCTTATTTCACAACCTGACTCCCCGACCACCCCCAGTGGAAACATCCACTCCCAATCTCGAACGCTTGCTCAGCCCGGGCCTGCACACCAGCGCCCAAGCATTCAACAGCAGCCATCGGCGTCAGGCGAGTCAGATGATGCAATTGGCGAAGATTCCGCAATGGGTGATGATGTTGTCTTGGGCCAAAATTCGGATCCTAGGGTGGCATTACCCAATACAATGGAGATCGACAGCGTCGATGAACAGCAGACCACTATGATTGACGATGTTTCCCCTGCACATGGCCTGACGGTCACCGATCCATCTGAAGAGGGCCAGGATGCCGAGACTTTCAATATTGCCCACCGCTCTGCTGTCGACGGCAGCATTATCAACAATGCAGCGGCACCACCAAATGGCGGACTCGGTCTTTCTCCTACTCAGGCCACGGAAAACCAGAACTCCCCCACACTCGCTCCTAGCCCATATGCTATGTATCTCCGGGATCGAAATGCGCCTGCCACCCAGAGCGTTCTTACGACAATGCCTCGGGATGAGGATGTTCTCATGTCGCTGCAGCTCCTGGCATACGTATCTAAGTACTGCAATCTGCGGACGTACTTCCAACGCTCTCACCTTGTCCCGAAACTCAAGATCGATCGAGAACTTCACCTCTTGGATGAAAATGCCGACCCGGCTTCTCCCGTTGAATGTGAAGAGGAGGATGAGTACCTTCTTCCCGATGATGTCAACATCTTCCCCTTGGTTGAAAAATTCACAGTTCGCCATCATTCCAAAGACATGCAGTACTGGGCCTGCGTGGTGATGAGAAATCTTTGCCGCAAGGACGAATCGAGAGGCGGCATCCGTCAATGCGCCAACTACAAATGTGGCAAGTGGGAAGAATTCCAACGTCAATTCGCCAAGTGCCGTCGCTGCCGTCGCACGAAGTACTGCAGCAAAGACTGCCAAAAGGCAGCTTGGGTCTACCATCGCCACTGGTGTCACACTACTCCCTGATCGCTGCCCTGTTGGGCCCACCAACTAATGAGACCATCTCTTTGCATTTCTCACATTATACCTCTACCTTGTCGACTCCGCTCTGTCCATGGCGGCAGAGTGGGCCAATCCTAGCTCTTGAATTTCGCATATGCATCTTGTCTCCCCGCATAGCGTCCTATCGCGTCTTCTCCCCCGTCTCTTATATCTCCATGGTCTCACGTCTCGTTTGCGCAAAGCATTTGCAACTTCTGGCGTTACTAATCCAACAACTGTCATCCTCAAAGATACCTATTTCTTCTGTCGAGCTTTGAATCTAATCTCGTCAATTCTATCCTTCTTTTTTGCAAATATCGCCTCCCCATCTCCTGATGGTCCTCCTCAACACGATCCGTTGTCTTGTATCTTTTTTTTCGGAGTTCGATTCGCACATGCAGGGGCGGCCGAGTCTGTCGACCGGTGGCTTTTCATCATTGGTCGCTATCTATTTGCCTCTTCCTATCAGCCTTGTCTCATAGTGTATATTGGTCACCCGTTCACATCTGAGGCCGTCGTTGACCGGGCATATATACCGCAGCATCTTTGAAGATGCTTTTCCACGCTGAGTCAATTGAGTGATATGCTGGGTGTGGATTTGGGGGACGGATTTCCTCGTATTTTCTTTTTCTGTGACGAGTCTCCCTTTGTATGTACGTAGATGGGTTATGGAGCCCTGGCGATATCTTGATCCCACAATGTCTCACATTGCAGTCGAGCGTGTCCCAACGTGATCTCCATTTTCTGTCTCCTCCCCGTATCTGGGGCAGTGGCAACTTTTGACCGTGTCAACTTAAAGCGCGCATATCTACTTGTGAGTTTGCCTGGTTTTGTCACTCTCCGCCAAAGGCCATGTAGTGAGTGTAGGCCTTTTCAGATTGTGCCAAACAGAAAAAAAAAAAGAGAGACAGAAAGACAAGCCTTGTTCGTGACGTCCAAGTCTCAGCATTACCCAAGACTGATTCCGTGGCCCAGTCTCTCTAATCCTTCTTTGTAAATCCGTATGTTGCCGCCAGTCTGGATTCCAAATGCTCCGACGCCGTCAACGGTCTCTTCCCCGGCTCCAGGCTTCCTGCGCCTCCACCGAACCCCACGGCTGCATCCCCCTGCAACCCGCCCGTCTTCAGACGATGTTCCGCTACAATCTCGCTCGGCACCGGCACCAACTCGGTCGTGTCCACGGGATGGCAGAAATACACCACCGTATACCGATCCTGGGGGTCGGACTCCGCTGCTCCTCCAAGGGGAACACGACCCGGTGCACTGTCGACTTGAGCAGGCCGTCCGTCCAGTAGCTCAGCAGATCGCCGATATTCACCAGGATCGGTGGGAATGGGTAGGCGTCGGGCTTGTCGCCGGGGATGATGGGCACGGGGGCCCAGGATCCCTCGGGCGTGAGGATCTCCAGACCCGGTTGGCCGGGTCGTTGGAAGAGGAGCGTGATGCTGCCGTAGTCGGAGTGGGCGCCGGCTCGGACGTCCTTGTCGTGCTTGTAGGATGCGGTTTCGGGGGAGAAGATCGAGGGGTACCAGAGGAAACGGAGGATACTGCCCGTTGGTCCGAGGCTGGGGTCGTGTCTGGTGGTGAAGAAGTCTTGGGGAATCTAGATGGGTCGATGAGATTTATTGATGAGATGGATTCTGGATGAGACTGAGAAATGGGGGCTGGGCGTGAGAGAACAGGGGTGAGGTTACCTCCAAGCCTAGGGAGAGTAGGTTCAGAATCCTTTTACAGGTCTTGTTGCAGAGTTGAGCAAAGTCGGAGATATCTGACTCGTGGGGCTTTAGAGATGCCGGAAGAGGCTGTTGCGCTTTGCCATCTTTGAAGTCGCCAAAGTTCATGGCTCTGGAGAATCGTGATGAGTCAATGAATGATGACCAATTGATATGAGGGTCCATTCTGTGGATACTATGATGCATACTCTTTAAAGTCGCCGGTCTGCAAAACCATGGTCAGTCTATATGTGACGAGAGTTTCAGTGGAGGCGCTTTGCGATAATCTTATACATACCCGCTGGTGTTCCGGGTCCAAGGTCTCTGTGTGCATGCCAGACCAGCCACGGTTCTACGCGATGTCCCACCGGCGCTTTCAGTTAGCTTCCCGGGTCAATTTTTTGATTCATTTGAATCCGTCGAATCGGTCGTTCAAACTCTCACGGAGGACTCACATTTGGCATGATGCGACAAGTCTCCTTGTCGGAGGATGGAGAAGCGAAAAACTTCTTCGACTATTCCATAAGTCAATACCACTTGCAGCTCGATTGGGGCTCAAGACACCGGGGATGGGGATGGGGATGTTCGAGACCTACAAGACCAAATGCATGATCCACAACCTCCGGCGTGAAATCTGCACCTTTACTATTCACATACAGGAAGCCGTACTTGGCGGTTGCTTCAAGCATCGCCTTCCCCACGGCCGGGTCATGGGGGTTGGAGATGTCAATGACGGGCAGAGCAATAGGAACGGCAGTAGTCGACATCTTGAGGATTCTCGAGCTGTCTCCAACCTGAAAGCCGAATGAATTAGGGGAGGGGGAACCGGTACGTGAGAAGCCCAAGTCCAGCGAAGTCAGGGTTAAACCTCGGCGGTGAATGTCTACTACGAGTCCGATGACACTTCGGGCTGCTCCGCGCGACTGTATATAAACTGGTAGACGCCGACGTGCGGGAGAGTGGATCACAATGGCGCCCATGCGACTTCGGGTCACAGTCCGGTTCCAAGCGATGGCGGCTTCCCGTCGGCAAAAGCGCGCATCAACTCTCAACGGGCCCCAAGCAGAAGCCAAAGAAACTCTTCTCGCTTCTGAAGACAGTCGAATGCCAAGACCTGCTTATCTTTGGGAGGATGGAACTCCATTCTCGTCCGTGGACCCAGACTCCCGAGTCCCGAGTCCCGACTCACTGGAGTGACTAATGGGATGGGAACTTGGGACTACTTCATTGGATATTCTCGCTCTGCTGGTCTCCAGTTTCGTCAGGGAATGAGGTGGAGAAATCACGCGACAGTCAATGGTGAATGTACAGGTGAGGACCTGCCGATCTTGTGTTCAAGGTTGGGCTTAGATGACCACCCAGGTCTGGCACGGAAGATACACTTGAGTATAAAGCTTCTGTGCCATGATTGGGCTAGGAGGCCAGTATGCTGGGGGTATGAGAAACGCCTGAACACGGTCATGCAGAGTCGAGTCTTCAAAGAATCGTCGGTGGCTTTGCACGGGCTTCGTCCAGAGGGTGAAAGCTGGTGTCTCGGGCCTGGTGGTCTCACCTGTGGTTCTAATAAGCTTATAGATGCCCGCAAAGAGAAAACTGGAACCGGGTACAATAATAGCACCTATCTATATCCTATCGCCTTCAGTAGGCCCAGCGCAGGTCAAGCGGTACTACAGGACGTGTAGGCAGGTAAATATTTGAGAACACCAACCTCACACTTTCATGATCTTAGAGTCCCGTTGTGTACAGTCGTATACTGTATGATGTATAGGAGCACTCCAGGTATGGAGGTTCCACTTGGTCATCATGCAGTGTGATTAAAGCTACAGGTACCTGCTTGTAAAGGGCGACGGTGGTACCCAAATCGAATTGAATGTAAGCAATGGACCACTTCACAAATACATATTTCTTTTTGAGGGCCTGCTGTCCAATTCCAACAAAAGACAAGGGGTAGTGACCTCAGAATTCGCCATCTACTCACATGCTGAAGAGTACCGAAGGTTGACCTGGGGTACTCCTCATATAGAGCGTTAGACATTGGAACCGATTGGGAAGCTCAAGAGATGAAAAAGAAGAGTTCATTGTCATAGCTCAGATGAACCTTGATAATACGACTTGATGCGGCGTGGTCCGCAATCAGACTTGCATTTTCATGATCATGAAGCCCTCGTATTCTCCAGATTGACAGAGTCTAGTATTGTACTCATGTACTGGGTATCTCAACGGTTGGGCCAGATAATACCTCTCCTCGGCTTGAAAGGTATAAGATATCAAGGAAAGGTGATTGCGATTTGGAGACTGCGAAGTCACAGCGATACTGAGCTGTTTGTGATACGTCGATATTCGTACTTCTTGCTACTTGGAAAAATACTGGAAATCTGCTACCACCTAAGAATCACTGAAAAGGTGACGATCGACGTAATCACTGCTAAGTAGGAAGTACTAAGTAGGAGGTAGTAGTTAAGTATTAAGAGTAAGTACTAACTACCGACGGGCGGGATCTGAATGTAAATCAATTGAATACCTCGAAGACCAAACCACTAGATTACGTTTGGAAGAGCCATTTCCGTTCCAACTACGGTAAACCCGAAGACAAAATTTGGCAAAGGGTGAGCCTGCATCAAGGGTTGTAGTAGATTCTATATTCCATCAATATGGTGCAAAAAGAAAGAAAGCAAAGCTGTACGCTTCGGTCCGGTAGTACCAGCCTACCAGGTAAGGTAGTGGGACTACTAGTGAGACACTACTACAAAGACTCTGAATCTGGACAGGTCCACCAGAGCAGTTACTCTAAGTGGGCATGTTTATTGCCAAATCCTCAAGAAACACTCTGGGCGCATCTGGCCCGCCTCCGCTCCTTCCCCCCTCCCGTCATTTCATGATTACACCACCCATCGGATCGCGACCCTTGACCTTCGCCCCCGATCCAACAAATTTTCCTTGTCCCTCCCCACATTCCCGATCCGCTCTCTCAAGGGCCTTGATGCTCGGCTCGTGACCGTCTTCAGTCTCGCAACTTCGTCGTCATGCCGAGTAAGTCCCGCCTAGCTTGACAGCAACCTGCCGGACCTCAATCACGACCGCAACCGCATCTTTCTAACAGGAGCTTTCGCGCCTTCTAGTCCGTCCCCTTGACGAATGGACCGTGGGCCGCACGCAGTCCCTGCCTCTGTCCACACTGAAGGGTGCGGTCATTGGTCTCGATGCTTCCCACTATCTCCAACAGCATCTGGTCAACCAGTCGACTCGAGAGGCCCTGCTCGGCGCCCTAGGGGGCTTTCCCTTCGCGCTCAAGGCCAACATTGAACGAGAGCTTCAGACTTACAAGAATCTGGGGGTGACATGTGTCTTTGTTTTCAATGGCCTCGATTTTGGCAAGAAAGATGAAAAGCCTCGCAACCAAGCTGCCATGGTTCGCTCGTTCGAGCAAGCTTGGGAGCTGTATGACCAGCAGCAAGCGGACCAAGTTGTCGATGCCTTCAGCAATGCCGGTATGAATAGCCTCGCGGCACGCATGTCCGATATCTGGTCGCCTTCATTGCCGGCCACAGTACTCTGTGGCTTCCTGGTGGTAGCTCCGATCGAAGCTGACGATGAAACATCAGGCACCCCGCCTCCGGAAACCCTTTACAAGTTCCTACAACGGATTCTCTATCAGAACGGCGTAGCCTTCATGGTTGCTCCGTACAGCGCGTGTGCGCAGGTATGTGTTGTGTACTGGACCCTCTTTTGCATCAACCGCGACTTGGCCGAATTTGGGCCCCAGCAAAAAAGGCCATGATGGAAATTGACCGTGCATCCGTTGAGCAGCTTGCCTATCTCGCCCGGGGCTCCCATCCGGTCATCGATGCCATTTACGGACCCTCCGAAGCTCTTTTCTTTGATATTGATAAACTCGTGACCCGCATCGACATTGAGCCCGCGCAATTCTTCTGGCTCACGAAACGCACACTCCAGGAGGAATTGGGTCGCTTATCAAATGATCAGTTCTTGGATTTTGGCCTCCTTCTGGGATCACCGTTCTTGAGATCGTTCCCGTTGTTTGAGAATCCCGCCTTCCCCGGAAAGCTACCGACCGTTCGGGACGCGCTGCCCATGTTCAATGCGGCCGGCCGGAGCGCCTTGACATTGTGTGCGCAATTCGAAGACGAGCGTCGGATGCAAGAGCTGGACTACACAAAGCGATACAAGCGAGCCTACTTGGTTGTCAAGCACCATGTGATCATCGATGTTGAGGGACGAGTGGCCCCGATGCACCAGGAGGAAACCCCCTCGGACATGCACGAACTCATTGGACTGCGACTACCGGAAGAGCTATACTTTTATATGTCCAAGGGCGTGATTGGTCATGATGTTCCCAACTTTCTCACATCTGGCGAAGTCCGCTTGACCCTGCCGTTGGGCACGGAAGACACCGAAATTTACCGTCAACTTGTAGCAGATACTCTCACTCCCATCAGGGCACAGTCTATCGGACTCTTGGCCAACTGCCTTCATCGATTCTATCAGACTAAGACGATCACCATCCGACCTTGGTTCGACCAAGACTCGACCCAAAGACAGATCAACCTGAAGGGACTCCCGTCCGTGAAAGAGACTGTGCAGGCCTGGAGAGTTTCCAGTGACAAGTTCACAGAGGAGACCAAGGGCCTCCAAGCCCCCCGCGGCTCGTTCAAGTTTGGCTTGCAGAGCCTAACGAACCCTGAATTCGTGGCCAGAACATTTGCCAGCAAAGACACACCCGTAGGAGGACCAATTTCTCGTACAATCTGCACTTTCTGACTTTCGGGCTAATCATCTGGCTTAGATTCTTTCCACACAAGAAGACATTTTGTCGAATGTGGTTTGGCGATTCTTGCAATTGCGCGGCTACGTGGACGACAAGCACAACTTGACCGCTTGGGGCAAATGCCTCCAACAAGCACTCGCAGGAGTAGAACTCGAGGACAATCTGGAAGAGGCAATTTTTATCGCGATTGAAATGCTCCGCATGGGTCTTCTCAACACAAAGAACTGGTTCTCGCATGTCTCAGGAGGTCCAATGCGAGGCTCGGGTATGTTTTCCCCTCAATTCGCCTTACCGCATGATGGACGTAGAGTAACTAATCCCTTGATCTCTGCAGAGGAGGATAAAACATTTAACATGTTGGTATCTCGCGTGGCATGCATCGCAAAATTGCAGCACAAGCCCATTGGCTACTCTGGCCCTCTTAGTCGACAACTCCTATGCTATCGCTCCCTCATTTGTGAGGTGCGCACCGCACTCAGAAATCTCATCGAATCGGTTCTTGTCAGTCTGTTGCTGAGCGGAGATGCTGATCGTGATCGCAAAGACTGGGTTGAGCTGGGCGTTAAGTGCGTGATCCCCCTCGAAACCAAGGTTGATGCACTTATGGAGAGCCTGACTGACCGTGACTGTAGACTTCCTTTTATTGACGATAACGACTGTGGCCTCGGTATTGCCGTGCGGACTTATCTGGACGACCTGCCACTACAAGCCAATCCCACTTCGCCAGAGGCTCGCCAGGAGGTCAAGTCCAAGGGCAAAGAGTGGTTCCAGCACAGCGAGAGTTTCACTGGCAACTTGGACCTAGCCTTTAGATTGTGGGATGCCGTAAGTGGTTTTCACACGCGACATCATTCTCGGACTCTTGACGCCCCGACCAAAGCTGACTTTCTTCGCAGGTCTACCAAGGAACGCAAAATGCAGGCAAGGAGTTCAAGGAGGCGCGACTTTGGGACAATGCCAACAAGTGGTTGGCAGACCGACGATAGAGGGTGGACGCCTTTGTATGAGGCATTGCACGGCTTATTGAACGCTGTTTTAGTCCGAACTTTTAGACATCTTCAGCTACCGAGTGTACCGACTACACCTACGGACGCAAAGGGGGACATGAAATTCTATGATGTATTACTATGAAAGTAATCAATAAATATCATGAATCATTTCGGTATCGTGGCCGTAAAATGGGCAACAGGACCCTTTTCACATAGCATCCTATAGTTACGGGAGTAGCTTGTTGTGTAGTGTGTACTGTAGTGTGTACTGTAGTGTGTATGTAGTACTGTGTACTGTGTAACTGTGTATAAATGTACCAGTGTTGAGTGTGCAAAACAACGTTCAATCTTGAAGTTACTTAATCGGCCTGTGCTCTCTGCACGCTCCCCGCCACCGAGGGATCTGCGGGCGTGCCTAGTGGGCCGAATGGAACCACTTGGCCTCTTCCAGTGGTTTGTCATCCTTTGTCGAACGAGGAATCCTGACCTGACTATCTCGGTCGACCAAGCTCCATTTCTCAGGGGTTCAACTTCCGTTTTTCAATCGTCTATCCGTCAAGTTTTCCACAATCAGCAACAGGAAAATGGCACGCCTGAGCTTTCTTCTGCTGGGCGCTCTCTCGGCGCTGAGCGGCTTCGCCAACGCCAGCTCCGCCGTCAAGGACCTGATTCCCAGCAACTTCGATCAAGTTGTCCTTAAGTCCGGCAAGCCTGCTCTCGTCGAGTTCTTTGCCCCTTGGTGCGGTCACTGCAAGACCCTGGCCCCCGTCTACGAGGAGCTCGGTGCAGCCTTTGCTTTCGCCGAGGACAAGGTCACCGTCGCCAAGGTCGACGCCGATGCCAACCGTGACTTGGGCAAGCGATTCGGTGTGCAGGGTTTCCCTACTCTGAAGTGGTTCGATGGCAAGAGCGATAAGCCCGAGGAGTACCAGGGTGGACGTGACCTCGAGAGCCTCAGCAAGTGGATCACCGACAAGACTGGCATCAAGCCTCGTGGTGCGGCCAAGGAGCCCAGCAAGGTTGAGTTCCTGAACGACGCTACTTTCAAGACTGCCGTTGGTGGTGACAAGGATGTTCTGGTTGCTTTCACCGCTCCTTGGTGTGGTCGTAAGTTTACGAATGCCCTTGACTATATATGCATTGCCAATTCGTAGAGGGACACTGTGAAATACTAATTCGGCGCCCCTTCTCTATGCAGACTGCAAGACCCTCGCTCCTGTCTGGGAGACCCTCGCAAACGACTTCGCCTCTGAAGCCAACGTTGTCATCGCCAAGGTGGACGCCGAGGCCGAGAATGCTCGCGCCCTGGCCAAGGAACAGGGCATTACTGGATACCCTACCATCAAGTTCTTCCCCAAGGGCTCCACCGAGCCCGAGGCTTACTCCGGCGCCCGCTCCGAAGAGAGCCTCATCGAGTATCTGAACTCCAAGACCGGTACCTTCCGGGCCGTCGGTGGTGGTCTTAACAGCAAAGCCGGCACTGTCGCTGTCTTGGACAAGCTCGTCGCCGAGTATGTGCCCACCAAGGACTTTGCCAAGCTCGCCACCGAGATCAAGAAGGCCTCCAAGGGTCTCCAGGACAAGTACGCCCAGTACTACGTCAAGGTTGCCGACAAGCTCAGCGCCAACCAGGAGTATGCCACCAAGGAATTGGCCCGTTTGGTCAAGATCGTGAGCAAGGGCGGTTCTGCCCCGGAGAAGCTCGATGATCTTGTCTCGCGCAGCAACATCCTGCGTGGCTTTACCGGTCAGACGGAGCCCAAGGATGAGCTGTAAGCCTACTCGTTCGTTGCGGGTCTGCGATACCAGCTCACTGGCATGAAAAAGTCCCAAATTGGTTCATGCGACCAATATGTATGATGAACTTTGCGCAGCATTCTGTGTATCTTTTCGGCTGTGTTTCATGAATCGAAAAAGAAATGCTTCGAGGAGACCGTATGATCATACGATATACGGCAACCTTGGCATCTGTATACAAGCTTAAATCTTTTGCTTGCGAGCTTGAGGATGTATATCTTTCTTCATTGTATGTTGCTTGAACAGACCGGGTATCATAGTGCACAGAATAGAATCAAAAGTAGAATATTTGCAGACGTGCTCTGTGACAAGCACTGTTGCGTGCCTTGTTGACGGCACCCTCTAGAAACTTCGCCGCAGTATGTCCAACAGATCGATCCCTGGGAGGGACCCCGCCCAATATGCTGGGCCATTGCTCACTTTGACGGAGGAGCATCTGAAGGCTCCGTACTCGATGCCGCCAATGAGGCCTCCAATTCATCTAAGCGCCGTGTCATATCGTCCACTGCCAGGTTGTTAGTCAACGGCTGTGCACGCAGTCTGTAGGGTTGCAGACGAACGTTTGCCGAACATTTCTTTCGTCACACCATCGAGCTTGCTCTGTAATTGATCGAGAAGCTCATCGACCGCCGTTGTAAGCTGGCCCATAGCATCTGAGTTCTGTGTCTTCTTGTCAGTCGAGGCACTCTGTCAACAGTCCATGAAGGGACTTGAAAAGGGTACGTACGGGTTGAGATAAGAAAGACTCTTCCGCACTTGGTTTCTCCGGAGACTTTGACTTGGCCATATCTGAGCAGTGACAGTAGCTATAATACCCGTAAGAGATGTGATTTGGTGTACTTCCGTATTTCCAGTAAACATATCTCCGGAGCGCTCAGCGACAGCAACCATGTCTCCGTTCGCCGTCCCTCCCGATAAGAGCGGATCAACACCCTTCTCCGGGGCCGGGCCGCGCTAGACCCATTTTGCTTCCTTATCGTGCCGCTAACCTGATTAGAGTTGATCCGAGTTCAAAAAAATCCCGTAGCAGCAATCCAGCTACGCTTTTTTGCACGGATTACCGACCATACTTATTTCCCCTCAGAACAGGCACCATGGTTAAACGAAGCAAATTACTTCAGACTCTCGATGCCCACCGGGGCCGAGACTACAATGCCGAGAAACAGAAGAAGATGATCAAGGCCGCCAAAAAGCGCAAGTCTACCGTTCAGAACGACGCCGGCGCAGAAGTCACCAAGAAGCTCGAAGAGAAGAAGCAAGTTGCCGAGTCCGAGTCCGAGGACGAGGACGAGGAGGAGAACGACGAACAGGTCGAAGGCGAGACCGACGAGGATGAGGAAGTTGACGTCGAAGCGGAGGATAATGAAGACGAGGACAACGAAGAGGAAGACGACGACGAAGAGGAAGAAGAGGAGGATATTCCTCTATCAGATCTTGAGGAGGATGAACGCGAAGATGTCGTTCCTCATCAACGTCTTACTATCAACAACTCCGCTGCGATCAAGACTTCTCTCAAGCGCATTTCTTTTATCAACCAGAACACTCCATTCTCCGAGCACAATTCCTTAGTGTCCAAGGAGCCAATTGAGGTGGAAGACGCCAATGACGATCTCAACCGTGAGCTCGCATTCTACAAGGTGTGCCAGGCTGCCGCCATCGAGGCTCGCGGTTTGTTGAAAAAGGAGGGCGTTGCCTTCACTCGTCCCGGCGATTACTTTGCCGAGATGGTGAAGAACGATGAGCACATGGACAAAATTAAGAAGAAGCTTTACGAGGAAGCCGCTGGCAAGAAGGCTGCTGCCGAGGCTCGTCGTCAACGTGATCTTAAGAAGTTCGGCAAGCAGGTGCAGGTCGCCAAATTGCAGCAGCGCGCAAAGGAGAAGCGTGATACTTTGGAGAAGATCAATACCCTGAAGAAGAGTACGTCGACGCTGCCTTGCCTTAGACTTTCGTCTCCCTGGAACAACCACTAATGTGTTATTTTCTTTTTTCTGAACAGAGCGCAAGGCCGACACATCTGCCCCCACTGATGATGCCAATGACCTTTTCGATGTCGCAATTGAGGAGACCGGCAAGCCTGAGAAGCGCAACCGCGAGGGCGGTCCCAATGCCAAACGTCAGAGACGGGATCAAAAGTTCGGCTTCGGTGGTAAGAAGCGCTTCTCAAAGAGTGGCGATGCTGCCTCCACTGGCGACATGCGCGGATTTTCCCAAAAGAAGATGAAGGCCGGCGCTTCCAAGCGGCCTGGCAAGAGCAAGCGCGCTGCCGCTAAGGGTCGGTCATAGAGGATTGCTGTCTTTATGAAGAACATTTTGGCAGACCGGAGTCTGCTTTCCGACGCATTGAGTCCTTTTTGAAGTTGAGGGTAGTGATGGCGCAAGGCGCAACCAAAATTTCTTTTTGTGGGGTGAACATCCGCCATGCTCTTCTGTACTATTCTAGATTTCTCAACCCTGCATATGCACATGATCAATTGAAATTATTACCTTGTGGTGTTTTTTTGGCCACACCTCTAAAATTCTTTACTGAAGCAACGATTCTTGGAACTTTGCGTCAGCCCTAATGAGTTTGGAAATTAGGGTGTTCGAGTTGATTAAGATCCCATTCCTGAGCACTGTCAATGGTGTGTTGTACAATGGGTTTTCCTTTCCACAGTGCGAATATACATCAACCTTGAGGTCTTGAACCCCCGATCATTTTGCTTGCTCCTCAGCCTCCGCTTTAGCGGCCCTCTTGCGCTCCCAGTCCTCGAGGAACCTTTGCACCTTGGGACCCCAAACTTCCTCCCCCTGCTCCAAATCCTTGTATTCCAGGACGTTCTCCGGCTTCAGTTCAAATTCAGCTTGGCGGCTTCGAACGAGCTCACTCATCAAGGCGCAGCTTCCCACAGCCTTGCCCAAGTCATGTGCCAATGATCGGACATAGAAGCCTGAGGTGACTGTCATGTGGATCTTTACAGCTGCCGGCTGTGGGCGTGGCTTGTCTGCCTGCTCGGTAGGCACATCTGCGGCTTTGGAATCCGAGACAGTAGCTTCAGGTTCGGTGGTGGACGCAACCACCTCGGCGCTTTCGTCTTCTGACACCTTCTGCTTCTTGGTTGCTTCTTCGCCCGCTGACGCGATTGGAGACTCCGCAGCAGGGGGTGTCTTTCGCTTGGAGATTGCAGATGAGTCGTTCTCTGCGGCTCCGTCTTCAACGGGCAACTCAGCTTCCTTGTCAAGGAGCTTCTCCGCAATTACCTTCTCATCGCCGGTCATCTCTTGCTCGGGCCACTTGTACTCATGGGTACCTGGCTCGTACCACTCGACGATCTTCAACTCCACCGTCTCGACGGGCCGCGCTTTGATCTCGACGGGTGGCATTTTGCCCTCTCGCGCATACTCGTACAATCGCTTCCCATCGATTCGCAATGCCGAGAAAATAGGCGGACGCTGCATGATCTTACCCCGGAACTGATCCAGAGCCTTTTCGACGGCCTCCCGGGTGATGTGCTCGTACGGTGCTCGGCGTACGATCTTGCCCAAACGATCATAAGTGTCTGTCTCCGCGCCGAAGAGAACGACAGCCTCGTAAGACTTGGTACAGGCAAGGAACTCGCTCAGCGATTTAGTGCCCTTACCCACACCGGCAATCAGCACACCTGTTGCGAGGGGGTCCAGTGTGCCACCATGTCCAATCTTTACTTCAATCTTCTTGTTTCTGTTGCGACGACGGTTCTTTTGGTATGAGTTTTCTTTCATGCGAAAGTCTTTCTCGGCGTCGAGCCATGGCCGGAATAGCTTTGAGGGATTGAAATGGCGCTGCAGATCGCGGAGCACGTCGGCAGAGGAGATGCCTTGCGGCTTGTGAACGGCTACTCAGGTTAGTGTTGTGCAAGCCAGACTTTTTGCAGCTTAGATTGGCCTCGTGCCGGACTTACCAAAGCAGCCTTCGAAAATCTTCTCTCCTGACATGGTGGTTCGAAATAACTGGAAGTTTCGTGGAAATGGCATCTGTCTCTCCGATCAAGTCACAAGAGCGCAGAGCAAGAAGAAACTTCCAAGGAAAAATATTACGTCGGAGCGCAACAGTACGATCGCGCGATAAAAGCAGCTCGTGCGATAACGAGGTCCGCGTCGGGAGGGCCCAATCGATAAGGACAACCGGCGGGTAATGTGTAGCTTGGCCATCAACGGAGGGCGAAGCTACATCAATGCGCGCGAGGCTCAGATCAGAGCTCGCTTTCCCATTCATCCACTTCGCGTCTAGAAGGGGAGAAAAGCAAAAGGAAGGCGCTGCGATTGAATTACTTACTCGACTGAAAGTGTCACCACCATGCTCTCCTCGCAGCTAACGCAACCATGAGCGCCCGTGAAGATACCATCCTCCGTCCCATCGATCCCTCCATCACCGACGAGAATGACTGGCCAGACTTTGACCTGGTGGACGTCAAGGTCCTTCGGCCTGGGAAGATGCTTTATGCCAATCTCCTCGATGCTACGGAGCAGAATCCGGTCCAGGTGATTGGATGCTTGGACTTGAGAGAGGATCAAACACACCTACGTGAGTCTTTCTTTGTTCCTTCCAATACTCGGCGCCGTGCTGCGCGTTCTATCCATCGCACGCTGAGCCTAAGCTCTCTACTGACATGAAAAAATTTCTCTGGTCACAGTGCTCGATACAGACTCTGCGTCCAAACGCGTCATCATCGACAATGTCACTCATTATGCATACGGACAAACCGAGGATCGGAGCATTGAGCTCTGGGTGGCCGGCAAAGCGGGCTGGTACAACATCTCACCAGCCAAGGGCTACGTTCCGACCTTCAATCGCATGGTTCAAGCTGTCGATATGCTATATTATCTAACGGATCAACACCAACACGGGAAGCGACAACTGAACCCATCTTTTAAAAGCCTCTGCGAACAGGTCTGTTCCGTGACCCAGATCTCTGACAATGGGGAGAGGCCGAGATTAACAAAAGCAATATAGTACGTGTTCCATACACACGGCAGTTGTGAGACAAGGGAACAGGCTGCGGCTGTGTTTGCTGATCATGCACAATTCCTCCTTCGACGAATGATCGAAGATGATGATCCTGACGGGGTGGAATGGAAGAGGACCAATGTATTTGTTCATTTACGTCGCCAATTCAGTGTGAGTCAACAGGCACTGTAGCCATTGTGCCCCGTCTCAACATTGACTTATTTCACTAGGATATCTTCAACCACCTGATGGAAGAGCGTTCACAAGAATCCGCGGATGAAACGGAGCAAAACGGCATAGAGTCCTCCACCCCACGGCACGATTCAGCGGCAGTAGCGAAGTCACAGGTGGCAACCATTTACTCGATGATCCAGAATCTGAAGGATGAGGGACACCTTGCAAAGCGACGACTGCATCTTGATCTATTGACGGAACGCTTGTCGGATCGATACTCTATGAATCGAGAGAACGCAAGCAGAATGATCGCCGCTAGAGCCGGTGCAGTGATTGAATTGTTGGATGAAGAAGATTGTCCGGGCTTCCGTTGGTCTCGCTATGTGATTTATCGGGAGCTCACACAAGTTGCCGCACAAGATCTTGTGCTTTCGGCCGAGCTTCTCAATCCTTTAGAACCCCTTGAAGACTCGAGCGACGATGAAGGCCTGCGACACACACAAAAATCCGTTCTTCGTCCAAAGTTGAACTCTGCGGTTTCGGGAAAGTTGATGGGGAAACGACACCGTAATTCCGTCCTCAATAAGGATATTGAAATGAAATTCCCTGGTCAGACGAATGGTGGTGGCGGCGATGACGATGACGACGGTGACGATAATGATGAAGAGATGGAAGGGCCGGAAGACGTTGACACACCGAGCAAGGTTCGTGGACACGAACTAATAAGGACGCCTCTTTCGAACGGAGGTTCTCGGGGTCGAACTCTGCTCCCGAATACTGGATCGGCAGCTTCGTCACTGTTGAGAAGTGTGCTCTCTTCCGAGCATCACCAGGCACCGTCATCGGCTACCAAGAAGAGCGATGATGGTTCTTCTTCACATCCGCTCGCCGAATTGAACAAAATCTCAGATATATGGTTTTGCCAGATGCCCGGATGCTCTAAGACAATATCCACCAAGGGAGAACAGCGTCAAACCGATATCGAAGCCCACGCCACAGAACACGACTGGGAGGCGCAGATGCGCATCGAAGTGATTGAAACCGAGCGACGTATGCATGCCCGGATGCCAGTGAGCAACCTCATGCAATATTTGCTCAACCAGCACGTGGCGCAAATGCGCTGTGCTTTTCCCGAAAAATACCCGCCACAAGGGAGTGAAACTGAGAAGCAAGAAAAGTCAAAGGGCGGCGAAGACATCAAGCACCAGGACAAAGGGTCCTTGTCGAACGGCCAACAACTTGAACATGAGGTCCACGAAGGCAATCATGTAACGAACTGAAATGATCGTATTTGCCGCTTCTTTTCAGGCATGATGAGTTCTGGCCAAGCTCCGCAAGCTTGCTTGTAGAACAGTTCTGGTTTCCTGCCTCTAATGGTAGAGCTTGGAATGTATATCGAACGATACTCGGAACTCAGCCGATGCTGTGAGACGAGTCATCTTGATAGCACCGGTCTGACACGGAGTTCCAGAGGTCATGGTCATTGACCGCAACTATTGAACACAGTAATGGCGAAGCTTCCGCCTCCTTCCTGGAAATGCACATCGTCAGTAGCACCTAGTCGCTGGTCAGAACCCACTGTTCAAAGCCATAACTCAAAGCCACCACTCAATAGTACATTCTGTTCCAGTGGACAATCCTGCAATTTAGACTCACCAACGACTTCAGTATAGCCCAAGCACCATACCAATCCTTAGGCTTTCAACAAACACCCCGAGATGTACGAGCAATCGACATTGCGCTATACCTTACAACGGTCGCCCCCCACCACGCCTTCGTAAAAACTTTCCTAACGGAACCGGATGTTTGTGGATGTCATTCTCAATTGGAAGTCTTGCGACAGCAACGCATCAAAAACCATTTTCTAGATAGATCATCCGCCCCAACTCGAGACCTCATCAATCAAACGTGATCTTCAACAAACCCCTCCACTCACATCTTTCTCTCACTCCAGCCCTTGGCTTCATGACACAGACCCAGTTTGAATCCCTCGCGTAAGCACTCACAACCTCATAAGCCCGCGACGCCTCGTTTCCGCCTCGTTGCACAACAAGCATGAAGTTTTCGATATTGCCAAGTCCATATCGGAATCCGAATTGATAGCGGTTCTGGAGACAGTTGTTCATGGCAAGGCCCGGTTGAGTCTTGTCGGTGGGATTCCTGGGGTGTCGTGTGATAGGAAAGTCAGGTTAGTGCAAAAGATAAAGTGGGCAATAGAGAGGTTTGGCAGGTGCGGTGATCGTTTCTCGAGTCGAGTCCGTTTGGAAAGGGAGGACAGTGAGTCGGGATACTGATATGCGGATGCGGCAGTGCAGTGGATATGGGTGGATTACCATGTGAGAGTGCATGTATCGTCGAGAACAGTCACAGAGCTGGAGACTGTAAAGCGTAAGGAGTTGGTGCCGTCGTTTGCCTGTTGGATGTAAAAGTCTCTGATGTCGACAGAGTTTCCAGAAGCATTTGATATAGCAACACAGGGTGTGGCTATCGCAACGAGGCAGGCGAGAGTACGGGCGAATTTCATCATCATGGATGCGAGGAAAGCCTGTTGATCTCGTTTTAAGTGGAATTATCCAGTGAATTGAATTGGCAATGTTGTCTAACAAAAAGCTCAAAGATAAAGCACACAAGTCGATGTCGAAAAGTGGTTGATGGAAAATGATGAACAGGTGAAGTCAACACTCTAGCACGGATACACGGGACTTTGAGAGAACTGTCAAGCAGTATAAGGTTATACTTTATGTCGCGCTGATGCGTATCCATGGTTGGTACCGAGCCGGAACTGCTATGTGATGGCCGCTGCTTCCCATGGTCGACCGATGCCAGTCCTCCCATTTCAACCGTGAAGCCAAGAGCCCTTCCTTTCAACACTTCATGGCAGTTGTCTAACAAAATCAAGCAGTACAGGAGCCATAAGATCGACTTGGCCCCTTCAGTAAGGCTCCATCCGGATGGCCTACTTGCTGATCGATCATAGCTTCGAGTTTCAATTTCGTACCTAAGAACATGCAAATCCGGCCGGGTAACCTGTGATATAGCGCTTTGCAATCCCATCAGATCGTCAAAGCTCAAATCAGAGAAGACGGGGTGCTACCCCATCAATTGTTTTCAGCCAAGGGTTTCCACCCGGCGAAGAAGCGATTGCCTAAACCGATTGTATACCACAAATGACAGATATAAAGACGTGTAACAAGTCTGTCAGCTTCCCTAGGCCGTCGATCGTAAGTACCATCGTCTGGTTCAGGACACGATAGAAGTAATCAAGACTCGTGGAATATTGCGACGAAGAACGGCAAACATGCAATGATGCAAACGCTGCTTTTGACCTTGAAAATGATAGCTAGACTAGGAAATGAGGGGGTATACCACGAATATGCTACATACATCATGTGCACAGTGAAACGACAAACAGGGATAGAAAGGAGCCAGTAGCCTCTAGCGAAAAAAAAAACGGACAATATATCCGACAGTGGTAGGTAAGGTTGAGATTTTGTCAACAAGAAATGCGGCCATTGGAGAGAATGCGGCCATTGAAGAGATGGGAATCAAAAAGATGGCCTGGCGACGAAAAGAAGTGACTAGGCTTGATGTGGACCCGCACACTTGCGATGCAATGCCGACGGTACTCAAAGATGCCTGACACAAAAAAGAAAAGAAAAGAAAAGAAGAAAAAAATAAGTATACAAAAGAAGGGAATGCGGATGGTCAAAGTCGAAGGTAAAAGTTATTGGAGAGAAAAGTTCGCTCGTTAGGGTACAAGATCATTGTTGATAAGCGCCGTGAGCATCACGAAGAGCTGTAGACACGTTTATTAGCATTCTGCTTCATGTGCTGGACCACGTGTTCTTTTTGAAACCAATTTGGCAGTGAGGGATAAGAAATGTCGAGATACTTACTTTGTAGAGTCCAAGTCTGTCCCTGCCGGGACTCACACGCGCACTGCAATGTACTGCCATCCAAAAAGTCTAGTACAATGCTATTGGGGAGCTCCTGCATGTCCTCGTCGGGTAAGCAAGGTGCCCGAAACTCAGACAAGTGATAGCGCTTGATCATATTGCGGGCGCTGGTGTCGTGAGCAGCGGGAGTGAGAACCAAATATCCGTCACTATCGACTCGCATGAATCGGCGCTTCCAGAGTAATGTCCCAGGAAACTGTACATTGACTTCGCCAATATCGACGGGCTCGAACAATGTCTGTTCAGAAGAAGAAGAAGCGGACACGACGGTCTCTGCTGGAGGTGAGACCGCAGAGCTCTCCTCCTTGACGGGTGAAGTCAGTGCGCCCACAATGTTGCGGCGAGAGGTCGACGTGATCGACGACACTCGCCGCATCAAGCGAGAGGCACGGGAGTCTTTCTTCTCTTCAGGTGGGGTCACTGTGATCGGGTTCTCCTCCGTTTTGGAGCGCGACGAGATGGACAATCGACTTGCAGGACGGGAGACAGGGCTGGAGTGGAAGTAGGATCCAACAGATGACATCGACATGCTGCGGTCCTCAACCGGACTCACTGTCGCGGGTCTGGCGGCCGTGAGATCTGGTGATTCTGCTTCAGAGACCTCATGCTGCTCCACAGTGAGCGAGCTGGAGGGAAGGCCGAGAGGCTCGGCCTCGGGCGACTGGACTGCGGAGGAATCAGGGGAGGCGCTGCTGTCACGGACGGTACGAGCCGTCACCGAAACCGAGGTCGTTCGGCGATGAGCCGCGGATGATACCGGGCGGACGTCATGATGATTGACGCTGGGTGCACGAGAGAAATCTGGCAGTGTGGTACCGTTCGGGACCTGGACGGACGCACGTTTGCGTAATTCTTCGAACGATGAAGAGGCGGACGGGCCAGGCACTAGAGTTGCTCCCGAGGGTGAGCCTTCGCGAGTCTGGAATTTCTCCAAAGCTTTGATCCGGCTGGAGATACCAGACGACACGTTGATCTTCTTCGCCACTAGGACCGGTGACGGGGAGCCCTTCTCGACATGTGAACTGGATACCGAGCGACCGACAGTCAGAGACTGCCCAGCGGTGGTGGATGACAAGTATGGACCCGAGGCCGCGCGAGGGCCCTTCCAGGATTGATCCCCGCCATTGGGAGACTTGACCGAAACTGGCCTGGCTTCCTCGACGGTGGCTGACCTTAGTTCCTCCATGAACGAATCATCCGACAGCAAACAGTCGTCGTCGGAGAATTCTTGTGCTGGGACCTGGATCGGCTCCAGATATTTTTTTCGCCTTCGGTCCAAGGGCGGTACTGCTGGTGCAGGAGTTGAAGATAATTCCTCCTCTGAAGCGTTCGGTTTGTGCACGACAGGCTCGACAGAGACCTCCACGGGCGTGACTAAAGGCGCGGCTGTGGGGTTACTGCAGGGCTCCACAGGGGAAAGAATGTCAGCGCCGTGTGTTTGGTCAACTTCTGCGAGGCCTGCCTTCGCGGTATGTGCTTCCCTGCGATCCCCGTCAAGGACTGGGTCAATCTCGGATTGTTGCACAGGGGAAGTGGTGTGCTTCAGAGCTGGCGTTGAATTTGGAAAGTTGGCTGCTTCTTCGGTGAGTGGGACCTCAGCGTTGGCGCTAGGTGGGACTAGCTCACCCTGAGCTTCTATTGGGTCAGGGGGTGTGGATTCGGTGTGCTCCGCAGCCGATTCATGCTCGGAAACTTCGATCTCAGGGGAAATCTGCGACGCGGCCTTGGTGATGTCTATGAGGGGTACGGCGCAGCCGAGTGAGGGGTCCGTATCGGCACTTGCACCATACCTGTCCGAGGTTTGACAATCAGAGTCAGACATGATGGACGCCTCCGCATTTCCCGCTGAATCACAGTGCGACATGTCAGACGAAGAAGCTATCTGAATGTCAGGTCCAGGCACATCGTGGCTCATGCGTGACCCAGGCAATGGCACGTCAGAGACGGGCTGTGCATGAGCCGTTGTTGCAGACACCATGTCTCCGAGCTGGACCTGAGCCTTAGCTGTAGAGCCGGCGTGTTGCTCGACCGGTGCCGAAGGTCCGGAAATGATCGCTTGGCCTGTGGGTTCATGCGATGCTTCTAACCTTTGAATCGTTCTCGACGATGGGCCATTCGTCATTCCAAGACACAGAGACGGACCGTGCCTGGTTCCATCCACCGAATCTGCTGGCTTGGAAGCCGCAACAAGCTCCTCCGATTCTGCCTGCTCCTCCTCCTCCTTCTTCTTCTTCTTCAATTCCTCGGCCCGCTTCGCCATCTGCTTTTTCCGTTGTTGCAGGGCTTTCATCAATCGTTCTTTCTCCGGGGTCAAGCCGGACGAGGTCGAAAGGGCGCCTAAGGACTTTGCGCCCGGGGAGAGGGGCGGCCGTGCCAGGGGCACGGACGAAGGAGGGACAAGCAGAGGCGGAACCGGGGGCGCGCGACTACTTGGCTTGATCGCAAAGGCGCTGCCTTGGGAACGAGGACGGAACGGATCGGGAGTGTTTGGAGAAGGTTTGCGCACGGAGGAAGATCGCATACCCGCTGGCATAGGGGCAACCGGTCGCTGTTCAGAATTCCGAGAGCTTCCGGAGGTGCGAGGTCGTCCACTCTGGTCGACGACAGGACGAGGACCCAGCTTCACTTTGTGTGTATGTCCCGCCGCTCGCTCCAGCTCGCGCAAGGACGGTCGCGCCGATTGAGATGACATGCGGATTTCTTCCGAGGGGCGCGGAAATTCGTCGAGGATATTCTTGTACCTGGACTGCTCTGAGGTGATTGACTGCGGAGATCTTGGAGAAATCGGGGAAGTGGTGTCTTCATGGGGCTCTACCGTACTGCTGAACGAGAGCGGAGATCGAGAGCTGGCCCTTGAGGGAGGGATTGGCAGATCGGGAGACGAGTACTCGATATCGCGTGATGGGCTCGAGGGAAATGGTACTAGGGTTGCCACTGACTTCTCCTCCTCTTTTGGTAGTGATGTTGTCTGTCGCGAAACAGGCTGCGTCTGCGTCTGCGGCTGTATTTGCGACAGCATGTTCAAGGCACTCTGGTCCTGCACTTCTTCCTTGGTGGCATTTTCTTCCACATCCTCTGTAATCTCCTTCAAACGACGGCCTCGGACGGAGTTGGAGGCGCAGAGGGCAGACCCCGAGGCCGTGTGGAGCAAGCACGCTGCCGAAAGCGCACTCTCATTGAGATCGGAGGCCGAAGTGATGGGAAGCACCGTATCATGGGGAGTGAATTTGTCCAGCATGGATTGGAACTGCACATTGCTCCGCGCTATTGGGGAAGAGATGAATTCCGGTTAGCAATGCATTCGCGGTCGATGATATTTAATGAAGCAATTGGAACGAAGCCGAACCTAGCAATAGACGAGAAAGTCCCTCCGGCATGTATCGGAGGATGACCTTTCTCCTCCGGTAATGCAAGAAACCATATAGCGGCGAGACTTCGTTGTAGTTGTCGACCGCATTGCGGACATCGGGGACTCCGCCGGTGCCTCGATCCAAGAGGGCAACCTCATCTCGCGCTGTGTAGTGTAACAAGAACCTAGAGTGATGGACCAAGTAATTAGCGACTGGAGTTCATTACATTTACGAAGCAACCTTTCACAATGCGCGGTCCTGCTGCGCATTCACCGAGTCAATCGGAGGGGGCCAGGGAGACGCATCAATCGCAAAGACAGTCTGCGACGCCGTTCAGGCACACACACGTACCATCCGCCCGCATCAGCCAAGGCATGGTGGTAGGCTTCCAGGACCGAGGGGGAATCTAGCCCATTGAGCGACATGACTTGCACGGCATGGAGAGCGTGCCGAGCAGCAAGGTGAGGGAGACCAAGTGGTCTGGTGTTTTTCCAACCAAATGACCTTTGGGAGGAAGGGAAGAGGAGCGGGTGATTCGAGACTCGAGAAAGAGGTAAAAGAAGGGGGGAGGGGGTTGTGTTGGGCCTGGTGTTGTCTCCAGCGGAAGTCCGGGCGGGACAACCTGCTAAAGCTTGCGCTTATGCGGGGGCTCCAATTCACTGTTCAACTTGACATGGCTCATGGCGACGACTGGAGAGATGAGGGCAAGGTAGAGACTGTCTGACAGATACCTATGACGGTATGATCAGGATTGAACGCTATGGTGGTTGGGATAGAGAGGTTGAAGCGATTTGACCATTTGCAGTCTCTAGAATTGCTTTACTGTAAACATCGGAGATCAAGGGCATACCCAGTATTCCTGGACTTTCCACCTATGACTACTAGGCGACCTAGCCGGACAGGATTGCATCTGTCTCATAAGACCAAGTTCCAAAGGTCGCTTAATCGTAAATACTTAGCTAGGACTATCTATGTCTGGGAAGAAGAGCTCAGGCCGTGCTATATAACTAAAGCCGGAAGATGCATTTGGGTGGCTCTGGTTCACGATAAGAGATAGTTCCATCGAGTCAATGGCCTCACAGTCTCTATGCATGTGGTAGTATGTACGCACCGTCGCACAGTACATAGCAAGCAGTTATTATGTGTAGACTTTGGTGGTACTGATGATCGGCCAGATTCACAAGTCAACTCAGGGGTATAGACCGGTTCGAAGCGTCCCAGCTCGGAATAAAGCCTTTGTAGACGGACCTCACGCAATATTGTGAATGGATCATGTCCACGAGCACGTAGACTCTATACCTCTGTTGATTGAAAGCCTGTAAGGTAGTTATGAGACAGGGGGCCATAGACTTGTATGTATCGCTACCAGCATTCGTAGTGACTCCACCTTCGTGGCCATCCTCATTAAAGTCGATCAAATGTGAAACGCTCGCGCGCCGAGTCGAGGCTTTTCTTCCATGGGAAACACGGCCCCTCATGCTTGTACGCTCGGGATCGATAGGCTAACCGGTGGGTTAAGGATGTTTGTCCGAAGTATGTAGTCGCCTCGAAGGACTTGCTGTAGATAAGCCCAAAAATTGACCTGCAGGCGTTTCAGGTATGCATTACACCTATCCTTAAAGCACTGACCACCTGCTCATGTCTACAAGTATGCACTATGCAGTGCATAGTATGCAGTAACTATATAGTATATACTATGTAGTATGTACTAATGTAGTATGTAGGAGTGGTTCTGTCTAGTGGGAGAATCACAGTCGGTCATTAGGCAGTGTAGTATAGCCAGTGGTTCACAATACTATAACTACACTAGATTCACCGCAAGGTAAACAGGTTCTCTTGCGGCGGAGAAACACTGTAATCAGGAGTCGCTGAGTCGGGACTATGACTGAGATAGGTCCGACTTAGTACCTAGTTACCTAGTACCTACTAACTTACCTACTCCTACTATAGATCTAGTATAAGAAAAGTCTTGTTTGGGGCTAAGTAGGCCAAACGGTCAAAGAGAAGAAACTCTCGACTCATCCGTGGGTTTCACTACTACGGTCGGACTTATACAAATTAAGGTACTAAGTCTCAGTAACAGCATAGGCATTGAGGCAGGCTAACGGATGTACTGTACCTATTTACCCTTCAGATGCTCGCAATTCTGGCATTTACCCCTTCGTATACTACTACGAGATTCAGAGATTCACAGTCATCTTGCTGCCAAGTACTAGGAGTTGGGGGGTCATAGGTTGTTACTCTTCAGGTTTTAGGCCATGATAAGCCGCCATGTCCTGATCATCAAGTTCACGATCTTTGGTCCTCGTTAAAGTCATTGAATCACGCTCCTCTTAGAGTCATGCTATGATGATCACGTCATCACAGAGTGTAACAGATGCAAGCCCTGCTCGCAACATCGCAATAGTTCCTTTTGATCCCGAGATTATTGCATAGGCTCAAATAGCAGTGTCAGTATTGCTACGATTATCACTTCTCCGCTGGTTGCCGCCCGAGCAGCAACAGACTCGGCGAACCCCGACGAGGTCAACACCAATCTTCAGCTTAAGAACCGTCTTACGGCAGTCTTGAATTATACAATATTTCTCTCCTTCCCTCACTTCATCACATCCCGAGAACATCAGGTACCTCTGGTTGGAGAACGCCCAGACACTTACATCCACGATATCCCAGTCAACTCACGTCCTCACGTCAAGTGACATCTCCTTCCAGTATGGCCAACTTGCCCTCACTCTCACAACTGCCCTCTCAACCACAAGAGGCCCAGTTACGTGTGCTCGATACGCTATTCGAGCCCTCACCGGAGCTTCATGAACTGGCACTCCCCATCCTCAACAAACAGCCGTTCACCTCATATACCACCCTCATTGATGCGGTCGGAAGTCAAATTTCCGCCCTGCAGTCCCCCGCGGAACGCAAGGTCTTGTTCGGCATTCTGGGCTCTCATCCGCGGCTCGGTCGCGCTCCAACCAACCCCGAGCATCTCAGTGAACTCAGCAAGAAAGAGCAGGCGCAATTGAATACGGGTGCCGAAGAGCAAGCGCAGAAATTGGTGGCGCTGAATGCCGAGTATGAGGCTATATTTCCCGGATTGCGATTTGTGTAAGTTTTGACTTTTGATCTTAGATTATGTTTGCAAGCTCTCCCGGCTTGAGCCCAGACGAGCAAATATAACTCGAACGCACGGTAGTAGGAGGTGTTTGCTAATCTGAACTTCGGTAGTACTTTTGTCAACGGACGCAGTCGGGAGGTGATTATGGAGGAAATGCGCCAACGCATGGACCGGGCCGACATGGAAAAGGAGATCCATGAGACGATCGAGGTATGTCATAGAGACCGATCGGTCCAAGACGGAAGAAAGAGCCAAAGAGAGCCACTGTGCATGATTTGCAGAACTGAAATTGAACTAATTAAACCTACCCTCTTAGGCCATGTGTGCAATTGCCAAGGATCGGGCGCGAAAGCTTCAATCGCGCATCTAGCAGGTTAATTAGATGCTTCCATCTGAGATCATTGGAGAAACACTCGGAACCTCACTAGGACTGCTGTCTGAAGATCTCTTTTTTACTGATCTCCAGAGTTCTGCCACAGCAGAACACATGTCAAAATATCGAGCCCATTAATCTCGACGATACAACTTCCCAACCTTGACCATCTGCCCTCAATTGTCTAATCAACTATCTCAAAGAAATCTGTCGACAAACTTCAGTCACGTGGGCAGAAATCAAGCTTATGGACAAGCTCAGTCATGTGGATATGACATGGATGACTGTGCTTCGGAGAAGCCTCGCCTTGAATCTGGCCTTTAATTCATTTTGAAAATCCCTCAAAGCTTCTTGATCCCTCCTTATTACCATTGGCCCCGCACTCTATTGAAGCCAGTCCAATTGGCTTTGGTAGGATTTAGAATCATAGCACTAAGTAGTAGTAGTAGTAGTAGTAGTAGTAGTAGTAGTAGTAGTAGTAGTAGTAGTAGTAGTAGTAGTAGTAGTAGTAGTAGTAGTAGTAGTAGTAGTAGTAGTAGTAGTAGTAGTAGTAGTAGTAGTAGTAGTAGTAGTAGTAGTAGTAGTAGTAGTAGTAGTAGTAGTAGTAGTAGTAGTAGTAGTAGTAGTAGTAGTAGTAGTAGTAGTAGTAGTAGTAGTAGTAGTAGTAGTAGTAGTAGTAGTAGTAGTAGTAGTAGTAGTAGTAGTAGTAGTAGTAGTAGTAGTAGTAGTAGTAGTAGTAGTAGTAGTAGTAGTAGTAGTAGTAGTAGTAGTAGTAGTAGTAGTAGTAGTAGTAGTAGTAGTAGTAGTAGTAGTAGTAGTAGTAGTAGTAGTAGTAGTAGTAGTAGTAGTAGTAGTAGTAGTAGTAGTAGTAGTAGTAGTAGTAGTAGTAGTAGTAGTAGTAGTAGTAGTAGTAGTAGTAGTAGTAGTAGTAGTAGTAGTAGTAGTAGTAGTAGTAGTAGTAGTAGTAGTAGTAGTAGTAGTAGTAGTAGTAGTAGTAGTAGTAGTAGTAGTAGTAGTAGTAGTAGTAGTAGTAGCTACTAGCGCTTCACCAGTCAGAGTCTGTTCCACCCGCTCAAAATCCTCACCAAATGCAGAACTCGCCCTCTCGGATCCCGGAGCCCTTCGGCGATCGCACTGTCCCGGACAAGACTCGAGTGGGATGCGAACGAGCTCCACCGACCCACGGTTCTCGCACTGCGCACGAGGCGGTTTGATGTCATCCACGACATCCGGCCACTCCCGTTTGCCGCATATCCAATCCATCGCCGGAGATCTAGGTTCTCGGTCCCAGCAGGCCTGGTATCAGTCGCCTGCGGATGCATACCCAGATCACTGAACTATGGGCTCGCTCGGAGAAATGACCGTGAGAAGAAGGCTGGAAAAGCCAATGAGGAAGTAGGCGGCGGAGAAGGCAGCAGTGCAGCCATACCCAGAGCTGTGGGAGAACAAATAAGGAAACTTTCTCATGACGAATCCTATCCTCCTCGATTCGTTCCTTCCTCATTCTCTCTCATGGACTTGGGCCTCTTCATGCGATCGCCGCGAGTGATCCAGCGGCGGAGAGCACCGATCAGCAGAGAGTGCGTTGCTGCACAGCTTCACTGGCCCGAGGATTGATGAGCTCAGGAAATCGAGACTTCTTAGAATGTCGAGACCCATAACGAACGGTGCGTGAAATGGCGGACCTACTTCCTTCCATCCTCACACTCTTGCGCCACGTTGCCGACATGATTGACCGCGTCTTGTGATACCCGCAAGACGTTTGCTTGAGATCGACACTGACACCTACTTTTCCTTCTCATCGATAGGCGCAGACTCAGGCGCATCAGACGCTGCCACAGCCTCCCAAATTGACCAGCACGATTCGCAACGGCGGAACCGTCGATCAACCACTGCCGGAGGAGGCGCGCCGTCCGCTTCCACCTACACTTCACCAGACGCTGCGATTGATCCTCTGTCACAGGTAAGCAAGCCGAACGCGTCCGCCGATCATCAAAGTTGATCGACGTTCCGGGCACGGTGCCGAGTCACCAGTAAAACCAAGTCTTTGAACATGGGCTGACAATGATTTCTCGCCCGAAAATCAGCATATCATTCAGCGAACGAACACGCAAAAGTCTATCCCTCACAAGTTGCTGGGTCGGGCCTCATCCGAGGCCGAAGCAGGAAGCCATGGCGGTAATACCTCAAAATCAGGTGGTCTTCAGGGTCAGTCTGGTTCAATTTTGAATGACCCCAAAACGAAAAAGTAAGTCCTTCGCGTGCCAGAGAAACATTTCATTCTCCTCGATCTTGGTCAGAGACCTTTCAAGTCACTCTTGTTATTCCGTGGCCTTCATGTTCTGTAAACCAGAATGTCTGTTCTGACCACAAGGGGGGGTTTCCGCAACTTTAGGAAAGGAGCTTCCTTATTGAGCCGCCTAATCCCTGGAAAGAAGAAGAAGAAGAAACAGAACCAGGCTCCAGGGGCAGCAGAAGAGGAGGAGGCCAGTGAGCCTGATACCCCGCGAATATCAATCGACAAGCTGAGCCCCATCGGGCTCGTCCCTCAGCATCCAGGACCGGCAAAGTACATTCGAAATCGAACGTACGGCAAAAAAGAGAAGGAGTTTAATCGAGTCTTTCTGGCTCAGGAGTTGTTTGTCGGTGGGAATACGTCTCCCCAGACCGCGGATCGACGAAAGTCATCTTCCTCAAGCAGCCCCAAGGATCCCCAAGCCGGTGGTGCTATCTGGGCTTTGTCGTTTTCAAAGGATGGGAAGTATCTGGCTGCTGCTGGGCAAGACCAAAAGGTCCGAGTGTGGGCAGTGATTTCCACCCCCGAGGAGCGAGGAGATGTTCGTCACCGGGAAGAGCCAACGCGGCCCACTGATCAGCCACCACATTTTCAAGCACCTGTATTCCACCCCCTTCCTTCTAGAGTGTTTGAAGGACATACAGGAACTGTAGTAGACTTGAGCTGGAGTAAGGTATGAGAAAAGAGGCCCGGCCAAAGCGGTTTCTATCTGTGATCACGGCACACGAGGAGAGCGAGCTGACACTTGGTGATAGAACAACTTTTTACTTTCCTCTTCCATGGATAAGACGGTCCGATTGTGGCATATCAGTCGGAACGAATGTCTCTGCACCTTTCTACACACGGATTTCGTCACATCTGTTCAGTTTCACCCCAAAGATGATCGATTTTTCTTGGCTGGCTCGCTTGACGCTAAGCTGCGCCTTTGGAGCATACCAGATAAAAACATCGCATTCGTCGCCACAGTACCTGATATGATCACCGCGGTATCGTTCACACCAGACGGGCGGTACGCCATAGCAGGGTGCTCAAATGGACTTATTAGTATTCACGACACAGAAGGGTTGAAACCGAGAGGCCAGATTCACAGTCGGTCACTTCGAGGGCGCAGTTCACGAGGGAACAAGATCACCGGCATTGATACGTTGGTTGATCCTGTAGATGATCCTCATGGCGAGATCAAGCTCCTAGTGACGAGCAACGATTCTCGCATTCGGCTATACAACTTTCACGAGCGAAACGTCGAAGCCAAGTTCCGCGGGAACGAGAATACCTGCAGTCAGATTCGAGCCAGTTTCACAGATGACGGCAGGCATGTCATTTGTGGAAGCGAGGATCGCAAAGCATACATTTGGCCCGTTGAGGGCAGACAGAATGACGACGATAAAAAGGCGGTTGAAGTGCTGGATACGCACTCCTCAATCGTGACTGTCGCTATTGCGGCCCCGACTTCGACTCGACAAATTCTGGATTTGACCGATGACCCCATCTATGACATGTGCAATCCAACGCCAGTGACCTTGGAGGGCGTTGATGAGCATTCACAGCAGTCTCGCCTTCAATCACACGCATCACCAGAAGAATCTTTAAGCAGTGACGGTGGACGTCGGTCGTCCGAGGCCCGAATCGCCCTGAATAGGAAAGAGGCCTATGAGTCGTCTAGCTATGCCGCCCGCTTCGGAAATTGTGCAGGGCACATCATTGTGACCGCGGATTACTCTGGCAAAATCAAGGTCCTGCGACAAGACTGCGCGTATCAGAAACGGCGGCACGAAAATTGGAGCGCCACTTTCGCCATTTCACGTCGGATTCTGCGCCGGTCGAATTCTCCTCGCAACAGCGTCGCGTCCGGTGGCGGCAAAGACTCGACTCACAAGACCACATCTGACCGCATTCTATCCTGGCGCGATTCCGTCGCTGGTCACGGCCGTAAAAGTAATGACGGCTCACGCCAAGGCTCCCGCACATCATCTCCACACCCTCGCCGTCGTCCAAATCTACTACCAAGGTTGTCGTCTCGGCCTTTCAGCTTAGCGCCTGAGGAGTCTCGCTCAGTCATGACACCTTCTGCGCCCCCTTCGCCAAAAGAAAAGACCCAGGATCTCGACAGGCAAGGCGACCCTCCCCTCATTCATGAACCGTCAAAAGAAAACCCAGAGCCCTATGAAAAGCCCGTCAGCTCTCGTGAATTTCTTGCAAACAACTTTTCCAAGGAGAACCCTCTCTGCTTGCAGGGTGACCACAGCTACGCATTCTGGAACAAGATCACACAAGGCGCCCTGGCCATCAAAGAACGCCAGTCAAACAAGCTTCAAGTCCCGAGTCGAATGACTTCCCGCAGTGAGCGCAGTGGAAGTGTTGCGACGAGTCATCTGAGCAGCGAAAATGCTTCCTCAATAGCAGGGGAGGAAGACATTTTGCGGTGTCAGCAATGCCAAGGGTCGAACTTTCGGGCTGTGAAAGCGAGAGATGGTGGCCAGAGGTTGATATGTGCGCAGTGTAATTTGGCTATCGAGTGAAAGCCGACGGGTTTTCATAATTTATTACTTATCACGACCAAAACCTGTACATTAGTTGATGCGTCGACGGCCTTTTTGATACGTGTTGAACCCCAAACGATTTGCCTCGTGGTCGAATCTTCGCGCGACAAAAAAGAGGCATGATTGAGTAATTGCAATGTGAACGTACTGTGAGCCATGATTAAGATTCTCATTATATCAGTCACATACTAGGTAGAGAGGTCAATCATGACTTATACGAGCTTGGTGCTGTACATCAACGATGTGGTAGGGGATCAAGCCCACGGCTGCCAAGACCTGGAAAAAAGTCCGCCGCTAAATGAAGGCGCCAAACTAAACTAACCTCCGTGTCCGTCCCCAGACGCATCCTCACCTCTCCTACTTGTAGGGCCACACACACACACACACACACACACACACTGCACCTCCTCCGCAGCATCCCCGAACCCACCCTTTTGCGCTGAACTTACGCAACGAGCTCAGCGTCTTCTTCCAATTCGAGTGCCGCTTCCAATCTGTGCAATTGAGGCCTTAAAACATCTTCTCCCCAAGAAAGAGGCACTTTTACCCCGCGTGCGCGCACTATCTCCGTCTACACGACCATCTCCCAAAAGAAAGGGGAAAACGAAGTCTGAAGAAAAGGGAGACATACTGCGAGACTTTCTTGTACGCAGATTTGAAACGATGCCGTACTTTGCCACCTCCCAGGCCTTCCTGGAGCAGTCCGCCCAGCTATTAAAGGCATACCCTGATACGGTACGTTGGCAGTGAGGATTGAACTTGGCCCCTTCTGAGTTTCCTCGTGTGATGCATTTGCATTCTTGTATCATGCTTTGGCTACTATCTGCGATCGGTGTGATCAGGCTCCTAGCGGGCTTGACAGCTCTGCTCTTGCACCGAGGAAGTCGGAGGTCATCCATCCCAAAGGAAAGCACGAGGGACTCAAGAGATGCAACCTCGAGAGAAATGAGAAGAAAGGGAGACACACCATTATGCACACACACACACACACACACACACACACACACACACACACACACATAAAACCACCCTTGCCAAATCAGCACTAACCATGATTCAATTCCAAACCACCGTCCAGACCCGGATAACAACAAAATACCACTTCCCCACCGAAACACCAGGCGCCCGCTCCAAGCGCGCAAAGTCCCTCGCCCGCAAAGAATCCTCCGCCGCACCCTCGACACAGTCTCAAGCTCAAGCACAGCCATCCGCGCCCGTGGCCGCTCTCACTCTCAAAACATACAACCCCACCGCCGGCATCGTGCTCCAGTATCAGACGAACAAGATCGCCGAGGTCGGTCGGTTGATGCTTGGCTTAGGAAAGTTGGCGAGTGGTGCGGATCTGGAGAGTCTCGGTTTGTCGGCGGGATCGGCGGCGGCGGCGGCGGCGGCGGGGGGCGATGTGGAAATGGTGGATGCGCCGGTTGAGGAGGATGCGGCTGGTGCTGGTGCTGGTGCTGGTGCTGGTGCGACTGCAACTGCAACTGCGGCGGGGGGATCGAACGGGAAGGGTCAACAGCAAAGTCAAGGAGGGAAAGGCAAGAAGAAGGGTGGCAAGGGAAAGCGGTAGTCAAGTCTGTCTGATTGATGGGTTGAATCTTGAAAGGCGCCAAGGGAGAATTGTTATTCATCAAGCGACATTAGACGGCGGGCTATGTCGAACATACCAAAATTAGGGAAGCTGCTTTTCACGCGCACTGAGGTAGTAACTGCCATGACTGAGAACACATCGACGAGTGTCTTCGAATTGATGTAGGTACTCTCAAGCTCGGAGAGGATTACACTTGAAAATGCATTGTGGGTGAAAAAAACAAATGGGTTCAATCTCAAAATGATTGCTATATTCTTTACATTGAACACTCAGGTACCTCACACACATTGGAACAAGTTCTTCAATCCGAGAACGATTCAAACACACCGCCATCCAGCCCATATTAGACAGTGCAGGTCATGACTTTTTGAGATCCGACCTGGCAAACAAAAGTAGGAGACAACGGAGAATAGAAATAGAATAGAAACCCAACACCTGAACCATGCGTAGCCAGCAAAGACAGGACAAATCCAGACAATAAAATAGACAGGTGACATGAACAAAACAACGTGGAATCGTGGGAGTAACAGTGCGAGCCAGGCTCTACAGCTGAAAGGGTATAAAACATTCAAAAGGGGAGTGGGTCAGAGGGGGGAGGGGGGAGGGGCGCAGAAAGGGAAACCCCAAAAGAAATCACAATCCTCCCAGAGGCGGAAGAAACAGCGTCTAGAAATCCTCGTCGAAGCTGAGGCCATTGTTGTCCTTGGGAGTCTGCTCACCATCGGATGAAGCGGTAGTCTCCTTCTTGGTGGAGGCCATGACACCGGCCTTTTGGTAGTCACCGACACGCTTCTCGAAGAAGTTGGTCTTGCCAGCGAGCGAGATGGACTCCATGAAGTCGAAGGGGTTGGTGGCGTTGTAGTACTTCTTGTTACCAAGAGCAACCAGCAGACGATCGGCCACAAACTCAATGTACTGGCACATGAGCTTCGAGTTCATGCCCAAAAGGGCGCAGGGCAGGGCATCGGTGAGGAACTCCTGCTCGATACCGACAGCTTCAACAATGACATCCTCAACAACCTGCTTGCTGGGGCGGTTGTTCAGGTGAGAAAACAGCAGACAGGCGAAGTCGGTGTGGAGACCCTCATCACGAGAGATCAGCTCGTTGGAGAAGGTCAGACCGGGCATGAGACCACGCTTCTTGAGCCAGAAGATAGAGGCAAAGGAGCCCGAGAAGAAGATGCCCTCAACGGCGGCAAAGGCGACGAGACGCTGCGCAAAGGTGGATTCGCGGTCAGAGATCCACTTCATGGCCCAATCGGCCTTGCGTCTGATGCAGGGGACTGAAAGTTGGATCATTAGCGTCTGAAAATATGACAACCAAGAACGAGGAAGCTTTGTTTTTCACGTACTGGTGTCAATAGCATCGAAGAGATAGGTGCGCTGCTTGGGTTCCTTGATGTAGGTGTCGATGAGGAGGGAGTAAGTCTCAGAGTGAATGTTCTCCATCATGATCTGGAAACCGTAGAAGCAGCGGGCCTCAGGGACCTGAACTTCACCGCTGAACCGCTCCAACAAGTTCTCGTTGACAATGCCATCGGAGGCGGCGAAGAAAGCCAAGACGTGGGAGATGAAGTAACGCTCATCATCGTTCAAGCGGTTGTGCCAGTCGTGCAGATCCTTTGACAGATCGATTTCCTCCGCGGTCCAGAACGAGGCCTCGGCCTTCTTGTACATCTGCCAAATCTATGGAAGTAAAAGAGATGGACCTGTCAGCTCTTATCTCGCAACGAACGGAATCCATTGAAAAGAATTAACTGAACGCGTTCGATCCACTTTACGCGTAGACGCGTCAGCGACGTGACTGACCTCATGATACTTGATGGGGAAGAGAACGAAACGGTGGGGATTCTCCTGGAGAAGCGGCTCGCTGGCCTCCATCTCCTTGATACCGGGAGCCACCTTGGGGACTTCCACGGCCTTCTCCATAGGCTTCGTGACAGTCATGTCGGCAGCCTGGAAGGCAGTGGGGGTGTTCTCTTTGCCAGCGGACTGGAAATCGAGCTTCTTCATGGGGGAATCGTTCATCTTGAGGTTTTCGAGGGAAGACGCAGCCTAGAATGAGAGTGTGTGTCAGTTCTGACGGTCTTTTCTTTGAGACGCGTCGCTTGGGTGCAGAGGCGAGATGGTGACATCACGTACCTGCTTCGAGGGAGTGACTTGGGAAGCCATTGCGTGATTATGTGATGTGAAGGTTGTGATCAATGGAAGAGCAAGTGAGAAGGACAGCACAAGCACCACAATCAAAGTCAAGATCAGAAGCTCTGAGGAAGTTGAAGTGGAAGCGTGAAAGAAGGGGGGGGGAGAAGAAGAATCAATTAAGTAGGCCGCGGACGTGAATCTTTTAGCGCGACGGGTGCGCCGGTCACGTCGCACGTGACCACGCGTCCGGCCGCGCTGACCTCAGCAGCCCCTCCGGCGGGCCGGAGGAGGTCGCGCGGGCGGGACGCAAGGCGCGTCGTCGTCGGTTGCAACCAACTAAATAATTCATCTGCGGAATTACGGAGATGCCAATGCTCCCAAGCCCAAGCGCGGTCTCATCCCATCATGCCACCGTTTCCCAGCAACTTCCGGCGTTCTGAAAGAGCAGCCGACCCATGACTGTGTGGCCTGGGGTTTCATTTTGGTAGCCGCGCCGACTACGTTGCAGTATGCTGCATTCAATTGAAGTCTACTACGCGTTGAATACAGTTTAGGAGGATCTCTTGATGATTGGCATTGCGACTGCGGCCTCCACAAAGCCCAGCCAACATGATCTGAACTGGTCTCCAACTGTATTACCCGCTCCTTTTCTTGTTTGTGGCGCCTCTGAATAAGGCACAAACCTTGTAAATCGATGGACGATGATGAAACGCGCCAGAGAATTCGCCTCTTCCAGTAAGACCAGTTCGAGCTATGACCAGATCAACAACACGCGCCCGGACCTGCAGGACGCGTCGGTCCCTTAGCGGCGCAGCTGTGCGAAGGTCCCACTTGGGTTGACGGGGCGAAGAAGGATCCATCTTGATCAGGATCAGATAAGCCATGAGAAAGACGATGCGTGGGGCGTCGACGCGTTCATCGGCGCAAAGAAGACGCGCGCTGTCATAGACCTGGCTGGGCCGAGAGTATTCGATCTGCTCACATTTCAGTGATTCCATGAGATAGACAGTTTGTTCAACAATCCCTGTGCTACTGGAACAGTGGAAATCTGAAAGTAAAACACACGGTCCTGGCGAGGTACATCTGAGGAGTCGTCAGACTACTCATGTAATTCTCATGATTTCCACAATGCGGCAGGCCTTTCAATGACAGCGCGGATGAAGCTATGCACGTTGTGATAGACGCCTTGTTCATCACTGATCTTGAGGAGAACTCGTAAATCATCTGGGTCAAAGGGGCCCACGGCCTCCTCCCGGAAGAGGTGTCCATTGATCGAGATCGCGTCGAGGATCGGGAACCGATTACCTACGACTACCTCATCATTTCAAATTGGTAGAATCAAGGTGCGGGGCTCTCAATGAAACACCATCACGACATTCCTTCCTCACGAGTCACAGATTTCTATTCATCATCGTCAAATTCAACTGCGATTCTTTCACAAAGTGCGCAGGCATCGTAGAAAAATGGACGTGTCCACGGCGCAACATCTCTCTTCCCATGGAAGACTTGAGACCCACCGACATGGAACGTCTCACGGCTGACCTTGAGCTGTGTGAGAGAAACGAGGGTGAAATTGCTCGGGAGCGGGAGAAGTGCGATCTCGCCTGCGGGTGGCTAGTATACTATATCAAAATATATAAAAGAATGAAGAGTGAGGGGGTGAAAAGTGCGAAAGCAATCAAGGCACCTTGGAAGGTGATAGAGAAATCTCCTTCTTGACCTGTAGACTTTTTTCATACTCTTCTTTCACTCGGTCTGCGCTCCAAAAATATCATCCCCAAAAATCTTCCAGAAAGATCCTGCAAAGGGACCATGCTAGTAGATCATCCAAAGAAGACGTATTGTATGCTGACCTATTCGGTAAAGGAATTACATGGGTGCTTAGAAAATGGCGTGAAACCTGCCCGCTGTGCGCTGATCTACGTGCTTTATAAACGTATAAATGTAGAAATGCATCAATACCGAGGGTCAATACCTAGTGAATTCTTCCTTAAGTGCGCTTCTATCAGCCACTTCCTATGATTCCACTGATGTTCATTCCTGCATTTGAGACGGTGTAGAGAGTGGTGTCTAGATACATGTTAGTCGATGCAGCCTTCAAGACCGCAATAACAAGTGCATAGGCGTTGGAAACAGCTCGATTTATCAATAGTGTCGGGCTGTGCCATGAGACCAACCTGTAATAGTGAAAATCGACGCAGTAATTTGCTCCATCATCAAAGGTGTCAAGTGTCAGACACCCCTCGGCACTGAGCATGTGCATCGCTGTCAGCGGATGACAAGGAAATTTGGAAACGTTGGGGCCTGGGTAATTCAGGAATTTATACGTAGTATGTTACATGTAAGACTGTCTCATACTAGGTTCACGTCAGCACCAAATTTCCCTCTATTCGATTGTCTACGTATCCCCAATACCCTAGTCATTGATTGCATCCAACCATAACACATGCACACTATCATCCGTTGGAATTCTCGCCATGTCTCCTCAAATCATCACAATCAACTACACTCCCGAAAACCGGCTCTCGCTCCAGGACGCGACCACCAAACAACCGCTCGGGAGCTTTCGGCTACTGCGTGAAGGGGACCGCCAAGTGCTGGTCAAGTTCTGCAATGAGGCCTTCTCAAACGAGCGGGTGGGATCAAGCATGGGTGAGAAGGTGCAGGGCATTGTCAGGCGACCGTCAACAACGGGTTCGTGGAATGAACTCGGCGATGTTGAAGATGAAGCGAGGCACAAAGTGGTACATTGGTACGACCAGGTCTCATGATATCTTCCGTACCTGCAGCGACAGGAATCGACTCGTGGTGATCCGTCATGGAGCTGTTGCTGACGACCGGCTTGGCAGGAGCCGTGTGTCTTGTCGTGTATGCCCTCGAAAGTGTGAGGAGGATGCTTGGGATTGTATATTCATCTTGGCGCTGATGGGAGTTGCCGAGGTCAACAGGTTGAGGATGATGGAGTCTGGGTGAAACTCCGAGGTAGGTATTCAGTAAACAGGTAACACAATTGACAGGATGCTATACAGTATATCGCTATCTAGGTAACCTGAATCAAGTCACACTCATTAGACCTCCGTTATATCGGTTCAAATGATATGATAACGTGTCGTGTCTTGATCTGAAGCATGGGCGGCGTTTGAGTTGTACCCTGCATCTTCTCTTCCACATGTGGTCCCGTCGCACGAAGTGATTGATAAGGACGATCCCCGGGGTTGGTACATCATGCAGCATCAGGTTGAGCAGCAGTGAGTGCAGTTCAAGTGGACCATCATGCTTATATGGCCTCGAACAATTTGGAATTGCTCTGCGGACTATCTTGCCGGGCTGCCAGCCGTCCCAGATCTCGCCTGATGTCCTTGACTTGTCTACGTTTGGATGTTATTTGAGTTGGCAATCTATGAAGTGAGCCTCTACGTCATTTCCATCCAGACATTTGGGGTGCGATCAGATCTGTATGCAAGTGTCCCCGAAGGAGGTCTGACATACATGCGACTGGTGGATTGGATTCTTCACGCCTGACAACAACCATGTGGGGGACACAAATCCATGTGGCCTTGATAAGATGATTCCAGACACTTATTGAATCTGGAGATGTTTTCTCTTTGGATCGAAGCCTGCGTCGGTTCCGGCCGCCTGGTCGGTTTGATCCGACATGCGCCAGGACCTCCATGGCTCCTGAACACCTCAACCTGTTGGATCCCCGTCTCGCCAAGGTCGAGGTCAGTCAAGATGATCTCGTGGACCACCGGACACTGGCGGTTGATGCAACGTCGGACCGAGGCAATTATTGACCTGCTGTGGGGATCGAGGTTCATGAACCATCGGGAGACAATGGCGTGGTGAGGATCACCTTGGCGTCACGAACTTCGTGTCATGGCATCCAGGATCCTGCACCGCCGATTTTTGGAGTCCACCAAGTTCGGTAACCCCGTCCGATGCGGGTCCCGGAGGTCAGACCCTTTCTGGTTCCCCACGAACCTTTTGACAAGTTGATCTCGAACGGAGGGGACGATCACCCGTTTCACCTGGCCTGATGACCTATCGGTTCCAAGCCTCGTGGGGTCGTCAACCACTGGCTCCACGTGTGACTGGTACCATTCTGATGTCGTGATCTCGAACTCCTGGGTTCTGCTCTGAAACGCTCTGAAACAGGACCCCGTCGAAACACCCAAGAGTGTCGAACGGGCATCACCGGTATGTTTGTTCCCATCTTGGACCCGCGATTCCATGAACTATTGAATATCTGACAGGTCAGGCGAAAGCTGGGATCGAGGGCCCGGCCCCCGGTTCCCTCGGGGCTGAATCGTCCCTCTCGTCCGGAGTTTGCTTCTCTGCCAGCCAAAAAAAAAAAAAAAAAAAAAAAAAAAAAAAAAAAAAAAATATAAGGAGGCCCCAGTACGCTGCGGGGATGGATATACAATCAAGACATCTTCAGTGGCATTCAGGCATTCAGACTACCCCAGAAGCCAAACTTTGCGGTCATCATGAAATTTTCCCTTCTCGCACTCGCCCTTGCAGGCCTTGGAGCTGCCACCCCTGTCACTTTGATTCAACGCCAGTGTGAGTGTCTATGGAATCTGTCCCTATTAGAAGATCATGGAGCAAGCTAACTCGTTGCGATGTTTCACCTTCAGTTGGTGCCCTCTCAGGCAACGAACTCCGCGAGGGAGAATGTCAGCCCGTGACTTTCATCTGGGCTCGCGCATCCACCGAGCTGGGGTTGATGGTAATTATCCCTCGAAGCAGATTCCCTTACGGTCACCTCCCGTGCTCACCTCATCGCAACAGGGACAATCCGTCGGTCCTGCGGTTTGCAGCGGCTTGAAATCCGCCCGATCCAGCGGTGTTGCATGCCAGGGCGTTGGGCCGCAATATACCGCCGATCTACCCAGCAATGCCCTGCCAGATAATACTTCGCCCCAGGCCATCGATGAGGCCATTGGCCTTTTCAAGCAAGCCGTGCAGAAGTGTCCCAACACTCAGATTGTCGCTGGTGGCTACAGTCAGGGTACCGCCGTCATCGATGGCGCGATCTCCCGACTCCCCGATAATGTCAAGGAGAAGATCAAGGGGGTCGCCCTCTTCGGCTACACCCGCAATCTCCAGGAACATGGGCAGATCTCCAACTTCCCCAAGGATCCGGTCAAGGTCTACTGTGCTGTGGGCGACTTGGTCTGTTCCGGGACATTGATCATCACTGCAGCCCACTTCACGTATGTGGCCAATGCCGCTGATGCTACCCAATTCCTCGTGTCGAAGCTGGCTTCTGCCTGAGGCGATATCTTTTCTGGTCCAAGATCGCGTCTGAAGCAGGGATGCTTGGACAAGACAAGTAGGGCTTCACGCTCATGGACGTCATTGGCTTCCTTTGATTGCATTTTCAAATTCCGGGTGAATCGAGTTTAACCTGTATCTAGTAGTACTGCCTACTGATGTGAGAGTCCAGGGGAGAATCATTAATCTCCCAACTGTTGCCGTGGAATCTACCAAACCTTCTTCCTTCTCTGATTTGGTATAAGCTCCACATCACATCGACTCTGTCTCCCTCGATTTTCTCTGCTTTTGCTCGTCGACGGTCAAGGATTCGCAGTACAATTCTTCCCCTTCAGTTGAACCCTACCCAGTGTGTGAGTATTGATGAGAAACTTACCCCGACCCCTTAGATGAGCATATGGTCCATCATGACCATCCACAACGGGTATTTCGGGTGACTTGATAGACAGAGTCGGCAAAATGACACTATCGGCGATGCTGACAGTCCAAGAGGGAAGAGGGCCACGCCCACGGCGGAAGCTACCCTACGCCGCAAAGTGAATCGCCATTGTGAACCTCGGACGACCTGTGAGAAGCCCAATTAGATGAAATATATACGGGTCCATACATACGTTGAATCATACGCCGGTCTGAGGGTCCAGTGTTTGGTCTGAGTATTGATAATGTAGACAGTGGAAAGAAGCTGAGTTGAGTACGGTCAAAGACCTGAGGTGTTTCATGGGGGGGGGGGGGGCAAAAACTCCTCTCTTTTTCCTCTAAGCCTTCATAGTATCCGCGATCACATGCCAGGTTTCGTGCTTGACGATCTGACAACACATGACACCATTGCCAAAATGAAAGGTGTGACGGGGCCTTTCTCAAAATTTCCAATTTCAATCACAATCAAGCTGGCGCGAAGCAATGACCTCCTGAATCTGAATTTCGTGGTCACCTCCAAGACGAGTTCCACGATTCATCACGTCATGCTCGTGTGTATTCGTGTATCTTTTGCAAAGATCGTTACACCAAGCCGATGATGATCTTGATATATTACGAGTGTGTCCATGCTGGTGATGCGATAGGTAAAAGGACAACACTGATGGAATGCAGCTACAGTCGGGGCAGCTGCACAACGTGAGAGAGGGATGAGGTGTGAGATTGCTCCTATGGAGAGATTCCATCTAGACTATGGACTGCGGTGTGCGGCAGTATCACATGCCATACCAACAAACACGTGAGCGACCTGGAGAGAAACATGAAGATGGAATGGAAAAGAGGCGCATCCACATCATGTTAATGGTTCTTTGCGATCCAGTCTATTTCATGCATACACTCGTCAACTGTCCCCCTCTTGGTCGAATACACGAGTTCTGTGGCAACTTACCGGGACGTCAGATTATTGAAGGCTAGATCGTCTGACTAAATGTCTAGGTCCTCGCTATCCCAGATCAAGAACAACCCCACGATACACGCAATGATTCGGAGAAACTTTTCCATGGTGCTCAACCCACTCAGCTGAATTCAGTCAAGCAGGAAAAGAGACTCCAATCCCGAATGAAAACTTAGACTCTATGTCACCTGTCTTAGGGGATTAGGTGTTGTTATGGGGCCTTCCGTGGGGCGAATAGGCGCTTTCGAAAACATCGCGCTGAGGCCTTTATTGAATTCTTCCATCTTCTCTGCGGAACCCTCAACTTGTATCATGACGCGTTGGGGTCAAACCGATAGTGTCTTGGTACTAATCACTCGGACCTTGACAAGAGGTGTGCATAGTCCTACAAGTTATTTCCTCATGCTTATTGGTGCCATTGCTAGCGATTGAAACCTACTTTTCGATGAGCTTGCGTCTACCAACCGGAGTCATTGAAGTCTAGTCTCCCGACGCGAGTGGGATCTGGAACAGACACCGCTAATTATCGGTACGCTTTTGATGGACCCCCGTGATCTCACAATGCAGATCAGAGCGTGGCCGTCTCATACAGGTAAAGCACCGCAAGTTTGACGTCTCGCAAGTTGAAGCTTCGCTGATCTTTGGTCTCATCGACGGGTATGAGGTACCTTGGTCAGTTTTCCTCGGCTTCTTTGCTTGTGAATCCTGCACTAGAGCCGGTATTGGATTCTTCCATGAGTCTGGGGCTACCTGGTACCCTGAAAGATTGTCACGAGTGTGTTCTTTCCCCTGATATTCTAGATCTCCTGGGTCATTAGGACGAGTAGTAAGCTGATAGCTCTCAAGACATCTGATTTTGACAAGATGGCCCACCGTGGAAGTGGCCGTGTCCTTACTTTGGCGGAATGGATCAGAATACAACCTTTGGGCCCGTCCTTTTGACTGCGCTTTATGCAAGTCCATCATTCAGCTCATATGGCAGAGTTCAAGGCCAGCAGTAGAAGTTGTCCACCCTCCTTCCAATTCTCCGGATAACGCGATGTTTATCGGGATTGCCCCCCGCACAATTCGGAATGGACCACACGGCGTACGAGTCTTATTTGAGAGAAACAAAAGCTTGCCAACTTGGGAATTGGCATTTGTTCGATCCTGCTGAAGATTGAGCCACCATGTCTTTCATCACTGTACACCCGGGACTCACTTGGATGGCGGATGGGCCTGACTCAATTAGATGTCTTGTCCTGCACCAGGAAGCAAAGATACCTGTCCCGCTATCTGACGAGTACAGGCATAGGTAGTAGTAAGTAACTAGATATGGTGTCCTTCCTCCAGCCGACTACGCCAATTATAGTGAGTGGGTGCTCTGAGCCTCTCTGCTGGGGTCAATGCGAGTACATAGCCACATCCATTCATACGTTTTGGAAAAGTCAACACAGGCCCAACCACGCTCGTTATCCAGGTTCCAGTAGTCAAGAATTTGAGTTTCAGCCTAGAAAATGCAGGACACATAATTTTCACATCTTGCTACAACATCATAATGGAGCCATGTCACAGTCTCAGGGAGAAATAAGGGTCAGTGGAAATACTCGATCCATGACAGGTGACAGGTGACATGCAACACGAGAAAAAAAACTGTCATGATGGCTGCTCCTTGCGAGTCACCCTATCATGCGAGTGATGGGAACTACAGTACGTGGAATGTACAGCCATGCAGTGCAGTCACCTCCAGATGTCGTGTTTACCGTTCATCCCCTCCCAAAGTCCAAGTGAACCTCAGCAAGGCAACCACGCTAAGCTGGATGCAGATCGAAACATCGAGGCACATCGAGGACAAGTTTCTTTGGATCCGGTCGTGGCTCGTGATTTGTAGCTTCAGGCTGCGGATCACTTCAAGTGGGATGTTGATTCCACTGTATATCGTACGCCCAGATCACCGGTACTCACCAGAGACGATCCGCCATTCTCGGGCACGTTCGGGCACCCTGAGAGACAAAAGCGGACTGAATTCTGGCGATCATCAAGTCCTAGTTTGACTAGCGAGACTCGTTGGCGGAGGCCACTATGATGCATGAGAAAAAAAAAAGCAAAATTCACCATTCAGCCAATCCGATGTTTGTCCCTCGGTCGAATTCAGAACTTGTCTAGGCTGGATTTAGTACTCCTTTCCGGGTCCCCGGGGATATGGGTGCGACTATACTTGCTATCCAGCACTCACAATGTCATTCTTTGGACTGTATTGTATACTGGTAGGTACTATAGCGTGCTGGGTGAGTCACATGGTCTGCCAGTGTCCCGTCATGATGAAGAAGCAACTTTGCGCTCGAGGGTGCGGCTGTAAGTTCATGCAAAGCAGAGAAGCGGCTCCGTACCCTTTGGCGTACCCTTTGGCGAGTCCGAATCTAGTCTACGGGGTTTGCACTGTAGTGTACGCTTGGGGATGAACATTGCACAGTCCAAGTTGCCCTTGCGCACGGGCAGCGACAAAAGTACCAAAGCGGTTCACCGCGAAATGTACCTGACCCAAGAGGGCGGAGTAGTTACCCAGTTCTTCCTGTCTGGTGGGATTCCCCTCCGACAGACCCGATCCCATGGTGCTGGAAATTCTTAATTCATTTCACACATCAGACGCCTTAAAAAGAAAACACATCGATCCACAGAACCGGGAGAGCAGTATGAATCCTCTAACCTGACGGCTAAATGGACAGCCGTTGGTCAATCTGGACCACCGTGAACCCCCTGAAACCAAAGTCATCAATTGTGCTCGTCTGATGGACTAGTCTAATGTGCATCAGCTGCAATCCATGTCAGTGGACCACTGACACCAGACTCGACCAGCATGACGTAAATTCAAAAGCATGTCGAGCGCGGCATTCAATGAGAGCAGCGCTGTCAGAGCGCCTTGCGAACGGGAAAATGTCATGCCGGACAACAACTTCCGGCTTCCCCTCCTTTGCCCATTGGACATTGGATGAGACTAAGTGGGTGAGATGCGCCGTGTTGGGCGACGCGCGCGCGCTGCGTCGAAATTGGCGAGATTTGCTGCTGGAGGTGCCCGTGCTTTTGATTGCCCCGACGATCTCCGTCTCGGAGATGTGTGCGTTGATCGCTGGATTGACGCGGCTTCTCAGTTTAGTCACAAGGCCATGATGGCCCCCGGCGATGTTTGTGAATTAGGCCTCCCGCATATGTCAGGAAGGGTCGGCTGTTAGGATCTGCAGTAGGCTCGGTTCGCTGACCTGCAGTTCCAGGATACTTTCGGCCGGTGCACGAACTTTTGCTACCAATGTTATGGTATTATGGCCTCTCCTTGTGTCTTTGGAAAGACGCCAGAAAGGTGACCATAAATACTTGAGACCTTTCGACAATCTCATTTTGCCTGATAATCTTTAAGATCTCCCATTGGGGAAAAAAAAAAGAGACCATTTTTGCAACCAGACTCGACTCTTCAAACGACTCAGACGGTGTCTTTCAAGGAATCATGTCTCGGGCAGTCGATACATGCATGTGGTACGACCTCGGTAGTCAGACAGAGATCATGTCTTGCGACAATGATCATTCATACTATTCACTCAGTCCCTCGACCCAGGCCTCATTATCTGAAAGCTTCCATTTGTGTCTCGGGAATGAAGCGAGATCACAGTTGGGAGCTTTACCCGATATTAGCGAGAATGAATCGACTTTCATCCCAGACCTCATCAACTCATCTGGCCTCGACTGCATCGCAGATATTCACAGAGACACGGAGATGAGCACCCAGTTGATACTGGCAGCGAAGAAGTCTTCGGAAGAGGTACTTTCATATCTATATCTGGGCTTCTTTAAGAAATCCAAGCTCTGACAGGCTCCCGTCGCGATACACAGGTCCCCAGTTACATCGGAATGAAGAGTCATTTCATGACTTCTTCAGACACAGCCGGTATCAGATGCCCTGGCCAGAAACAACCATCAACTTCAAGCCCTGTCGAGCAGCCACATTCGAGGCCGAAATTCCCCCAGTCTCGGTATGTAGCTGCTTGGATTCGCATGTTGTTCTCAATTTTCAGCTGCGGAAAATGCTGACGCCATCCCTGAAGAAACCATCTCTCGACACCGGCCCGAGTGTGGTACTGCACATGGGAAGGTTGTCAATACAGGGGAACTTTCAGTCGAGCGACGACTCTCAAACGCCATGTCGAAAAGATCCACATCAACCCCAAGGCTCATCCATGTCCGTATTGTGAGAAGAGATGCAATCGGGCGGATACTCTGAAGCAGCATCTTCGTGACGCTCATCATCTTCATTGACGTGGGCGTCGGTCTGGGATGGTTTGTGATGTTTCTTTATGAATGCGGATACCTTTTGCTTTTGCGTTGCTGAGTTTTTCTTCTTCTTCTTCTGCTTCTTCTTCTTCTTCTTCTTCTTCTTCTTCTTCTTCCTTTGCTTTCCCCAAAGTTTGCCTTCCAATTTACTTTTCTCTTTCTTGGAATCGGGATGGTACTAGATCAGAAATGGAAAAGAAATAACATTTCAATTATTCAAGTCGTGATCATTAAATACGCAGGCTATTCCAACATGTATGCAAAAACAAGCACAAAGTCCAATATGCAATCCAGTCATCATTCCATCCTTCGCACAGCACGACCCTCCTCACTCCATCGGCCACAAATGGTGTGTGACACAAACCCGCCGACTCGCCATCTTCGACCCACGAAGTCTCCCCCTTCGGCATGTCTGACGCGATAAAGCGGACTCTGAAACTGATTTCTGCTAGCAGCACGCAAGGCATCGCCTGTATTCACAACCAGACAGTCCTCACGGGGCGCAATGCCCGCCCATCCGTCGGTCTCCGAGTCCCAGTATTCCAACACTTCTTCCTCGCAGTATCGTAGCGTCATGGAACTGCCGTCGACGAATCCGCCCACGGGGGACTCGTCGCGCTGTTCTTCCGAGGAGCAGACGAGCTCGTCCACGGTCATTTCAGAGCTCGACAGATCGTGATCTGCGTGAAGCGAGCTGATATGTTGACGGACTTGCTCGTTGCCGATGAATGGGGAGAGGGTACGGATGAGACGGTGGGTAATGGCGTGGGTGTACTCTTTGACAAAGTCGAGACTCTCATCGTCCAGCGTCGAGACCAGATCGTCTTCTTGGAAGGAACTGTCGGAGATGCAGGATGACTCGGTGGAGACGAACGAGCCCGAGCTGGACTCGGTGTCGCTCGTTGCCGGGCATTTCTCCTGGTCACGCACGTCGGCGGATTGAGAGAGATACGCTCTACGCTGGCGGTAAAGTTTGCGAATCGCGTCAAGGTATGATTTGCCGTTGAAATACTTTGTCTGGCCCGACAGATCCAGGTAGAAAGATCCTGGATCCTGACATGATCGGAGAAGCTTGGACAGTTCAAGGGCGTCTTTTTGGAGCAGGCCAACAAAGTTGATCACCTCAAGAGGAGTGGATGGGGGCTTTTCGCCCTTCAGCACGATGAGAGCACTTGTAGTGGTGGCGGTTGCCATTTCTAGAAGATAGGGTAGTGAAGATTTAGAAGGTCTCAAAAAATAACAGCAACAAAATTTGATTGATTGTTAAAAAACAAGAAACAAAAAAAGCCCTCGAGGTAGGTCAACAATGCCTTTATTTATAACCTTTTTTCTTTCTTTCTGCTCCCTCGACATCCCGCGTGCAGAGCTGCAGCAGTCAGTAGTGTGGTGCAAAGCACTAGTGAATCAGCGCCAGTGACATTCCCCTGCCCAAAAAGGGTAAGTGAGCACGCGCCAGGGTGAGACGGGTGGATTCTCCGATAAGCGAGCTGACCTCTCGATAGGCCACAGATTGACAATCCCCTTGTGCCTCGTCGAGCGCAAACGGCGCGATAACTCTAATTAGTTAAGCTTCATACAGCCGACATACACTGACGGCGTTGCCACAGCGAATCAGACGAGTTGCGCAATACTGCCGAAATGAACTCTGCAGCCGAGGGAGGATTTCTGAGTGCCTATTGATCCTTTTACCCACGGCCTTCTCCACTGCGCCTGGAATGGTCGATCACAGAAGAGTGCCAGGATAGAGAAAAGGCGTTATCGCGAAAGGATTTTGCTCACGTGCCCACAGACGTCGAGGCGAAAACGGTCGCAGCAACCGGAGTTCAAACTAAAAAAAGTAAAGTCTGTTTCGGGTGTCAACAAGAGTTGCATATTCGTATAGTCGGGCGGAAACGGTCCAGGCCTCCAGCGGCCGACAGAAGCGTTTCCACCAGGAAGGATCTCGATCTCACCGCGATGAGAAACCCTACAGAAGTGAAAGATCCATGAAAAAAAAAAAAAAAAAAAGAAATCATTTCCACGACTCGCAAGTTTGACTAAGAAGAAAACATCCGATAACTGAGCATTCACACAGTAGTACGTGGCGCATCGCCATACAGGGAGCACGAAGAGGAGAGAGCGATAATGGATTTGGCCCCATTTTCCCGAAGCGAAAGCTTGCCGCATATGGCAATTCGTATTCGATTCCAAATCGAGAACGGTTTCTGGACTCTCGAGTTCGGACTCGTTTAGTTCCAACACTCTAGGGTTTTTCTGGCTGACAAGCCTACCTAGCGATTGGTAGGTGCTATCCTGTCAGTTTTTTTTTTTTTTTTTTCTTTTTCTTTTTCTTTTTCTTTTTCTTTTTCTTTTCTTTTTCTTTTTCTTTTTCTTGGGCTCGGACATGTGCCCCAAACTGCAAGTTGACCGTCAAGGTCGTTTGCTGGGGTCTTATCCGCTTGCTGTCGGTTTAGGCTCCGCAGCGACGGTCCAAAATCAACGACAATCAGATCCGTTTCTAATCCCCGCCCACCCGTCTTTCTTAGGCATCCTCCGCCCAATACCCACTCTTTGGATCCCCAAAGAACTAGGCTTACCGCACGAGCCCCCACGGGCAACGGAACCGTAACCTGCGCCTCCCACGAGGTGCTCTGCAGGGACACAACGCTCACAAGCATCTGCGAGCCAACTCTCCACCTTGCAATATCTATATTTGGGTGCCTCGTCGCATGTAATGGGACTGTTGGTGCACCGAGCAAGAATCTCGAGACTGGGTCACTGGGCAAACCCCAACTCAATTGACTAGTAACTTGCGCCAGTTCCGCGGTTGTCGAATAGTCCCACATCACGATCCCCCTGGCATTGTGGTTGAGACTGAGCATAGTCATGCTGACTTCCTCGTCCGCCGTCGAATAACGCGACCAGAAGGTCTCATTATCAAAAGCCATGGGCACCCCCCCCCCCCCCCCCCCCCAAGAGCGGCTTTGGGACAGAAGACACCCAGGATTGATATTCGGAGAAACGGTCGAGGTGCACGGAGATATCTTGCAGATTGCCTTCATAGTCATCGCAGCCGCAGCAGCCATACGTGGTGTTGCAGGGCGTATCGTAGACGGCTGACCAGCTCGTGTTGACTGCGAGCGGATACACGTCCGATAGGATGATATCGGCACCGGATGAGTATTCCTCGTAATAGAAGCAATAGCAGTTCAGAACCAGAGACACCGGATGCCACGGATCAATCGACTTGATCAAATCATACGTGAGCTTGGTCGCATCCAGTGGATCGCTCTGGCCATCGGGCTCATCACCCGTGTACCACAGCAAGAGTGATTTTCGCGCGTTGAGCATGTTCACTTGCTCCCGCACTGAAGTCAGGTTCTCGTACGTCCAACGCATGTCATACATCGCCCAGAGACCGACCTCAACGCATTTTATCGAGGAGGAGGTTCAATCCGGTGAAATTGAAAGCTTGATTGGCGAGTCCAGCATTGGGAACAATGTGAATAATGTTGTTTCCTTGATCCTTAAAGTTCTGCACATTGTCTAACGACTTTTCAAGCCATCCGTCCCAACTCACGTAGAAGGAGTATGGCAGAGGTGGAACCCAAGATGCTGGGGAGGAAGAACTGTTTCGAACCACCAGTCCACCGTGGAGACTTTCGATCTTCGTCACACTGCCCCCGTCAGTTCGATCGGGGAGCCGATACCCCTGGGTGCGAGCATTCGAGACCTGATTGCCTTGGGTGGCTTTGAGAGAGACATTCCATGGCTGGAACCGCGGTTCGAGATCGCAAAGAGGAAAGTCCAGCGCGACCGATGTCGAATTGACGGTCACAGCATGCTCTAATCGCACGTCTGTCCCGTCGACAGAAACCTCCAATCTGAGCTTGTGAGATTGGGGCTCGAACGTGTCGAAGGGCTCCTAGCTGAGCGGCTGTCCGCGAAGATGAGAAATTGCCGCGTCAATAATAAAAGCACCTCGATCATCATCGGCAGTATACAAATTCATTCGAGATCGAATGCGCAGATCCAGAAGGGGCACCGCGGATCAAGCAGGCTCCTCTAGCCAACCCCCAGGCTCGAATGAGGCGTTGCTGGCAATCCCCAAGCTTAGCTTTGCGTTCTCGCCCATGAGTTCAAAATTTTCTACGATTAATGGGCTACTTACGCACCTAGATAGGCTTTACCGCACCAAATGTCCACCCCGGCAGGATTGTTGAACGCTGTGGCTACAGCGAGGATGAAGAAGAGCGACCAAGGCATGCTGTTGCGGGTTATTGTCGCAGACTTGGACGATAGATCTGAACGCCGAGTCTTGTGACTTTTTAATTTGATCAGATGACAGGCGTCTTTGACATGTGCTTCTTCAAAACTCTTATCAATACTCCCAGACATTTCCCACCCCCTCAGTCCGATCTCCTTCTTATCTTTGTATCACTTGCTGTACCTAACAATCCCCGTGATGCAACTGGAGAAAGCCCTGAAGTATTGCCATGGTGCAATGTTACCGTTACAGCAGATACGCCTTCTCCGCGTCCTTCATCGCGTTCTTCCATGGACCGTGAGGGGTGCCGATTCTCCCTCGTAATTCGCCTCTTGCACTTGCACTTCGAGCAAAACAAATAGCCGGGATCGACATGTTTCGGGTAATTTGCAACGGAAAACGATAGCATTGAATCAACACAATGGGAAATTGATCGAGATCACTCCAGATTGAGGCATCATTCTCCTTAGCCATTGGAAGAACATCGAGAGTGCATTGGTCAAATGCCCTGTAGGTGGCATTTCAACAAATGAATCTACACTTGCGCTCACGGTTCACATCTCGAATATCGGTGAATCTTCAGGCTCGTAAATCGAGAGAAGCGATGACAATGCAAAATTGGAAGATCAGAAAAGTATGCGCCCACCGATGGCAACAGACAGCAGTTTTGTATATCCATTCTTTTCCGAAAAGCTTGTTTCAGATTTGTAAGAATGCCTATGTGTACTTGTGAAGCATTTTGTGTAAGTCCACAGAGCGCGAGTCGAGACGTGAAGAACATCAAAGGCCATGTCAGAGGAGGAATCAATTAGAAGCCGGATAATATCGTGTATTTTTCAGACCTCAGGGCAATTAATCTTGATTTGAGGAATAGGACTACGCGGGAACATGCGAGGACTAGATCTATAGAGGAAGGGGCGAGCAGCCCGTGGATGGTATGGTATACATGTTGGCTAAGACTGTCAAGTACTGCAAATTGAATGCAGGCAGGGGCCCTGTAGAAGGGGTACCCTCCATTGATATCACAACAAACGAGCACAATCCAAAAGTACACAATGAGTAAGAGTCGAGCTGAGAGTCGAGCTGATCTCCGCGATAAGAGACAACACGCAGAGAAGGGGTTTATCAACATGATCGATGGCCTGGTTGGGTCATGCCACGCTCCAATGTGAGAAATAAGCCGTCAAATCCTCTGAACGCCACATACAAAAAGAAAAGAGAAACTCAACGTCATGCGCGGGCTTTTCACAAATTCTCGTACGTGCTTCAAAAGTGTCGATGCCGTTTCCACGGCAGTTGAAATAAAAGGCCATAAGATAAGTGGATGTATAATGTATACAGCACACGCTGAGTTTCATGCATTGCCTACGAGCGCTTGTCTCATGGCGAAGACCAGCCGCCCGCCACTTCGACCCACTCGTTCAGACAGCTGCCTTGCTTGCCCTCGACATCCACAATGTCGGTGTCACAGCGACAGCGGCATCCAACGCCGTTCTCCTTGACGGGATCCGGGTTGGCCCAATACTCATCTTCTTCAATTCGCTTCTTCTCGTCATCGGTGGTCTTTTCGAGGTATGGCTCACGAGGGAGTTGTCGGGCGGGAGCGTTGGCAGGGCAATGCTGAATGGTAGTGTGCCGATAACCAAAGTCACGGAAGTAATGAATATCAGCAGGCGAGAGAAGGGCACCAGCAGCCAAAGAGTGAATGGGAGCATCACCCCACTAAAGAGTCGAAAGCGAGTGTTGATTAGTGACCACATCCTCGCAGACGTCATTCCAAGGTTGTCAGGTTCACTTACGCGTTCATTCCAGAAACCACCACTTCGATCCATCATGTTGAAGAAGTCCTCATAGGCCTTGCTCCGGAACCAATCCAGGCGTGCAATCTCAAAGTTACTCCAGAAATGGCACATGTTGTAGCTTTCGCCCTCCATGGCTTCAGGGTCAATATCATCGAGGTTCTTGTCACCGGGCTCGGTGAGGAGGATTTCGTCGGGTAACTTGTCCTGCTTCTTCTCCTCTGGTGGAGTCTCGGGCTCCTCCGGGCGTTCAACGAACATCTCCCACAGGCCCTTGGACTTGAGGTTGTATTTGCGCTTGTACGCGGCTGCGTAGCGCCAGATGTTGGGAACCGTTTCACGAAGCTCCTTGACCGCAATGGTGAAGCCATAGGTCTTGTTCGCCTCAGCCATCTTGATGAACGGATCACTGAACATGAAGGTCAGCATTTCAGTCTGAAAGGCCAAAAAGAGGAGGTAAGAGTCTAGACGTGTACTTACTAGGTGATGTCACAGAAGTACTTGATCTCGGGCTCCAGACGCCAGTACCACTCGTATTTCATCAGGAGAGGATGCTTGTAGAAGTGTCTGCGAGGATTGTCAGCGGACGGTACTGATCCAAGGAAGAGCTGTTGCGACTTACCCGGAGTAGAAGCGGCACATGTGATGATAACTTTCCATGCCACCGTACATGATAGCAGCGTCGCCTTGTTTGCGAATACCTTCCTTGGCGACCTCATGATCCACCCAGTCGGGGAACCCCCACATGGAATTTTCGATCTTGCCAAACTCCACGGGGGCACTCGTGTAGTTCTTCACGGTAGCCATGAATTTGTCGTCAAAGTCGCCGTCGTTTAAGAAGACGTAAGGGTAGTGGTACCAGCGATTGAAGTGACGCTCGATAGACTTGAGCGACTGGATAACGCCGTCCAATTCCTTATTCCGCGCGAGGACGACAAAGGCAGCATTGGCACGCGGTTCACTGTCGATGCGGGCTTGATCGATGGGCAGACAGCCGGTCGCGAAGACCTTGTCATACTTTTCGCTGATTTTTCTATCCGCAGCACAGTCAAATCGTCAGCACCGAGTCCCACGCTTCCATTGAGGTCTCGAGCCCGGGTTCGAGAGGAGCAAAGAAACATACCGAATTGATGGCGGTGTGCCCGCCGGAATTAAAATACCACCCGGCGAAGAAGGGTGTCGGACGAACAATAGGAGGATGAACACAATTACAAGGCATGGAAATAGTAAAACAAATCCCAAGGGTATAGAAATGGACGAGTTGCCCTTCAGTCGAATGCGACGGCGGAAAAAGGCGAAGCGCGACGAAGCTCGACCCTTTTCGCGAGGAGTGTCATCAAGTGGGAGGCTCGGCGCGGTGGGCAGCCGTTTCGTTAGGCGCTGAATAAAACTCATGATTGCGGTGTAAGGTACACGTCGAAGACCCCGCGGTGGTCAATTCAACGGACCCGAGGCAGGAGAGACGAGAATCGTGAGAGGCGCCCGAGTGATATGATTAGGAGATGACCGTGGGCGACGAATTGAGGTGCGGTCTCGGATGTAGGATCCCTCTTCCACGGACACTCAGTCGTCGGTATAAACAACTAGGTCGAGACTCGTCAAATTATTAGAGCACGAGGCGGGCCGAGTACGATCGGGACCTGTGCCAATAGGGGGGAAAACGAATGACCGGAGGTGTGCCTCCTTTCCTTCCCTTTACTTTCCTCCACACGATGCCGTGATGGCGAACGGGAAGGGAGCCGGGAGGCAATGAGCAAAACCTGTGGTTCAAAGGAAGATCCACAGAGATGAAGGGGAGGACATCAGTAGATGAGGATGAAGGTCAAAGGAGAGAGGTGGGTTTTTCTTTTCTCGTCGGAGAGAATGGAAAAGGACAGAGATCGAGTCGGGGCCGGGACGGGGATGGGTTGAAGTTAGTGCCAAGACTAGGGAGGCGCAAGCGCCAGATTGTTCGATGGTCTGGTCCTTTTTTTTGGGGTGGGGGAAACGGGTCGCTTCTTCGAGCGGTTGACATTACGTGGCGGTCCAGTGACTTCAGCTGTCTTCCGCAGTCAATGCTGGATTTTACCATGTTGATCTCACAGGCTCACAGTCTCGTATTCATGGTGCTTGTTAGCTGTAAACTTGTAATTTACACTGCAAACGGACGAGGCAGTACTTACTTCTTAGTTCTTGCTAACTTACTAGTTATAGTAGTGTTGATACTGGCCATTGGCTACATAGGTATGTTCTTCCTACTTTTGCCCCAGTTCGTACTGCCCTAGTTCTCAATGTTGAGTCCTATGTTGACGTTTTGGGAGTATGACTAGTGATACTCATCTCGCACTTTCTCACTAGATAAAGTCGGATGCTCATTACTTTCTCTTTGTATTTAAGATGTGAATAGATGTAAGATGGCGTGCTACTGTATTAAATTCTGCCGTAGTAATCTTTCCATGTCAGGCTGTTGGGTCAATCCGTTTCTGGCTTGGTGACCCCTGTCTGTCATGTGATCTTTGTCAGAGCTGATCAGCTTAGCCTACTGTAAATCCCGTGACTTCGGGGCTTTGTTCCCGAGTAGGGCCAGTACCAGGTAGTAGTTAGTTAGTTACTCGGAGTAGGATTACTAAGTACCAGGACTACCTTAGATACTAATGGGTCGTATGTTCTTTTTACACGAATGAGAGAAAATCTCTGCTAGTGATGTCTTCTTTTGTAAGCCACTCTGGTGATTTCTGGTTCATCGCGGCGCGCGATCATAGATCGATCTTTTTGGGTATCTGCGCGTGTTGTTGCGAACACTGATCGGACTCCGTCAACCTTCGGGCCGAGATCCCTAACGGCTCCAAGATCCCAAGATAAGCCGTGCTCCATATCTCAACAACACCCCTCATTTGAGCTTGAAGCTCCTTGAGAAGACTCTCGCAATATCGAGGCACTACTCCTAAATGGCTTATCCCTATTCTGTCGCTCCCCACCTGGAGTACTTGAACGTGCCTTTTGGGGAATTTGCTGCGGCCCGACGCGAGTTCGACGCATTTGGCGTGGGCGGCTACATCTTTGCCCATCCTGCACCCCAAGCCGACAATAGCTCGATGCCCCGGGTCTTGCTGATCCAAAGGGCTATGACTGATTCCATGCCGGGCTGCTGGGAAGGGCCTGGTGGTGCAGCCGAGCCGCACGAAGATCGAACTCTCTTGGATGGCGTGGTGCGTGAAGTCGTCGAGGAGACCGGTCTCCACGTCTCTCGCATTGTGGAACTCACTTCTGTCCATGTTTGGTTTCATGCGCGGCGGGGTATCCGCATAGCCAAGTACAACTTTATTGTGGAGATTCACGAGGCAACGCGACTGTCGCCGGAGGGGACAGTCGAGATTGTACCGGCGGAGCAGATCCCGGTCGAATTGGACGCCAACGAGCACTCGGCCTTTGACTGGGTCCTTGAAGATGAGCTCCAGCAGTCGCTCAATAGTAATGGCTGTGGGAAATATAACTTTGGTCCCTCGATCATCGGTCATACAGCGCAGGATGTCACGAGAGCTTTCTCGTTGGTGAAGCGAGCATCGCGTCCTCGAGTTGGTGACGACTGAATCAAATATTCCAGGAGTCGAGCGACATTCATCAGCGAAAAAGGCTAGTTCGTCGTATCCGAATCTTTTTCAATGTGGAATATCCTGGTCTCTGTCCATGCTCTTTGCCCCCGCAAATACAAATAGATATAGCGGTAATAGTGGAAGATGATCAAAGTCCATCCTGGAATCTGTGTCAACCTGCCTATACATTCCAGAGCAGTTGTCAGTTCAATCCTCCATTCGGTCCAGGAAACTCCAGATGTGATTCATCAGACAAGATACACAAGCCGATGGCGATTCCGGGCTTACCGGTTTTCCATCAAAGTACAGGGGACTTGACGCACGACGTTTCACACCTGTTGACAGATTGACGCAGTACTTCCTCTTAGTGAGTCTGTGATTGGTATATCGATCGAATGGCCCCCACCCTCTGATGGATCTCTCATCGATGTCTATCTGAGGCGAGGAAGATGAGTATTGTTGGCCTGATCCTTCAGGCCTCCATTGCACTGGACGAGACCTGGCGATCGGGCGGTCTGGACCTCTGGAGGCTCATGCGCGTAGCCACGTGATCGTCAAGTGAGAAAAAGGTACTGTGTTACCATCAATAAGAGCCGCGATACAGGTGCGAATGGTTAGTACTTAGTAGTATATTGATTGATCCTTTTCAACGATGACAGGATCCTGAGATATAGTACTCTGCTTTTTGACAAAGTCTGGTGAATGTCGCGTTTGAGACTCGATGACATATGTGTGATGATCATAATTGCCTAATTGGGGAACACAGGTATATATGAGCAACCTCCGCCGCAGAATCGAGATCTGCGGTGCCCATCTCACTCAACCACCTACACCACTCCGGAACTGCACCACTCGCGAGATCACACTGGGCATTGTTTGAACTTTGAACTGCCTCCTTCTCGGGGCCTGGGCGGGTCACTAATAGTTAGAGTCCACTTGGCACTTGCCGCACCATCTCTGCCGGGCCCATCTTCCAAACTCAAAAAGGACCACACGGCACGATACCCCCGGCCCCGTTCTGGGTTTCATCTTGAGATCAGCTCCCTCGATTCTCACACTCATCCAGTCCATCTCCCGGCTACTCACGCACACCAGTCGCACCACGGAATCGCTGCACCGACGAACCCTCGCGCTCCATTGTGCGTGTGATCAAGGACCCGATCCGGTCGCAAAGCCCCTCACCGCACCGCAAAGCCTGAGACGGAAGGTCCAAAGCATCGTCGTTTCACCTCCCATATAGCGGAGAAGGTCGCACCGCCGCGGGGTCCTGTCCCACCCCTTTTCGTCGCGATCTTCAATCAAAACAACCGCAAGGGCTCCCTGACTTCCTCGGTCCTCGTCTCTTCACAGTCACACTGCATTCACCTTTTACCCGGACATACACCTTCCCTCCCCTCTACGTCTCATTCGCTCGTCTTCTTTCTCTGTTGACTCTCCGTTGCCAACCCTGTACTACTACTAATACTGTCACCACATTAAATAACAATGACTCAGGCTGTTGCCCAGCTCTCGGGATGGGAAGGGCCCAACACAAAACCTGCGACTATTCCCATGCCGCCAAACGCTGATATGATCTCTCGGATTTGTCCACCGCCCTCCCGCAATGGCCAAATCAACATCGATACGTTCTCTCCCGTCAATGAGAACGGCAGTTTCGCATTTGATCGGGTCCTCAAGACAGGCCAAGTGTTCCGCCGGGTGAAACATAAACACGTCTTTCGCGCCTCCTGGAAACCTGCCTATCTTGTGCTCCGTCCCAATTTGCTCTCCGTCTACAAGGATGAAGAGGCCACTCGGCTCCGTGTCTCTATCTCCCTCTCCGAAGTCACGGCCGTGGCTCCCGTGCGGTCTCCTCGTTCCAATCGCGAACACGTCTTTGGCATCTTCACCCCCTCCAAGAATTACCGATTCGAGGCTCGGTCGGAGCGTGACGCGGAAGACTGGATCAGTCGCATCCGCCGCGAAGCGCCCACCGACGAGGCCGAAGCCGCTTTCCTGGCACTGTCGAGCACGAGAAATCCGCCTATGATCCAGAAACATCTAGTCGATGATACAACGGAGCCTTCGGACATAGATGGTAGGGGGATCAACAGGAATGTGAAGGCCAGCTCGTCGGAGACCAGTCACGGAGTGTACCCCGGCGCCGGTGGGAGCCACGGGATCGGGGCCCGCAAACCGCCTTACACCCAGGAATATTCGGGCAATGAAATCACATCCTACTCGGAGCTGTCGGACAATGGACCCTCTCCGGCGCGAAATAGTCGCCTGCGCTCCATGCCTTCCATTCACACTTTGTCTCTCTCAGCACCCGAGGACAAGCCTGTTGCTTCTCTGCCTCGAGACATCCCTCGACACGAAACAACTCGCCAAGCCGACTCGGCCATCCTGCGAGACCCTGAGCGAGTCATCTGTCAAGGCTATCTGCAGGGCCTCCGGATCAAGGGTGCAGTGCGGCAGTGGAAACGACTGTGGGTCGTCTTGCGGCCGAGAAATCTGGCTTTTTATAAAGATGACCATGAGTACTCGGCCATCAAAATTATCTCCATGTCCCAAGTGATTGATGCCGCAGAAGTGGATCCCATGTCACGATCCAAGAATTTCTGCATGCAAATCATCTGTGTGGAAAAGACCTATCGCCTATGCGCTGGCGATGAAGAGTCCCTGGCACGGTGGCTTGGCGCGTTGAAAAGTATCATTGTCGCACGGAAAAAGCTCGAGACTATGCCGTCCGCCACTGTCTGAAGACGTGGATGACTGCATGCAGATGTCCACACGATGGACAAGATCTCCATGTCAACGTTGCTCGACGTTTTGTTTTTTTTTTGTTGATTTGCCTTCGAAGAGCTGCCTTTAAAACCCCAGTGCGTTTGTAACAACATTCGAAATTCCTTGTGTCTGCACAAGTTCTTTTCTCTTACTTTTCTTTTGCTCTTCATTCTTCATCCTTTCCGCTTAGCGGCGCTAAGCATATTATACCCCTTTGCTCTTATACTTATTATTCCATTCAAGAGTGTCATGCGAACATTGGTGCCCCTATCATGCGCAACATGGCGTGTTGGTTGATAGTATCCCGGGGCCGAGGACAAACCTGGTACTCTGTGTTCCTTTCTTGCTCCTGCGGGATTTATCGTACCTGTTTGTTGACGACTTGGGATTTTTTGCATACTGGTGCCGATGACTAGCCCTGGTGGTTGTTTTACTCTTTTCCGCACGATTGTAATTAGACCTGGAAACACACTTTACCAATACACATATGGAGAGACTGCAGCTTTTCTGGAGAAGTACGTAAATTTACAGGGCGACTGCAAATACTAGCCAACCATGACGCCAACGAACGCCATTGAAATCAAGCGCAGGTGTTGCTAAGAACCAAACATCTGAACGCTTCTAGGGTACCACGTCGAGCGATGTCTTGTCCAACCTCACCCCTAAGACAGGTGGGTCTCGAAAATGTGGTAGTGTTTGCTTGGCCGACGTGGTAGTTATGCAAGGTACCCATCGAATTATCGAATTCTAGACCCTGCAACCCATTCTCATGCGCGGAGAGCGAGAGCAGAAAAATAAAAATAGAAAGGAACCGAAAAAGGGGAAGAAAAAACATGGGCAGTTTGGGTGCAATCAATCTGTTGTATTCGGAATATTCACTGGTCTCGTAACGAAAGTCTATCAAATCATTCATATCTATTCCTCGCGTGGTATACTTTCATATTCACCCGAGGATGGTCTCCCGCGCTCACCCGAGTAATCGACCTCTTGCCCCTGCGTCTGACTTTCGTGGTTGACGACCAGGAAGGAGAGGAAGACGATCGTGGCTCCGAGCCAGTATAGCGGGGATGCGTATTGAGATTGCAGGAACATTTGACCGACGAGGGATAATGGGATGGTCAAGCTGAGACCGACTGTGACTACGAGCGGTGTGGTCAGGAGCATGGCGTAGGCCCAGGCAATGTCGGAGATGAGGGATGAGAGCGAGTTGACCTGTTTGAGAATAGAATTAGCATGATGGTTGCTGGGTTGCGTGTGCTGATGATCTTGAGCAGCAAGGGGCGAAGAGGGGGCTCTTGGCACACATATGGATAAGCTCCACGTACCAGAATGATCACCCAGACTCTCTGGGTGTCGGGTAGTGCAAATTGCTCGACGCCGGTCCAATGCAAGATGAAGAATCCGGGCCAAAGGAGGATCAAGTTGAAGAACCCGACCATGCCGAAGAACATGGACATATCGACCCGGGACTCATCTCCCACCTGTTTCTTCATGACGATGGTATAAATTCCATACATGACTGAGCTGAACGCAGCCATGGCATCACCAACGGCGATCTCCGTGGGGGTCTTGTGAGGGAAAGTACTTGCTCCGCCGGTGACAGAAGTGGCATCCCCCGCGTCGGTGCTGGACAAGTCGACGCGTGAGATGAGGATGATCCCCACCAGGGAAGCGATCACCCCGAGTAGCTTGCGGAGGGTGAATCGTTCCACGCCAATCATGGCACCGAAGATCAATGTCCAAACGCCTACCAACGCAGGAGTTTAGCGCGTTGCCACAATCAAGCAATGGTTGAGAATTTGGCATTGGGGCTTACCGCTGGTCGAGGTCAGAATCGTCGTGCTTCCAACGGTCGTATACTGCAGACAGGCCATGGCAAAATAGTTCGCCTGATCAGGCCAAGAATTGCGTGGTTAGTTCAACAGCAGTCCACGGTCCGATTGGCAATGCCGAGTTTCCTCAAAAGTATGACGTACAACAAACTATCGCGAGTCAGTCCAGGAACAGTGTAGAGTTGACCCCCTCTCGTCTCCTGTTCACACATACCCATAAGAGACAGAACTCCAAGCTGAGCTTGGCTGTCGCTCGCAACCCCAGCTTCGCACCGTCACCCTGCATCTTCGGCCGCATGTAAGGCGAGTCCCGATCCTCCTGCTCATCATCAAAGGATGGCGATCGCAGTATATCCTGCTCTTCGTGTTTGGAGGTATAGGTATCCCAGTGTTGAAGCAGGCTCTGGAAGGAATCGACTTGCGACAATTGGTTGCTCCGCCAAAGGCCCCATGTCCTCGAGATAATGGCGCTGAAGAACGGCAGTGTGAACAGCGACGTATTGATGTAGGTCACGAAGAAAGGCTTGGGGTATGTATTGTCGGCAAAGATAGTCTACACATGGATGGACTGGATTAGAATCTCTCCACATCTTGCGCCGGATCTCAAGCCGAGGATACGGTTTGAGTCACACATCCAGGGGATACCACAGTCCAAACTTACGCTTCCCATGAAATTCGAGGCTGTCCATAGAACCACCACGAGCAAAAGCAAGGCCATGCCCAACGTCCGCCGACCTACCCCGAGGACCTGAGGCCCGGAGGTCTCTGTCGCTGGCGTCATTTTCCCCAGTTGAGACGGTTGCGGACTGAAGCCGAGATAAAGCGGGAAAGCGGCCTGAAATCGGTCGGAGTTCAGATTACGGCCGGGGGGACTCTTCGAGTCCCTCAGTCACTCGAGGTCCGATCTCGCAGTGATCGCAGCCGCAAGCCTGCTCTTGGGTCGCAGACAGACGAAAATCCCGAAATTTCGTCTGGACGGGTCCTTTGATAACTGCTCCTCCTCTGTCCTGCCGTTGTGGGAGGGTGAATAAAAAGAAAGATGGTTGGATCCGTGCGAGCCAGACTGTGTGGACTGTGGACTGTGGACAAGAGATCGGCGATAAGATCCTTGTGGGAGGGTGGGGGAGGTCTCGTGTCATCGAGGCTCCCGCTCGCATGCGATAAGATGATGAGGCACACAGGAAGTGCGGCCTGTCAACACCGGATTCGAAGGGCCGAGGCTTGGGATACGTGAGTCCAGAAGGGTGGGATCCATAGTATTACTGCCAGACTTTCGATAAGACCCAGCAGGAAGACATGGCCAGTTGAGAAGTAAATACAAAGGCCCATCAACTACATAGGTTCTCAATTTGAACCAGATTGAATCCAGACTGCGGAGTAGGTATACCTGGTTGCGTACTAACCTTTTCATCGGATATATTTCGGAGCGCGTGTATTTGGGACGGGAGATAGGCTTAGTACCAATGTCATCTTGGGGTGAGAGAGAGTGTCAGTGCAATTGCACTGTGTTCTACGGGGTATATTAAGTCAGGCTCCCATCAATTCGTTAATATAGAATATGTGTTAACGCAAGGACTGATGGTGTTCAAGCTGCAGTTATCATACTACATATTGATGGTAAAAACGAAACAGACATGTGGCGGGAGATGCGCGAAAGACACGCATGTTCAAGTCGACTCATAGGGTACTAGCCTAATAGTAGTTTTTGTTCATTCTGGATTACCGCAACATTGAAGTGTCCGTATGAAATCTTGACATTCGTGGAGTGTTGTTCACTTAGTCTTCTAACTCAGCTTCGGGTGGATCATGAAGATTCTGATAACTCCAGACGAAAACCCGACGAAAATCCTCGGCCGCGGCAGAAATGAAAATTGAGTCGCAAAGGCCGTGGACAGACGTACAAGTCGGAAATTTCACTCCGTGATCGTGCGATACTGGCCCGGAGCACGAAGGGCTGTTTATGCAAAGGCAGCTGGGCTCACATCTGCAGGGGAGCCCTGACTAGCACACCCAATGATCTTGTCAGTAAATGCGATCAGATCAGGTTGAATCGAGTGGAGGGCCTGTATTCTGTTGGACATCCTTGGTTCGTCCCCAAACGGATCGTTCGTTGGCACTCTCCAACCCATCAGACCTCATCTCCCATTCTGGATCATGATCGGCGCGTGACTTCGAACCACGAAACATTCCCGGATGCCACTTTGCCCACAAGGCCATCACAGCAGTCATGGGGACCGAGTCGAAGATATAAATTGACCATTCGTGACTGAGCAGGTAGCCATCGTTTCCAAGTGCATATTCGATCACTCTGAACACTGATCGGACCAGGATCAAAGCGCACACCACGTTCAGGACGCGCAGATGAATCTTCCACTGGACGCTGATATCGAATCTGCCGACGCTGGCCGTACGATTGAGACGCCGCTCAAATTCGAACGAGACGACAATGAACAGGCCAAACATGAGGACTTGTATCGCGAGTCCCGCCAGGACAATTGACTTGCCCATGCTTGCACTGGATCCCATCGCCATGAGACCCGACCCGGAACCCTGCACAAGGAAGCAAATGATGTCGCTTGAAACAAATGTCCTTGTGAGCCACCTGACAGGGATGATCGAGTGCTCGTCGGCTCCTATACTGCGAATGAGGCGTCCAAGGACCATGTACACTGAAGCCGCAAAGAGGACCGGTGCAAGAAGAATGCAAACACTCTGCATGATGTAGGGTCCAAGCTGCCCTGTCTGGTCATGCGCGATAATTCGGCCGATGTAACCCACAATCTCGACTGAAGGTATTCCAGTACGCGATTAGCTTTTTGTCATGAACATGTCAGGACCAGTTTTGGGGCGACTTCACTTACAGATCCCTCCAATGATAAAGGGTATACAAAACCTCGCTCGCGTTTGCCATGCTTTCCAACAGTGGAAAGCAGTCATGCCGCTGAAGAGTACACAAAATATGACCGCTGCTGGAATGGACGGGACATATTGCCATAGATAATAATTCCCTGCGTATGGTTCTAATTTGGCCATGATGAATTGCTGAGATAGTCTGCCCTGGCAGACAGCCTTTCACACGATATGGTGAAGAGCGTTTCAATGAAGCTGGTGAAAGATTGTCTGACTACATGTTCAAACGGGGTTAGAATATTTATATCAACACGCACGGGAACAGCCTGTGGCCGCTGATCGCATCTTCGTATTTCTTCGAGTCCAAAAACCCAAGAAAAAGGTGAGAGCACGACGCGTCAGAAACGGACCCGTGCATGGATTCTTGCCTTCCTCATTCCGCTCTTCGTCTTTCCATGATGTCTCCCCCGGAAAGCTCCAGCGATACGCGTATCCACTATCCAGCGATGCAAAGAGTGGAGCCTCTGGAGATTGGTAGTTGGTGGGTTTCAACTTCTATTTTGTGGCGCTGAAAGACAAGGTGGTCAGTGCATACGCGTATGGGTCCGATGTATCGCATTCGCCCATGGCTGGCCGTGAACGAGGCACCGCTACTGATTCGGTCCGGTGTCGCTGGAGATGGCGAATTTGAATTTTTCGTTCTCCTCGTGTCGGTAGACTTTCACGCGCATATACCTCTCCGCTCATGCCGACTGACCTAATCGCGAGTCCGTAACTCCGTATAGCTCGGCAGACTTGGCTCCCATTCCGGCGATCAAGTTCGATCCACGTACTTGGACAGTCGGCAATCTCGCTTGCAAGACAATTTCGTCATTCCTGAATCTTCATAGGCTTGTTGCGCGAAGCTGCCTTGCTTTGTTCACAATGCCACGGAGGTCGCACAAAAAATCCAGGAATGGATGCCTCGAGTGCAAGCGCCGCCATATAAAGGTCTAGTCTCTCCCACCGGCTCCTGTCCTCCTATTCGCTCACAAACTCACGGGGGTTTTGCAGTGCAATGAAAGCCATCCGAAATGTTCCAATTGCGTTGCCTCGGAGCGCGTGTGCGAATACGCGATCGATCCATCCACAAAGTCACGCCTAGTAGAATCGCCGAGACAGTCTGCAGCATCGGCGTCGCTCTCCCCAGCAACATGCTTACCGTGGGGCCAACTCAGTCCGAGGCAGGGGTCAGCATGCCCAGATGATGAACCTGTGAACATGCTGCACATAGAGCTCTTTTATCATCTGCTAAGCGACACGTTACCTGGTCTTGACGTCCAGCTGGGCGAGACCGACCTTGTCGGCCTGGTACCGCACCTCTTGAAGGCACCCTATATGGTGAATGAACTGCTCGCCTTCAGCGCCCTACATCTGAGTACAAGGCACCCAGAGCGGTGCAAATACTACCGAACCCTGGCCACTCAGCTTCAGACCCACGCCATCGCCAATTTTCAAGAAGGAGGACTCGTGATCGATCAAGAAACGTGTGTTCCGGCCGTTATGTTCTCGTCAATTGTGGGTCTTCACGCGCTTTGCGATTCGCTAGTGCACAGAGAGAAAGATTTCGCCCACTTTGTCGATAAATTTGTGCACTGCTTTCGACTTCATCTGGGTGTCAGAACGGTCTTTACTGAAGCCTGGGCCATGATACGCCAGTCGGTCCTCAAACCGCTCTTGGCCGACGTTGAACGCCAGCATCATTTCGACGGGCGGCTAGGGCTGGGATGCGCGAAGCTCTTGAGACTTGTCCAGGCAGCAAATCTGGGGGACCATTTGACGAGAATCTACAAGCAGGCCATTGAGCAATTGCAAGTCTCGGCAAATGTGTTCATCCCCTCTGCCATCGCTGGATCTCAATTTTTCGGTGCTGGATGGCCATTACTGGTTTGCTCGGAATACAACGACCTCCTGCTGCAGCGAAGGCCTGAAGCGCTGGTGATTCTTGCCCACTATGCCATTATGCTGCAATGCTGCAGAGGGTCATGGATAGTTGGGGATGGCGGGCACTATATCATCCAATCCACCAGGGACTGGCTAGGCTCAGAGTGGGCGGAGTGGCTGGAGTGGGCTGTTACCGACGTGGAAGATCCCGTCAAGCTACTGCTGCAGGTCTACGGATGACGACTGAAGTATTGGGCGGTTGGCAGGAGCAAAACGGTGCCCCCCCCCCCCCCCCTCCACGTCTTGGTCTTTGAAGCGTCTCATCTTCAAAGCCCTTGAAAGTCACCTGTGCGGGTCACCGGAAAACGTTCAAGGACTTAATCCTGATGAAATGAACTTGGGTTGCCTGAACCAAGTTTGTAGGGTCGGTCGGCTGGCCGGCATTACCATGCTATGTAGCAAAGGGAGACACAAGCATTCTTCACTGCGCTTACTTTCACAAGACGAATCGTCTTGCAACCTTAACAAACGAAAGTTGCTGCATTAGTCGCACTTGATACAGTCCGATCTTCAATCTCTGTCAGTATTTAGAAAATGCCAGAATCGACATAATCACATATTGAATTTCAATCGTCGGCTCTGAATCGTAGCTCCCTTCCTCAAGCACAAATGCTTGTGCTGTAGGTTACATAACAGACTGGGTCCGTTCAAAAAGCCGCCATCATTCCAGATGATCTCGGGCTTTTGTAAGTAAACCACTACCTTATGAAGCCGAGGTCGATCACCCAACTCCCGTCGAGCATGCGTGAAACTCAGGAAGAGTCTTTTTGCAGGGCCGATCTTGGTATGTCCCATCGTCCGAGCCTCGGTCGTGCTCCGACTAGAAGGGCTGCCAGCGATCAATTCCATACTATTTAAAATGTGCCCGTGGGTAGTCAGGGGTGTTGTGATCTCCATGCTTAGAGAGAACGTGGACCAGGGAAGGCTTGATGGAGATGCTCTGTAGATGTTTGCCTGACATTGGGAACCATATGTCCACGTCCACAGGTCACTCAACGCAAGGGTATCCACCGACATTACGACGCTTCTGACAAGCTTGGCTAGAAAACACTGTCTCGGTCTTCTTCTTAGATAGTCCAAGCACTGTAAGATCTACCATGCAGGTGAGCTCACCCACAGTCCACGCAGGAAGTCCATCAACCAGCCTACCAGGGAGGTAGATGATGTGCGGTCTATACATCTGTCTGGTGTTGAAAGAAACGAGGTTGGGACCCAGGAGGTCAAGTATTTGCCATGAGCTTATATTAATGGGATCAAAGTATAATACATTGACTAGGTGAAAGATTCTCACATAAGCATTGCACACAAAACACATATTTGTCTGGACCCTGAACCAAAAAGGAGTCATTCGAGGTTGGTCCAGCCATTGCCCTCAATTCGGCGAGGAGAACAGACATCTAACAAAAGAAACACGTGAACTCGAAACGCCCGCAAAGGCGATGAAGGAACATCCCGAAAGCAAAAACCCGACACGTGTAAGTATATACCTCTTCGTCTCGCTTTGAGCAACTCAGACATTCGAATAAACATGTGCAAGAGGCAGACTGTCCTCTGGACCGCCTGTGAGCGAGATGTGGCTGGGATACCAAACGAGGTAGATGGTCATGACGGCGACCATAGGCACGGCATCAAAGATATAGCTCGTCCATTCGTGCTGCAAGGGATACCCATTGTTCCCCAGCACGTACTCGAAAATGCGAAAGATTGAGCGGATAATGATCAGGGTACTGACCGCATAGAGCATGTTCATGGAAGTCTTCCACGTGTTGCCCGGGAGCAGAGATTTGGGCGTGGGACTGCGACGAATGCGTCTCTCAAAGACGACCGCGGAGACCCAGAAAGCGCCAAAAGAGAGGAGTTGGATTATCAGACCTGCCACGACTGCGATCTTTGATGCGGTCTCGTACCCCATCACCGAGAGACCAGAGGAGTTTGCTTGGATGAGGAAAGAGAGTACATCGCACCAGACAAAGGTCTTGGTCAACCGGGAGACCCGGATCACAGAAAGGTGTTCTCCCCCAACGTAGCGAATGAGACGTCCGAGGACCATGTAGACGGAGGCGGCGAAAAGCGAGGGTGCGAGAAGGATGAAGATACTTTGCAGGATATAGGGTCCCATGGATGTGAGGTTGTTGTGTGCCATCACGCGACCAATATAGCCGATAATTTCGACTAAACAGGAAGTACGGTTAGTTTCGCGTCCATCACAGCGGAGAGCAAGTCCAGTCGGGGGGTCATACATATGCCACCGCATGTAAATGGTATACAGAACCACTTTTTGCCTTTAAACATCTTCATGGAATGAAGCCCGGTCAAGACGATATAAGCCAGCAAGAAGATTACTGCCGCAGCTAGTGACGGCGTGTAATACCAAAAGGTATAATCACGGGCATGAAGTTTTTGCATGTTGGCGACTTGACAAGTTGCAGAAATTAATGATGAGGTGAAACCAAGCGAAGCAGCAAGTGATAAAGAGCGTGATGTAAAATTTCAAATGAGAAAGTGAGAAAGAACAAAAAACCCCCCAAAAAATCGGGATCGGTCGAAGAAAGCCGGAGAGATGAATATCAAGGTCGTGGTACGCCGGAACGTTGAAAAAGGGAATCCTATAGATCTTTAAATATTAGACGAAAGCAACTCCTTATTTTGGAGCCCTAACTTGCAACAGATCTCCGAGCCAGCGTGCTGAGGATCTTCCTACACGCACTGCCCTCGAAACGCCTTGCTCAGGCACCAGTGACCCTCACCCTGGAAAAAGAATACTGGGCGCCAAGATATCTTTCTGGAGCTCGCTAGTTGCCCGAATACGCGTATACAGACACGCTCCAAGTTCCGGTCAGCTTGTGCTCGGTCGTGCTGCTGAAACAAGACCCGGCAGAGCTTCCACCTTCAGCTTCATCTGATAAGAGGGGAGGAATTTCCTACTTTCTGACTTTCTCTTTACGGCAGTCTGCTCTAATTAAAGCATGGCGAGGAAAGCTTCCCTCGTCAGACTAGCGTTACCTCGCCAGTTTCGTGGCTGCCACCGAACAGTCAGTTTAACCCTGATACCCAGGCGCTGGGGTGGAACAAGGATGTAATTCACTGACTGGAATATAAGGTAATGACCTAGATTCCTCTGGGTGAAAGCCACACTTTCACGATCCCGGTATCTCAGAGCACGAAATTACCCTCAATGCCGACAATTTGAGATTCTATCTTAGAGTCTAGGCGACTTTGATGCTACCTGGTAGCCAATAAGGTACTACTATGAACCTATCAACCTCGACTTCGAAGCACGTCACTTCCGCTTCCACCGAAGTGAGAACCTGAGATCTACGAGAGATCTCACGACTCACAAGTATCGAACAGGCAAATGACGAAGCATTAAAATGGCCAGTGAGTTGAGAAGATGAGAAGACTTGTGAAGATCCCATATGGATCCACACCTGAATCAAGACGAGGCCCTGTGGAGTATGGACTCGTTGTCGTCCATCGACCAGACTCTTGCAAAACTATAACCCACGGTCCGTACCCTAAAGAACAAACGCTGCTGAATCTCGCGTTCATCAACGACTCTTATGGAATGAGCGTACATAGGCCTCATTAGAGCGAAAGAAGGCCACAGAATGCCTTGTGTACGCGAGGCCTATGACCATATTTAGGCATGTTTCGAGGTCGAGCTAGCCTATATTGGCGAAACTGGGGTTGTTTTTCCGTGGCTATGGATTCTCTCCTGGTGCAGCGGTTGAACTTCGGCTACCCGAAGATCTTCAAGTGGGTCGCATGGCTGGAGATCTATACGCGTATACACGGACCAGGTGCTTGTGGATGCCGTTGGCTTCGCGTCTAGGAGCCTCAAGGAGTCTTCCAGCCCGGAAGCCGCTCCACCCGCCAACCCACCAGAAGAACTCTGACCAAATCCCTTCGGTGGATGGTCGATAGGATACGGAACGCAGATCAGACATGTCTATGTACTTGCTGCCATCTGTCCACCTTGATCAAGATTCAGAATGCTCATCGAAAACTTCGTGTTTCCCCCAATGAGCCTGATATGCTCCTTCTCGCCTCATCCAAACCTGATTGCCATGGAAAAAGACATTGCGGTGGCCATGGGTAAAACACGTCCTCAGTCTTAACCTGTCGATTGCATGAGCCTCCCAAACTAACAGAGTCGGTAACCGAGGTCTAACCCAGACAGGTCGATCGAGTGAGTACGTCTTCACGCAATGCCATATAGCTGACCAGAAGGCTACCCCCCATATACGCTTGGCCAAAACGCGAGTTCCTAATTGCAGGCATTCACTTACGGCATGAATTCAAGTTTGAGTGGTTTGAAATGTGGGCGGACAGCATTCGAAGCGAACAATCATTACGAGTTGGAAGTTGGAAAGACATTCCGTATCATACCACGACACATGTACAGGTATACCAGATCCGATGAGCCAACGAATGAGAGAAAACACCAAGGGCGCGAACCCTCGGCCGGATGGAAAGGACGCCACCCAAAAAACTAGGACCAAGAGATGCGAGAAGACACTGGGTCAATCGAGAAAACAGAAAGAGAGAGAGAGAGAGAGAGAGAAACGGCGAGAAGAGTTGGCCAGACAAGACTGACAAAGCCCGGGAAACAGTCGCTCAAAAATTCAAACAAGTATAGAACACGATCAACAAGCGCAGCCGTCACGATCGTTGTCCAGATGGATATTAATGGGATCGCTGAATTCACCATTGAATTCCTCCGCCTCTTCCTGAGCGAGCGCACTGCGAGCAATGACTGCAAAAACAAAAGCGTCAGACGGCTCCCGATCTCAAATGGCCAGAGTCGGAGAATGTTGGAAGGGTGAAATGCTTACCCTCAAATGCCTGCTCCACGTTCAGAGCCTCCTTGGCACTAGTCTCGAAATACGGAATATTTCCCTTGGACTGGCAGAAGGTCATTGCCCGCTTTGAAGAAATCATGCGCTTGTTCTCTTCCACATCAATCTTGTTGCCAATGACCACCTGTACAAGTAATGTAAGCATGAGGGACACCCTAAGACCTTCAATGCGGAAGGTGATGCGCATCTTGATTTGCAAGCAGACAGAGAAACGGGGCCACTCACGAATGGGAAGCTTTCCGGGTCGCGCGGGCTAGCTTGAATCAAAAATTCATCACGCCAGCTATCCAGCGCCTCGAAACTTTTTCCATTGTTCACGTCGTAGACCAGAACACAGCAGTCGGCTCCTCGGTAAAATGCGACGCCCAGAGATTGGAAGCGTTCTTGTCCTGCAGTATCCCAGATCTGTGCGACAGGCATTAGAACCGTACATAGTCCTCCCCTTTAGCGATCGAGTGTAAGGATTCCGTACCTGCATCGTCACCAGCCGATCATCAACAAGCACTTCCTTGGTCAGAAAGTCTGCCCCAATGGTGGCTTTGTAGCTCCCGCTAAACTTCTTGTTTACCTAGAGTTTGTGGCAAATGATATCAGCACGGGTCGTCCGTATGTTGTGGGGGACTCTTTGGCGCCCATGAGGTAATTCTTGACATGAAGGCGAACGTACATATTGATTCATCAAGCTGGTTTTGCCGACCCCACTATCACCGAGGATGATCACCTGTAGCACGTGGTTAGACAAGCTTCTCAGTGCGAGGAATGAGCTGCAATCTGCAGTGCGTCGCGGAGCCGTTGCGGAGACCATACCTTGAGGAGGACCTTCTTCCGTGACGCCATGGCTGCAATCTATGACGAGAGTAGTGCGGCGAGAGACTTTTTACCGTCGCTCAGAGGAGACAGTAAGCAATGAAAGCGAACTGGAGAGGTCAAAGCTGTGGACGGAACTCTAGAGAGAAAACAGCCAGCAAAAAGACAAGGAGATTAAGAGGGTTGAAGCAGGTTGGAGCTGGAGTTGTGGTTGGGGTTGCGGCGGGATCCACTGATGCACGAAAGGGTCTGGGCGGTGGGCGGTGGAGAGGGGAGAGAGAGGCGGTGGGCAGTGCCGCTTCTATCGATAACAAGATAAACATCTCACTTGAGTGGCCCGCATATGATGCTGATAAAGTAATTGTGTCGGTCCAGTGTCCACAGTGCTTGTGGTAATGAGGAAACAGGCGTGTGGGCCACGCTTCCAGTCGCAGATCACAAGAAATCGACACTCGAAGATACTACAAATATAGAGAAGCAATATTCAAGACCGACCGCTATACATTGCCGACGGCGGGAAGCAGTCGCTGGTCTGCTTCAAAACACATTGCCGAGGTGTTTGTGATACCCCTCCTGCTTGGGCTACATTCTTCGCCTTTGGCCATATTATCGGGCGCTCCATCCCTCCGTTGCCTATTTTGCCGGGTCGATGCCCCACTGGAGAGATGAGTATCTGGCTGCGCTTGCAGTGCGAGACCAGCGAGAGAAAGCCAACCTGACGCTCTACGATGCCTGTTCGTGTGCCTCCACGGGAAGAGTCTCATGTAGCCGCTATCTGTGACTGACTAGCCGACCCTCGCTACTAGACACTCGCTTGGCAGATCGAACGGCTCAGCTTGCGTCACAAAGAGAGCCTCATGGCGACACTGGACAAGGCAGGCTGACCTCGGTCTCCGCGGGCGAGACTCTTCAAGCTAACGTCTCGTCAGCTGGGAGTGGTCTTCGACGACAGCCTCCTGCAGAAACAGGTCCGTCTCCGACAGAGCTCCTAAAAGCAACCCGCGCAGACCTCTCCGAGGCGCAACGCTCTCGAGGTGAACTGCAGGACCAGGTCCGGCGTTTGAGCATTGAACTTGAAAAGTTGCGCAAGAAGACTGGCCGTGATGTCCGACGCCTGGATGCAATGGAAAGTGAGAAAGCTCTTCTTTCCACACGGCTAAAAGACAGAGATGAGGAGTTGCGAGAGAAGACCAAATTACTAGAGGTAAGAGCCGCCGCAGAAGATTGTCTCGGAGCTTCAACAAAAAAATGAAAATGCATTACACTCACACACAGCAGGATTTCCAAGCGGAACTGGCGTCCTTAAACCTCGAGTTCAATATGGCCGAGAAACGTTCAAAGGAGCTCCAGCGCGAGAATGAAGAGCTCGTCGATCGCTGGATGGCACGAATGGGTAAGGAGGCAGATGCAATGAACGACGCAAACAAGTTCATGTGACAGACAAATCTCTTGACATTATTAAGAGCGAATTGAGTTCCAAGCATGACCATCTTATTTCCAAAGTCTTTTTTTTTTTTTTTTTTTTTTTTTTTTTTTTCAAAAAGACCACCACAAAGATCGAGAATGACCCACATATTCAACAGCCCACGGGCCAGAATGATCATCTACAGTCTACTGCTCCTACTATCAGTCACCGATGCTGAGAAGCACTGGTATCAGAAACGGCTACACGGTGTACTGGTGTAATACAGTCGCAAATTTCTTCGATTCAGACCTTTAGCCTGGCCCAAAAGAAAGCATGGCGAGATTCCACCTAAGAAACATTTGAGAACCACTGAATCCACGGCCCTAAACACACCGGCAGGATCTGGCATTGTGGACGATCAATCTGGAGTAGACACGACGATGTACGAGTATTCGTACACTAGAATCGTAGCAGGGAGGCGGAGCGGGTCAAGGACTGTAGTGGGTGAATCTAAGCACCGCTGTTCCATTAGCGCTCTGTCGGGGATTTGGATTCCCGTTGATGGGTTCGAGCTGCAGAAGACATTGATTGCGGGTTGAAAAAGATTGCCAAATCGAACACAACGTTTGAAAATCCAATGCTGTATCGTGTTGGCCTTTTACAAATTCAACATCTTTGTGCATTTTTAAGTGATATTGTACAAAATGAAAAGTATACCTTGGGATATGTGCAGGTGACGAGGACAGAATAATGTACGGGATATCACAAATGTACCGCTCAAGGCTGCATTATGCATATCTGCAAGCGTCGCATCAAGGGCTGATGATCGACTAGGACTTACCTTACCACTCACGGAGAGTCTTCAATGAATGCTTTCAACCGGGAACTGTCTTTCGTGGCAATGAAGTAGGTGCCACCAACGTCGGTCCAGCTGACGCTATTGGACCAGTAGTTCTTCTGTTGAACTCTGAGAAGATTGATAGGGGAATTCAGGTTGCGGGACTGAATCTTGTGGCCAGCAGGGACGAACGACTTCAAAGAGACAATCTTGCAGCCTTCCTTCATGTCAAGGAAATGATTGATCAGTTCGTTGTTGAGCTGGGGGGTAAATGCTTGGTTGTTAATCAGCACCACGTCGGCGCGCTTCAGGACATTTATAATGCTTTCTTGTTCAAGGAAGTCTCCTCGAACAAGGTGTGTTTTGCCGGGCAGTATGCCCCAAAGCCGACACCGAGCCTTGAACTCTGCCTGTTGCAACTCTGCCAGATCACAAGCATTCGCCATCATCTCGCATCCCCAACTTTCGCATCCAATTTCGAGTGCCGCTTGGAGGACAACATTGCCGACACCGGAGCCAAGGTCGACGAACACGTGACCAGATTTCAACTTGGTCTCCTTGAATATATCGCTGATGAATCGGGGAAGCAATTCCCCGTACACGTTATCCGTGCCATTCTCGTACTGCCGTAAAGACTCGACTCGAGGAGATACTGTCCGCGCATAGGTCTGATTGAGGATTCGCTCCACCCAGGGAAGGCTCATACGTTGAGTTTCGTCCAGTACTTTCGCAATGCTGCCATCGATCCTCAGCCGATCCACCGACTTGTTATAATCTTCCACAGCCTCTCGAAATTGTGTCTCCGACGTGAGGGCTATAGCGCGGCGCAGCCTGCGCCTTATTCCAGTCGTCTCGTCGTTGAATTCTGCGGCCTCGTGGCTGGGAATGTAATGGTCCGCGACGGTTTCAATGACTTGTACAATGTCGTCGATGGGTCGAAATTCATCATTGTCTTTGGGAACCATGCAATCAAACCTAGAGGGAACACACGCCGTTAGTCCCTGGAATTCTACTTTGCCCGAAATACGCGACATACCGTTCCTTCCTAGAGGCACTAGGATATTGTAAAAGAATTTCCTTCGACTTTCCTGCGGCGCCAAAAGCCGGCTTGAATTTGCCAGCCTTATCGCCAGAGGTTATATCGGCAGCGTGTACCATCTTGAATGGCCGGCTGCCATCCTCCGAGAAGGCTTTCGCCGAGCGGATGCGCCGCTCCGGGTCAGGTTCTGCGCTGACCTTGGCACGCTTGCGTATTTCGAAAGAAGTATCGCTATCACTCACGTCGTCGTCATCACTCGACAGGCGCGTATCTGGCGTCGGACGTTTCCGTGGGCGACTCGGGGTTGTCAGTCTTTTCGAAAGACGTGGGTCTGCGTCACTCGAGACTGATCGGGCTTTCGGCGCCTTGTGACTCGAGGACTGGGCGCGCGGAGGTCGAGAGGCTGCATTCTGGACAGAAGGATTTGTTGGAGCAGCTGGCTTTGTCTGCACCACCTTGCGCACTTGTGTTTTCTTCGCCTGTAAAGAGAAGGCTCCTCCCTTTTGGAGGTGGTCGAAAAACCCCATCGGATGTTGGAGGGGAAAAGTAAAAAAAAAGATGCAGGTAAAGGAGCACGTGGAAGGAAAAGCGATACGATGCTGTAATGCTAATGCATAGAGATAGACGAAAAAGGCGGTGGTCAACGCCTATGTATACATAAAGACTGAACACGAATGAACGTATAATACTGAGGCGATGTTGAGGAGATGGAGAGTGATCAGGAACAAAAGAAGTATTATTGTGATGCGAAAGTGAAAGGTAATCGATAAGCAGCGCCACTCGGGGAAATCACCGCCGTGAGCGATAAGTTTCTTGGCGCATTAGGTACCCGGGTTCTGTTAGTCACCCCACTCCTCCCTGCGGGAGTTGGGGTTTCCATCCCAAAAGCTCGTTTGATCCAAAAGCTCATTTTCCTACCACCACCCGCCTATTTCGATTCTCTACCAACCCCAACCGTAGGAATTAATTCGAAACCTGTCGATTTCATTTTTATAGGCATATCTTTATATACACTGAAAATCTTGAGTTTCCCTAACGTTCCGTTGGTTAGGTATCGCCAAGAACAGGAGCGTTCTTCGCGGCCTTCCGACTAGTAGCTTCTGCTTCTTTCATCTCTCTAGCCTATATATAGCGTTTTGCATCCTTTCCTCGCTATATACTATTATAACTTAGGTGCTTCTTACTCCGGTTAGTAGAAAGTTTAGATAAAACCACTCTCTTTCGGAGTTATTTAGTCTTATTAGCTTATAATAGCTCGGTCTTATAGATATACTTATCTACTAGTCTTTAAAGACTCCCTATAAACCTCTTATAGCTCTTAATAATATCTAATTTCGATATAGTATTAAGGAGCCTCTGAGTTCGTCGGCGGGCCGTTCGAATTATAGTAGATATGACCGGTAACGAAATAATCTCTATATCGCTAGAACGAATAGCCTCTGGTAAAGATATATTACCGCCGATGAATTATAACTCGGGGTACGGCGGTACCTTCTTTTGTAAGGGCGTAAGGATAATCTCGGGATTCTAAGGATATATTCTACGATCACGAAAGGCATAGATAATAGTATCGCGCTTAAAGGCCTTCTTACGAACCTCGGGTATAAATACTAGGAAATTAGCCTTATTAGTAGCTATACCCCCCTATCGTATTACCTCGCTATTAGCCTTACGGAAGTACTATTTAAATACCCGAAATAGATTTCTATCGAGCGGCTAGAGGATATCTATAGTATAAGACGGAAAAGGGAAGAGAAGGATATTCTTCTCTTTATAAAAGTCGAGGAATTATAGAGTTAAGTAAGAGCTATAGTTATCTATTAATAGAAGTCTTTTTTCTCCTTTCGACTTAGAGACTCAGTACTTCGTCTATATATAAAATAATCCGAGCTATATTAATACTAGGTAATCGGTAATCTATCTAGTCTCTGATATACCGAACTACTAGTTATTAGTAGTATACTTATACTAATAGGATAGCTAATACTTACCCGTTAGGATATAGAGAGATATTATTATCTAGCTATCTACTATAATATACTCTACGCTAGTAATATTTTCGCCTCTAGTAGTTAGAGAGCGCTTATTCTTATAGACTATTATCATAGATTAGTTAAGGCCCTACCTAAGCTAAAAGCCGGTCTTATCTATATTATAGATATTATATAGCTAGATATTATAAATCTTAATCTGCCGCTTAAGTAGATCGAAATAATAGGTAATTTCCCCGATATCTTAAGTATTAATCCGATCTTTCTCGAGCGTCCGGGGCTTACGTAATCGTAGTTCGGGGTATTTCTAGCGGACTCTTTATAGAGAGTTATATAGCTAGGTAGAGCCGACTTATAGCGCGTCGGTTCCCTCGGGCGCGTTTCTCTTCAAAATCCTATCTGCGTAATTACGTACTATCTTAGGAGTAGCCGGAATGTTTAAATCGTCTAGTTTAAAGAGCTATTAAACTATTACTTACTCCTAAATTAATGATAATTTGTTAGTGGTTAGGGTACGCTACGAGAGAGTTTTGCGACCGTCTAGACGCGCCTTAAGCGTGTGGCGCGAAACGCCGAAAGTACGCGCAATCGCGCTAATATTTAGCTTCTTTTGGCTCTGAGCTGTAGCTACAGCCTGCTAGAGGACGTCCTCGGAGAATTTAGGCATATTAAGATCGGTGTGTGGTGGTAAGGACTCGATATGGTGGGTGGTGGTAGGAAAATGAGCTTTTGGATCAAACGAGCTTTTGGGATGGAAACCCCAACTCCCGCAGGGAGGAGTGGGGTGACTAACAGAACCCGGGTACCCTTCAGCTCGGAGGGGTGAGGAAGAGGGCACATACGACATCCGTTTCACATCTCTCTGTATCTGCAGGTTGCGTTGCGACTGCACGAGGTTACAAATTTGTGAGCTTGAGGAAAGTCTCATTCATAGTCCGGGGATTCCTGGGAATTTGTGCAGAGACTGGAGGTTCTTCTAAGGCAGGCTTGGGGTCTTTATGGTCTGTGATCTGGAGCTCCCGTCTTTGTACAATAAACCTACAGATGTTCTTCTTTTGCTGCATGTCGTGTAATCCAAACCCTTGGTCCTCGGGTATCTTGCAAATTCAAAATCTGATCTATTCTATACATCATGTACATCAGAAGGATCAGGACTTCTTCTTCGCCAAGCGCTTTTGTGCCCGAATATCCTTCTTCATTCGGGAATCAACAATCTTGTATCGGCCCTTCACACCCTTGGGACGACCAGAAATACCACGGTTGGCGCCCCGAGCAACAACAAGCTTGACTTGCTGCTTGGGCTTCTTCTTAGTGGCCTTGCCCATCAGCTTGGAGATAGCTTGGGCCTTGTCACGTTCACTCAAGGCCTCATCATCTGCCAGAAGTGCGGACTTCTTGCGCAGCTTCTCCAACCTCTGGGCAGCCTTAAACTTCTTGCGACCCTTGGCCTCCATCACCTTCTTGATTGGGCGGGCGTTGATCGCACGCAACTTCTCCTTGATAGCGGAGGCGGCAGCCTTGGTGACCGGACGCTGAATCTTGCTGTGCTTGCCTTCGTCATCAACGAACCATTCCGGGAGACCGTCAACATCCCGGAACGAATAACGGTGCCAGCCGTCATCAACAACATCCGTGGCCCTCTTTTCGCCGGAAGCCATAGCCTGAGCCAATGCCATAGCCTCAGCAGTGATGATATCAATGTCTGGTAATAGTAAGACGTTAGCAAATGCCATCGTAGGTACTGATCAAGTGAGTGATTCCACTTACCAAGTTGACCATTGGCCTTGCGTGGATCGCGGTCTTCGTATTCTTCGTCCGAGTCAGCCCACTCAGATTCCTCCTTCTTCTTAGAATCCTTCTTGGTCTCCTTCTTGGTCTTGGTCTTGGCCGAAGTAGACAAAACCTCTTCGTCCTCTTCGACTTCGCTATCCTCTGAATCTTCATTTTCTTCTTCCAAGTCATCGTCCCGATCGTCGTCGTCGTCGTCGTCGTCTTCTTCTTCTTCTTCTTCTTCCTCCTCCTCCTCCTCCTCACCAATATCTTGGAACAGATCCTGATCAAAGAACATAGAAGCGTGGTTGGAGAGTTTTTCGGACTTAGGCGCAGCCACAGCTGTCTCTGAATCTGATTGGTCCTCTTCCTCCTCTTCCTCGTCGCTCTTGTTGTCCTCGGAGAAGCCGTCCCACTCATCGGCCTCGTATTCTTTACGAGCCTTTTTCGCACGTAGCTTGGAATCCTTGTCCTCCATGCGCTCTTGATAACGCTCATACATGCTGTCAAGCTCACGCTCAAGACGGTCTCCATCGTCATCGCTGTCTTCCTCCGATTCAGAATCCTCCTCAGTGTCGCTCTCGGCAGGCACATCACGAGCGTTGACAACTGCATCTCTGGCACCGAGTCGATCCACCCGCTTCAACGAGAAGGTAGAATCCTCTCCACCGGGTCCGACCTGTTCCATACCAATATCCATGGGAGTGGTCATGTGCATTTGCAAGCGTACAATCTCTTTCCGCTTCTTTTCATTTTCTTTGCGTCGTTCCTTTTTGCTGCGAGCAGATTCTTTTTCGCGCATGCGCAGGAGTTGTTCTTGAATAGCCAGCTCCTCGTCCATAGGAGCAACTTCTGCCACCTCATCACCCTCACCATCCTCCTGCTGCGGCTTCTTCTTGACGCTAAGGCCGAACTTCTCACGGACCTTCAAGCGCCATCGCAGAAGGTTTCGGAACTCTTTTTTGCCAAGGATTTTCAGATCCTCACAACATGTCCGAATCTCGTCCGTAGTTTCTTCGAGTCTCTCCAAAGTCGACATGGCCAGATCTCCCCCGATCGGTTGCTGGAAGCTCAGTTTGTTGTATCCTCCCAGAATAGCGATCGGATCGGTGGTGTTGATGAACTCGGTGACCGGAATTTCCTTGTGCTGAGTGTAGTCGCCCTCCTCGTAACCCTCACGCTTACGCTTCTTCTTCTCGGGGTTGAAGACCTTGGCCTCGTGGTTGGGGGTCGGATCTGACAGCTCAGCGAAGACGTGCTTCGGATCGAGGAATTTGGGATCGATGTGTTTGGGTGCTTTAAAGCCTCGGCAGACGACGAAAATTTCGGCAGACACATTTCGTGATGAAGGAGGCTTGGTTGCCTCAACGGACTGGAAAAGCTGCTTGAACACCCAGAGCAGAGGATTGTAGTCTTTAGACCGGAAAACTTTGGTAACGAAATTTCCACCTTCATTCAAGAATTCAGTGGCCAATTTCAAAGACTGTAGCACAAGCTCGGCCTGAGAGAAGGCGTCTTGAACCCAGGCAGTACCGACATTGGGAGCACCGTCGTGAAGAACAGTATCTGCCTTCCAATGCTTCAAATGTCCTCGAATCGTGGAACGACACTTCTCGGTAGTGATGTCGCTTTGGAAGGTGATGGTTCGAGGGATGGGCTTGATTGGGGCGAGATCGACGCCGATGATGATACTTTGAGCAGGCATACATTCTGCGGCGACTTGACACCATGACTGAAAAATCGTTAGAGCGGAAGTCCCTGGAAGACTTCGATATCATCGGTTGGAAAAACTTACACCGGGAGCAGCGCAGAGATCGATCAGGACCTTGCTCTTTTCCAGGAATCCATACTTCTTGTTCAACTGAATCAGTTTGAACGCAGCACGAGCGCGGTATCCTTTCTCCTTCGCCAAACGATACCATTTATCCAAACGACCTTTTCCGTGCTGATAGTGGTGATTTTGTTAGTATACGTGACACAAGGAGGGCGGTAGTTGACAGGATACCTTCTTCTGAATCGCCATTTCGCGATGAAGATGGTCTGAACAAGGCTCAGACTACCCTTTACACAGAATGGTAAATTCAAGGTTGCACAAGAACTGTATACCCTTTACCCCAGCGGCATCTTTGGAAAGAAAAAAAAATGGCGAACTTGTCGCTCACCGCCTTCCGCGGATCCACCACCCCTGACAGCCTGAGGCCAACAATATCCGCACTTGGGCCAGGCCAACAAGTGACGTCTGTGAATCTAAGGCTGCCGGCTCGGAGCGTGTGGTAGTCCATTTTCCTCTGGGACATATCAATAGTTTGACTTAACACCCTTCGGAGTGACCAGTATATCCAGATGACATTATTCTCGCCCCAATGATTGGCAAGGGATCTCGCAAACGAGCAAAGGCCAGCCCTTCTGGGGGAGACTCGCCGACGTCCCCCGCGTCTCCCACGTCCCCGAACAGTAATGCTCCGGACAGCTCGAGCGCCCAAGTACAGAACCAGACGGTATGTCTGGGTCTATGAAGTCTGGATACCTCTCGAAATACGAGCTAATAATTCGTGTGTAATGAACAGAGCTGGTATCCCGGGTCTTGGCCGGCTATCTCGCGCGCATACAAGGCAGCACCAATTACCGAGGTTGCCCGTGAGAGCATATCAGCGGCGCAAAACGTAGCCTCAAGCCTACTTGAACCCCCATCTTCCTCCTCCCTTCATTCAGCCCGTCCGAGTCGCCATTCTTCGTTTCAGCTTACCCAAAAGTCTGGGACATCCACCAGATCTCTACCCGCCGGTGCCACCACAACTAAGGTGAACATTGCGTCGGATGGTTCAGCTTCTACAACAGCTTTAGATACCCTGGAGCCACCGCGGAAACTGGCTGCGGACCCCCCGCACGAAGACTCAGGCGCGAATTATGGGCCGTCACAAACTGTAGTGGCAGACGAAGCGCGAGACAGCCAGAGCTCGCAGACTGGAGGTGAAACTCTTCAGGTCACGCAAGAACAAGCGACCCAGCCAAGTGGGTGGCTTTCGTGGATATACGGAAGCTCATACGTCGAGAAGGATAATACTGCTACGATAGATGTTGCAACCAAGACAGATCTCCAGCCCGCAGATGAAACCACGAAACAGGCCAGCCCTCCTATAACCGCGTGCGACGACAAGGGTGACAACGCTCCGCAGAGCCCCGACGAGAGTGGAACATCAGAGGGGGAGAGGACTGCCGCCGAAACCGGGGGAAGAGCTCAAAAGCGCTCGTGGCTGCAGATGTGGTATGGCACAGCTTCGTCAAGCCAGCAAGAGCCGGAAATCGCAGAATCAAATCCGCAGTCGGACTCACATAAAACTACTCCAGAATTTTTCGACTCCAACATGGCCCCAAAGAGCCCAACCGATCAAGCTGAGGACGCAATGCCTCAAAATAAAACCACAGCGAGTCCAGCGAAACCTTCAGGCTGGTCTTTCTGGTCCAGAGATACCTCGCAAGATACTACGACTGCAAAGAAAGTCCCAGAAGCGGAAGTTGTTGAAGCAACTATAACTCCCAGCAACTCCAATGAACCCACCTCAATATCCAAGGAAGACCTTCTTGTCAGTACGTCGAAAAAGGGAACACTGAAAATCAAGCCATCTCATGAGAAGCGCCCCAGAGTTGAGAGCCTCGGTCCAACCGAATCTCAAACGACAGACGTGGTCGCTGCGGACTCGAGACCAGCTGAAGGCGCAGCATCGAAGCAACTGCAGAAAGTTCTACCTAACCAAGTCCTTCCTCAATTCGAAGATACTTACGCGATCGAGGAGTCGCCGTCATTACTGCAATCCCTGGGCCGTTTGTTACACTACACTCAAAGCCAGCAGCATGTCCATATGGCCCGAGTCAAAGAACCACCCCGCATCAAACGGGCTCTGGCTATTGGTGTACATGGGTATTTTCCAGCCCCATTGATCCGGAGTGTGCTAGGTCAACCTACCGGAACATCGATTCGCTTTTCGAATATGGCCGCCGATGCCATTCGTCGCTATACGTCTAATCGCGGCTATTCCTGCGAAATTGAGAAGATTGCCCTGGAGGGCGAAGGTCGCATTGCCGAGCGGGTTGAGCTCCTATGGAAGCTACTCCTCAATTGGATGGAGGAAATTCGAAAAGCCGACTTTATACTGGTAGCTTGTCACAGCCAAGGCGTCCCTGTGTCCCTGATGCTGGTTGCAAAGTTGATCTCTTTTGGCTGTGTCAATGCTTCTCGTGTCGGCGTTTGTGCAATGGCGGGTGTAAATCTGGGACCATTCTCTTCTTACCGTTCGCGATGGATCAGTGGCTCCGCAGGTGAACTGTTCGAGTTTGAATTACCGTCCAGCAAAGTCTCAAGAGATTACGAAATTGCGTTAAAACGTGTCCTTGATTTCGGTGTTCGTATATCCTATGTCGGCAGCATCGACGACCAATTAGTGTCATTGGAAGTGAGTGCTTGCTCCCGCTCCTCAAAGACAGTCGTGCAACAGGACAAGGCTGACATTCCTCTTTTCTATCAGTCATCACTCTTCTCTACCGTCACTCATCCGTACATCTACCGATCGGTCTTTGTGGATGGAAGGGTGCACGCTCCTAGTTTGTAAGCTTCTCACGTTAACTTGTGGCATGACCCACGCTGATCCGGCCTTCCAGTCTATCCCATCTCGTCGGGTTTGCTCTCAAACTACGAAATCTGGGAATTTCCGATCATGGTCTCATTCGAGAGCTGAGCAGCCCACTGGCAGGAAGTCTGTACACTGGCGAGGGACACTCCCGTCTGTATGACGAAGAAGCAGTTTATTAGTTCGTATCACTTCACGCGTGCCTCCCTCAGAGCGGAGGGACCTGCAAATCACAGCTGCTAATGTTCATCAACAGTATGGCAATTCAATTTGCTCTAGAAACAACGTCAGTTCCGAGCGCCCAGCTGAGCGTCAAAAGATCCAGCCCTGCCGTGTCCCCTAACCCATACATCCTACCATTCGCCATGCGTGGTCTACTCGAGGAGGAATATGTCAGGCGCGAGCTACAGGAGGAGACGATGGAACTCCTGCACCAGTTTGACGAATGGAAGCCTTCTACTAAAGTCCTCAAGGATGTAAAGTTTCGACTTGAGGGCATTCGCTCAAAGCTGTGACCCCTATTCAGTACCTCAAATTAGCTTTTTAAATGATATCCCAAACTCGCACTTTGCCTTGAATAGGTTTGATGTGGCGCTAGTAGCTAATACGTTGATCGCGTTTGTGAAAAAAGAGGGCCGAAGGTTCCTGAGTCATTGCCTCCTTTCAACAAATGTAAGCACGAATAATCATGCGGTACGAAAGGAAGGCGAGGAAAGCTGGAGTCCGGCGCTTGTGTTGAAGAACACCGATGATCCGTGTCTACAGTCTAGTCCTGCTGCCCAGACATTGAAGTACAAATTAAAGGTTTCCCCAGACTCAGGGAACATGATGATCTGCAACAAAGCATTAATATGCACGAAATCTACCCATTTTTGAGGAGTTAGAGAACAATAATGGAAATAGAATCGAACCTAGTATTTCTGACGAGGGTCTCGCGAGGGCGCTGGGCCAACCTTGGCGTCTACTGTACTGAGTACTGAGTACTGAGTCACTGACCACTTCGGGGTTCGGTCGTCAATCACCTGCACGATTTAACAGGATTACAGTCCAGGTTTGAGGAGTGACCCGCTAATTCAAAACACGTTCCATCATACAAAACTCTTATGTAGTCCCTCTATTTGCACCCTGGAATTCTCAATTTTCATCAACACTCGAAGTCAAGATGACCGAACCTGCTCAAGAATGCTCGTATTCTTGGTCCAACTGTACTGTGTCTTCGCTGATCGGGACAGAAATCGGTCTCGCCATCGCTTCATGGGCTATCTTATAACGGGGCGGGTCAATAAGCATAGTGACAGACAATCCACAGTGAGGAATGATATAGAGAGCCATGCACCTGGTATTTTGCTCAATTCGCTTGAGAGCTATAGCAACCCGTTCCCCGCCCATGGCGACTCTCCCAGCTACACCCGGACACGCTATTTCTGGTAGGAATCGAGACGGCGGGCATCCTTTTATCAGTCGACAGGGCGCAGGACATGAACCTAGAAGCAGCGTCGACAATCTCAATCGGAGATGGGTGTCCAATACGGGCCTTAAATGGTTCCTTCGTCTCGGGGCTTCATCTGCAACGAGATCGGGACTCTTGCTGCACAACGTTTGCACGCTTGTTCTTGGGGTCACTTTACAGGCTGACAGCAGTTATGGGACAGTGCTCTGTGAAATTCGGATCTCATGAAGGAGAAGGTGGCGGGACAGCTGCATGCGCTCAGTCACGCACTCTGAGAGCCGTCCTGGACAGTCAAGTTTTGCTACATCACAGCTGTCACTTGCACAGATATTCAAAGTGATATGTCCCCTTCATTCCTTGCCTGGGTAAAGTGAAGGTGCAGGTATTAGCGGAAATTGGCCAATTGAAGCGAGAGCGGTCCTGCCGTCGGGGCTTGGCCCAAGGACGTCATGCTGAAATTTGACGCTTTGAATCATTTTGCTATGTAGCAATGACCAGAGTAGGGAGGGAGAAAGGACTCCGGGGGTCGTTCACCAATGAATGGGCACTGCTTATGTGATCGACCACCTGCTATACATTTGTTGAGGAAAATGCCGTCTGATATGCACCATGTACTTCATCTGTTGGGTAGCTAGGTCAGTTGACATTGTTTTGCAAGAAGAGAGGAGGGCTAACACATACCTCGCATTCCATCCAATGCTTCAAACGCAAGCGAGTAGTTTGAGATAGCTGCAATGATCCGTTCCAAGCCGAGTCTCAACTCCTCTACAATGGGATCCGTGGCGTGCCTGACAAGCTCGTTCTCGGAGTCGGAGGACAACTGCTTCGCAACACGAGCTTTGTAAAATATCATGAGCATTGCGTAACTGCTTTGCATGAGACAGCATGAAAATGACGGCATTGTTCGTGGCAGAGGCTGCCCGGTTGCAAGTATTCGGGCTGTGCCATTTTCGGACAAGGGCTGTGGATAAGGCAGTGCCTCGAAGAGGCGAGAAATAGTAAGTGCAGACCGAAGACAAATTTTGGCAGATTGCTGAGGACTGTATGGGAAGCCAGACGCGAAGGGATATTGTGGCCAAGTGGGCACATAAGGATGAATATCGGATGAGGTCGAAGAGTCGGAGGGAGTTGGATATTCACTGGAAGGAGCACGCTGGAATTGATCGAGATTACTGCAAGTGCAAGAAATGCTCTGATTTCCTAGCACGCGACTCGCTCGTTTCACTGGGACTTCTGTTGGAATGTTTGCTGAATTTGCCGCACTGAGATCGCAGTGTCGCTTAATGAATATGGGAATATCGGAAAAGGCCCTGAAACGATGGGTTTTTATTTGTGCACTGCATGAAGATCAGTACGGCAGACATGAGCGAGGGGCTTGACGGCTTGCATCTTTACCTTGATAGTTTGATTCGTGATATTGCACGTATACTTCGAGCGGTTGTTGTTTCGCGTCGATCGCCAAAGTCAGGCTCAGCCGGTGGGGCGGAAAGCACGTCAGTTTGCGCTATCACTGAAGTGGTCCATGAGTCAAGCTGCTGCATACGCTCGAACATGTAGTGCAGGTCGGACTGCGTAGCCAAGCTTTTATTGAGGTCCGATATGTACTGGGTTGCGGACACCAAGACTTGCTGTGATTGGATCAAGATGGACCAGCCCTGTGAACCGCTTAGCAAACGCCATAAATCCCTGGAGAGACAATACAGTAAAAGACGAAGACAAACCTCAGCGTCTGAATCGAAATTGGGATATGGTGTTGTAAATTGAGGGTCGTTGATTACTATCGTAGGCGGCTATAGGCGTGTGAGTATCTTTCCTCTATTGTAATCAGCCTTCAGGGCCAACACTCACAGTTGTGCTCACAATCGAGCCTTGTAGGACACAATAATACTAGAGAAATGGACCAATCAGTCATGCTGCAATGGAGGTCGAGTGATGAACGTGGGGAAATACCGTCATCCACCAAGCCCTTCGTCGAGCTTCAGACATATGGTCGTTGTCATTGCACGAATGAAGGTTCTTTTCGAGGGCAAGAGCCAAAGCCTGACCGGCTCGGTACCTCATTTTCAGCAGGTTTCCTCGCTGCGTGTATTCGTAGACGGAGAGGATCAAGAGCGCCAGAACCGTCTCGATGTCTTCGGGCGTGGAAGGGTGGAGTCTGTCTCGATTGACCGATGGTCGCATACTCGACAAAGCTTGACCGGGATATGTAGAAGATAACTCAAGATCACACTCCGCTTCGATCATCGAATTGGCCAATTGCGCAAATGAGTGTGCGTATGATCTGCGTACAAGGACTGAAACAGACGCGGATGGCTCCGGATCCTCTGGATGAGGAATGAGCGCAAGGACTGCTGAAATTGCCAGGCTCAATGGCGACCGAGGCTTATACATCATGACTGGCTCGGAAGTCGGCTCTGAGGACACCGGGCAATGCAGCGGCCGATCCTCGAACTGTCGGGAGGGCCGCGGCGGCAGTATGGGAAAGTATAGATGGATGAAGTCATAGTATGCATTCAGACTTGAGAAGGTAGGTCAGCAAGCTTTCAACGTAGTCAGGGTAAACGTTTGCCATGGAACTTACATGTCAGACTCGGTTCCGTACGTTCTCACGAGGCAGGACCTTGTGCTTATCGTGGATGGCATGGATTCCATCTGAAGCGGAGACGAGCTATCTTCCCCGACGTAGAAGCCCTGGAACAGTGATCCGACATGAGGGTAGTCGAGGTGCCGGAGTCCTGCACCTGGCAAAGACAGTACGTCGATTTGGTTGAATAACCCCGGTGCTGTGACAGCGTCAGCGACTCGACCTTGATCGTCACAGTCCACAGGAAGGAACCAGCTCACAGTCACCGAAGTCCGTGGATGAATCTACCATGTACTGGGTCTCTCCTTGCGAGGCTTCCCTTTCTGGCGAGCATGAGGACTTTTGCTTCTTTTTGCGAGGACCACCCCGTTTGCTCGGTAAATAAGAGCATTTCCGACCTTTGGCAACACACTGCAATAACGCTCACCGTTAGTATGATGATCTAATCACGAGGACTGGAAAGGGTCAATCGAGTGTCTTTTTGTAAATATGAAGCATCTAGGGTTAGACAACGAGAGCTGAGGGCATATCAAAAAGCTACAAAGAGAACAGCTGCTTACGTTCGAACATGGATCTTGACCACCGCAGCGCGTTCGGGAGGCGCGACTAGGGCCGATTGTTAGAGACCACCTTTTCGGCTCGACAATCACGCAGAAGAAACCAGACCGAACGAAGGATGATCACGATATATCGAACACGGTGACATACCATGGAAGGCAAGCAAGCTTCACGGGTGGTTGAGCGAATTTCTTGCGAACTGGTCTGGATGCCGTCAGGGCAGGCCCGCCCTCAGTTGGGACCGCATCGACCATAGCGAATCACACTTGTCGAATGGCATAGGGCGTTATATTCGGTTGCTCGGGTCTCACCTGCGCTCTTTGTCGCAGCTCGTTTGGAGAAATTATGGTTGCAGCACTCTATCCTCGATTAGCTCTATCGGCAACGGACAGCACTCGGCAATCTGCGTTCGAGCCTGCTCGTCGGCTGACTTTTGTGGAGCTGATCCAAATAACAGCAGGAAATCTCCTGGCAGAAGAAGTGACGGAGCTCTGATATAGAAGAGGCGTGCTGATTGCACGATCGCAGCGCCTCCAAATCCCGAGCCGTGGAGATCGGGATTTGCTCTGCGGGATGGCGGATGCGTGCCATCCTCCTGAGTCATGACTTTGTGGCAACCGCATACACTGTGGGCCATAAAGTACTCATCTATCAGATCGATCGCAACGGCGATTCACGGTGCTGATGAAGTCACCGTGTTCCAGATCCTCGGAACATCTATCAAACTCAGCTTGTTCAGCGTGGGTTCTGGATAATCTTGACTCGGCCTTTTCCCACACCTGCATCTGTTTAGTTGTTAACCGGTCAATCCAACTACGGGTCACGTGTCTCCTGAGGTATGCAGCTTCGAGTTCTTTAGACGTTGTGTCCCCTTCGCCTTTCTCAATAGTCTATCGTATTCGTTCCATGAAGCCACGCCCGTCCAAGGGCTCCGTGCATCTCACATTACCGTAGACATGCTACTGCCTCGTCCTGGACCGAGTGCATTGTGAGCCTCGACGATCACTGGCTAGACACATATCGGTCAACTTCAACATTTTCTAGATCTAGATCCTCGGACTGTCAGGCCGGTTGGACATACGAGAAGATCAAGGGATAGCTCTAAATATGGGTGCATTTATGTGGTCGCCATAGGGGGCGACATTCATCGTGAAAAAGAGAATTAAAGCCCCCTTTAACCAGTCCTTACCACACTTCGACTATCACCGATCTCTATCCTGTTACAACTTGAGTGTATCAATTTGCTAGACGGGTCATTGTCACTCCTCTTCATGATATATCGCGTGCTGACGCTAGCACAGACCATGTCATTCCCTGCAGAGGACCGTAGCAGGCATCTGGGAATATTTTTCAGGCGGTTCACAGCGTTTCAAGGGAAAATTTGCCGGCCGAAAGAGCAAACCCAACTCCACCGGCAGGGCTGCACGCTGTAGCGAGGTCGACCCAAGAGCTGCCAGTTTCACGTGGAAAGTAGTTGCAGATAACCTATTCCTGTTTCTCACTTCTGCTCGTACCAGGCGGCACGCGCCGCAGTCGAGGCTGAACCCGCACGTCTTGACTTTTGTCTGTTTCTTCCGCAAGACTGCCAACAACTGCGAATCATTCAACTGATCGACACTGGAGGAAGTCTTTTGCCTTTAGGATCGTCTGCTGGCCAAGGTAGCCCAGCCAGTATGTGTCCTTCTCGCTTTCGGGCGGAAGCAGGCAAAGGTACCCAGTGCCAGTACTACTCAGCTCTTGAGTCCAACAGACGTGAGCTTGATGCCACTCGTGAACCTGACACTATCCCAGACCGTATCCGGGATCTTGAAGGGCAGTTTGTGTCCCCCCAGCAGTTGATCGATGAGCCACATCCCGACCACGAATTCCTCTTTGGTGAGCAGTCCGATCTGCTGGCTGTCAACGAGATCCCACACCTGACCTAGCACTGCGGGTGGCAGGCGGCTACGGGACCAGATCTCGCGAGCGACCAGATTGAGTACCATGTCGGCGGGAACTGGCCTCGGGCCAGAACCGCTGAATCTGTGACGCGTCAGCTCCTGGTCCGTGGGGACGTAAAGCCCTCGGTTAGATGCCCAGACTCCTTCGTAGCGTTTACGTTCTTTCTCAGTGACTTCGCGCCTCCATCGTTTGCGATCTCCTTCATGATGTTTGTGAGGATGTTTGTGGAGCAGATTGACTTTGCGGCGGCGCGGGGACTCGGATTCCTCGACTTTCGGTCTGCTGCGTAATGTTGTGAGCATGCCTTTCGAGGGACTCATGCTTCGTGAGGGTTCAGGATGAGACGAGCCGGTAAACGTAAGTATTGATCGGGATCGTGCCCGTCGTCTTGAGGGAGGCGGAGGGGGGGCTAGCGTGGTCGCCGGGGACGCTCGAGCGGATGCAAGAGACGAGGCAACAATCGCGTTTGAAAGTGCCTCCTCGTCCATACTGCTTGACTCGTTCACCGTGGTCGAGCTGCTTGTTTGGGAGAGCTCGGAGGCGGAGTTGCCGCATGGCGCAGAAGAACGTATGGAAGGTCTGTCCCCGGGATTTGCGGTTCTTGTTGAAGCCCCTGGTACTGGCAGAGCCGCTCGGGACGGTACGTGTAGTTTAACATCATTTTTAGAACTTGCCGACTTTCCCGATCGTTGTGAGGGATGCGGACTCGATGTTGAAAGACGCACACCTGCGGCGCGTACTGGAAGAGAAGGAGGCTTGTATGGTGCATCTGCTCCCGCTTCTGATGATGACTCAGAAGCGGCGGGCTCGTCTCGGTCGTCTTTTGAAGTTGGATCGACTAGGTCTTGTTGGACGAACGCCCTTGGGCGAAGAGGGATGGGTGATCGTAAGTCGTATCGTTCCCGCAATGCCTGAGACGATTTGCGGCTGGCAGTACGAGCAGCAATCGTGTTCGCGGCGGCCTGGGCGATGTCGCTTTCCGAGCCCCGTGAAGGCGATCGTTCTACCGCGAGGCGCGCAGCGATCTGCCCTGGAGAAGGGGATTTGGAACGGGGTTGGATGCGATGAGGTGACAAGGTGCTGCCCGCCGTGAACCTGCCAATCTTCTCTTTCACGGACCCGACTTCTGGCCCTTGTTCAGAGTCCATGTCAAGTCGGCGATCGGCATCTCGATTCAAAGTACTCGCAACGGCATGTCCCGTAGACGTCGACCGTTTCTTGGTCGCATTAGAAGAGTTGGCAAAGGCTATCGTGGCGCCTCGCAGCGCGGAGTTGTCTCGGGGGGCCAGGGACGTCAACCGCGGGTTGCCGGCGGCGATCTTGGCGTCCATTTGCCTAACCCGACATGCAGAACTGCTTGACTTCCACAACAGACACGCCAAGGGGGAAAAGTAAGGTTACGTCACCAAACCGGCTCTTCAGGGGCACACTTGAAAACGGTCCGGACTTGCACTGCAGCTGCTTCAGACTCTTCAGGGTTGTCGAAACCCAGAGCAAACTCGGTCGCCTGATCAAGTCGTCGACTGTAGATTGAGATTGCGGTCCAGGGTCCACTTTTTAGGCCGCCATTTCGTGTGGCAGCGTGACGGCGTTCAGAGTCAGCAGTGGTTGATAACTTGATTGTCCACGTCAGGCAACGGCTTAGTGAGATTGAGATGTGCAAGAGACCGGACTCACTGGAAAGTCGAGGCGGGGGGATCAAGGTACGGAAGTATCATTATGCTGCTGTCGACAACCCGAGGTGGAATTGTTGGGATACCGTTTCCTGCACAGCCCCAGATAGGTAGGTGAACCTGTCAAGTCTCGCAGCCCAGTCGTAAATCATTTCGTAAAATATTGCAAACCCATGCTGGCCGGTGTCAGACCCAAGCTCGGGGGTGCCGTGGCCATGACATGCCAGAAGCCAAAGTAATGCGTTCTCGCTGGTCACGTCTAGCAAGAGAAAGGCTTCTGAAATATCATCCTGGCAAGATGCTGCCCATGGGCGACCTGACTGTAGCTGATCAGATGGACGCCGGTTCCTGGTCTCGTGACGCGCACCGCACTCTTCAACGACATTTATGCTAAACCAAGCTTTTAACTCCAGTCCGATTGTCTTTGTTCAAACCTTTACTGAACCATCGGTTCCAGTACTACTAAGTTGATCACGGTATCTCTCAAAGTCTCCGCTCCATCGTATTATTATTCACCGAGCCGACCCGTTGCCAATTCTGAGGTGCCAGGAGTTCAGAAGCCGAGGAACCAATCGCCGTCTGCTTCAGACCATCGCTTTCTCCGCAATTAACCCTGAGGGAAGTGGATAAAGTGGCCTATTTATCCTCCCGAATCAATCAGGGTCTTCTCCAACCCCTCTTGGATAATAATCATGATGGGCCAAGCCTCCGGAGCCCAGATGGGCAAGGCGAGGGAGCCCACACTCCACAGTCATCCTGACACGCTTTCCCCAGACTTCCCCCGGATTTCGTGCTGTGTCTTGAGGTGACGTATATCACAAGAACCTCTTGTTCGCCTTGGACATGCCATATCTACCACATACTGCAAGGCGCAATGCTCTCCGAGACTAAGCATGACCACGACGATTCCGTGGACCGCGCCGACCATACTATGCCGCCAATCGTGGATAATCTGACTGGCGAAGAGGCTCCTTCATATCAAGATAGCGGGGACCGAAGTGAACAAGCTGGCGCAAGCACCAGTCAGGTCAAGTGCAACGTATGCGGAAGCACATTTCGACGCCCCGAGCATTTGAAACGACACTTGCGCAGTCATACCAAAGAGAAACCTTTTGAGTGTGCGCAATGCGGCCGTCATTTCTCACGAACGTAGGTACTAAGTGCGTCCTCTTGGAACAATCTACCACGACGAAATGCTGACGTATCAACCGGCCATTCCAGCGATACACTACATCGCCATGAACTGAGCCATCATTCCACCGGGGGTGAAGGCGGAAAGGATCGTCCGCATCGAATTACCGTCAAAACATTCAGAGCCTGTTTCGCTTGTGCAACAGCTCGGGTGAGATGCAGTGGGGGTATGCCGTGTGGACGGTGTGAAACTCGGTCTCTCGATTGTCACTATCCCACAGAGCGCCGATCAAAAGCCAGGCTACGTGGCGTGAGGACGAAACGAGTTGCAGATGAAACACAAGCGCCTCGAAGATCACCACCTCGGTCGGAAGGTAAACAAGCGGACGGTTTGTCGCAGCCTTCTAATATCCCCGCCCATCAGCTCGGGCAATTTTCAGTCACCGATATGAACGAACCAACGCGCACTACCAAGAAGCTGCAAGCATCAAGCCACGATGAGTCCCGCGTAGCTGCAGCATCATCGCGTGACTCGCTCAATCGAATTCGCAAAGCGTCCTCAGGTCGCTCTCAGGTAGCTGCTCCGCCTTTAGAATCTGCCGTTGGAATCGGTAAGTCCCCCCCAGGCAGGAGATCCCAAGAAAAACTTGGAGCTCACAAAAGTTTGCAAGGACCAGAAGGCCACGTCACAGATGCAACAGACTTCAATCAATCAGGCAGAAGCTTTGGGACTGAGATCCTAGGGATTGACCTGGCAAACTCCTCGGAGTTGGCCATTGGCTTTGAGTCTACGATTTTTGATCAAGCACCAGTCAACACGATTGACTGGTTGCCGAATGAGCTATTTTTGGGCAACTCTAGTGATCATTCCTTTGCTGCAGTAAACTCACAACAGGTATTGCACAATGCGCCCCATCACAGTCCAACCACGCGATCCATTTGGCATCCCGCGATTATTGAAGAAAGGAATGCCGACTTCACGGGCCCTATTAGGAGAATGCACAAGTCATCCAATTCTATGTCTTCAAGAAGACCCCAAACGATGGCGAGACGTTTTTCCTGTCTAGATGGCGAGCCTTCAGCGCCTGCTGGCCCAAATGCGATGGGCAAGCGCTCGGCGAGCTTTCACATTGATGCTGTCAACGGCGGATCATCGAGACTCAGAAAGCACCAGGATAGGATTCATACAGCGAAATTACCCTCTTCCACGGGCCATGAGTTGTCTGAAGGACCTTCTACTCGCTTCGGGTTTCCCAAAGTTACAGGACTGTCTCTCGGGAGTGCCTCTGAAGAAGCTCTGCGCCTAACTCGACCTATTCAAATCTCCGTCTATGAGGAGATTCATCGAAACTTTCTGTTCCTTTGCCGGAACACTCACACAATATTCGACATGTTCGAAAGCGAATACTTTCCAAATCAAGAAGAATGCACGCAATACTTGGCTTGTTACTTCGACTCGTTCCAGGCCGTCTACCCGATATTCCACGTTCCCACGTTCGATGTAAATCAACATCATTGGATTCTTGCGCTGGCCATGATGGCGATTGGATGCCAAAGTCCGAAACACGAGAGCTCCAATCGAATACGTCTCGCATTCCAGGAAATGCTTCGACGAGCCATTGTTGTCGAGGTCAGCCAAGCCTGCCTCATTACTCGATTGGACAGCACTGACGATTCACAGAAAGAAAAAAGCCCGATCACTCCAGCGAGGTTAGATGTACTTCAGGCGATGCTCCTGCGTTGTATTGGAGTCTTATATAACAACGGCGAAACGGAGAGATCCTCCGCCTTGGGTCTTTTCAAACAGCTTGTCAAATTGTCTGAAGACAACAAGCTTCTTGTCAGCATCAGTCCAGAACAGAGTTCAGAGCAGGCATCCAATGAAGTTCTTTGGCTCAGCTGGATTGATAACGAGATCCGACGACGTACCGGTCACTGCATTTGGGTAAGTCTTGGTCACCACATTTGATTGAGGAGTTTGCTGATGTAAAAAGCTCGTGGACTGCTCGCTCGCTTACGAGTTCGACGAACGACCGCAGCTCTCTCTAGACGACGGACAAGCTCTATTGCCAGCCAGTGACAAACTTTGGCAATGCAAGTCGGCTGAAGAATGGATATCACTGTTGGATAAGCACACAGGTAACGAGGCTCCCGCTTCTTGCTTGCAAATAATCTGACCGAGCTACTTCTAGTCAACCAATCGCTCTATGACTCTGTTCACGTCTTGTACATTGAAAAGAAACTCGCCCCCGGGCTGAGCGACTTTAGCTATACCCTTCTCATTCATGCTTTGTATCATCGCATGTGGGAAGTCGGTGATTACTTTCGCCGACCACTGTCATTTTGGAATCCCACGGCCAAGAAGCAGTCCCGAGAGACTGCTATCCCAAATGGGTCTGTGTGGTTACCAGGTATCCCTTCGTATTCGAAATGGCGCAACAGCGCATGCGACTGCCTGGAAATTCTACATTGGACTGCGAATACCGCAGTCACCGGAGTCAGCAGGCCGGACAGACCTGCCATAGTACACCTCCATGCCGCCCGATTGATTCTTTTAACACCATTTCAGGAAATCCGGTCACTGGCCACAGATCTGGTCACAGACAGGCTACAATGGAGTGACCGTCATCGAGCGATCCAATGGCAGTACGTCTGGCGATGGATTGTCCACGACCAGTACAAGGCTCGGTTGTCGGTTATCCATGCTGGCGCAGCTCTTTGGCACGTTCAGCAATATTCAAAGGACTCATTCCATGAGCCCATTATCACTTTTCTCGCGGTCCTTGTCCTCTGGGCTTATGGATCGTGCTCTGTTCTGTGCTCTAAAGAACTCAGCCCTCGCTTGCCACCTCGTCAAAATCGCTCACTGCATCCCATGAGGTCCATACGCTTGGACCGACCATGTGATGACGAGCAGGTTCAGCAATTCGTCCGTGGAGGTGATTCCGTGAAGGTGAGCATGACAGGCATTCAAGACCTATGTGCGATGGATGGCCCCGAGAGTGTGCTACGACTTGGTTGTGAGATACTGTCAAGTTTAAATACTTGGGCTCAGTCGAAGAAATACATGGCAGTTTTGACGGGACTGGCCAGCGTCATGTCACATTACTCTGAGGCCGAGCGCAGCCACGACGCAGACATGAACGGCCGGGGAACGTTCTCGGCTCTCATGAGAGATGACTGATCACCAGGATAAAATCTACAGAATACATACTGACTGAACAATTTTGATTGAATGTGATCAGACCTCTTTTGTTTTATCATATATTCCTTAATCAGGTATCAAGTGCTACCCGCACACTCCCTCGATAATACTTGTCCTTTGCGACCGCCCTTGTACAGCCTGTCCCTCCACTAGGCAAGACGTGAGCGCACTCAGGAACGGATGGATCGTACCTGATACACTTACACGGCAAGCTTACCTAGAGAGCTCAAGTCCTGCAATGTTTGTTCCACTGTAGCTGCAATCCTCCTGGGCACGATTTCTGATCCGGTAAGCACTACCTAGGCCATATATCCCCCTCCCGAGTGCACTTATCGGTCGCCTTAGATAAAACTCTACATATAGCAATAGTGCATAATCCTTAAATGGATATTTGCGGGCAGAAATTCCAGACCTGATCATGTAGAATGTATGAGGACTCATGTCCACATTGTCCAGGTGCTCAGGGAGTGTACAGCTGTACATGCATTCAGCGGTTATGTGCATTTGCAGACACAGTCACACGTGCCGGGCCCCCATTAGTTAGTAGATTTCCCTACTCTTATCTTATCGGGTAGTTGCCTAAAGCCGTTTGGGGGCACCTTGGAAGCTCTACATGCTTGAACGTTTTCATCCTCCAGAAAGCTGCCAGAAAGGTGACAGTCATGGACTCGGACGAGATTGTCCCTGAAAATACGCAGATAGAAGTGGAGGACTTGGATGAGAAGTGGGTCACTGTCCTCTTGCTCGTCCCTCGAAATGTCCACATCACACTAAATCAATTGATCAGATATCCGAATCGTCCCCACAACCGTGGTCCAACGCTGCCATTTCATGACTTGTATTTGAATCTTTTTGATCCGCTCAGTGAAATTAGAAAGAAGCCCAAAGGCGGGTCAAGTCTAGCCAGAAGGAAGGCTGGACCAAATGGCAAAAGTGCGGCGAGTTTGAATCCCTACGAGCTTCGGCGTGATATCATTGCTCGTTTTATTTCGAGATGGCGAAAGGAAGTCGGCGACGACATTTATCCTGCTTTCAGACTGATTCTTCCTGACAAGGACAGAGACAGACCTATGTATGGCATCAAAGAGAAGGTCATTGGAAAGATGCTTGTCAAAATAATGAAGATCAACAAGGAATCCGAAGACGCCTCGAATCTTCTCAATTGGAAGCTCCCAGGGGTGTCTGCAGCTCGAATGGCAGGTGATTTTGCCGGGCGTTGTCATGATGTTCTATCTAAAAGACCAATGCGAACAGAACCTGGCGACTTGTCAATCGAAGATGTGAACAAGAAGTTGGATGAGCTGTCAGCGGCGTCCAAAGAGGATCAACAAATTCATATCCTGTCAGATTTCTATCGGCATATGAATCCAGATGAGCTAACATGGCTTATTCGCATCATTCTTCGCCAAATGAAGGTCGGTGCAACAGAGCGAACTCTGTTCCACGTCTGGCATCCCGATGCCGAGAATCTCTATAGCATTTCGAGTAGCTTACGCCGAGTTTGCTGGGAACTTCATGACCCCAATATCCGACTTGACGCAGAAGATCGTGGGATTGGACTCATGCAATGCTTCCAGCCTCAACTGGCACAGTTCCAGATGCAGTCCTTTGACAAAATGGTCTCGCGAATGCGCTCGACTGAAGATGATCCTGTTTTTTGGATTGAAGAAAAAATGGATGGCGAGCGTATGCAACTTCACATGGCTTCTGACAGCACGATTCCTGGGGGCCGAAGATTCCGTTTCTGGTCACGCAAGGCCAAGGAATACACCTATCTCTATGGAAATGGTGTGTACGACGACAAGGGAGCTTTGACACGGCATCTGGATCAGGCTTTTGCAGAGGGTGTACAGAGTCTCATTCTCGATGGCGAGATGGTGACCTGGGATCCGAAACAAGACGCTCCGGTCCCATTTGGTACCTTGAAGACTGCTGCTTTAGCAGAACAGCGCAATCCGTTTTCTGATGGGCCCCGGCCACTCTTTCGAGTATTTGACATTCTCTACCTGAATGGCGCCGATCTCACAAAGTATACACTTCGCGACCGCCGCAAGGCCCTGGAAAGGGCAATCAAGCCGATTCATCGTCGTTTCGAAATTCTTGAATATCACGAGGCCACCAACGTTGCCGACATTGAAAAATGTTTACGAACTGTCGTCGCCGAAGCATCGGAAGGATTAGTGTTGAAGAATCCGCGGTCGCCTTATCGACTGAATGAGCGGCACGATGACTGGATGAAGGTGAAGCCAGAGTACATGACTGAGTTTGGCGAGTCCCTCGATCTCATCGTAATTGGAGGATACTACGGATCTGGGCATCGGGGAGGTAACCTGGCAAGTTTCCTCTGCGGACTGCGTGTCGATGACCAACACGCCTCGCAAGGAACCGATCCGATGAAGTGCTGGTCATTTTGTAAAGTCGGAGGCGGTTTCACTGCGGCCGACTATCAAGAAATTCGTCATCACACGGATGGCAAATGGCATGAGTGGGATGCTAAGAAACCGCCGGCAGGGTTGATCGAACTTGCAGGAGGAGAGGCTCAACACGAGAGGCCGGACGCATGGATCAGACCATCGGACTCAGTGGTTCTCTGTGTGAAGGCGGCTTCTGTGTCTGTCAGTGACCAGTTTCGCCTGGGGTTGACACTGCGATTTCCCCGGTTCAAGAAGCTGCGCAAAGACAAGAACTGGAAAAGCGCTCTGTCGATTCAAGAGTTCTTGGACCTCAAGTCAAATGCCGAGCAGGAGCATCGTCAAAAGGAATTTTCTGTTGACAACTCCCGAAAACAAAAGCGAGTCAAGAGGACTGCGAATAAGCCCCTTACTATTGCTGGGTATGATGAACATGCAGAGGCGCAATATTCTGGACCCTCAGGACATATCTTCGATCACTTGAATTTCTGTGAGGCCAAATCCAAGACAAGCAAATCAACGCAAGCAGTGCGATCATCCGCTAATTTCTTTCCGTCTAGTTGTCATGACGGAGTCAATCACACCGGAGAAAAAGACCAAGGTCGAGCTTGAACAGTTGATCAAAGCCAACGGAGGCAAGATCTTTCAAACCAACACTGCTGCAGAAGACACAATCTGCGTAGCTGACCGTAGTACGTATCATGACCTCGGCCAGCTGTGAAGTAGGTGCCTGTTTTTTGACCTTAATTGTCCAGGGACCATCAAGGTCGCGTCGATACAAAAGAGCGGACAAGCCAACATTATACGACCTTCGTGGTTGATTGACTGCATCCAGCAGAACGAGAAAGACGCCGGTCTGCCGGATTTGCTGTTGCCATTTGAACCGAGGTTTGCTTTCGTACCTATTCTTCTCCTGGGCAACCTGTAAAAGACCAAAGACAAAGCTAATTTCTCAATCGAGTGGCTTAGACATCTGTTCTTTGGTTTGGAGGGCTATGAAGAGGAGATCAAATCGAATATTGATCGGTTTTCAGACAGTTACGCTCGGGACATTACGGTTGATGAGTTGAAAGAGGTACATCTGACGGACTCGATGGTGGTCGGTCAATTGTGCTAACGTTGGTAATTTCCAGATCATGAATCGCATGCCTGTTTCTGATGACCCAACTCAACGCCCCCCGAGTTACCAAGCCGCCCACAAGATTGAAGCTCACATACAAGGCAAGATTGATACTGGCTATGCGGTCCCTCGTGGATGGTTATTCCGTGACCTGAAATTCTTTTTTCCCGCAAAGCAAGCGAATAAAGTATCTGGTGAAACGGATCCAAACGATTTGCCATATACCGCTGGGGCCGATGATGTTCGTGTTGTCTCGGCTTGCAATACCGCTCTGTTTGGAGGAGCGTCCATAGTCGCTTCACTGAATGCCGGCACTGCCACCCATGTGCTTATCAATACAGCACAGACATCCTCGGCCGACATCAGGGCTCTGCGCCAATCCATCAGTACTCGATCTGGGCCGAAAATCCCCCATCTTGTCAGTCTGGATTGGCTGGAAGAGAGCTGGAAGCATGGAACACTATTGGATGAAGAAAGTCAGTCACTATCGTCATTGATTGGATGAGGCTCAATTTTCTCTCCCCGCTTGGCGGCTACATTACGTTGCATGTTGCTAACAATTCGTGTCCTCGACCTAGGGTTTCCTGTACCACGATAAGCTGAGGGGGTTGCAGGAGCGTGTATGATTTGTTGCTGGAGGAGCAGCTCGAGGTGTCGGACTCTCCAAGATCGTAGATTGTTTATTTACTTGTATCCTATGATTATTTGGCTTGATATCGAACGGCAATAGGTCTCTCTCTCTGCAGAAGAACTCACGATGCTTACCAATGCCGAACAGTTGATCATGGATCAGCAACTTACAAGCTCTCAACGCAACTATCGCGACCGTCATGAATAATACTGTCCTTGTCATCGCCATCGTCATCAATTGTCAAATGAGGCACATGCAACGCTTCTCCAGTAAATCCATGCATCTATGAGCTGCCAGGTAAACAGATACAAAAGAAGAAAAGAAAGGAAAAAGAGAAAAAAAAAAAAAACAGATCACTAGCTAGTGGCTACTAACTACTAACTAGTGCTCCAGCTCTGAGCGTGTCCATCAGTGCAAAGTACAAAGTAAACAGCTCAGTGCGCCCTGGGCAAAATCCAAACAAAAGAGAACCGGCCTATCCAAAGACAATTACAGCGATGCCTCGAGCCTGATTAGGTATTTCCTTCCTATCTGGCACTGGCACAGCGAATAGAGAGATTGTGATTGATCCTTGTACTTGGTAGTTAGGCAGCTACACTGCTACACCTGGGTAGTGGTACATACCTTAGATAATTACTGATATGTAGTTGCTGATGTTCTTGGTTGTTTTGTTTTTCTTTTTTACCATTTCTTCCTGTCCTACAAGTGTTTAAGTGACCAGTCTTCTTCTCTTTATTTCCGCTTCCGTCTCATGTCCGATCCGACACGAGAATGAAAGGCACTTGATTGGGTCAAGATAGCGGTTGAACCAGGGACCATATACATCCAGTACCCTGAGTGGTGAGCACTGAGCGCAGCACCTGCCTGTAGCTGACTAGCCGCGCCAGGGTCCGTCCAAACAAAAAAAGAAAAGAAAAGAAAAACATAAACATGGACGTTTTTGGCCTTGATTCTCCAACCCTGCCAACCCCCTGAAAGCTTGGAAGCTGGCAAGGTCGAAGCTATAAGATTATATCCTGGACGAGTCCCGTCGGACACCCGTCCACAGTTCTCACGGGCGCCGACGGAACACGTGCTTTTATCAGCAGAGAGATGGAGTCCGGGGGGGGGGGGTGCATGATTCGGCCATCGGGGCAGAGGCGCGGAGGTCGGAGCGGGTCAGCGATAAGAGACGGGACACGTGAGAAGAAGGGCACAGTAGTGAACTTAGTACATGACTACATGTACAATCATGTAACTTATGTAGTTAATTGAGGGGCTTAGACAATCAGGGCCAAGACAATCGGATTGATTACGAGGCACGATCATGTCCAGGATTCACCCAGACAAGGAAAGTGGAAAGAAGGCAGAAAGATAGTAAGACTAAGGGATGACTGGAATCGAACAGACCTCGGAAGATAATCCTAGAGAAGACCACCATTAAATGCACTGATGCAGTATTCCTGAGCCGTGAGCCGGAGCCGGAGCCGGACAGGTGTGCCTCACTACGACCCAGAATGACCGGGGTCATATGCAGAGCAATCGAGCGATCTAGAAGCCAAGAAACTCGCGAGTATTGTACCCAAATCAACATCAATGGGATTCTGGGATCATTAGGATTGACGGTGTATTCAATTTCACGTCGTAAATATGTATGACATGGAAACAAGGGAAATGTTCAAGACAGTGTCAAACGGTAATTATAAGTACACCGATACTTGGACCTTGGACTACTAGTAGATAACAGGTCACGTCACCGACCTTGCTCTTAGTAATTGGACGATGCTACTGGATCTGGAGGTAGGCGTGTATGTGTGTGTCTCTGGCTATATCAGGGCATAGTCATAGTGCATACTGCATTGTGCACAGTGCATACTGTATCAGTGCTGTTCGCAAGTTGAAAGACTCCAGGGTGGAGGAGTCGTGATCGAATGCGCTCGTCATGAAGAAATCTTAATCGCAGTGTCATGATTCAACAACGGTCCAATGATCAAGCTTCGCATCAGGGCATCGAACGGTTCTGACAGCCAGTCAGTTGAAGTCAAGAAAGTCCCACGCTCTGTTCGGAGCTCATCGTGGGGCTCCCAGGGAGAAGTAAAAAACAAAGAAGCTACAGCCATGTGGAGGGGTGCCACTGAGCGCACAGCACTCTCGAAAAAAATGTCATCTTAGCGAGGGTTGTACGCACCAACCCTCTGGCGGGAAAACTATGGCCGGCTGAATCGTGGGCAGTGGGCAGTGGGCATGATGGACAAAAGGTGTCTGGGGAAGAAGAACGTGGGCGGGTGATCTCATGGCTGGCCGCGTGGGGAAGGGATGATATCACGATGCAGCGGGGAAATTTCATGGTCGAACTCGGACCCCCGCGGTTGTGCATCATCAACTCTGGTTCCGTGGGACGCAGACTAACCTCGTTGTTGCCACTTTGCCTACGTTGGAACAACCCGGAGTTTCGAGAAAAAAAAAAAAGGAGTCTAGACTGGAGTGCTAGGAGGGTATAGTGTATACTATGGTATTGTTAGGAGAATGGCTCTCCGGAGTGATAAAAGTAGATGGTAGAAAGCAATGGCTTGCAAATGGGGGTATGAGCGAATATGAGACGAAAAGCAAGGAGCAGAAAAGGAGTGGTCATCAGAAGCGTGTCGACCGGGACACTTTGTAGAATGCAACGCCTCGCTGGCGGGACGCCAAAGAGAAAAGCAACAAAACGCCGAAGAAATGGAAGAGGTCGTAAAGGTACAGGGAAGCAAATGGCGCATTCCACGCCGGGCGTGGAATCACTATACGCATCTCCTAGATGCTCTCAAGAAATGGACCACCGCTCCGATCTATGCGGAGATGCCTACCCATCGAGTCGGCACAGTGTTGTTATCCTCGCCATCCTCGTAATCGCCAGACACACGGTAGGAGTTGCTCTTGCGTGGTGGAAGCATAATGCGCGCCCGTGGAGGAATGTCTTCGCGCAATTTACCACTGCGTCGCATGTTCATTTCAAGCACAACCATGCGGAGAAAGTCACAGTTTTCACGAGGTTCGCGTTGTCGCGACATCGAAGGCACCTCGGGATCAAAAACGTGATATTGATCCCGGTTCTTAGGTGCGACCACGTGGAAATTACTGCGCCGATTGCCCCGACCTCGAGAGCGACGATAGGTCTGCATCTGGATCGAAACGGCACAGCTGCTGGCGGGGGGAGAGTGATCGTGGGGCTGCTCGTGGTATACGCACATCTCGGCCGGGGAGATGGGGGTGGGGTTGAGGTAGCGACGCAAGGCCGGGGAAGGCGGCTGTTGCATGGGTGGTGGTCGGCGGTCATCCGTCATCTCGGGCGTGATGGTGAACAAGGACCGGGTCAGGAAATCCTCGGGTTGAACAGAGGGAGTCGCAAATGTGGACACCGACTGAGCCGCGGATTTGATGGCTCGCAATGAGGCTGTCAGGTTGGATTTGAAAGACGACTTCAAGCTTGGAAAGGATCGTGTCGAGGTAGTTCGTTTGGGTTGACTAGCCTCGGGTGTGGTTGGCCCAGAGTCACTGTCGAAAACGAGCGCCTCGCGTTCTTCCAAGGCTGATTCAAGAAGTGGGTGGTCGAGAGCACAGTCTTCGCCTGGGGCGTATCGCACAGTCCGCCTCTCTGGCATGCTTCGTTGGCTACCAGGCGTGGGCGGTTGAGGCGACCCCAGCGGCGAGCCCATATCCGGCTCCAGCGATGGGGTGGAATCACTTGAGGACGACGGCACAGAAAAGGGAGACTCGGGCTCCAAATCGGCACAGAGACCGAACTTTTCGCACTCATCTGGCGGACTCAGCAGAATATCCAAGGGGTAGCCCCCTCCCCACTCAAAATATAGTCCTCTCTGGACTTGATCCCCTCCTGCATGATCCGATTGAATTCCTCCACATAGTGTCGGCGTGGAAGCTTCTTGGGCCGTCGAGTAGACCATGACCGGCGTGGGACAGGAATTGCCGTAGCGTCCAGCATCGAGGCCACCGACCGCGGCAGCGGTCGGTCATTCGATGACGAGGAGGATGAGGACCGACGGGAGGCAGTCACCTTGGATGTCGTCCGGGAGCGCACCTCTCGTTGAACGGGCGTACGGGACCCACGTTTAGGTGGGATCACCATGGGAGTGGTCACCGTGGACGGCTCCGGGAGAGCTTCCAGGCGCTTGAACGTCTCCTCGTCCGGTACATTCAAGCCCAGCAGCAATGCGTGCTCTCTGATATCAAAAGTGCCGGCGGACTTTTTTGTCGGAGCCGAGGAGAAAGTAAATGCTCGTGGGACCATCATCTTCGCAGAATGTCAAGTTTGATCGGGGCGGCGGAAGTCTCAGAAGAAAGTCAGGCCGGAAGAGGCGCTTTGATCGAGGGTTTGGGCGAGATACATCAGTGGGTGAAATGGGTGACTGGATATGATTGCCCGGCGCTGCTGTCGGGGGAAGTCACAGCCAGAGCCGGAAATTCGAATCGACTATGAATGGTGGCGAGAAAGTAGCCGAAGAGGCGTTGCGTCTCCAAAGAGGGACGGCGGGTATAGTTCGAGATGAGGAATGTGAGCTCAACGGGGATGCGGGAGAGGAGAGGAGAGAAGAGAAAGCAACGGTTGTGGCACGAGATCAAAAGAGGTATAAGATTGACAGTCGTCGGGTGTGGAAAGTGGAGGCAGGAAGGGAATAGTAATAGTGCAGGACTGTCAACGCTCAAAGGGAAAGATAAGAGCGTAAGTATATAGTCGCGGTAGTGGTAGTGGTCCTGTGGTAGTAGATAGGCGGATGGTGGAAGTAGCCGTGCTTGGTGTCGGACGATTGTGATCTCAGCGGATGACGGGGTGATAAGAGGCGTGTTCATGGGCGATTGGGACTGGCGAGGGTCACACTTGAGGGAAAAGGTTGGGTATCCGTTTGGGTGATTTTTGGGTTCGTTTTGGGTCATGGCAGACGGCCAGGATTAAAAACCAACTGGCAACCGGAGAGACGGTACGATTACCGGTATTGGGCAGGTATGCCTTGGGAAGTTGGGAGCAGCGATGGAGAAGCTTCCCTGAGGGATCTGCCTCGCATGGTGGCTGACTGGCTGCATTGCGACCATGTCGTCTTGCAGCGGGCCACCTTTGACCAAAGCCGCATCGTCGATTGGCTCGGGGATGCAAAATCCTCGGGTGGACCAAATTCCAGCTTCCGGTATTTCCGCGGTAAGGAAGTGTTTGACTCATGACGACGACTCGTCTGGTAAGTTTGGGGCTTGGGCGTATGAGACGTGTCACGGCGAGTCCAACGCAGGTCGGCGGTACCTATGTACATACTGTAACCTCCATGTTGATGATTGACTCAATCTCCATTCGGAGCGGCCCACCCCAGTCTCACATTATTCATTTCCCTTTTCAGCCATGGCCCCTCCGGTCTTAGGCGACCACGACTGACCCGATCATTGATCGTGCGACCTGCCAAGTGGAGTCCGACGGTGGGTCAAGCTGTCTTGGGTTTAGCGCCTTGCTTAAGGTGGCATTCGTGCCGTTTCCTCGAGTCTCGCGGAGTCGCTTCTACGGCTGACGCCGCCTTGTGCTCCGTCGGGATTACGGGGTGGAATGTTCGACTAGTGGAGCCGTCGAAGCCCTGCAGCAGATCTCGTGAAATTATCGCTGGTTGATCATGGAGACGGGGCACTAACGTCCCGCGACTGCAACATGCCAACGACCAGAGCAGAATGCTCTCTCATATGGGTCGGTCGCAATATTGCTCGGGTTCGAGTGTCGGAATGGAATTCAGGGGAGACGAGATAGCGCAACGGTGAAACGTCTCCTACTTATTACTTTTTCTACCCTAGGCTCATTCACTCTACAAGTCTACAGTGTTGAGGAAACAGGACCATATAGCATACCTGTCAAAATATTGACCCTGGTCTAATACACCATCTTTCGTCTTCGTCGGGGTCGAACAGCACAATGGTAAAAAATAAACATATTCGATAGTTACTGTACGCTACAGTCACGACTCACGGAGTCAGGAGTCACGAGAGCATAGCAAACGTAAAACTTGTTGCTGAGATGAGAAAAACAATGTCACATGTTGTAGATGCCTGAACTCTCTGGCATCAACAAATCCCATTCAGCATTCGGGTTCGGTTTTCCTTCAGGCACCTGGTAAAGACTTTAGCGTCAGAAAATCTACTTCTCATCCGACTCTATTTCCAGGTACCCTTTGCTTAGTATCTCTATCCAACAACGCGAAAATCAAAACGAAAATTCTTCCTTTGGTGGATATCTATTGCCCCTTTCCACTTGGCTAATAATGTGACAAATAGCTCACAACGTTGCTCCCAACGCCGCCCCTTGCCTCGGCCCTTTCTTCCTCTCGATCGGACCCGCTCCCCTTCATCCCATGTGGGCCGTTTACATAAGGTTGAAGCGACAGTGGCCCGCTGAAGCGGAAGTGCTCAGTTAAGGTGGCTGCGACGATTCACTTGTAGGGGGCCCTGCATCTGAACCAGAGTTCAACGCCGCGACCGCGGTCCAGTTTGTACAGAGTAGTACAGACTAACTCTACAGAGCTACAGTACCTGCGTTCAGCCACCTCGAATTCCGTTCGTCTCATGGGTCAAGCACAAAGGTCATGAAACGCGTCGAGTCTCCCGTTATGCATCAATGAAAATGTTCCTTTGATGCCAGATGGAATCTCGCGTAAGCGCGTTCCTTGCAAATCTGTAGTCTCTGCTTGAGGTTTGGTATCATTGAATGCTTAAGAGGCAAGGGCATTTTCTGCGCAATATTTACCATGAGCCTCTTTGATCGCTATGCATCATGTCGATGCCAACTCCATTGCGATAGGCTGTAATGTACTGCTGGGGGTTTCTCTCCGGCCAAGGTTGCTCTGACGAGCATATATCTTGCCTGAAGGTTTCTCCATGACAACCCTCCTCGAGCTCTGTTTTTCAGTGAGTAAGGCAGCGAGTCACTAGGTAGAGTGGGGATCCCTCTCACGCCTTGGAGGGAAACTTGAACAGGTAATGACTCAGTCTTCCATCAATCAGACCCTCTGTCAGTCTCCGTTGACAACAACCCAAGTACCGCTCGCTGTACATGGTTCTGGCGGGCTGCGTCCCTAACTTCCGATAGATAAGAGATAACGGACAATCCAAAGTAGTACGCCACTACGCCTAACTTGCTAAGTACATCGGATTGAAGAGTTTAGGAGATTCGATTGATTGACACAACATATCCTGCGACGCAGACAATGATCATGACTGGCTCTGACAAACTGAGAGAGGAAAGGAGGTCGGGATTCCTCACTTGAACGACCTATGGACTTGACGGTAGAGTTTCCTGAATTGACTTTGTATTCCGACACTTCTAGCGGGCTGAGAGAAGCCGCTGCTCATCGTTGTCATCATCATTGCGGATCATTGGGTGGCACCGGACCGTGGCTGAGAGCTTAGGGCGAAAGTATATGTCTGTAGTTCTTGATAGTTGCTCAGCGGCTCTTTGAATTCCTATATTGAAATAGCAATCTCCGTCGATTCATACCTGCTAACTCATTTGCAACAACAGCATTCATGATGGATGCCTAGAGGCAAGGTAGAGAGATCCGCGTGATGACGTCAGCTTTGTTTACCGTTGGTGCTAGGAGGTCCCTTCAACTCTTCACATATCTCCAGAGTCTTTGCACCTAACAACGATATCGAGAGCAATCGTTCTCAACATGCCCTTCAGAGACGCAATTCAAGGCATCATCAAAAAGGCGGACAAGGCTTGGGAAGAGTTCAGTCATCCCACCTCCCAGCCACCTGGACCATCGAACAACGGGCCTCCCCCACCACCAATCCCAGCTGCCACTAGACCACCGGCGTATCAAGAGCCGGGCTTGCAACCCCAGATCTACTGGCAGCCCAACCTACATTCTCAAGCGCCAGTCTCCGCCAATTTCTATCATGAACAAGGTCAACATGGATGGGGAAATCAGGAGTCGCAGAACTATGTTGACCACCCGCAAAACTCATTCCATTCACCCCAGGGAGATGCGCTGATCGTGCGCGCCTTGATCAACCACGGGCATCCGGATCATGCCCAGAAATTTACCAGCGCCAGACTGTCGAGCCATCAGACCCTCGGTCGGCCACGAGGATGTCTGTCGGCTAGAATCACGGCGCCGGTTGCTCGAGGTATCTGGCCTGCGTTTTGGCTGCTGCCTAAAGACCCCTTCAAGTGGCCCGAGGATGGTGAGGTCGACATCATGGAGGCGTGGAACGGCGATGCTGTGAACCATACCTGTCTGCACTGGGGCCACTTCAACGGCGAGGACTGGGATAAGCATCGCGTTCTCGAGACTCCCATCCCCAACATTAACTCGCCTCAAGGGGTCCGATACGATTTCATTTGGGACGAGGACGAGTCAACGGGCAGGGGCCGCTTAGCCTGGCTGATTGATGGTAGGCCCATCATGAGAGCCGAAAAGCCACCGGGCACGAGGAAAATGAGCGATTTCAGAATTCTCATCAATATTGCTGTTGGAGGAAACGTCTGCCAGGGAGTCATGCCCAGTGACGGATGCTACGAGACTGTAGTTCGTGAATTGGCAATGTGGGACGCACCGCCTTGGGGTTGGACTCAATTTGAGTCGATCTGGAATGACTGCAAAGATGGCAATACCATGTAACTTCCAGCACGGATCTTCCGCATTACCACTCTGGAGCAGCCTCTCAACCTTCCCACGAATTCCGTTCATACCCCCGCTTTTGGAGTACATTCACTTCAACATCATCAGGTTCTACTAGGAGATACGCCGATTCAACCTGTGACTACATGGATTCATTCGCCCAGGAGACCAACTGCCGCACTTGCAACTTGACTGACCTCGAGTCCTTGCTCTACAGGCTTTGTTGTAGTAGCTACCTCGGGTATATCAGGAGTAGAGTATCACTGGGGAGCTTCGACTGAATTCTCTTATACTCGGCGCTGCTGATCCATTGCCTCTCATGAACTGAGATTGTTCACGATGTATGTTATGTGCCGCTTATTCTTAATAAATACTATCAAGTCATCGAGTATCGAGTATCGGGCAACTTGAGAAGTTGAGAACACTGTAATGCACTAGACACCTGACACATTCATACCGTATTACGGTTGGGCACCACGCCCACGTTCCTTAACCCCAAAGGTCGAGTCGCTTAAGTGTTGTGTGTTGCGAACTTATGACCAGTGGACCGCTAGCAGTAAAACTAAACACTGAAACGGTAAAAGTAAACAGTAGGAACCACTGAACCAGAGGTCAGTGAGAAGTCAGGGTCACGGGTGGCTGCAGACGTTCTAATCGGGAAAGGCTGCAGAGCGGCGGGCTCCGTGGCATATCAGTTCCCCATCCGTCAACCGAGTGACAAAAATCTGTAATTGTCGCACACACACTCGTTGACTTACCGACTGACACTCATATCCACTGTACCAATCCTTGCGCAGCCAATCTGTAATTGTTCTACAACCTTAAACCTACATTCAGGGCTGGTACGTACTTTTGCCGATAATCAACTCGGCGGTCAACTGGAGGTATTTCTGATTGAACAATTCCCAAAGCTGCTGTTGTTGTTGTTGTTGTTGTTGGTGTCACCGCATGTTGTTCCTTACTCGGAAGGGCCCGGCGAGTGGGCAGTCAAGACTTGACTCACGTTCCTGCATGAAGTGCTGGCGGTGATCGTTCATTCATGTATCCGCGAACAATGTGATCTCGTCTGGGAGGGACAGCCGTCAAGGTACTGTGGGCTCCACACTCCGCATGTCTGTGGCATGGCATGACTGAGATCTTGTGCCCTACGTGTGGTCCTCAATAGTGTACCTTACTATCCACATAGTCGTACAGTTGAGCAAAGTAGCAATTTTTACGTCTTTAGTACTGACTGTAGTAGTAACTTGTGGGATATGGATGTTATTGTCGAACTCACTGATGAAATCGATCGACACATTTTTGTATGGCTCACAGGCTGCCCCTTTCCCGGTCCCCACACACCCCGAATAAAGGGTTTTTCTGACCGTTTTTTTTTTTTTCTGTTTTGTGGTACAACAGAAGAAAGATACGCGTTCGGTAGCGGTGAACCACGCTGAGTTGTGTCCTTCCTGGTGTGGCTTGGAATTTGACACATTCACTCCGAGTCGTCGCTTAATTCACGAGTCACTGACTCCCATCCTCGCGCCAAAAAGGTCTTTTGTTGTGGGCCAGAGGGGCACACGTAATGGATGGGTCATTCAAATGACTAAAGGAATAAGGTACGACATACTCGAAGAACAATGTTTTGGAAATGAGATGCGCCCAGGGTTGTTGGTCTCGCAGCTGGACTCACTGACTCACCACGAGACTCACGGAATGTAGAGTCCCTCCTATTCAGATCCTACTCTAGATGAACTGTCCGCACAGAACAGTTGTATTTGATAAGCTGTAATTGAGAGACGGGCGTTCCTCACCTATTCACCGGCGAAATGCTTGATGTGTGAGCTCAAATGCTCTCGTAGTGTTCTGACCGTTAGACATGACTTAGAGCGGGCGTAACAGGGGGTTTTCATAGACCGAGTTTTATCATAGGTATATTACCTTAGACTTCATCGTCGCGACCAAACTACTAAGGCAGAGAGCCCGCCTGACCAGTCCACGTCAAGATTTCCATGCTAGTCAAGTCAGTCGTGGTTCAAGCCATGGATCAGATGCTAGACATCCAGCTAAGACTCCTGTTTCTGAGACTGCATCCGACTCGGCTGGAGTACCAATGGTCTCGGAGTCTGAGCTACTTGACAAAGTGACAGTCATATTGTGCGTACAAGATTGGACAGCCACGAAACCTTGTATTCGAACTCTACCCACTCAGATCCTGCACCAATGCGTTCATAGTGATACCTTTTCCACCATATGGAAATTGGAATATCGTGTCGATCAATAAGACCATGAGACCACATGATTTCTTGACTTAAGAGGCTGCAGTGCATGAGTCGCTCCACCTTGTCCAGGCAGGCGCACATGGACTGGTCATGTGATGAGACAGGAGCGATGTTGAGCGTTTAAGGATCTGACATCGCTCTCCTTTCTCGCTAACCAGCCTGCTTTAACGGACTTGATGGGAGACTGTCGGGGACCACCTGCTCTATCAGTAACACCTACTGCCTAGTACTAGGCTCATTGGGCCGTGCTGCCGGCTTGCCCGGTACTGTAAGTCTACTTCCTTGGAAAGAGAGGAAGTTCTAAAGGTATGGGTATGGACTGGACGGGGCCGCCTAAGTTGCCCATGGATGGCTGAGTCAGCTATGGAAGCCGGCCGCAGCGTTATCTGAAGGCCAGTTCCATCACCTGTTCACGAGAAGGCCGCCTATCGATTACTCTGGTCTGGCCAAAATTGTAGCCTGACGAAAGCTCCGAACGAGTGGCTGACTGCAGACTCTTCACATGTCACCATTCGACTGTCTTGAAGATAAAACCTGCCGAACTACCACCGTCTTCTCTTGTGGAGAATAGTATCCCACGACGAGATCTCCTATCGCTCGATCACCCCGCAGGATTTCCACATCAGCGTTGCCTCGTTCTGTGGGGCTTATCTGCGGGGCTGGATCATAGTCATTGTCTCCAGTGACCATAACGGTACCGAGCAGTGTCTGGCCATTGAGGCTGGTAGAAGCTGCATTGAAGTATTGCCTCTGGACATCAGCCGAGAGAGACGACCGATCTCTTTAGTGCCGTGTGGCTCCTGGGCCTGTTGCTCCTCCTCTTAAGGTGCGGTCAATTCTGTCTTCGTGCCTCATCTTCGTGGCTTGATACGCCAGCCTCTACAGTCGCCGGGTTCTCAGAAGCATATGGTATCCGTTTCAGGCTGGCTCCATGGAGTGAGCAATGGATAAAGAAGGTCCAAGTCATCATTAACATTGGAGCCGAGAAACGGAGATCAGTACCAAAGAAAAAGGTGGAGCGACTAGTCGCATCAGAGAAATCTGCAACGAATCCACATCTTGATAACGGCGCCTCGCGTACTCATGGCCACAGAAGCCGGTGCGTCAAAACGGCGCTGCGTAAGCACTGCATGTGTTGCCTGCCGCCGCAGGAAATCCAAGGTCTGTTGGCACTGCTCGCAAATACGGATCTGGCGATCTTCCGAACTGACGCTGCCCCCAGTGTGACGGCAATTTGCCCAGTTGCGCAGCATGCTCATCTGTCTACCACACGCCATGTACGTATAGTCTACTTATCAGATGTCATGGCAAATTTAACGTTGGAGCTTATAAGGTATTTATGATCCAAATTCCGACCACCGACGCAAGGGTGTGTACAAGAGGGATACCGATACGCTAAGGACCCGGCACACGACCCTTCAAACGCTTGTTCAGGCATTGCTGAACTGTGAAGAAGACGACGCATTTGACCTCCTCCGTCAAATTCGTTCATGCGATGATCTGGAAGAAGTCGCCAAATCGGTTATTGCTGGTGAAAAGGGACTTCACCCAGCTGCCTCAGCGGCCCCTACTGCAGAAACTGACCGGCAGTCCTTCGAAGATGATGGTGCAGCCGATCAATTCGAGCATGAGCTTTCAGGAAAAATGAGCCAGCTTGTGCTGGATGGCACGCGCAGGTTCATTGGAGGAACATCCAATCTAATATTCCTTCCCTCAGACTCAGAATTTGACGAGTCGACATCGACGAATGATCACGCTGCAGTCAACGAGTCTTATACCATTCGACGATGGACCCTCGTGACTGACGATGATTCGCTCATCAGTCACCTTCTGACAATGTACTTTACCTGGCACTATCCTTTCTTCACACTTCTTGCCAAAGACATGTTCTATCGCGATTACGTGCGTGGTGTTGCAAGCCCTTATTGCTCATCGTTACTCGTGAATGCAATGCTAGCCCTGGGATGCCATTTTAGCTCATGGAATGGCGCTCTCGCAGACCCGTTGAATACCAATACAGCGGGTGATCATTTCTTCAAGGAAGCCAAGAGACTGATTTTGGAGAACGACGAGCACGAAAGTGCCAAACTTTGCACGGTGCAGGCATTCGCTCTCATGTCAGTTCGCGAGGCTGGGTGTGGACGAGAAGGAAAAGGCTGGGTCTACAGCGGCCTTAGCTTTCGCATGGCCTTGGATTTGGGTCTCAATCTCGATCCCAGTAACATGGGCTCACACAATCTCAGCGAAGAAGAAATTGACGCCCGGCGCATCACTTACTGGGGGTGTCATCTCATTGATAAGTACGAACAAGTGGTTACCATCTCTTTATGCCGAGCGCTAACAGCCCACAGATGTTGGTCCAATTATCTAGGCCGGCAGCCTCAGCTATCTGCGTCAAACACCAATGTACCCAAATTTGAGGTATTTCCAAAGGAAGAGACCGAGCTTTGGTCACCTTATACCGACGCTGGTGTCCTCCAGGATCACACGCAGCCATCCAGAACCAGAGCGGTGGCATTTCACATTTCGAAGTTGTGCGAAATCAGTAGTGACCTGCTTGTGTTCTTCTACCATCCAGCTGAACCGGAGAAGATCCAGCAGAAACAGCTAGAACTGAAAAGGCTCAGTGACATCCATACGCGACTCGAGGCATGGAAGAAGGAGTTACCCAAGGAAATGGAGCCAAAGGAAGGGCAACTGCCTCAGGTCCTTGTCATGCAGTAAGTGGTCACGTACATCTGCTGCTGCAGCTTCATTGAGCCTTGTCTGAGTTTCGATGTCACAGCATGTTCAATCAATTGCTATTCATCCATCTTTACCGGCCCTTCCTAAAGTACAGTCGAACCAATACTCCACTCCCGTCACACGTCTCACCACGCAGGATCTGCACACAAGCCGCGTCCGCCATCTCCAAATTACTGAGAATGTACAAACGAACTTATGGATTGAGGCAAATATGCAACATTGCCGTTTACATCGCACATACTGCATGCACCATACATTTACTGAACCTTCCAGAGAAAAACGCCCAGCGCGATATCATACATGGGCTTCGGAATCTTGAGGAGATGGCCGAAGGGTGGCTTTGTGCTCGACGCACGCTGAGGATCCTGGACCTTTCAGCCCTCAAATGGCAGGTCAATCTACCTTCCGAAGCAACTGCGATCTTATGGCGTAGCCATACCAAATGGGGCTCGTGGGGCTCGTGGGAGCAATCAGCCTCGCCTTCAGCCTCTGAGGGCTCGCAAGCCGTCCATCCGCATCTCAAGTCTACTGTCACAACACCAAGCCAATATTCACCAACCCCGAATACTCGCCCAGACTTTTCGACAACGACGTCAGAGATGACTGCGAGAATCAACTTCAATTTGCTGGCTTCCTCAATAGAATTAATCGGGGATACTCGTCACATGGAGGCACCACTTCAAAATTCCCAACCTATGCCGAGCGCTAGCGCTCAGGGATCGGAATTTGTACCTTCAGAATCAAGGAACTTGCGATCTTCTTTCAATCCCCACCTTGCCTCGGCAGGCTCGTCATCCATGCACCGTTCTTCTTCGAGCTGGTTCGATCCAGCTACGCTATCAGCACCTCAAGCTGTATCGCAGATTCCACCGGCCTATCCGGGTACAACTTCGCCTGCATTCAGAGGCCCACAGCTGCCGGTGGATGAAAGCCAGGAGTGGTGGTCCCACGATTCTCTCGGCCTGGGGACTTGGTCTGGTTTGTGGGGTACAGGAACGGTGCATTCGCCTACCAACCCGCAGTATCAGGATGATCAAACCCAACCATACCCACTACCCAGTGCCACAGCTCAGCAATCGACCGCATCTTACCCACCAGCACATCACGTCCGAATTACAGCGCAAAGACCCGCAACTCAAAAGAACCCCACTGGTCAAAACAACAGCATGGGGTACGAGGAGCCGTGGCAATGAATCAAAGCATCTTGCCGCTGAAGAAATCATGAGCACCTCATGCAAATCATATCCGCTGAAAGGTGTCCCGCGCATGGCCTTGACGCCAGATGCCAGTCTTCACACTACTTAGTTACAGCTATATGTATTCATGATATCCCTCGCCTTGGCAAAGTTTTGGGAGACTCATCCACCGAGACTCGGATGGACAGTTTCTGTACATGGATGGGAAGATTGAATTGCCATCTCGGTGCCACCGAAAGCAAGGTTTCACAAAGAAACCAAGGTCCTGGACATATTGAAGTGCCATTGATTTGTCATAAATGATCATTAAAGTGGGAATGAGAATACCAGTATCCGCGTACAAGACGCCATGAGGATTCACACGGCCTCCGCAGAGGGCAGATGGCGAAGAGGCGCATGGGAAGGTGCAAATTCGATATCACTGTAAAAAGATGTTAGCAGAAGGAAAATGGAAGTGTTTCCCTGTGAGAGTTTTGACGTACCAGGAAATAGTCGGCCACGGGTTTCTTCGCGGGCATTCCCCTTGTGTCCTGCGCTGCTGCCTCGAACACACGATATCTTCTCCCAGGACTTGAGACCGAACTTGGACCAGACAGACCATTGCTACGACCGTACTCTCCATTGCTTCGTGCGATAGTGCCGCCGTTGCTAGTGTCTTCTCCTAGTTCCAAGATAGCAGCCACATTACCGCATCGATAGCAGTAGTTGGGTGCAGACCAGACCGTCACAATCCCGCCGTCGAACATCTCTTTATAGCCCTCCATGACAAGCTGATGGGCTCTTGCAATCAGTGACAACCCGTTCTGGTGGTTGAACTGTTTGACGATGTCTCCGCCGAAGAGGAAGCCGGCGCCTCGAGGGCTCAAGCCCCAACCCTCAATCTCATCGGGATCCGACCACAGCAAATCGCACATGGCACCTTCATGAGGTACCTCTTGCTTGCGATCGATCAATCGGATCTTGTCGACTGAGTCGATCAGCGGAGAAAGTCCACCATGAACGCAAAGTACAGCCCCTGTGCGACTGGTCATCGAGCTGCCGTTACCGTCTCCACTTGCGCCTGTTCCTGGGGCGCCTGTGCGGGTGGGGGCGCTGGTCTGCGATGGCGCAGCAGATATATCGCGAGGGGGTGAGATGTCTTGAGCGTCTGTGTCTACATCCGAGGATGCTCGCTGTCGTGGGCGATACGAACTCATTGTGACCTCCCCACGAGAATTCAACACCTCCGTCTCTAGCTCCCCGTCATCCACGGCTATCGTCGACTGTGTCAGATCATTCGCGTTCGACCCGCTGGGTTCTAGTTCCGAGCTTGCGCCAAGCACGATGGCGCCGAGCGCGAGGTAGTCGAAGACTTCGCAGCAGTATCGCCAGACGTTGGCGCTTCCATATTTGCGAATGCACTCGTCGTAAAATCCGTACACGGTTGTAATTTGTCGCGACTCGTGGTTCCCGCGAATAAGGGTGATACGGTCTGGGTAGCGGACTTTCAGGCACAAGAGGAGGAGGAAGGATTCTAGGGAGTAGAATCCGCGATCGACAAAGTCGCCCATGAACAGGTAATTTGTGTCAGGCACGTCACCACCCACGCGGAACAGTTCCATCAGGTCGTGAAATTGGCCATGGATATCGCCGCAGATGGTGACCGGCGCATCGACGGAGACGACATTGCCCTCTTCGATCAAGAGCTCACGCGCTTTGTAGCAGAGTTCGCGAACCTGAGATTCGGGGATCAGGCGGCAGGCCCGCAGCTGCTCGATCGCCCTGTTGGAGCGCAAAAAGGGTTCAAATTAGAGATATGCTATGCGAGAAGAGGAAGTGCAGCTTGGTCCCTTACCGGTCTAGGTCGCTCATAATGTAGGTGGAAAGAGATGGCGTGAAAGGGTAAAATGAGGTGGCAGAAAGTTACGGATAAGGCAGAGAGGATGAGGGGTGTGGTGACTTTTGAAGGGGGGGGGGAAGGACAACTCCCAGCTGATAGTCCCAACTCAGATCAATCCAGGTTCACAGAAATCGTCCTCTCTACTGGTGACCAGCCTAACGTTTATAGTTCTGCATTATTATTGATTATTGATTTCGAGCTTGGGGGCGCCTGGAAGTCACCGCTCTCCACGAAGGCGCTACTTCGGACTTTGCGCGACGGTCTGCCAATCACGCGCATGGCAGATAAGATTAGATGCCCACCAGTCTTCGCATCCGCAATGCTCGACTTCGCCGTCTCTCAAGCTTTCGGTTCAATCAGCCACCTCCCCGTTAGGTGAATTTCATGGTCCCTCCTTGGCTTCCTAACGATTGTGATTTTGCCTTCTCGCATCCGATTGATTGCTCCTCCACGATTTTGGCAATCGTCTCTCCGCACGCACCGCGAAGAATCGACATTCCTCGACCAGTCATCCAATGGCTTGAGTCGGCAGAAAGCATATAACCACCACCACGGCCTTTTCGGCATCTTCTCACGTCTCGTCATCGATTCTATCGAAACCACAAAAACGATGCCGCCACATCTGCACCCAAAGTCTCGGTCAACGAGTACCCTCTTCGCAGGGACCCTGCTCGCGTCCCTTGTCGTGGTTGGGCTACCTCACTTGTTCCCCTGCCCAGCCCCGCGACGCACTTTTACCGATTCAGATATGGCCATGGCTGCCGATGGACAACAAGTACCGCGCATGCGCCGGCGGAGGAGGAAGGAAACCGAGCTAGACTCTGACTCGGGCCCCTCTGTCTACCCCACGGCGCCGAGCACCGCGGAGGATGAGGTCTCGACCTTCTTCGAAATGGAGGCAGAGGCGAAGCGGATGGCACAAGTCGGACACGAATGTCCAGTACCAAAGCCCAAGGGCGTTCTCGGAGAGCTTCTTGGATTCCGCAATGCGCGTGCAATTGATCCTGCCCATACACAGACTGGCAAGTCGCTTGATGAAGGCCGATAGCGCTGGCGAAACCCCCGAATTTCACGATTCGAGATGAGTCGCTGACCGCCGTCATTTCTTATACCCTTCATTCTGCGATTGTCTTGCTTGAGTTTTTGATTTTGATGATACCATACGATTGATCACAGGTTGGGGGATTTTCCTCTGCTGGGATGAATCGCGTTGCTCCTGCCAGGAGCTAAAGGGCGACCAAATTGCCCATTGTAACTAAGCCAACACTTCCATGTACAAAACACGACATTGTAGGATAGATAGAATGGTGGAATACAACATTTTTGAAGAAGATCTGTCACAAGTCGATCACTATGTATGAGCGCGGAGCTGGACTGACTGAAATGTTCGTTCGCTCCCGTCGGCAAGTGGCCATTAGACTACCCGCCGGTCCCCATCCCGAGAGGCAGACCTTCATCTTCCGGCCGAATACTTTTAAAGGAGTCTTGCCTTCCGTCTGAGGCCACGCTGTACTTGATAGTACTCTATCACACCCTTGTGGTGACGCTGCAATGTCCAATCCATGGATCAAGTTTGTGCGTACAGCACTGACTCATCCTAAACATTCGCCATGGATTATCGCCTTGTTGTTCCTAGGCGATGCGGCTCTTTGCGCACTGATTATCTGGAAGATCGCCTGTAAGACAGACAGACCCCCCTCTGTTATCGTGCTAAATGAGACCGAAATTCGAGGCACTACTAACCCTCCGATCGCAGATACTGAAATTGACTGGACGACATACATGCAGCAAATCTCCATCTATTTAGCTGGCGAACGTGACTACACTGCGATCAAGGGCTCAACGGGGCCTTTGGTCTACCCTGCTGCTCATGTCTATATCTATTCGCTGCTCCATGACCTGACTGATGGTGGCCATGACATCCTCATGGGCCAGATTCTATTTGCAGGCCTGTACCTGGCAACTTTGATTGTTGTTTTTGCCTGTTACAGACGAGTTCAGGTCCCGCCATATCTCTATCCCCTGCTGGTTCTTTCCAAACGGCTTCATAGCATCTATATGCTGCGCATGTTCAATGACGGGATTGCGGCGCTGGCAATGTGGATTGCTATTTATCTGTGTATGAGACAAAAGTGGACTGCTGGTATCGCCATCTGGTCTTTGGGTGTGGGAGTCAAGATGACTTTGGTTCTACTGGTTCCCGGGATCGCTGTCGTCACCCTCTTGAACCTCGGTCGGGGACGCAGCATCGCTCTTGGTGTGATGGCGATTTTGATTCAAGTAAGCAGCCCATTCTCCGGCTACAACGATACGGGTTGCTCACATGACTGCAGGTCTTGATTTCTATTCCCTTCATTCGCGAGAACCCGCTTGGCTATCTATCGAAAGCCTTTGAATTATCACGGCAGTTCATGTTCAAGTGGACCGTGAATTGGCGGTTCGTCGGTGAAGAGACCTTCTTGTCAAAAGAATTTTCCTTGGGATTGCTAGTGTTGCATGTTTCCCTATTGGCTCTAGCTTCAGCAGTATGGGTAAAGCCATCCGGGACCAATGTGGTCCGCTTCCTTCAAGACAGCATACAGGGCCGTCATCCGCCCATGTCACTTTCGGGATCATTCATCATGACCGTCCTCCTGAGCTCGCTGACAATCGGCATGCTTTGCGCTCGATCGCTGCATTACCAATTCTTCTCATACCTGGCATGGGCAACGCCATTTTTGTTGTGGCGCGCCGGTTTCCACCCCGTTCTGATCTATGGGCTATGGGCCATGCAAGAGTGGGCTTGGAACGTGTATCCCAGCACCGATCTCAGCTCGCTGGGGGTGGTCGTGTTGCTCGCTGTGCAGGTCTTTGGCGTGATTGCCAATGGTATCCGCGACACGGAGAGCAAGCGCGGCGCAGCTGCGCTTCGTGCGAAGGGGCGCACCCAGTGAGCCTTGCAGTCGAGAGTTGATCGAGTATGTGGAAGTTCACATAGACAGCAGCTTCTTGTTCACTTTTTTGCTTTACGCGTCTGATTCATCGGAAGATGGCATTTTTCCAACTCTTGACTCTTCTTCATCAGAGTCCGAATCAACAACAACGGCAGGTTGCTTGGCGAATTCTTTCGGCCTACAATCCAAGTAGAAGTGTTCATTAGCATGGGCTGAGATCATCGTGCGAAAATAGAAGACGGTGTCAAAGGAAAGAAACAAAAAGATTACCAGAAGGGAGCCTTTCTCCACGCCTTCTCGTCGCGAACAATGTTGATGATTTCTCCCTTGATCTTGTTGTCGCGCTCCTCTTGCGGTTCGGTGTCAATCACGACGTAGGATCCACGTTTGATCCAGAAGGTTGAGCGGAATTTGGCGGGCAACTCCACGAGCATCTGAGTCTTGTCGGCTTGCTCGATCAAGTAGATGTTGTTGCCAGTCGCTTTGACTGCTCGAACGATCTGCTGCGTACTCGACAGCTCGTCGGGGGGAAACATGGTTCCTTCAGCAGTCGCAAGGACTTTTCTGCGAGGGGGCGCCATTGCTGTCGAAAGACGATCGTAGGTCTCGAGCGAATAGGGTCAAATTGCGACACTGCTCTGGCAAGAGAGATCTCGGGTTCGGAGGAGTGCACGTGGAACTGTGAAAAGATTTGTTGCCCGTCTCCGAGCGGGTTGACCAGTGCCGAGCCGGCGGGGGAGTTGAGAGCTGGTGTACATTTAAACCCCACTTAATTGAGAGAGAAGCTCTTGTAGTTATCGGCCGAGCTTCTGATCTGTTGGGTAGTCAGTACTGAGGTCCAGCATTTACTATTTAGTCATTGTATTCGGACATTCTAACTGTTGAGGTGTGATCTGAGATGATGTGATCACATAGAGGTCGACTCGATACAAACCCTCTGAAAGTCATGCTCTACTTAACCTCGATTCGCTCTAAGCTCTCATCTTCGACGTACTCCATTTTGCTAGCTGATATCGCACCACGGTGGTATATCTTCCGCGCTTTGGTGTCTGAATCTGTCCCTTCGACTGGCAGTCTTGAAGGTCGACGACACTCTACAGATGTACGGTGGCCAATCTGTCAATGAGTCATTGTTGGTTTTCGATTCCGCCGAATCATCAACCGCACTACTACTGTCATGCAAGACAGTAGCTGGCTGGAAGCCACTTTCCGAATTACGCTATGCAGAAGCCATTCTGAACACCCGGGACTTGAGCCTTGACCCCCATCTTGTGGGGTGAGCTGGCTTTACAGCCCACTGCATATCAATCAGCTGTGACGATGGAACACCTTTCAGATCTTCTGGACCTTCAAAGACAAGGACAGTCTCACGCAAATCGCTGTGGAAAAGGTCGGCCTCGCGTGTCAGTGGCTGCTGGAGTCTGCCCAGCTTGAACCAGACTATGGAATGCCGGCGTGGTCCTCGAGTCAAGCGCTCGGTTTCAATCGTTTCAATCGTTGAAATGGACGGCGAGTCTGACTTGGATCGTGACCAAACATTGCCTACGAGATTGTCAATCCGATACGAAGCCTTCTTTCGTCACGAACGTGATCATCATTCATCAGGATACACCTTGGAATACAGGTCAGGTTCGCACTTCTCGCCACGGCGGATACTTGTGACAAGGAAAACTGGGTACTTACTACTTACTACTTAGACTCGGAAATTAAATACCGAGACATGTACAATGTACCTTCGAGACGTGCATATAGGTGCGGTACACTCCATCGTGATGTACTTCGTCAAGGAAACAGTGGACACTAGACACTGGACTCGCAATGCTGGTATATCAGCGAGACACCGGGCATTGCAAGCGATGACCCCACAACTCAGGCATGTCTATACTTTATACTCTATACTATTGGTGGTATAATGTGGTACTTATGAATGACTCGGTCATCTTTCCGACCTCGACGAGAAAATTGGCCTTCAGGTCTCTGCGTTCGATCCACTGACGGCCCCCGTGGACCTGTCGAGGCTATTTGACGCGTTTCTGATTATCAATCGTTGCACCTCCTCCTTTCTTCCCAAAGTACTTCCTGTGCCGCCGCCATCAAAAACGGGCTTTGGACAGTTCCTCACGCTGCACCAACAGGCAGAATCCTCAACAATGGCGCTACCAAATCTAGGAGCATTTATTGAAGTCGAGCGCTCCAGTCGTGTCTCGAGTCCGCCAGCCGCAGCTCGAAGGGACAAGACTCACACCTCGAGATCAGAGACCGTCTATGAACTGCAAGACATGCAGTCGCAGTCAGCCTCTGCAAACTCGCGGCTGTCAAAACCTAGCGCAGCTGTGACATTGAGCCCGCGGCCAACGCCTCGTCTACTGGAAGACCACCAAGGCTCCCTGCCCACAGCTGAAGCTCCAGACTGCGCTCCAGATCGTATAATTGTACCATGGAAGACCAAGTGGCGGGTGTTGAGTTGCAGTATGATCAATTTCGGGAACGGTTTGAATGACAGTGCTCCCGGTGCACTGATCCCGTATATTGAGAGTCACTACGGTATTGGATATGCCGTGGTCTCGCTCATTTTCGTCACCAACGCACTTGGTTTCATCTCTGCGGCACCAGCCACCCATGCCATTGAGCGTCAGTTGGGCCGGTCCAAGAGTTTTGCCCTCGCCATGTCGCTTCCGGCTATCAGCTACGTGATCATCATCTGCCAGCCACCGTTCCCTGTCGTCGTTTTGAGTTTCCTCATGCTTGGTTTTGGTGTGGCGCTCAACCTGGCTCTCACCAACGTCTACTGTGCCAACTTACCTAACTCGACCACCGCGTTGAGTTGTCTTCACGGCGGCTACGGTCTTGGTGGTACAGTGGCCCCCTTGTTCGCCACGGCAATGGTCTCTCGTGGAATTCGGTGGTCGCTCTTCTACATCGTTCCCTTGGCATTCTGCCTGCTCAATCTCATCTACGCAATCTGGGCCTTTGCAGGGTTCGAGGAGGACACATCGGCCGAGGTGATTCGGCCAACAAGTTCGCGCCCGTCGACGGCCAGCCGCTCTCTGTCCCGGATGCAGCAATTGAAAAGGGCCATTCACAATCGTACGACCCTGCTCGGTGCCCTCTTCATCTTCGCTTATCAGGGAGCTGAGGTGTCCACCTCTGGCTGGGTGGTATCCTTCCTCATCAGCTACCGACTCGGTGACCCTTCCCACGTGGGCTATGTCAGTGCCGGATTCTGGGCCGGGATCACCGTCGGACGTTTCTTGCTGGTTCATCCGGCAGCCCGAGTGGGCCACAAGACCGCAGTCATGATCATGATAGCCGGTGCTGTAGCCTTCCAGTTGATGACCTGGTTGATACCGAATATTGTCGGAGATGCAGTCGCGGTTGCGATCCTGGGACTGCTATTGGGACCCGTGTTCCCGAGTGCTACGGCGGTGTTTGTGCAACTTCTACCACGTAGGATGCATATGACGAGCCTGAGCTTCATCAGCGCACTGGGAAGTAGTGGTGGTGCGGTCTCGCCCTTTATCACTGGCCTTCTGGCCCAGCATGTGGGGACCATGGTGCTGCATCCGATCTGTATCGGGCTCTATGGCGTGATGGCGACGAGCTGGCTTCTGTTGCCCAAGATTGTGAAGAGATCCGACTAATCAGTATTGTATGATGATTGGGTACCTATGCTTAGGGCGGGTTGGGCCAACGATGCAAGACATGGGTAGGAGTAGGGTAGGTGAGATATCAAAGATCAGGTAACTTGCCCTTGAGCCAGGATGAAAGGTCCCTCTGCCAGGTAAGGTAGAGACAGTCTCGAAGCCAGTTTCACAATCAGGGTAGCGTCAAGAGACTGTCGGGTCTCCACAGCGGGTACACCTTCTGGCACGGGGAAATCGTTCAGTTCCTTTTTCCACATAATTGAAATACATCGAGCGACCTCAGTTGGGCAAGAACGGCTGGAGAAAACGAGGAGCGACGCGGTCGTAGCGTAGGTGAGTTAGTACCTACTACCTAGCTTATACCTAGGTACTACCTAGTAGGTACTACTAGGTAATTAATGGTACCAACTCTGAGCCCTCCAAGACTGAACAGGTTAACCCACTGCAGTACTGCAGCCAGTGTATGTTGCGAATACTGGATGAAGACTCATACGATGAGTCCGAGAAGCGAACAGGGAAACAGCGGAAGAATGTAGCCACCAGCATACATTAAATGGGAGAGGAGGCAGTGTAGAAACCGAGTCCCAAAGATTGAAATCGGGATGTTGAGTATGGAGAAGTCTACTAGTAGCTACTAGTATTTCCATGATCGTGTGTCTCAACACGTGGATCCTCAGAGTTAGTAGTAAGTTACCTGTTATAGTAAAGTAGGTTACCTTAGGTGCTAAGTACTACTTAGTAAGTAGTAAGTACCAAGTACAGCTGGAACACGCGATCGTGTGCAACTGCCAATACTGAATACCGTCCCCAATCGCTCGGTCTGGATCGTGTCCGGCACGTTGCCACAACCCCATTGTCGAAATGTTCGGATCGCGATGGGGCCATGGCATCATTCCCGGGAATGCTCGCCAAAGTACCGGAATGGGACACCACAACACCCCGTCCGTATTGGATGCTGTTTTGATGTTTGATGCTCGACAAGAGACCGACTGCGATGGGTGATGCCGATGTCCTCTCAGATGAAGTCCAGTGTCGATACTATTAATCTGGAAGTACTGGAGATTGAATCCTGATCCCACACTTCCTCCGAAAATATACATACGATGGTACATGAGTCCAGGACCGTCTTCTGGTAGCGCAATCGAGGCTACTAAGGTACCTCATACCTATAGTAGTCTTTGAGGAGTATCTTCCAATGTCTTCTCACATGCCAAAGTGGACCTCTTTACTAAAGGTCACCTTAGTACTGAGTTGCGGTTTACTGAATTTAGAAGCTAAATTACCTATACCGTGACAGGAGTACGTGTCTACGAAGCTTCCATATTTTCCTTTCATTCCCGAGGTCGTATCAAAGTACAGTACATAAACTACACACTACCTACCTTTGTTCACACGAGCGCCGCGAGCTCAGTCAGGCGATGATCTTGGGCATCTTCTTCGGAATTTTCGTCGTGGCATTAACCCTTTCGGGTTCTCCAGTGAACCTGACTCTCTCTCCCCTATCTGCTCCTGTGTCGGGACCACAAATACAGTCCCATACTACTAGACTACTAGACATCCGAATTGACTGTTGCGTACCCCTCTTCCCCTCTTCAGGTCACAACAAAAGTATTGCGGTATCCCCGCGACGCCCGTCTCACCTCTCGCTTTTGCAGTCACACACACACACATTCTTTCTCCCTCTCTTGTCCCCTCTGCGCGACCACACCCACTGCTACGACTAAACTGGACGGGACCGCGGGCCCACGAATCCACCGGCATTCCAACCCGTCCGAAATCTTAACTTGACCAGTTCTACTCCATCACCCCCCTCCTCCACTTCCCATCCCCATATCCTGGTCTTTGTGGCCGCCCCTCCCCACTACGCGACCTCATCATAGACTTCAATCCCGCACAGCCCACACCCTGCCCAAATTTTCCTCTCCTCTCACTCGATCTTGACACCATCCCCATTTGATCGTTGTTACTGGATCGGCCACCCCCCCTCCATTCGCCCACCATGGACGGCGACGAGTTGATCGCTTCGGTCCATCATAAGATCGAGCGGGAGAAAGCTCTCATCGCTGCCGCAAATACTATGCGACAATCGACCGACAATGCTCTCGTGCTACAACAGGTCGATGCCAACATCCGGGATGGCCGCAGGAACATTGCCTATCTGGAAGAGAAGATGCGCGAGCTCCAGGTGCGCCAAATGGAACGGGAAGGTGGAGGTTCCCCTCATGATTCGCGTCGTCAACAAGCCGGAGGACCCCCACCTCCTCCGAAAGATCATACCGGATATCGCGGTGGTGAAGGCGATGCGGCACAGTATCCCCAAGAGGGCGCGGGGTCGATGCCCTCAGGCGCCCCATTTCACGATCCCCGACCATACGCCCCGATCCCGAAGCCGCGCCCGAATTACACGAAACTTGGTATGCTCGAGGCCTTTGACATGTCTGCGTGGGAGGGTCTGTTGCTGGGATCCTGTCGACAGCTCTCCCGGGATGCAACCCATCTGAACACGCTAACCAGACGTCGCTCCCAGATCTGATCAAATATGATACTCCTTACCTCGGGCCGAAGATTCAGCTCATGCTGTCCCAGCTCGAGTTCAAGCTTACCGTGGAGAAGCAGTACAAGGCCGGTATCGAGAAGATGGTCCGTTTGTATCAGGACGAAGGGGATCGACGAAGCCGGTCGGATGCCGAGAGTCGGCGAGTGGAGAGCAACCAGAAGATCCAATTGCTGAAGCAAGCACTCAAGCGCTACGAGGATCTTCATGTCGACATTGATTCAGCTGACACCCCTGATGGTGGGTTTGCGATCCCCATGCGAGCGTCTGCGGGGCGTGATGAAGTGACTGACCTGGTTGTTTGCAGACGAGTCGCTCAGCAGTCCCAATATGCGGAAGCCCTTGACAGGTCTCTTGACCATGAGAATTCACGCGGTCAAGGACGTTGATCATGCCACCAGCTCACGCTTCTCGCGCGGCCCTGAGACTTTTGTCATTGTCAAGGTGGAGGATACCATCAAGGCCCGGACCAAGGCCACCCGAAATGACAAATGGATCGACGAATCCTTCTCCATCGATATCGACAAGGCCAATGAGGTCGAGCTGACCGTCTATGACAAGTCTGGGGATCGCCCCACCCCAATTGGCATGCTCTGGGTGCGTGTCACCGATATTGCCGAGGAGATGCGTCGCAAAAAGATCGAGACCGAGTTGAATGCTTCTGGATGGGTCTCAGCAGACAAGATGGGCGGTTCGGGCACGCCTCAACCCAACCAACCTCTGGGCTCACCCGGCTCTTCGCACGGCGGACCTAGCGGTGGTAGCTTTGGTGCTTCGGCCGCGCCAGGAGGGGCTCCCCATGGTCAAAATCCGAATGCGCCTCCAACCGTGATGATCGATTCCTGGTTTGCTCTCGAGCCATTCGGCCGCATTCATCTTCAAATGAGCTTTGGTAAGAAAGGATTGGCCCCGAGGCCGATTTGGGTGGCGATGCTTCCAGCAGATAACACTAACTTTCCATGCAGCCAAGCAACTCAAAGACCGTCGCCCCTTCGATATCGGCCTCAATCGACAAGGTGCCGTGCGTCAGAAAAAGGAAGAAGTCCACGAGAAGCAAGGTCACAAATTCGTCACTCAACAGTTCTACAACATCATGCGCTGTGCGTTGTGTGGGGACTTCCTCAAGTACGCCGCCGGCATGCAATGCGCGGACTGCAAGTACACCTGCCACAAAAAGTGTTACGGGAAAGTGGTCACGAAATGTATCAGCAAAGCGAACTACGAGACCGATCCCGACGAGGAGAGAATCAATCACCGGATCCCCCATCGATTCGAAGGATTCTCAAACCTCTCGGCGAACTGGTGTTGTCACTGTGGTTATCTTTTGCCCTTCGGACGCAAGAATGCCAAACGTTGCAGCGGTAAGATCGCAAGAAACTATTCTCACCCGGGCCCTCGTGGATACTTTGCTCATTGCTATCGACCCTCTGTCTAGAATGTGATCTCACTTGCCACGCGCACTGCACACATCTTGTGCCAGATTTCTGCGGCATGTCGATAGAAGTTGCCAATCAGATTCTCGAAGCGCAACTCCATGCCAAGCAACATAATAAATCCACATCTGTTAGTTCTGGTCTCAGCGGTCGTTCCCTCCGCCCAGGTGGCCCACCGCAGCCCCCTCAAGACAGTCCCCAGAAATCATCCGACCGCCCCTACGGCGCACTCAACAGACTGCCATCAGCGGAAGCGGTAAGCGCTGCGACTAACTCCTACTTGACCTCACAGTCACCTGCAGCGATTGCCCAGGCTGCTCGTCAGCCAATGCCTCCGCAGTCGCCTTCTGCGACTTCTGATGCCAAGGCTGCCGCGGATGCTGCCGCCAGGATGCGTACTCAACCGCAGCCCCCAGGTACGTCCGACATTCCCTAAGTTCAAGAAAAAGAAGATATTTGGCTCATACATGATACACCAGTTGAAGCGAGTCGCCCCCTGAGCAGGCTCAGCAGCCTCCTCCACCTGCGCACGCTCGTTACGATCCGTACCATTATGCTCAGTTCCAGCAACAGCCTCCTGCTCCGCCGATGCAGAAGCCTACTGGGCCGCCACCTCAACAGGCCGTGCAGCCAATGACTCCTAGCATTCCGGCACCGCCAAAGGAGCCGGAGCCTCCTGCACCACAATCCAAGACTCGTATTGGATTGGACCACTTCAATTTCCTGGCTGTCCTCGGAAAAGGTAATTTCGGAAAGGTCATGCTTGCTGAGACGAAAAGTTCCCGAAAGCTGTATGCGATTAAGGTCTTGAAGAAGGAATTCATCATCGAGAACGACGAAGTAGAGAGCACGAAGTCTGAGAAACGGGTTTTCCTCATTGCCAACAAAGAGCAACATCCCTTCTTGTTGAATCTGCACGCTTGCTTCCAGACGGAGACTCGAGTGTACTTTGTCATGGAGTACATCAGTGGTGGTGATCTCATGCTGCACATTCAGCGTGGGCAATTCGGGCTTAAGAGGGCACAGTAAGAACCTCCCTCCCCCCAAAGCGTCCGGTTGCGATAGGACCTTGATTATGTGAAGATGCTGATATTGAGTTTCCAGATTCTATGCTGCTGAAGTTTGCCTGGCTCTCAAGTACTTCCACGAGCACGGTGTCATCTACCGTGATTTGAAGTTGGATAACATTCTCCTCACACTTGACGGCCACATCAAGATCGGTGATTACGGTCTCTGCAAAGAGAACATGTGGTACGGATGCACCACCGGCACCTTCTGTGGTACTCCTGAATTTATGGCACCCGAGGTCAGTCTCCTCTCATTCGTCTGGCTCCTCCTTCTTCCTGCTTCAGTTATTTACATGAATTTTTATAGATCCTTCTTGACAAGAAGTACGGCCGTGCTGTCGATTGGTGGGCATTCGGTGTCCTGATCTACCAGATGCTGCTCCAGCAATCCCCCTTCCGTGGTGAAGATGAGGATGAAATTTACGATGCCATTCTCGCAGATGAACCCCTTTACCCCATCCACATGCCCCGTGATTCTGTCTCGATCTTGCAAAAGTTGTTGACCCGTGAGCCCGAGTTGCGTCTTGGTTCAGGCCCAACCGACGCCCAAGAGGTGATGTCTCATGCATTCTTCCGCAACATCAACTGGGACGACATCTATCATAAGCGCGTTCCTCCTCCTTTCATTCCCACCATCAGCAGTCCCACGGACACCAGCAACTTCGACCAGGAATTCACCAGTGTGACTCCTGTTTTGACGCCTGTGCAATCAGTGCTTTCTCAGGCCATGCAAGAAGAGTTCCGCGGCTTCTCATACACTGCCGAATTTGCCTGATTACTCCTGGATATTGGGGGCTCGGTTGGAGATGCTGCTTGGAACTCTATCTAATTTCTCATCTCATTTTTCCCTGCACTACATACCCGTTACATTACACTTATAATTGAGTCCTCAGGTGGTCTAGACTCAGACTTTACTTGCGTGACTTCTTCGTGTGAGCAAAAGAACAGGCGATCGCTCTCTTTCTTCGATCGCTATCCTGTTTGGTTCACTACGCACCGAACCCCCACCCTCGCAAGCCCAGAGCTGGTGAAGCAGATTGCATGAGTCTCTGGCACTGATATCAATGCCTTCGAATTACGGTCAGAAGCTCGTTCCCTTTGTGGGTGTGTTTGCAGTAACTTCACCGTGCTCTGGACAAGTTCAGGGCTCTTGGGTTTATAGAAATATCTGAATTCATCTGTCAGCCGTGGAGTGTGGAAGTGTGATGCAGTGACTACGGTCAAGAGAAATCCAACACGGTTATAATTCTTGAAAATGTGAGACGATCCTTATGAGGCTTCCGCCGGCGGATGTGAAAGAGTTTTTTTATAGTTTTGTGTGTTCATTAGTGGTTTCCTTTTCCCATGGCTTTGGTGCAAAGACTCTTCTTAGGCGCGCTGCTGTCATTCTGTAGCATTTGCACCGCCCCTGTGTGGGATAAAGACTTGATCGTTCCAGCCTCGAATAACAAAGATGCATATAACAATCAAACATGCTTACTTTCCCCATTACAATGGATCGTGCTCGGAAAACAGCTAATTCCAGTACTTTTCCACCTACATTTGTTGCTATCTTCAGCCTGACGTATCCTGCGGGTCAGTTTAGAGGAATGACTATTTGTCCAAGTGATTCAACGTTGAAGTGGACATTAAGTCAAGGAGGAATACATTTTTCCGTGTCTTTCTATTTCATTGCCCGCTTAATTGAAACTTGGACCATGACCTGCACTTACTTTCATATGGATGAAACTTACCAAAGAATTCACGGGCGGCTGAACAAAGACTTGGGTCGGTCATCATACCTATACTTTGTCTTGGGTGTGAAGAAGTCTTTGTACTTTTGTTTATCAAGTCCTTTGTGCTCCTTCTATACCAGCTTTGTCCAAATTCATTCAGTCTGAAACTAGACCTCGCTTTCTCTCTTTGTAAATGATTTCACTTGCAAATCGTGTTGAATGACTGTAAATGTTTCCCAGAATTCCCGATTTCTGAATCTCCTCCCGTCCTCTTCCTCTAGACACATAAAGTCTACTCCCGCCTATCTTTCCTACAAAGCTTCATATCTATGCTTGACTGGACAGACTTCATCCGCAAATCGATATTTATATTTTCATTCAGACCAGATACCATATCGGCGTCCCGTACAAGAAACTGCTACCTTTCCGGAGATACCTACACTATGGCGAACAAACGCAAAGCCTCCACGGCCCAGCAGGGCCCGGCGCATAGCCCATTTATCTGTAATAGTTGGACGATAACAGAAGAATCGCTTCCTCCTCCTCCAGCCGATCCATTCGAAGACTACTCGCCACGAGACATGACTGGGTGTCCACCTTGGTTTGGTCACGCAGAGGAGAGAGAGGATGGAGAGAATGAAGGGCGCCTAGCAAAACGAGTCAGAATTGCAGATGATGGTTGCCGTTATGAGGGGCCTGTCATAAGTTCAGACAATAATGCTCCTGTCTCAGCTGCTTCGACAGACCATTCCATTGCTCAGAATGACATGGCCGAGTCGGAGGTGCGAATCAGTCAGAAGAACCAAATTTCTGCTGCGCTTGCTTCACAAAAATCGTCACGGAACTCTCGTCACAGAACAGGGGATCCAAAGAAGCGGAAGAGAGCAAAGAGAGCAAAGAGCTTCGATGAAGGTGATCGTAATTATGTCGATGACGATGACAGCGAAGACAGCGACGAGGATGACATGCCCGGTGCCATACACAGATCCGAGCGCGACGACGTAGTGTTTATCTTGAGTCGGCAGAAAGCGAAACGCATGGCCAAAGCAGTCAAGATTCCCAAGAACGCTCAGATGGGAGATGAAGAGAAAGCGCTGTATCTTGATCTAGCCACTCGTGGCTGCTTTCCACTCTTCCCACCGATTTGGAAGAGGGACTTCACCACGCTGCCCGATTCACTTTTTCCGAGTACAGAAAGCGAGCTCGACAACAATGACTTTGCATTCACTGTCCATGCAAGGCCAAGATTTCACGCCATTCGTGCCTTTCACGCCCTTCTCCGAGCTCCAGGCCACGTACGAGATTGTCGGATCCTCACCGTGCGTCCTCAGGATGTCGCTCGAAAAGCAATCAAAAAGTACCTTCGCTGGGCCATTGCTGATGCCGGCCTGACAGAAACCCGCGAGACAAAGTCCGCCTACGCCGTGACGACTCAGCGGCCCGGAGAAAAGACGCTATCTGTTGTTCAGCGAGCTACTGAGAAAATGGAATATCTGGGTCGAGAGCATCAGAGAATGTTTGCAAATGTCGAAAATCCATACTGGCCGACTTTGATAGGATTCTGCATTTGCGGCCCCATTGTCGTGATACTTTCGGTGGACACTGATCCTAGTTCTCCGATCTGGGAACCCGAGCGAGACTCTCATGTGAAGTACATGGGCCAGTTTGACATGTCCAAAGATAGTCAGGACGTGTGGAATGCTCTTGCTGTGGCAATTGCCGTCATTCATATTCGGCGCACAATGATACGACTCGCGACTCGCTACCCTGACGTAGTGGGCGTTGCTCACCCACCGACAGGAAAGGAGGAAATCATCGACGAGGACTTGTGATTTTAGGGGTCCTCGTAAAGAGACATCACTTTGTAGATACCGTATGAGCGGGGTGCAGGGTTAGGTAGTTTAACTTCGATTGGGTTCTTGAGACAGGGCTGGAATTGATATATCCCCCTCAACGGCGGGTCAACTTGCAATGAGCTTGTGACACCAACACGGCATCATGGTACGAAACATATCAATACTTTCACGGTATAGGCGGCATTTCGCGCATCGAAAAATTTCAAATTCAGTCCATGAAGAGTCCACCTCGGGCCCTATATGACGGAAGATGACAAGATTTCCCCAAAATGTTGGCCGTCCATTGAACTAAAATGGATAGTTACTTCTGGCATAAGTACTATGTAGCTCCGACTAAGATGTCACATGACCTGACCCGCATCAGTGTTGACGCATTTGCTGGCAACCAATTCAGGAGGTATTGATCACGCACATCGACCACCCAGTATTACGCCATGGACGCCGCGGAGGATCGTGATGTGAAGCTCCAGCGAGCGTCAAATCATCTTGTGGCCGAGTTCTCCAGTCGGCTGCCAAAGTTGCTCTGGAAGACTGTGCCGGAAGCTACCTCTCACCGAACCCCACGCAAATGGGCTGAAGCATCCAAAACAGAGAAGCTGGTGGCACTGGTGAGCACCGTAGCTGTCAAACATAGACGAGAATTGTTCATATCACCAGAGCTGACATTACTTGATAGCTTGAGCCTTTTCAAGAGTGGCCTCAGCTTCTGGACCCATATTTGCAGAAGTTGCTCCCTTCATTAGTGGATGCATTCTTGGCTTATCTGGTGAGGCACCGCGGAGAATATGGCTCTCAACCCACACAGGGCCCTCGGAAAGTTGCTTTCTACCCGCTACCACGGGCAATCTGCCGACTTCTCTATACTTTTTGCAAAGTTCGTGGAGTGAAAGTTATAAGCCGATTCTTCAACAATGAACCGAAATACTTGGACTCGATGTTGCGCGCCTTTGTTGAGTGGGACAACCCAAATGATGCGAATGAGACCACAGAAACCAGTTTGACGGAGTCACGAAGTCTGCAATGGCAGGAACGCTATGTGATGCTTGTCTGGCTTTCACATCTTCTACTAGCGCCATTTGACCTGGCCTCGTTATCGTCTGACGACATTCCTGTGCCTTTTGACAATTTGAAGGAGCTGGATAAACTCCCAGACCACACCCCGATGGTGGCGAGATCTTTGTTATCGCTCGCTGTTCATTACATCAATGTGTCCGGCAAGGAACGCGAGGCTGCGACTGCCCTTCTAGCGCGGCTTGTGTTACGTGGGGATATGCAGGCTCTGGGATTCCTAACAAAGTCGATGAGGTGGGCTTTTACGACAATCAACCCGTCTGATGAGAAAGAAATACCGTCTGTCTACTCCTGCATTGGTATTCTGTCCTTCATCGCCCGTCTCGTCGGCTCAGGTCAACTCGAAGACCTGGCTCCCTTATTGCAGACTATCTTCGATGAAACACTGAGGATCGTGCAAGGGATCACGCTTGTCTCAACGGTTGCTCAGACCTCAGCATCAGCTCGGAAAATTGTCGTAAAGATTTTGCGCAATGTTACAGTCATGGCCCTATCCCTAAGTGAGAGAGGAAACAGCAGCATGGCCGATGACAGGTTGTCTAGCATTCTGGAGGAGGCTATTGACCACTTCTTGAATGCCTTGGCAGACAAAGACACACCTGTGCGTTTTGCTGCGAGTAAAGCTCTCAGTGTCATCACCTTGAGACTCGAGCCAGAAATGGGTACAGAGATCATCGAAGCCGTCATTGGCTCCTTAGGAGAGAACATTCTCTACGAGAAGGAGGACGGCACTTTGATTACCGCGTTTGAGGCACGTCGTGCAGGATTGCATTCTCTCAAGCGTAATCTGAGTGGAGTTGATGCTCAACGTTGGCAAGGGCTTATGCTTACCCTATCTCATCTTCTATTTCGCCGCGCACCCCCAACCAAACAATTGCCTGAGATTCTTCAATCGCTTGTTGCTGGCCTTGGATTCGAGCAAAGATCATCCACCGGTGGTTCTGTTGGAACAGGCGTCCGTGATGCTGCGTGCTTCGGAGTCTGGGCCTTGTCACGGAAATATCTCACCTCGGAGCTGCAGGCCCTCCAAAGCCAGACTATTCCGGCATTTTCAGGCTCGACAGAAGTTGATGTCTTGCAGAAGCTTGCTGTTGAGCTTGTAAGTTCCGCGTGCGTGGATCCTTCTGGCAATATTCGGCGCGGAGCCTCCGCCGCGTTACAAGAACTGGTCGGTCGTCATCCGGACACTATCAGACAAGGCATCCTTCTCGTTCAGGTGGTGGATTATCACGCCGTTGCGCGCCGTTCCAGGGCGATGATAGAAGTTGCCAAGGCCACCGCATGTTTGGACCAACTGTACTGGGCTCCTTTGGTTGAGACTCTGCTGCAGTGGCGAGGTATTTGCTCACCCGACGCCGAGTCCAGAAGACATGCCGCCCAAGCCGTTGGTATATTAAGCAAGCAGCAAAAGTTTGCATCAATCCAGGTGGTCATGGATAGATTACTTGCTAAACTACCCGGATTGGCTCGAAGCGATGTTGAGTCGCGACATGGTTGCATGCTTTCTCTGGCTGCTACGGTTGATATTTATCTGAATGAATGGATGTTGTCGCCAGATCTTAGGGACTCGACAGAGGCGAAGGCTGTTGCGCTCCAGGTGGGCAGATTGTGGGAGGTATTCGTGTCACCGTCTGGACCTACGGACAATGATTTGACTCTCCGAAGCTTCCGCCCTGAGCTAACTTCGGAGGCATCAGCTAAACTGATTACATCACTTTCCCAAGTCGTCCAGTCTACCGGGATGTCAGGTCCTTCCGATCCAGTGCTGAATCGTGTGCTGCACGTCCTTTCTCTATGCGTTTCCCGAAGAGACGATATCTCCATTGAGACAGCATCTGAGGCTCTATCCGCAGTCTTCCCTCTTCTGGATTCAACGAAGCAGGAAGACACCGTGCGGGGTTGGATCCATCATCTTCGTTCCTCATCCAAGCTGCCTACTGGTCGTGGACAGATTCTTGCTATTGGCGCAGTATACAAGCAGCTTGAAGGATGTCAAACTGTCCAGCAGGAAATCGTAAGCGAGATACTCAGATCCTCGGGCAAGGATGAGCTGATCGAGAAACGGGTCGCCGCTGTGAGTTGCGTGGCGGCAAACATCTTGCCATACACTGGTATGAATGATCCCTGCTCATGATGGCGTTTTGGCCACACTGCTAACGGATGGAACAGTCATAGTAGATGAGATCGCAGAGAATGTCCTGGAGTATCTCAACGATTACACTACAGATAGACGAGGCGACATCGGATCGCTGGTTCGAGTGGAAGCCATCAGCGCAGTGAGCCTTCTCCTGCAACCGAATTCTCCGCTACCATGTACTTCACCACTTGTCAGAAGACTAGTGGGTAGTTTATGCCGTCTGTCCACCGAGAAGCTTGACAAGGTCAGACTGCGTGCTTGGCTTTGCCTGCAACAAGTCTGGGAGATGAATAATTTGGATCTACCTGCAATGCAAAGGTACTTGCACAAGTCTAAAAACTCTGCTCGGCTAATAACTAACGTGAGCAGAAAATATGAGCATTTCAGCAATGTGTCCTCGACAGAGTATTTTGAGCAATTACTCACGCTTTACTCTCTCGAATGGCTACGCAGACCTTTGCTGCAAGGTTTTATCACATCAGCAACAGCGGGCGCTGACGGTCTCATTCGCGCAACACGTTCAGCTTTTATCGGATTTGTGGTCTCACACGACCCTGCGAGTCAGCAGGTTTTATTGACTGATACACTCAAAGATCTTGCTCTTGTTCTCGGTTCGAACCTTCAAGACGACCGCTACGCAATTCCTGCGGTTGACTTTCTCGTATTCTTGATTGACAGCTTTGTGGTGCCAGATCAATCGGAGTATGATGCCGTGTTGCGAGAAGTCTTCGTCTTGGTACAGAAATTCCATTCCCGATCAACAAGCATCCAAAGACTGGAGTCTTCTGTCAAGGTCTACGCAGCGCTCTCGCGAGTTGACTCATTGCGTACCGATGTTCTAAAGAAGCTGACTGGCATCTTGCTTCATCCTTTCCCGAGAGTATGCTTTCACCGCGCTCTAAGATGATTTGCGCTTTACTAATCTTTCTTTGTAGGTCCGTGCTTGCGCCGCCGATTATCTTTTTGCAGTTGTTGGCTCAGATTTAGTCAAGTATGAAGACTGGTCTGCTCAACCCAAGCACTTGAAGCCAAAGGTGGCGGAACTGAGGACCACGCTGCTACCTGTTGAGTGAGAGTGAAGAAATACTCAGGAAGGATTTCCATATTCTGTGACTAGTGACGTAGAAGAGTATATAAATTATGAGTGGGATGCTTTGACCAGGATCTAAATGCAACTCCAATACATTACTCTTGACCCTTGTGATGTCTAGTCAACTCGCTTACGATTTTTCGGAGTATTTGGTCCCTGCTCGACAGGTCGTTTCCTAGGCCCCATTACTTGCCTTCGATAACAGTACATCACACCGAGCAACATCGTTTTCCATAAGCGACGAAAGACTGATGTTCGATTAAAATTCACAGTAAGTGAAGAGAATTTCAAAAACCGTATTTCCATATCCCACGATATGGTGAGAACAAAGCTTGCACATCTGGCTAGTGCCACCGGTGGGTTGTCTACGGGTGACTTCCCCGAAGGAAAAAAGAGATGCATCATCCGTGAATCGAACACGGGCCTCGTCGATGGCAACGACGAATTCTACCACTAGACCAATGATGCTGGTCCATGTAATGAGTGTGCAGGTTTGAATATATAAATCATTTCTCAAATTTCATTTGGAGACCTGCCTCAAATGGTCTTTCCGCGTTTTAAAGGTCCTGTTCGAACTCCCCGACATCATTAACTCCAGCACGACTTCATCACAGTCACTACCATGGCCGCCACAATTGAATCAGCAGGGGGTGTTCCGCCTAATTCCACGTAAGTCATCCGGCCGTATATTGCCAACTCGAAGCTAATCTCGCGCCATAGGGTCTACGTATGTTCGACAGAGGAGCTCGCTTCCTTCCGCGATTTTTCGACTTGTGCGCTGCCCATAGACTGACATATTCATTGCACTGAGAATAGGTTCGGAATCTAGAGGAGCGCATCAAGATTGAGCAACTCAAGGTCGCGCTCGAAGAGATCTTCTCAGAGTTCGGCAATGTGGTCGAAATTGTTGCCAAAAAGAACCTGAAAGCCAAGGGGCAAGCATTCGTCGTCTTCGATAGTGTCGAAGCTGCGACTCGTGCTATTGAGGACGTCAACGGCTTCGAACTCTTTGACAAGCCCATGGTTCTAGACTATGCAAAGACCAAGAGTGACGCGACCGTTCTCCGTGAGGGTGGAAATGAAGAGCTTGAGGCTCACAAGCGGAAACGCCTGGCTGAGAAAGGTATGTAGTACAATCTTCACTTCTCCCCATTCTTCGTTTTCTACCCCAGAATAGTCATGCTAATGTGACTCAAATCAATACAGAGCGGAAACAAGCACACGAAGCGCTCGAGGCCCAGAAGAAGCTCAAGCGTCCCGCCGCAACCGCCGCAGATGTCGCCCGCCCCGCAAAGACGACAAAGGGTACTGGTCTCAAGCCCACAACAGGCGCTGCAACTACAGTGGTTCCCGACGAGTACCTGCCTCCCAACAAGATTCTGTTCTTGCGGGATCTGCCCGACGATGCCAGCCAAGAGAGTCTTACCGAAATCTTTGGCCGTTTCGAAGGCTTCCAAGAAGTTCGTTTGGTACCTGGTCGCAAGGGTATCGCCTTTGTGGAATATGAAACGGAAGTTGGCGCCATCAGCGCCAAGGAGGCTACATCGGGCATGGCGATGGGCGAGCAGAACAAGCCAATTCGGGTCACCTACCAGAGACAGTAGTTGTCGCTTATGTTGCCTCGTCAACATGATTTTAATGCACTGATACCTCAGCTGTTCGCCCATCATCCCTTTGGTGAAGCATCAGATCATACCGCTTTAATGCTACAATACCTTTGCAGTCTTCACGTAATCTTTTTCTAGTGGAGAACAGGACCACTGAAATTTGCAAACTATATACTCGGGACATATTGCTGACTAGACGTGATTCCCATATAGGTTCAGAGATTGTAGGCATAATAAATCATGATACAAATACTAAGTGCTAAGGCTGCGCTGGTCAAGGTAGTAACAGATGGATGAACAGGTAAGGTTTAGAAAATGACATCGTTGTCCTCATTCTCCCCGAGGACGTCGGCAGCTTCTGCTTCTGGTTCCGGTTTCGCTGGAGCAGATCCGCCCGCCGCCGCTTCTTCAGCTTCCTGCTTCTTCCGAGCTGCAAGAATCTCGGCGTCAGCTGCGGCAGTATCTCTCTGCTTCTTGCCAGAGACCTTCTTCAGGCGGTAGAACTCTTCGCGATCAAGTTCATCAAGCTCGGAATTGATATCTGTCTCAGTGTGAGTCTTTTTAGGCAAATTTTGGTAAAAGGTTGTGACAAACATTTGATAGTGTTTTCAGTGCGAGGAATGATAACATGCTCACTAGAAAACGTCAGAACGAGACCATAAGCATCTTGGCATCTATGTGATGATCGCATACATTGCATTTACTGGTTTCAAAGAGCGTTAGCAGGTCCATATTCGTCAGCCATACAAGCATTGGCCCGTCTTACCTCTTCGGTTGACGACCTTAATAACCTCATCCAAAATCAAGAATGCGGTCTGTTAAAGTTAGCTAGAGTTCACTCGTTCCCCATCGCGGTTTACGTACCTGAAGACTGGCCAATTCGACCAAGGTCTCCACAGCCCGAGCATAGGTCTCTCTGCATCGCTGAATCTGCTGTCCTCCCTTGCCGAGTCCAGTCAAGGCGAAGTCATTGACACCCTCCTGGGTATAGCTCTCGAATTGCGGAAGAAAGACACCAGAAACGTTCTCTTGCTTCGCTCGGACCCGGAATCTGGCCTGCTTGGCCGATTCTTGCACTTGGTATCCGATATCTCCGCCAACAGCATAGCTCACTTCGGCGAGGGAGAAAGCTGCAATTTGCATGACACGACCCATCTTGCGCTTTGCCTCATCGATACGGCGTGTGATCTCTGTCCACCTCAATCAGCTTAGGGCAAAGATGTGGAGGATTGCGAAGATGCCTTGTAACGGTATCATACCTCGGAAACGCCTAGAAAGGAGCAAAAAGTCAGCATAGCACAAGACCCGTGTTTCAAGCAGGAAACTCACTTCGTCAGAGCTTCGCTCTTACGTTTAAGCAAGCTGTGACCGGTTTCCGCCCCCTTCAGCTTGCTCTTCATCAACCCCAGCGACTGGCGAGTCGGAAAAACAGGCTCACGGCCCTATTGCAAAGTTTAGCAAATGGCCATGCACAACTTATCAGAATTGTAGACTTACAACTGCACCCGACATGATGGCAGCTTGTGATCCCTATTGTCGGCTCTGCGGCGTGGTGCTGCCACATTGATATGACGCTCGTGCCGATAAAGCTCCACCGCCCACTTACTGCGGAACAGATCACGTGGTATCAATACGATGATTGCCGCATTTCCGTCTGTCAAACTATCGCGCACGAGCTCATGTGCTCCGCGTTTACAACGTTTTCATACTGAGCATCTGCTGTGCCTGATCATATCTCGCTCAATCAGAGTGGCGCAATGCCAGGGACACTTTTGCCCCCGAGATCGCACCGGCAACACGCAGAAATGGACCGACCATCTGCGTCCCGGCCGGATTTCTATCTGATCGTAGGTGTCTTTCAGGTCGTTAACCAAGAGTGGTTGCTGACAAGACCCCGCAAACAGACGGATCAGGACACGGTCTATGAGCAAGACCTACTACGCGATGCTGGTAGTATCAAGCCATGGCTGGCTTACATCGAGTTCAAGCAGCAAAATGGCACACTTTACGAACAGGCCTTTGTATGTCGGCCCCTACGCGCCTCTTCCTGACACGGTTCCTAACGTATTCTTGTGCAACTAGGTCATGGAGCGAGCATGTCGCAAGTTGCCACGGTCATACAAGCTATGGAAAATGGTGAGTGATTCTGTTCGTCGCATGCACCAAACCACACGTCTCACTGATCCCGTCCCACTCTAGTATCTTGAATTTCGGACGAAGCATTTGAAAGGCCGCAATGCAGTCGCTTACCGTCCCGAGTACGTCAAGGTCAATGCCCTGTTCGAACAAGCCTTGGTCCTTTTGAACAAAATGCCTCGCATCTGGGAGATGTACCTGTCATTCCTACTTCTGCAGCCTTTGGTTACACACACCCGGCGCACATTTGATCGTGCCCTCCGCGCATTGCCTGTTACTCAACACAACCGGATCTGGCGACTTTTCAAGGGCTTTGCGCGCTCTGTATCCGGTCCTACCGCCGTCAAAATCTGGGCGCGGTACATGCAGATCCACCCTGAGAACGCAGAAGATTACATTGATGTGCTAGTTGAGATGGGAAAATACACGGAAGCCATCAAGGTATTCATGAACATCTTAGACAACCAGAGATTCCAGTCTAAGAACGGCAAAAGCACTTTCCAGCTGTGGACCGAGATGGTTGACCTCCTCGTGTCCAAGGCCAGAAGTATCGAAACAGGGCCTCAGGTCGGCATCGACGTGGACGCAATCCTCCGCAGCGGAATCGAGAGATTCGCTGACCAGAGAGGAAAATTGTGGGCTGGTCTTGCCACCTATTGGATCACCAAGGGCAACTTTGAAAAGGCTCGAGATGTTTTTGAAGAGGGGATTACTACTGTGATGACAGTACGTGACTTTACTCTGATCTTTGACTCCTATGTCGAGTTTGAGGAGTCAATCATCGGAAATCTTATGGAAGCTGCGGCTGCTCGTTCAGAAAAGGGAAAATCGGACGAGGAGGCCGATTTCGACCTTGACCTTCGAATGCTTCGATTTGAACAGCTCATGGACCGACGACCGTTCCTTGTCAATGATGTTTTGCTGCGACAAAATCCACATAATGTCATCGAGTGGGAAAAACGAGTGGCTTTATGGGGCGACAATAAGCAAGAAGCTGTTAACACCTACACCGCAGCAATTGCAGCAATCAACCCAAAGAAGGCGCATGGGAAGTTTTCAGAGTTGTGGGTCAACTATGCCAAGCTTTACGAAGAAGGCAACGACTTGGATACTGCACGAGTCATCTTCGACAAGGCTGTCAAAGTTCCTTTCAAATCCGTTGCCGAGCTCGCAGAGACCTGGTGCGAGTGGGCGGAGATGGAGCTTCGCGGGGAGAACTTCGACAGGGCCGTCGAGATCATGGCCAAGGCAACTCAAGCGCCGAAGAAATCTACCGTGGATTACTTTGACGAGACGCTCTCGCCACAACAGAGAGTCCACAAGAGCTGGAAGTTATGGAGCTTCTATGTTGACCTTGTCGAAAGTGTCTCATCGCTGGAAGAGACCCGAAAGGTCTATGAGCGCATTTTCGAGCTGCGTATTGCGACCCCTCAGACCGTGGTCAATTACGCGAATCTTTTGGAGGAAAACAGTTACTTCGAAGATTCATTCAAGATTTACGAGCGGGGTCTGGATCTCTTCAGCTATCCGGTTGCTTTTGAGCTCTGGAATCTATATCTTACAAAGGCTGTGGACCGAAAGATTGGTATTGAACGACTTCGAGATCTTTTCGAGCAAGCATTGGATGGATGCCCACCCAAGTTCGCCAAGCCTTTGTACTTGATGTATGGGAACTTGGAGGAGGAGCGAGGACTCGCCCGGCATGCGATGCGAATCTATGAGCGGGCAACACGAGAGGTATCCGATGAGGACCGATTCGAAATGTTTGAGTTTTACATTACCAAATCCGCCTCCAACTTCGGGCTCACTTCAACTCGACCGATTTATGAGCGAGCTGTTGCTGCCTTGCCCGACCAGGAGGCCAAAGAAATGTGTCTCAAATTTGCCGAAATGGAACGCCGACTTGGAGAAATCGACCGGGCTCGCGCTATTTACGGACATGCATCCCAGTTCTGCGACCCTCGAACCAATGCGCCATTTTGGCAGAAATGGGAGGCGTTCGAGGTGCAACATGGCAACGAAGATACATTCAAAGAGATGCTTCGCATCAAACGAAGTGTTCAAGCCCAATACAAGTACGACACATCCCCCCAGTTCCATTTATCAGATTAGAAACATGATTTGCTGACTTCATGAAATAGTACCGATGTCAACTTCATCGCTTCGCAGGCCATTGCTCGCAGCCAGCAGCAACGTGCTCAATCAGATACGGTGGCGCACGGCGAGGAGGATTCCGAGCGTGCGGATGCGATGGCTGCCCTTGAGCGCGAGGCTCGGGCTCCCGTGGGCTTTGTTGCAGCCAGCACTGGACCTGAAGGCGGCAATCGACCATCCGCTACTGGCAAGGAGCAGCCTGCAGCCCCGCCTAACCCTGATGCCATTGATTTGGATGATGACATGGATGAATAGTTTGTCACGTGTCCCCTGGCAACACTTCCAATTTGCTATTTGTCCCAGATTGCTTCATGGCCGGCGCCCATCAATGATATTCGCGCATTCTTGCATGATCTGGGATCTTCAATGCAGCATAGTTTGTCAACTCAATTTTTAAGGCGCTCCCGGATTCTTTGCTTGTGTCATTGAGATCCTTTTCTTTTTTTTTTTCTTATTGGAGGACGTTAGCGCCATGTTCGTCAAGTTTCCCACCCGCTTTTCGACTCGCATACCAAAAATACGCATCCTTGGATTAGTGTGGAGTGGACTGCGCTGATCAGACAATATACAAACTCGCCAATTTTCTTGATAGCTCCCACACAGGTCCATACCCGTATAGACATGGAGTAGGAATCTTCGGTCACCTGACCCTCTTGAAAGCCAAGCCTCCATGACTAACATTTCGCATTTTTCAGAGATTATCAAATTGAATTGGAAAGTACGAGACCGATTAGAGTATCTGTATAAGACAAACGGACAGCCAAAGATCTTTTTCTGGAGGATCTTTACAAATAGTCTCTTTTCTTTGAATACAATTCAAGACTGGGGTGTTCCTCATAGTTTCACTGTTATTATAAACTCATTTGACCTGGCCCGTCGCAATGGAATCTTCGTAGCATTTCCCTTAGTTCCGAGTGCAATCATCGGCTGCCGTTCAAATGGCCCTACATGTACCAATGGTGCGTGGATCCTTCAAACAATATCAATTGCCGGCAGAACTTCGAGCCCCGATTCGGTAGATGGTATGGGAACCAACGTCCGGTGGAAGGACTGTGTATTTACCTTCGTGTACTCTCGGGCCCTCGGCTATTACTATAACATGCCAGTGACTCCGTGTCAAAACGGTCTTCTTAATCGATCTGACACGGTGTTTATATCTATTACCAGAATGGCTGCGAGGCTGGGTTTGCCCGGCAGAAGTACTAGGACAAAAATTACCAATTAATGGTGAAGAATCAAACGCAAGTTGCAAATTGACCGATTTACTCTTCGTCGACACAGCTTTTCTGTGCCAACCACATGAAAGATTCCCATTAATGGATGCAATTGACTGAGGTAATTGCAAATGCAGAGAGCATACAATATGCGAATATTGGGTGGTATCACAGGTTGTTGATCAGTCTCACAAATTCAAGGATCCCCGATCTCAAAGGGGCATAATTGAAGCAATTAAAAGAGAAAAGGACTCAGGATGGCCATGCGGTTGAATATCCGAACCAAGATTTCAAGGCAGATATCTGAGCCTTGGGCTAGTTGTTCACTGTGACAGGTGAACCAGCCTCATTTTCATGTTCAGCAGCGGTTTCTTGTGGCAGCGAAGTTTCTCCCTGAGACCCGCCCACATTCACACCCTCTTGTGGAGATGGCGACGCAATGACTGGCTCGACTGGCAACTTCCCTGGCTCCTTATCTGCATCAGGGAAGACTTCTACGAAGAGATTCGGTAGGAATCGATCCAGGCGCTTATGAGTCTCAAGCCAGATATGCTCTTTACTTGCATCCTGAGATGGAGGTATCAAGTAGCCACCGTCAGCCATGACAAGTAAGATGTTCTTGAGACTTTCGGGAATCGCTTCTTCCAGATTGTCGCTTTGGCCGCTGTTCATCATGCGATCAAGGATATCCAAGATTTGAAGCCAAAGTGGAAGCATGCCCTCCCGATTGGGGAGCTGATCCAGGAACCGGAGGAAAATCTTGCAGATTAGTGTTGCAGCCTGTACCCTGGTCTGACCCATACCAACGGGGTCAGAGTGGTAAACCTCGGGCTTAAGGAGACGCAAGACTAGCGGAAAAAGGACGTCATCGAAGAGAGCATTCCACTCCTTGTCGTCACCGGAGATTAGGTCCACGGATAAAAGGGCTCGTTGCAGAGTGGAGATAGCGTGATGACGAACGTCCCGGCAAGGATTCGTGCATTGTCCACGAAGAGATTCGAAGATTGGCGACCAGTACGCCGACCACGCTGAGAATATATTTTGTCAGATTGAATTGCACAAGCTCCGCGAACGAGATAGACCAACCTTCACGCTCTTCAAGGTGAGACTGCTTGACCAACGCAGGAACCCGCCCTGTCAAATGATATATTAGGCCCAGCGATTTGATCGCTCTCGTCACGCATGTATTCTCGCTGTTACCGAGTCAGTATATTTACTCTCCCTGAGAGTTGCGAATCTCCATACCTCGCCTTCGGTGGCTTGACACCCTTGCTTCGTCGAGCATGGGCATCTCTCTGACGCTCATCAATAGAGCCGATATGACCAGCCGTCACAAAGTCGTTCGCAAGCGACATCACTAGTTCGTAATTATCGGCCGTGACAATATCCGGCATGGAGTATATGATGCTTTCAAGCAACTCAAAGACTAAAGGAGCAGCCTCCTCATGCTGGTGCAGACGTTGCAAGACAGACCAAAAGTCAGGAGAAATCGTGATTTCGTTCCGCAGACGACCAGTATGGGAGATGCATCGCGACAGGCCTTTGATAGTCGGCACAGCAACGGCCTCCAAAATCTCCTGATCATACCCAGAAATGGTGTGGAGAATGACGGGAACTCGAAGGAAATGCTGGCTCTGAGATGACACAGGGTCAGAAAACATCAATTGCGTGTCCAGATTTGCGCGGGTAAAACCTACGTGACTGAGCCTGAGCAGGTTCAGAAGATATGAAAGAATACGAGATATAGTTAGAGGGTGGAGATTCTTCACGTCACGGGTGAAGGTTTGCAGAGTCGTCGCCATCGATTCTCCGAGAATGGAGAGTGTTTGCTCGTCACGGAGGGTGAGAACAGTAGCTAATTCCAGGAGAAAGATCATGGATGGATCGTATTTGGGTCGGTTAGGATCAACCCTGGAGCCCGAGGGTCGGGGTACATGGCTCGGACGCTCGGGTTTGACCACAATGACGGCGGGCGCATTCTCCTCGGGAAGTTGCGACAAGAGGGCGCCGACAAGGGGCTCCAATGAGGATACAGGCAAGGACCTGTCCGGTGTGAGCGAGAAACGTTGGTCATGAACGAGGGCCACTTACTTGATATTGTGCAAAATTTTTGGAATAGAACAAGCCGTGACACAATCAACAGTGCATAACGTATTTTCGAGCTCCTCGTCGGAAGGCTCTGGAGGGTCATCCGCTGCATAACTTGAGAGATAAGAGGTGAACGCGGAGAGAAGACCTGTCTCATTGGTACGGCCGTCTCTATCCACGACTTGCGATGGCGGCTGAAGAGGAATAGGCGGCACGTCCAATTCCGCGTTCAATTGAGAGTCGAAGGGTGGAGTCAGAGAATTAATGAAAAGATTGCTGAGGATGCGAACAACGGGTTCCCACGCTTGCTTCGGCGTGGACTCGTTGCCGGTAAGGATTCGAAAGAGGACCACGGTAGCCAACTGTGCTCTGAAGTCTCTTCCAAACTTGACAGCTAGCTCACTGACCATAACGCTTTTCTTGCCCACTTGTACTTCAGTGTTCAGAGCAGTGCTGGGCGGGTTGGCGGTTGCCAATGTACTGATCGACGCGAGTGAAGAAACGATCCGGTCGAAGCACTCCGTCAAACCATAGCGGGCTGCAACCTGGGCGCACTGGTCAAATCCATTTACCACCCGGGAGTAGACGGCATCATCAGATGCAGACATGAAAACATAAGACAAGGTTGCAATGACTGGCCTCCAAGTTGCTTCAAACATCTCTGCATCGTAGACGTTGGTCTCGCCTACAACAATTTCCCCAGCGGTCGAAGATTTGAGCAACATCTCCTTCCAAGCATAGTCGAACGCGTGTTTGTTTTCATGCTCGTCAGGCAGAATGATCTCATTATCCTTGATGGAATCATAAATTTCTTGGAGAAATTCTTCTGAGAAATCCTTGCCGTCGTTGACGCCCCGAAGATTTCTTGAGAAGGAAAGGAAAGTCATTCGGTTCTGCGCCTTGACGTTCGGATTGTACAGATCGGTGTTCAACATGATGATCGCATACGTGAGAACGTAAAGCGCGTCCTTATCTGCGATTGCCTCATTTCGAACCTTATCCATGTAAATTTGGGAAAAGGTCGTGATGATGCGCTCGATCAGCTGCGACTCGCCCGGCAGACGGAACGCGCTCAGCAGCTCTCGCAGAGCCTCCACGGGGTTTTTGCCGGAGAAGTCCAGGAGATCGACAAATGCATCTAGCAATTCCTCATTGTTACGCTTCGAGATGAATTCGCCAAGGACCTTCTTCGACAAGCGACCCGTGCCTTTGAGAAAGCGGGCTACAAGCACTGGGTTTTTTGCATCCTCGATAATACCATGACTCTCCAAGTAGGCAATTCCCGCCTTGGGATCCTCATTGAAAAGATTCGCACCCTTGATAATGAGCTTCTTCGTTCGCCGCTGGGTTCGGAGGCGCTCCAACGGAGGATAGTCCCGTTGATTGGGCTCATCGTCCATTCTATCGTAGAGGAATTGGACATAGCCCAATAAAGAGTCAAGGCATAATGGAGGCACATTGGTAGTACTCCACGTTGCAGAATCGGGGAAGGCATTGCGTGAAAGAAGACCAATCAAGTCCTCGCATAGATCTGCTCGGTCAACCTCACAGTCATAATTGACAAACAATTCGACCATGAAGCTCGGAATCCGCAGAAGCAAGCCTAAGCTTTCCACCATAGCTTCCCGAACTTCCGGTCGTCGCGAGCCACCTTCCATGCCAAGCTTTTGCCGATCCTTGACGGGCACGGGCGTCGATCGTCCACTGTTCGTCTGCGATGATGGCTGCTTGACGAGCTTCGGCGCACGGGGCACCCCTTCGTAGAGCGAGGGATCAATGCCCGGCTCGCGAGGAATATCGACGCGCGGATGGAGACAGGCAACTAGATAGGAAAGATAAAGTTCCTGCTGCAGCTTCAACACAGACCGACAGGTAGACAGTAAGGTCCCAGCCACTCTTAAGGACCCAGTGAGAATGGCTAACTGCTCTGATCGGACCAACTGGAAAAGATAACGACAAAGATCATCTTTGGCAAGCGTAGCTAGGCTGGGATGTCGAGCAATGGACGGACCAGCCACTTCCAAAGCAACATCGATGATTCGAAGAGCCATTACCCTCATGGTATCGGTATGTTGTCGGTTGTGGGGATCGAGAAGATCGATTAAGACACGAAACAATTCTCGAATTGAGGGCAAAGAATAGGGCTTTGGCTCGACGTCAGGATCATCCTGCAAGATAGGCCGCGCAGTGGCAGTGACGGTCTCCTCACCAGGTCTGTGCTCTGAGGAACCTTCACGGGTCACTGCCACACGCTCTGGGCCTGCAGTATCCGAGCTGATCGCCGATTGATGCTGAGACGTCACAGTGTCGCCATTCACCGATGGATCCATCTTCAATTGCGAGCCGTCTGGCCTGCTGCGTTCATCTGTTAGCAGGTCAGGGCCGGGTGTTGCCTGCTGATTGAGGCGTGAAAGTCGCCTGAATATGACCTGGCACATATTGACCATGGCCATCTCTGCGGATCTTCGCAGTACCTCGGACAGTCGACCTTGACAGCACATGCTTAACCCGGTTTCCATCATTTCACAGACGCTTTCGTCGCCCAGTAACTCGCCTTCTGGCCGAGATAGCATGCCTTCCATAAGCTTTAGAATACGGAGCAGCACTATTTCATCTGCAGAGGAATCACTTGCTTCAAATCGACAATGTGTAATCGCCGCGGAGAGCAACTGCATGGCCAGAGGCAGGCGGGGCGAGTCTCGGTTGATGATATTGTAAGAGAAAAACTTGGTAATGGCGACCAATGCGAGAGATGTGATCGCCGCCGACGTTGAGGATGAGCGGACGACTTGGAGGAATGGATGCAGAAGGGCCGGTGTGTCGAATGTTCGAATGTCCTTGCAACCTTTGAGATCAATGCGGAGACGGGTGAAGGCCGACATCAACGGATTGTCTTGCAAGCTCTTGCCCTTTTTCCCCCGAAGTCCCCATCGGCTGGCCAGCACATGATCCTCCTCTCCATTTCTGGACGATTGACTACTCTTGCGTGGACTGGACGGTGTTGAGGTGTCTTGCTCATAGAGCCGTGAGCCCCCATTGCCGCCCAGGATCGCGGAGACGGAGGAGTGCGCCCAGCGAGCCTGTTTCCGCATGGACGAGGTGACGGTGATACATTCGGTGGTCACCAGTGCCACCGGATCAACTGCAATGGTGAGCGGTTCAGACATGATGTGATCCCGCATCTCGAGCTCGAGATGCGCTCCGTAATGCGTGTCACCGTTGAATGCGGCGAACAAACAGCTGGTCTCTCTGTCTCCAACGGCTGCTAATTGCCTCTTCGGGGTTAGTGTTTTCCCCCGCTTGCTCACCGCCCTCCACAGGGGCATTCTGCTTATCCTGCTTATCGGATACGAGTCGTGAAGCTTCTCCTCAGGCACGGACAGCGGTCGGGGTTGTACTTGTAGTTGTCCTACGTGAGACTTTGTCTCGAGCAAAACATTTTTCGAGCACTTGCCCGTGGCATCAACTCATGAATCCCATCAATCATCATGATAGTGGAAGATTAGCTTAGATGAGGTCAATCGAACAAACGCCATGGAGGATGGCATTTCATCCTGCAATTCTGATGTTATCCTAGAGCTTGTTTCGATCGGTATATTTAAAGTTATGCGACCTGTTTGTAAATGATGCATCTGGAAGCGTGACAGCACATGACAATAGCCTTGTTCCATTTCTTGTGTCTTACGCGACCGGGACTAGGTAGGTATGTACATACTACATAACTACTACTTACATCATATTTAGGCTTAAATATGAATACGCTGGTGCGGACCCCTGGTGGATGACATGTGAATACTGGGCACTACTGAGATGGATCCCACGCTCGCTGGATTACTTACTCTCCGGAGTCCTTGCGGAGAAAGAATACAAGTATGTCAACCACCACTTCTGCTCTAGGATGCATTACATCTGAAGCTGACAATTAAAAGTGTAAGGTATCGATCTGGCCACGGGCACGTATGACTCGTACCAAAGAGAGCGTCCCCTACTTAGCATCTACCTATCGAGCATCGATTGTGTATGTCAAGTCTATCAACTGAGCCATATGGCAGGTTATGGCAGGTAGTGGCACTGATGGAAAAGGTCCTTAGCGGGCACCTCTACTTCTAGCTGTAGATTTGCACATTTTAGTAAGGTTGCACAGAGCTTGAATCCTACAGAAACTGTTCTAACGTAGCGGGTCAGTTGGTAACTACCTCAGACTGTACTAGTAATCCCTGCGCTTGAATGTCCACTCTTGCTCCAGAACCTGACCGCCGAGGGGTTGTCGAAACCAGGGAATGTACAGTAGTAGCACGGCACATTTGAAACAAGACTTACTGTACAACCCTCCGAGACAACTTTAGGTTGTTCTTCTAAGACCTTATATGTAAGTCAGGCATTAGCTTCCTACCTAGAGGGGTGCTGATGTGATGGGTCATATTGATCCGCCTTGCATGTGCACTGGGCAACGGTTGTGGTGGCACGCGTTGGCCTGACAAACACCACATTGGACCACATTGGACCACGATGGATGACTGGAAGGACCTCGCTGCCCGTACATCCGGACATAGTTTGTTTCTTACAGAGGGTCTGAACTCTGAAGTGGGAGTGTACACTATAGTATCTTCCATGAATACGGCTCGAACCGGCTTTGAGATTCCTGAAGATCATCTCCACTTTGGGAGGTAAGGTAATCCATCCATCGCGGGCGCTAAGCATCCTGTAGTGGATGATTATTGCTGTGGTAGCTCGAGTCGATCACCCATCCCACTGCCAACTAAGGTCTTGTCAGTACTATTGACCCATTGCTCTGGATACTGGGAATATTCCGGCTTCTCGCCTCACTTACTGGTAGTCTGGTAACCATGCTGAGGATTGAAAGCTGGTCTTGCTATATCTCTGACCTCGCTGCGTGTCCCGGTGTTTGAAAGATGAGTCAGAGCTGGTAAAACTGGAGGGCGGGTATTTGTACCTGTTCCAGGTAGTCCTCTGAATTTTGATCGGTTAAGTTACCGTTGATGTGCCTCAACCATTAAAGAAGTAGTAGCACTAGCCCGTGATACGGTCTAGAGGAGAGTTTGAGTCGAGTGCATGGCAAAGGAGTCTGAGAGAGGTACATCAACATCAGGTGATCAACTGACTGCTCGAGTCATCCAAGGTCACCATTTTATCGGCATACAATCCAAGATCAAACCATCATCACCACAGTAATGCAGTCATACAGCCATCCCTTCTTCAGCCCTGGGTCTCCATCTCCAAATCGTGGCTGTCGCCCGCTGCCCGCACTCCACCCGCGTATCTCCATCTCATCGTGTTGGTAGTCGACTTTCCATCCCCCCCCCCCCCCCCCCCCCCCCCCTCGAAACAATCCGCTCTCTTTCTCTTTCCTGCTTTGCGCGCCCCTCCTTGTGGAATATCACACACATTCTCTCTTCTGATTTCCACAACCACTTACACCACTCGTTCCTTGAATTTACATTATCTTTTTTTTTCTTTTCTGATATCTGTCTAATCTACCTTCTCTGTCGAGGTTCTTGACATTCGAGATAGTACGACCGCCATTCATTTGGACAGCAATGCTCTCTTCTCCGCATGCTCTTTGTCTTCTCTAGCTTCGTCGTGACTGCGCAACCTGAGCCCCCCCCTTCCCACTTCACCACGCTCTTTGATTCTTTCTAATTCTTTACGCCACCATTTCCTCGGAGCTATCGGGAGTTCGGTACACGATCGCCATCGGTGGAGGAGCGCCATAATCGCGAAACGGCAGGTGCAACACACACTCCCGCCATGGCACTCAACACGAATGCGCCGGGAGGCACCACAATGGCGGACTTGCCTCTAGAATACCTCAGTCTCTACCATGCCGTTGATACCCATCTATCTTCCATTTTCATCTTCTATGGACCTGTCGCGACAGCAAACGCCACCGTGAGCAGCTCGCGCATCCAGGCGCACATCTTCACGCCCGCTGGGTTCCAAAGCTACTCTCGAATCACCATCTCCCCCGCCGCACCCCTCTACGCAGCCGTCAACCATTTGCCCCGCGACAAACAGGGAGACCCCATTACGCGAGGACTTGCTGTTAGCATGTTGAAGTATTTCGCTGAATTGTCGGAACCCGTGAGGAAGCAGTTGACAGCTTCTGCCCGAATGGGCCTGCGACAGGGCGAGAGGCCCCCAAGGCTCTTCGATGATGTGCATGCTGCGGAGTTGGCGAATAACATGAAGTTGGTCGAGAACCCGTCCGAGATTGTACGTGATGTTCGCAGTGCCTGTCAGGAAAGGAGGATCCCTTGGGTGGACATGGATGTGGTGTTGCCTGCGGGGCTCATACACTGTCCACAGCGGCGAGGAAGCGCTGGCTCGGACATTGAAATGACCCAGTCACTGGACTATGGCCCATATACACAACTCATCGAGGCTCTGGGTCAGCCGATGTTTCTGCCTACCTCCAGGCTGAAGCGGGCGCCATCACAACCGACCAATGTCAGCAAGTCGAGAATCTTTTCGCGGAGTCAAAAAGAGGCCCTGAGATTGACCATGTGTGAATTTGTGGATACGGAGGAACGGTATGTCGCCAAGGTGTACACCTTGGTGCATGAGGTCGCGGAAGAATTTCGGCAAAAGGCCCAGCGCAGAGAACCCACGAGCCTCAGTCCAGATGAGAAAGCTTTGGAGGCCCTCTTCCCCCCCCTCTTTGAATGAGATTCTGGACATCAATCTAGGATTTCTCGATGTGATCAGGAACATCCTGGAGGAGACGGAGAAGGATGCTTTGGAGGATATCAGTCAAGATACCGAACTGCCCGCCTCCAAAGCACATCGAAGCTCTTCGCGGGACGGCAAAGATGCCATCGGCGCAACCAAGTTCGCCCGGGAGTTGCTGGAGTGGTTACCCCGATTCTCAGCGCCGTATGCGGATTACATGCGTGCGCACAACGGCTTCACCCAAACACTGAACTCGTTCATGCGCGACAAAACCTCGAGCTTCTCTCGACGCGTGCACGAGACTGGAGAACAAAGATTACGCTCCCTGCTGATGGAACCTGTCCAGCGGCTACCCCGCTATAGTCTGCTGATCGATACCATGACAGGCAGTCTGCCGCTGGTTCATCCTGCGGTTCGGCCTTTGCTGAAAGCGCGAGATATTGTCAAGGACATCTGCGCCCTAGATAACGGATCGCCATCTAGTCATGTGCAGAGCCTTCGACGGCTGAGGGAGATTGTTGATGGCTGGTCAGGGAAGTCTTTTCCCGAAGGTCGACTGATCACCGCCGTGGATGTTAATGAGATTACGCCGCCATATAATCTAGAATCGCGGACCTCGGCACCAGCTGCCGGCATTATGCTACTCTACAAGAACTGTCTCGTTCTGATTTCTAAATCTGTGGGCAGTCGCGTAACCGCACGAGGATTGCTCGCCGATATCGACGACGCGGCATCGTCGAATGGCGAGACGCCGACATCAATCCCAAGCGCTGACCTCAAAGTTGCGCAAGTGTTCGAAATACACTCTGTGCGATGCATGCAATCGGGTTGCGGTCGATTACTCTACATAATACCTACGACACATTCCCCGAGTGCAGCTTCTCCAAAAGGTAGCGACGACGTTGTCGCTTTGAAACTGACGGCATTGTACGAAGGAAAAGTCGGCAAGTTGATTGAAGAAATCACCAAGGCCCGCATTGAGGGACGATTTCCAGAACAACAGCGGGAGGGGGGCAAATGGACTTTGCGCAGCCCTCCTTCGCCAGCCAACAACACCGGTATTTTAGCGTGCGTCTATGAGAATGGGCAGAGCGTCGCTCTAGAACAGGGGCCGGCGCCGTTCATACGAATGCTCTTCGATACACCAAAAGCTGAGTGGGCCGAGACTCTTCAAGCATCAAACGCAGATGTCGTCATGTCGATAAACTCCTCCGACAACGAACAGTTCAGGCTTGACATTGACTCAGTAATCGGTTCTCCGTCGACGGACTTAGTGACCGTGGACACGTTTGTTCCGACACTTCTTCGAAGATGTATGTGTGCAATGGCGCTGAGCCAGTTTGAGCGCGCTGCTAATGGGTTTATAGTACATTCGCTTCTCGTTCCCCTGAACGGCGCTCGCAACACAAAGCTGATGAAACCTCTGATCAGTTCTAACTATGAGATTCTTCGTTACATTGCGGGCGCTTTAGTCATGCAAGTCAAATCATCACGCAGCTTCCGACCTCCCTCGCCCACCAAGCTCATTTCAAATTTCTTGGGAGGCAGTCGCGAGACTGTGCCTACAGTCAAACACCCCAGTTCAGCTACCTTGCTTGGTGAATTTCCGAAAATGTCACCGCAACGAATCAATCTTTCCAGATCCAATACCCTTCCATCTGCATTTCCCGGAAAGGACAACTGTAAGGAAAAGCAACCGGAAAAGGACAAAGACAAGGAGTCAAGCAGAATTTCTATGGTGGAAGTTTCTGGAGCCAGAGGTCCGGATGGTCAGCTGCGGTCCTTAGAACAGACGTTTGCTGCTTATATTCTCTCGTTACAATCTCGCAGTGGCAACATTCTTGGGCGTATGCTGCGTAATCGAGAACATGCGGATCGCGCACTTGTCAACGAGCTCTACAACATTCTACTGGAGGATCCCAGTAAGTTGCAAGCAGCCGCCGAGGTTCCCGTGGATACTCTTTTCGTTGCATTCGAGACATTCATGAGAAATGCCTGGAGGGAGAATATGGGGCCCATCATTGATTCAACAGCACTCAAAAATCTTCAAAAACATTTCGACAATATGTTTCCCCGGGACTTCGAGGAGCAATTCCGGAAGTTTCTGGTCAACACCAACCCACAGAATTGCCGAGCCTTGGCGGCTATCACTCGACTCCTTGCTGAACTTCTCGACGCGTCTGGAAATGATGGTGACCGTGGCGCCCTCACGGTTGCCTTTGCAGAAGTCCTGACAGAAGACGGGGACCCTGTACAGCATGTGTCACTCCTGGATCGTCTTGTGGACGACTTCGACAATCTGTTTGAGGAGCTCATCCCTTACGGGTCATCTGTGGAAGGCGCCTTGAATTTTGACCGGAGTAAATCACCTCAAACGAGCAAGGGGTCAGTGAGCTCCAATAGCTCTTCTTTCCGCCGACGCTTTGGATTCAATCTTCATAAAGACAGCTCCAAAGCTGAAGGAGAGAGCAAAATGGCGTCAATTCTACGCACCCTCAGCAAGAAATCCAGTCCAGGCGAATCTGACCCGAACATTCCACGAGGCTCTCTACTTCGATCCAAGTCTACGGACGTAGATAGCCGCTTAGGATTCTTGAGACCAACATCCCGTGAGCGTCCATATGGCTTCTCCTCCGAGGAGCAAATTTCTAGGCCGGGTACCGGACAAGGGCAGCCGCCGTCCCTATCATCCCTTCGGGGCATATCTCACGATGGTGCTGTGAAGCTTCGAAGGAGAAGAAGGAGCTCTTTATCAGACTTTCGCCCCGATACGGCGTCTTCTGACACCTCGCATGTCTCTTCTATCGCGCACCTGCGCCCAGCGACTCCGTCGAACAGACCGCGAACAGAATCAATCACGCCTGCTAGTCAGCCCCGACCTCATAGCAGCTACCTAACCTCTTCAAGTAGGCCTACGTCACCGACCAAGGCCCCTTCTCCTGGTCGTCTTGGATCTCCTATTCGCCAAACATCGCCTACGCGCCCTGCAACTCCAAGCCGGAAGGAGAATGTCGACCCCAAAGTGCCTCAAAGAGAGCGATCGACTCAGTCCAAGTTTCAACATGCTGGATCGCCTCCCCAAGAGTCCAAGCGGCGATCCCGTGCGACCAGCATCCCTCAACGAACCCCTGCACTCCGAGAGCGGGCACCTGCAAATGGTACCGAGGTTAGGCGGCCGCAGTCATCCTCCTCCTCGCAAAGACCGCCAAAGCTGCGAATGCAGAGTCCTCAAAAAGTAAGCGATATCCGGTACCCATTGATGTGAAAAGTCACTAACAATACGAGCTAGCTTCGAGAACGTGTGCAGGCGGAAAAACACAATCAAGCCATTGGTCAGGCCAGCTTCCACAACGAACTCCAAGCTCTAGGTGACGAAATAGTCCACTTTGAGTTGCCGATGGGCCATGACGCGGAGGATACAGTGGATACTCCCAGAGAACGTCGATCTCCTGACACAAAACCTCATCTCCAAAGCCGATTCAAACGCCTTGAACAGCGATTCAATTCCATGGCTGGAGAATACAACGATCGAACCTCAGCCCTTGAAAGAGATCTAGAGTCCTCCTTGGTCGTTAGCGAAAAGCGCGTCAAAAAGCTAGACGAGCTATACCGCGAAGCAAGTGCAGAGAATGAAGCACTCTACGACCGATTTAATGCAGAACTCAGCAAGATAGCGAAAGATGTTCGGTCTGGCAGCGCTGAAGACGTCCTCAAAGACCAACTGAGTAATGCGCTGGAGGAGATCAGCCGTCTAAAGAAGGAGAATTTCCGACTTAAGAGAGAAGTCGGAGGCCTTAGAGCCCAGTCTGCAGCTGTCGCTTTGCTCAGAGCTAGCGAGCAGTAGGCCCTTGTCTTCAAGTATCACCTGCACAGGCGCCCAAAAAGCCAATTCACCCCTTCCTCAATCTTCCATTCCTCGTTCTTTATTTCTACCGTTCACTACATTTTCATTCTGATATGCATCCGTCTGGCGAAGAGCTACGTTCCACTCTCATGTTCTCTCATTCCCGGAGGTCTTAGCTTCTATCTCCTTTGTCCTCCACTGTTATTTCAACGTCATTGTCCAGCTCTTGTCAACGATACGACATACCATTCCCTTTCTTTGGAGTTCTTGTTCGACTCACACCTACATCCGTGAGTGAATTTGTTTTATGCATAGCACTGGAGAATTTCATGTTGACCTGAATTTCTGTCTTTCCCATTATTCTGTACCTTACTTTGGGGTCTATTGTACAATTAACCTCTCCTAATCCAGAATCTCAGGTCCGCCCATAAGCCGAACGGCCTCAGTATCAATCATCTTGAACATCCATTCCCATTTCACTCTCCACGTCTCTCCACAGTATGTAAACTCTACAGCGTCCTGGCCATGTTTTCTCGACAATGCATCCAGCCTGAAGTCAAGGGTGGGTAAAGCCACGAGATGCTCTGACCCGCGCTTTAAGTCTGCACCGGGCTTTTCCACAGCCAGGATGGGAAGCGTATATCGCGCCGAGCCAGGAGCATGTCCCGCAAGTCGGGAACGAAGTGCATTTTGAATAATGAAGGGGAATTTTCTTCGTGTGCGCTTCATTTCTGCCCTCAATGCCGGGTCGAGCCTAATGCGGGCGACATCTGTCTTCTGAAATTGCCGAACAACAAGTGTTAGGTCACGCGGCTTGGGGGCTGATTCCTGCCCATCCGCCGTAACCGAGTGGACTTTGAATCTTAGCCAGTACCGGTCATCCCAAAGTGTCCAGGGAGTAGAGACTTCCGGTGATTTAGATGTCTTCCGGGGACTCGGGGTTGTCTTTGAGTCCAACGCAATGTCGTGTCGAATGACTGGGCCTTTGTTCTTGAAAAAGGGCTGTCGCGATAGTAGCCATATGTTGCTGCCACCGGGAACACTAGGTTCGGTCTCTTTCACAGCTAGAGGCTGGAACATGAGGCCGCCCAAGGTGAAGGTTTTTCGAGAAGACAAAGCCATTTCACTTTGAGAGTCGTTTGTATTGGAGTGACTAGTCCCTTGGGTATTGAATAATCGATCCACAAAGGGTTCATAGCTGCGCACCGGGAAATGATTCCCATGGAAGGGAGAAATCAACTCCGTGATGCGACGGAGAGTGAGCGATTGAATTTGTAAAAGACGAGAAGGGGACAATTGAGACTGCAGTGGGTCTAAGAAAGACGGGAGATCTACAATCTGCAGGACCATTGTTCCTGATTTCAGATTCAGGTCGAGCATGCGACATCTCGAGGTGAGCAATTGGTTTGAGAATTCGGTAGAAGTGTGAAGGAAAGATTGGCTGGAGCTGATTAGAGAGAGGATTGACGGTGCTCGCAACGCTCGTGGTAGAGAGTCTGAAGCAAGCATGCTGCGGATAGCGTTCCGTGGGGTCAATGTCGGGTCGAAGTTGGTCGGATCTGAGACGTATGGAATCTTGTTCGCGTGACACGTCTCAAGAAGGCGAGCTTTGGGGAAGGACAAGAGTGGGCGACAGAGATGGATTCCGCCTGTCGCAACTGGCACGCCAGGTAAAGATGCCTGGCTTGGTAATCTCGTCGGGGGTTTGTTTTTTGACAAGGATTTGATCCCCTTTTGTGGACTCGGTGGATTGAACAGGATACTGCCCTTATTCTGGTCATCGACTTGGACGTGCATGGGCACCTGATCCTGTCTCTTCTGGTCATTCAATCGAATGGAGGAGCCACTCTCGGAGACTCCGTAGAGGCCATGACACTCTGGAATTCGCGCCACTTCAGGAATACCGGCAAGACCGGCGCCTCTTCCACCAGAGCTAAGACGCCATATGGTCGTTTCCACAGTGTCATCCTGGTGATGGCCCATAAGGAGAGCATTGATGCCCCTTTCTTGACAGGCTAAACCCAAGGCACGAAACCGTAGATGGCGAGCGTGCGTTTCAAAAGCAGTAGGTAGAGCTGAGGCTTCTAGCACGCTGTCTGAGCTATCCTGGCTTGCAAATTGAGCCCAATTCAGCTCCAGAATCCTCGTTTCGATCCCTGGGTAATAAATAGGTCAAAAATCCGGACCATGAACCTTTGAGGAGTCGCAGACCAAAGAGTCGCTTAAAAGCGGACCCGAACTGGAATCTCAATCAAGCACGGACTCACCCATTGCGTCGAGCCACCCAGCTACAGTTCGTGCCTCTTCACTACTTTCCGCCCGAGCACGGTGATCAACCACAAACCCGGTGACCGAGACAGGTCCAAGTAGACCAGAGCGCTCTAATTGACGACACAGAAAGGCCAGGGCCATAGAATCAGCTCCACCACTGATGGCGAGTCCTGTAACTGAGTATCAGAATGGTCTGCAATTCATTCCATTGAGATTTACCCTGCTGGGCAATCTCTTCGCATCAATTCGGATGTCTCTTACCGAGCCTACGCGGCAACTGCGTAAACTCATTTCGATCAAGAGTCCGACCAGCTGCAAATCGTCCCTCTGAACCAAACCAGGCACGGCGAAATTGCTCGACGAACTGCGTCGCCGTAATCGCTTTGCTGCCGGCCATAGAGGCGATAGTCGACAAGGTGCCAAATGGTGGTGTTGATGATGGCCGGCCTCGGTCAATTTATTCTTCCGAATGCCCGAACTAAGGTGCGTGTCTCTCAAGTGCGTCCCATGGTGTGGCTGCTCATGGTGCGCTGGATGTTGAGAATGCGATCAGATACAGGATGAGACTCTCGGTCAGCAGGTGATGCTGGAACCTAGAAAGTGGTTCTGTCGTTTGTCTCCACTTCATGGAGAGCCCAGGGCACGGGACTCCACTTTTCTGATGTTGAAACTTTACATAGAACGATGATCCCCCCAACATTTGCGGGCATAAGAAGGGCCGTCAGATAAAATATTGCCAAAAAGCCTACGTAGGCTAATTAAACAAGCTGTGAAGAATGACATTAATTAAGTGCAGCTCTAATCGACTACTCTGAACAGGCAGATTAGCCAGTAGTTTCTGTCAGCGTGTCCATACTAAAAGCCCGAAGGACTAGAGCGAGATGGAAGGAGGCCCGCAAATTCCTCGACATCACTCGGATGAGCGATATTCCAGGGACCCCACTGCATAAACTATATACTATTCTGTACGAGAGCGCGACGAATAATCACATCTTGCATTTATTGTTGGAGCAGCTCTTCTCAGCGTCTGCAGCTTGCTCATTGTCCGTGCGACAAAAGCAGGACGATTGAATCGGCACATCAGCCAATGCAAGTGCAACTGTCAGTTGGGGTCTGATGATATTTGCTTCAGCATCCCGTCCCAGCCGAACCAGACATTCGTGATAGCCCTGCAATGCCCAGACATTGTTGGGGTGACGGCGAGCTCGAATGACCGACTCATCCAGACCCAGATCGGCGCGGTACACGGCAGCAGACTCTTCCACATGATTCTGCTCCAACAGCAAAGCGGCATAGGCATGGCGCGCAGGCTGCATCCAACTCCACGGTTCGCTGTAACCCAGCTCATCGTCCAACTGTACGGCGCGGCGGAGATGGTCAAAAGCTTCGGCGTAATTGCGGCGACGGTATTCGATCTCACCATCCAACATCGCGGAGGCAATCCCCACAATGTCAATGCATTTGTTTGGAAAATCAAGCCGACTATCTGGAATTCGCTTCGCGGCCTCTTCGTAGAGTTCCTTTTGCTTCATCGCATTAGGAACATCTCCCGTCGCTGCATACGCGACACCCTTGGCATAGTGTGCTAGTGCGGTGGTGACGCAAAAGAGCTCTGGGTCCTCAGGAAGTGGGTAATCGATGATCTCCGTCCACATACCAAAGCGAACCATGACGTGCGATCGCACTGACATGAAGACCTCACAATAATCGGGCATGGCTTTCAGCATCTCCAAAGGCAGCGTGCTTTCCATGCGATTCACCGTATCCATGGCGATGCCCTTTCGACCCGCGAACATGGCAGCGTAGATCAGCGTGTGATAGTCATGCATGCGGTAAAGTGTATAGAACCCTTTGGTTCCGCGGTGATGCATGAATTTCTCGTCCGCGATGGTGGCTTGCGTATTGCTGCTGATTGCTGCTCGATAGTCTCCAACCAGGAAATCCAGGTGAGATGGCATATGGCACAGATGACCCGAGTCTGGCACAAGTGTACGCAGATGGTCCGCTTGAATCAAAGCAAGCTCCGGTGTGGGTGACATCTCCATCAGGTGAATGTAGTGATGTAGCAGGCCAGGGTGGCGCTTCGCAGCATCATGCGCCAGCGCTTTCTCCAGGACGGCCTTCGCCTCCAAAGTTCTTGTTCCCGGGTTAGGCTTCCCTGTAACTAGGTTCCACAATTTCCACGGTGTCAGAATCATAAGAGCATCGGCGTATAGAGTAGCCACGTCCAGATCGTCTCCGAATCGCTGATACACAGCTCCCATGGCGTCACAATAGGCTTGGTTTTGCTTGTGATACTGCTCTATCGGAGCCGGTTCGTCGCTCTGGTAGCGAGACTGAAGTGCAGTGATCAAAGCTTTTTCCACCGGCGACCGGTCAGTGGTGAGCGCCAGTGCTCGACGAGATGCCTCGTAAGTACGCCGCACGATGTCCGGGAGATCTTTCCGCAGAGCTTCCCATGGTTGATTATAGTTAGGACCAAGCGCCAGAGCCAGACCCCAGTGGGCCATTGCACAAGATTCATCGAGCTTGATGGCCCGTTGAAAGCACAAGGTTGCCTCGGCGTGGGTGAAGGCATACGTCCAAACTAGACCCCGGTTGAACCACACTTGGGCGTCAGGGTGGCTGGTTGTGATTTTCATTCCATAAGCACCCGTGTCGAATGCATAGTCCTTCACTGTATGAAAATCTGAGGGGAGTGCCGTGTTTGCCATGGCGACTATACGATCTTGCAAGCGATTGACAGTCTGACGTGCGAAAGTGGCAATGCTTCGACGATGGCCGAGAGGGGCGGTAAAAGAGGAGAATGCCTGCCAACCTTGAGCGTGCGGGCAATCGACTCCTCATTACTCCCGTCGGCCCTGCCAAACCTACAAAGCCTAGATCTCACCAGGTGTCTCGTCAATGGTAATCGGCTCCTGTCGACATCTCTCTCGTCTACCCTGAGTTGCTTGGTTCACAATATTACTTCAATTGAGTGCAATTCGTGTTGATATTCTTGTCCAAAAAATAGAGCAAAACCTTCCCACTCAAAGTGGCGGATAGTGGCCAGTGCCGACTAGCGCGCAGATAGATAGAGTATCTTACGTACCAGCACCTCACTCATGGGCTTGATTAGTATGTATCATCTGACGGCATTTCGGAAGAGTTTATAAGATTCAGTGACACCGGCTTCATCGTTTCCAACACCACAAGACCTCTCAGTAGGATGTTGATTTGGTATTTTCGCTTCTGTCAAGGTCGGGATCGAGGCACCAGTTGTCTTTGATAAAACTACAGACGTGGACCATGCCGTGGTAACAGGACATCTCGTGATGACTCGTTAGCTTATTCATATCATCAATACCTCGGGAAACGTTCTCTTTTCCAGCCTTCGGAGTTTTAGGAGAGGCGTGCTTGAATTTCTGGGTGGACGGGTTCTTGTCCCTGCGGTTCCTGAGGACCCTGCGGGGGCTGGACTCGTGGGAAACATACTGGGATACTGGTGGAGGTACTACGCTGACCTCAGGCTCCTCTTCATCGCTGGCAAATTCCATATCTGGTCCATCGTGGGGATAGCAGACATAGTAACGTAGGAAGAGGTCCCAAGGCGCCGATACCATTCGCTCAAAAGTGTAGATCTGCGAAGTTCGGACTTTCAAGATGCCAGACTTGTTGTATTTAGCCTGAACAATTCGGCCATGGCGTGGTCCGCACAAGAGTAGAAGAAGAACCTTTGATGTAGAAGTTAGTCTCGGTTGCTTAGGGATTCGTGAGGCTTGTTAAATTGTGTAGGAACCTACCGGGAATAGTGATGTCCTTGTGAAATCCTCTTGCTGCAGGCGATTTTTGATCACCTGAGCAATACAAGCGAGCTCGCAAAAGAGCAGCTCGCCTACGACGGCAATGGCACCGGTGCGCACAACGAGCATCATGTGTGGACGGATCGTACTTGGATCACGGGGATTATCTTGCCACTCATAGTTAGCCTCGACGTACCAACGCGGAATCTGAGCGTTTGGGGAATAGCCGCCAAGAAAGCCAACTGGAAGTTCTTCGAAAGGATTGCCATCTGCAAGTTGAGTCCACTTGGAGGTGTCCGTGAGAAATTCGTGGGAGCGCCTGGTCCTCTTGTAGGAGCCTTTGTAGAGTCTCCCCAGGTAGGAGGAGGTACTTTCCAGGTTTCGATAGAAGATATCGGCTTCTCTTCCATTCGGCTGGCGGTAGCCTACTATCCCTGCCTGATCAGGGAGTCTGTTGTAGAGCTCATCATACCTGTTGTGTAAGTTTTGAGTGTTTTGCGATTGTTCCGACATCTTAAGTGAGAATCCGGCAAGTTTCTCGGGGGACATGGGCTCGAAGAGCGACGTGCCAAATGATGGAATATCAGGATTGAACGTTCCAAGGGTAATCCGGAGCTTCGTGAGATCATCGCGCGAGTATGTGGGCTTAGGGTGGGAGTCGAGGGCCTGGAGAAGTTTGGAGACAGCTTCATCGTATTTGGTCCTCAACGAAGCGCGTCGTGTCATCAGCTCATCGAGTGAAGGATTCATTTTAAGATTCAAGGCCCAAAAAAAGGCCAAGTACAATTGGAGGAAGTGGTTTGAAACTACGTGAGTCTAGTCAAGGTGGGTGGAATCAAGAGGATGCAGTAAGTGAAGGAAAGGCAAGAGTGGGAGTTTGGGGAGTATGACTCATGAGGGATGATGAAATCACATGCATAGATAGTAGAGGTAATGTCTGCGTCGGCCGGGAGCCAGCTTCAGGAAACACGAAATATCTATCTATATAATCTTCAAAGTGTTCCGGAATTATGAAGTAATGATGAAGTGAAGGTACCAGTGTTGAAACGACTTGGAAAAACACATGTTCTATAAAGCCCACGTGACTATCCGGCTACCCTTTCCTTCTCCCTGTGTCTACCTACAAGGTAGGGACCGTAGGGTGATGATGTATAAGATACGGTGGAAGATACTCAACGAGTAGCCGAATGCATCCTGTTCAGCATTGAATACCGAAATACTCCAGTATTCGAAAACCACATGCAGCCGGCATGCATAGATCGAGAATTTAGAAGTACTGAAATCGCTACTTCTGTATATTTCATATCAAAGAAAAGCATATCCATATCGGATACCACCACATTGAGCAATCTAGTATTCGGAAAGTCTTCATGAATTTCTCAGAATCACTTCAACTAAGTAGGTGACTACTAGCTTTACGATACCTTTGCAATCAATCCGAGAGATGTATACCCTCGTTTGGCACGAAGCAGCTGCCTAGGGTCATTGACGCATTATTGGGGGCATTCTGTTCGATCATTGTCACTTTTTTGTCAATGAATCTTTTCCGATTTTGATTCTCTTCAATAAGATTGAATATGCTTATTCCAGGGCGCTGCTTCAGTATAGCCGATGATTCCGCGGCTCGCCGCAGTCCATAACCTAGGTAGAACCTTTCCTCCGTGGTAATCTCCGCCTTATACTTCTCTCACATTCTGCAGCTACACCTACAAAGTAAACTGTATCTCATCACCCTCCAGACAGAGCGTCGAGAAAGCAGATCCTCTGCAGGAACGTATCGTCACTACCTCGCTCATCTCCTTTCTCGTTGCAGTCTATGCGAAGCATCTTTGCTTGGAGAACGCATGCGTCTGGGCTCTGGACTCCGCAGAAGGCCGGCCTCCCCCAGGTAAGGTTCTCGTTATGGTTCTCAAGGCTTTCGGCGAAGACACGCCGACAGAGATTACTAGCCAACCTTGAAACTGTCTGAATAGATTTTCCAATCAAAGCTGCAACTATTGGAATCTCCTATTCATAGCTCATCTTTGTTGATCTTATTGATCTTAGTACCCTATATAACAACAATCTACCCGGCGGCCATGCCTATGCACATGTCTAGAAAGAAGGCAAGGACCTGGGCTTATCGTGCTACGTAGACTTTCAACATAAGAAAAGTGTAGTCCCCGTACCATCTGAAATGGAATGTATTCAGATGTTAGGTACTGTTTGGACATCAGTCAGAATACTGATTTGAGCCTTAGTCTGAAGACAGGGTGCGATGCTATCATCGCTTAAACCGTCTGATGATATACGGCCCCAATTACAAAGTACCTCAGCTACCTTCAAAGTCACATTACGTGAGATCCTGAAAGGTGACAGAAAAGAGTGTAAATCCCTCTTCAAAGCTAAAAAATCTAGCAATACAAGATTAGGCAGCAGCCGAGCCAGCAACCGACCCTGAATTCGTCATGGAGTGAATGCTCGATGGAGCTGCTGTACGATCCCCATTAAGAACGTGGCCCTCGACCGTTGGCAAACCATGAGTGTCAGGGTCCGTCAATCCAGGCGGGGGATGAATTTGCTTTTTGCCATTTGCCTTGTAGTGGAGGATCATGTCACCAGAGGTGCGCCAAAGATGCGTTCGGATGGTGGCAAGTGTCATGTTAGGCGGGCAGAGCTAGAACGTGTATGTCAGTACAATGGAACTCCAGGAAAAGGCAAGAAATAGATCCTACCATCTTCTGGCAGTAAAGCTCGAGATACTCCTCCGGCGGCATCTGGTTGGATTCGGGATCATCGGGATTCGGGGGGTCGATGCGCTCGGCAACGTAGGCCAACACCTTTTTAGTTCGGAGCATGCGATTTGCGTTGAGGCGTGAATTAGTGTTGGCATTATTCCCTGGCCCAGTCATCGCACTTGGTCTGTTGGAGATCAAAGTCAGCGTATGCAGACCCTCGCATTCGAATCATTAGATCATCTACTCACGGATCAGGTTTAGCCACAGGAGGCAAGGAATCGTCGAATGGTTTCAAGACAAAGGCAATCTTGACTTGCTCCTTGAACGGTATTGAATTCTGCGGGGACTGTTAGCGATAGTGTCAAGAGGTATATCATTGAGATGACAAGTGTACCTTCAGTAGCAGCTCTCCAAGCCAATGGGGGATAGCCTTCTCCAATCGTTCAACATCCTGGCCAATAAGGCCCACGTTTCCACGATAGAGGTCTGAAGCCACGGCGGTGTCACCGGTCTCTTCTTGAATGAACACTGCCGTTCGCGATGGAATATCCAACCGAGGCGTCTCATTTTCTGCGCTTGGTGTGATTGTGGAGCTCAATTCTTTGCAATTCGGATTTTGGGCCAGATAGTCCTCGTACTCGTCATGAATCCGTTCGATAACCCCACTAATGTTCGTCTCGTACACCTTCTCTTCCTTTACAGATGAGACTTCGGACTCTTCAGGCTTCTCATCCGGGACCTGCGGCTTAGTCTCCGTGGATGTGCGACCCAGCTTCTTGGGGAAGTTCAATTTCTTGCCAAAGAACGATCCCTTTCGCTTCTCTTCTTTTTCAGGCTCCGCTGGCGATTGCGGGAGTGCCGGGTTAGAAGCGCCATCGAAAGGTGACATGGGTGCTTTGTCATTGTCATTACGGGCGTGGCGAGAGGAGAAGTAATCTCCGTGTTTCTCTGAAAAGGACGATGGCCCTCCATCATGCTGGAGATTACCCGACGACAGCCCATCTGGTATGTCAACGTCGGTGGGTGAGAGGAACGAGTGACTTTGCATCGACGAGCTCAAAGCAGCTGCCGGGCCCGGGGTGCCTGCATGAATGCCGAAACCGGGCGTCGTGGGACTTCCTGGGAAGTCCGTGCCAGGACGCAAGGTAGTCATTGACAGATCATTGTGAATCGGAATGCCTGTGCTACGAGGGATTTCGTATCCAGGCGTAAATGGGCTCTTGGGAAATAGTTTGGCTCGTTCCTCTGCTCTGGCGAGTGCGGCATCGCGGTAGTCTTTGTCGCGTCGAATCTGTTCGTCGACCAACGGAGCGAAAAGCCAGCGGAGAATCCATTTACCCAGGTTGACTGCAAAGGCCCGTCAGCATCACAAACTCACACCTAGCCCGGACCACAAGTCATGAAGTGCTACTTACTGCGCTGATCATCCCGGAACTGGGCTAGATCAGCCGGGGACAGATCAGCCTCATCCGCATAGACCTCGGCATCGAAACAACGATTGGGTTCAAGAATGACTGACAATCGTCCCGTTCGGATGTCAATGGTACACCAATGGGAGATACTTTCAGTGGTGTTGATTTCGCTCGCAACATCATCGATGTGGCGCTTTCCAAATGACTGGACGGGAACGCACTAAATTTCAAAGTCAGTTTGAACAGGTCACTTGTACAGAGCTTTAGTGTGAAAAGCCTACCTTGAGTAGATCCCACAGGACCACCTCCCCTGCCGAGTCTTGCGTGAGCGTACGTTTCCGGTCATTCAGCATCAAGCTCTTGATGAGACCATGCTGGCCCTCTATCGTTTCCTCTGGCGCCGAGTGCACAGGAGTTGCCATATCGAGATCTCCTTCCAGCCCAGGCAGTCCAGACTGCACACCGCAGGATGGAGCAGGGCGAATCAGCTCGGAAGTAGCTGTGAGCTGCAGGATTGCGGAGAAGGGAATAGTCTTCGGGGTCTCCTTTGTTGGAGTCTCGGGCTTGGGAGTCTCGGGTGGCACCTCTGGCGAGTCGGGAACGCGTCGAGGATGAGGTGGCGTCTCAATGTCCAGGGTGGTATCAACATTTCTCCAGCGGTTGATACCTGATTTGGGAGTAGCCGTCCAGATAAAGTCGCTAGCCGCCACCACCTTGACAACACCTTCGTGTTCCTGCAGGGCTGCAACGCAGGTACCTTGCTCGATATCGGCCGATCTGCGGGTGTCCGTCTTCGCAACCAACCCGGATCGGTCACTCGAATAGAATACCGACAGATCTGGCTCGTCTGAGAACAGCGACCAGACGCTGTCATTGTGCATTGTTAAGGTGTTCATGCAGCGACCCGCCGTGAGCGACCAGACCTTGATCGTCTGGTCCGACGATGCAGTGAGGATCGTATCTCCCGCCTCATTGACCAGAATGTCGCGAATGGTGTCGGTGTGACCGACAAATTTGGTGACCAGTTTGCCCGATTTAGGGTCCCAGACGCGAACTACATTTTCGGGCCCTCCACTGGCCAGCACGGAATTCACCGCGCCGAGGGCATAGACGGACCCTTTCTCGGTAGTATCGTCTCCCTCGGCATTGATACTGAGAATCTCACCGGCGCCGCTGAGATCCCATAGGTACAATTTGTGATCGAGGCCTCCCGATGCAACCCACGTGGCCTGACCACTGGGAGTCGCAAGTGTCTTGACATAATCACTGTGCTTTCCGATGCGTTCTGGAACATCAGTCGACTCTGAATGTGGCCGCCACAGTCGAACAGTGGTGTCCGACGAGGCCGACACCAGGGCCGAGTTGTTGTGGGTCAAGACAATGTCATTGATCCAGTGGCTGTGAGCCTGCACTTGTGTCTTGAAGCGTGTTGGACCGGGGGTGTGCTTGGACGACGAATAGGGATTAGAGGCATGCAGCTGAGCCAGCGAGCAGTCGAGGTCCCACGAGCAAACGACACCGTCACGCCCGGCGGAGTAACTACCGTTGGTCGAAAGAGTCGTCACATTAGAAAGCTGTGCAACCCACGTGGGAAGAGCGGGAAATGGGAGAGACGGGAATGAGCGCATCTCGCACAACATCCGCGGCAAGACCAAAATAGACCACAACACAACACGGCACAACAACAACAATCACAACTCGACTGATGACGTGTAGACATGAGAGAGATTGCATAGACCGAGAGAAAAAGGAAACAACATGTGCTACTTACAGAATGGAGTTCTGACGGTCGACTGCCAGCCCGTTCACTCCCAGTCGGTGGCCGCCGGGAGCATCAGGCAGAGGAAGCACTAGTTCCGAGGCTGTGAGTCTGCTGCACCAGCCAGTCGAGATCTCAATGAGGATCAATCAGCTGGGTTCACTGCGACTTACCGTACGTGACCCTTTGGTGGTTGAGTTTTCGTGCCATACATGCAGTTGGGGGAGCGCAAAGACGGGGGGATTGCGGAGGAAATGCGGAGCTTATCTGCCGCTCGTCAGGGCCGATCACACACGTTCACGGTGGGGAGAACGACGTCACAATGTTCAACCCACTCTAGTCCGACTGAAGGGGAAAATTAGGTGTCAGATGAAAAGCAAGAAGGACTGAGACGATGTGCGGATCAATTCAGCAAGATGGTGTACAACGAAGACGGAAGAAGGTCAGGACAGGGGAGAGGCTGTTTTGACGATGAGGGGAAGTTCAGTTGGAAGCGTAGTGAGAGAGAGACGGAAAGAGTGCAAGGGAACCGTGCCAGGGGCAAGGAACGCCAAATCGCTCGCTTCGACGTTGATTATCGAGACTTTGATTTCTTCACCAGACTCTCGGATCGGGCCCGGATGCCAGTTGGTCACCGAAAGATGGTCCATTGCACAAAAATTCCAATTGGAAAAGTTCCCTTCCCCCCAAATCCAGCCCTTCGACCGAAGATAAGTGAAGCATCGGCCAAAGTCCAGTCCGACGCCATCTCTAGATCCGTGGCCACGTCTAAGCTGGATATCTGGGGAAGTGGAGGTCCCACCGGCCAACACTGAACAGGGAACACAGCACAATTGTAGATCCTCAACAGCACCGGGTTGAGTTCCGTGGGGGCAGTCTGTCGGGTCGAGGTCAAGGTGTGTTGAGTGTTGCTTCTGCTGGCACCTACCGAACCAGAGCATCTGGAGATGATTACCTTACATTCCTTCTTACTTGTCGCCATGGATTGTGTGCGCAAAAATATTGCACATGGAGCCCAGCTGCATGAACAAGCACGGGTGATATTTAATCTCGTCCAACGGAGCATCCGGACTTAGTCCAACCTTGAAGGATGCTGAATTGAGCCATCTTGAAAGTACTGTAACAGATACTCGTGATGCATCTGTGAGAGACCTCCAGTGCACAAGGCATCGACGACTGGAAATATCCTCATCCTTGATCGAGTCGAGGGGGCAGTTCACGTTCCTCAAAGTTTCCACGGATGCCGCCTCCATTAAGGCTAGTCAGTGCCCTTCTTCCACTCACGAGGTACCTTTTCATCTACCAGCCAGAGATGACAAGTACGACTTGAAGGACGACAATAGTAATGCAGCTTGCATCGAGATCCAGAACATGTCTCGCAAATTGTCATTCACCACTATTGTACAGCATCAATTCTATAATGAATTTACGGCAGTCGAAAGAGGTCAAGTCAAACTTCCCCTTGAAACAGGAAGCGCCCCTCTACCTTTTAAATAGCCGACCCCAAATGTCCATCATCGCGCTCCTTTGCTCCTTCTAGTGTGTTCCACGCCCACTGATAACTGCCTAGGAAGACAGCTCCGCCAATACCGATCCAGGCAACGCGGGGCCCAATGCCTCGCCAAAACGCACCAAGGCCCTCTTGCGCAATGCCTCGAACAATCTCCTTAACGCGCACCGGTGCAGATCCACCGTCTCCTCGCCGCGCCAGCATCACCCGTGTCTTGATCACGTCGAGCGGTGTCGTCAGACCGGCGGCAATGGCGCCAGCTACGCTACCGAACATGGCACTGGTCGAGGCGGGGATTTGCGCCATTGGGGCCGAGGGTGACGATGACGATCCGGACACGTCTCCTGCGCGGAGATACCGTTGCGCATAGGTAGCTTTCATCGACTCCCACATGGTGAATTGCAGGACAGTGAATGGAATCTCACGGGCGATGGTGATTCCCGCGCCGCGGTACAGTTCTCGAATGACCTGGCCGTAGCCACGCTTCAGTGTCGCGGTAGACGCAGCCGCGCTGGATCCGGCCGAGCCCGGCGTGTGCGGCACCTCGTGGCGAAGAGAGAGGATATCCTTCAGCGCGAGCAGACTCGAGCCACCGAAGAGACCGGCCTGCGCGCGCTGCTTGATCACCTCGGTGGGCACGCGAACAGCGCACGCAGAGATCTCGCCAAGGGAGGAGGCGAGGGAGTGGGTGAGGAAGACATGCGTGGTCGAAGGGGTGTCGGAGGAGTTGGACGGAGGAAGAAGAGAGCGCTTGACGCCGTCGTAGACGATGAAGAATGAGGCGGCCGAGGGCGCTGAGCCAAAGAGAACAGAAGGTAGACCGGCATAGATACCGCGGATCGTTTGACGCAGGGACAGGCGGGGAGCTTGGGGTGTGGAGAGGTCGCGTGCTTTCTGCAGACGGGTTTTAATGGTGTCCAGAGGGTAGAGGGAGCAGTCGACCGTGAGGCCTGCAACGGCGCCGGACTGGACAGATAACTTGAATTAGGTCCTGCGATTTCAAGGGGGGGGAGAAATATGCATAGCAGGGATCAAAGGTCGCGCTGTACCAAAAGGGACCTGGTCCACAGAGAGGAGACCAAGGGCTCTCCGTCGCCTGGCTGCGTCATGGCGAGTCGGGGATTGAGATTGGTTGGGAAATTGGGGGAAATCGGTATGCTGATTGATCAATTTGAAACCATACTGAGGTGCTCAGATTATCTCAGCTCGTCAAAAGGGAGTGTTGCGCCGCGGCTGGGCCGTTTCAAGCTCAGTCAAAAAGATTCCGGCGTCGGAGAGAATCAAGCTTCGTTGCCGCAAGCTGGTGGAGATCGAAGGGTTTGCTCCGCGGCCAACCATGCGGGTGACAGCCGAGGCCGCTGCAGCGGAGATCTTACGTCAATTCCGGTAGATGCAGTGACAGCCTGACGGAACATTAATTTTGGCGCCAACTAGATTTCCCACATTAGACGTGAGGATTGAAAGATTAGTAAAAAAAAATTTAAAAGATACGAGACCTATATAAACCCAGACGGGTGTCAGTCGATCGAAGGGAAAAAATACTTTCTTCTCTACAGTGGGGACAAGTATCTACAGGCGCCGACGACCCAAGTACAGGGGAATATGACCTGAGTTGAAGAAAGAGATGCAGATGAAGCAAAGATAAAGGTGCGCCAGTTGCTTGAGATGACTCGGTAAGAGCGAGACATCCGAAGGAAACGAAAATGAAACCAGTCGACCGCCACGCCAACTTGGCCGTTTAAGAGCTGCATGTGGCAGGGAGTTAATGGGCAAGACGTTTCCATCAATTTTTGCAAAAAAGCAAGAAAAGGGGTCCAGCAAAGTCCGTCCAAATCTAGAATTTGCCTGGCTTCGGGTTATTGTAGACATGCGAGGACCGCTGAAGGCATCTGGGAAGGCAGTGCACAGGGGTGTGAACTATAGACCACAACCCATAATGGCTGATGAGTTCACGCTCAGAAGTGACAGCGGGAATGAAATGACCATTTGAGATCGCCACGCGATGATTAAGATATTAATGGGTCGACGCGCGGGGTGGAGCGTGGCAAGGGGTGTTGAACAATGAGGAAGAACAAAGAGGCTTCGGTGATATATAAACCGTTCCAAAACAGACGAGTGTCTGAGGCGATCAGGCCCCGATGATGGGTGGCTTGTCGGCAAGGTTTGATGGCCACCGTGGATGCTTACTTGGCCTTGCCGCCTTTGCTTGCAACTGCTGGACTTTGAGATGGTGGCTCAAGGACGTGGGTGTGGTTTGAAGCACCGATGACCTCACCCGAGTCTTCTTGTTGACAGTTCATGATGTTACGGACCCATTCATCGGCAAGCACTTCTTCAAGGGTTGCACGCTCGCTGGGATTGACCTTCAACATACGGCCAATGATGTATCGACTTTCTCGAGGAAGGATGCGGAGGAGACGCCAAGGCCCTTTGATGACCTCCTGCTTCGGAGGCGGCTGGGGCGCGTTCGGGGGCAGAGGCGGAGCTTCCTTGCTGGTGGTGCGCGCCGCTTTATGTCCGCCATTTTGGCTAGGCTGCTTCCGTGGCATTTCACCAGGGTTATCGCTCTTTTCTGTTGGGGAATCGGGAGGGTTGCTACCATTTTGATCCGCTACTCCAGCGCCCGAAGGCGCGGCGGCAGACTTGCCGGGCACGTCCTCAGACTTGTCCTTGTCATTCTGTACCGTGGAGGTCAAATCTGGGCTGGACTTGGCTTTCGGATGGCGTCGGGAATCAGCTTCGGTCACTGGAGTGCCTGGTGTTGGCGTTGCCACAAACAGACGATAAGAGTTGTCGGATGTGCGTGGTTGTTTCCACGGGAAGCGACGAAGCGTCATACAACAGAAGATGATCGCCAGCGACCAGACATCTGTGGGACGAGGATCATATTTCTTCTCGTCGTATACCTCGGGAGCCAGATATGGATCAGAGCCGACGATACCTGGAAAAAGAGGGAGATATTAGCAAAGATGCACAGCGAAAACCGGCGGTCAGAGGACAATAGAAGCGGGAGGGAGCCAGCACAGGCGCTGTATTTACCTGACGCCGGAACGATATCGTTCTCGAAGGGATAGCGAAAGACGACGGCGCTGCCGAAATCGATGAGCTTCATGATGCCCCGATCGCTGACAACAACGTTGTCTAATTTCAGGTCCCGATGTGCGAGACCCATACCGTGAAGGTAGGCGACACCGCTAAGAATCTGCTTGAATGAACAAGCGATTTCCTCCTTGCTCATCTTGCCTGTCATGACAATGGCGAACAGATCGAAAGGAGCATACTCCATGACCTCGTACCAATGGGGCCCCTCTTGAATGATGTCGAGAGTCTCGATGATGTTGCCGTGGTGTAAGGTGGAACCGATACAGAACTCAGCCGTGACCTTTTTCGAATACTCCTTCGGGGTCTCCCAGCTGTGGCGATCCCGGAACTGTTTCACGGCAAAAGTGACGCCGTCACTGTTCCGCTTCAGCAGGCGAACTGACCCGCCTGCACCAGACCCCAGCACTCGACCCATTTTTCCATACTTTGAATTTAGCCCATGATCATCGGCAAAGGGCACATTGTCGGTCGCTATTTGATATGGGGTGCTCTTTCCAGAGGTCCGACTCGAACGCTTCGAGGCGGAGGTTGGTGATTCGGGACGCTTGTTGCGATGACCCATCTTGAAGAATCGCTTCAATTCGGACATGGATCCATGATGGTGATGATGATGGCCGTGTCCGTGTTTGCTTTCGCTGGACTCTTTCTTGCTCGACCGTTTGTCGCTGGACTTTCCAAGATCAATGGCGCTAGCCGATCTCGGAGGATTACCGGGACGGAAGGATCGTTTCGAGTCTCGACTATTGAAGATGAACCGTGCATCCAGCTGGGCGAGATTTTTGGATTGCGGTGGCCGCTTGCTCCGGGCATATGGATCATTCGGCTCACCGACGGGAGTGATCGTGCCGGGCGGAGTATGAGAGTATCGCGGGGTTGGGGGAGGACTTTCTTCCTGAGAGCTAGCATCGGCTCCGGTAAAAAACTGAGCGCGATGTCTGGGGACGGCGGTGTTGATCTGGGATGGTTGTTCCGCGGAGCCGACCTTTCTCATTGGGAGATGATCCGTAGAGGACGGCCGCGAGGTGGGAGCGCTTCGCTGCGTTCCGTAGTTCTCGGCCGATGAAACAAGAGGCGAGGCTTCTGGTGTCATCGCGGACGCATTCTGCTTGGCTCGGTCAATTGCTTGTAGCGCGGCTGCATTGTCGCCAGATCGACCGTCGCGGGAGTTGGTTCCCGCTGGCGTCAGGGGAGGAGACTGAACTGCCGATACGGGTGGAGAGTGATGGGGGAGGTGACGAAGGACCCAGTGCCGTGGGCGCTGCGATCGCTCGAATCCCTCGAGCCAACCTAGAAGCGCGAACGTCAGCATCACAATGATCCTAGCACGGGACACCGTAGACCAGTCTCTCGATCAAGGAACGGTTCAGCGAAGGAAGTAGAGACCGAGGAGGTGAATGGTCATATTGCGCTGAGGCGTGGCCCTGCCCATGCGAGCATGAATCCCAGGCCCTGCAACGAGCCGTCGCATAGGTGTCATGAAATGCAGAGAAACAGAATGAACATACCCTGGAAGGTGGCAGAGACATTGGTTCGAAGGAATAGTTACGAAGGCGTGATTCTTGAAGCTGCGACTTCTGCAAGCTCATCGCCAGCGATCGAATTTCCTCCTCGCTAGAGACTTGTTTGTACGCCTCGGGCTGCGGTGGTATTTCCTGCACGGGCGAAAGAAGGGTCTTTGAAGGTTCGATTTCCTGCGTGATGGAGGAAAAGCGCACCTGGCCAGACTGCGACTTGGACTTGGCGTCCGCGTCACTGGCTTCCGAGACCTGGGCGGGCATCTTGGCTGTGGATTCGGCAGTGGGCTTCAAATCTGAGCGCGGGACCATCAGTCAGAAACATCCCATTCCCGCTTCTCGTTGATGGCCTGCATGTAGGACGGGCGATGTGTGGATAGAGAATCAGACATTGGAGGTAGACATACCTGACTCCGTGAAATTGGCAGCTGGTGAGGAGGATTCGGCCAATTCAGACGTCATAGTCCCAGACAACCAAGTTCCTAACCGTTTGAAGGGGGGTGGAAACTCGGGCGGGACGCATGCCCCTCGCCAAATGCAATCAGGTAGAGAACGGACACAGAGCAAGGACAGGGTTGTCAGAAGATCAAGACGCGATGCAAAGGTGTGGTGCGACCGTCCTTGCAATGGGAATCGGTCGGAAGGTGCAGAATAGGAAATCGGGAAGTCCAGAAAGCGTTTGGATGACACAGAGTGAGGAGGGGATGCCCGCCTGGTCAATTACGTGGGTGAGGCAAATCTTCCTCTTTGAGTTTTCGGCGCCGAGTGCGTTGCGATACGATAGGCCGGGCCAGTACAACAGCAGCGGTCCAAGGCGGAGTGGGGTGTCCTGTCGAACGCAGCCAAAAGGAGCTGCGACGCGAGGATGCTGAGGGCAACGGCGACGGTTGTCTCAAACCCCCGAGGCCGCGGCTGTCGATCGAGGCAGGATAGAATGGAAGAATCGCAACGCCGGAGAAGAGGGGGGCAGAAGGAGGGAGAGGGAAAGAAAGAAAAAGGGCCGTGGTGGTGGGTGAGTGAGGGTGAGGGTCTGTCGAAATTGGCCTGCCGGAAGACCGGGAAAAGCCTCTTTTTCGGGGTAAGTGGGATCTTCAATCTACTACGACGGTGGACTGGACTCTGTAGAGGGGGAGTAAGCTTGGGCCCGAGAGCGGAGGCGTGGGCTGCAGTGCTTCAGAGTAGATGACCCCCATGCCAACTGGACAACTTCCACGATCCAAGTTGGAGGAAGCAAGTCTTTCCAGAAGCGTCACGACGGCCACGCCGAGGGTGCTCGGGCGAGGTACCTGGTACAGACTGTCCGTACTTGGCCACCCGCCTCGGCTGGGTAGTCGGTACGGTAGCACTGGCGCTCGAGAGGGCAAACTGCAAAATACCGGGCGAGACCACCCGTCCCGATGCTTGGCAGCAACCGGCATCTACTCACGAAGAGTGATTGCAAACAACCACCGGACTGTATCGAAGTTATACAGAATAGGATTATTTGATATCCCCAGCTATTCAACCCGAGCCTCCGATTGGGGATGGATGCTCTGGCACAATTGTTTCATGCTCATCCAAGTGGCCAGGAAATCTGTTCATATCAACTCGACAGCGAAGGAAGTAACATAATCAGTCGGAAGAGGGCGGACCGGGCAGTCGACTTGCGAAGGGGCGGATGCCGATGATGTCGTTTTCGAGTAAAGTATAGTTCCTCTCGGTCTCATCCAAGGGCCCTGATGGTTCCGACGGCTGGGATGAGCGGGAATTGCTCTAATCCGCACTCGATGCACGGTACTGTACCGATGCCATGCAGGTATGCAGTAGTGCCGCGTGGATGCCGGCTTTCCGGTTGTCCGTGAATATTATGCAGCTGCTTACCTGCGAGCGATGATATACTGGACACTGACAGTGGATGGCATCATGATCCAGTCGCCAGCTACCTAGGTACCTAGTCTGTTCCCGGTCATGACCTGTGGGGTGATGGCCCCAAATGCGATCACACATTACCTCCTTCTCTACCGGAACTGCTAGGCTGTATTTGAGGGAAAGCAACACTCAACTGAATGTACAATCCTTGCCGTCCTTGAATCATTCTTGCGTTCCATGCATGACTCGGTTTCCTGTTGTGCCAGTGCCGACCACGCGAACGACCCGATCCAGCGATAACGGTCGCTTGTTGCGGCTGGAACCCGAGTCGGCGGTGGTGCACGACCGCACGGTGAGGACGACTGTCTCCGCTTTATCTCCGCTCTGGATCTAGACTTCGATCTGATATTGCACGTAACGCTCTCACATGCGAGAGTACTACTACAAGATTGCAAACTCCAGCAATACAGTGATCTCCGAGCCGTCTGCTGATCATACACACAATGCCTGACAGTCTGTCTGATATGTTTCAGCACTGTCTCTGACTCTGACGGATTAACCCAAGATTTCGACAACTAATATCACGATTGGGTCATGATTGTGCAGGAGATCGGTATGAGTGTAGTGGTACATGGTAGGTGGGCACAGTGCCAGTGAAACTACCCGATAGGTAATCGGTAAATACATTCCATAGTTACAACAAGAACTATGTGCATTCGTACAGGACACTTTAATACCCACGTCCCCAAGCCTCAGTCGGGTCTTTTTTTCTCCCAGCGCTCCCCTGGAGACCTGGAGACTCAGGGCTGCCAAACTCCTCGACATCTTCTGCCAGCGAAGAGTCGAGTGGCCCCCACTGTTTGATGAGAATCTTTGACTATTAGCACGTCCGTGCTCTAAATCACCCTGAAGACTTGCTTTCTCCCCCGAGCACGCGCGAAAAGGCTGGACAACCGAGATGATCTGATACGGGGCGGTACACTGTACAAGAAAACCCATCCATTAAAGAATCATGACCCTGGGCGACACTAGCTCGGCCGACGATGAGACTATGTGGCCGCCAGAGCCCACCTGGAACAGCGCACGAAGAAAAGGAAGCATGCAGACACTCGGTCCTTGAAATTCAGTGCACGACTTGAATGCCGATTGATTTGGCTTGCGCCATGACACTCTTGCATAGTCCCTGCAGACTCAATCCGGACAGCCGCGTCTCGCTCTGCTTGATTTTGGCGATTTCGTAGATGTGCTTGAGTGATACGGTGCCGCAGGTCTCGTGGCCGGGGTTCATGGCACCTCGAAGGCGATTTTTCCGGGGCTCGACATTGGCTGCATTTAAGAGCAAATACGTTGTTGTTGGTGTGCGGAGATCGAAATAAAAGGAGCGATCTGGACGGACGGTCACACGGGCGGGAATGGGGACGCCGACGTTGATGTGAGCAGTACGAGCATTGAACTCCTACACCAGCGAAAGAGTTGGGGTTAAAGAGTTGTCCGTTTGTTGGGTGATGGAATAGCGACCAACTCCGTGGAGTATCGGGTTGAGTAACAGTAACGTACCTTGCAGAAATCCATACTCTTCACACCCTTACTACCGAGGGCTGGACCGACGGGGGGACTGGGACTGGCCTGTCCAGCACCGACAATGAGCTTGACAAACTGCTCCTTCTGGAGCGCATTGCGTGCCATATTGAGAAATGAATGCGGTGAGCACGATCGACTGTGAACGACGTGCGTGGAGACCAAATTGCGCAGGACGGGCAAGTCGCGCAACTTCTTCAGAAGTTCTGCGGAGCGGAAGAGTTGGAGAATTCACCGCCGAGAGGCAGATTTCCCCCAGCTGATTGGACCGGGTGCTAAGCCTCGAAAGCTGAGAACTACCGAACGTCATTGCCCAAAAGGGAAAATAAAATAAAAAAGATCAGAAAAACAGTTGGACAACTGGACAACTGGGAGTCGGAGTTTGAGAGAATTCCAAGCGAGTGACACACATCTGAGAGCTGGCTGATTTTCTGCCGCTGGACATTCTTCGATCGTGTGGAAATAAGTTCTGCTCTATCCGTTCCCTTCCACAGCTCTTCGGCTTCTTCAACTTCCGCGCAGTTTGGTCGCGAATTTGGCGCTCCCGCACCTCCTGACCCATTCACCTCCGGCCTTTTTGAGTCGCCCCGCCGCGTCGATCTCTCGATCTTCTCTTCCGTGGTTTCCCCCTCCTCCCTCTTTCTTCCCTGCTCGACCCCATCACACGCGGTCGTTGAGCTTTTTTCTCATAATTACCGCAATCACTGCCCCTTGATACTTGACTTGGTGACGTGACGACGCAGTACGACCGGAACAATCATGAACTGGCTTAAATCGACGTACGTTCCTGGCGGGCATGGTGGGCGGTGGAGATGCAAGCTGGGGCAACAGTTGAGCTAACGAAGACTCCTTGGCGGACAGTCTCTCTGCGGCCGTCGGCACGCAAGAGCCCATCTATGGCCCCGAGGCCATTCACTCGGTCGCCAAGCAGGCCGACGAGACCTCTTACACCGAGCTCTCCAAGGATCACCTGCGTTGGAAAGCATTCCAGTATACCAATGTGGAGACGCAGACTTTCTACATCATGGCCGACGATGGAGGTCTCTTCATGGTCCAGGTCATCTACAGCAACATCGCGTGAGCATTTTATCATTCCCGTCTCTATACATAGCTATCCACTACAACCTCACTCATCCGTCGGAGCTCTGTCATTGCAAGATCGGATATCAATGGTGGTCATCCTGGGAAGGGTTTTCCATTGTCAGATCGCTGACCAGATGATCTCACTGCACAGCGGCATCCATACCACGGCCCACTTCAACACCAAAATTTTCAACCTGAAGGGCGACAAGCCGCATGTCTGGCACACAGATGCTTTGTCCAACTTCATGTTCGACGAGCAGATGCAATCCTTCGGCGCCAACAACCTGACCATCCAGCTCAATGAGGAGGGTGATGCCTATCACATCAAGTCCACAGTCAACCCCAACAGCGTGGTTGATCTCAAGTTCACCCGCAAGGCGCCCGGCTTCGTTGCAGGCAAGGACGGTACTACCTTGTTCGGTACCGATCCCAAGTCTCCCTGGGGCTCAATGTATCACGGATTTTGGCCCCGCTGCGCCGTCGAGGGCACCCTCACCACCAATGAAAAGACCTACGATCTGACCGGCCGTGGAGTTTTCATCGCGGCTCTGCAGGGCATGAAGCCCCATCACGCCGGTAGGTGGCAAGCACTCCACGTATGTGGTAGCCTTGGCTTTGCAAACTAACGTTTTCATCTAGCTGCTCGTTGGAACTTCATCAACTTCCAAACCCCCACTTTCTCCGCCATCATGATGGAGTTCACCACCCCTCCTTCATACGGCTCCACCACCGTCAACGTCGGTGGTGTGGTGAAGGACAACGAAGTTGTCTATGCCGGTACCACCAACACCGTCACCCACACTGGGTTCACGCAAGACCCGGAGAGTGACTGGCCCGAGCCGACAGTGGTCAAGTGGGAGTGGACTGGTAAGACCGCCGACGGCAAGGACTTTACCGCCGTCGTAGACGGCCCTCTCGGCAAGCGACAAGATCGTGTGGATGTCATGGGCGAAGTCCCTGGCTTTATCAAAACCATCGCCGGCAGCGTTGCTGGTACTCGCCCATACATCTTCCAGGTAAGAACTCTTGCACATTGCGATGATTCAGCCCTTGGCTTTGCGTTCCCGCCAATGCTAATTTGAATACTCCATCTAGTTCTCCCCGCAGGAGAAGTTGAAGCTGAAGATCAAGGTGGGCGACACCGAGGTCGAGGAGGAGGGAACTCTGTTCTCCGAGTCTACCTTCATCTCTTAAGGCCAAGAAGCAAAAGACTTTTCATCTTCCCGTACATAGGGAATCACTTTGTCCCCCGACTTTTCTTCCCCTTTCTTCACACACTATTGAAGAAGACCCGTGTTTAAGCAGTCATAGAGACTGGGCTTACGACCTACGCCCCGGTTATGCTAACAGATTGTATAATGAGACATTTCTAATGCTGTTTTCCTGATCCATGTCCTGCTTGTACCGCCTTTGTATCGCCTCTCCTTCTAGGAAAGACGTGAGTGCACCCAGGAACGAACGTGTCGTAGGTGGTCTTTTCAGATGGTCTTTTAAGATGGCCTTCATTTAGATATTTATGCCAAGATCTTTCTCATAATTTTTCATGTACCAATGGTGCATGGATCTTCTATCCAAAATTGACCGTTTACAGAATTTCGAGCCCGGATGAAGATCGTGTAATTTGTGAAGCGGACACAATAAAGTCTAGAGGACTGGTAAGATAAGGACGAATCCATGTAAATAAACGACCCGCCAGCTGTCAAAGGGTATTGAACGATTACTCTACCAACGCCCTGCGGATGAACAATGGAACAAATACAGAAAATCTATATTCAACATGCAAGAAGAAAGATATAAAACAAGTAAAATACAATACAGGGGGAGTCCATTGACCTTGACAAGGCCGAGTCCTCAGTTGTCAACCATCAGTTGCTCACCCTCATCCAACAGCGTGGTAATGCGTGACAAGTCCGAGATCATTTTGCTGCCGTGATTGACCAGCAACAGCTTCTCTGCATTACCTGGCAGACCAAGGTAGGTGGGTGGCTCACGCTCGGGAAGTTGGTTCACCCAGCTGGTGAAGTCACGGATACTGGTACCGCTCGGCAGTGTGAGGAGTTGGTCATTTTCCACGCCAGAGACAAGTTTGTGATCCTCTTCGAACGCTGCAGGCGTGAGGAAGCGATTGACCAGGTCGTCTAGCTGTTGGAAGTCACCAGCATCGTCGATCTTTCCACCGTACATCTCCGTGATGAGCGTGCGTATCATCTCCCATGGCAATTTGAGAGGTGCGACATTGGACCGACCTTGGGCCACCTCGTTGACCCAGTAGTCAATGATATTGGCCGAGCACTCGTACTGTGTAGAACTTGGTCAGTATACGTACGGAGAGAATTGACAGGATCGGAGGCAAAGTGGGATTATCAAGAGGCAAATGAGAAAAGTGAACTTACGTCGCTATCATTGAACTCCCAGAAGCCCTTCCAGCCAAGATTTGGCGCATAACGGAGACGCTCTTGGACAACGGCATGGAAGAAGCAGAGAAGTAGGTAAACACGAGCTTTCTCCACAGGTGCTTTGCTGGCACGAGTCATCAATGTCGACATTGAGTCCTTCATATTGGCGCGAACACCAGCTGGTTGCTCGTACATCAGCACACGAGATGCGCGAATGAGGTTGACTGGGATCTTAGGACTGGACTCCATCGACAAGAAAAGACGGAAGTCCTTGTGAGGTTTGAGTGAATCCAGTCGCTTTTCCAAGCTCTGAAGCCATGACGGCGCCAAGTGCACGTTCTTGACAAGCACCCAGTTACCTGTGGCAGCGGCATTGCTGATTGCCTTGTCAGCACTCTCGAGACCCTCGTTTGATCCCATGGCAATATGGGCACAAGTTGCGTGAGTACGCTCAACCAACGCATCCACCTTGTAGCTGGCATCGAACCCTGGGCTGGAGCTGAGTGCAATGGGAGCAGTCGCTGTGACCTGGTCAACAACATCCTTGAGATCACTACTACCGTCGTAGAGCTCTCGTCCAAACACAGCCTGCACAAAGCGTTCCGCCGTGGGCACGAATCGGTCCATCCGACAGAGCTTAACGAGTAGCAAGGAGAGGAGTAACTGGTCAAGTTTGACAGTTTCTTCTTTCCAGACAACGGGTACGAAATTCTCCGCAATCTCTTCACCAAAGAACCGATCCCACTGCTCTTGGGGAACGTTGGGTACAGCTTCCTTGAATGACGACATGTTCAGTAGCTTGCTCATCACCTGCTCGCGTGCGTTCACGTCTGTCGATAGATCGTTGCCCTGGATAGACTCGTCCAAGATACGATCCAGGATACCCCTGTCCATGGAGAAAGGTGTCGCCTGAGCAAGTAATATGGCCAAGGTAATTCGATCTTTTTGAATCAACCCGAGTGAGGTCCGCTGGTAAGTCGTGATGAACAGATCCTGAGTGATGATACCCACCCGAGCCGCGTGATCTTTCTCTCGAGCAAGGCGCTTGTTCTGGTAGAGAACAGCGTTAAAGATGTCCACGAAGTACTGGAGGGAAAATTGATAGAAGTGGTTGATGTGGTGAAGCTGCTCCAAGACAGCGAAGACAGCACTGCATGCTTTGGCAATGCTGCTGTACTGATTGGTGATGCTCTCAACTTCCGACATGACACCTTCTGTCTCCGACATCTTCTTTGAAATTTCAGCGGCTTCTTTTTTCAGTGTCTCAAGTGTCTCAATCACGTTGTCGTCGTCGAGAATGTTTCCGCGAGACTCGTTCAGAGCCTGCAGCAAACGCTTCTCAAGTTGTCGTAGGTGGACCTTGAATTCACCTTGCATTTTAACGAGATTATTGCGTCGCTCGTCAATGTCGGGGCGCTCGAACTTCAGAACATCGTTCAATGACTGTGTTTGCAAACTGCTCTGAGTGACTGTGAAGTTGACAAATGTCGTCCGACTACAGATATCGGGAGGGAACTCTGCAGAAGGATCTCTCGTGGAGAGGAAGAGCTTGAACGAAGGTGAGAAATCGATCTCTTGCTTGCCCAGTTGAATCAAAACACGACCTCCAGTCTTCTGGTACTCTTTGTTGAGAACGTGGTTGAGAATGGGATCCAAGTGCTCAGCATCCTGAATGAGAATGGGGTTTCCGAAACGTAAAGCGCTCTCCAGTTGCTTCACGAACGAGTCATCCAGGAAGCTGGTGACAGTGAGCTTGCGATCTTTGCTCTCCTTCTGCAGGAACTCAGTCACTCGACCCGAGGGATCAACGATCAGAGGGTATCGGTTGAAACGATTCAAGATGATTGCATTCTCAGTGCAGAGGTCATCAACAGGTAGCGAGTTCGCCTGCCATTTGAGACGCTCGTCGGCATTGGAGAGATACTCCGTGATCGGGTTGTGAGGCTTGAAGTGAATACCGGATTGAGCAAGTTGGTGAACCCAGTCATCAATCATTGCCCTGCGGAACTGCTGATCATAGAGACCCGCATACGCTAGGAAGGCTGCAGCAATCAAGACATCGCCAACCAAGGTACCAATTTGAGTCTCGAAGGACTTGCTTCCCTCTTCCCAGCGTTCACGTTCCGATGCAAGACTGTCCAGCAGACGAACACTGCGGTCAACCTTGAATTGCACTCGGGACATTTCAGACTTGATGGCCTGGGTCTCGCTGATCAGGGCCGCGTATTCGCTCTTGTAAGTGGCAATGCTACTCTCAAGCCCTTGAATGGTGTTCTCAATAGCCTGCGCCTCGGCCTTGGTCTGTAGAGCCTGCTCTTCGAGGTGGTCGACCTCCTCACGAAGAGGGCCCACCCTGTCCAGGATAGCTGAATAATTCACCTGTGCTTCAACCCATTGCACGAGGGGGCCACATGCCTTACTGGCACGGTTCACACGCTCATAGGTGAAGTCTTCCTTGGAAAGGAACTCGTTCTGCATTTTGATACGGTGGTTGCGAGTCATGTGACGCTCATTGTCATAATTGACAATGCTAGCAATGAAATCCTCGCGACGGATGATTCCCTGAATGGTCTTCCAGCTATCGACCTTATGGCCTAGGAGGGTGCAGACAGCTTCAAGTGCAAGCCGGACGCTTGCCGGTGGGTTACCCATGGATCGAACCTCGGTCAAGTGCTGGCGCTTGATGTTACTGACACTCTTTTGAGCTTCAAGCACAGCAGGTTCCGCGCGCGCGAGGTCATTCAATACGACCTCCTTTCGGGTTGCAACCTCCTTCTCCTGCTTTTCTAAGGCTTGTTGCACCTCTAAGGAGACCTGCTTCCGCTGCTCCGCTTCCTGCTGATCTGCGACCATGCGTTGCAACTTCTCGTTGGCTTCAGTGTCCTTTTTCTCCAGCTGCGTCTTCTTCTGGGCTAGACTGGCACGCAGATCACTGACTTTGTCGACTGTGTCACGGAGTTTCTCCAAACCAACGTTCAAGTGACGCTGTTGCTCTTCAAGATCCTCGCGTTTCTCATTGAACAATTTGACATATTGCGCAACAAAGTCTAGATAGTGACGTGGAGTGAGGAAAGTGGACCGCCCTTGCTGTTTCTGCAGTCGCTGATTGAAACGATGCAGCGAATGATGAATGAAGACCATTGAGTTGACAACTGTATCTCTATGCGAAGCAGGGAGAGACAACTCCCGATATGCAACGGGGATGCTGTCGGGAGCGACGAAGTTCGGTTTGTCCAAATCAACGGATTGCGTCAACTCAGATCCAACCTGGAAGAGAGCTTGATCCGACCAATCGCCCATCCAGTTAAGCACGCAACGATTGAAAAGTGCAGGACTGGTAGCTGCCTTTGAGGAAAGACCGTCTTCGGGGGGATTCATGGTGAACACCACATGAAGATTCTTGATGATTTGCTGCGTAAACCACTTGTACAGCTCTTCTTGCGAATCCAAGAGGAGACCCTGGCGTTGAGCACCTTCTTTGCAGGCAGTCATCAGCGATGCGAACTCGTCGCCCTCAAAGAGACCAGGAACTTCAGCGTTTGCAAGCAGCGTGTTCATGCGCTCCAAGAAGCCAGAATCGAGGACATTCGCCTCGTCCATGATGAAGCAAATCTTCTCGCCCTTGCAGCCGGCACGACGCAAGACGGTTCTTAAATCATCATCAAAGTCCTCTGACGAGTATTTACCATGGACCTTGATCTGGAAGACCTTCAGTCCATTCATCCAGGCAACAAATCGAGACAGTGTAGTCTTCCCACTGCCGCTGACACCGATGAGAATCAGATGACCTTGAGGTTGCCGGAACACGCGGTCGATGCGGAGAGCGTGCTCGAGCACATCGTTAAACAGAACCAGTGGTACATCCACTTCCTCTTCGCAGAAGGTTCTGAGACGTGCTTTCACAAAGTCACGCAGAATCTCTTGTTCCACGGGGACATAGTTTTTGGAAAGCCAATTGGAGAACAGAATCGGACCCTTGAGAGCAATTTCGTGGTCGATTGTTGGGAAATGCTCCAGTGAAATACGGCGAACAGCGTCTGCAGTCCAAGCACGCTCATCCTCAGCAACCAGCCTGTCTTGGAAAAGACGCAAAGCTTCGTGAGCCCAAATGCGCACAAGACCCTCAATTGACAGAGTCTCCAGAGGCTTGATCGCCTCGTAAAGACCGCGAACCCATCGAGTCAACTCACGGGGAGAGTACACATAATGAGGCTGAATCTTCGGGGTGAATCTATTTTGCGATTCGAGGTAGAACTGAACCATGGCCTTCGTGAGAGCCTCAGAATATCCGCGGAGAAGTGGCAGAATCTTGAGAACTGCGGAGTTAAAAGTGCCGTAGATCTGGTTGAGCGATATCTCGCCGGGATAGTCCACCATTATCAATGGAGCATGACGCAGGAATCGCTCACCCATTGGCGTGCGACCTGCATCGGTTGGCGGGTTACAAGCACCGACGAACTGGATTCGATCAAGGCTAACCCACGTCTTGTCTGATGTGCGCCAGAACCCGTTCTGTTCCACTAGTTGACGCAGGAAGGCAATAGCTCGCTGAGTGCCATAGCGATCAGGGGCAGGCAAGTTAATCTCGTCACAGAAGATAACAAGCCAGCGGCCAATCTGGTTCGGGGACATCACAACGCCATTGAGAGTCTTTTTGTATTCACAGTATTGCTCAAAGGTCTTGATCAAGAGATCTGGCGTGGTGGCGCTGGAGAAATTGAGGCCAACGACCTCCAAATTTGGCAGCTTCCTCAACGCAGCGAAAAGCGTCATGGTTTTACCAGATCCGGGAGGACCACAGAGCAGCAAAGGTTTGTGCTCGGCCAGCCAAGAGTAGAGAACATCCTCGTGACGAACAGTATCCACAGTAGGAATGATGATATCCGTCTGAGTGATAGAATGAGTGTTAATGTCAACCGTGGGAACTTGGGACTGCCAGCTAGCCCATTCAGACTTAGGTAGGGTGACATCGTAGTCAATAAGCGAGGAGTCACCATCCGGCGGAAGATCGACGGTCGTCATGCCGGCAACATACTGACCAAAGGTTTTGCGATCTGTTAGTGGACAGTCACCGGTGAAAGACCAGACAAGAGTCAACAAAAGCTTTTTAGACATGTAGGACTCAATCTGCTCGGAGTCCATTGGGAAGTCAACGTGCTGAATGTTGTACTCTAGAACGTTTCGACAAGCCTTGTTCAGCAGGCTAAACATTGTGTTGAGGGCGCGAATCTCAGTGAAATCCATGATGTGCCCGTACTTCTTTGCCTCTTCGAGTGCTTTCAGGACTAGGTCGTCGGTCTCGAGATGCTTTTTCAGCACCACGGAAAGCATTTCCTGCGTACTTTGAGTTCTAGCCGCAGAACTGCCGGCTGGCGCGCTGTCATCATCGAGATCCTCAAAAGTCTTGGTCTTAAGGCCCTCCACATAGTTATTTATCATCATCGAAGGGGTGACAGTATCCTCGTTGAACCAGACCATACCGCAGCGACTGACAGTAGCTAGTGTAGCATATTTCAGAGTCTCGACTTCGAACATGACACGAACGTTGTGGGGCAGATTCAGACGTTCTCCGTTTGGTAGCGTGAGAAGCTTATTATCGTCCAGGACACTGTTCAAGTTTTCAACCCATTCTGGGTCAACATCGCCGTCGAACACAATCCAGTGGCGCTTGGTATCCTCGCCGCGAAGGTTGTCCACAATCTTTCGCAGGATGCCAGTGAACAGACCGTCAGTCCATTCGCGAGTTGTACTATCGAGATTACCGTAAAGAGCTTCCTTGGACATGACCTTGGAGTCAATGATGTGGCAGACGCCTTCGACATCTTCAATGGCCTGCATAGCCTGGAGGAGAATCTTCCAAGCAGCCGATTTACCAGAGCCAGATCTGCCGACCATCATAACACCATGGTGAATGCCCTGAATCTGATACAATTGAAGAGCCTTGGTGATCCACATCTCGCTGTCCACGTAGTGTTGCGCCTTCGCAATGCGACGAATCGCTCCAACCAACTCGTCATAGTTCGCAGGCACATAGTCAACCCCTGGGAAAGTTTGTGCCTGAATCTCAAGCATCCGGCTGACGTCTTCCTGAACGAGTTTGGGAGCAATGGTTTCGCGCAAACTTTGCACGATGATCTGTGGTTCAATGATTTCGTCAGGGCCAAGGTCAGTCTCTGAAGACGCTAGACGCGCTCTTTTCAAACCACCAGAACTGACAAGCACACTCTTCAAAGCACGAAGACCGAAGTCATAGTGAGCTTGTTTAGAGAGCTGGGCAGCACAGTGATCGAAGAAAGGCACAGTCTGTTTTGAAAGAGGTTTCGCTTGCTTGAATCCTTGCGAAAAAAGCATGACTTCCGCAATAAGTTCCTTGTCGGGCTTGGACATAGCGACACTGCGGAACAGCTTTTTCAGATTGTCCGGCAAATTGGAACGGCCAGCGTATCCGGGGTTCATCGTGATGAAGATACCGGTATTGGAATTGACCGCCAAGCGACGACCAACCAACTCAATCTGGGATTTATCGTCCTCTTCTCCCTTTCGAAGTCCGATTTGGATATTTTGAATCTGCTGCGAGACGGCAGACAGAATTCTCTCCTCCAAACGATTGAACTCATCGAAGCAACCCCACGCGCCGACCTGACAGATACCAAGGAAAATTCGACCCATAGCTTGGAAGTCAAAGGTGTCGTCGCAACAGAAAACAAGAGTGAAGCGACCAAGCTGCAGACCCAGAGCCTTGACAGATTCCGTCTTGCCAGTTCCTGCCGGGCCGTAAGGCGAACCTCCAAGTCGCTGGCACAGAGCTTGAGTAAGGGTTAAGAAACAACGATCCGTGAGTGGAGTGCGGACCAGACGTTCGGGCACGCCAAGGTACTCGAAACCGTAATTCAGCTTTGCATTGGCCATATGAACATACAGTCGCTGTAAGAAGTCGCCTTCCGACTGATAAACATATCGCATTTGCAGCAACCAAAGATAATGAGTTGGAGTCGCAGCCTTGGCGTCGATAAGCTTAGAGATCGTATCACGTTGATGTACGAATTCGGTGATCATGTGCTCGCATTTCTTGCGTGTGATAGCATCCAATTCACCTAGCACAGTCGCGGCCAGCAGTTCCAGAATTCGAACTTCGGAATCGTACAAGGCTGGAAGAGTGGCGCCACCATCTTCGAGTGATTTCCGTACGGCATTTGTCCAGACGACCTGACTTGCGAGGACAACAATCTGAGCAGGGTAATTGGCCAGGTAGTCACTGAAAGCTGTCCGGTCTACGTCACCAGCACTGTAGAGGGTCTCGAACTGCTCAACGGCTTCACCAAGAAGCTCCGCCAAAGTCAATTTCATATTCGTCTCCAATGCTGTCAGCCAGTCGTTGATTCTAGGCGTTTTGACCAGATTGACCTCTCGCTTGAGGCGCACCTCCTCGCCTTCCTTTGAAGTGAAGCCAACGATATTATTGTCATCGTCCATGAGAAGACCCGACAGGCCTGCGAACATCTTCTTGAAATGCTTTGCGACCCGGAAGATGTCGTTGCTATTGCCAATGATTTCCAAAAGATCCTCGTCTCCCACGAAGTAGAACCGTGGAAAAGACACACGCTCTCGTTCAAGGTATTCACCGAGGGCCTTTTGAATCTTGTTGAGCAACTCAGCCAACCGTTCCAACGATTTCTGAACGCCATTGATAGCCAAAACATCCAGCACAAATGGTGATTTGTAAACCTTTTTCATGACTGCGAAGAATTCAGAGTTAATGTTCTGGAATCGGCTGGATTCCAATGGCAGTAGATGCTTGATGTCGGCATTGCCAGTAAAAACACCTTCCAAATACACCCATTGTCTCTGCACGTCAATCCAGACGTCGAACAAAACATGCACGCGGTTCAGCTTGTCTTCCCATGCGGCCGCTTCTTCTTCGAATTCTTTGTAGTATGGCGAGTGTCTCATTGCTTGGAGAGAATTCAAATTTTCGCTACACTTGGCGAAAAGATCATCAAAGCCACGAATCAGTCGGCACTTGTTTTGATAGTTGACTAATTCCAAGGAATAACTCTGCCATGTCTCACGAACAGTCCTCAGGAACTCTTCGAGAGCTAATTCACCCTGAGCCTGGGCAATGATGTTTCGTATGACAGGCTCACTAGTGGCAAGTTGGAGATCCCAAATATCGCCTAGGGTGAGGGAGACGAGCGAGAATCGCTTTCCGGGTTTCAATGACTTGTATATCTTTTGCCAGTGTCTCTCCTTGACGGCCTCAGATTTCATGTCAGAGAGGAGAGAATTAACCTTCAAGAGTTGTCGGAGGACATTTTGGATATGTTCAAAGGCAGCGTACTGTCTCATTCGGCTTGGCATCTCCTTTGTCATCTTGATGAGGCCATCAAGCGCCTGCCGCAATTTCCGGGGCTGGACGCTGTTCCAAAGACCTTCACGCAAGTCGTTGAGGCTTTTCCAAATCGTTGACAAGGCGGCCCAGACCGACATGAAATCCTGTACCTCTTCCAGAATGGCAGGAAGTAACGAGTCAGAACTGACAGGCAGATCGAGTGCCTCCTTAGCCTTCGAAACCATTTCAAATTCGGTCTCAAGGGCCTCAAGTCGTGCTTGAAAAGAGCTAAGGGTCCGCGAAGCCTCCTCGGGAGGTATTGTACCGGAAACTGGCTTTTCATCGTTCCATTGAGCAATAACTTCCGCGATTCTATCGTTGATGACACGATCCTCGGCGGTAATCTTGGCACGAAGAGCATCGGTTTGATCTTGAACAATCTTGCTCTTTCTTTCTAGAAGCTCATTCAAAGCAGTCCATTCCCCATCCACGTTTCCAACATCCAGCCAGTCGTTTGGAAATGTGTATCGCTGGCGTGACAATGTGGTTTGACCCTGACGGAAGAGTTCCACCTCAGGCTCCCAGACTCTGATCTTGCGTTTGCACTGCTGAACAATAGTGATGAAAGAAACGGCATGCGCCGTCGAGGAGGCTTCCAAGCTCTGCTTTTCCAGGTCCCGACGGGCCGTGGTAAGCTCAGCGTGGACTTCCCGAACGCGGCCGCCAAGCTTAGATCCAAACTTTTGGAGAATTTCGTGCTGCCACTGATCGTACTTTGCGTTCACCTTTGTTTGAACTTGTTCATAGTCGATTCTGATGTTGCCGAAAGATCGGCTCACTTCAGAGGTATCAAACGTGGCTCTGCTCTTGCGGATTTCCTGAAGAAGCTGCAGCCACTGGGACAGATCATCTCGAAGAATGTCGTAAACTTGCTCAGATTGCAGATCCCACAGAGACTGGAATTGTAGCCATTTGTCGACGTATTCTGACACGTCAGTCAATCGACTGTCGACGACTTCGTACACTTGCTGAAGCTCCTTTGCACAGTTTTGTGGCAGGTTTGCAAAGCAAACTTCGGATTGTCGCACGGTTTGCGTGCTGATAGATATTTGATACCGGGATGCCTTGATCTTCTCTAAATTACACACGACTCCTAGCCAGGAATCAAACTGAGAGAACCAGCTTGCGCGCGCAAATTGGAGGGGTGGATCGACATGCAGGAGCTGATTCTTCATGGAGATCTCGTGCACAAGCTCCGGGAACGAGATATTGTAAATCACGGTGCCGTCTGTGTCAGTTTGTGTGAAGGCTATGCTTTGGCCGTTGCGAGTTTCTTCGAACGCATCAATCCACTCGCGAATGGCACGGTGAAGCCGTTCACTTAGAATTGCCTCGATTTTTGTGTTCAGCTGAGAAACCCAGAACTCGAGGTTTACATAGTTCTCAAGGTTCAGCTTGTCAACGGCAACTTGAATGATGTCTAAGCATTGCTTGAACGCCACGGCATCGTAAGCACACGTCTTCAACTCATGAATCGACTCCTGAATGCTTTCATTGATTGACGACAGCACTGCGGTCTTTGTCTGTAAAACAGATGCGGAGCCTGCAAATTCGCGAACAAATTGGACATGTTTACTCTCGGTTCGTGTTGGCATGGTGGGATCATTTGCGCCATTCGCAAGGGCAGACTGCTTGACGTGAAGCTCATAGGAGTGGATAAATGATTCCCACCTCAACGGAATTCCCTTGTTGACCATTGCCTGACAGTCATTCACGTAGCCATTGAGCAGAATAGCAACATCCGACATTGAAATAATCGTGCGATTAGTCTGAAGCAAAGTGCGCACACTCTCCATTAGACTAATGGCGTATGGATAGACACGCTTGGCCTCTTTAGAGATGTTGCTAACAGCATGAGGAACCTGGAAGTTCAACCAGATAAGATTGCGGACCTCCTTGAACAGAGCAATGATCTGAGCGTCAAAGTTGACGGCCAGCTCCAACTTGTTTCCGGCAGCACGGTTCCGCACAATATTGAAGAGTCGGCCAGAAATGGTAATTTGTCGTCTCTGAACATCGTACAGCCAGGATTCAAAGACAGGTCGAGTATCGAGCTTCTTACGGAAGAGATTGCCCTCCGCTTGCAGCTTCTGGCCTTCTGAGTGGAGATGCCAGTCCTCGCCAAGAACATTCTCTACCTTTCGCATATATCCATCGAGTTGACGCTCAATTTGGCGAGCCCAGATAATGGCACCCGAAACGGGTGGCAGGTCCCTTAATTGAGCCATTGCGTGAGCCTCGGAATGACCATACTGCTGCTTAAAACGCCCGTGCAGCGCGGAAATGTCCCGCTTGACATTGTCAATCAATTGTGTCTGATATTCGCCGATGGCGCCGCGAATCTTCGGGCGGACGAGCAAGGCGTTGAACTTGGAGAAGACTCGGAACATCTCATTAGCATTCTTGGCAGTTGCGAGTCGATCACGGAGGCGCGCGATGATCGAGTTCTCAACGCGCGATGTGCGTTCACTGTAACCAATCTCAGCCTGCTCCCATGCGCGTGATCCTTCAGGCGAGACATCAAGGGCGTCCACGTTCATCGCAGCATAGGCGTGGGTCACCTCCTCAACGGCGTCAACGTCACCAATTTCCTCCACGATTACCAATTCCTCAGAGTCGGCGCCGGCGCCGGCTTCTGCGGAGGTGGTGTTCTTCGGTCCAAGGACGTTGATGATGGTCTTTTGAAGCTGCTCATGATTGATGCGGAAGGTGTCAATGTACTTTAGTCGCTCACGGGTCTTATCATGACGAGCGTTGATTTTGATGGGAATGAACTTTTCATTCCGTCGTCTCGTCGATTCACGGGCGACATTCGTGAACTCCTTCAGATTTTCATCCCATGAGCGCCAGATAGCCTGAGTCGTCTTGATCAAAGAACGGAAATCACGGTAGTCAAGCTGAAGAATCTGACGGCCTTTGACAAGTTCGTGAATCTTCTTGTCCAGGTCGCCGGAGATTGCTTCAACGAGAGAAAGAGCACGCTTGATAGGATACGGGCAAATCTTCAATTTTTTGTTCAGATGGTTGAAGACAAGGCCGAGAGACTCTTGTACTTTCTGCAACGAAGTTGCCGAGAGAAGCTCGTCCAAAGGGAAGTCACGCATAAGCTGGTTGTACTTTTGGACTAACTCTGTGGCATCTTTCAGCCCAGTGTCAGCCACAAAGCTCAGTGTGGGCTGGTAGCGCTTCGCGTGACGAAGAATGTCCATAGTCAACTTCACTCCGTCGCTAGCAAGCTGGTTTTCAATGCCCTCCAAGGCCGTTTCCATCGACAACCAAAAGTTCACTTCCAGAGAGGCTGATTCTCCGTCCGGATCCCGAGACATCTTTGTGATAGTTTGAATGGATCGAATCCATCCATTAACAGTATGCTGGATGCTGTTGGTGAATGCACTGCTGTCCAAAACGGCAGAAGGAATCAGCTCGACCGTTGGCTTGATGCCTCGCGCCTCGGCCTCCGACAGCGCAGCCTGCACCACCTCGTGAAGTGGTAAGTTCAATGCAGGTATCTCCACATTTTGCTGCAGATGTTGAAGACCTAGCTCCAAATCGGCAAATCTTTTCTTTGTCCCCGAGATTCCAGTCTTTGCCTCGGTATCCGTTCGCGATTTGGAGCCGACAGCTGGTTCCTGGTTGCGAGTGTGGGCCTCAAAGTATGGACTTAGAGCGTGGTGAAGGAAAAGATGGATGATTTGGTAGGGTGACATGGAGCTTCCCTGCTGCGATTGTGCATTATTCAAGGATGCCGGACCAGGCAAGTTGATCACTTGAATCTGAGAGGCTATGGGAAGCGCTGGGTCGATCGGCGCGGGGCGTTTGATGAAGGCCACCGAGGCCACGGTTGTGGAGGCAGACGATATCTCTGACGACAAAGTGTAGGAGTATTCTAGAATTGATTCTAGCACGATTGAGTCAGATTCGATTTCAATGATTCCCGGCGTCGCAAGACCGCCACTTACCAGTACCTTCTTCATCACCGCTGGCCTGGTCTGCCGCCGCGATGTCCTTTTGTACGTAGAGGGCAACTTGTGACTCAGAGGCAAATCGCATGCATTTCTGCGCCGTGTCGTGGTATTTTGCGCTTGAAAGCAAGCTTCCAGCACTGCCAAGTTCGGACTTCGGAGCACCGAGTGTCACCTGCAGCACCTCCGTGAGGTACTGAACCACCGTGTCGGAATCCACCGAAACTGCCATCTCTGGCGTGGAAACGCCATTGGACGTTTCCGTTTTAGCGACTTCCATGGCGCCTATCTCGATTTATTGTAATGCGGCCGTCGGGGTCATTGGTGATCAAAAATGGCGGAGTAGCTTCGGCGGGAAAATTAAAGGCTGACGGCGGTACGCGTCTTGCCGGACGAAAGGGCGGAGATGAATGAGCGACGGGTGACCACAATGTCAGGGAATCAGGGGGCGAGTATCCTGTTCAATCAAAGCGAAACGACTCTCGTCGAAGTTGGTTAAAATGAAGACTTGGTTCACCTGAGCTATCCTGAAGTACAGGAGCTAAACACGCGGTGTTTGTTGGCAATAGATCAGGGGATACGCCTTGCCTGATTAGGCTAGGCCGACTGTGCTGAACCATGTGACGGCTTAGCTGGGGCCCGAAGGGAGCTTCCCCTAATCCTGCAGCGGTGGGGTTGACTGAGTCTAAAATGACCATCTAAAACGGCCATCTAAAGAAACCCTCTATAAGACCCTTCAAAAAGACCCTCTAAAAAGGCACCGAAGAAGCCTATTCAGTCTATTACGTAGCCCATTGAACCTAGACTCATGTCAATATGGCCTTGAGAACTGTGGCTATAGCGAGATACCGACTACAGGATGTTAATTCTCCAAGCTTGCTGTAAAATTGTATCAAGTACGAGATGTTCTTTCCTGGGTGCACCCACGTCTCGTCTTGCCTGGAAGGATGGGCGGTACAAAGGCGGCCGCAAATGACAAGTACTATCATGTGAAAACTACATTAGGTACCTAAGGTACTACTGTACTGCATAGGTACCCACTACAACAACTACCTACGTACCTAGTGTAGAGGGGAATGCTCAAGGCAGTCTGATCTCACCAGACAGGTCGAGTCATAGAGGAACCCAACCACAACCACCCGCACGCACGTCCAGAGATCTCCCAGCCCGACCGTACAACACCTATCCGTTGGATGTCAAGAGGCACAAGTGAAGATCAAAAGGAGTGTGTCATTGCAATGCAAAAGAATCCGACTGTAAAGACTGTCCTCAACCCTCAATTCCCTTCTCCGATGGATCTCCCGGATCCCATGAAGTCGTTCAATTCCTTAGTTGTCAAGTTGATTCACCCCCTCTCGTAATGTCCAAATAGTCTCTCCCGACTATAAGGCCACCATCAGGCACACGCACCTCTGCAAACCATCTGCTCTAGGTACACGCAACCGGATTCCCTACTTACTATACTAGGTACATTTGTATATGTCCAGGAACTGTATTGCGCCTCACTGGTCGTGACCTCTGATGGGAGATCACTCTTGGTTCCTTTACCATTTCCCCTGATGCTGCCAATTTCATCCCTCTTTAACACTTTTTACCTCTCCTCGTGTCCCTCAGCTTCTTTAATCAGCCTCTACCATTTTCAACAGTTGAAGGGTTCATGATGGACTACATAATCTACATTGGTGACGATGTCATAATGACTCGTGCGACTCTGAGAATGAAACACGAGCAAGCTGTTAAGACCGTGCATGAAGATCTCAAGTCCAATTCGAAGGCGATGTATTCGCGCGAGGATCTTACGAAGCTCAGAGTCTCCCTTGAGACTTCCGATACTCAAGACCTACCAGGTACAGGTACCCGTCTCTTCGAGCCTATGGCTCCCGACAAGATTTCGCGGTATTCTTTTGATGCATCGAAAATGTCAAAAGACGACCGCGAGTTTCATGGGATTTACGACACTTGCTACCGACCGCGAAAAGGCACAGCTCGCATTCCCGAAAGCCACGATGCCTAAATCATGGAGTAGAATGCGGAGACAATCTTCACATATCTGAAAATTTACTTTGAGGGCTTGTGTAAAGAAACGGAGGGTAACTTTGAGTTTCTCTACGCTACTTCGAGATGGCTTCAGGTCCAACATGGCAACTCCCTCTCGAACTTTCCTGCTGGCTTCCTTAGCCGCTATCCTACAAACACCCAAATTCCAGTTTGTCGTATTAGGGAAAACTACGAGTAACATCACAAGACAGGACAAAGAGCCCCTCACATGATGCTAGTGATACGCACCGGTATGGCGATGGCAGGGTCCTCCTTTGCGAGCTAGCGTGCATCGCTCAGGTGATAAAAAATCGCCTTGAGCAAAAGGAGTTTGGAAAAACGTCGCTTTTTCCGGTGTGATTGGATAAGAATTCTCAACAGCTCTACTGATTGCTTTCATGAAGGACAAGAATCTATACTAATTTGGTGTTTTCTTGAATACGACAGGTCCTTCTTATCTCATTGTGCGGAGAACAACATGGCCGTCTTGTGGAGGCTAAGTTCAACAAGTCCGGCGTCTTCAAGGTTCGGCCCTCGCCGGTATACGGCTTCACCAAAAGGGAAGGAGCACCTTGGGAACTCTTCGCACATTACCTTGCCTGTGAGCCCATCGATGGACCAATTGTAGAGTTTGTGGATGATGAAGAGAAGGAGCAAGAATCCAGCGGATTTCCACAGTCGTCCCTGTATGTTGCCCTTCACGCTGGATTCCCCCAGAACAAGATACCCCGCCGCTCTCGGGCTTTCCAATGCAGGTCAAAGAAACTTGCCTCCTGGAAGTGACCTGGGTAGTTCTGGAAGTGATGTGGGTAAATATTCTGACGATAAGTGACATCTCCTCTGTTGTCGCCATTTTCTACAACACCAGACCGGCAAAGGCAACTTGTTTCTCGACCGCGGCTTTGGGAATGAGATAACGGCTCAGCGGCATGAATGAGAGAGAGTTCATGCCAAGGATGATGCCTTGCTCTTATTGCTAAGGAGATAGGTATGAACTAAGCTTACAAGGTTACATACTGAGTTATTCAATGAATCCCGAGTATAGAAATTCAATTCTTGAAGCAACGCATCAAGCACATTAAATTCCGCCTAATGCTGTTTCAAAAATCCCCCCCCTTATCGAACGACTCCGTCCCGGTTCTCAAATTGGCCTAATTCCCTTTCACTCTACCAGGGTCCGCCGATCCGCAGTCGCATGTGAATTTGATGCGAAAATCAGCCGGTAAGAGTGTTTTGAGTGCCTCGGTGGCTCGCTCACTTGCACGAATTTTTGCGTACCGACTGGAACTGCCAACTGCCTCTCCGACATATTGGCCATGTATCATGACAGCTGCAAGTATCCTGGGCTGTTTTGAGTCTGTATCGGGAATTTTGCCAACCTTTACGCTGATGTCTCGGCATTCATAGATGCTGGCCACTTGGTGGAACAAGTAGGTCTTCTATAATTTAGCCACCGATCGATCAAATTCACTAGTACAAGAGGGATGCTTACTGTTGGCTGTCTGTTTGCAAAGGTGTCGTAGAGTGAGATGTCCTCAAAGTACGGCTGGATGTGCTTCCCAAAGAATTCTTGCACAACGCTGTAATCAAATTCGGAGTCCACGAATATTGCGGCAATATATGCTTCGAGCATGTCCGGCAAGCACTTTCATCAGAGGGAGAAGGTCAGCATCATGGTAAAATAAACTTATCAAGATTACTCTCGGCAACAATTTGCTACCTTTGGTGCGTCCGAGGCATGAAGCCAATAGTCCATCTTCCCAGCACTCTTCTCTTCTGCTTCCTGCATCTCCAATGCGTAGCGAGTAATCTGACCTTGAATAGGCCCATCTGCATGCTGCAGATGTCGATGCAGTCCGAGGTGGACCGTCAAGGCGCCCAAGAACTTGTTCGAGACAATCGCCATCTGCGAGGAGAGTATTAGTCCTGCCATGTAATGACAGAGTTGACCACTGGGCGCTGACCTTGTGTTCTGTAAGCCATTGAGGGTCTTTGTCCGGAAAGCGATTAAAAAGATACTCGACACAAACCATGTCAAGAAGTGCGTCGCCCAGGAATTCGAGGCGTTGATAGCACGGCACAATCGCAAGATGGCGTGGAAGCGACGAGTGTGTAAAAGCAGATCGCAACAAAGTGGGACACCTGAACGTGTAGCCAAGCTTTGCTTGAATCTGTTGCGCGAGATCCAGCTCGTAGCCATTCGGTTTGCTATTTTGCCACTTCGGCTTGGTGTAAGAGGAGTAGTAGTCTGCCCAGCATGTTGCGGTGTGAGTGACCTGAAGTGTATCATTGTGTGCGAAGAGAGTCACGGCGCGAACAGCGCTATCCATTCTATGGCTTTTGCCGCCTGATAATAATGCCGCTGCAATGAGGGCCTCGCACACATCAGCAATTGTCTTCTTGCCAAGTTCGTGACTACTTTCCATCTCGAAATTCTTGGAGATGTCCCGGCCTTGGAGAAGACGGGGGCCGGGAGGGAACCAAGTGTTGCTATAAATGTGATCGTTAGTCCCCGCTTTGACAAGATAATTGCGAGTAGCTCACCGAGAAAACCCTCGATTTCTAACAAACTCGTGTATTTTCATGTTCACAGCCCTTTCGTAGAGATTTTTGTTGCAAACGAGGCACATCCGGTAAACATGATAGTCGTATTCATTGTCGTCTGGCCTCTGGCAATAGAGTGCGATTGACGTACCCATCTTCAGAAAGCTGTCCCCGAGAAATTCGAGACGCTCATAGTTCTTGCCCATGCCTCTTTGAACGTGGATTTGAAGCTCTCGATGCTCATCTGTGTTGTCCGAGTCTTTGGTGAGGGCTTCGAGGGCAAGGTGCAGCTGCAAATCGAGGTTCAAGTGCTGGCCTGCCTCCCATGCGATCAGATACGACTCAATACGGCTAATAATAGCAGGAAACGCCAGGCAAGATGTCACAAAGGTCAATGGTAGCTATTAGTTGTCAGTACTTCCATCCCAGTACTTACAGAAGCGTACGCAGAAACTTACAGCTGAAAGCATCAATGGTCCCGGGCAAACGACACAAACCGCTTTCTCTGCTTTATCCAGTTCTGCGCCTGGATCAAGGAAATTTCTGCGGAGACACACTGTCTCGACGTGAATCACAGGTTGATTCCAGTCGCATTGCTCCAAAATTGCGTTTCTTGACTTTTTGCCTAGGCTTGACGAATAGTTCATGATGTTTTCCATGTTGATATCACGTCGGCGTGGCACCCATGCAGGTGGGACATCTGATGGACGTAAGTCAGGATCGATCCTCAGTGGGAAATATCGATATTTCCCACTCCATGGATCATACATGAATGTTTTCAGAAGCACACTAGGATCCAGGTCTGGGGACCATCTCCAATCATCATGACCTCGGGTAAACTCTAGTGCATCCCAATCGATCAATTCGCGTGGTTGCTCCTCACTCATTATGCCGACCATGCCATCTCGTGCAGGCGCGAGCCAATATGGAAATTTTTCTCCCAGTGGTTCAAATACCTTATGGAAAACATCACGGAAGACCGATCGCATGAAGGCTGTCAAACAGTCCAAATCATCTCCTGTGAGAGCGATCGAGCCTTCAACGCACACGGTCCGAACAGTCGTCTCCACATCATTATCCAAATACACAGGAAATGGCGGCAGACTTGGGAGCTTCTGCCGTGTGAGCAACAACATCGGCGCGTGGTGACGGGATAAAGGTTTGATCGGCTCTAGCTTGATCACTGCCACATGGAGTAACTCTGGTGCTGAACCAATTCCGTATGACCAGAAGGACGGTTTGCAGCGCCGATCATACTTTTCTTGCTTCTTCGACGCGATCGCCAGTTTTGCGTTTCGCATGAGAGGCAGTGTTCGTCGAAAAATCGGTCTGAAGTGGCTATCAAGTAGGCTGCTCTTGCGGAGCAGCAAGCAGGTATCAAAAGCCGCTGACCCTTTTGCCATTGCCTTGCTCGATTCCATTGTGCCTAAGACACCTCGAACAGGAGACTTATCTGGAAGCATGACCTCGCAACCGTATTTGTCTCCCATGGAGATGATTATGTAGTTCACATATTTGCGCGTTCCTCTTTGGCCACTATTGCGACCTTCTTCGATGTCCTCTTCACGATACTGAAGTGAAGCACCGTACCGGTCAAGAACATCGATGGCATGTTCGTAGGTCAACCTTGCCCCCGTGGATGCGATGGTGTAAGTACGCTTCCCCCTTTCTTTGCCAAGTAATGATTTCAGATCAAGATCGTACTCATAGCCGCGCAACAGTCGATCTTTTGGCAGAGTCTCACAGAACGCTCTCATCAAAGTCTCCGACTCCCGCACTTCTTGAATTTTCTTCTTGTGTTTCTCGTTATGAGCTTCGATCATGGTCACAAATCTCGATCTCGTGTGGCGGGCACGTCCGCGACTTTGAATGTACTGGATGAGTGTGTTGTAAAGATCAAATCTGATGACGAAGTTGCAGTCAGGAATATCTAGCCCTTCTTCCGCCACTGCGGTCGCAAAGAGACAATTGACTTTCCCATCCTGAAAATGGGATGTGACTTCAAATTGGTTGCGAAAGGTCACATTTCCAGTGATATCAGAGTTCCGACTTCCAATCAGAATTTCCGGACGAAGATTCTTCAATGACAGGCGCTCGCAAAGGTGAAGTAATGTCTTCGCCGTATTGCGTCTTTCTGTAAAGACAATACATTTATTCTCACTCGACTCACTGAAGTGAAGCGTCAGTCTCTCAATGAGAAGTTTGACTTTAGAGCTCAGTTGATTGGGATCGGTTGGGTCTTGCAATTTGTAACTTTGCACCATTTCATATGCTTCCTGTGCTGCAGAAAGCTCCTGTTCTCTTTCTTTTTGCGCTTGATCAGGCGAGTTGAGCGCAGCATGACTTTCCATGCTGCTTTCAAGGTGGGGAATTACGTCCTCCCTCAAAGCTCGCCGCCAAATTTGATCAGCACACCATTCGCCTAGCTCAGAGCTGGCAGTCCAGGCAAACCGGAAAACAGGTTCCAAAGACTTGATTTTCCCGAAGCTTCGCTTGAGCTGAGAATACATCTTGGTCGCATATGGGGGGTCCAGCTTTGGGTATGTCCAAGTCTCTTCAGTGGGCTTGTTGACGACCTCACGAAGTCCCGCCAAATCTGCCGTAGTCGCAATTCTGCTGTTGAGAAGAGCCTCTAGTCGCCTGTGAACATAAATGTCAGATGCCAGATGTATGCCGGGATATCACAGCCTTGGATCAACTAACGCTGCAGCTTCTGTCATCTTGGTCTTCCCATCGACAGGGGATGCCGTCATACCAAAGATTAGCGGACGCTCCGACGGTTGCGCTTTGAGGTAGAACTCTCGAATCATACTTTTTGGCAGGTTAGCCACATAGTCACATTCTCTCACGAAAATTGCAGAGACCAACCGAGCATAAGGGTGGGATTTCTTTGCATGGTGGGCTTCGTCGAAGATCAAGATATTGATCTGGTCCATCTTGATGAAGCCATTGAGCAAACAATGATTCAGGATTTCTGCCGTGCAGACGATGACCATGTTTTTGGTGAACCATTCTTCCCAAGTGCTCTTTTCCCACAAATCGGGTCCCATAGCACCATAGATGAATGCCACCTTTTGGTCAAGATTTTGTCGCAGGACTGCCGCCTGTTGGTACACGAGAGTGACGCTATGAGCCTGGGGAAAGTCAGAAATGTGTGGCCAATACGTCTCCAGTAATACGAGATGAGTTACCAAGAAGAATGCGATTCGTGGAGGTTTCCCATCCCCACGGCTAATGAGCTCTTGTTGCAGAACGTTCTTCAAGAGAAGTACAGCGATCAATGTTTTCCCAGATCCTGTCAGTCTTGTCAGTCTCGATCAGTGCTTCTGGGTCACTAAGCCGACGTACCAGTATCGAGCACTGCGATTGTGTTCTCTGTTTTTGCTCGCTCAAAAAGCTCGAGCTGGTAGACTCGTGGACGCAAATCTGCTCGACCCGCTTCTTGTCTCTTGAGTAACTGAGAGATGCTTGGTACACTGTATAAATCATCCTCGAACTTGTCATCATTGTTGTAGTGGCTCCGGGACTCTGAATAGGCTTCCGGTCCCCGTTCAGCATGTTGCTTGAGCCTAGATTTGAGTCAGAGGACAATGCCGTGTATGGAATCATGTAAAGACATACAAAAATTGAAAGTTGGCTTCTTGAGTTCGCTGTCTTTGAAGCGTGTGAGTGTCTGGAATCACTTGATTCTCGAGTTCTCGTTCCGACTCCTCCGATGAACCCATGGAGACGTTGTCGCCAAGGTCAAGAGAAGGCATGATGAAGTGTGTGTTCCTCGACTGCTGTGCCTCGTGCAAGAGCGAAGATTCTGGTCAAGCTACCTGAAGAGAGTAAAAAAATAGATTAGATGAGCAGGAACGGTGGGCAGCTGATGGATGAAGTGAGATGTGGCACCTCAGCGATGGAGCAGTCAGATCCCCGGCACTGGTAAAGCAGTGTTTCTGGAGCTAGCAATGCTTTGCAATGAACTTGGTATCAAGGTGAACTGCATCCGCTTGAGATATGTATGTGAAGTGAGAAAGATTCGTTTCGGTGCGGACAGGGACTTTATATCCTACGAAGTCATGGGCCAAATCATAACGTAGATCTGGGAAGAACTTCTCTCAATGATGAGACTCAGCCTTTGTTGAGATGGCCAAACATTGAGGCCACCGTTGAACGACATTTTGGTCTGATTTGATCTGATCTATTGAACTGGTAGTTGCCTTTGTACCGGAAATGCACACTTTAACTTTGAAAGTACAGGGCTAGTCCATCTCTGTCTGAGGGCAAAGAGGGTTCCGTCGGTGGACACGCCACCCAACTACTCCAGGCGCGAACTGGCTGACTCGATGATGGCGGTAGCCTATTGCTTGCCTGTCGATAAGAAGGATGGGGCTTACCTCCCCCACTTATCGTGCCTTATCGCTCGGTCAAAAGCTCCAGGTCAGGATTGCGGGGAGACAAAAATTACTCCAACATTAAAATCGTCGCTGGTGGACATACTTCTGCTCTATTAAGATGGAAGAGTCTCAAAGCCTACGCTCGCTGTTTCAGTCCGCGAAAGATGCAAAGGCAGGGTTGGAGTCGCGGGGAGACACAAATTCTCAGGAGTACCAAGATGCCGTCAACACGGCGATCGCCAAGTTCGGTGAATGTCAACGACAAGTCAGCGTTCTGTCCTTGTTCAGTTCCAACGAGCCCTTGGACGATATCTCGACGGGAGATGTACAGTCAGTCAAAGACTCTGATTTCACGATTGAGAAGTGAGCAATGACTGATGTTCACATCCTAGGTACCTGACACTTGAATACTATCTCGCCGAACTGATGCAACGCGCATCCAGTTCAGACCGTGAAAAGTCTCTACGACGCACGTTGCAACTATATGAAAGCTTCCTTTCACGACTTGAGAACTATGAATTACTCTCACCGGGCGATAAGAAGTTATTTGAACAATACATGGCCAACCCATTCACATTCACACTCGCACCCCTGAACGACGCAACGGCTCGGCGAGATATAAAAGTCAGACGGTTTCGTGAGGAGAAGGAACTGAAACAAAAGCTGGAGGTAGGTCATGATACAATCTTTGGAGATCTGTGCGATGAAGGCTGACACAGGATCAAGTATCTTGCTCAAAATGAAGCTCGGCTGCAGAGCGATGATGACGACACAAGACGCTTGTATCTCGCCGAGATACAACTACTTGTGCATCAATCTTTCCAGGCGCTGGATCTTCTGATTCAGGAACTGTCCATGTTGTCCGCCATTCGCCAGGCGCCAGTTGCCCCACAACCGACCCCTGAGGATTCAAGAGAACGAAGTAATCTGGGAGGCACTAATTATTCAGATCGCTTAGATCCATCTCTTTCACAATTACTAGGCCGCGGACGCAATGGGCCTCTGCTAGACAAGAAAGGCAAGCCCATGCAGCCTTTCACATTGTTGGATCGCCGCACACAGCTCCAGCAAGGTGTTTTCCGTTCTGGTCACAACCTCCCTACCATGACAATCGAAGAATACCTGGACGAAGAACATCGGAGAGGCAATGTTCTTCAGGGTGGTGAGCAGTCTGGAATCAAACCGGAAGTGGACGAGGATGATTTGGACAGGGCAGATGAAGAGACGATGAAAGCACGTGCATGGGACGAATACGTCGAGGCCAATCCGAAGGGAGCTGGCAACACGTTGAATCGTGGTTGAAGGTCAATAATCGATGTAAAAAATTAAAACTCTCCCACTTAGTACTCAAGCTCCAGCCCGAGTTTAGCAGTTCTTGAAAGCCTTCGGTTAGTGACAAACGTTGTGTTGCGCTACGCAAATTGAGTGGGCTGTGCACGGTGCCCTTGAAAGCCGTGAAACGCTTTTGTGAGACTGCATGGAGCAGCCTGCAGACCTACTCTCAATTCGAAGTCTATTGCCTGGATGAAGAAACGTACGCTTCGAGCGGCGGGCTTTGGCTCTCTCTTGATAGGGTATCTTTTGTGGGCTATCTACAAGCATGTGGCCAATGCTTCCGACAGTAGCTTTTACTTGGAAGCAGTCTCCTTGGCCAGCTTCTGACGTTGAATTTCTTCCAAAATGGTCCCAGCACCTTGCTCAATCAGGGCCTGAGCCACAGTAACGCCGAAGGCTTCTGCGCTCTCCGTCGAGTCGACTTCGCCATCAATCTCAACTTGAGCGCATTGCTGTCCATCAACACTCACGACCACAGAGCGCATACGAAGCTTCTTCTTGCCCTCGGCAGTTTGCACCCATTCCGTTTCCACTCCGAGGGGAGCACTGCAGCCGCCTTCGAGGGTTCGCAGGAGATTACGCTCGGCGAGACAAGCATAGGTCGTCTCCCAATGGCCAATCTTATTCAACATGCTTTGCAGGACGACGTTATCCTTTTGGATTTCAATACCCAAAGCACCTTGCCCGACAGCGTAAAGCATTCCACTGCTTGAATCGAGATACTGCGTGATGCGATCTCCCAGATCCAGTCGCAGCAAGCCAGCCGCTGCAAGGATAATGCACGTATAGGGGCTGTCTTCAGCGTCCAACTTGGCCAAGCGGGTACCAATGTTCCCGCGAACATCGAGGACTTTCAGATGCGGGTATTTGCGAGCCAATTGCGCTGTTCGGCGGATAGACGAAGTGCCGACAATAGACCCAGCAGGAATTTCGGCTAAGCTCTTGTAAGGCAATCCTTGCTTCACAACCAGGACGTCTCTGCTATCCTCGCGAGGCATCATCGGGCCAAGCGTGCAGCTTGCAGGTAGAACGGTCGGCACATCTGTCAAGTAACGGAGGAACAGCCGATTTAGTACATGTGTATGGCAACACGTCCATCTGAATTGAGCCACCAACTTACCTTTGAGGGAGTGGACGATCAGGTCAACTTGGCCGTCCATCATGAGCTCTTCAAGCTCTTCGGTCCACAGGTTTTTGCTTGTGAAGTCCCGCAGAGCAATCTTTGTGTTGAGATCGCCAGCCGTCTCCTTGGAAAAGATCTTGAATTCACATTCCGGGTGTGTCTTTTTCAAGGCAGCGGAGACCAATTCTGTTTGTTCCAGCGCAAGCTTGGACTTGCGTGTGCCGATGGTGAAGGTGGTCTTGGTGGCGGGGGCGGGGGTCGCCATGGTGGAAATTGCTGGAGGGTGACTGTACGAGAAGATAAACCCGAATCAAGACTGTGTGAGTGGTTGATCTCCGAGTGTGCGAATCAATCGATGGGCTAATGCGAAGAAAAAGCGTATGGAAAAGTTGGTCGAGAACTAGGAGCTATCACAGCGCAGTCATAATTTTACTGCGTGGTGCATCCCCATGTAGATTTCCAGATGGCCCGAGAACCACGGGTCCACCGCGTCGTGGTCTGCGCAAATGGGAGTACCCGGTACTGTGCGAGTCGCCAGCACGGCACTGCGCAGACAAGTAGTGGGGACACCGTCGCATGCCGCGGAGAGGAGGCCGATCACGAGACACGATCCGAACAATAAGTACTAACTTAGTTGGTGCTGAATAACCTCAGTATCGGTAGCCACGAGCCAGTAGGTAGTAAGGTAGTAAGATACTAGTTAGTAGGTCCTGCCTCACCTCCCTGATTATGAAAGCGCTTATCGGGGCTGAATGACCAGAAGATGGGCGCTCATACCCACGACTGTAGGAAAAGAGCGTATACGAGTACTCCTGCACAATAGCTGCTTCTTAGCAATAACGTCGCAACTCGCCCCCGGAAGCTTTAGGGTTGCGGTTTTTCGTGTAAGGTCACGGGACGAGTTAAAGACGACCGATCTAAAGACGCATGGAATCGAGGTGTAGTCCATCATAATCGCAGTAGTGTATCTTGACAAGACTGATGTTTAACCCATGTACTTCTTTGAACGCTGCATCGCTGTCTCCACTCTCCAGTCATGAGCAAGTAGGGCATCCAGCTGTACCAGGAGGTATGAAGGAGTCCGGCTTCACGGTCATTGTCGAACCGAGTAGAAAACAGGAAGTACATGCGAATGCGGCCGTACCTCGGCAGCCGGACGTGGAGATTAAGAGGACATGCGGACTGGACTCTTATCGCCCTCCCCCGGACTTCCGCCTCCTCCCCCAAAACTTAATCCGAGCCTGGAGTCATATGAAGCCACTACGGCCTACGAGCCTTCGGACCGTAGGTTCTGGAATCACCTCATCTTTAGCATATCCCTAGTTCTGAATCTTTTCTCTTCTTTCTTTACTTGCCTCTCCGTACCCCCTGATACCACAACCACAAGCAACGTTTATGCTTTCATAACACCGGTCCTCGGCTGGTCCTTCATACTAGTGAGACCGTCATCGCCCCGACCGCTCCACATAGACACTCGACTCTACCATTCGCCACTGTCCGGTCTTCATCCCCATTCAGCATGGGATCCAACACCGGTCGGACTGTCAAACTTCCTTTGGTGCCCCTGGCGAAGGGCTTTGTGCTATTGCCAGGTGTCACTTTGCGCATTCCAGTCTCCAACCGCCCAGACCTGACTAACTTACTGTCATCTCTGGTCGACCGACCTGCGAAGCGCGATGGCAACACCATCACCTTCGGCTGTGTACCTCTTGCCTCGCCTTTCTTAAGCCGTGATGGACAACAGCTGCTGGAGGGCGATCAGTCGGAAACCGGAGGAAAGGACGACTACGACTCAATCGACGCTGGTCAAGCGCGTAAGGACGATCTGTTCCGCCATGGTGTGGTTGGAAAGGTCATCGGCGTTCAGCGTCGGGCGTACGCGGAGCCCTTCTTGCTGGTACAGGGCTCTCAGCGTTTCACTATCAAGAAGGTTCTGAAAGATCGTCCGTTTTTCGAGGCGGAAGTGCTGCTGCACGATGAGACTTGTAAGCTCACCTTTCCAGCTAATGCTCTTCACCAGTCTACGACAAGCGAATGCTAAACATGCCCTGCTCTTTACTATAGCATCAACCCTTCATGGCGACCCCGAGGCTGCCGACTTGTTTCAACAATTGCGACAGCTCTCTCGCGAACTTCTGACTCTTCTCCGCCTTTCCTCCCTTCTCTCGGCTGCTTCCAATCGAGTTTCACCACTTGTCGCGCGAAAGTTTGAATTATACATCTCTAACTCAGAATTGGGTCACGCGGGAAGGCTTGCTGACTTTATGGCCGACGTCTCCGATGCAAGTTACGAGGAGAAACTGCGGATCCTGGCATCATTCGATGTTAAGCTGCGCTTGGAGCGCGTGGTAGAGATCCTCACCCGCCAAGCTCAACATATCAAGAGCAGTGTCAAGGTGACATCTATCACCACCACCTTCCCCTCCAGCTCGAGTGTTGATATTAGTCAGATCGATCCTCGAGACCGGGAGATTCTAGCGCGTCGGGCCATGCAAGGTCTATCAGGCCTCACGCCGCCTGCGCCCGCTGGTCGTCGAAACAACGATAACGAAGAGAAAGAACCAAATGAAATTGATGAGCTGGCGCAGAAGTTGCAGGACGCGCAACTCAGTCCTGAGGCACAGAAAGTTGCAGACAAGGAGTTGAAACGATTACGCAAGATGAACCCGGCCAATGCCGAATATGGGGTTTGCCGTACATACCTGGAGAACCTGGCTGAGATTCCCTGGGCCAAGGTTACGGAAGACCAGTTGGGCCCGGAGACTTTGGCACGAGCCCGCAAGCAACTTGACGAAGACCACTATGGTCTGGATCGGATCAAGAAGCGTTTGTTGGAGTATCTCGCGGTACTGCGGTTGAAGCAGAACACCAACGCCGATGTGGAACGGCAGATCACGACTCTTACTAGAGAGCTTGACACGACGTCCACTGATGATCTGGAGCCCGACTTGCCTCTGGCCGCAGGGAGCGATCGGGTTGCGCTGGAAGCTCGCCTTGAGCTTTTGAAAGCAAAGCGCACTACTGACAAGTCTCCCATCTTGCTTCTTGTCGGTCCTCCAGGTACTGGAAAGACGAGTTTGGCTCGATCGGTCGCTGCTTCTCTTGGCCGCAAATTCCACCGAATTTCTCTCGGTGGTGTCCGTGATGAGGCAGAGATTCGAGGTCACCGGCGCACTTATGTCGCCGCCATGCCTGGTCTTATTGTGAATGGGCTCAAGAAAGTCGGTGTTGCGAACCCTGTCTTTCTACTTGACGAGATCGACAAGATCGGTGGTGCCAATTTCCAAGGCGACCCCTCGGCGGCGATGTTGGAGGTCCTGGACCCTGAACAGAACCACACCTTTACTGACCATTATATCAATATCCCCATTGACCTAAGCAAGGTGCTTTTCCTGGCGACGGCCAACTCACTTGATACAATCCCTGCTCCTCTACTTGACCGCATGGAGACAATCTCACTCTCAGGATACACGACAGTGGAGAAGCGGCACATCGCCAAGCGTCACCTTATTCCTAAACAGATTCGCACCAACGGCCTCGCAGAGAACCAGATCAGTTTGTCGGACGAAGTCATCGACAAGACCATCACTGCCTATACTCGCGAGTCCGGTGTGCGTAATCTGGAGCGTGAGCTTGGATCCATCTGCCGTTACAAAGCCGTCCAGTTAGCTGACGCTGGAGACACGGATCGATTGGGAGAGTATAACCCCAACGTGACTGTCGAAGACTTGGAGGAGATTCTGGGCATCGAGCGTTTTGAGGAGGAAATTGCCGAAAAACACGGACGGCCTGGTGTGGTTACAGGTCTGGTGGCCTACTCAAGTGGTGGTCAGGGAAGCATTCTTTTCATTGAGGTGGCCGACATGCCTGGCAATGGGCGTGTCCAGCTCACTGGCAAACTCGGTGATGTCCTCAAGGAATCCGTTGAGGTAGCTCTTACATGGGTCAAAGCCCATTCATTTGAACTAGGCCTGACTCACGACCCCAACGAAGACATCATGAAGAGTCGCAGTCTTCATGTTCACTGCCCGTCTGGAGCGATCCCCAAGGACGGACCCTCTGCCGGTCTCGCTCATACTGTAGCTCTTATTTCCCTCTTTACCAACAAGGCAGTCCCGCCACAAATTGCCATGACTGGCGAGGTCTCCCTCCGCGGTCGGGTTATGCCTGTTGGAGGCATCAAGGAAAAGCTCATCGGTGCTTTGCGTGCTGGCGTCAAGACCGTGCTTCTGCCCTATCCGAATCGGAAGGATGTCAAGGACGTTCCTCAGGAAGTGAAGGATGGATTGGAAATAATATACGTCCAGTAAGTTTTCCGACATCACGCCCGGTTTACATTCATTCTAATCATGTCCTCCTAGGCACATATGGGAAGCTCTGCGTCACATTTGGCCCGATGCCCACTGGCCCGGCCAGCACCAGCCGACCTTTGTGGAGAGCCGACTCTAGATTGTTCTTGCTGACTGATGTTGCGTGCGTTTTCGTGGCCTTGTACTGCTGTTTCTGCCAGCTTTCTTTCCTCCACTTGTTTTGCATAGCGTGGATGAACCTCGCAGTGCGCTTTGTTAGTAATTGTTCATCTCTTGTCTTCTATAACCCTCCGAATTGAACCCAAGCAGTCGAATAGGATGTTTAATGTATTTACTACGGAAGCCATTTCTTAGATCATCGGTGCCTTCGGCCGCTAAGTTTCTCATATTGTAAGGAAAATTGGAAGTCGCGTCGAATTTTTCGCGACCTTTGAACCGCAAAATCATAATGATATAATACATACAGTAGTGCGCCAGATGAATGTTAGAATACAAATAACATTGACATGTCAAGTCCCCAGAGCCGCAATGCACACGTCTCTATTTCTCCGACTTCACACCCGTCCTGACAGATAACCTGCGTGCGAGGTCTAAGCCCAGCGCTTTCGAAGACGGTCGCCACTCCTCGGGAGCCTTCTTGAGCTCCTTGGCCTGCTCCTCAAAGGCCTTACGCGCATCTGCGTCTGGTTCTTGGGCATAGTGCGACTTTTGCTGCATACCCTGCTGCATCTTTGCTTGCCACTTTTCACTAGCATCCCATGACTCCTTCTCCCATCTGTGGGTGCATCACGCAATACGTTAGCCATGGACTCTCTATGGGGTTGTATCATCACAACAAGAAGAGTGCTGTGCACGATTCGCACGAGACATCCTTCTATGTGACCACTCGTATGGTAGATGAAGACGTACGGGCTGAGATCCTTGGGCTCTTCGGGATAAACGAAGGGCTCGCGCAATTCGACGGTCATTCGCTTCTGCGCCTTCGGTCGGCGCCAGGCACCAATATTCCTGCCGTCTCGCGTGATACGAGTGATGGGCTGTTGCTCAATGTAGCTCCGCACGCTAACAACACCGACGTTATAGGCATTTTGGAGGTAGTCGCGCAGATCCAACTTGTTGAAGTTCAGAGGGACTCGGAACTGGGCATAACGAGGAGAAAGGAAGGGAGTGCGGGCTAGTGCGATCACAAACTCAGGCCTGGTTTTGCAAATGAGTTAGTTATGTGGGTACAAATCAGACGACGTGAAGGGGCGCGAATTGGAAGGTGGCAGAATGGAGTCCTCGTCTTGAGGAACCGCGGAGGATAAGAAATTTGAGGTTGTGTATAGCCACTTTCGCCATGGAGTGGACTCACAAGAAAACCTGCTTGCGCTGTGAAGGGGGTACGAAGGCGTTCTTGGCCGCTTTCGGAATGGCGACTGCTCGGCGCACCATTGTGTATGTATCTTTGTTGGGATGGAGGGTGAAGACCTGCGCCTGAGATAATTGAAGCAACTGGAGTATCTTCAGCGGGTTGTTCCCAAATTGCGCAAGTTGCCGCCACGCTTACCGTAGGTCCGTTAGCCAGCCAGACTTTCACGGGCTGCATACATTATACAATGTTCTGGGTTATTTAAGAATCAACCGCAAACCGTCATCTCCGGCAACTGATAATCTACCTGGTTGATGATTTTGCTAATGGCACCATCATTGGCTCGCACGAAATCAACGTCCGGCTCCGTTGACGATTGCAGGAGTATACATACTCTCCAGTCAGCCCGCCGATCCGAACTGTCAAACTATATCCAGGGCCCGGCCCATGACAACCCTTTGAGAGTGTAAAAGAATTCTCGGTCATCAATTGCCCACAATACACAGCGACGAATAGAGGCCACCTCGATATGAGATAAAGATGCGAGTAACATATTGGCTACCAGGTAGAACGATCCTTGACCAGTTGGAATCGAGCATGCTTTGAGAGGTGGTACCAGCACCGCGTGTACTGTACTTTAATTTTGTGTCGAAGGTTAGGTACTACCTTATCAGCAGACAGGTAGGTAGCCTTTGCGAGGGTATTTTTGAAGGTCCTTTCGTGGGGGTTTGAGAGGGTCTTTACGGCAGACTTCACGAGGGTCCCAGGTGGACTCCCTACCTACAAGGACTTTCCCAGTGGAAACTCGAGGTAGGTTCATATGTAGACATATACCAGGAAGCATCTTATTGTAGGTTGGCTTGTCCTGATTCAAATCTGTCCGCTTTGATGATTGATACGCCCTGGACAAGTGGAGTGAAAGTCCCATGGTATACGCCGCGTAATAGATGCAATATCATTATGGATGCGAGTAGTCCAGATGCAACAACAAAGAGCCTATCATACAGTCTAAATTCATCATCATTATAGTCATCAATGCACAATGCCAGAGCTGCTGTAACTTCCGCGTCATCACTGCCTTGATGAACCAGAGACATCTAAAGCCTCTAGGCGTTTTGCACTTTCCTCGACCTCTGTGCTACTGGATCCGACTTCTGGCTCTTGATGTGTGTCCTCCTCCTCGGAGTCACCCTCATCCTCCTCGTCATCATCATCATCCTCATCGTCGTCGTCAAGGTCGTCTCGAGCAGCACCGGCGTCTCCGTCTGCTCCGACTTCCTTCATGTAGGTTTCCAGCTCACGAGCCATTTTCCTGGAGAATCCAGAGGCCTCGACTTCCACATCCAGGCGCTTGCCCGGGTTTCTGAGGAAGTTCTTCTTCGCATCAGAGAAGAAAGGCCCTGGTACATCACTGACAAAGTGGAACTTCCTCTGGAAGTATCGCTTGATACAGTTGACGTCTCGATCAAAGTACATCTCCGCGTTGACATGGTCAATGGAGACCATCTGAGGGAAGTCGATAATAACCGGTTCCAGCCGGATATTCTCTTCAGACTCTTCAGTATCCGCATCAGCCGCAGCCTTTCCTTTTTCGCTAGGATCCGCAATCTCCTTGATCAAGATGTTGAACTCGTTGAAATCGCCATGGATCAGACCAAATCGCGCAAGTTCGAGAATGATATCCATCAATTCCGAATACAACGCTTCTGGATGGGGCACCCTGGAGATCTGGCGGAGTGGGAATGCATCGATCAATTCCATGACAATCGTATGTCTGTTCTGGGCGATGGGCTCTGGGACCGCAAAACCGTTCTCGCGCAGCGCCTTCATGAAGGCAAACTCTTTCATAGCCGCTAGACGGGACATGTACATCCACGACCCTGTGTTTCGGTGGCGAAGGTAGTCGCGGTTGGTCTTGACAGTTCGGAAGGAGATTCGACCGAGGCGATGAATCTTGAGGATACGCTGCGAGCCGCTGCTGTGGGCGACAACGACAATGTCTGACTCTTTACCCACACCGATCTGGTTGCCGACCGAGTAAACCACCTTCTGCTTCTGGTGCGCGTTGAGCGCCAAATAGTCGAGACCACCATATGTAAGTCGATAACCGTCATCTGCAGAAATATCGAAAAGTCAGAGGATGAATTCCATGCACTTCATATCGAATGGAAAGACCCGTGGCATACATTTTGCGTTCTTGACCTTGGCGATCAGATTCGTCTTGGCGAGATTGGAGATGGAACGATGCACGCCGCTGCCGCCACGGAGGCCAGACAACTGGGAGATCAGCGGAGTAGGAACGACTTCATGGTTGCGACTGCCGGCTTCGACCTGAAGCGCGCATTCCCTAGTTAGCTTGCTGCGGACATTTGTAACAGTGGCAGATTTCATGGCGGGGATGAGGGGCTGGTAAGTACCCCTTGAAGCACTCTGAAATCCTCAGAGGTCAAATAACGCAGAGCTTTGGCGTCAAGTTTCATTTTGAAAGATTTCCAGATCAAAATCAAATCAGAACAAAGGAGCCCAATAGTTGATAATAAATCTCCGTAATCATTGGCGTCTGCGTCAATCAAGATGCGGAGATAGAAAAAAAAGATAAGCTCACAGCCCTAAGCCCTATCTCCTAATCGAGACTACCAATAGAGACAGATCAATCTGTGAGATAAGGGGAGGTGTTTACACTACAAGTAAGCACATGCTGTTCTTAACAACTCGATAGAAAAGAATGTGTCCCTGGCGGTACTACACGCGTCTGAATGAAAGAGGAAATAGAGATCGGAAGACATCGTAATGTGTATGTTAATTCTTGGATGCTCTGATCCTAAATTAGATCCGGCGATCCTTCGCCCGCTATGGAAACCCAGTTGCGATTGGTTGAGCTGACAGATGCCTGCCATCTTATTCTGGAGCGACCCAGTCAGGGTTCTGTTGTAGAATGTCAATTAGTATGTGCTTACGCTTTTGAGAAGTAGACAAGGGAGTCGACTTACTTTGCGAAGAATTACCAATCCCTCAAGAGTACTGCTTAGGGGAAGGTACTGCTCGTCTTCGAGCTCGGCTCTTTCGCCGTAAGACAAAAGGACTGGCGTGCTCTGCGTCTGCCATCCAGTAATCGTTTTGGGGCGACCGGCCTGGCCAACGACATCGACAGCCTGACCCACCCGAACATTCACAGTCACAGGCTGTAGGTCTTCATCCAAAGTCACAAGGAAGCGGGGGTACATGGCGGTGATAAGGAAGTAGAGGAGATAGTGATGTTCGGCCAGGATAAATTGCTTCGCATCAATGAGAGACACAAGCACAGTGAGAAGACCGGCAGCTGATACCCGTGAGAGGACCTGTCGGTCAGTGTGGAAGGGGTTAAGGGTCATGGTACCCTTGCCCATGTGCAGAAGGCCTTGGGCGATCCGGACCATGAATAGAGAGTTCTGATCGCGGTGATAGTAGCTCGCAAGTTGACGAAGTAGCTGTGCCAAACGAGCGTTGTTAGTGCCAGCGCCACAGAGACCCATGGCGAAGATTGCGTTGATGGCCACGTCATTATCGTTGTCGTGGCTGTATCGTGACAACGTGTCATAAACCTTCATCTGGGGGTTGCTGGGGCTGATAAGACCCATAGCCAAAGGAACGGCTCGGCGGATGTTGCTTGAACCGTAGTGCATTAGATGCCCGAATTGGCGGAGGATCATGTCCTGACCAACGTCCTCGCCCATTGCGATGAGGGAGAGACCCAAGACCGCATAGGACTGAACAAGTTCATCACCCTTGTTTTCTTCCTTCTCTTCAATGATATCATTGCAAATGTGCAAAAGTTCCTGCAACTTCAATACTGTTCCGGTACCAGCCCATGCACACACCGACGCGAGAACAGAGGTGGGCTTGGCCATGGGGTGATCAACGGCCTTGAGAATGTCAAGTATGACATCCACTTCTTCCTGGCGTCCGAAGTACAGTAGAGCTAAGCCGAGAGCCATGAATCTCGTCCATTTATCCTTCAGCTGCTTTTGGCGCTCCTCGTCCATCAGCGTCGTGGCAATAGCCTCACTGACCTGGTGATTAGACGACCCGACAAAGATGAGACCCAGAGAAACAGCGGCCATAGCAGAAAGCTGCATGTCCAATGAAGCATCCTCCACAATTGGCAAAAGGATTTCGAGAAGCTCCTCTTTGTTCGATCCGGCGTATGCCAAACCAAGACCCATAATTGAAGCAACCCGCATCGGCACGCTCTTGGCTTCCAAAACATCAGGATCGCTCAGAAGTGCAAGAGCAGGGTCGCTTTCAGCCCGAACACCAGAATTCAGGATACCAATGGCGAGCAACGCACCAGCCTTGACCTGGTCTTCCTGGGCGTAGGTGAACTTATCGATCTTGTCGAGACCGTCGTCAACATCGCGGTGCAGAAGCATACCCAGCGACGCAGTGGTCGAAAGCATGCCGTCTTCCTTGGTCTTCCAGACCCACGGCCCCTTCTCTCCGTCGACGAGCATCATCTTGTCATCGCCAAATCCTGCATTCACGAACGAATTGACAAAGGCGCTCGCAAGATTGTGCCGAGCTGAGTCGAGATTCGTGAGCCCGGCCCCTCGGCTGTTTTCTAGATGTGTCTTGTAAATGTCTTCGGGCATCTTTGGATCCAAAATGTTCAATTCTTTCCCAAGAGATTTGAAATGCTTTGGAATGGAGGTGTTGTTGAGTGAGTCATTCAAGGCCTCGTCCTCCTCGTCCTCTGGCAGGTCTAGCCAGATCTGTTGCCGTGAAACGAGGAAAGCCATCTGTTTCTTCAGAGCCTTGTCATCGGTGGCGTTAATGTCACTCTTGATCAGGTCAATGTCGTTCAGGCGAATAGCGAGGACGATAGCTTGAGAGAGCTTGTTGTAACGGACATAGATATCATGGGCGGTGCGAAGGAACTGTTGGTCCTCTGGGTAGGTGAGGAGGTTAACCATGCTGACCATGTACAAGCATACACGAGGGTACGTGTTTTCGTCAACAAATCGTGGAATTTCCTCGATAATCTCCATCTCACTCAGTAAATCGACGGCATCGGCCTCGGCGTTATGACTCAGGAAGTATGGCACCAAAGAGAGCGCGAGATCGACCAAATCTTGCGTCTCTTTCTCCGCATTCAAGCGATTCTGATATTCTTGACCGATTTCAAGTGCAAGATGGCGAATGTATTCGTGGCCCCATGAGCCAAGGTCCTCGGATTTGGCGAGGAGACGGTACTTGAGTGTTTCCAGCTTCTCCTCGTCGCCGTAGGTCATACCGAGCACGGAGAGCATGTCTGCCAGCGAATCCTAATCACAGACAGAAATCTTAGCAAAATGAATTTCTCCGCATGCACATCGCACGGACATACCTTGACAGAGCCCGCATCCCACTTCTCATATAGTTCCGCGAGCTGATCATAGTGAGGGCGGAGAAATTTGAGGGGCTTGGGTACAGCGGTCATAGATGAGGTTGATGTCTTGATAAAGTTCTTGATGGCATCAAGTGCTGGCCCGTAAAGCGAGGTATCCGGCTCCTGTCGCAAGGAAATGTTAGCACAGACGTCATTGCAAACTCCGAAGCGATCACGAAAGGTTGACAAACCTTTAACCGCTCAACAAGCATCTCAAGCTCGTCCTTGAGCTGCTGATCTTCTTCACTGAGCTCATCTTGATAACGGTCAGCGTCGAATGACAAAGATGAGCAGGTTCGGCGAAAGAGAACAAATGCCCTTCGCTCCGAACCCGTACATGTAACCGATATAGCTCACCTTCCTGTGGTTCTCCACCCTTTTTCTTACCATCTACAGGTGCCTTCTCATCCTTTTGTGATTTCTTGCCATTCAATTCGCGAACATCGTCAACCTTGCCCTTGCCCTTGTCGGCGGAGGTTGGCTGTTCGCCGTCGTTCGCCATCGCTGACGGGGTCTAGCGGCCGGATCGTGTGAAGGTTGAAGAAATTAGGCTAAAGTCTCACAGTAAAAGAGTCCAAACAAAGTGGTGACTCAATCGGCGAGACTCGGAGAACTTTGTGATCGATAGATTGACGGTGTTGATTGTGAGCTGGACGATGGAAGCGCAGAGAGCAGAGAGCTCGGCCGTGCACCGGTGCAGCTCCCGAGTTACATAATCAAACCGCCAAGACCTGACCTCAGCCCCGTCAGTGACATGTTTCCTCCGTCCATTCCGCACTCCGTGATAGACACCTCAGGACGCTCTATTGTTGCTCTAAGGAAGATGACGTCCTGACAGAGGTAATAGCAAGAAAATTTTGGCAGAGTAAATGTTGAACAGAAATAGGCGACAGTCACTTCACTCACTTGAAAGCTTCTCGTCGGCAAAGTCGTTGTTCACTGATTACACTGGTGAAAACCTCGCATCGAGAGGCAACTTCGGGGTGCACATGTATTGCTACAAAGGCTTGAGCTCGAACGATTCCCCAAATCCAAACCAGGTTCAAGCCTCACTGGTTATTAGAAGACACCGCGACCGGATGCTCGTTTGGACCGCACTAGACTCAAGTTGACGGGGGCCTCAATGTCACATGAAGTTCTTCAGATCTCTTCCTTGCAAGGCTGAATTTCAGCGCGTCAAGTGAGATGAGCATGGACCGGAACACTAGCAATTCGGTCTAGACCTGAGCTACATAGCAGATGTATTGCGAAGCTCATAAAACGCATATTCACTTGAAGGTGAACTCGGATTGGTACACACTGACACAGAACACGTAGTTATGTACTGGGCTAGAACAGGTATCCATTCCCGACATAAAATTCGAATGATGCTTGAAGAGACAGATCATGTGACATGCCTCTAAAGTTGGTGCAATTTTAAGCCTCCAGATAGTGAGACGTATTGAGCATTTCTTCCAGTTATTATCGCTCGCTCATCTCATCAATGACAGGCAATCGGAACAACGAAACACGAACAGATCGGACAGTAGATGATCCTTTCAGAGAACTAGTGTATGCCCTGGATCTTGAATGCTGGAACATGAGGACCCTTACGAATCCCGAGAGTGGTCGGATTTAAAGCAGGGTCTACTCTAATCGCTATCAAAGGAACACCTGCTAGCACTTCCAATCAGTTACTAGGTAGGTACATAGATCTTTTTCCTGCTCATGTAGAACGGTCGAACGGGCAGGTTGGACTCCATTACAGTTTGTAAATGCACGGTCCACTTGAGTTGTGCGATATCGTCATCAGAGTTAGTTCCAGGAGAGGCTCCACCGAGACTGTCCCCGGCAGTGCTTATCGCCTTATCACCTAATCACCCTATGGACTTTCCAAACATCCATTTTCTCTCCGCATCACCTCGCCACATGTGTCGCGCCATAGTTCAATATGGAAGTAACGATGGGTGAAGCCGCAGATGCAAGAGGTACGAAGCGTCCAGGCGAGGAACAGGATGCCCCTGAGCCTCCAAAACCCAAGCGTATCAAGGTAGGGAAAACATCATTTGTTGTATCTAGAAAGTCCTCCTCGAATATCAGCTCACCTTGGACAATCAAGGCATTAGATCCCGACGTGGTGAACAAGATCGCTGCGGGCGAGATTATTGTAGCACCGATGCATGCGTTGAAGGAATTGATCGAAAATGCTGTTGACGCAGGCTCAACGTCCTTGGAGGTCCTGGTCAAGGATGGCGGGCTGAAGTTGTTGCAAATAACGGACAATGGACATGGAATCGACGTGAGTTGGTTGATAAGTGTGAGCTGTTGGTATTCCCATAATGACCTGTGCTAGCGTGATGATCTCCCGATTCTATGTGAGCGATTCACGACCTCCAAGCTTAAGGAATTTGAAGACCTGAGTTCTATTGGAACGTACGGTTTCCGAGGCGAAGCGCTTGCGAGTATCAGCCACATCTCCCATTTGACCGTGACGACCAAGACGGCAGGCTCCAGCTGTGCTTGGAGAGCACACTACGATAGCGGAAGGTTGGTCCCAGCTAAACCTGGCCAGCCTGCTGCGCCCAAGGCTACCGCGGGACGAGGAGGAACCCAAATCACAGTGAGTGCTCGTGCCACCCCCATGGATCGGAGTAAGGTCTGGAAGTTGACTGTGTCTACAGGTCGAAGATCTTTTCTACAACGTTCCTACTCGACGACGAGCCTTCCGGTCCGCGAGCGAAGAATATGCGAAGATCCTTGATGTAGTGGGGAGATATGCGGTCCATTGTGCAGGTGTCGCATTCTCGTGCCGCAAACATGGTGATTCTGGGGTGAGCATCTCCACACCTTCAAGCGCTTCGACGACAGACCGGATTCGCCAGATTCATGGGAGCGCCGTCGCCAACGAATTGGTCGAGTTCAAGGTCGCCGATGACAAGCTGGGGTTCCAAGCCTCCGGTCTTGCTACAAACGCAAATTATCATGTCAAAAAGACGACTATTCTTCTATTCATCAATCATCGTGCCGTTGAGTCTACTGCTATCAAAAGAGCGGTGGAACAGACATACTCTACCTTCCTGCCCAAGGGTGGCCATCCTTTCGTCTACCTCGACCTCGAGATCCAACCTAACCGAGTTGATGTCAACGTGCATCCGACAAAGAGGGAGGTCAACTTCCTAAACGAAGATGAAATCATTGAGATGGTGTGCGACGAGATAAGATCCAAACTTGCTCAAGTTGACTCAAGTCGCACTTTTCTCACACAGAGCCTTCTTCCTGGAATGCAGACTATCGAGACTTTACAACCAACCTCCAAGGATGGCACGGCGGATGGCAAAGTGGGTGGTACTCCAAAAACCCCTGCAGCCTCAAAGCGCCCATACGAGAACAACTTGGTTCGTACGGACTCGAAAGTTCGAAAAATCACGTCCATGCTCACGCCGGCTGCGCTTGCATCGCCGGCTGACCCGAACTTGGTGGGTGAGCCGGGCATCGCACCCCCGGCTTTACAAAATGACGGCCTCCAATATGAGACCACCGATCGACAACCACTGCGGATCGCGCTCACTTCAGTCAAGAACCTCCGCGCCGCTGTCAGGGCTGCCATGCACAACACATTGACTGAAACATTCGGCTCACTCACATACGTCGGCTTAGTTGACGAGCAACGCCGTCTCGCAGCAATTCAATCCGGCGTGAAGCTGTACCTGGTCGACTATGGCCTTGCCTGCAACGAGTTCTTCTACCAAGTTGGACTCACCGACTTTGGTAATTTCGGGATCATCAAGCTAGAACCTCCCCCAAAACTGGGGGACTTGCTTCAAATCGCTGTCGACTTTGAAAAGGAGGAACTAGCGGATGAAAATAGCCCAGAATCAGAAACCATACTCGCCAGTGCGGCAGAGCAAATATCACAGACTCTGATTGAACGTCGCGAGATGCTGGATGAGTACTTCTCAATGAAGATCAACGAAAAGGGCGAGTTAATGAGCCTCCCACTATTACTCAAGGGCTACGTCCCATCGCTCGCCAAGTTGCCGCGCTTTCTTCTCCGTCTGGGCCCATACGTGGATTGGACAAACGAAGAAGATTGTTTCCGCACGTTTCTCCGCGAATTGGCTGCCTTTTATACACCCGAACAACTCCCCGTCTCTCCTGTGCCTTCGGCCAAAGACTCCACAGATGCCGCGATCGCTCCGGAAAGTCAGCAAGGGAATGACCAGCACAATACAGAAGGCCAAGAGGTTCTTGGTGAAGATCCAAGCATTCAGGCGCGTCGTGCCCAGCTGATGAGAATGTTGGAGTATGCTGTCTTCCCAGCCATTCGATCCCGTCTGGTCGCTACGACGCGGATGCTCAAGGGCGTCGTTGAAGTTGCCGATCTGAAGGGGCTTTATAGGGTGTTTGAGCGTTGCTGAGGCTTTGGACTCGGCGGAAACGGATTGCGCCTAGATTATCAGCGTCATATTACACGCTTACGCCCTCGTCGTCCAAGGTCAACTTTTTATACCACCCATCTGTATTCTATTTTAGCCTATATGGCTCGTCATCGGGCGATAAGCTGCGATTTTGAATTCTGCTCGAACTACCAGTATGAAGCTGTTATGTCTGATCGGTGCGACTGAGATAAAATGGCAAATCTGCGTCTGCAACATTCAAGGATTCAAATATTCAATCTAGGTGTACGTACAGTAGATACGAGACCCGAAGAAGGAAATCACCGAAACCAGCTAATTGTCGAGATATAACAATCGATCCATGTTATGCCATTGTAGTGTAAGCTCTGTGGGAACAGCCATGCAACATGGGACAACAATGCCGTACACATACGCAGCAGAAATTCAAAGTCCGCAACGGAGACCCCAGACAAGTAAAGAATGATCACTTCAATAAATACGAAACGAATGTCAACTCAAATCATAAGATAGGCTCAGCTGAAGTATACCAGAGGCAGCCAATTGTGGCGTAAGAAATAAAGGTAGTAAGTATGGAAATGGAAGAAGTAATCTCGCAGAAAGAGCCGTGTCCGTCATCATGAATGCGTGTCATCAAACAATAGTTAGTGGCCAAAATGCCAGCTCCGAATGAAGAAAAAAAGTGGTAGTGCCAGGGTCCAGTAGTTAGTGTCTGAGGGTCGTTGATCAGACATCACACATACATGGCCGTTAAGAGTCGTCAGGAAGGATAGAATCTTCATCAAATGGGGTCGTAATGCAACAGGGGGAAGGAAGTGATGGGTGTCGCTTAAATCGATGGCCACCTCAGACATTCAGTCGGCTTAGGGCTTGTCTTCACTTTGACTGGCCACCGTGGAGGTCATTTGGTCAAAGTGCGTGTCGTGGAGCAGGGGTACGCATAGCACAGCGACTTATGACCGCGCGTACGGCTTGTTAAGCAGAGCGATCTCTCGACAGACAGTCGTCCACTCTAGCTCGCGTTTGGACGGAAGGCCCCGCTTCTGCTTCTGCAGTTGCTCCCACTGTAGGAGCTCATAGCTGGTAACGGTACTGTCAGCAAATGAAAAGCTAGAATGAGATGCTAGAACTCACACAAAACGAAGATGGGGCTGAATGATCACATTCAGGCGTCTAGCCCGGACGAAACAACTAAGAAGGGGTTAGATCAAATTTATATTAGGGAGCACACACGGGTCAGGACATACTAGGCACGAGGAAATGATAGCCCCTGTGATGCCATGACTTCTGCGATGCAGATACTGGCCGATCTCGAGACTCCCACACGGCAGTGGACCAGGGTCGCGCTCCCATCGTCCTTGCCTTGACCTGAGACGGGGTTAGCACACGTGCGCGAGCAACATCAATACGTGTAACGCCTTGCGACACGGACTTGGGGGTACTCACGTAGAAATTCGAGACATCTGTCGATCTCCTCAGAAAGGGGATCGATGCCGTTATCCTGGACATTGTGGATGAACATGAGGTTCTCGCTGCCCCACTGCGAGCGTTCGTCCGAGCTCCAATGAACAACCTCTCCAATACTCAGAACACGGCGAATGCCAAGCTCTCGCAGGAGAGCCGGATTGTTCGCATGGTTCAAGTTTCCCAGATACAAGTGGGGTAGGATCCGACTGGGGAGAGATCCGTCCATCTTCAAAAACCAGTCAGGATCCCAGACGCACGATGTGTCCACAGATCCGGTGGCCGGACTCTCCTGCAACAGACGCGCCTGGATATGGCTGAGGAATGCGACGTCGGTCGGGTACGTGAAGAAGTTTCGCTTTTTGTCACAGTGCAGCTGAAGCCAGGCCTCCGGGGCAGGGACCCCCTCCGCAAACATGTAGTAGGCGATGGCGAGCAACGAACTCTCTGTGTATCCATCCGCGCAGTGAATCAAAATACGGCGAGCTGGTCTTTCGGTACGGCCCATGACAACGTCGCCATCTAGATCACTTGTCTCAGGTGAGTGATCTGGATTTGCCAGATAGTAGATCCATCGAATCGTGTTCACGATGTCTTCTATTTCCCGGGTATTGCCCGAGGGGAGCACAACTGAGCCGGAAGAGGGGAACTCCATGCGTTGAGTGCCGCCCTCGAGCTGTTTGTCGATCATCCCCAGCAGTCGAGGACCCGGGATATTGGCCATATCGCTGGCCTCGACGAACAGGTCATAACACTCGTCCTTGGGTGGCGAGCGAACGTGAGGTCTCAGCATGTAGTCGGGCGTGGGCCCCAGGAAGACATTCTTGGAGATCTCTGATGCCCGAGACATGCTCCGCATTTCGAATCGTTCCCATTGGACTGTGAGATGGTCATTAGTCGTGGTCTGGAGAAGGGTGATTGTAGAGCCGACGCCACATACACAAATCCATGACATTACCAGTACTGTGACCAGCGCTGTCTACAGCCACGAGATCAGGATGTTCTTTCTCGAACTCCGCAAAGGGATCTAGTTTCAAAATTCAGCGTGTCAACACAGGGATGGTTATCATAGGGTGGTGCACGAAGGCAGAGAACTGACCCGTCAGGACGAAGGTGTTGTACGTAGGCCGCTCTTGTGCAGGATCGTGCTTCATCCTCCAGGCTTGTTGCGCGGTTACAAAGTCCTCCGCTAGTTCCAGCAGGTCCGATTGACTGTCTCCATCCTCGCCGTAGATAATGATATCTGACATGGCCGCCAGCTTGGCTGTTTGGATCTGGAAATTACGCACAGAGAAACCTTCTGGGGGATCAGCCATCAAGAAGCGAGCTGAGGGGTTGATGACCTCTGGTGCGGTCACTGCACCCTTGATGCGAGCTCTGTTCAAGTTGTCTCCCAGCTTGACGATGGTGATGCCGCGCCAGCACCAGGGGGTTCGACGCAGCCCACGCTTGCGGTTGGTGAAGAACCCTGTCTGGAGACGATTGTCGGGATGAAGCCCATGTAACCACGGGAACATCTGCGAGGGATCGGGTAATGGTTGTGCTGCCTGGTGGTGGATTGCTTTGGCTAGGGTTTCGGCGCCAATGCCGTACACCTGAGGCGACTCTGATGGTGAAAGTGCGACAAACCCGGTTGGCGGGTAGAGTATTGAAGAGGCTTGTTCCTGTGTCACACGTGATTCACGAACATCAGTCAGGCGAGGGGTGGTTTCTAGAGGCGACGGTCCCGGTGGACACACGGGCAAATGTTTGTTCGGGATGGGGCTCGGTCTGCGAGGGATAGCCAGGCCTGTCGGGATGGGGGATGCCGGCGGTGTCGAGTGCTGCAACGCATGTTGCTGCTGAACCACGACGGTGGCCATGTTGAGTCTGGGTTTCAATTGACAGGGTACTGTGTAGTCAATGCTTGTCCTCTGCTTGGGGATGTGGATTCTGGCAATCAGAAAGAGGATGAATCGATTGTCGCGGTCATATCCTTTGTCGATCCGAGGATGCTAGGAATCAATCGGCCCCGGGGGAAGGTGGGCGGCGTGCTTGAGAACGTGCCGCAGCCTCGACACCGAGCCTATGTAGGGTTAGCAATACTGTTCTTTGCGAGTGAACCGCTCCGACGCCACACTTTAAACAGAACTGCACCAAGTGGGCCATCAGCAGCACTGGAAGAAGGGAGACCGGCTAACCCGATTGACAGTGACAGTAGTTTATGGATAGCGATCCAGCAAGGGGTGCCGAAGAATGCCCGAGGGAAAAGAGAGGAGAGAGGACCGGGGAGAGGTACGGGATGACTTTTGCGGTCGAGGTCAATCGAGGTGTCACAAGAGGATGTGTCAGTCAAGTGAAGTAACAAGTTTTCAGCAGACGGTTGACTCTCAAACTGATGTGAAGACGTTAAGAAGCAAAGTGAAAGTAATGTGAGTCGAAAGGGGAATGGTAAAAGGGAAAGGGTGCGGGAGGGGAAAGCAACCGTTTGTCTTTCAACGAAGAGGGCGGGCAGTGGTAAATCACAGGAGGCAGCGGTTTCCCAGAGAAGGACTCATTTAACTACGACTGGGAGTACCCGCCGTACTACTGGTGTGAGTAGGACGTTGGGAGGAAGATGGAGGTGATGGTGAACTCGGCGGATCGAGGGTCTACCAAGATACCCCAGTCGGAGGTACCTCAAACATTGCAGTTCGGTCGTCCAGTCCAGCGCCCATCCAACATCCGTCCTCCACTGCTTCCAGTCCCGCCGCGAAGTGGATAAGTGCCTCCCCGTTGATGGAGTGGGCCCTCGTGGAACGTTATTTGGAACGGAGCGACGGACAGACTGCAGCGTGCCAAGTGCTTAGTGTCAGTGCCTCTGTCCGTGCTGTTGTTGGGCCTGGACCTGGTCAATGTAAGCACCTGCATAGAGACCAGACAGCATCACCGTAGTCGTAGTAGTCGTAGTAGTCGTAGTAGTCGTAGTAGTCGTAGTAGTCGTAGTAGTCGTAGTAGTCGTAGTAGTCGTAGTATTAGTAGTATTAGTAGTATTAGTAGTATTAGTAAGTACTTAGTACTTACTAAGTTAATAGTACTTGCATGAGGCGAGAAATGTAAAGGTAGCCCACATGGACGATACTGTATATGTGCTTCGGCCGCTTATGAGGGAGAGGGCATCCTACCTACTATACTTACCTGTCTAGGTACTTACTACAGTAAGTCACAGTACTGACTACTAGTACTAACTTAGTACTTACTGAAATCACTAATCAAGTCATGCTCGGTAGGCGTTAAATACGGCGATTACTGCTGCTAGTGATAAGAGGGAGAGTATTCCCAGTACTCAATAGTCCCTGCACTCTAATGACCTACAATCATATACACATCTTGCCCACGATCCATGATGTTACTGACAGACTTCCTAGTTCAGGGTGTTAGGGGAACGGGGATATAGTTCAAATCGACTGTTAGGGTTCAAACTGTGACCATCAACAATACACTTCAGTTGTAAGTTGTAACAAGCTTGGGTACTGATAGTGATACTCAATCCTTCAGTTGTGTCCCGTGACGGTCAAAGGTACATGCCGACGGTGTAACTTATCATCGGCGTCAGCATCTCGTTCGGCTTGGTCCCGCCCATGGCTCCATCTCACGGACTGTCTCCACTTTGGTTCCAGAGGTTCCAGAGGCTCCAGAGGAGACCTTGATGGAGCTACAGTACACGACAGATCCCTGTTTTTCTATTTCCTGTTCTCCCGGCACACTCGTGAGTCGTGACTACTGACTACTAGTCAGTGACTAGTAAGTTGCAACTACTATAGTATTCACTGCTTGATGGAGTCTTCCCCCAATTCCACCCACACATGAACCGTAATCTGATATGTGTTATGGAGAGCTCGGAAAGTCTAGATAAGTCACCGAACCGTACTTGGTTGCCTTATCGACCGTCTCAGTCGTCGAGTCTCCAGGGTCAGTCACACTTACCCTCCAACACTTTCTCCGTCTGATCAAAGTGTGGGAGACATGCCAGGACATAGATCCCGACCGATCAGGTGAATGGCTCAAAGTATCGGAGCACCGTACGTGAATGGATGTATCTTGCCTGCGTTGTGAAGGCACCCTACAAGGGAGTCGTAGTAATTTAGTACTACCGAAGCAGCAGCAGTAGTAGTAGTAGTAGTAGTAGTAGTAGTAGTAGTAGTAGTAGTAGTAGTAGTAGTAGTAGTAGTAGTAGTAGTAGTAGTAGTAGTAGTAGTAGTAGTAGTAGTAGTAGTAGTAGTAGTAGTAGTAGTAGTAGTAGTAGTAGTAGTAGTAGTAGTAGTAGTAGTAGTAGTAGTAGTAGTAGTAGTAGTAGTAGTAGTAGTAGTAGTAGTAGTAGTAGTAGTAGTAGTAGTAGTAGTAGTAGTCGTAGTCGTAGTAGTCGTAGTAGTCGTAGTACTGGACTGCCATGATTTTTGAGTGTCTCGGGGATAAACTCCCATCTGTCCATCAAGCTCTCTTGCTCTCTGCCCCTCTTTGAGTTCGGCCTCTCAACCCCCCTCCACTCATCACTACATTTCGCCAATGAATCTCTCTATCGCCGAGTGTTTCGTTTGATGACGCTGAGATTCTGACCTTCGTCCTCGGGTGTCTCGTGTGGGACCTTCCAGCCGCGCTCTCTCCATCGTGGCTGCACCACCAGCCCCTCTGCGCACCTGGCTTCTCGGCCTTGCTGGCCTCGCCCGTGCATCCACCCATCCGGAGTGGGACTCGACTCTCCAGAGCACTATTGTCCCAGAGGAGTAGTCCTATGATCCTATCTGCACCCGCACCTGCATCTGCACCTGCATCTGCATTTACGGTACATCACCTCCACCAGTCTCACTGGCGCCATGATGGATCTCTGCTCTCAAACCCACCCCTCTGCTGGCTACACTTGACATTTTGCGGGACGCCAACTCGTGAATGCTGACAAGTGGAAACAACACAAAAAGCCCTCTCCACACATATGGACCACACTTTGCCCGGGCCGCGACTGCACACGAAGCACCCACCGGGCAGCAGCCGCCTCTTCACAGTCAGCCCCAGAGTGGTCGCCCCAGCTTTGCCCGTGGGGGACCCTCACGACGGTCGGGCAGAACTACAGTCGGGACTCGGTCGAATGCTACGGATACTTTCCATGAATGTAGCAGCTACATCCACCATGCAGCACAGCTCACGCATGCGGGATTCTGACTATCCTCGGGACTCGTGGGCCCATGGAATCACCCGCGCGGACATGCTTTCCTGGGCAAGACCCATGGGTTGAGCTGGAAAGTCAATTTGACGACCATCCTTCTGATTCACGGAACACACAAGAGCGATATCATTTCCAGGCCCTCGGTACATGAGTCGCAGAACTGCCCAGCGAGATTGATAGTGATATGCCGATAACACATCCACGACTGTTTGTGGACCGAAGATCACCTCGTGTAACAGGTGAATTACGCAATATCCCCGACCGGGGGAGTGTGGAAGACGGTCCGGCCTGACGACATGAGCGGCGATGGTCCGGTTAGTTTAGCTCAGAGTTTTCGCTTCTGTGGTCCATGATTCGTCCTCGTGTGGCCCGTGCTAGGATCGAGACTTGCTTTCCGCTCCCAGAGATAATAATGGCGCCGATGTGTTGGAGATGTGGGAGGTTGACCCCGGATCGTCCCTGTGATCGGGGGATTCCCTCCCTCTATTGTTGAACGCAGGGTGGGGTTGCAACATTCTTTCTCTCTGGGTACCGACTCTACCGAGGACCGGCTGCTGACTTACTCCCGGAGAACGGCGCCGGTGCGGGGCATCTATGATGATGCTTGTCAAATGCCCACGGCTCAGGATCAGCGAGGTACCGGACGTACCCCCAGATATGGGGCCCGCTCGAACGTGGACTCTACCTTACCTGACCTTCACTCTTTCAGTCCTACACGTGACAACATCATTAGTACATATCGGATGATGGCGACAGGCACGCCTCCCGTCGCTCCATCGAGTGGGAGATAATTTCGCGGCGAATGAATGGTGACTGCGCACCCTCTTTGGCCAGAGGAGAACACAGCCCTGCCAGCGAAGTTCGGTTCACTACAGTTACCGTCGCCCAAAGCGCGCTGTCTGCTACGCTTCAATGCATCCATTCGTCCCTCAGCGACACTGATTCGTGGGGAGATATGTAATAGAACCTCAAGTAATCTCATTTACTTATCCAGGGAGAGATGTTTGCTGCTTGCCCATCAAAACAAGTGGCATCATGTGGCGGAGGATGCCTCATTACCCAATCTGCCCATCGAGTCATGCCCTAATCGTCTGTCTCATAGATTAGCAAATCTTGTATCTTGGGTACTGGAAGATTCGGTAAGCTTACCGTGTCCAGCTTGTTGTCCGTCTCCCACACATCCCGCACCCTCCAATCAGGACCTCTGGCTTGGGCATAACCAAAGTATTCGTTGTCTGCATTAGATTCAGGTGACCTGCTCATGTAGTAGGTAGGCACTAGGCCCTGCCAAGACGGATCTCGATAGACAAAAATCAGGTATGCAACTCGATTCCCTACTTCCATACTGCTGACTCGCGCCCCCTTGAGAGTGAAGTAGTCTGCACCGCGGCCTTAATTCTGACTTGATAGAGCTGAATACCCTCACACGTGAACTGGGAGACAATTCGTACTCGTTACCATAATTACAAAGGTTTCGCTCTTTCCACCATTTGCCCTGAAGTTCATCTCCACATAGCGCCTGCAATGCAATACCCGACCCAGAAAGAGCATCCAAGCCATCAATGTCATCGAACGTGCTAACCTTAGCAATGACATCTCATTCTACTGCTCACCATACTTTACCCCTAACATGAACTCACCATGACCCGTTGCCCGATCATTTGGTTCGCCACGCCCGGTGATGGAGATGTCTTTCTTGGTCTGATGATCATATCCCCATGTCCTCCGCCCCCTACCGGCTATGCTGATGATGCCTGACGGCAGGCTGCATGAACTTGGACCGGAATCCACAGCGCTGTCGGCTTGCGTTACACATGATCTGCTGAGAAATGTCCCTCGCTCAGAGGGAGTATGATTTAGAAAGGGTTAACGGGTGGAGATGGGCGGCTTCATGTGTTGATTCAATAAATAGGGAGTTTTTGAACCCTTGAGCTCGGTATGAGGCGGCCGACAGAGGGAGACCTTCAATGGAGGCGAACGTAATCTTGTCGAAGCATGCGCAGTGACAGTCCAGCTCAAAAACACTACTGCATCGGCAAGGCCACGAAATCCAATATGAAACAGAAATCCAAAAAGAAACCAAGGATCCCTCCTAAGCACCGTAGACTGTCCAGCGCCCGAAACAAATCAGATTCAGGGGACCATAAATAGCGTATAAATCAATTCTAGCAGTCCATTGCTCGTACAACTTCAGGAATTGATGGTCCTCCCCCTTCCCCCTTTTGACTGGTACCCTACTGGTGTCGTTCTGATCATCATGTGATCGCCACATAGGCACACTATTATGCTCTGCGTGACAACCCCAGTCGGTTGCGCAACTGACTCGGTATGCTATAGCACGAGAGCCACTTGGGCCCGAGTCATCCGCTGGAATCTCTATGCATCGATTCCGATCCTTTAATAGTCAGGATGGCGATGAGTTCCCGCTGGCCTTGCTGCTCGGTGTAATCTCCAACCCGAGTGCGGTTGCAGTTTCTCTCACTCTCGCCATAGCTCGTGCTTAAGGAGGGAATCCAAATTATGTACGCAAGGAAAACTGAACTTTCGTCCTGGTGCTGACTTGAATTTCAGAATGGACTGTAGTCTATATCTCAGGGCCTCTGAAATGTAATTCATCGTGTGTGGAGCGTGTGCTGTGTAGTACTTGCCCATGACGACTTCCATCGTCACCTCGACTGCCAAATCTTTAAAATTCGCTGAATTGATACACGAAGTCGTATGAAGCTCTTGCCAAAAAGACACAGTTAAATGGCCTTCGCAGTCGAAGCGAATACTCAGGCAAATACCTTAGTGCAAAGTTTATACTGAATCACAAAAGTTGAAAGTGTTACCTGTATACCCAGAGCTACTGGCATTTGCGTCAGGTTGATATGAGCTCAATAGGGGGTTTCATGACACGTCTCGCGCATTGTGGTAAATTTTCATCTCCAGTCCTGCAGGATCAAGGTCAATAATCGTGTCTCGTACTTCATTCGAGTTCACAAAGCATCGTCTCTCATGAGATGCCAAAAAAGAGTTGAGCCGGCAAGAGTGGCCCGCATATTTATGGTGAGGAATGATCTTCCAATATTTTGTAATTCTAAGCTTCAATCGACGCCGCTGATCTAAATTCCCTCTCGAGTAGAGATTCAGCCAAATGCGGCTGAATAGACGATAAGCATTGATTGCATGATGATAAGGGAAAGATGAGTATCCGCGGGCGGGCGGTGGAGTATCAAGGTGTGGCCCAAGCGCCTCGGCGAACTCGCTTGCGCCGACAAAGGGTTCTCCTAAGGTTGCCTCGAGCCTGATCATTTGCGTCGCTTGTACTTGATACGTCTAGGGTGCTCTTTCCTGGCTCATCATTTTAGACAATGAATAAGACCCAAGTGCTTCAGGGCCGATATTGACAGTGCACCAAACCAACACCCGTCGCGTCACCACCAAGCGGGGTACAATTTCTCCGCAGTGACTTTTGAGCTCCGGTGACATCACGCATCTCATCGACAATGGCGATGAATTTTGTGACCTTCAACCAGGACTACAGCTACCTGGCGGTAGGTGAGTCTCTCTTAGTGTCCTCACTTCATGCTTTCGCGTACCATTTTGTCGCCTCATCACTGACTCATGACCAGCGACGTCCAAGGGCTTTCGCATTTTCACCACCGATCCCTTTGCTAAGAGTTATGAAACAAAAGAAGGCAACATCGCTGTTATCGAGATGCTCTTTTCGACCTCCCTAGTCGCACTGATTCTCTCCCCACGGCGCCTCCAAATCACGAACACCAAGGTTCGTCCGGAGTCTGCACCCGCAAGACTTTCACCGTCGATAGCATTATGCTGGTTGATTAGCCTGGAATAGCGTGTCTGATGTATATTCTTTCCCCGAGCAGCGTCAAAGCACGATATGCGAACTCACCTTTCCCACGACCGTGCTCTCCGTGAAGCTGAACCGGAAGCGCTTGGTTATCGTGCTCGAAGACCAGATTTATCTCTACGACATTCAAACGATGGGGCTCTTATCAACGATCGACACCTCACCAAACCCGCATGGTAAGGCTTCAAGTGTCAAGGCTGGACAACGCCATCTCTAACATGTAACAGCTATTTGCGCTTTGGCGCCCTCATCAGAAAATTGCTATATGGCATACCCACTGCCGCAAAAGGCTCCAACGACTATCAAACAGCCTGCACATGCTCCCCCCGGGACATCACATGTCTCCCCCACTACCGGAGACGTCTTGATCTTCGACGCCGTCAAGTTGGAAGCCATCAATGTCATCGAAGCTCACCGTTCTCCACTTGCCTGCATCACATTGAATAGCGATGGCACGCTGCTCGCCACTGCCTCGGATAAGGGCACCATCATTCGAGTCTTTTCCGTTCCCGATGGTCACAAGCTCTATCAGTTTCGACGAGGATCAATGCCCTCCCGCATCTATAGCATGTCTTTCAACACGACCTCCACTTTGCTCTGCGTCTCGTCTTCGACAGAGACGATTCACTTGTTCAAGCTGACCCAGCAGGGACCCACTTCGGATGGCTCATCCGCCCACTCACCAGTAGGCCGCGACTCGCAATCGGCCAGCAGCTTATATGGACACCATGACGACGATGAGAACAACGGGGAAAGCAGCGCCGACCTTGCAGCCAGAAAGCACAATGGCACCCTGATGGGCATGATCCGCCGGACTTCACAGAATGTTGGCGGAGTAGTCGCTGCCAAAGTGGGCGGATACCTGCCGAAGGGGGTCAGTGAGATGTGGGAGCCCGCGCGAGACTTTGCTTGGTTCAAGCTTCCTCGATCTGCTCAAAGTACAGGCAGTGGTGGCAGCAATGGACCGCTCAGAAGTGTTGTCGCCATGAGCAGCAACACGCCGCAAGTTATGGTCGTCACCAGTGATGGCAACTTCTACGTCTTCAATATCGATTTGTCCAAAGGTGGAGAAGGGACACTCACGAAACAATACTCGTAAGCAAAACTGCTACTCAAACCCGCTCTCTATGGACCTAACTGACATGATAACTTGTACTCAGGGTCATCGACTCGGTCGATAAACTGGGGCATCCGTCTGTGGATTACTAAGAGCAACTTGTTCAAGGATCATGATTTATCATCTGCGCCTCTGCGCGTTCCTTTCTAGATGCCGTATATCCTAGTTGGCCATCTTGTCCTTACTGCTGCGAAGAACGCCCGTCTTCATCTCCTCCTCATTGCATGTTTGCGGCAGAGCTTGGCTGTCAGGGCCTCCAATTCTGCTCTCGGGTAGTGGCTACGAGTCTGCATTTAGTTGCCTTGTACCTTGCAAAACGTCTTGGCTGCTTGAAATGCGCAATCCATGATTTACACATTCCAGCTTACTTCATTGCTTTGTTGCTCAAGACCGTTCACTCGTTCACTGATCTCTTTTTTCTTCATTGATTCTTCGTCAATATTCCCCCGCATTACCTTGTCAAGCGCTAGCGTCTCTCTATCGATCAATGTTCCGTATTCATTTCATCAATGCCCAATTCATGTCCTTTGTCTAATTATACACATTCGGCTTCTCCTCTACCGGCGGGAACCTTGATATACGCAAGACTTTGTTATCCTTGCGGGCGTTGTAAGACCTATTTCACCTACCTTAAGATATCTGATCAAATATTTTCACGACCGTATTTAAATTGCATTCAATGACCAAATGTATACACTGGCCTCACTTTGTACTACACAATCTTGGGGTATTGATATTCAGACATAAGATTAGATTCATATGTCCTGATTGATCCGTGCTGATCATGATTGAATCTTCATTGATAGAAGTCTCGCAAGGACTGTTCATCTACAAGATGAAGATGATCTGAGTCCTGAGACTTTGAGGTGCATACGGGCTGGAGGGCTCGGCTCAGCTGCGGGCCGGCTGGACAAGATGACTCAGCATGATCGGCTTTGACAGCGTCTTCATTCCCGAGTTCCGACGCTGATCCGGCGCATCGAATGCTTGTATAGCTGTCGAGCCAGCCAAGGCTAGGTACTAAGGTGGGCTGACCCATCTGTCATATCCTATAATGCGCTCAAGTCTTTCATGTGAATTTTGCCGGTCAGTTGTCGATTCTAGACTTGTTGCTTTCGAAAAAGTTACTTACGCATCACAGGCGATCAAAGATCAAATGTGTGAACACAGGCAAGGCGCCTTGTCGAAAATGTCAGCGAAGCGGCATCCTGGACTGTGCTCTTAGCAGACCACAGAGCAGACCTTTTAGCAGACCCCACAGGCGTCCTGATCAAGCTCGAGCCGTGGACTCGCATGAGATAGCAAGCAGCTCACCTTCTGGATTATCACATGAGCCTGTTCTGAATCGGCGACCAATTTCAGGGATTCCTTCCCAAGATGCTGGAATTGTTCAAGGCCAGGCATCTGCCCATGCTGGACATGAAAATGCTACTCACGAGCATATCCGTACCCTGTCGCCGAGTATTGTACTGAAAGTGTTGAATATCTTCATTAACAAATTTCCGGAGCTCGGCATTCTGCATCTACCCAGCTTCATGCAAGAGCTCCAGACCACGTGCCACAATGATACCAGAACACTACTGGCAGCAATTCTTTCGGTCACTCATTGCTACTTCAAACAATCGAATCTCGTTGGACTGGAAAATCTTTTGTCTAGAGAGGAATATGCGTCTTATGCCCGAGGCATGTTGGCTCATAGCTCCTTCCAGGCGCCGAGGCTTCAAGTCGCACAGGCTCTGCTGGTCATGGGCCTCTTCGAATGGGGATCGCGTGAATTCCACCGAGCTTGGATATACTGCGGTTAGTTCATGTCCTACTGTGTGGGACAGTTGAAGATCGCGCGCTAATAGCTTCAGGAATTGCCATTCGCATCATGCAAGCCATCAACAGCCTCCATATCGCACCGTATCCTGCTGATCCACAAGCGTCTGGCAATCAAGATCCCAGTCAAGAAGCCATCAATTCGGCAGTCCAAAATCGAACAATGTGGGCATGCTTCATCATGGAGCGGCTCATTAGTTCTGGCACCTATAACCCGCCCATGCTTCCCTTGTCCGAGATGGAGAAGATCAAAGTTCTGCGCCCATTTTCCGCAGTCGAATTCGCTTTTGGTACCGACTCGACCTCACAAAGAAGCAGTATGGTCCAAAGTCTTGCGACTCTGCAAAATCGTAATTCTCATTTGCTAGATATCACGCAAGCATTCGAAGTTCTGGTAGCGGGCTTCGACATATGGACACATGTGATGACCTTTGTCCTCAACGATGGGCGGCGAGCACCAGAAATGTGCGCACCTAGGAATTGCCCATGGGTGCCTGGATCACCATGGTCCAATACTCGAGAGCGTCTCGAGGAATGGCGCGCGAATCAACACCATCGCCTCCATTATCCGCAGAACTCTGTTGTGGCTCACATTACACTCGGATACGGAGAGTCTTTTACATACGTGAATCTGATCTATTATCTTTGGTGTGTTGTGCCCATCAATCTCGACCTCTGGAGACGGAGACTAATCTATACACTTGCCACCAGCACCGTCATGCTACATCGCGAATATTTTCCGTTCTTACCAACTTCAGAAACAGTCCCAAGGGGCCCTGTGGACCATCCTCGACTTCAAGCGGAGGCTCCTCCCGGATGGTGGGATCGAAGCGCCCTTGAAATGTTCGGAGCTACTGAACATATCGCCAGAATTCTGCATGAGGCTGCAGAGTGCGGGTCGGAGCTGTTGACACCATTTGTGGGATTCTGCGCCTTCTCAGCCGCGTACATGAATCTTTATGTCTCCAAATTTCCACAGATGAACCTGGGCCGAAGTCCTCAGGCTGAACAACACCTGCAATATTGCCTCGCCTATCTTGAGGGTTTTCGGCATGAATGGAAGCTTGGCGAGAGCTGGGTAAGTCATCGTGAGCCTGCATCGATACCCTGTCGAGGATGAACCCCCATCACTGACCTACTGCCCTACTATCCTGCCGACCTGAAGATGACCACAATTAAACATGCGTCCCTTCTTTACGAGAGAGCAAGCTCAGATAGAGCGCGATACCAGGGAAAATCGAGGAAGGATTTCGACATCCTTCATCAATCCATCCACGAGTTCCGAGTCGTGGATCGCTCGCACCAATACATACAAGAAATAGAAGGCGCTGAACGTGCAACAGACCCTTCGACCTCTGGCACCACCCCGATGACGAACACTGCATCGGATTCGTTAGATCTAGATGCACCGCTCAATGACCTGCTGACCGAGGTCAGCACGTATGCTCATGAGCAAGGCATGTGGTCGCATTGGTGGCCATCTCAAGAAGAGATGAATGTGCTGCTATTTCCCGACAGCATAAGTTAACGAGCACGACCGTCTGATGGGACTCGATCTGTACCCATTACGAAAATGGCAATTCACCTGGCGAATGGAAACGTAATCGATCATTGATTCATTACACCCATCAAAACCGATGCGACAGAGTCTATTTACAGGACGTGAAAGTGGACGTGAAAAAGGAGGTATCCCTCTTAGTTCCCACGTCGAAATTTGGAGGGGATATTGGCTTCCACAATTTGCATATCCTCCAGCTTGTCGAGTCGCAATTGGGCAGCCTCCAACTCATCATGCAGGCGGAAATGCTCAATGTCTTCGGGATGCGTCAGATCCTCTTCCTTCGCATCATCACCGTGGAATTTCTCGAAGTGGTGGATCTCGTACTCGTACTCCAGATCGCCGTGGTGACCGGGTCCGAAGCCGAGGTCGGGCAAACGCGTTCCGGCGGCAATTGTCTTGACGAAATTGTCGCGGCTGATCAGGCCTGTGTGTCGGGGGTCAAACAAATCGAAGACAGCCCGGACGGCAGACTCTTTGCTTGACTCAGAAGCGCTTTTGTTGGACTCATCATCGAGGCCGTACGTTTTGCGAACCTCGTCTGGAGTCCATGAGCCAGAGGAGTCGTAATCGTGTAATGTGAAGAATGATAGCGCATCAAAGCCTTCAATGTGGTGTTCCTCTGATTTAATGATCGACAGTTAGTTCAGCAAATTCTTCGATACTGCAAATGAAGTCATGTCTTCCATACCTATCATATGTCTCGTGGCCCAGTCGTCGGAAGGGGGCTTGCCATCGCTGGAGTGTGTTCCATGAGCGCTGACGATGCCACTACTCAACGCAAGCACGCTGGCAGTGATAAGAAGTAGACGCGATACCATTGTATATTTTCCGAATCGAAGAACAGAATGTGGAGGTTGCGTTTCTTTATCGCTCCATGACCGAAGTACGAACGCAACAGGGGACACTATGGAGGTACCGACAGCTTGTTTGCAGTGTTTGCACCGTGAAATTTGGGCCGCGCCGGAATTTCACCACAGCCTCTCACCTCCGGACCGCATGATCTGAGCACGGCATACCAATCCACGACTTTTCGACTTATCCTGGGACGTCGAAAATCTCCTCGACTACACTTATCGCTAGAGACTCCTAGACAGAAATGCTTCGATAATGCAGAGTATGTGGTCCCGCGCCGCCCCGTCGCAGACATCCTGCCGGTGTGTGTCATGCTTGAGTACCGTTGCCAACAGCGTCACTTCGCGATCGGCAACAGCCGCCAGCAAGAGAAAATTGAGAATCGGGAACTCTGTTACCGCTCTATATACCAGCATATTTGCAGCGGCTGCTCTTGCGGATGCGAAGGCGAAGACTAAGCGTCGGGATGACCTTGCGGAGAAAATTGCGGCGGTTAAGGCGGAGGTGACCGAACTTGTGGACGAAGAACAACGACTCCTTGAATCCCTTTTGTCGCGCAGGAAGAACAGGAGTATCAATCGCATCATATATGACAAGGGTTTTGGTGGCGTTGTCTCCTCTCCAAGACTACGCCAGCGAACAAATTTAAGTCACCCCTCGAGGTTCTTGCACACCGCACGCCGCCTTGGTAGCCAGAACCCCCAAATTGATCAGAATGTTTCGACGGAAGAGTTTGGTCATCTCGATCTACAGGAAGCGGAGGCGAGCGCGTTGCGAGCGGCAATGAACGAAGCCCTTCCGGAATGGGTTGTCGGAGACACTGCACGCATCAAAGCCGTGCAGAAGCTTGCGCTGAAACAATTCGCCATCAGGATTCTACTCCGACCATCGATCGCTCACAAATATGCCGGTCTACCGATGAACTACGGAGCCGATTTCGATGTCCCTTCTGTCGATGTCAATAATCTCTTGAACGAATTGAACATTGTACGGCGGCAGATGAACGCACTTCTACACAAGCGAAATGTGGATCTTTCCGAAGTTATTCAGGACTTCAATGCGATGCGCTCCGAAGAAGGAAGAGACAATGACCGTAGACTTGACGATGAGCTACGGGAGTACGTTCAGCTGTTCACAAATCAGCAGATGTCACTGCAGGAACTGCTGCTTCGAATCTCAGGGAATTTGATGAAGTCGGCAGACCCGGACCGCACGGCAGCTTTCCGAGAGCTGCTTATTGTGTTTACGCAAACGCGCCAAAACGATCTCAACGACCTCCTACTGCAGTCACTTCTTCCTAATCGCTTCTATCTGAGCACCTCGCTCATCGTGACAATCATCTCATTCTTCCGCAAATCCAAGAACTTAAAAGACTTCGACCTATTCCTCCAGATGTTAAGTGGCGAAGGCTACACCGTCAATTTGGGGACGATTGGTCTATTTAGGAGGCGCAAGATTAATGGGTTGACCACTGTTGTTCCGCCACTCTATGGCAGCAGCACTGTAATCTACACAGAGCTTATTGCGGCCGCTTTGCGATTTAATCAGCCAGACCGAGCAGATGCCTGGCTCCAGGCTGCGAGAAAGTCAGGCTTTTTTGACAATTTCAACACATTGTTCACCTATATTCGCTTCTACAGCATCCGCCAGGACTGGGAAAGGGGCCTTAGTGCTCTGAAGAGAGCAGTCACCTATCTTGTGTCGTCCACGGATCTGTCTCCACGGCTTGTTGAGCGTTTGCTGTTATATATGGTGCATCTTTGTGACTCGTGCTGCCAGAAGGAAGTCTCTCAGAGCCTCATATCAGCTGCTGTGCATTGCGGTTTTAACCCGAATATTCCCTCTCAGCACAATGATATCACGCCCATCGTGGACCAGGAAGGCCGACGATGGAAAAAGGCCGCTGAAATGACACCACATCACAACTTATCACGACCTCTGTGGCAGAAATGCTACGACTTTGCGCATGACTTTGGTCAGCAACTGAACCATCTTGAGACAGCTGAAAGTGACCTCACACAACGAAAGCTCGATCGGCTTGCCACTGTTCATGCGCATGAATCCCTGTCTGCTGCTCTTCCCCAAACCAGTGAGCATTCCACGAGCAGACATTTAGTAACGGATCCCGCAAACGCCACACTAAATCAACCGTCCTCAAGCGGTGAAATTGCCGCGCTGAGGGATGAAGTATCCCAGCTCCGACAATTAGTGTTTGAGATGCGAAAGCACCACATTGAGGCTTCTTTCAAGAAAGACATTCACCATGATTTGGAGTATGAAGATTCTCTCATACAATCCTCTGAAACAACAAAATCTCAAAGTACACATCAAGACTCCCGCGTCTCATCTTCAGAGTCTCGAAGAACGTCGATGAGCGTCGAATTTGAACGCATCCCGACGCCAATTGAGCGTGACGAGCACGCCGCGCCGTCATCCAATTTCTCGTTTCGCCCAGCGCAAGTCATGATGGGACCTGCCCTCGTTCAAGATCATGCCATCGGCACTGTTGACGCTCAAAACCACCAGCTGACACAGGGCCATTCAAAGAAAACGAGTCGGGCCCGCATGAGCAAGGGGAAACCCGTTCCTGCGTCATCTCAGAGCGCTGCTGGACGGGCATGAGATTTTGGGTAAAGGTAGATGTAAATTATTCGATCCTGTATGATACGTTATCTTCAAATTACGTGCAATGTACGGAATGAAACATGCTGCTTCCAATATCCTTGGATTCTTTTCCTGCTGCGGTAGGAAGCGACGATGAAAAGAAAGCGCCTATTGTGCTGCGCAAAGGGACGTTCGCACGTAGTCATATACGTAGGTAGTGATATACCAACGCGACGAATGTCGAGGGACTCAGGTTCGGGACGCCGCAAGCCAGGGTCAGATGTTCACGTAAAGTGGCCATTCGACTTCTCAGTAACTATATACAGGTCACCAACCCGCTTGATGTGGATTTCAGTCTGCATTCAGGACTAGGTGAATGGATACTGTCGAGTTTACAAGAGATGATAGTTTCGGCGAAGTGGCAACAAGTACTTGCGCGAAAAGGTGCTCGGGGTGAATGATGATGTGTCTAGCTTCTGTGCCAAGGCATCTATTTCCAAACCTAATTTATGCTGCGCGTGAAGGGAATCTATAACAAGGAGGAAATGCGATTGGTCACCGAAGCCATCGCAATCATAATCGTTTATCGTCGCTTCTCAGCACGAATCTTCTCTTTGCGTGCGAGTCTATCACGAGCGCGTAGGAGTGCGGTTTGGATTTCACCCTTAGGGAAGGAGGAGGGATCGTAGTATGTGGGTGCGATGTCCTGTTGCGAGTATTAGTGGACTGCAATATAAGAAAAATGATCGAAAGGACGTGGTTACATACCAATAGCCATTCGGGCTTGACCGCAGTAACTGTGCGGATGTAGTTCTTAGTCGTCAGGACGAACTCGTTATAAAGGACCCACTCGGCGTCGTGAGCCAGCACAGTCGAAGGATGCAACAAAACATTTTGGTTATCCTTGATTGTCGTGTACACGCTCTTGCCTTGTGACTCTTTCCTGGCAACTTGCATGAAGAAACCGGCACAAAGAGCTCGGCGGATATTCTCATAATACTTCTTGTCTTCGAACGGCGTTGAGATCATTTCGAGCTCAGATCGCTCCATAATCCGAAGTAATTGCATGCGGACATTGTCCGCTGATTGCAGAGACCGAAGAGAAAGGAAGTGGTCGTGGCACCATTGCTTGGGGTTTGCCTGGGCCTCAGGGCTCTTGAAGGCGTGGTAGACATTCAACATGGTGAGATGGTCGCCATCCTGATGCGCGAACAGGTTCTTCATCTCGTCCGCGCGCTTACGCTGCGAGTTGGGACGCACAAAGAGCTGTGGTACAGACAAGAGAGCGGTGATGGACAGAATCTCGTTGGAACAGTAGAATTCCGGTGAGCTGATCAACATCACGGCGAGAGCAGGGTCGAGAGGGAATTCAGAGGCCAATCGTCCAAGCTCAGTCAAGTTTCCATCGTCATCGAGACAAGCGAGGTAATTAAGTTCCTCAAGGGCACGCATGAGAGTCTCGGGGGCAGGGGGATCCATCAAGTCGAAGTGGACGAGATCATCAATTCCCAACTTCTTCAACTCAAGAACAGTGGAGGACAAATTGGACCGAAGAACTTCTGGATAAGTCTGCTCGATCAGCTCCTTCTTGAAGGCCTCTTCAGTGTACAAACGGAAGCACTTTCCGGGTCGTGTACGACCAGCACGACCGGCACGCTGCTGGGCAGATGCCTTCGAGATGGGAGAGACAAGGAGGGACTCGACACGAATGCGAGGGTTGTAGATCTTCTGCTTAGAGAATCCGGGATCCACAACGTACACGATACCGTCAATTGTCAAAGAAGTTTCGGCAATGTTAGTGGAGACAATGACCTTTCGACCGGGCCGACCACCCTTGCGAAGAGGAGCCGGTGCAGGGTCGAAGATGCGTTGCTGCATGTGTGGTGGCAAACTACCGTATAGTGGATAGACCTTTAATGGACCGGCATCGGCCTCCCGAACCATCTCTTCAGCTTCCATTGAGATCTTTCTGGCAGCGTCTTCAATTTCTTCTTCACCGGTCAAGAAAACAAGGATATCACCCTCATCCTCGGTGGCGTGGATCTGCAGGACTGTCCGAATGGCCGCTTCAACGTAGTCTTGCTCAGGCTCTGGGGTGTAGAACACTTCGACTGGGTGAGTACGACCGGGAACAGCGAGAAGAGGCGCGTCCATGAAGTAACGCTGAAACTTCTGCGCATCGAGAGTAGCAGACATGATAATGATCTTGAGATCGGGTCGGCGCTGCACAACTTCCTTCAACAGTCCCATGAGGACATCGGTGGCCATGGTTCTTTCGTGGGCTTCGTCGAGCATGATTGTGCTGTATCGAGAAAGGTTGTGGTCGTGCATCGCCTCTCGCAGAAGCATACCGTCGGTCATGTATTTGAGAATAGTTTTTTGGCTTGTCTTGTCTTCAAAACGAATGCTGTAACCGACTTCTTCACCGAGCTTGACATCCATCTCCTCCGCGACACGCTGAGCCACTGACATGGCGGCCACACGACGAGGCTGAGTACAAGCAACCATTTTGCGTTGTGTTTGGGGCAGGTCGTCAAACAAGACAAACTGGGGAATCTGCGTGGTCTTTCCGGAACCAGTCTCACCAACAAAAACGAGGATCTGGGATTGCTGGTACAGCTGGAGGAACTCATCACTACCGAGAACGACAAGGAACGTAATTAGTACAAGAAACTCGTGCGCCTCGAGACTCACTCCTTCAAACATACCGCTGCGCATGCACAGGCAGATCTCGTCGAGTCTTCAAGATCGAGAAATATTTGGTCGAGAATGGCTTTCCGCTGAAAGGATTGACCTCTCCGTCTTCAGCCTTCATGGCCAAGGACGCCGTCGTCTGGTGGCGCTTGAATTTGGCCAGGGCGGAGCTTTGGTCTGCGCCGTCCGTATCCTCGTACATGTGGGCTAGGTAGGGATTTTCCCTAGGATCGCCGGCGTCCATCTTCTGGCGCTTGGCGCGTGCGCCATCCTCCGAATCTGATCGACGGTCGACCATGCTGAATGCGTTTCAAGTTGAAGGAAAGGTGGAAAAGTGATCGGAAAGCAAAATTCGGCGGCCGATAAAAAAAACTTCGGATAGGCAAATCGAGCGGCGATCCTCCGAGAATCTTTATCGGAATTGACCGCCCCAGATATTCTGCCGGTAATCTTTCGTTCCCCACAAGGTTCAGCGCTAATAAACAACGTCGATTGTTTGGGATCTTGTTTTTGATGCACTTGGCGAACGAAAGGGTCTAAGTATCTTTAAGAGACCCTCATACACTTTTGGCTCAGAGCGAAGTTCTGCAGTCATTTCCTACATTCGACAGATATTCGAAGATCGCGTTTTCTGTCTCTCTACTTGGACCCCCACTTTCACTCACCCAAAACTCCAATATCAACATGGACCACTATGAGCCAGTAAACGATCCGGGGGTGGTATTTTGTATCGGACACCATGAGCCAAATCGATCTCTCAAGTTGACTGCCGATCATGTCATTCGGGCCCACGAAAGCAACGTCAGTGCTTGCCTTGGAAAAAATGGCATTTGTCTTCGCCTGTCCATTTTGCTAATCCGAACGTGCATTTCCTCAGTATGACATGTTGACTGTGCCAATCACAACGACTCACTTTCATTCCAGAGTGCTGAGTCTTTTGTCCTCTCATCTCTCAGGGTTACAATTGCCGTCCTTGGATCCATTGGGAACCAGGGCCACATCGCAGAATACTCTGCCTCTGATCATTCCGCCATTGACTAAGCTTGACTCAAATTTGACTCCAAATGAGGCGACAAGTCAACTGGTGGGCGTGACGAGCAGTTGGATTGACCTTTGTTCACCGGACCCCCTAATTGCAGATCTTTCTCGTCAAGTGTTCATGCTGGAGGTCGCGTATGCTGCTTTCTGTGGTATTGGCTATCTGTTGATACCGGGCCCTAAATTGCACCATGGTGGTATTCATTCGGAAGGCATAGTATACTATGCCCGGGCCGTGCAAGATGCTTTGAATCTTGGTCCATACATCCAGTTCAATATCTGGTTACGAATGGTGGATAATCCAGAAATGGAAGTCGACAACATGGGTGACCTCGGACCCTTCGCTCGGCAAGAATTTCTCCAAGCAGAGCCAACTGGCTCAACGAAAACTGATCCGTTTGGAACTTGGGATGCTTGGGATCTGATTAGAAAGACCTGCAAATATCACAGCCGGTTGGTCGTTGGTATGCTTTATCCCAGCTCTCCCTTCTTTTTCCCCTACCCTACGACGACGCGTGGGCTAACACCTAAGTACAGCGCTTTCCATGCCCAAGCAACTGCCTGCATTGTGCGTTCAGTCGCGCTGGCATTCGGAACCAGTTCATCAGCTCACAATCGATGCCTCCTCCTTCCTGAAAAATCCAAAGGGGTACCCTGTTTTATCTAAAGCCCACCAGGCCTTCATTGCACGGCTTATGCGATTGCGTACCCGTCCATGGATCATTTTGTGCAATGTTGGGCCTATTCCAGGGCTTGAAGACACAGAGGAAGCTGAAGGGGCGCAATCGCAGCTGTCCAGTTCCGATTATCCAAGCCTCAAGGCGTCCAAAAAACATCATGACCCCACACCGCATCTCTCTTACATTCGCAACTTGCAAGAACGTCAGCCTCCCCGAACACCCATCGAAAGATTTGGAACGGGCTATCAAGATTACCTCCAAGCACCTCTGCAGCCGTTAACTGTCAACTTGGAGAGCATCACATACGAGGTCTTCGAGAAAGACCCAATCAAGTATGAGTGGTATGAGCGCGCCATCACCAAAGCTCTGCAAGACTGGTCTGATCAGAAGAAACCTACCTCTCATCCTGATGGGAAGGTCATTCTTGCAGTTGTGGGAGCGGGGCGGGGCCCTCTTGTCACGCGAGCCCTCAAGGCCAGCGCAGCCGCTGGGGTTGCGATCGACCTGTGGGCGGTTGAAAAGAACCAGAATGCGTTTGTTTTGCTGCAACGGCATAACGAAGATATCTGGGACGGCAAAGTCAGTCTTGTTCAGTCCGATATGCGGAGCTGGAAGGGCCCGCGTGTGCCGAGTCGGGGATCGAGGGATGAGCCGCAGGGATCGGTTGATGAGACACAAGGTGGAGGACCTGATTCTTCTCTCACTTCGAGGACCTTCGACTACACCCACGTTGATATTGTCGTCTCGGAGTTACTTGGATCGTTCGCTGATAATGAGCTATCTCCCGAGTGTCTCGATGGCATCAATGACCTAATCCATCCAGAGCATGGAATATCGATTCCTGCATCCTACTCGGCTCACATGACGCCCATTTCTGCTCCGAAGCTACACAGCGATATTGCGCACCAGAGTATTTCCAATCCTGCCGCTCCTGAGACCCCTTATGTCGTCATGCTTCACGCGATTGACTTCCTGTCCACTGCGGAGTCAACTGGGACGACCGAGACCTTGAATCACCACTCTTCCAGCCGCTCCTCTGGGGGCACATCTACCCCGACACCCGCTACTGAGTTCCCGATTCCTTTTGTTCAGACTGCTTGGACTTTCTCTCACCCCAACCGAAACATTTCACCCCCGTCGCGAACCTCATCCACGGTCTCGAATGCGCATAATGTGCGACGGACCCGTCTGTCCTTCCCCACACAGAATCGTGGCGTATGCCATGGTATTGCTGGGTATTTTGAGACTGTGTTGTACGGAGACGTAGAACTCTCAACCAACCCTGTCACTATGGATGCGAAGAGTGCTACGATGATTAGCTGGTTCCCAATTTACTTCCCTCTCAAGGTACGATTTTGAACCCAAATAAGCAAAGCATGATCAGACACTGACTGCACCCCCTTTTTTTTTTCGCAGACTCCTCTCAATGTTCCTGACAATGGTGAGGTTGTCATTACCATGTATCGTCAAACTGACGACCGCAAAGTGTGGTACGAGTGGATGGTTGAGGTTTACGCTCTTGAGCGGACGGCCACTGCGGCAGCATGGGTCGCCTCCCCAGCCACTACAGGCGCTCGCTCTGGATCACCGGGCACAGATGCTTCAGGAGCCAAGTCCTCGAATCAGGCTAGCTTCCGTCGAGTACGTGTGGGGATGAGCGAGCTTCATTCAAGCATCAAGGACGGTTGCTTGATGTAAGGAGTGATCTCGACATAATTAAGATCTTGGTCTCTCTAACTGGGTGTATCTCACCCATTAGGCTTTATCTCAATGAGGAAAGCCATCTTATATGGTTGAATTGATTTTCCAATACATTTATCCACACATGATCGGTTTCTTCTTGAGTATGGACCGGCAGATTCAATAAAACTTGCCTGTAGCTAATTATCTGGTCCACACGTTATGGCGGTTCAGATTGAAGGATCCCAAGGCATTCACCGTGTTCGTGTGATAGCTCTTCTACCCGCCTGACGTCTCCATTTGTTCGAAGGAAATACCGAACAATCGCAAGATTGCATAAGCAAAAGTCAGGAGTGGAGAGGATGCGTGGCGTAGGGATCTGTTTCCCGCTAGACAAGGTCTCGTCCGGCAGAGACGAGGGTAAAGACTTGCACGAAGAATCTCGTGGAGAGCAACGGAAAGACACCCGGAAAAGCATTGAGAAAGACTTTCGCAAATGCATCTAGGTGTTCACAACAGGAACAATCAGGCAGAAGACAACATTGAAGCATACGCCGTACTGGAGTCAGATCTCGAACACCGCCGAGTTCCGATTACTCGGTGATGTCTCAGCTTGACAAGATGCTATTAGTTGACATAATCAATGCTGAGATACTTATTAGCCCTCAACTAAGGATGGTCATACTAAAATCATACTGTGCCCTTACGTTGGACTCTTGCGTTGAATTCTCCGCTGCGAGTGCACAAGATCAAAAAGCTTGTCAGGCGCTTGACGAGCAAAGATCATGGAGGCATGGAGAATCACAACGATCAACTTGCATGACCACAGATCATAAACGCAGTCCTTCCCTTGCTCGACCTTTCTTCGCGTTCCATGAAGCTCACATGCTATTTTGAGAAGGCTTCATCTTGGTGACTGGCTACAGTACTCACTACACAACTACCATCTGCGGATCAAATCGTCACCTCCACTCAGAGCCACAATTCGGTACCATCGGCTCCACGGTCCACCATCGCTTGGTCTGTGTACGTATACCGCGCACGAAAGTCGGTGCTCAGCACTTGAACACGCAAGCCTGCTGCCGTTCATCGGCCAACCAAGCTTTTTGAAGTGGACCCAGCTCACGCAACCTTGATGGAGACGGGTCTTACACGCATTGCTTTGACTCTGAGCCGGGTCAAGTCTGTGCCGGACAGGAGATAGGCACCTACTTTACAGTTCACACTGTCTACAGTGCGCAGCCGGATGGCGGAGCTCACTTGACCAGGGCTCATTGAGCCGATTCATGGTTGTCTTCCAGCGGGCGCAATTCACGAATGACCCGGCCTGGGCTGCGATGGAAACTATGGGGAAATTTCACTTAAGAGGCTGTCCTGTGCTTTCTACACGACTTGGGAAAGCCAAATTAGTTCCAGTCAATCGAGATTTTGGACTCAACTTTTACTATTCAAGTCTATCAAGCTCCAGTTGCTACACTCTTCCCGTACCTGGTCAACAAGTGAGCCAAAGTTGTCGCTAATGTATCCGAAATACCACCACCGCTGGGCGCTAGTTGCTCTGGCTGCGACTCCGTTGTGTGCTGCTCAAACCTTTACGAGCTGCAATCCCCTAGAAAGTGAGTTGACTGGACGAAGAATCTCGCTATCAGGTCTTTGATTGAGTGGGTATCTGATCGTTCTCAACTCATAGAGACATGTGCTGCGGATGTCGGGCTTCCACAGTGGGAAGTATACACGGACTTTACCTCAGGATCTGCGGCGTTCAACAGATGGAACACCACGGCTGGGAAGGTTGAGAATACTTCTCTCGGAGCCAAATTTACCATCTCAGCACAGGGCGATGCCCCGACTATTGAAAGTGATTTTTACATTTTCTTCGGTCGGGTAGAGGTCAATATGAAAGCTGCCAACGGCACCGGCATCATCAGCACAACTGTGATGGAGTCTGATGATCTCGATGAAATCGACTGGGTAAGATTCGCTTTCTGCTGACAACATCAGTACTGGCTATGCCGTTGTCTTGATAGTAATACTAATATCCAAGTAGGAACAAATCAGCACCTACGACTCATCCATTCAAACGGACTACTTTGGCAAGGGCAACACAACCCTATACAACCGTGACACTACCGTGAGCGTCACCCGTCCCGAGGAGCAATTTCACACCTACACTGTCGACTGGACCTCAGAACGGATCGAATGGCTTTTAGACGGCAAGGTCGTCCGCACGCTCGAGTACGCCGACGCCTTGGGCGGGCAGAACTACCCCCAGACGCCCATGCGCATCAAGATCGGGATCTGGGCTGGTGGTGACCCGAACAATGCCCAGGGGACTATCACCTGGGCTGGCGGCGAGACTGACTATACCACTGGACCGTTCACAATGTACGTGGACTCCGTCAGAGTCCTCAACTACAATCCCGCCTCAGCCTACACGTACACCGACAAGACCGGCGCCTATACCAGTATCAAGGCGACGAACAGTACTACATCGAACGATAAGGCATTGAGTTCGGCAATTGTCAAATCTGCTAATGCATCGAGCTCAGATGTGTCTGGATCGACGTCTAGCTCGTCTTCCGTTTCACGTTCTGCGATTACTGCGACTCATGTCTCTTCTCTCACCTCTTTACCTGTCACTGCCGTTGCCACTGCCTCCACTGCCTCTGTTTCTCCCTCCTCTTCTCCTTCGACTTCTTCGACTCCCGTCTCTGCGGCTTCTGCGACCTCACCCATGTCCGCGGGAGTGACGTTGATTCTCACAATGGTGGCGACTTTGCTACAGCTATGAGAGTAGTATCGCTAGTCGCATATTACAATAAAGACATATTGTTATAACGAAAATCAAGTTCTTCGTTACTGGAAATCACTGGTCCACAAAAGAATACGGGATAAGGCTGCAGTTCAAGAAGAGCAGGTGGAACGTCGAGAATGTCAGCTCAAGGCCTCGCTGGGAATGTCGCAGATTTCTTGATCAACCAGGGAAAATGATGACGATTCAAGCGTGATGACTATATAGTGACAGGACAATATACACCGCTGAATTCTTGGGAATCATAGAATAGCAAATCTCAGAAAGGTAATCGTGCGGTATGTATCCTGCACTATATGATTGATGATCTTCTGACGTGGCTGCCAGTGGAAAAATCCTTTGTACCTTTCCTAAACATAGGCAATTCTCTTATCCCCCAGAAGCTGATCATACTATACGGGGGTCGATATTGGCCGATCGAATCTCATTGCTCTCGCTGGGCCAACGAAGATACGGGACTTCACTGCTGAACAACTAGTATGATGTCAGCTATGTGGATTTCGACGAGCGCGCTAGACCACCCGGCTGTTTTATCTCACTTACTGCAGGATCAATTGGTGGAAGTGTGTTATCAATATCATTATACCAGTACGGTAGGGGTATGTGTTTGGCAACTTGTAGGCGTGGCGAAAGCGATGGAGGCGGACTGAGGTATGCGTGCGGCTGAAACATCCGCCGCGAATATCTGTCCAGATCTGTCTCATGACGTAACGTTGGAAAAGAGGCCGCTGGATTCTGTGATCCCGGCGAGTGTGATGTTTTTGGATTCGGCCAGGGATGATTTGGGTGTGTCATAGTGAGATAGGCGTCCAGGTGAAAGGATTCTGCGGAAAACTCGTGATGAGGCTGTTCAAACGTATCGGATTCTACGTCAGGCGTGTGATACCGACCAAGTGATCTGAATGCATGCGCGCTACTTTCGTTCTCCTCCACCGAATTGAGCATGCCGGAGGACATCATTGTCGTTGTTGTTGGTAATTGGGATTGTACCGAATCAGGAGTCGAACATTTGGTGGACTTGGGCCTCTTTGCCAAAGGGGGCTTCTTCATCGTTGAAACAGGAACTCCACCGCTGAAAAGCACTTTTAGTCAGTAATAAGAACTGATTGCACCTCGAGATTCACCAGACAATTTTCGGGATGACCTACTGGCGAGCCAAGTGCTGCATCAAGTAGTCCGGCCGGTGGAATGACTTGTGACACCCGACAAAAGTGCACATGTGGGCCTTTTTGCTCTTGTGGACCAGTTCATGCCGCCTTCGATGCTCTGCACGAGTGAATATCTGAAGACAGGTCAGTGAGTTTCTGATAATTTCCAGGTTCGGAAAGCCAGGCGTGCGCCTGATGAACTTGACTCACTTTATCGCAACCGGGAAACTCGCATGCGTGTACGCGTCTGCCCTTCATGGCCTTGCTGGCCCGCTTGTCATTTGTTTGTGACGGCTTTCTTGTGGGACTGCGAGATGCATTATCGGGGCCATTCCCATTGTGATGTGTGTCCTGGGCTGCTATTGTGCTTGAAGGTGTCCACGGAAACGGAGTCTGTGGCAGACCCGTGGTCGAGCTGATGGGGGAGTAGAACATGCCAGGGGCAAAGAGTGCACCCTGCGTCGAGATGTGATCCATCTTGATGATTCTCCTGGGCGATTGCACAATGGTTCGGACACGGTGGGTCTCCGAGGATGGGGTGGAGGCGATGAAGTTGAGGTACGGCGGGGAGTCTCGAAGTAGCACGTGAATATGAAGGCCAAGAATCAAGACGTGAGGAAGAAAAAGCGATCTCAGCGCTCGCAACACCGGCTAAACGAATGACTGTTTAGGATGATGGCAGTGATGATTGTGATGAAATGCAATGATCATTGTTCGGGATGCGTGGACTTCTATAAATCATCCACTCCAGCTGGGCGCAGCCTAGCCGGAGGGGGCCAGGTCGCGCAGGGGAGACGATGTATTGAGAAGAACTAGGGTAGGGTGGATCGTCACCGAAATTGGATCCGAGTTGATTTGGCTGAACAGAGAGAGGTACACAGGCTGCTGCTTCAACGGGAAATGAAGAGCTAACGTGAAACGTGCAAGGCTCATCGACTAAACGCCTTAGCGTGGGACCGGCGCGAGGCGATAAGTTGATCAACCACGGAGCCCTGCCAGCTTCCACCAGAGTCCGATGGGCCAGCGATGCCAGGTTCGAGCGCATGGTGCGTCGCATTTTTTCCACTTGCAGTTGACTTGCTTTGTTCAGTGCTCCCATCAGACAATCGACGCAAATGTCGAGCTTCCTTCGTCGCCCCACGTCAATCGTCAGTGACATCGGTTCAAGGCAGACAGTAGGCGCATAGGTGGACATTCCCACTGCTCGGTCTATGTCAATCCAGCAGCCGGCGAAGCTCGCTCCCACTTGTATCCTCGAGCATGCCTCTCATTTGGCCGAATAACACCTATGACGAAGTCTCTCCAGCCAAACGAATCTGCCAACGATCGCAACGTTCTCGGGTGCAAAGCATTTGCTCGTTGCAGTCCGTGGGAGGTCGAATTGCGACTTATTCACCTGGCATCCTGCCGATGAGGCCTCTGCAGCCTTAATTAGAGGATTCCCTTGCTCTGCCTTTGAGCAGGACGGGCCGATGGCGGACAAATAGCCGAGTTTGCCAGTACACTGCGCAGCGTGAAGCCCCGGGTTAGTCGATGTGGAATTACCAATGCACGCATCGGTCGCGAGTTGGAGTGGGCTGGCTTGTCACAATCTCTGATGACAGACCAATCTCCGAGATCCTCTGTTAGCGCACTCCAAAGGTGCGACCATCTGGACCCCTATCCTGTGTAACTGATGTACTGCGCTCCATGTCCGGACACTCGGACATGCATCCTTGAAAGGGTGAGGAGCCCACCAGACCCAACACGACAGCAAGCCACTCGCGCCAAGGCGGGTTGATTTGACTGTGCGCCGGTTAGCGTCAGCCGCGGCTATTCGCACGGTCGTATCATCGCAGTGCGGATACACGACTCTCCAGAGCCCCCGACACAGATTGGTTGAGAGGGGCCCCGGTCGATTGCTGAACTGCTCTAGCGCATGATCGACAAGGGCTCGTGCTCTCGAGGGGAGGACCCCACGAGTCCTCCACTCGAGGCGGCGTGACTTGCGTCGGGAATGACTGTGGGCGCAGGAGGTTAGTTATTGGACTCCGTATACACCGAGACTGCTCTTGCATGAGATCGAACCATATCTGAACCATTCTCTTGCCTGGCAGCACCTGGAGTGGGAACCAAAGCTCTGATTCTTCTCGGTGCGGAGCTGAGGGTATTCACCAGGGATTGAAAATGCAAGGCTATGGCGTGCGAGCACACTGGCAGTAGTGGTACTTGTAGTTGGACGTGTAGTGGGCGGCGAGTACTGGGTTCAGTGCTGTAAGTAGGTGGAGTTTGTGGATCGCTCCGAGGTGGCGCTCAAGAGGATATGCCATAATGCCACCTGGGCCCAGAACAGTCAGTAGCAGCCGACGCCGCAACACCACCCTGCGACACCTCCAGCCGATCACATTACCTGATTCATTTGGTAGAAATCCGGTTACTGATGGAGTGGGAAGACTACTACTACTACTGGTTTTTCTTTATCATAGTCTAAAAGCTTGATATATAAAATTCCACTCGCTCTTGCGGGAGAAATTTCCATCGACTGACCATCTCGATCTAGCGTGTGTTTTGCACATAGATATACCATCTGCACATGAATTCTCTACCGTTACCAAATCAATAGTAAAAGGTAGCTCGATAACTCTTGCGTCTTGGCACGATAACAATGACCCGCCCAACTAGTTTCTCTATTTGCGGCGAGTGAAGATTGACCCCGTCCAAGAGTACTAGTGTCTTGGTACCCACATGCTATCATAGGAAGCTACCCCTGAATCGAACCCTCCGCGATAATCGGATTATCTTCAAACATCTGACTTCTCCCAAAATGACCGCCCATGGTAAAGAAAAGTTGCGACGGCAACTACGGTGCAGAATAGCTAAACTCCCTTGGTGCCACCTGTCCATCTACCTGTGAAGTCTCAGCGCTCGGTCTAATACCAATGGAACACTGCCTGAGACTTAAAGTTCTCATTCTTCGCCCGCAGTTTAAGCTCTCGGGTTCGAGTCCAGACCACTGCAGTGATGCAGTCTTGACCGGTCTTACTTTTCTTCCCAACGGCCCGCCCGGCAAGGACCGTGTCTCGCGGGGGGTGGGTACCTAATGCCGTGCGCTGATGGGCACAATACCACAAGCTTCGGCCTAACATGAACCCTACCGAGTACCGACTCTATCAACACTTTTACAGTCTCCGCCTTACAGACTTTGACACCTGCAGGCCTGGACGGCCTGCCTCGCCATCTCGCCTGGCGTGGCTAAGCCTTCATAGGTCAATAAGAACGAGCTGGATTCAACACTGCCTTCAAAGGTCTAATATGACTCAATCAATCATTACCGTCACTTCGTTTCATAAACGGATGCGGCCGGTCAACTTGCTCAAGATCTGTTTTTAGATTGTCATAACATCCGACTTTGGGCGTTAACTACAGCTCTCTACTTACTGCTAAGAAGTTCCTCATGGCTCGAACATCCCCCACCCATCTTCTATACCTCCTTTCAGTGATGACAGAATAAAGCATTTCTCTCGTTCTAATCCATGTACCACATCCGCTATGCTTGAGGGGCCGATACCTGTCACATTTCTGCGATGATAGTCGTCAGTCTCAAGAAATACTCATTCTGCCCTGCCGCGTTCCCTGGATCTGACCCAACGACCCTGAAGCACTGAAGCACTGCCGTCACAATATTTGTCCCAGGGTCCGTCATTTGCTTTGAGCTGAAGGCTAGCTAGGTCCTTGGATATGACCCATACCCTACCCCAAAAGAATCAGAGCATCCCCTAACACCCGTGGGTAAGCTTCAGTGCTGCACTTGATGAAACATGGACATTGCAGGAAAGCTTGTAGGCGACTTCCATTCTCATGCAAGAAGCATTGTCTCCGCGCTCGCTAATGAGTGATCTACCAGCGAACATTGACCAGCAAAAATCTCGTGCGGCTGCAAACAAGCCTCGCGCATGTGACTTTACTTCTATATTGATGCACAATCTTGAGCGCATATCGAACATGACAGTTGAATGTGTCAGCGTCTGGAACGATCCCAATTGCGTGGTTTTGAGAGAAGAACGAAAATTTCATTCCTTCAATCCGAAGCACGCTAAAACAAAAGTCATTATATAATATACAAGCTGACGCGGCTGAATATACATCCTTCAGATGATCCCGTTTCCAGAACTTTCAAGGAAGTTCAAGTATACTTGAACATTGAGCGAACCATGAAACTAAAAAGACGAATGGCCGCATATTCCGCGCAGAGGTTCCAGATGGCGAACAAGATCGTCCCAACCTTCGACTGTCTGCTGCATCCCATCGGTACCTATCTCGAGGAAAAAAAGGCCAGGCAAGAATTTCTGCAGACAAAGGTCTTTCATAAAATGGAAGCCAAGGAGGATTCATCCTCACCGCACATGAATGCCTGCCATTCCTGATCGGCCAAGAGGTCTGGACTTTTGTCTACAGATTTCATAGCTTCATCACGTTCTCTCTGTTTCTCGCCTTCGGGCAAGTGCAGCGCCAGACGAGTCTCAGCCGCGCCGTTCTGAAATTTCTCCGCACGATCCTTGCGCACTCGCTCATACACCTTCAAAATCGTGGGAATATCGACCTCGTCTCCACCCAGCGATAGTACACATGCCAAAACACCTGCATCTTCGATGGCTTGCGCCGCGCCTTGGGCCACGTATGGTAGCATGGAATGGCAGGCGTCCCCCATAAGTACGGTCCGATTCTCCACCCACGAGGGCAGAGCTGCGTGCGAGTTCAAGGCGCAGAGACGACACGTGAGTCCAATCTGAGATTGATCTCTTCTTTGCGAACGGCCATGAGTAGGATGGCTTGCGGGTCGCCTCGGTGGATCACGCAGAGAGGAGCGTTATAAATTCGACCAACCTAGACGGGGATTGTGTTAACAAGAGGAGTTTGACACACGCGGCTGGGGTGCAACCACATACCTCTGGCATCAACGGCGCGGTTCCAAGCTCCTCATCGTTCGCATAACGCCGCAGAGAGTTCCTATCGAGCACGTTCGCCTTTTCAACAACTTCCCGGAGGACGCCAAATCGACCGAGGATGCGCGCTGCGTTAGGTGCAACTTGGATTCCAGCACCAACTTCGGCAATCTCGTGAAGGGTGACTTTTTATCCTGCCTTGTGTAGACCTAGTGCTGCGCTCAGGCCAGCAATGCCCGCTCCGACGACGATGATGCGAAGGCGGTTGCTACCCTGTGGAGGGAACTTGAAATCGTCTTTGTACATTTCCATGTTGAGTTAATTGATTCAATAAGACGGCTTGAAATGCCAAAAGCTAGCGGAAGTAAGCACGACGTGAATGTATGACTATCTCATCGCATCGACAGAATCATAGATTTGATTTGTTTTGAGGTCCCTGCTCACATGCACGCAGACTAAATTTTGCACTCTGACCTCTATGCGGACTAATAATTTTATATCCTGTTGACCTTCTTCGCCTGAGAAACCATTCTCCCAGTCACTATCGACACACTCAGGATCAACAAATTTCTCTTCAATCCGAGTCTCTGTGGTCGGCTTGAAAACGTTACATCAAAGCCCTTGTCTCATACCTCAATTGGGCATTTCATACTCGCGGCCCGATGGGTGTCCTGGGTACGAATCAGATAGCCATTCGAACAAAGGAACAACGCATGGTTTCCGATTTTTAATTGAGATCGCATTTTTCCGAGTCATATCGTTTACTTTGGGAGAATTTTGACCTTCAGAAGTTTGACTCTCATCGGCCTTGGAGCGGAATCTTCGATAAAAAATGGAAGTCCTCTTGATCAGAGACACTGTTGTCGGTACTCACTCACAAGTGAACCCTCGGGACAGGAATATGAAAATGCTTCACCCCGGTGATATCATGCCGTTTGACGGGCACAAGCCCTCCATTCGGTTGAGGAAGACATCCTCATGGTTCTTCTTGTCGGAATCCCAACCTTAAGGATGACCATATACCAACCATTGATCTTGTTAAGAGGTGGCTACAATGGGTGCAGCATCACCATGTGTGAGAGGGATGAGGTGAGAGATTGCTACGGGGGAGAGATTCTATCTAGGCTATGCACTACGGTGAGTCGGCAGTATCGCATGCCATACAAATAGATCTTTGTCTGTTGCATTCCAGTCAACGAACATCAGGGTTTGTCTGCTGCTTTGTAGGCATTATCTCAGGGTACATCGCTAAACTGTAGAAACTTGAATTGATTCACGCGAGGAAACTCACTCATATCGTTTCGGCTACGTATACTTGAGATGGAAGAAGGTATAGTGCGACTAATGTCAAATCCACACTTTTCGATCCGTAGCAGACCAAGTATCTGTCTAGCTCGTTGTGCATTTGGGTACCGCATAGTGACACAAATACTTTTTCTTCTTCTCTCATTCCCAGCCAAGCGGCGGCACGCCAATGAGTATTATTTGCTGAGTTAGGGCGTTCCTCTTGATTTTTGAAAATTCTGTGACGGTAATGCGCACTTCTATTCGATGCCATCAGGCCTGTACCCGATGAACTGAAACATGATGGAATACATGAGCTTGGTCAGGCGTCACCTTCTGTTGTGGTGATAAATTGATTAATAAAGGAAAGCTCTTTCTGATCTGGGGAACTTTCAATATTGAATTCTCGTTGGTGATGTTTACTTGCATCAAGCGAGGGCGTCTAGGAGTGTCAGTGATTTTTTTGAAAGCTGGAAAGTGGTCTCATCTTGAGGGAAGCCATGTCCACCTTGTCCCAGTATATGTACTCCCAAATAGTTGCTTGTCAGCTTGAGGACTACCTCACACAAGTTCATGCTCATAGAAAAGTGCCGCAGTAGATTGAATGGCGAGAGGAATTAAAGCGATGAAATTTACCAGTCCCTTACAAAAGTCGGTCATGTCAGCGCAGAACATGGTTTTGACCGTTGGTATGACCTGTCAGCCTAGGTAAGTAAACATCACGGCACGCGTGCCTGAAGACTAATATTGGTTTGTATTGTGGAGATTCGAAATCATGCTTATCAATAACAAATGCATAAGGAAATTGCACACGTGCTTCATTCCCGTAGTATCTATCAATATAATGAATAGCCTCACAGACTTGCTTCTAAGCATACCTCGCTCGTGATGAATTCTTCCAGATGGTAACAGGCATCAAGGTTTATTTGCATTAACAGTTCATATACCTCCGCCTTCCGGGCGGCCACGATCATACCAAACTGACACCTAGGGCCCTGATTCACATCTAAGAAGGCAGCGACAACAAGTGAGATATCAACGTTGTGGTTACCACGAGTTCGGATGAATAGCTTGATTTGCGTGTTTTGCGAGGACTCACATTCTCTTCCTCTCTCTCTCTTACCTCTCTCTCTCTCTTACCTCTCTCTCTCTCTCTCTCTCTCTCTCCCTCTTTCTCTCCCTCTCTTAAATCTCTCTCTCAACTCTCTCTCTTAACTCTCTCTCTTACCTCTCTCTCTCTCTCTCTCTCCCTCTTTCTCTCCCTCTCTTAAATCTCTCTCTCAACTCTCTCTCTTAACTCTCTCTCTTACCTCTCTCTCTTATCTCTCTCTCTCTCGCCAATACACACGCTTGTTCTCAGTATCAACTTACAACATCGTGAGATCCGACGGATCTCTCGCATCATTGCATTCTCTACCGCTGATCTTGGACGGTCAAAGGTGGCCTTCTTCGCCACAAGTCACTATTCGCGCCTCCTCGTTGCCCATCAGTCAAAATTGTTCTCCTTAATCCCCCTCATATTAATCCAGAACGTTGCCGGAACATCCTCATCGACGACTTGGTTCCCATCCTGCAAAAGCCCATCATTTCTTTTTTCTTCACACTGTGTTTCACAAAGGCCATCTTGGGCCACACGTGGCTTCAAGATGGCTGAACTACCTTTGGAGATCATGTTCAAAATCATCTCCTTCGTGGACGACCGTGAGATACTCCTATCCTTGAGCCTTACCTGTCAAGCTCTGTCTGCAGAAATCATGGCCCGCCTCAGGAGCGTGCTGATTCAACTGGGCCAGAGCAAGAGTTCCACAGCTGAGCTTGAAAGAAGGCGAAAGGTATATTTTGAACGAGAGCTTCTCAAACACATTACTCTCAATTTCAAGCACGAGTTTGAAGAGCCGGTTAGTACCTATCATATTTGACTGTATTTTCACTGGGCTCTGTTGTCTGAATACGACTTGCGGATACATTGGTCCTCCTGGCTACTTCCATGAGCTAAGCAGCAAAAACTGTATTTCTCTGTTTAGATCTTGCACCTGTGGGTGGGTTGCGAATCTGGTAAAAATCTAATACATTGCGTGCCCAACTTTACAAAATTGTCGCGACTTCTCATCAGATCTACGTCGGTATGTTCCACGGTCAAATAGTGGGACGTGGAATAGATAAACACTTAACTCATGTCGGACGCGGACTTTATGCACATTTCAAACTACAAGTGCCAGCTCTCAAGATTTTGGGACTTCGAGATTCTTGCAAATGTCAAAGTATCTTGATATGTATGGTCTTGAGGGGTTGTGATCTTGACACTGATCACGTATACTCATCCGTGTTACGGCTCTTCTTCCCGTGTGTTGTCTCTTTTTGAGGGTGTGTGCCAAGCCATCATTGCCTAAACTGAAGCATCAAAATGAAACTACCTCTGGCTATAGTCTTCATTGCTGAATAAATGAGTCGTACGAAAGACTCTGTTGAAGTCTTTCGTAAAGACCTCTTAGAAACCCGTGGGAAGATCTTCGAGGAGCTGCCATGTCGGAAAGGTCAGCTTTCGCAAAGAAAACGAACCATTTTGTAGAAGGTAAACTTGTGTTGTACAGTTCACGTACTGTATGTCTCAAAGCTCTTCGACTTATCAGTGGCTATTTCCATTCATGCCTACCTTACCTAGCACTTTGCTCCTTCAATGCCCAATGCCAAGATACCGCCCGAGTCTTACAAACCCCATACCTCGTGATTCTCGAGCAGCAGGCTAATTTTGGGAATTGGGCTACGATGAAATAATAATCCGACGGCTTCTGACATTCTTGGTTGAATAGCTCACTGAAAGTAGCCAGAATTCGGTACTAGGGATTAACATTGAAAGACACTCAAACTATATCTAAGTGAGCATGTTTTCATTCGATAAATTGTGAAGGTGAAACAGATAAAAATCATGCAGGACCATAGGGTGATGTTTCTAATCTGGTGGACCTCGAAAAACCAGACCAAGTGCGAATCCGGGGTCCATCCTGCAAAACAATCACTTTCTTATCTAGACTCTTGCAACGCCGGACCCGCAGTCTCATCTGGTATGTAAAAGGGCAGAAGATAGTAAGGTCAAGATGACAAAACAAGTGATCCATCGGATCTCTTACTTTGCAGTGTTGGTAAGTTTGATCGTTGAACAACGCATAGCTTCTTACTTGTTGACCATAGTCGAGCCCTAAGGTGGCGTGCCACCTTGAGGCTTGACTGTGGCTTAGATAATGACCACGGAACGCTGCCCGCAGATGGAGGTCCAGTATGATGAGTTTGGCAACGGCTATTGGCTGCCGCGCTTCATTCTCCTTGTCCAGCACAGTGGCCACTCTAAGTTGCCACCCATACAACACTCGCAGCTGATTAAACTTCTTACAAAGTCATGAGAGTCAGTACGCCAATGACTATTTTGGACCGTGTGGGTGAATCCACATTCTAGAATTTTATTTCCCGCCACTGTTCCTGACAATCCTCAGGGCCTCGTCGGAATAGGCAAGGCCGCGATGCGCAGTGCTGTTTTGTACCGAATCCAGGGTAGAAACAGACAAAGTGAGGGCCATTTGTCCATCGCGAAGAGGCCCAGCATATGAGGTATACATCCCTTGACTTTGCAGGTGAGCGGCCGTGAAAACGTACACTGCTATTGAAAGCTATGGGAATATTTGAGCGTCCAATTGCTGTGTCTGGCTGCTCTGGCATATGCCAAGGTCACAACTTGAAGTACCGTTAAAGGACGGTCCTGAACACAGAATACCTGATTCAAATGCATTGAATAGAGCCATGAACCAAATATGGAAAAACCAACATGCCGATTCCCGACAATTGGAAATCCCCCGGCCGTTGCCTGACTAAGCGTGGCCTCCGCGTGCCGGTGCTTCTCCACTTGCCCATTCTAACTCCCCTTGTCCCTCGCCCTTGATTATCTTGTTCTGGTTTCTCTAGGCAGAAACCAAAGCCTCGCTTTCTCTCTTTGCGGTGATCAATGACGCAAAACGCTTGAATCCAACATCAAACTCACTTCCGTCTTGCAACCGTGTGACATTAAGGTGACCGCCGCCGGCTGTTCGGTCTTTTGAATTAGGATCTGGAATCAAGTCCATATCCCCTCTCTGCGGTCCCACACCCGATAGCGACGCCCTCATCATCATTGGTCTGTGAGCCTTGTCCGTCACCTCTTGCAAGATCACCCTTGAGAAGTGCAAATCTGTCATCGACAGAAAGTGCACACGTCTTCTCGAGCCCTGTTCTCTTCCATTCTCTTCCTCGCGACATGACGCAGCTTTTTGCGTCCACCCCGTCCCCAATGACAAATACCGAAAAGCGTGGGAATTTCCCCGGCTTGTCCCTTCCTTCCCGCAAGCACTCAAATGAATCGAGCCATCTGCCCACGAAGATCAAGAACTTCTTTCGCATGAACAGTTCCAGCGGTGGAAGCCCAGTCGGCTCAGACCGAGAGCGCGAGAAGGAACATAGCCCCGCGAAGAACGAGAAGACAGGCTTCCGACAGTCACGATTCCTCCCGACCATCGGGCGTAATCGATCCACAACCGTGGCCAGCGAGGGCAATCCTCTAGATGACGCTATCACCTCGCCCACCGCTTCAGCAAACCCTTACTTCGCTCACCAAGGCCAGCCAGCTCTGCGACATCGCAACGATGGGTCTGCCCCCTCCTCCCCTCCTGATACCCCCGAGCTGCAGGTCACCGGGGTCTCGGCTGCCGAGCAGGCCGTTGCTTCCAACAAGGAAGAACTTGCTCGTAAGCTTCGGCGTGTAGCCTCTGCGCCCAATGCGCAGGGACTCTTCTCCAACGGTCAGGGTAGTGGCCGTCCACAAACCGCCGAGATGGGCAAGGAGACCGTCGTAGAACTTTCCGAGTCCCAGCTCTCGGCGGAAGAGAAACATCCTGCCCTCTCTGTGCCTTCCATCCGTCTTGCTAGCCGGACAGATAACAACAATGCTGCCTTCCGCCGCACTTACAGCTCCAACTCCATCAAGGTCCGCAACGTGGAAGTGGGGCCTGCAAGCTTTGACAAAATCAAGCTGATCGGCAAGGGCGACGTGGGGAAGGTGTATCTGGTACGAGAGAAGAAGTCGAGTCGCCTGTACGCCATGAAGGGTAAGTCAACTGATCGACAAGCATGAAACGTTTCACAGTGCTAACTTCGGGTTATAGTGTTGAGCAAAAAGGAAATGATCAAGCGAAACAAGATCAAGCGTGCTCTGGCAGAGCAGGAAATTCTTGCAACGAGCAATCATCCGTTCATTGTTACCCTCTACCACTCCTTCCAGTCCGAGGACTACCTCTATTTGTGCATGGAGTACTGCAGCGGTGGAGAATTCTTCCGAAGTATGTGCAGCCAATCTTGTGCATCGCGGTCATTTCCGGATGTTTGTTCTGGGATCGCTGCTAACTCGGATTGATCTGACAGCTCTGCAAACACGACCTGGGAAATGCATCACTGAGGATGCTGCGCGCTTCTATGCCGCAGAGGTAACCGCTGCTCTGGAGTATCTCCATTTGATGGGATTCATCTATCGCGACCTGAAGCCAGAAAGTACTGCGCCTCTTGATCCCACATATGAAACACTCTTTTGAATCGTTTACTAAAATCGTTCTTCTCACAGACATTCTACTCCACCAGTCTGGCCACATTATGCTTTCAGACTTTGACCTCTCGAAGCAGTCAGGTCCCGGCGGTGCTCCCACCATGATTCCCGGGAGAAGCGGCGGGTCATCAATGGCTGCCCTTCCAACAATTGATACTAAGTCATGCATTGCCGACTTCCGCACAAACTCCTTCGTAGGCACCGAGGAGTACATTGCCCCTGAAGTAATCAAGGGCTGTGGTCACACCAGTGCCGTTGACTGGTGGACCCTGGGTATCCTTATTTACGAGATGCTTTATGGAACCACCCCCTTCAAGGGCAAGAATCGGAATGCCACCTTCGCAAGCATCTTGCGAGACGAGCCTCCTTTCCCGGAACATTCCGGGGCTCAGCAAATCTCGAATCTGTGCAAATCATTGATTCGCAAGCTCTTGATCAAGGACGAGACCAAACGTCTTGGCGCTCGCGCTGGCGCTTCTGATGTCAAGACTCACCCCTTCTTCCGAACGACCCAATGGGCTCTGATCCGCCACATGAAGCCTCCCATGATCCCTCACCAGGGCCGTGTCGGTACTGACACTGTGAACTTCCGCAATGTCAAGGAGAGTGGTAGTGTGGACATTGGAGGCACGACCAACCCGAGCAAGTTGAAGGGTGTTCCCATGGACTCGGGCCTGGCCACCCCGAACGCAGAATTGAACGATCCGTTTGAGGAGTTTAACAGCGTGACTCTCCACCACGAGGGAGATCACTAAGGATCTTAGCTTCATTCGGAGCCCTGAAAATTCGGTCGTCGGTAACGCGCTGTACATTTCTTTTGTGACTTCTTCCTTGGGAGTACGAGAGAAGCGCAACCGTCCGGCCTTAGACACCTGACGACTATGATGTTTTTTCCCCGTTTTCACGAATTACATTACAACCACGCTTTTACCACGCTCCACGAATCAAGATCTACTTACTGGAGATCGCGCAGAAAAGTCCGACAACTTGTGTTTGTGTACTAAACTATATGTTTGTGCTTTTACTGTTTACTTGCGCTGTTCAAGTTCCTTGGTTCATGTTCGCATTTTGCAGCTGTTACATGTCACCCCCTAACCTTTGCCCACCTTGGGCTTCTGTGCCGCCTCCTTCCATCGCACGTGTACCACTCCTTATCCCACCATCTCGCGCATTCTTATGTTTTGGGGGCTTTCTTGATGATTCGTAATATTGAGGGATCCATATCCCATTGCAGCGGTGGCGTTTTTGGGCTCTTTTTTATCTGCGCTATGAAACACAATATTTGGCGCGCCTAACTTCTGGCATCTTTGCTTTCTCTGTTGTTCGGTTACACCTCTCAGACAATGCCCTTGGGGCGAATACAATATTCCTACGTGATTTCGTGCATTGCATCCTTTGAGTCAACTTCTTGGCTCTGTAGATGTCGACCGACCTTAGTATCCGTGCAAGGCTTCGGCAACATGCCCTCGAAATTGATAGGGCGTGTATTTGCTGAGAATTGTAGCCAGTTGTCCTCTTCCCCAGCCAAGGATGGGATTCTCTGTGGGACAAAACCCCTCAAGATACCAAAGATAGTGGTGAGTCGTGACCAAGTAACAACCGGTGTATTTGAGTAGGCCGGCGGGCTTGAAATTGCTAGTGGCGCGCAGCCCACAGCCCTCACTCGGAGAGGCGGGTGTGTCATGTTTACACCTGCGCCGTCACTGCGGTAGCCCCGCCGCAGTTATCGGTCATCCGCCGCATGAGCTCCGCAACCTCTTCTTCTGCCGCGAATGCACTCTGAAAGTCCGAGCAGCAAGTCAACAAAAAAACAAGCCTCGCGTCCCTCCATAATGTCTGCATTTGCAGCCTCCACCGACCCCGACGCTCTCGATTACTCTTACACCGAGCCCGAGCCCGAGCCCGAGACAGCGACCAGTCCTTCGCTTGGCGCACAGGATGCAGACATGGACTCTCCAGATGCCGGTGCCTCTCACAACCAGTCAAGGAATCCTCTACTGGGCGATGATACACCATTGGTCTCGGATCTAGAACAAGAGGTTCTGGACGAATATACGCGTTTGCTGCGCAATGTCAATCAGGTAAGGCTTGCAATGCCCGATCTGCGAGGACTCTGCGCTTCGCATGCCTTGGTACTTTTGCATACCGAATGGTTGAAGAAGCAAAAGGCTAATATATGGCCTCGCGATGGGTAATCTCTAGCTCTCTGAAAAGATCGGCGATCTTGCGGGTTCCCCGGCTTCAATGACGCTGGATGGAATGCGACTACTGGAACGGAAAACTGCCACTGTTTGCACGCTGCTCAAAGCGAGTGTGTACAGTATTGTCTTGCAGCAACAGATCTGGAACGAGAGTGAGGAGCAGCAGCAACAGCAACAGCAACAACAACATATGCAAGATAATGACCCGGATGATCAATTTTCGGATCAAGGCTACCAGCATAGTGGAATTTACGATCGAGATGGGGACATCACTTTTCAGTAAGGGCAACGAGTCGAGGTGCTCGTGTGGAACGTGGAGCCCTTTTCGGTCTCGTGCGGTTGTGAACTTTTCTGGTTCGAAAAGATCTGTGGCGTTGTCCGGTTTTTCGTTTCTCTTTTGCTTTTCGATATACCCTAGATTTTTCTTTTCGTTTATCAATCGAAACAGCGCAGTGACCAGCGCTCCCAATTCAGTTGCATCGGTTGAATCACAGGAATGACTGCGAGAGGGTGAAAGTAAACATCTAGGTACCAAGGCCGTATCGAATTGGATTGTGAGCTTTCACGTTGGTGCACTAGGGAAGACGAGCCATTGTACTGTCAGGGTTGTTGCTGTAAAGTTTGATGATTGCAAGCAAAGTCCGAGCCCAAAGATCATTTCATAGAATTGTGTAGGTGATCGTTTTGATGGATGACCACAAGTTGGTACAGATACAAATACATGCGGGGGATTGAGGGAGAAGAAATGAAGGAAGAAACAAAGACGCCCATTATGTACACGCCGAGAGAATGCACGGCTCAATCGATTGCGAGGTTGATCGAGAAAAGTCACATCTAAACCTTTCCAGCATAGTAGACCTTGCGCACGTCGACCATTTTCCGACCACGAGCACGGGCGATCTCTTCGGGGTCGCGTTGGCTCATGAGGGCCTCGTACGCAGCCTTGACAGTGTTCATCTTGTTGCGAGACCGGCTAACTCGCGCAGCAAGGTCGTGAATACCGGCAGCGCGGCACATCTCATAAATGAGGTGCTGCACTCGGAGACCGAAGCCTGTTGGAAAAATCAGCTGCGGCTCGCAAATGACGAAGACGCGTTTGGGGGACTCGGAGAAGAGGGGGGGGGCAAGGGGCCCGTGGCCTTGGAATGTAACTTACCTGGAGGACGGTGCATCAATTGCAGTGAGACGGCTCCAACCTTACCAGTCACATCACCGAAGATGGTGCGGTTCTCATACCGAGGAACAGGCTGCATGTTGCGGATGGCCCGGTATTGAGACTGAGTCTTAGCGTCGGAGGCCTCCTCAGACTTTCCCTCGCCGATACCCAAAAGACCGTTGCCGTTACCGGCAATGGACAGACGGTAGGCACGGCGAACTTTACCCAGACGAGTTTGGTTCACGACAGAGTGGGAGACCAGGGTCTTTAACCGGAAGTCGCGCACCTGGTCTGCAGTGTAACCAGTGGCGAGGAGGAGGCTCCTGAGAGCATCCGTCATCTCCTCGGCTTCTAGTGATCGCTCCTTTTCGCCCTTCTCCGCCGCAGACTTTCGCTCTTCCGCACGAGGCTCGTCAAGGGTCTCCCCGGGGCCGAACAGATCGGGAACAAGAGCGCTGTGGGAGTTCAACTCATTTTCCTCCTTTCCATGGGTCAAGCGTAATTCGTCCGCAAACTTGGCAAAGTCTGCGCCTGTCGCATCGTCCGGCAGTTCGGCGAAGAAGCGACCAAAATCTTTAACAAAGTCATCTTCGCTCTTGAACTTAAAGTTATAATCCGAATTCGACTGAGGCGATCTTACGTGTCGGTCGATGCCGGGCTCGATCACGGAGAAGTCGTCCACGTAGTTGAGTTTTAAGGGGTCGTCACGTTCGTTCAACTGCTCAGCCAAGTCTTTGGGATCAATGGCAGCCTCGCCAGCCTCGACAGCTTCCAATTGCGCTGCCGAATACTCCTTGGCCAGGTGAGCCTTCTCTTCCTCCGTGTAGGGCTTGAAGTCCGTTGCTTTCGCAGAGCTTGTAGCGGACTTCCCAAGAGCCTTGATGACGGGACCGCCGGGTTTGGGACGGTCGTTGAGTTGCGGAAGCGAAGGGTGGAACTGGCGCCGGGGGACTCGCGTGCTTTGCGTGGCAGCTCGGGAGAAGCTGCAGAACACGCATCTCGCTGGCCTGGCGAAGCTCATCGATAAGAGATTTCAATAGCTCGTTAGCTAGCAAGTATCGCTAGCCACGAGCTCAGGGATTGAAGGACAGGGCACGGGAATCAACAAACGGCGGATACAAGAGCGCTGGCGAAGAAACGGGCGGAGGTCGACTCTCGGGAGGAATTTCTCGCACGGCCGGGCGGTCAGTACACGGCCAATCAACAGCACGAAAGATACAATTTCTCATAAATTTCCCAAAATGTGGAAAGCTCTCTTGAATCTTCGCGGAGGGAATCGCAATTCAAGTAACTTGATTATTACATGTTTTCCACGAGGTTGCCAACTTCCCTATTGTACAATTTCTGGTCCACTACAGTCCGCTCAAAAAGACAAGTTCAGTTGCCTCTGAGAGCCGTTTCTCCCTCGCAGTACGGGTTTGCGACAACCGTCTCTGCGAAAATGCCGGGCAACCCTAGGAAACAATTCGGAGGCAATTTTCGCAAAAGGGCGAAGGTCGACAAGAAGAGCAAAGGCGGTGACCACGACGAAGTGCTCCTCGCAGATGTGAACGAGCTGATCAAGCGAAACCGTCCCGACGAAGACCCTACCTCTGACGACAATGGAACCTCGCCGTCAGTCACCCTCCCCGAAACTTTCACCGAGATCGAATTGACGGTCTCCGATCTTTCCTCGACGGGAGATGGTCTTGCGCTATCAGAGAACAAGGACCATGTCTACGTCGTACCCTTCACAGTCCCTGGCGACAAAGTGCGCGTAAAGGTCATCCGCCATTGTCCCGCTCAATCATACACCATCACCGATTTCCTCAGTGTCATCGAGCCCGGCCCCCAAAGAAATGACTCTCTGATCAAGTGTCAATACTTCTCCAAGTGCTCCGGATGTCAACTTCAAATGATGTCCTACGAAGATCAGCTTGCGCACAAGCGGCGCATCGTAGAGAAGGCGTATGCCAACTTTTCAGGATTGATCCCAGAGTTGGTCCCTGCTGTCGATGACACTTTCCCGTCACCCATGCAATATGGGTATCGTACAAAGCTCACTCCACATTTTGCGCACGGGGGCGCGAGGAAAAAGTCGAATGCAGATGGCCAGGAATCCCAGGAAGTTCAGGTTCCGCCCATCGGCTTCTGCTATAAGAATCGCAGAGCGGATATGGATATCGAGGATTGTCCCTTGGGAACGGATATTGTTCGTCGTGGTCTCAAGAGCGAGCGGAAACGTGTTGCGGAGAACATTCGCTCGTACAAGAAGGGTGCCACTCTTCTGATGCGCGAATCCACTTCTCGCATCAGGAAAGATGAGTCCGGCGCTGAGACGGAACAGAAAGACTTGAACGGACTCACATCAACAGCCGGCGCTGACACTGGCGATGTCATCCGTACTGATCGTGGGACATATATTGAGGAGAAGCGCTGCATTACCGACAATAATGCCACAACGGTCGAGTACGTTGATGATTACATCTTCAGCAACAAAGCCGGTGCATTCTTCCAAAACAACAATTCGATCCTCTCCGGCTTCACGGACTTCATCCGCTCTCATGCCCTGCCCCCAAACAACGATCAAGATCCCACCCCGATCAAATACCTTCTCGATGCCTATTCCGGTTCTGGTCTTTTCACAATCACACTTTCAACGATCTTCAAATCCAGTCTCGGTGTTGACGTCGCTGGCGACTCCATCGTCTCTGCTCGCGAAAACGCCAAGGCCAACAACTTGCCCAATACTGGCTTTGCTGCCGCCGATGCCGCCGTTCTGTTCAAAGATGTACCCTACCCAGCTGATCAGACACTCCTTGTGATCGATCCTCCCCGCAAGGGTTGTTCCGATGACTTCCTCCAGCAATTACTCGCTTTTAAACCTCGTCGCGTCGTTTACGTGAGTTGTAATGTGCACACTCAAGCTCGTGACGTCGCAGTCATGGTGCAGGGCGATGAGAAGCAAGATGTGCGCTATGAGATTGAGAGCATCCGTGGCTTTGATTTCTTCCCTCAAACTGGTCATGTGGAGGGTGTGGCGATCTTGAACCGTACTTCTTTCCCTAAGAATGAGGCGGCTTCATGATACTTTGTACTTACCGATATTTTAATGTGAGAACACCTACCTATACATATCTCACGTTTTCGGCAAATTGGAGTGTACGCGAGGCTGATAGCCTGTACTTCATCATTGCTGGCTGTTGGCGATGTCTTCTTCAATCACACAATAAAGATCTCGAATTGAACGATACATTGGCAATTCATGAAAGCTTGCTTTTGGCCACGAACGCGACACAGTGGATCCCACCCATCCGCCCTGCTTGCAGACGAATACAACAAGTCGCAGGTATCGAGCGCCAAGTTGCTCGATGTAGTACAAAGAAGATTTTAAGAAACGGATTCGAGAAATAACAGGCTCAGAAAGACGAAATGGAAGACTAGTGGGACTATGAACAGAAGTAAAGTGACCTGCAACCCCTGCTGTTTGACAACATGATAATAAGGCAACAAGGATACGGACCAAAAACTATGAACTTCCGGGCCCACCCAACAGGGCGAATCGTCGCACAATGCTGGGACCGATCTCGTCATATTCGGCCTTGGTATGGCAATAGCTTCGGAACTCGGGCGTCTGACCCAGCAGGCTGCCTCCGAACCAAGGACCGTGTCGCTGGCGCTTATGCGTGACAACTGCAACATCAAGACCACCACTGCGCGCACCGCCACTGCGAGCCTCAGAGGCACGAATTCGTGCATCAACTAAATGACGGATATCACGCTGTAGGCGACGTCCAAAGTCCTTGTACAGGGTTGAGCCACCAGAAAGCACAATGTTCTTGTACAAGCCTCGTCGCACATCGATAGGGGAGGACTGAATCACGCCGTCCACAACGTTTGGAAGCGGGGTCAGGAAGTCAGAAGAGTAAATTTCGGGGTTGAAGAAGATTTCAGGAGCAAGGAAACGTTCATATCCAACATCGATGGAAATACTGCGGCCATTGGGCGAGGTGACGGTGTGTTTGAGGAAGCGGTCGGGCTCACGATCGTAGCGAGCGAATTCCTTGACGATGTCGGGGCTCACGTAGCAGTATTCTTCCTTCACTTTCTCGGCCGTCTTCAAGCTGCTGTCGGGCTCCCCGCGATCACGGAGCAAGCTTTGGACAAAGTAGGTGATATCACGACCGGCGATAGGAATGCTTTTGATGGAAGATCCAATGACATAGCCCTCTGCAACCGGAATGACGTGGGTCACACCATCACCGGAGTCGATAACAGTGCCAGTAAGAGAACGGTCGGTAACCTTTGATGAAGTCCAAGAAGCGGCCAAGGCAAGCACAGCTTGCACAGCAATGTAAAGACCGGCACAGTTGAAGGACTCGAACATGATTTCGGCAGTGTTCTCGCGGTTCTCGGGGGGTTCAAGGGCTATGAACAGTTCAGTGTTAGAAGGAAGCCAAGCAACAAACATGGAATGCGGGGAAGCCGCCGGGATCGATGCAGGCAGTCATACTGGCTCAGTCAAAAGAAAGTAATGATCCTCGGGCTCTACACGCAGGTACTTGAAGATCGAGTTGGACCAGAATCGCTCCATGTGATCCCAATTCTCAATCTGACCGTGGCGGATCGGATAGTTCACGCCATAACCGGGACCGCTACCGGCCGCGAGTGCCTCATCTCCAATAAAAAAGTCCAAATCTTCTGTTCCACGCTTTGCAGACAAATGCGAGCTACCTCCGCCTCCTCCGCTCAGGAAGGTTGGCTTGCTCGCAACAGCAGGTCGTGAGCCCGTGGAGCTTCCAGCGCTCCCGGCACCGGCCTTTGTTGCGATTGCAGTCGGGAAGACAAACGAGGGTGAATCGTTACCGGCGAAACCTGATAATCGCCGGACGCAGAGATGTCAGCCATGGGCGAACAGAACAATTGAGTCTTCCACTTTGCGATGCCATGCACCCGAGCGCGAGGCACCTACCTAACTTAGAGTAACCGGTACCGCTGCATCGCAATTGATTGTTAGCTTTGGTGCCAATTTCCAGGGTCCCACAGAACTTACTTATCCATGACAACGGCGGGAGTTTGAGACGCCATGGCGAATAGCAGGGCGCAATGCCAGTTCAGTCACTAATGGGGAAATGCTGGAGATCTCTTGAAGGGGGAGGGGATATGAGGTCAACCGTGGCGGAGCTCAGGCAGACAAGGCGGGGAGAAAGCTTTACGTAAGCCTTCTACATACGACCCAGCTGACCTTAGGTAGCCCGTCTGTCCAGACCGCCCGCTTTAGCTTCTGATCAACGTACTGTCGCGCTGGTCCTCAAATAAACATGGCATTCAGGGCGTAGTCCGCATGAACGGATAACATTGCTTATTGACCACGGCTGGAGCCGAGCTTTCTGTAGGTTGCAGAACTATGAGCCCTGCAATCTACTATTGTTCTACATAGCTCAAGGCTTGAAATCAATCACAATGATTATAATGTACAACATGCACATGGCCCATACTTCTACTGAGGCACTACCTGGCCGCAATCAAACAAATTGAGTCACGTGAATGTCAACCCGATGGCTAGTTTAGATATTTTCTAGAAGCCTGCAGATATACTTGTTTTGATGAGCCTCGCTTGTTTCAGATGGAGTCGAGTTTCAAGCCATCTAATGACTGCATCATCCAAGATCAGGATACGATCAGTCTGTGAGATTTTCCATTGCAGGCACTTACGTTATTGCCGTATCTTCCCCTGTAGTAGTTCCAACTGATCAGAACAGAAGTGGAAGGAGCGACAGAGCAATGGCTTCACCATAATGACCGAGTGCCTCACGACACATCAACAAACAATTGGTTTGCTTCACCACGTCTTGTTCAATCTGAACAGAACGCGTCCTCGTTTATCGTTATCGTCTTATCGTCTATACCTGGTACCACCTGTTTGTTATGATCTTTTTCTCGTGTTACTATTTTGCATCCCAAACAGCACACTCTCATTCCGGTCTGAAAAAAACCATCGTTGAATACTACCAAACACAACGCTTTCTTGTATCGGTTCAAAAACATCATTCACACCTGACTACAGACAAGTACCCTATCGCATCGCTTGCACTCCTTTGCGACGCTTTCAAAGGGTGTGAATTTTGATTTAAGTCCATCACTTTGAAAATCTTCGGAGGGGCTGCAACTCAACAACCCTCACTTCTGACCCAGCCTGTCGATTGTTGGCCTTGCCCAAGGCGTAAAATTTCCTGGTTACTGTCACTCATTCTGCGTCACAATACATTGCCTTGACAAGAGATTTCTCAGGTCACAGGCCCAGCATGGCCAACCATCGGCAGACCGAACATCTTTATGCTATCTTCGTGCACGCCGGCGCTGGCTACCACTCGCACGATAACGAAGAAATGCACTTAGAGGCCTGCAAAAAGTATGTACTACTGGTACGCATTGGCCGGAACAATAACTGACTGATCTCACTCTTAGTGCGGCCGAAGCTGGAATGAACATTCTGCGCAGTGGCGGCACTGCAGTTGATGCTGTGGAAGTGGCCATCATGACATTTGAGGACACCCCTGTCACAAATTCCGGCTATGGTAGTAACCTCACTGCCTCTGGAGAAGTGGAAGGTGATGCCACTATTGTCGATCATTTCGGACGAAGCGGAGCTTGTGGAGCGGTTCCTAGTAAGACTTCTCTCCTTTCAAATCCTCTGTCCTGCCGAGGAAACTTGGCTAATCCGTCACATAGCTGTCAAAAACCCAATCATGCTGGCACGCAAAATCTATGATCAAGCCCACTCCGCTCCAGGAATTTCTCGTATTCCACCCAACCTCCTCGTGGGTCAAGGGGCCGCTGATTTTGCCTGGGATAATGGCCTCCTTCTTGTCGACCCTGAGCATCTCATTGCTCCTGGGCCTAGAGCTCGCCACGAGACCTGGTGCAAGGATGTTGCAGCTTTTGAATCAAAGAACCCCGACAGTGGCAAGCGCAAGAAATTTCTGAAATGGATTCGTCGCCCCGGCATCCGTACCTTGGACCAAACTGACATCCCGGAGAGCGACACAGAAAGAGTTTCTCCTGCATCTTGTGACTCACGTGTGCACGGGAATGGATCTACTCGAATTGGTCGTCCGGAAAGTCCAGAAGACTCAGATGGCCATGGCAGCGGGTTCCATTCCGAATCACCTGAGGTCGTGTCTGGAAGCTCACAGGAGTGTTCGGAGTCGGCTTCGGCTGACCACAAGGTAACAAGCCCATCCATTTCGCCCACGCTCTTCATTGTCAACTGACCTTCCGTTGAATATGCAGAGCGACCCTACGGCGTATCAGCAGAATGCTCCCCCGAAGGACGATCAAGCCAATTCTCGCGTGGACCTTGGAAACTTGATGGACCCAAAAACTGACAACAATGACAAGATCACAGATACTGTGGGGGTTATCGCAGTTGACAACCTCGGTAATATCGCCGCGGGATCGTCTTCTGGAGGCATCGGCATGAAACATCGAGGCAGAGTTGGTCCAGCCGCTCTTGTTGGCATTGGCACTTATGTGCTTCCTGCTAACCCAGCTGATCCTGATAAGACCACCGTGGCTACCTGTACCTCGGGCACTGGAGAGCATATTGCCTCCACCCTCGCTGCCAGTACTGCCGCTAGACGGATTTACTACTCCCAATGCAAGGACAGTGAAGGACACCTCGTGAGCGTGTGCGAGGAGGAGGCCCTCGCCGACATGATCAAGCATGATTACCATGGTATGTCTCCCATATTCACTAAAACACTAATGAACACAAGAAGTGTTGACATGGATAACGTCAGGTCACCCTGCTCTCATCAATACCGAGATCGAGGGCTCGATTGGTATCATGTCTGTGAAGAAAGACATTGAAGGCATCTCGTTCATCTTCGCCCATAGTAGCGACTCTTTTGTCAGTCACCACATATGCTGTTTGGTGGAAGTGACGCTGACCGAATTCTGCAGGCGCTTGCGTCAATGTCAAGCTCCGACGAGGAGCCTTCTTGTCTTATGTCTCGAATCACACGATCTGGAGCTACCGCTTTGGGAGGGCTTTACTTCGAGTATCCTGCGTAAGTCACACCGGCCTCCGAGATGCCTTGACTGAGGCTAATTATGACCATGTTTGCATGCCACCATTAGAGCTGGAATCCGACTTCAAACACAGAACTTTGATTGAGAGACAAGGCGACCGCCGCCCGCTTTTGGAAGGATCCCAGATAGCGTTCCCCGAACCTGATTCACCTGCCGGGTCTCAATTTGCTTGTGGCAGAATAATAGCCTGTTTGTCTATGTCGTGGCGAAGTTCAAGTTGTCAGCATAATGTCGGGGTATTCAATTGTTTATTCGCGGGTTGTTTCTGGGTTACTGATACCGACAGTCCTCTATGACTGATGGGGCTGTAATGTGTTTCTGAACGACGAGCATGACTGATACGTTTTTCCACTGCCCTACCTATATCAGTGCTGTACATCGCTCTGATCGGTGCTCAAATCCCAATCGTTCATGATCTCCTTGTGTTTGCCGTAGCATGGGCCTGCACTCAGCGTGCTTGCTTGTTACAGCGTCTTGATTACAGGGCATACGTCGATTTCCACGCGATCTCTAGGTAATCTGGGGAATTTTCACAAACTGATACCACAAGACTTGAGAATTCGTTTCATTGCGTCATAGCGTCAGCCTGATAGAGGCAGGAATCCAGTTCCTCGAATCTAGCGAAGATAGGAGGGGTGGTGTCAAAATCAGGGGAATTGTTCTTGGTCTACTTCCTCAGTGGTTCATTTCACCTCAGCCGAAGCCAGGAGGTGGAGTCCCCGTTGACATTGGCGTGCCGACCGTGGAGGTCCCGTTCACACGCTTCTTTTTCTTCTTTTTTCTTGGAATGAGGGCCGGTTTCGAGCCGAAATCACCCACGTCGAGAGGAGTCCCGCAGGTCAGGCACTCGTTGTCAGGAGGTGGCTCGCAGAAAATACTGAGACAGATAGAGCAGACATATCCGATGTCCACGACCCGCCGATGGCAAAAGCACGCCGCTCGGAAATCCACATCCACGCGCGTCGGTAGAACGAGATGTTTCCGCGAGCGCTGGTCGGGAAGAAACGCCATCATCAGATATTGTAACAGGCCGCGTGGTTCAGAGAGTGCCATGTAGACGCCCTTTGTCGCGTCGCAGGCCTGCTGCAAGAAGACCGCATCGCCGCTCAATTTGCACACGTCGATGGGGATATGTAATCGCTGACAGGCGAAAATGCTGTTCATCACCGGGATATACTGATGCGCCGAGTCACTTGACCCGCTGACCGAGACGATGAGAATCCGGCTTTGGAGACGCTCCTCGTCGTTGGATGCAGAGTACCGCCCTGGTCCAGTGCTGCCTGCATTACCACCACCAGTGCCCCCATCGCCAGCGGCGTCTTCGAGGTCTGCACCGCCGTGCTTCTCAGCCCAGGCGATGGTCTGCCTGTTGATGTTGCTGAGAGCCAGCGTCAGAGCCCCCGCGAGCATGGTGGATGTGTTACCGCGTAGATCGTCGCTATTTGTCGAGTCCAGGAGTTGTTTCAATCTTTGTGTGACTCGTTCTTCGACCATGCGAAATGGTCGGTATTTGTTCGTCTGTGAGCCGGTTCCATTTTCACCGTTCATTGCGACGTCCCCGTCTGCGTCTGCTGGTTGTTGCTGAGAGACATCGTCATCGTGTACAGGGTAGAGCCAGGTAGCTTTTGTAGTGTGAGAGGCGACAACTGCGACTTCATTGGCGTAATTGCACGCGAGGTGGGCATTGATGAAGACGAGGAGGTTGGCGACGGCTTTGGTGAGCGGGAGGGAGCTCTCGAGAGAGGCCCAGGCGTGTGGATTGGTATCGAGAACGATAGTGAGCAGTGAGGGAGCGAGTTCTATGGCTTCGGTCAGTAACGATCAATGAGGATGAACTTGAAGACCGGCGAGAGGCTTGATACCTGTTGCATTGAGCTCGTAGTGCTCAGATGCATCGACGGAGTTCATGATGCCATCTGGATCACAAGAAGTAACTAGCGATCGTGATGGGTGAGACAAGCTTCACGATAAGATAAAGATCAAAGACGGTCACGAGGTGATAGCGCCGATCATCTCTCGACGAGTTCTCCCACATCATCCGTTCCATGATTCCCGGGGCACTTGCCCGAGCGCCGAACTTACTACTCTTGCGGTCTACCGTCTACAATCTACATACCTGGCACTGGCAGCCTTGATCTTGGTAGAAACAAAAGAAAAAAAAGTAAAATGTTTTTTCTGGATCTCTTCGCTAAGACACGAATACTGTGCCACACAAGACGTTAGCTTAAGGATTGTGAGATTTTTCAATTGACATGCTCGCGTTAGTAGTATCCTGGAAAACATATCCTTGGGCTGGACTGGGGCTGCTTGGTTTGTTCGTGGAGGGAGGTCCATTGAGCGCTCTTCATTTATTACAATATTGGGCAGTGGGCACTTCCACTTTCATGTAGGCGGAGTCGTAGACTTCCAATGGCAAGCTTGAGATTATTCTTTTGTCGGGACTAGGCTAATAGGCTTCGATACAGGCTTTGAAACGGAGTCTGAGTTCCCACGGCAGTAAGTGCCCGTGGAAGCAAACGGATGGAACTTCCATTTCAACTTGTAATTCCCGATCCCTGGGCTGGTTGATATGTCCAAGATCACTCCAGTGCTTACTGCTTCAGTGCTTAGGAGTTACTACAGACGATGTGCGCCCAGCCTCAGGGTGCCATTTGATGTTTCATCGGGTCAATGGCTAGCCTAAACGATTCATGTCCATCCGGCCGTGTGTATCAATCTTAGTACGACACGGAACGCCCATGGCCAAGGCTGGGGAGTCGGGACGATGGTTGGGGAGGAGTGTATGGCTGTGCGGTGTGCGGAAGTGCAGTGATGCACTATTCAGCAGACGAAGTACACCTATATGATGGTACTCGCCGACTCGGACCCAGGACACTTTACTCAGAGCCAAAATACTGTCTTCCATGTTTCCGGAATGAAGTCCTCTTGGCATTTTGCCTGAGATTATTCAGATTATCACGCCTGCATAAGTCCGACTCGGAAATCCAGCAGCTTTTATGTAGTATGTACTATACACTATACAGTATGCTTAGTCGAATGTAAATTCAAGGGCATGCGCCTGTGGATAAACACAGGAGACCCTATCCAAAGTCTCCGTATTCCATAGACCAACGGGGGGAAGATACATCTTGTTTAAGGTTAATGCTTGGCAAAGGCTCGCTACGAACTTCCTCGAATCAGCACGTCAAATGGGTATCAACTTATCCAGGATGGACGGAGAAGGGTTGTGTTCCTTGACGTCTCCGGTTTGGACGGACTAATCGGGCCGTCGGGACTTGTACCGCGTTTAGCTCATCCTGCCAGGATGGTCACCGTGGCTCGCGTCGTTCGCGCTCGACCGCCCATTTATGAGTGTCGCCCTCGGGCCCTCCCCTTCCTGGAGGTCCAGTCAGTGACGTTGTACATGCAACTCAGAGACCTATCAACTGCGCCCAGCTGATCATGCAGAGTCAGAGCTGACGAGTTGAGCAGATCCGGGGGAGACCAGGCCGGTATGACTGTCGAGTCGTCGACTCGTCGAGAAGCCGCGGCCAGGGTTTCCAGTTTCCACTGTTCCAGTATGATTCTAAGTTGTGGTTATCGGGCAACGTGATGACAGGCGCCGTTGTGGTTGGTCTTATCACGGCGATTGATAATGAGCATTGGTGGCAGTAATAGTATTACCGCCAGCAGGGCACGAATCAGCGATGACTGATAGGGCGAATTGGAAATGTGGCGTAAATTACACCATCGTGGTAATCGAGGACGGTCAGACATGGGAGGGAGGCGGACGCCGCGGATCAAAGCACCAGTTGACCAGAGATCCCGTCCAAGGTGCAGTACTAAGTTAGTAGTGATGGCCTCGGAGATAACTACAGTAAGGGGCCAAAGCACCGACGGTGCCAAACTTTCAGTCTCGTATGGTAATGGCAGTGCCGTATCGGCGTATGGCGTATCGTGGCTTGATTATGCCGAAGCAATCACAATCCAATGAATCCATCCCTGCCACACCTGGAGGGGGCCCCGCAATACCGACCTCCGTAATGGGTCTGGTAATACACCATGCAGGATGCATTGTTCGTCCCATTTGATGTATACGTCCTCCCTCCCGGCAATCTGCAATCTGTAAATCCCAAAGCCAAGTGGGCCAAGAATAAATCATTGAAAGATCGACGCAAATCGGCAGGAAGTGTCGATGTTGCTCTCACCTCTCTTTCAAACTTCCAGGCCTGCTTGACGTGGCTTCTTCAACCTTCATCTCTCCAAAGACACGTTCGCGGCTCCGTGGATCTGATAAAACCTGCGGTCCTCCTCCCGCTCGACACTTGGTGCTTTTAGTGCCACACTCATCTTTGTGTCTCCTCTATTCCTGCTACACTTATCTCCACTTTATCCGCGGCCCTCCTCCCCCTCCATTTTCCGAACGGCAGAAAAAAAAAACCACTGCGAGCTTCCAGCAGACGTGTTCAAAAAAGACGAACGCGATTCTCGAGTTTCTTCGAAACCTTCACTTCTCCCCCAACGCCGGAACCGAAGTCACTCTTCCAGACCCTTTCTTGCAGCGTGCTCCCCGCGCCATCACGGCAATGGTTCAAGCAACGGGCGAAGAGCGCGCTGTTCACCTGGCACGGGAGGCTGTCGAGCTGTTCGATGCTGGTCACCGCGATGTAAGTCAACCCGGAAGAGGTTCGTGAAGAATCAAACGAGAGTCTGATCGATTCTTCTCCCTGTAGGCCGCCTCCCGAAATCTGAGAGAGGCGTTGTGCATTTCAAAGGACAACACCGCCGTGAAGGCCGCTCTCCTTAAAATCCAACAGGAAGAAGAAAGTGGCCACCCGCTCCTCGACCTCTGCCGCCGGTACACAGCTCGCAAGGACGAGATCGCCGGAAAAGATGCCGCAGCCTACCTCCGCACTGATGGCCTGAAGCCTCCCGAGAATGTCGCCTTGGAGGCGCTGAAACTTCTTCTCGATCAGCGGGCGCAGTCACTTTCAGAAATCCAAGACGAGATCATCTCGGGACTGGTCCGCCAAAATGTCAGCGTTCGTCAATACTTCTCCGATCAACTTCAGATCTCCGTGACGACTTTCTTCGACGAAATCTATGATCGCGGAGACGGCGCCGCGGTGTGTCTCGACACAGTGGTCTTGGACCCGCAAGTCTGGCCCTGCGAGGACAAGCGTCTCCACTGCGAGAGTGAACTCTTTCAGCTATTCTTGGCCAAATTGATGGAATCCGGCCACGACCTCGACGGTCGCGCTTTGAAGGGAATTACGCGACTGCTGGCGGTCGACGCAAGCCGCTTGCAGCATTTGGTCGATGAGGAGGAGTTCGAGGTCATTCTGACCTCTCTGGACAGTCGACTCCCTCTGGAGCTGCGCAGCCAGGCTACCTTGGCTACTGCCAAGTACCTGGACGTGGCCAAGGAGACCGGTGAAAAGCAGTTCAGCACTTTGATCAACGCCAAAATCGCCAAAGGTCGACTGAATGACCTGATCATCGCCTTCTCTGCCGTCGCTGCGGTTTTCCCAGTAGCTCCTGGTGCCGCGGCGGGTATCTTCTTGTCCGAAGAGTTCACCAAGGCTTTGGGCCCCCTCGTGACTCGGGACGCCACTCGCAAAAGAGTCGAAGTCTCCATCTTGGACTTGCTGAATGCCGCTTGCATCGATCGAGCCTGCCGGGAATATGTTGCAAAGAATTTCTCGGACTGGTTGTCGCATACTTTGACCAATGGAAGTGACGAGGGCTCGGAGCTGGCTGCGGTGGTGCTGGCGAAGATTCGCGCCTCCGAACCCACCCAGTCCGCGACCAAGAATGGTGAGGCCCAGGAGGAGACTGCAGGAGTCACGGACTTGGTGCAAAGATTTAAGGGACTAATGACTGAATCCAAGGTTGAAAACATTTCGCACGCCGTGGAGGGTCTGGCTTACTCGTCTGTCGAGCCCTCGGTCAAAGATCAAATTGCCAAGGACCCTCAGTTTCTGTGCAGTTTGATCAGCGTCTTGAAACAACAAACCAGCGAGTCTTCCGTATTATATGGTGGTCTTGTGATCCTTTCCAATCTCACCCAATTTCTTCCCGCCATGTCCGAGGAGCAGAAGAAGATGTCCCAGCTGAAGAAGTACGCCGATGCTTCTGCCGGGCACGCGCGCGCTCCTACTGATCCCCGTGACGAAGATGAGGCAGTGCTTGATCGGTGCGGGGCGTTGATTGATGCCGGGGTTATGGCACTCCTTAGCGAGTGTGGCCGACTCGCCTCTCCGTCTGTCCACGACTTGACCGCCAAGATCATGTTGGCCCTTGCACGGAGAACCAAATCGCGAGGAGCGTTGGCTCAACAAGGCGCAATCAAGCTGCTGCTGAGTCTTTCCATCACGAAGCCCACCCAATCCAACACAGCCTACGAAACAACCCGGAACGCCTCTCACGCATTGGCTAGAATTCTGATCTCGGTCGATCCTTCACACATATTCCCATCGACGGGATTCCCTCAGGCGACCTCTCCTGTTCGACCATTGCTTTCACTTCTGGCCTCCCCTGGTGGCGCTACGATCTCTGTGGACCAGCCTCGTGATCTTCTGCCCATCTTTGAGAGTCTTCTTGCTTTGACCAATCTGGCATCCTACCCACGTGATGATTCCCCGGCGGAGTTGATTGTGCGCGAGGGCTGGTCGGTCATTGAAGAGCTGCTGTTGTCCAGTAACTCTCGTGTGCAGCGGGCTGCTTGTGAACTGGTATGCAACCTGATGACCTGTGAATCCGGCATCATCAAGTTTGCCGATGCTACGAAGAGAGCTTCTCAACGACTTCACATCATGCTCGCTCTTACCGATGCAGACGACACGGCCACTCGGCGTGCGGCAGGGGGTGCCATTGCTATGCTGACCGAGTTTGACGCGGCGGTGGCGGCCGTTCTAGAAAGACCTGGTGGAGTTGAACTGCTCATTGGTCTCTGTCAAGACGAGGATGATGCTCTGGTCCACCGAGGTGTTGTGTGTCTTCAAAACCTCACCACGGCCTCGGGCGACATTGGCGAGCGTGCCAGAGCCGCTGTCCGTTCGGCAGAGGGCGTTGAGGTTCTGACCACTTGTCTTAAAAAGACGTCCAACCCCGCTATCATCCAGACTGGAGTTGAGGCGTTGAAGCCTTTGGTGCAACCCTCGAAGTGCTGAGCCAGTTTTGGTTCCATGCTCTTTGCCCTCTCTGAATACCGGGGGGTTATCTGGCTGAGCATCTTGACGGTCAATACTGCGATGATTCATGCATTTTCTTGGGGATCCTGGCACTTTGGAGTCCTGTTCTTTTTTTGGGTGAGGCGTCTGATCATCGAGGAGTTTTCTGCATCTTGCTTTTGGTGTTCCTGCTGGTGTCTCTGGTCTGTGGGTCTTTCTATTGTTGTTTATTTTTGCTTTTTGCTTTTTGCTTTTTCCAGTCAGACCTTGTTTGTGTAAAAGGGGGGCTTCACGAATACCCCGCCGTTGGAGTCACGAGCAACATTACCGAGTTGAGCGATTTGTGTTTCTTCTTCTTCTTTTTCTTCTTCTTCTTTTTCTTCTTCTTCTTCTCTTCTATTGCTTGTGCTTGCTTTTTCTCTCTTCCGGCTTTCGACATGGAAGGATTTTTGCCCGCTCTGCCATTCCTAGTCTTTTCTGCGAGGACTTTCTACATCTTCAATACCATGACTTTTATGAGTTTGTGGTCATCTTGCACTGTAATTGGGCTAATCGTGGTGCGCACTCGGGGAATCTGGCTGGTGGCAACTGATTCTTTCCGCGGCCATCAGATGCTTCAGAAGCAATTGATGTCAAACTGATTTGTGAGCCACAACCCAAGTTGCTCCTGTAGATCGAGATCAATTGGCGGTCAATTTGAAGCCCCTGTGAGGCACGACAGAAAACCTTCGTTGCAAATGCAGCGCTCTGAAAGCTCTGGGGTGGCCGTAGCTATTTGCGCAAGCGGGGACTGGCTATGTGTTCCGATTTACTGTCAGACTAGGTAGAGGCCCCTGTTTTCCACAATAGAGCGGTCTTCGGCCCCCCCAAATGATCACTTTAGACAATGTCTCGAAGGGCATTTGGTCCGGAGGAAACTTCTTCAGAGATCAATGTGTATGACTATGCACAATATTGAGAGCAAAGTTGAAAGCTGCAGCACAGGAGTCCTGCCGAGAATGTGGACCATTGCAAGGGCGCACTTCCTGTATGAGCAGGTTGAAAGGTGTAGTAAGCCTCGAGAAGGAAATCTGGGGAAGATGCAGGCGCAGACTAACTTACTGACTTAGCGACTAGTATGCAGGCAAGGCTCCACCGCAAGTTCGGTGGGGTCACATGAGGCGTCGCCCGGTTTGAAGTGCATGTCAGGAGGGAAGGAGAATGTGAGATGGAGATCGGGAAGGACTTCCACTGAAACGATTCCAAAGATTTTTATCATTGCTCATAGCTTTGAAGTAGCTCGCAGTCGCACCATAGCAATTAAAAGTCCCGACAAGGGGGGAGGGGGAAGATATCTCGAGGTCACAAGACGTGTGCGCTTAACCAGGTTGACCAACCGTGTCCCCCCCCCCCCCTAACATGATGATTTACCCATCGCTCAACGTGCTACACAGTACATGAGTACACACACTTTCCTTGCTCGAGTCATGGTCAAGACAGTTTGTACACCTACTCAGTTCCGGTGGAGGCTCCTCGAGTCGAGGTCACGAGGCCACCGGTTGAAGCAGCCACCGCCTGCGAGTACCCCAGCGCGGCACCTACATACTATGCGATCCGTTGAGGTGATCAACAGGCAGCATCTGAGCATACTACTACTCTCCCAACAAAGCACTATCAAGAGAAGAATATGAAAGATATACGGAATGCCAGTGGTTGAGCAGCTTAAGGTATCGGCATCCCCGACAAGCCCTCATTCCTTTGTGCTCAGACCTATGAATCACACCTGGTGTTTTATCTCTGACCAGTCAGACAAAGCACCATCGAACCTTGGAGCGATGGACATGGATACTGACAAGAAACGGGAGGTGAACTGACTGACTAATTCAAGGATATTACTGCCACTGGGCCTGAACATGGACCGAAGCCCTCCAGAGGATACCTACTGTGTAGTTGCTGGAATGTTTGCATGAGTAACTAAACAGTTTCGTTAATATCGACCTCTTAATATTACGTTACTCCACGCTGACTCTGGCAGACCCGGTTGATCACGGGATCCAGAGCGGTGCTGTACTCATGTACTGTAGTAGTAGTACTAGACTACTAGTAGTCGTAGGCTCAGAAGCTGTCGGTCATACTCAGAAGGTAGTAACCTAGTACACTCACTACCGATGTGGTACTCCAAGTACTTCAAGTTTTACCAGTAGCATGGTGAAATCCACTACTACCGCAGTACTAGTCCTACTGTACTACTGTGGCGTAGCATGCATGTACCAGAATAGAGTTGACCGTGCATTAGCTTCACCGGGCTTTTCTCACTGTCACTTTTCCTACGATTCTCTTCAAGGATAGCCAAATCATGTGACGGGAGCACATTCACCGTAGAAAACAGACTGGGAGTCCTGCTGCTGCATACCATACCCACTGGATATCATGCATGAAATCAAGATCTACGTCGTAGACTAAGCAGGAGGTACTCAAAACAACTGCAAAGTACAAAGTAGTAGGCATTGAGGCAAGTACATTCAATTTCCATCTGGAAAAAAGCCCCACTGGACCATACCGCTCTTCTCCCCGGATCGACAAATCACCGCTGCGGCTCTACGCACACATGCCGCCCGTTCGATCTCAGCCCTTCTGGAATCTCTTCCTCAAGTCATCATGATGGCCACGCCCGCGTTCAGGAGGGACAATCGACCCTGGGTGTGCCATATTGCGTGTCGATGAGTCGTCTGCACAGTACGTCCACTGTTGCTTTCACTGCTGGGTGCGTTCGGGCCCCCTCCGATCCATTCTAGGCCATTACCTCTTCCTCGTGGGATGCAGAATGACGCGCTTTGGTCCACCTGAAGTTCCGACTTTCCCATGACTGCGATTCATCCCTACACTTCACACCCGGCACCGTTCAACGGACCAAGTCCGTAGAAGCGAAGTGTCACCCGGTGCTCAACAGCGGAGACACAGTCGCTCCTCTTAGCCTCCTGGGTGCCTTCACCGCTGCACCGGGTCACCTTGTGAATGCGCCAGAGCGACCTGTTTGATTCTCCGTCGGTGGCCCACGAGCCTTCTCCTCCCGGCTCCACTTTCACGTCCTCCAGGTACGGGTCTGTAAGCATCTCTCCACTCAGTCATTTGATGATTGCTTTGGTCCAATTGTCCGGGCCTGCTTGTTGCTGTAGACGTGTTGCGCCAGTCAATTGCCCGTTTCCCCTGAAATACTGTACCTCTTCCCTCTTCCCTCCTCATGGCTTCTTCTCTGTTCCTCGCCCGTGTGCATCCATTTACCTGACTACGGCTTCAGTGGCCTCTGCGCCAGTGAACTACTCTCAACAAAGAAAGAATCACTCGTCCATACATCGTGTCAACTTCGGAGTGGAGACCAGCGGTGCCTCGGTGGCAAAATTAACTCCGGGCGGTGGAATTTCGAGTTCACGATCCAAAAGTCAAGTCCAAAGGAATCGGGTCTTAACCATTTTTTTTCTACTAGTCTTTTCTTCTCAGGCTGCAGCATTCTAGGTCTATCTGGGCATTCGACGTGAATTTCGGCGGCGCCCAGTATGAAGTTTGGCCGCAATCTGTCCCAATTCACTGTGCCTGAATGGAGTGCCTCGTACATCAAGTATAAGGCGTTGAAGAAACTTATCAAGTCCGCCGCCGAGCAGATCAAAGCCGGCCAGGAACCCGATTTAGCCGGTGAGTCGTCATGCCCGCAATCGCCCTCAACCAAAGCGCGCACTTGCACACGCGCGTGATGGCGACAGCATTCGGGGCATCAAAGTTGATAATTGATAGGTTTCTTCTACTCTCTGGATCGCAATGTCGAGGATGTCGATTACTTCTACAACAAGAAGTACGCCGAGTATGCCCGTCGGCTGAAACTGCTGGAGGATCGCTATGGCTACTCAATGGACGGTCGCCATCGCCTGGAAGTGGAGGATCGCCACGACCTGCGAGAGGCCCTGCTCGATCTGCGATACCATCTGCGACGCATACAATGGTATGGGGAAGTCAATCGCCGAGGCTTTGTGAAAATCACCAAGAAATTGGACAAAAAAGTCGGCATACAGGCTCAGAAGCGCTACCTGGAGACCAAGGTCGATCCCATGCCTTTTGCGACCAACTTGCGCGCTGTCAAGGCCCAGGAGCGCATCAATGGCTGGATGGCAGTCATCACAGAACAGTCCAAGGCAGACGAGAAGCGAGCTGACGATGCCAGCTCGACGCATTCGTCCCTGTCGCTCAAACGGGGTCCCACGCGACCTTACTTGAATCTGCCGAGAGAGGTCGTGACATCAGTGGACGAGGCTTTGCGCAAGGACGACGTTCACGTTTTACTGGAGCTCCTCGAGACTTTGAAAGCTGCTGCCGAGGATGCAGGCGAAGGCTTGGTTCCCAAGGTGTTGAAGGCACTGATTCAACGAGCCATCGTTCACCGCGCTCGCCAGTGCCTGTCCGCTCTCTTGCCTCAAGTTGACACCCTGGACGAGGACGATGACATCAACCGGCGAAGCTGCCTCCACCGTCTGGTCATCTCGATGGGGCGGGTTCAGTCGACCGGTGATTCGGAGCCCACCGCGTCTTTGGTCCTTGATTTCCCTCCCGAGACCAGTCGATACATCACGCCCGCAGCGCCCCCAACCCTCCAACCTCCACGATCGGTGCTCAGGGAAGCCGATTTGTCCCAGCAGCTTGGACGTGCGGAGCCGGCGGTCAACCTCCTCCAACACTTACTTGACGTAATGCGCCCCGACCAGCGGCGGTCATTGCTCGCAAAAGATCTTTCGGGTCGCACTCCCCTTCATTACGCCGCTCAGTATGGTTTCAAAGATGTCTGCGAGGTGATCATCGAGCGTTTGAAAGCGTGGGACATGTTTGACGTGAGCGAGGGTATTGACGGTACTCCATGGCAAGACAACGACGGCTGGGCTCCATTGCACTTGAGTGTGGTGGGTGGTCACCCGATGACCACCCGCTATCTCTTGGAAGCTGAGAATTGGAAAGAAACCCACGCTGCGGGGAATCGAGTGCGCAAGCAATGTCCCAAATCCTCTGCCGTACTTGCACTGGCCACCAAGGCCAACTTTGTGGATATTGTGCAGTTGCTGGTCAACGCCGGGGTCGATATCAATTATCAGGACGAACAGGGAGAGACCGCCTTGCACGTTGCCGCTCGTTTTGGTCACGATGAATGTGCCCGCATTCTGTTGGAGGGCAGCGAAGACCAAAAAGCTGACACAGAGCTGGCCGAGAACACCTATGCTTGGACACCGCTCTTCATTGCCTGCGTCGACGGGTCTTTGAGTGTGGCCAAACTGCTCGTCGAAGCGGGCGCTGATGTGGAGCGTTTTGATTCTTCCGGGTGGACAGCTAAGGAACATGCTGCTCTGCGAGGACACTTGGCTATCGCTCGGTCTCTTGCTCAAGTGAGCCCCGGTCTCCCCACCCGCGAGCCCGAACCCATCTCAGTTCCCCCCGAACGGTCGCCCCCAGCATCCTCATCGCCTCCAAGCCAGTCATCCTTGACCGATCGTCGGTCCAACACTCCCGGCCCAACGTCGGGCAACAATTTTCGAAATGCCGAGCCCATCAAATCCTTCGGCCATCGCTATCTCACTGATGAGACCATGGTCCTGGTCAGTCTGGGTACAATGGATATGCGCAAGCCACTGGAGACCGTGAGCCTGGATCAAATTCCAATGGAAAACGCCCATGCCACGCAGTTGGACACCGCGCTTTCCATGGTGATTACCGCCAGCGGTGCTCATGGCGAGCCCGAAGTCATTGACCTGCCCGTTCAGGAGAACATCTCCACCGAGCCGATCGTGTTTCACACGACCGATGTGAGCAAGGTCCGGCTCCTCTTTGATTTGGTCCCCACATACTCGGGATCAAAGGACCAAATCGTCGGCCGTGGTGTTGCCCTTCTCTCCAGCGTCAAGCCTGAAGTTAGTTCTCATCGGATCACGCTCAAGGGTGATTCCACTATTCCCATTGTTGCTGCCAGCACTTTGGAAGTGATTGGGTCGGTGACATTCAACTTTTTGATCATCACTCCTTTCAAGCATCCCAATATGTCCATTACTGGCAATCAGACCTACTGGCGATCCATGAGCTCCACTATGGTCATTGGTCATCGAGGTCTCGGCAAGAACATGGCCAGTCGTAAATCGCTCCAGCTGGGTGAGAATACGATTCAGTCATTCATCGCCGCCGCTAATTTGGGTGCCTCTTACGTCGAATTTGACGTTCAACTTACCAAAGACCACGTCCCTGTCATCTATCACGACTTTTTGGTCAGCGAGACCGGCATCGATGCTCCGGTGCACACACTCACCCTCGACCAATTCTTGGAACTAGGCAAGAGCCGTCAGCGAACAGTACTTCCCCGTGGTATTGATGTGCAAGGAGCGTCGACCCTTGGCGCGCGTCCACGTTCTATGTCGGTTGGAGGATCCGAGTACGACCCGGCAGAGTTGACCGAGAAGATCAAGCACACACGTGATTTCAAAAAGAAGGGCTTCAAGGGCAACACTCGTGGAGAACACATCCAGGCGCCGTTTGCCACCCTTGAGGAACTTTTCAAGAAGATCCCGAACCCTGTGGGTTTCAATATTGAGTTGAGTGAGTATATTCTGCCATCCAAAGAACAGTTACATTTCGACGATCTAACCAAGATCGCCAGAGTATCCGATGCTCCATGAGAGCGAGGAAGAGGAAATGGACAGTTACGCTGTCGAGTTGAACTCCTTCGTGGACACCATCCTCACCAAGGTCTATGATCTCGGCCGTGGAAGGGATGTTCTATTTTCGAGCTTCAATCCGGACATTTGTCTTTTGTTGTCATTCAAGCAGCCCTCGATTCCCGTTCTCTTCTTGACTGATGCCGGTGCCTCTCCTGTCGGCGACATTCGCGCCAGCAGTCTTCAGGAGGCCATTCGTTTCGCGTCTCGATGGAACCTCCTGGGAATCGTCTCTCAGGCTGAACCTTTGGTGCTTTGCCCACGTCTTGTTCGTATTGTCAAGGAATCCGGCCTGGTATGTGTTTCCTACGGTACACTCAACAACGACGGGGCCAATGTCGATGTAAGTTCACAAACACAGCCAAAGCTATCTCGAACGTCGCCTCTGTGCTTGAAGTTAACTCTCTTTTCCTAACATTTAGTACCAAGTTGCGGAAGGGATTGACGCCGTCATTGTCGATTCTGTCCTCGGCATCACCAACGGGCTTATCCAGCGCCAAAATAAGGGCGAACGGACACCGGGACCTTCTCCGATCCCGGCACCCGTCGCTGATAAGTCCGCCATTCGGGTTCCTGTTCTTGAACAGGTCAAGCCGAACGAGAATATTCCCGACCCAAGCCCCTCGGCCAACATGTAGTTCAAGCTATTTCTTCTCACTATTATGGCCCCCTTGTTTGAAAATAGTGCTTTTTCGGCTGGACTTGATTCCTGCCGTGCCATTCACAAAGTCTTGCATTTTGATTGTCTATGTTTGATGTTTGATCTACTCTCTGTAGCAAATCCTCGTCTCGAGGATCATGGAGGCTTGTTGATAATACTTCCATACCGCCATTCCACAACCTCAATTTACATGCTGGCCGCGTTTGCATCAGCAGATCGCCTATCATGATCGGAAATACTTCAACTAACCTTTTTCACTCTTTGACAGCTTCGTATTGGAACATATCGTCTGCCTTTCCATGAAGTATAAGCGTCACTGGCGTTACCATTTCAACTTTGCGCCATACTTATACCCAGATCCTGCAACGCAAAAAAAAGTCTTTGCTCTAGCACTGAGTTCGGATAGCCAGTGTCTCCTGAATCCTCCCTCACAGCGTCCATCTCGTTTCATGGTTCCTGCCGTCAAACAGTTCCTGTGCCATACTTCACCCTAGCTGCTAACACACCAGGCTGGTCGATTTGACTATTGTGGAGGTCTGATCAACCCCTCTCGCGAAATCGTCCGTTCGTAGCAGTCCGAGTCCAACATGCTCAACATGCGCGGTGATACAAACGGAGCAAATGCGTGTCAACAAAGAAGGAGCAAAACTGAACGTTAGCCCAATGATCTTAGTCCGTTGCGAACCTCTCTGGTCATGTTGGAAATAAAACCAAGTGATATTAATTGAACGCTTTGGTCACCACTTCCACGAAGTGAATCTCGAAATCATCCGCTGGAGAATTCCAGAATGGAAGGGCCCGTACCTTTCACTCAATTCCTGATTTTCTAATACACCGACCCTATTGTACTTCGACTGGGCTCTCGATGAAAATTTCCTTGGGTTCTATCAGGCTCGGGAGGTGTGACTCAAAAGCTCTTCGTCTTCCAGAAGCTCAGCTGTTTTGTATTACTGATCAGTACGTAAACAATGAGAAAAAACGTCAATAGGAGCACACGCTTCAAGATAACAAATACACCACTGACAAAGGCTTCAAAGGTGAGCTTTGGTGACCCTGCAAAAAGCGGTAAAGAAGCGGGAGACTCGTCAAATCACGTCAGAAAGCTCCAACGTATCGCTTCAGAACAAACTGATCCCAGAAAGACAGAAAAAGAACGAAACATGCCGCACGGGAGGTGCTCATTTCTCTTCGGCTATATCTTGCTGAAGGCAAAGAAGGCAAAGGATTCAAAACGCATCAAACGTATCACCCATCGAAAATAAATCATACGCCGCATCGGACAGTGTTCTGCTCGAACTTTTACCTCAAGAAGTTCCATCATTCTTTGGGGTGGCCTTTTTTGTTGAGAACACGAGCCATCATATTTTCCGCAGGTGACTCTCTCGTGAATTCCGCGCGGGTGACGCCCCCAACTACCTCTGTCAAGGCACCTCCTGCCGTGACCATCAATGCCTTGAGGAAGCTTGGTACATGACTAGGCACACCTGGCACGACCCAGAGGACGAGGTTTTTGCGCGGCCTTGGCTCACTTTGATCGTCATCAGCCGTGCAACCAGGTATTGAAACATGGGGGCTCATGCCTACCTTTGTTGCACGTCACAAACACCTTTACCGTCCTGATCAGACAATTTCACGTCACAAGCGCCTCCATCATGCTGCGCAGGCATGTTGCTATTACTCCCCGACTGCTTTGAACTTTCAATGTCGTCACCAACCTCTTCCTCCATGCTCGCTGCTTGTGTAGTATACCGATTGTCCTCAGCATCAACCACTGGGGCAGCAGACTCAGTCACGACTTGCTCCTGGATAAGGCTCGTTAACAGATCGGCCGCAGCATTGGGGTGTTCCTGGTCTAAACTGCTAGTCGAAGCTTCATCCGTCGCTTCATTGGAATCAGCATGCGCAGGTTCGATCTGCCGAGGGGCGCGCTCTTGTTGGTCGACTATGCTTAACGTGTCAGAATTGATTTGCACACCACTGACCAGTGGGGTGTGCAGCACATCAGGCACGCTTTCGTGGGGTACGCCAAGTTGACTGTCAACACCATTTGTGAGAGTCTCTTCACGAGGCGGCGGAAGTGGAAACCGAGCAAACAAAGTTGACGCAATAAGACGCCGGTGAAAATCAGCTACCGCAGGAGATGATGGCGCATTGATGAAAGTCTCTTCGAGCTGCCTGATAGTTTCAGATGCACATCGGTGCGCCCTTGTATACCATTGAGCAGCAAAGCTGTTGGGGTCATGTGCTGGAGCAAAAAAAGGGCTCGCACGGAGTATCTGAAGTAACTGCTCATGATATCGGAGCCATTCAATGGCATGGAGCAGGATAAATGCGTCATACCTGTCCACAGGGGCGCTGACATGCCCCGCCAAGGTGCTGAGTAGACCCTCATATCGATTAAGGTCGAGAGGATCTTCGTTGCTGCCATAATATCCGTTGTACGGGTCACTGTTGGTAATCCAGAAGATTCGAGTGAGCACGTTCCAGTACTCGCCGTTGGCCCCAATGATACGTGGGCGTCGGATAGTGACACCTTCGAAAATCACAGGCCGTGGAGTGGCGGGGGTCTCAGGGTAGCCGGGGTTCCCAGTCATCACTGGTCCCGGATATTGGGTGGCTACTCGAAGTGGGCTCATGATTGTTAGGGCCATGGCCTGGATGCGCACTCTGATTGTGTCGTGCTCGTGCCATTGGCGATCTGGTTGGGCTGGGAATGGAGGTGGCCAGACATGCGCCCATCCTTCAGGGCTCCATTCCACAGGCACACTAAGAGGCACATCGCTCAGAACAGATGGCTCGTTAGCCCCATTCATACTATCCAATACATCGCTGATTGGAATGAAAGGATCAACGGCTGGATTCAGAGCGAAATTCGATTGCTGAAGGATGTCATCAAAAGTCAGATTACCACCAAAGTCGTTCTCCAGCTGTGCGTTGATCGTCATGTTGGCAAGCAAGTCGTCGATGCTGAAGGTATTCGTAACAGTAGTGTCTATGATACCGTGAGCATTGCCGTTGGTGATGCCGTTGGTGATGCCGTTGGTGATGCCGTTGGTGATGCCGTTGGTGATGCCGTTGGTGATGCCGTTGGTGATGCCGTTGGAGATGCCGTTGGAGATGCCGTTGGAGATGCCGTTGGAGATGCCGTTGGAGATGCCGTTGGTGAGGTTATTGTTATAGCCGTTCGGGAGGCCATTCATCAGGCCGTTCATCATGCCATTCGTCTGGACGTTCATCAGACCGTTCGTGAGGCTGTTTGTGACATCGTGGGTGGCATCAATTGTGATGCGGTTCACATTGTCATTCGTAGCCCAGCCCGGACTCCTGTCTACGTGAACATTCTCGACATGCCTTGCCAGGGGCAGACTCTCTGTAGAATCAGTATCGAAAAAGCTCTCCATTGGAATGATATGGCCACCCGCTGTAACGCGGTACAGACTAGGGGTGCAGTATGTCTGCAGAAACTGATTGAAGCTTGTCTGGCGTTGAAGGCAACACGGAGGTGAAATCACGCCCAGGGAGACCTTTCGGCGACGAGAGACTGGATTGCCACGGTTTCCAGCTTTATCTGGCTGCGGAATCCTAGCTGGGCTGATGTGGTTGGAGGTAGTCGCTGTGAGTGTTGTTCTGTGGGTGGATCTGGGCCTTACCAGATTACCTGGTAGGTATGTCAGCAAGTTCGAATAAATTGAGAAGAAGTGACTGGAATGGCAAGACACAGGAAGAGGACCGGGTATGCCAGAATCTATTTCTGCTCAGGATAAGTCGTTTCATTTACACACAAGCTCCGTGTTATGGAGATGTGGTCATCACCTTCAATCCAGTCACGACAAGAGGCAAGCAAAAGATGTATCCATCACTCATCAGACCGAATCTCATATAGACGCAATCAAAGAGACAGAGAATACCTCTCAGACACTTCTCTTATCCCCATACACATCCGGGTGCATCCATGTGGGGGGCTGGGATGGTTGTCAAGGCTTACATTCAAAGGCGTGCGAGGTCCATCTGCAATCAACTTCTGTTGACTGGCTGAAAGCCATCAGGGTTGGGATGTTGTACTTCATGTTGCGAAACAGGCTTGCAGGACGACTTACTGAAAGGAATGGCGAAGCTTAAGGACAGCGGGATGTTTCGACCTTCGAGATAGCCGAAGGAAAGAATGTGGTGGGTCCAAGAGAGTGCAGATGAGAAAATGGAAGGCTCGATGAAGACGGAGTGTGATGGAGGTTGGAAGGTCAGGATCCACCCCAGGCTTGGGGAAGGAAGTCACGAGCAAGGGACATGAGCGGTTATCGTCGCGGTCAGTTCTTGCGATATACTAAAATTAGGGCTCTTATCGGTTGCGATACCCATTTCAAGGTTCCCCAAAGCTCGCATGTGCGTTGCTCATTGTGTGGATCATTGTGGTCAAGACTCTCCCTCTGGTCTAAGCTATGATCTCGAACATCAAACACTCTCGCGAGCTTCCACGGCGCGAAGCCCACTGACAATCCGCCATTCCTCCTCGTGCTCATCATCCGATGCTAGTTGATTTGAGCGACTGGCGTTCTGGCAGTCTTCATCCCCCTTCTTCGGCTGTCCCATCTCCCAGCTTCCGACTCGTTCGTGCCCTCGAAGAACAACAGTATCAGCGGTGTCATTCCTCGTTTGGGCATCCGCACCATTTGAGGCTTTCCAATCGGGGCTGTGAAAAGTGACGTCGGTATCACTTGCGAGCTTCCTTGTCCCTTTGAATCCACCGAAAGGAGATTTTTGATTGGAGCCACGATTGCGCAAGGTCCAGAAAGTCAACCCTATACCTGCAAGAAGACCGAGAGCCGCCAACATAATCACAGCTCCTATGATACCGGCCACTGCTGGAGCCATCTGCTCCTGATTGCCCTTCGAGAGACCTGGCTTATTATAATCAAGTCCCTTGCAAAAGACTGCTTCTGAGTTACACCTCTTGCACCATTCGTGGGTACTTGAGAGGGCAAAAGTCTCCAGCTCAGACTGGAACTCGGAGTAGGGAACGTATTCGTGGCTCGGTCCGTGTCCAAACATGGGGTATGGGGAAAAAGCGGAACTTCCTGTGTCGTTGTGGATCAAGAACCGCACGTACAAGTTGTCGATTACCGGATACGTTGGGTAGGTCTCGCTTGACTCAAAGCTGAACAGTTCGAAAACAAGAGACGCACCGCGATTCGGCCGGCAATACATGTTAGGATGTTGCTCTGAAGCGAGACTCAGCAACGAGGCCAAAGCCACCGCCGCGTCCTCATCGCCGAACACAAGATTCATTTTTTGACCTGTGCCATATCCGCCGATATTCGCATTGAAGGCAGACATGATGCGGGCCGCCAGTGTTTGACCCGCAACTGAATTGATAGACCCTCCTGCTGGTTCACCGGGATCGAGCTGGTGATTGGTGGCATACGTATAATGGTCCGCCCACCATCGTGCTTGACGAACTTTATCTTCAGTGATCTGCGTCTGGGCGGTGCTGTTGTATGCCAGCTCGTGTTCGATGTATTCGAAGATCTCCACGGCATTCAGATAATTGGCCGAGGTTTCATTCATGACACCTGACAGAATATCATGCCAGAGGTCGACGTAGAAACCATTGGTGATTTCGGAGATGCCTAAGGCGTAATCTCCACTCTTATACTTGGATACGAGAGCTTGATGTGTCGGACAGTTCTCGTTCCCATTCAAAGCCACGGACTGTGGGTCGCTTTGCCCCAGACTGATCAGCTGAGGGTATTGGTATCCGTTCAAGGGAGAGATCATTGCAGAGCCATTGACGGTAATGTCAGATGACTCTAAGCCAGTCTGCCCCAGCGGGGGGTAAAGACCTTGCATAAAGGCTTGCGCGGAAGCAATGACATACTGATCCGTCAACGCATAGACTTCCACGTCTTGAGGATCTAGGACGGTGGCGGACAGATATTGTATCGTTGATTGAGAGCTATTGACGCCTTCTCCGGCTGAGAGGTAACGGTCCCGGAAGGCTGCACCTGCATCGGCGAGCTGGTTGGCACCATAGTCTGACAAGACTCTTGAGCGTCCCTCAGCAAGAAGGCTTGGAGTACTGTCGCCATGCGTAGTGAATGCGAAGATTCCCCAAACAGTCTCTTGGTATTCCTGGGCCATCACTGGACACAGAGCGCTCAGTACGATGGCGATGAGAGCACTGGTCCGCATCATCAAGCTGGCCGGGTTGCGATCAGTGAAAAGTCCAAATTTACGGATTCATTCGTCGTTCTCGACCAGCACACAAAGCACTCTGAAACGAGGGAACCAGAAATATATCTAGTCATTGGACTGACAAGCCTACTCGGTCATGGGTTGCAAAAGGGAAGTGTAGTCCATGGTCCAGACTCACGCTCGACGCTGGTATTCAATTCCCTCAGCTCAAGTCACACCGAAGATTTCCAAGCAAGATCTTTGGAATCGATTGCATCCGGAACCTGTCCATGACATAAAGATTAAGTGATATGCAATTGATGGTTACTGTGACTTGCGCGAGCCTCGAGAGCTTTAGGGTTCGGATCCACCGGGACAAGGCTCTGCAGAGCGGCCTGCCACATCGTTGGCTTCGACCATGGATACTCTTCAATCAAACCGGCTGTCGACTAGTCCAGTGTAGGGGGATCTGTGGAGAACACACACCAGTTTCGTCAAGCTCATCTATGGTAGAGATATAGGAGTAGTTCAGTGCGGATGAATGCTTCACTAATATGTCAAGCTCAGTTCCACGTCGTTCTTCTAACAACTCCTCGCAGAGCCAAGGATATTGAAGACCACTACCGTTGATTGAAACAGTCTCGACCCTCGACCGTCGAAGCTACAGTTCTACCGCACTTACAACTCAATCACACATGAGTAGTTCCCCAACGAAACTTGCGACTGTGACAGCTCCGGTTCATTGATCCCTAAATGACTCCCGCTTCCTCTTCTTAGTGGTCATATCAGATACTGAATGGCTACTAGCCTACTACTGTTCACCTCCTACGGCAGGACTGTGCCAACTAGCTTACAAAACCGGGCACTATGAAGCTCGAGCCCAGGAAATTTTAGGAGGCGGAAGGTCCAGGATATGGTCAAGTTTCAACTGACCTGTACAGTCAACGGTGTACGTCGATGACGCGCACAAGATGGAAAGCAACAGCACGGGCGCGTTACCATAGAAAGCGTGGCTCTATGCGGCCAAGGCTGTCACGGTCCACTGGTCCAGGAAGTACTAACTTAGTAGATGTCAGGCCAACGTGGGAAACCACAAAAAATCGATACAATATCTACACATAGTCATGTACACCCCGGTCAAATCAACCGTACTTCGACTTGAAGCCCGACGAGTGCTCAGGTGTCTTAATTCTGTGTCCATGTCCGAAAGTGCTGTCTTCTGACGGAGCTGATCCTCATGGCGCACGTCGCGAGTCACCTGTACAATACTGTACAAGTGTACTGCACAAGTGCACAAGTGTGCATTGGCATTACTCGGACCAGTCGGTAAGAAAGAGGAGTATATAAGAAAGAGCCACGTGATGCAAAATGCCCAAACTCTAGAATCGGAGAATACAGATCAATACAGATCAATACAGAGTAGTACAGACTACAGACTACAGACTACAGAGTGAGATATCCGGCTTCCGAGCTCCAAAAGTATCACAATATTACAGCAGACAGATTATTGGTACGGATGACATACATATCAAGGTCAATGAATTTGACTCTCTCTTAGTTGAACACGCTTTCACAAATCATTCTCATAAGAGCCATTGCACACCGTATAATGTACATAACGTGATGACAGTACTGTTGTTCGACGACTGAGTCAGTGAGTTATGAGACTCGGGTTGAAAGCGGTAAGCCGGAGTTCACGAATCAGCGACCTCCCAATCCCCTCCTTCGGCAAAAAAAATCCTGCTATTGCCGTTCCTTCACCTCCAACCAAAGCCCTACAGTTGCGCCCTACCCCTAAGCCCTCATTTCTGCTCTTGGAAGTTGACATCCCAGCTTGACTTGTACTTCTTGCGCCTGCGATGGCCGAAGCTCGAGGTGAGCCATCGTCGTTCGACGGGGCCTCTGACCTTCCACCGTTTCCAGACGACGGAAGCCCTTTCGGTGAGTCTCATGCGTCTGTTGTCGTCGTGGGTACCCGCGCTACCTGTCGCGGTCAGCAATGAGCCGTACTTGAACCACCACCTGGAAAGGCCAAGACTCGGTCTTACTCCTCTCGTGAATACCAACGTGCATGACTGACACAATCAATCGAGGATGGAGTAACAGAGCAGAAACCCACGCATCTTCTGGATCAAGATGAGCACCTATCGCCGCCGGCTGCGAAGAAGCAGAGGACCGACGCCGGCCCCGATGAGGAGATTTCAATCGACGCCCAATTCTCCACTCCAGACATTCATGGACCGGGCCATAGAATCGAAGAGGAAATCGCCAATGCGCTAGCTGAGGAGAATAGCCATGCGCTTTCGTCCGCGAACAATGCCAATGAGAAGACGGAATCGCAATCTCCAGCGCAGGCCACACCTGCGCCAGAAAGCACGCCCCACACCAGCTCTGCCGCCAATGTGAATCCGGCTCCTAATACACACCCCGATGTGAGCTCAATGATCACAGATATACTGGATCACACCGAGCGACAGGAGCAGACCGTCGCAATGGGTCCGCAGGAGGTGCCTCCGTCCGGCGAATTCTCCGGTGCAAAGGGCTACGCATTTCTCAATCTGAAGGCCAACTCTCACCTCAAGATCCAAAGCCTACCCATTCTGGATAACCTAGTAAGTCTGCGCCTGGGATTCGACTTTCAAGACCCTCCTGACCGAAGATTAACACAGTCAACCCAAATTCTGTCATTTCTCTCCAAAAACAGCTACCAGGACTTGACCGCGATGGTATCCGAACCCGAGTCCGAGGATGGCCAAGCGTATGCGACCATGCGCTCGTTATTTGACCACACAAAGCGCGTCTATACGATCAAGCGCTCATTCCTTCAGCCGTCTGATGTCGAGGTCACTGACTCGTCGCAACTTGACGTTCTTCGAAAAGCCAACTTGGCATCTTTTGTTTCAAGCATCTTCGGTTCTCAGGAGATCGGCTTCGCGGAGTTGAACGAGCATTTTCTCGACGTTTTTGTGCCTGAGGGCGGCCGCCTCCTCAAGGTTCAGGCCGCTTTGTATCTGGAATTGAAGACTCAGGCCTTCATCGCTGCGATGAACACCAAGTCCCGCACAAGGACACAGCTGTTGTACGAGCTGTTCCCTGAAGACATGGAGCAAAGGCTTCTTGCAAGACGACCAGGCACTCGACAGCTTGCGCCGAGTGAGACGGATTTTGTCAACCGACTGACTTCGCGCCGTGACATCCTCTTAAATGACGTCCACAACGAGGACGCACTGAAGGCGCTGCCCGACAAGTATCACTGGGAAGATTTTCTTCGCGATCTGAGCTCATATATTGCGAAGAACTTTGACTCGATTAATATGCAACAGGTTCGTGTGCATTGGTGTTGGATGGTTTCAAGTTCTCCCACTAATTTACGAAGCAGGGAAAGAAACCTATCAAAGGTCGTCAAGCGTCCACGTCGGCTAGTGATGTACAGGAGGCGTCGAGCACTACGCACCAGAGCCAATTTCCCGTCAATCAGCCCGTCGAGGTTCCCGTGGACCGTAATATGCATGGAGACCTGGTGGCCCGCGCAGCTCGTGCAGCGCAGATTGCCTTGCAGGGCCACGGTCTTCGTCGGTCCCAACAGCAACAGCAGCAACAGCAACAGCAGGCTCAGCCACAGTCCCAGGCCACTTCATCGCCCTCCCATAGCTCATCAATGCCTTTGCCTCAACAACACCAGCCCCAACAATTACCACAGTCCCATCAGCAGCAGCAGTCTCAACCTCATCAGTTGCCTCAGACTCAAGCTCCGCCTCCGCCTCAAACTCAGCATCAATCACCACATGCGGCCCAAGGCGACAACCAATACCTGCACGGATATGCTCCCGTCCAGCAGTCCAATCAGTCCGCTCAACAGCAGCAATATCATCATAGTCCTACGCCACCAGGCGGATATCAACAGTCACCAGGCATGGCGTTCCAGCAAAGCCCGATGCAAACGAATTTCCAACAGTATAACCCAAACGCGGCGCAAGTAATGCAAGCTCGCGCTAACGGGATGTCTCCCGGCAATCATGGATACATGCCAGGGATACCTCACTATTCGCAGTCCCAGCCTACACAGGTCCTCTATGAAAGAGCGCGTATGGCAGCATCTGCAAAGTCTTCTCCTACCAACCGAAAGGCCGGATTGCCCAGTCAGCGTCGCCCGTGGACAACCGAGGAAGAGAATGCTTTGATGGCGGGTCTGGACCGCGTGAAGGGTCCCCACTGGAGTCAAATTCTCGCCATGTTCGGACCCGGCGGCACCATCAGCGAGGCACTGAAAGATCGCAACCAGGTGCAACTCAAGGATAAGGCTCGCAACTTGAAGCTGTTCTTCCTCAAGAGCGGAATCGAAGTGCCCTATTACCTGAAGTTCGTAACCGGAGAGTTGAAGACTCGCGCGCCGGCCCAGGCTGCCAAGCGCGAAGCTCGAGAACGGCAGAAGAAGCAGGGGGAGGAAGACAAGGCCCACGTCGAAGGCATCAAGGGCATGATGGCTCTTGCTGGAGCTCATCCTTCGCCGGTTGGGGGTCACGAGATGTCCGCCTCGCCCAGCTTACCACCGGATGCCAATGCTCAGTCCATGTTTGACCAGACAGCGGAACAGAACCTGATGCAAACGCTGAGTCAGGAGGTCCACGGCAGTCAATACCCCCAACAACATCCTGCACCGACTCAAGATCATCACATTGATCCTCACATGCAGCTGGGTCAATAAAGCGGAATCCATCACCTCCTCTGTCGAGAGTGACCTTCTTCACTCGCATTGCTTTCTCCTATGCCCATTTCACCACTTGTCCCTGCGAAGACACTCCTCTATCATCACATTAGCTACATACATTGAGGGAGTTTAGGACCTACCTGCCATTGCTTTTTCTTCTTTATTCTCTACTTGTTCCATGACATCTACGCTGGAGTCGGGAGATCTGGATCAGGGGTCGCTGCAGGTGCGCAGCCAGAGGCCCACAAAAAAAGCTTCATCAGGTCAGCTGTACTACTAGTTTTGATCACATTATCTTCTAATCAAAGAGCGGCTTCGAATTGAATAGCGCATGCTGGTCTCAAGCGAAGCGTAAACAGGAGTATTGACCATTAGATTCACATGCGCGAGTCTTTCCCAAGCGATGCTTCGTCTCTGTCTACTTGTAGCATGACTAGATACACCTGGAGCGAACAGCGGCATAGGACTATCTAAGTAGCATCCAGTAGCATCCAGACTTTAGAACTGCCTCCAACCTTAGTCCCAGGTCTATATTGCTGTCGAAAATCTAGAGTAAACTGAGAGTAGACTTGGAACGATGCACGCCGCATTCTGATAAGAGGTGGACCTGTCCTGCCTCGGTGCCTGAACCGCCCGCCATCTCCAGCTGGTCCGTGCGCTTTCACCTCCCGATCAGAAGAGCTTGACACTTCTTGAGGACTCACATCTTACCTCGACCTGATATAATCGTCTCATGTCCCTTCAATCACCGCTGAGCGCTGCGCACGACTGAACTACACGGACCGCCTGATTCTCGTTTCTTCTGCTTCACCCGGGCACTGAGCTCGTCCTCGGCGCCAAAAGTCACGCGAACCTACTCATGACTTGCCGCCCATCATGACCGATGCTCCGTCTTCCTTCCCGCAGTCCGCAAATGGGTCACAAGATCACCAGCCCGCCATGCCACCGTCAACAACTTCCGCGCCAGCGCCACAACCCACGGCGACTGGTGTGACGGATGCAGCGATCAAGGCCGAGCCAGACTTGGATGCGTCTATTGATCAAGACATTGATATGAGTGGTGATCGGGTTGGCACGACGGTCGAGGACGGCGCCGAAGCGAATGCGCCGGCCGTCGATCAACTGGCCGAGTCGGCCCCGCCAAGCAAGAAGGAAACAAGCTTGCGCGAGTTCTTGGGAAAGATGGATGAATATGCGCCAATTGTAGGTGGAACCTTGTTTTGGTATTCTTGTCCGACATTTGCTCGGTCGATGTGGCTCTCGTCGAATCTTTCAATCGAGAGCGAGCGCGCTCGCTCGATTGTCGAATCCGATTCACTGAGCCTCTCGGTGTCCAAGTACGAGGGTTTTTGCGTGCGGCGCATTGAGACCTAGGATTTCAAATGAACGAGAAAGAGCTAACAGGGACCCTCTACCCAGATCCCCGACGCAGTGACAGCACATTACCTCACTCTGGCCGGATTACCTCCTCCTGGTACAGGCCCCAATCAAACTCCTCCTCATCTTGCTCGTCTTCTCGCTCTTGCGACCCAGAAATTCGTCGCCGACATTGCTGCTGATTCGTACCAATTTGCTCGCATCCGCGCTTCCAATTCCTCATCTGCGAATAACCCCATAGGCAGTCTGACCAATGCGGCAGGCGTTCCGGGCGGCGCAGGCACCGTACCAGGTGGCGTCACGGGGGGCGATGGCGCCAAGGGTGGTAAAGCGAACACGCATCTTGGGATTCAACGCCCTGGCTTCGGCGGCGGTGGCTCTGGTGGATCGGGTCAAGGACGAACGGTGCTAACGATGGAGGATCTCGGCATGGCGGTATCAGAGTACGGAGTCACCGTGAAGAGAGGGGAGTTTTATCGATAGTTTTTTGCACAGGGATTGGCCACGCTGTTGGTCCTTCCATGTTTCTCTTTTTTTTCCACTGGGGAACAACATTATGAGGTTTGGGGGTTTGGCGCCGGGCGTACTGATCCCTCCATACGGGCAACATTCATTCTCCTGATCATTCATCCAAGGCTGGGAGATTGCTGTAATGTCTATGTTTTTATTTCTCAGCATTTCCAGAGAAAATACGCACATTATGAGCCTTCGTGATAGTCGTTGAGCATAAGTTGTGAACCCACTATCTAGCGGCGAGTACGATGGAAAGTGCCCTTTCTAACTGCCATGAATCAGCCTTATGCTTTCGGCTGTTCCACTACTAGGTTGTATGCAGGGATCTGCGGCTGCTCGAGCGTCGCAAGTCCTGTTTGACGCTCTCGATAAACGCATACAGACCCGGCATCAGACATCCTCCCTTTTCCACAGCTGATGGTACACGAAAAACATAAACTCCATTCCCACGTATAGCTAACAAAAAGATGGAGAACCTAACAAACGTATCTGTACACGCCACAACACAGCCACGACCAAGAGGTAATGCAACTCTTGCTTCGAGATTCGCCTTATCGAAAGCCGCGCTGCTCTCATCCGCTCTTCCATTTTCTTGTCCTCTCCGGGGTATCTGCAGAGCCCGATTCCTTTTCCGGATGTGAATGTAAAGGTCGAATGTCGAATCGATCAAATACAGACACGGTCAAGAATCAGGTAACTGCCAGAGAAGACTTTCCAAAAACTGCAACGAAGCTTGCAAAGATCGGGGAGGAAACGAAAAGCCCAAGGGGAAAAGGAAAAAAATAGAAACCGGCTTTTATACCGTATACAAGAAGTCAACGGGACAAAAAAAGCTCGCGTCTATTTGTTCTTGGACTGCTTGTAGGTGAAACGCTTGCGGGTACTAAATCGCGAATGTGCCTCGTCAGTGACATGGTCAATAATGCTCCATCGCCGGTATCTTTTTTTCCACATGAGACATTCTCGAGTCCATCCGTGGAGCGAGTTCCCTCCGGACTGTAATCCCCGCGCAGGGATCAAAAGAGCGGGAACAGGGCACACATACGCAACATATTCACCAAGCTTCCGGCCGACCATCTCCTCTGTGATCTGAATCTCCTGATATGTCTTGCCGTTATGTACGGCGAAGCGCAAGCCGACGAAATTAGGAAGAATAGTGGCAGCACGCTTCTGCGTCCGAATTGGTGGTGTATTAGGAGGAGGAGGGAGTTTTCGAGGAAGAGGGAGTCTAAAATTTCCGTGAATTAGTCAATCCAGTCCGACAGCGATCTTGCCCTTCAATTGGCATGAATCGTGTGGGCGCAAGGGCCGGCCTCCGACAAAGAGGTGATATGGGTGGAAGCTGATTGAATGTGCACATACGGGACAATGTTCGGGCCTGGATCTCAGGTTAGCGGCGCAACTCGAGATTCCAGATCTCATTGAAACAGCAGATCAAAGCTTACCTTTCCAGACCGAGCGGCCTAGCAGATTGCGCGTGGGAAACATGATAGCTTGCCGTCTCCTCGAAGAAACACTTGTGTTTCGAGCAAGTCGAAAAGATGCCGCCGGTCCTCCATCGCGGTGGCTGAGTCAGCATTTAAGGTCGGCCGCCCGGGTCACTGCCCGTCCACCCGCCAGTGTCGGATGGAGAGTGCCTCTTGGTGAAGTGGACAACCGGTGCAGGTCCTACCTAGGCTCTGAGCATTTTCAAGCAATGTTTTAGGATGTTCGAGGAACCTCAATGAAGATAATTCTTATTGAGATCGGTGTATGTACATGGCAGAGCTCAGGCTGCAGATCCAGAACTTGCAATTCTAGAATAAATTCAACTGCGGCGCTGGAAACAAATCAAAGATTTGACTCTAAGCTGATGAGGACGTCCTGCATCAAGTCATATTGCAAATTTTGAATGCGCTGGAACGACTCTTATGATGGTATTTCACAAGAAGTCTATGAAATATCACAAAAGCGCAATCGTCCCACTGGATGACGAGCTTTGCAAGCGTCAGAGTGTTTGCTAGGGACTATCAGCCAAATTGTACGAGTCGTCAAAGTTCAACAGAGCCCGTATGTTCATGTAATAGATCATGCCTACACCCCTCAGGCCCACAGCATTCGGCTGAGAGATTCGTCTCGGAGCACTCAAGTAGCTTGTAGTTTGTGAACCCCCCCCCCCCCCCCAGCACGACTCCAGCCATAGACAGGAAGCATACTCAAAAGGTTGCCAGCAACCTTCTCGAAGCTTGCTGCCCAGTGATCAATCTTTGGGACACAGTTCACGACGAAAAGGGGACAGACAGGTCATGTCGCCAAGTCCTCGAACATTTTGACAAGATTGCGAATGCCGAAAAGCATGTTCTCATCCGGGCCCACGCCGGGTGTCCATTGCGCGTGGGCGAAATCGATCAAACGAAGATCATGGACCTTGGGGATTTCTTCATCTTCTTCTTCTTCGTCGTCCTCGGCCTCGCCAAGATTGGCAAATTCGGCCGACGAAGGATCAATGCTGATGTTGATGGCTTTCTGGATAGTGCCGTCCCCAAGCTGCACATCGACGAGCTCCATCGTCTCTTCGTTCACTTCCATGGCGATTCCCTCCTCGTCATCGACATTCTTTTCGTCTTCGCTCTTTCTGTCCTCGGCTTTCTTGTCCTCCTCTGAAAGCTTTTTCTCTACCTCCAAGGCGTGCTCCATCGCCTCCGGATCACCTTCATACACAATCAATACACTTGCAGAGTACATGCGACTCTCCTCCGATTCCAATGCTTCTTGTAGATTGCGCATTTCCTCCACGATTCTCTGTGCGATCAGGCGTGAACGGTCGTCTGGGCCCGCCTTTGCCCCTGCAAGAAAGGCTTCAAAGCCCTGCTTGACCGTCTGCTCGGTAAATGATCGCCCGTACCATTTGTCATAGCGCCGATAGCCGTGCTTCTCAATAACTTCTCCCTTGGCGCCCTCTCGGCCTTCGTACTTTGTGGCGTACGGATCTGTGAGAGCGCCTTCGTCCGTTTCGCCATTCTCTCCAGTCCAGACCTTCATTCCGGCGATGCGATATCCCAAGCTGGAGCTAGTGGTCTCCTTGGCGACAGCATCCAGTTTGGCGCGCTTTGCAGGTGGTGCGTCATCCGCCCATAATCGTGCGCCCAACTTCACATCCAACACATTGGGTCGGCGAAAGCCCGAGGCCACATTCTCCAGGACGATGGAAAGGCCGGTGTCGAGCTTTTTTCCACCCGAAGGCACCCAGGCAGAGTCTGTGGTCGCACCGCCATTGATTATTGATGATGATGACGACTCTTGGCTTGGCTGCGGTGTCGAAGTATGGGCGGATTCAACTGTGGGGTTTGCGGAGGCTACTGCAGGCAAGAAGACTGCGCCCGATTCCTGGGCAGCAGCAATCGCCAGCGGTTGCTGCTGTTCGGCGGAGGAGAGGGAACCGATGTAGAGGGGCATAAAGTCGTGAACTCTTGGGTGGAGGGCGCTGGATTCGTAAAACTCCACCTCCTGTCGCGTGCACGGTTTGGCGATCAACGAGCCAGACAGGTTACATCGAACTCCATCACTAGCGTTGAGAAGGAAAGCATAAGCGACGATTCGCGACGGAACACACAGAGTGGGCGATAAGAGAGGAAGACACAGAACGGTAGCCTGGATTGTGTTGACGTTACAGGGGGACCACAAGCAGATATGGCGCCCGTTAGGGCTCTGCCGGCGCGGGCTCGGTCCGAGGGGGAAGAGGGATCGTCAACGGCGGGAAGGATAAACCTACTGTCCTGCGGCCACATGATCGAAAGGTACCAGATCATCGCTGCCCAGTTGAGGCGTCTTTGTTTTGTCGGATTTGGAGGCCATCATTGTGAGAGGCAGTAGGGGAAAGATTGCGAAAGGCGGAGGGCAAGTAGTGAGCCGCTCAGCGCAGTCAAGCTGGACATGCAACGGCGCAAACTGAAGAGCTCCAGCGGAGAGGCTCAGGGCCAATCCAGCAAAGGCGGAGAGAGCGCCGTGCAGGAAATCTGTCAGACGGCTCAGCTTCTCGTCCCACGGGAGAGAAGAGACAGTTGGAAGCCGACAATCTGAATGATTCAAGAGGCGACCAGAGTCCAGAAACAGCCTAGTCTGGACACTCGGACACGCATCCTTGAAAGCTTTGAGGGAGTGAGGCCAGCCCACCACGCCAGCTTCAAGCCACTCGCGCGCCAAGGCGGGTTTGGTTTTGACTGTGGGCGGGTCAGCGTCAGCCGCGGCTATTCGCACCGTTGTCACCCGTTCACCAGAGTGCGAAATGCGGATAGTAGTAGTAGTCGAAGTAGTCGTAGTAGTCGTAGTAGTCGTAGTAGTCGTAGTAGTCGTAGTAGTCGTAGTAGTCGTCGTCGTCGTCGTCGTCGTCGTCGTCGTAGTAGTAGTGGTAGTGGTAGTAGTAGTAGTAGTAGTAGTAGTAGTAGTAGTAGTAGTAGTAGTAGTAGTAGTAGTAGTAGTAGTAGTAGTAGTAGTAGTAGTAGTAGTAGTAGTAGTAGTAGTAGTAGTAGTAGTAGTAGTAGTAGTAGTAGTAGTAGTAGTAGTAGTAGTAGTAGTAGTAGTAGTAGTAGTAGTAGTAGTAGTAGTAGTAGTAGTAGTAGTAGTAGTAGTAGTAGTAGTAGTAGTAGTAGTAGTAGTAGTAGTAGTAGTAGTAGTAGTAGTAGTAGTAGTAGTAGTAGTAGTAGTAGTAGTAGTAGTAGTAGCAGTAGTAGCAGTACACATTACACAACTCCCTACACCCGGCAGACATAGATTTGTTGAGAGGGGCCCCCATCGATTGCTAAACTCCTCTAGCGCATATGATCGACAAGGGTTCATGGTCAAAGGGGGAACTCCACGAGTCCTGCATTCGAGGCGTGACCTACTTTGCATCAGGTACCTGATGTTAACTACCTAAGGTAGTACGAACGCTGCTCCGGTCTGAAATCGAATAATACACAAATCTTTCTTCTACCTGGTGACACCTGAAATTAGAATGAAGGCCTGGTTCCTTTTCAGTGTAGAGTCCGACCTCATAACATTGTTACTTTGAGGTCGGAAATGCAGGGCTACCTGATAGCGTACAAGCACATGAGCAGCAGTAGGATTTGTCGTGGGTAGTACCTATCTACTACCTAGCAGTCTAGTACCACTACTTACCATACTATACTAGTGACAGTCCATGAACGTTACCTAATTAGTACTCCTTGGACGATCTACATGGGGCTCGGGTTTGCGCCGGCAATTCCTTTTCGGGGCAATGGGAAGTCACTACAAGATCCACATACTGACCATTGTTAGGGTCATATCTACCGCGGCGGATCAGTGTACTTGGAAACGAATATAATGTTGTGAAGATTCGCAGTGACATCGATGGAGCAAATCTGAAAAGACTGAAGTATCACCTAGTGAGATGGCAAGGAATACTTTGAGTATGAAGTTCAAAAAAGGACCACACGAGAAGACCATTCGAAAAGATATATGGAATTTCAACTGAGATTTTTCAGACACTACTTGGATATTGCCTACATAACGGTAGAGCTCGATTTGAACAAGGACAATATTCGAGGAGGACTACATCTGAGGCTGCTAATTCTTCCTTGTGAAGGCAGCGAACCGCTGAATATTGTCTTTAGCAATTCATCACGAAAATGCTTTCAAAGAACGAAGATCTAACTTGAAATAATTCTCTACTGGCAGCAAGACACATACGACAATCGAGTATGGCTCCCCGTGGATTTTCCAGAGGACGGCAGAGATCTGGACTGTTAATCTACACGTCGGCATCTATCTGTATGCCTTGAAGTGTTTGTGAACTAACTCATTTGGGAGTATTTTATCCTAGGTACCTAGTACAGTACCACTTCAAGAATTCATTTCACAAACGATGCCCCTCTACTACTTCATGGATAATGACTGAGAACCCATCCAAGTCTTGACGCTCTCACAGTTGTCTCTCTATACGGTTGCTTTGAGAGACTCTGGTCGGCCAGGCCAAGTTCAACTTCTGTCCTGGCCTCAATTTGAGGAGCCATAGTCTGCAAATTGATTGTCGGTAGAAATTTTTGCTGATCTTGTATGCTGAATTGATTGAATGGTGACGATGAGTCGGAATTGGACACTCACTTCGACAGTCGCATTGGTCGACAATTCAAATCAAGATTGAAGGTGAAAGACAATTGAGAGCGCTCTGATCTAGTCAGTTCAGTAGCTTGCCGCTTCTAGATGTTGACTTAGATCTTCACGTACCTTGTAAAATGAGGCTGAAAAGAGCAGCAGCCGGTTTGATAGTGACGCGCTCTCATGTCTCGTAGGAAAATGGTATGTATTTATTTAGTATGAAACGTTATCTCCCAATACTCATCCAACAATAACGTGTGTAGGCCACAGTCGTATCTTCAACATCCATCAATCATAATATTGGACCAAAGACCACCTGCGCACGCAAAACAAACCTGAGGGCCTTGCCTTGACACGAAGTCAACTCGTGGCCGTCTCATCCAGTCCCATCTCCTGCAAACACCCAGATCTCTGGAAAGATCCACCTCGTTCTTTCATGCATGTGATTCCACGGACTAGCTCACTTCCAACGGTCCAGCCTCGATTCTTGATTCACCCACTCATCATATAGATATCCCGGAACGGCGGTGGTAATCTCACCTTCTTCAACGCTTCTCAGTGGCTCAAGATTGTTTCACGCACTACTCAAGCTATGAGAACAATCCAAAGTTGACTCAGCCTGAAGACAAAGCCATCTTCCAAGACACTGTGGACGAGCTCAGGTTCTTCTCGCCCAGGTCTCACCTCCTCCGTTCGTACCTTCCAAACCTCCCTCTTAAATCTCGTCTTTGATCAAGAATGGCGCCCTCCGAAGTGACTACCGTCGCATCCGACCCAGTCGTGCTCGCAGTGGAACAAGACAACGGGTCGACTACGACCAAGTGCGGCGATGGCCCTTCAGTCGACACGACTGATAATGGACCGGCTCCTCAAGAATACAGCATGTCGGTATCCCAGGGTCCCAAGCGCCGAAGCAGACGGCCAAAGAGCAAGCGAGGAATCGGCAAGCCCACCGGGTTTGAGGACTACTATGCTGATGGCCCTATGACACCGGCGGAACATGAGGAGATCCGCCAGATCTACGACCCGTACGTTTTGATCTCTGTTTTCAAACAACTTTTCAGCTAGCTCACACTTTTCGAACAGATCTTACTCCTTTGAACAGTAATACTCTCCATGGGCTTCACACGTGTGCCGCTGGTTGACTGTGCTGACAATTGAGTGGTTTTAGTCGAATCGAGGAGGCCCTGGCGCGATATCAGTGGAAGCGACGTATGGAGAATGACCGACGGGCGATTTTCTTCAAATACCTGCAATACGGTGGTGTTGATGCCAGCCAGAATCACGGGACCGGTGTACCTCCTAGAGAATTGAAGCAGATGTCGACGGACGACGCCCGGCAAGCTCGCAGTCAAACAATGATTCCAATGGAACGACGCAGCTTGGAGGTCAATTTTGAAGAGGTTGCTCGCGGCTTTTGGTATGTAGCACCACCGCATCTATTGAGTACTGCACGTCATGCTAACAACATGGCCATAGGAGCTCCTTCTATTGCAACCATTACAACCCCGACAATCAAGAGAGTATCAAGGTGGCAACGGGTACCATTCGCAATTTCCTCACTTATCTCCTCTATCACGACGTATGTCCTGAATACCGGGACGACATTCACAGAGCGCGCAAAATTTGTGACCTCGCTTTCGTGGAGCTGTGGAAGAACGTTCAACTGATTCAACAGGGCCCCGGAAGCTTCAACCTGAGCTGTTCGATGTTGTTCGGCGGGCGATACTGCGGCAGAGATTACGATGAACATTCTCTATGGGTTCCAGCTCAGGTCAGCCCATCTGGTGAAATCACAAACGAGGCCGCTCAAAAGGTGGTAAAGTTCGCGATTGCAAGCCAGGGAACCCATGAGCAAGCGACTCGGTTCCAGCAGTTGGCAACTGACGTTCAACTCTCGGCACGAAAGATTGATGATATTGATGGCTTTGAGATCATTTCGGTTCACAAGCCCGAAGATACCGTCCGAGACTTTTACCATGAGTTCGCGCCAGATCTGCCCGTTGTCGGTACCATTCGAGCCAAGTCGTTCATCAACCCTGCAAAGCCGGAGATTGATATGACCTCGAAGGAGCGCCAAGAGTGGCGCGATGGCACAGGTCCTTATCATGAATTTGACTTTTATCTGGAGGCGAGCCTTCTTCAGCATTGCTATCCAGGGCAGAGAATCACTTCGAATATTTGGAAGATCAATTGCGGCGTTTACTACTTCGACGAGGTCATCTCCGTCTATCCTTCTTTCCACTTAGTCCTTGCGAACGACCTGATGCTGCACTGGAAGACACCCCGTCCAACGTCAAAGGCTCCATTGCAACTTGTCCAGAACCTTGGGCAGCGAGGAAGCGGACATGAGGAAGGAGAAGAGGAGGAGGAGAGAAACGAACTGGATATGGCGGCTGTGGTGCGTGCAGTCAACATGACTGTCCAGAATGACGGGGAAGACAAAGACGCAGACCGTGTGAACACGAACGCTGAGTGATTTCGTCACGACTGTTGGGACAACGAGAAAAGGAGAGACGGGAAGGAGCAGAGTGAATAGCAGACCATAGAGGATTATCAGCCGAAGAGTAAATGGAGCCGATTCGTGCACCGTGCCCCCTCTTAACTATTAGTATGGAGGTTTGCCATCTAGAGTATTGGAGAGACAATCGATCGAATAGTATTTACGGGCGTACACATTATAGACACCGACTTGTCATGACGAAGGAACTAGGTACACTGACTCATCTTCCTGCAAACGGCGGAAGTATTCAGGGGTGATCTTGCTTGTTCCCGACTACAGACGTCTCAAGGCTTCACAAGAGACTTGCCCATCGTCTTGCGGCCTTCCAGGTCCTGTGTAAAGTGCCAGAGTGAGCAATGGAATGACTCATCATGTTTCATTCTTCACAGAGTAGAAAACACTTACCTCGTGTACCTGTTTGATATCCTCCATGGGATAGACCTTGTGGATCTTCACCTTCAGCTGACCAGACTTGAGCAGATTGAACAACTCATGGGTGTAGAATTCAAACTCCTCCCGAGTCTCAATATATCCAAAGAGCATGGGCCGAGCGACCTTGACGCACTTGGGAGAGAGTTTCCTAAAAGTCGGTTTGCTGTATTAGCGTGGCGTTTTCCCACCAACTTCTCCCCGGTCATCATTCAACCCGTCTTCATGAGCCCACCGGATGGGGAATCACGTACTGCAGAGGCAAAGGAGGCACAGGTCCACTGGCATTGCCAAACCAGACCACCGTACCCTTGCGCTTGACGACCTCCAAACTGCCCTCCCACGTATCCTTACCCACCGAGTCGTAGACCACATCCACGCCCCGACCTCCCGTCGCCTCCTTCACCAACTGGACCCAATCCCGGCCCTCGTCACTGCGATAATCAATCACCACGTCGGCTCCCAGACTCTTCACCAGCGCACATTTCTCGGCACCACCAGCCGTCCCAATGACCTTGGCCCCCATCGACTTGAGCACCTGCGTCATCAAGAAACCCGCACCCCCGGCCGCAGCGTGCAACAGCACCCAATCACCCTTCTGCACCGCATACGTCTCCTTGACCAGCGTGAGAACCGTCAATCCGCTCAGAAACGCCGCGACCAGGTCCTCGTCGCGAATTCCGTCGGGGATCTTGATCGTCTTGTCCGCAGGCACGGCCGTGTACTCGGCGTACCCGGCCGTCGCCAGCCATGCGACTCGATCGCCCACCTGGAAGCCGCTGGTGTTGGGGCCCAGCGCGGCAACGGTTCCTGCGCCTTCGCGGCCCAGAACTTCGGGCTTGGGGGACGGGTACAGGCCGGTGCGGAAGTAGGTGTCGATATAGTTGACGCCGGAGATGTGATTGCGAACGAGGAGCTGGCCTTCTTTGGGTGTGGGGACAGGATGTTCGGTCTTGTACTGTAACACTTCTGGACCTCCGGTCTGCTCAATGACGACCGCTTTCATGGTGGAAGGGACCGACATGGTGATGAAGAGCGGGGGGAGGGAAGAAAGGATGGATGATAGAAATGGAGAAGGAGGGGAGATTGTGAATTTGTGATGGAGCGGAGGGGGGCCAAGTTCAATGTTGAAAGTTGGGGGGGGGGTTCTGGCCTTTTTATTTTATTATTTGCGATGGCACAGATGATCATGATTATAAATTCATCCTTGGATCATCTGTCAGCTCGATGGGCCCGAATTGCCGGCAAGGGTCTTGCACCGGGTTGGAGTCTTCAGCTGCCCCTCCATCAGGCATGATGACATGGTCGACCCCCACCCCCGATATTCGTCCCTCCATACTTCGGGAGTCCATAGTTCGTGCTCACTGCTGATTACGAGCCTCATGTTATGGGGAAAGATTGGAGACTATGAGATTCCAAGGAGGAAGCTGATACATCGGAGTCAAGGCTGGGGTCGGGACTTCGAAGAAGAGGAGGGGCAGAGCCTGTCACGGGACCTGAGCACCTGACCGAGCTAGAGCTAGGCTCCTAGGAGTCAGTCACTATGAAGCTGGGAGGCCGTGAGCTATCCTATCCTCCACATGAAGCTATGAAATTCGTGCAGGCCAGACCTTCAAGATGCCAGACTGGTTGTATCTGGCCTCGACGCGACGATCATGTTGTGAGCCGAACAATCAAGAGAGGATCAGGAGCTGACATTCTCGCCAAAGGATCGAATCAGCACTGAGTTCGTATACTACAGAGTACAGTACTACAGTTGCCCTTGGTTACCATATGATTACTCCACCACGAATCAAGATGTCTGTCTTTCGAACTCGAGGGTCCTCGTTAGTTACTGGAGGCGAATGCTGATTAACTGGGCAAGACCGCAATGCCCAGCAGATTCGTCACTACTAAGAGAGGAGAGTAGTCCAGGTGATGGACCGACATTCTCCGTCTTCTCCGCATCGTCCGCCGGAATTGGAGATGGTCGTCTCACCCCCACTTCACCCGAGTTGAGTTGGCTCGAATCGTTTTAGTTTATCCGCCTCCGGAAATACGGGTTAGTATTTGTGTAACAACAACCACCATACTACGTCAAACACTCAACATTAGTCTGACTACGTTGAACATTGACTCCGAGTCATTGACACGCCGTCGAGCTTTCGATAACAAGACTGAAGAATGCTCCGGGAGCTGAGATCTTGCAAGTGAGAACTGAGATTCTACCCCCGCCGACATCGACATAGGCGTAAACAGAGAGATACTGGACTCTGAAGATTCCAGATCGAACGTTCCAAGGGTGACCTTGAGCTCGGGCTGTGAGGTCGTGAGGTCGTAAGGACTGCCTTTGAATACGTAAGCTTTGAAGCTTTGGTTCGGGTTTTGAGAGCTTCACTATATTTGACCTAGGAAGGGCACGATGCTCATCGAACGGGGATTCCAAGATTCCATCGTGAGAGCGGTCGGTAGAGCAAAGGATGAGACAGGTGATGAACAAGAACAGCAAACAAAACTTCGCGGGTGAAAAGTCAGCAGGACGGCAGGTTTATCATGGCGTCAGGCTGACATGGAAGCTTCCATCTTCAATGAATTGCAGTACTGCACTGTCCCACGTCAAAAGTGTCATCGGGGCGACTGACCAGTCGTTGACTGTTCGAATTGTCCCCAAGTCTCGACGTCCTGCAGTAGCGCAACGGCTCCACGGCTCCACGACTCCACCAGGTGGCTGAAGTTGGAGGTCCGCCATCCACTCTCGCTGTTCCTGTTGAGAGCGGCCCCGAACCCAGGGCGCTTTCCAGTTAAGTCGCGTATTCACGATCTGAACCAGGTGAACTCGACGTCCATTGTGTGAAGTGGCACTATTCTCATCGCAAGTCCGAGATCAGGGTTTCTAGTCTTGCATCTAAAACAAAGGGGCCGTCATGATGCCCAGTCTGATGCCTGGTTGTGCTGAGTGCCCGACGGTCCAAAGACGGTCCCGGGAGCATCCCTGCAGATCGGATCAGCAGCCACCTCAATCGTTCAGGGCGTCTCGCTTTCATGATAGCATGATCGTTCTACGATTCGTGCGCCTCCGAAATAGCGACTCAGCTGGTTTCGTGTGCCTCAATGAACTCGGGCGCTCGTGGTGGTTCAACCATTTATGTTCGTCCGGAGCAGTTGCCCCATGCTGTTGGAAGGACCACCTTCGAGTCTACCGGCACTCGATGACTGCTTTTTGCCCAGCGGATCCAGTCTCGCGGCCCTATCAAAGGTGTCGGGTCTCCAAGAGTGATGCCCGATGGGCTAAGATTTAGTCCCCCTGCCTCCGGGGCACGCGCAGGACCTTTTGTCTACTCGCTTCGGTGCTTTGTCAAGCTCACTGAACAACGAGAGGAAAAGCCCCCCCAAAAAATTTCCCTCCTCACATCACCCTCATTGTCGAAAAGATTCCTCGTTTGCTCGATTTCTCTCGAACACGAGCTCTGTAACGCCAAAGTTTTTAAAGACTATGAGCTATTCACCCCGACATTTTCTACCACGACACATCATTGCAGCCGGCTAGCGCTCTGGAAACCCATCGTTTCACAATCCACAACATCGCTGTGAATGGCCACAAAACTGGTCTCCGTCAGGCAGTCGACGGACTCTGCACGAGCCATGCGGTCCCGCTACCCCCCACCACCGTGTGTGGAAGAAGAGCCAGTCTCTCTTGCCCGAGAGCTGGACGGTCTCTCCAATCTAGACGAAAAAGTGAGCCCGGAAGGTATGGGTGCGAGAGGCAGCGTGGATCAGTACCCGATCCTCGTCGACTCAACTCTTCCCGGATCTTCAGATCGCCCGGTCATGAGTAACAACATGCCCGAAACCGGCCCACGCTCATCGAATCCGCTTAACACACAAACGGCATCCTGTCGCAGGGAACCCGTGGCTAATCCTCGCCCTAGACCTGCGTCTCAAACAAACAGTCGAGTGGGATCATCGATCTCACCTGCGTCAGGATTTGTCTCCGCCGCTTCAAGCAGGGAGCGTGAGCATTCGGTCCAGCCCCGGTATTCCCAGCCGGCTCCTGAAGTGGTTCCACCTCGACCGGTCCGTCCAAGATCTCCTGCGCGTGGGGATGGCTTGCCTCTTCACGGACGTGGCCGCTCCTCTTCAGAGGCGGTGCTTCCAGGGTCTATGCATGAGCCCAGAAACGATTACTGGCCCCGCCCAGGATTGGTCATTAGGGAAGAGGATCGTAGAGGACGGGAGCGATCGACGCAAGAACCATCCTCAGGCTTCAGGCACGAGCCGAAGAATCGACACCAGTCGCGGCCGCCTTCACCAACTCGTGGCGGTCGTACTGGGTCGCCTACCAAGATCAATGGTTTGGTCAAGGCCGCGGAAGCACATCAGCAACAGTCGTCTTATCACCTTGCTGGCTCACGGGCTCCTCGTTCCTCCTCACGTCCACCACAGCAACCCACTTACAGTGGCAAAGAAGATGTCCCTGTGCATATCATCCCCCACGCCTCTTATGGCATGCGTACGGCGCGGTCTCGTTCTCGTGGTCCTGGCTACGACAGAATACCAGGTGGACCGGTGCAGCCGTTGGCCGCTCATTCGGGAGGCTCAAATGAACATTCACAGACTTCGTCTCCGAGGCTGTTGCAACGGCCCGATCGTCAAGAGTCACCCCCGGGATATCAATCAGACACCATCACCGCGAGGCCCCGACCAGCGTCTTACGCACTTCCGTCAATCGAGTCGAGATCCAGCACAGCTGGGCACACGGCTAATGCGCGAACGCTGGCCGAGCGCATTGAAGAGAAGCTGCGTCAACGACAGGAGCTTCGCGAGTCAGTGTCTCTGTCTGATTCAGAGAGTCGTCTCCCAAGGGAGCTAAATCGTGTCAACACAAGACTGGACCCGTCAGTCTCGGCATCGGCTCCGCATTCGCCATCTCGTGAACTGCAGCAGAATCTCAGTCACCGACCCCGTGGAGATTCAACTGCTGCTACCAGTGGACGCACCTCGGTGCCAACAATAGTTGCTCAGGCGGCACCTGCACTGACTCGTTCTAAGTCTACGAATCGAGGTCACTCGCGGTCAGTCTCGTCGGACAATTTTAGACCGTCCCGCGCTGCAACCACCGTCAAGTTCCATGATCATCCTGCGCAAAGCCCTAGTCCGTCGCGGGGTCCCGTTCTCAAGCCAACCAATCTCGCGCAGCGGCCGGTGAATCCTTCCGGGCTCTGTATCACTCTGTGCCCGCGATCGGTTCCCGTGGCGGGTTACAACGATTGGTACACGTTGAAGGGGCTGAGCCATCTCGATATCTGTCCCAGCTGCATGAAACAGATCGGACATTCTCGCTTCCGAGACTCCTTCATCCCGAGTCTCGCAAGACCGTCATCGCAGAAGATTCGATGCGCCTTCAGTAACCCCTGGGTTCGGCTCGCTTGGACACAGATGATCAAACAGCAACACGAAAGCCTTGAGATGCTTTACCAGATGACTCGACCGCCACCGGGCACCCGCCCCTGCTCCGGCCGCGCCGCTTCAGAGCAGAGCTGGTACCGCATCGTCAATCCGGAAACGGGTTCGTACCTGCCCAGCTTCCATGTGTGCGGAAGCTGCGCACGCAATGTGCGTGTTCTGATGCCGGCCCATCGGGATACTTTCCAGCTGTGTCCGGAGCCTCAGGAGCGGGCTTGCGATCTCGTCACCAGCAGCCCCCGGTTCGTCAAGTACATTGACCTTCTCGACGATGCTTCCTCCCGAGCAGACTCGGATCCCTCACGACGACCTGACCCCCGCGAGTTCCTCGCCTACGCCAAGCGCAAAGTTGTCCTGCGGGATTGTCTCCGTGATCGGCCCGTGCTTGGCAGCTGGCACTACATGACCGAACTTCCGGAGCTGAGTATCTGCGAGGACTGCTACGATGAAGTGGTGTGGCCTTTGGCCAAAGCACATCACCCGCTCGCCCGATCTATCTCCAGCTCCATGCGATACTTGCCCGGTGATGGACCCAATCTCTGCCGCGAAGCGACTTGTCAGCTATACTCTGGCCGGATGCGGGCACGCTTCCGAGACGCGGTCATCAAGGATGATTTCCCGGGGTTGCGAGATTTTGCCCTGCGACGTTTCGAGGCCGAGCGGCGCTTCCGTGATCGTCGGGAGGAGCTGTTTGCCGCCGAGGAGAAGGGGTACGATTGTGATGTGGAAATGAACAAGGCCATTGAGGAATGGAGACGATGGGAGTAGCTTGGAAGGATTCGTTGAACGAATCTTGCGCGACAGATTAGGAAAGAGGATTTGTCCACATCAAAAGTTTTTTTTCTTGGAGTTTGCCCATGTTGATACGATATCTGGTGTTTGTGCATCTTCCAGGGTCGGGTTATCGGGGCGGGGCTTTTGCAGGTCATTTTCCAAGTGTTGAGACAAGTTTAGTATCGTTTATGTGTTCCATGGTTTAAGTAGGTTGCATTTTTTTATTTTTTAAGGTTTTTGCATGCATGGCGGGCATGGATATGGATGGATGGTTAGCACTTGAATTGGAGTTCATATTTATATTTCAATATCCTGTCCGATGACACAATTGATGCTTGCCCGCTAAATGAATCATGAATCTCGCCTGATATCGCGCTCTTCGACATGGTTGACAATCATCCTCGATTTTTACAGAGCTTTCGGTTTTTTTTTCTAATCCACTGTCTCATCTGTGATCTGCACCCCGCCCATCTCACTCCCAACACCGAACTCACCAGCGTCCAACGCGCCGCCTTCCTCAGCCTGCTTGAGAACGGCGTCTCCCCGAGCACCATCGCGCGCGATTTCCAGATCTCGCGCAACACGGTCTACGCGACGCGGGACCGGTGGAACAAGCACGCGACGATCGACAGCCGCTCGCGCGCGGGCAGACCGTTTCTGCTGAGCGTCAAGACCAAGAGGAGGATTTGTCGGCGCGGCAGCATCCGGAGTGGAGGAGTATGGGGGAGATTATGCGGGATTTGGACGAGGGGGTGTCCAAGTCGACGGTGCGGAAGGCATTGATGGAGGAGGGGCTTTGGACGGTGGGTGGGAATAATGTGAAGATGGGGCGGAGGGAGGAGACGGAGAAGACGGAGAAGACGGAGAAGAATGATGTAGAGACGAGTCAGTTTATGCCTGCGTCGGAAGCGAGTGTTGAGTGACGATTAACTGTCCACCTGGCAGGAGTAGGAACTAGGAACCCAGATGGTGTGATCCCAGAGGCATGCCATGCCGTAAGGCGGATGCGGGATCAACTGACTATATATACCGTTGCATGGCAAACCATTCTATCGAATGGTTTGGCATAGACCTTTTGGTCTAATGGTAATACCTTGTGAGCAACGGCACGGGTGATTCCAATGGGTCAAGGTTGATACGTTGGATGTGCTACGTGATGTCCCTGGATACGATCAATGTCTGTATACAATTACCATTCTATACAACTAGCGGTCCTCCGTCGATCCATACGGTTCCGGAAAAGCAGCAGATAATAAATTCGAATGTTCCGAGAGGGTCGATATGGTTGTGATCCAAGTGGAGTGGGTCTCTGGATATGAAATGGTTCCAGTTTCTATTGCACCTCAAGGTTTAGATTCCGATCAACGCCGATTCCCAGGCTGGATCTGGTCATGCAAGTCATAAATTATTGTTGGAGCGATTTCATCCCATGAAAACGAGCAACGAAGATGGAAGAAAAAGAAATCATCCCACTAGACCGACGACCTCCGTCGGCCAGCGGCGAGCCCAGATCATCGCCCTGGGTGGAAGTCTCCCACCAATTGGTGCAAGTACCCTGATCTTGCCCTTGTCCGCATCGACCTCGGCAACGTACAGAAAGCCCATGATACTCGCGTCGCGAACCTGAGCAGGCGTTGAGGTTGTCGAGGCATTGGTGACGGCGATCAAGGTGTTGGCCAGCGCAGATGGAGCTGGCGGGAGGACTTTCTTCAGTGGGACATGACTAGACGATTCAGAGCCAGATGTCTGTTTATTCTCGCTGAATGATCCCACCACACCGGGGAGAGGTGCTGCACGATCAGAGTTGGAATTGTGAGCCGCCGAATCGTCTGCACCGCTCGGGAGGAACGAGCCGCTCATGCCCAGCGAAGAAGGGTCGTATTCATCCTCCTCGTCATCGTCGCTCGAGAAGATCGTGTAATTGTATACAGACAATGACGCAAAGTCCATCACTTGCGCGTGTGGGGACAGAGTCACGGCCGAGGAGGAAATTGACGACAAGGAGAGTGCCGCCGAAGCGCTCGAGGAAATCGTCGTGCCGAAGAAGTAGGACCGAATCTGCGACTCGCGAGTGGCTTTGCGGAAGGTCTCGTCCCGGTCAACGCAGCCTCCTGATTTGGACAACTTTAGCACGGAGACGCGCTCGTCAAAGATGGTGGCTGAAGCGCTGGCGCTGGGCTTTTGATCGTACTGCTTGACCATGGTGCTGTATAGCCGCTCGGATCCGAGAATGACAATCGTCGTAATCGCAAATTCGGTGACAATGTGGTTGATCAGTTCCAGACTGCCCGGTTTGCCGGAGCTGAGAATGCCGGGCGTATCGACAATGATACCCGTTTCGCGAGCTTCCTCGTCTTCCGCCAAGCGGCCCATGACCGACAGTGCCAGACGCGAGACGATCGGTTTGTACACCGACCCTTCAGCATCAAGAGGATTAGCCGAAGGGTAGCAGTAGACCAGGGGAAGCTTCACAGGAACTGGACTTGGCCCGGACATCGGACTGCTGCCCCATCCTTCCTCAATGTCGAGCATCGTTCGAAAGGCCGTCGCGGTCAGAGTGCCCGGCACGCTAAGCATGCCCTCCGTAGAGTCAAGATTGACAACGACAGGTTGGCGACCAACTTTTGTCGCGTAGGCCGTCAAAATCTTCGCCAGACTGGTCTTGCCCGCGTCCTCCGGACCCAACAAGAGCACTCGGGGCCCGTCTTTGCCCGACCCCTGGGCATCTTGTCGCATGGATTCCAATGCAAAGTGAAGATTCGCGTATTCCGTCATTGGGGTCTCCTCGGCCATGTACTCGCTTTGACAGCCCCCGGCACCGTGGCCCGCGACTGCGTTTACCCCGTCCGAAGTCGCAGTATTCCCGGTGTCGGCAGCACTAACCTCCAATTCACATCCGTGCCACGTGTAAATGGCTGCTTTTGTTCCCGAAAAGGTATATGTCTGTAACTCAGCGAGCTCTGTGCCGAAAAGCTCCGCAGTACCCGTGAGGAGCTATGGATATTGCGCCAAAAGTTAGTAATTGGACCTCTTTACATGTTCACTGTCAAATGTCGCAGTCCACCTGCGTAGGTTTTGAACTCAAGATCCGTTTCACCCTCACAATGACAACTCACCTTCACTCTAATAATGTGGCTGAAGGCCACTTCAAAGCGCCACTCACTGCCAGCCTTCAGACTGATCTGCGACGGCGGGGCGCTAGCCAAGTGCCTCTCCTCCGAGGGCTGTGTGAGCTCCAGACCGGGGAGAGACATATTCCCGCGTCGATGATCTTGGCCAAGGCAAAAAAAGAAAAAAAGAAAGTCAAAGCAAAAAGAGGTCAAGAAGTAAGTGAAAGCTTGTATGATCGTCTCGAATTACGTCTGCGTCGAAATTGCGGAGATCTGCGCGGAGGTCATGAAGCTACGGCTCTTTCTGCAGTGTTTTGACGTTTGCGCGACTTGACCGCCTTGATGACTGCAAAGCTGCGGCTGAGGGGTTTGACTGAGATGAAAGTGGTAAATAGTAAATACCCTTGGGACTTGGGCTGATATGTTGTACTCTTACCTACCAGCCAATGTGGGAAGGTCATAAGCGAATTTCCAGCTCCTTGTTGAGGAATCATCAAATTCCAATCCAATATTCGACCACGTCAGTGTTTTTGACTTTGGAAGTAGCTATGCTCCGAGCCAGCGGGAGCTTCTCGACATCGACTAGCAAAAACTTCCTTGCTCATACTGATCCCATCTACTCAATAAAGCATTTTAGAAATAGACAGTAGTTAGACACATAGTCCGCTTACTCGCTAGCGTTGAGACACCACCCCATCTCCATCACGGACAAGGTGTGACATCAAGGCATTCGGGAAAGAATCAATAAGATATGGGCAGACGTGGACTGTCTTGACTAGAAGGAATATATTTATCATAACAACAAGGGGAATGGAAATTGAGGTTAGTCCAAACAAGTGCAGACTGAACAGCTGGATCAGATTAAACCCAACAATCAAGAAAGTGGCAGATAGACTCGATAGGGAGACATATGTAGAGAACCTCTGCACCGAACAGCTGGGTCAATCAGCCACAAGACTATTGAGCAAGAGGTACCAAACAAAAAAACACTCCACAGGAGCCCAATATAAAGAAGAACATTAGGTGAAGCCGTCGCTCAGATCACTCGGATCAGATCATCCAAGGCAAACTCAGGTAGACACAGATCATGCGCATGCATTCAGAAGAAGTATGGAATGGAGGCACTACAAGCTTGGTCAGTTCAAAATCTCCCAAATTATGCTGTCAAAGGACTCAAAACGTACGCAAGAGCAAAGGCCGCAGAAACACCGAACAGAGCTCGGTTGCGCACCCGTTCGCGCTTAAGCTTGTCCTCCAACACCTTGGCTTTCTTCACCCGCTGTAAGGCTTCGGCTGCCGTTTCCTCATCTGAATCTTCCTCCACATTCTTACGCTTCTTGGTCACGGTGACTGGTGGAGGTATCTCGGCGGAGCCACCTGCCTGGTTCTTGATAGCATCCTCGACCATCTCTTTGGCTTTGGCAATCATCTCCTGTGTTTCGGCGGCTGATGGCACCTCGGGCAGAGAAATCGGCAGATCCAGGGTGAAGTTGTTCTGGTTCGTGGTCGTGTCGTTGATGGCTGGAGCAGATGTGACAGCTTCGCTTTCAGGCTCTTCTTCCACGTCTTCTACAATCTTTCTGGCTGCCATCGTCTTCTCTTTCTTGGCGGCCTTTGGTTTCTCCGATTTCTCGACTGACTCTTTGTCCTCGTCCTCTGGCTCCTCCGTCTTCACCTCCTCCTTCTCACCATCAATCTCCGGAACGACCTTCTTCGGTTTGCGACCCCTCTTCTTCTCTGGGGACCCTTGCACGGTGACCTCAGTGACCTGCACCTCTTCCAACACCACTGGGGGGACAGCGCTATTGGCGACCGCTTCCATGGAAGCTGTCAGCTCCAAGGCCTCTTGCAAGCTGCTGTTGGCAGCGGCTGTGGACGGTGTGCTCTGAACATCCTTTGCGGAGCGACCAGCGCGAGACTTCCGGGGTGATGTCGGTCTCTTGCTCGGCGAGACCGATCGGCGGCTCCGGCGAGATAGAGTGGGCTCATCCATTGGGAGGTCAAATCTTGGTGGTGGGGTGATTTGCTTCTTTGCGCTCGATGGGCTTTGAATTATATCGGTCGGGTCGAGCAGGGCGCGAACCCAGTCATAGATTTGGTACTCTCGGGATAGCTCCAAAGCTGAAAGAAATCATTAGTGGGGGGGGAAAGGAAGATGCGTGACGGCTAATGACGTTATCGGTATGGACCTACCGAATTCGGGGCTGATCCATACATTACCAGCGACCTCTTCGTGGCTGGTGTGTTCGCGGGATTTCAGATATTCTCTCTCGCATCTCTCTTCCTCGACCTTGGCCCATGGAAATGCGATTCTGAACATTCCTGTGGCACTGACAAAGCCGTCCTTACTCCTCCGCTGCGACAAGTCCCACCGAATTAGCATTGCTCAGACATCCTCCAGAGGTGCGTCAGACAAAAGCCAGGAGCCAACACTCACCATCAGAAAGTAGACATCCGGGTGCTGTGCAGGAGTGTGCGAGGGAAAGATTCCCGAGCCTTGCAGGTCCCGGGGAAGAGGTGCCCGCAGGTGGGCGTACTCAAACAAACCGAGGTTTTCAGGCTTGGTCGCGTTGGAAGTGCCGATCTGGGTCGCTTTCACAGAAAGGTTTGTCTTGCCGAGGCGACGGCGCGCGAGTAGATCCTCATCTGCAGTCAAGGCGCAATACAGGCGACTAGTCAGCGACTGTTCTTTCGATAAGGGGAAGGTTGATTCCGATGCCGTGAATGTCGATGTAGAAGATCAGAGAGGATGCGCGAGCGCGCGTGTGGTCGCGCGCTCAAAATGAGACCTACATGATGGAGCCGCATCCGGAAGAACGAGCGGGTTGTGCTTGGGAGGGAGATGCCTCGACATGGCGAAGGATGCAAAACGTGTGTGTGTGGATTGTTGGTGGGGAGAGGGTTCGATGCGAACAAAGCTCAGACAATGCGCCCGCGGCGGCGGCCACGTAGCAAGCGCGTCTCTCGAGGGAAGTATTCGACGGGCGTCACAGCTGTCCACCTCTTGAATCAAGTGAACGCGCAGAGGGCGACAATCACACCACCACGAGCGAGTTTGATGACACGAGGTGACTAGGCGCCGTAAAAAAATATAGATTTAGATTGCGATAGCTTGATTAAGAGGAAGAGCGATAATAACTCAGGGGAGAAAGGCGCACGCGCGACGGAGGGAGGGCATGATGGGGTTGCACTCCTCCCGCCGTATTGACCTTGGCCGTTTTCGGTAAGGTCTGGTAGGGATAAGGTAAAGCTGCCAGAATTGATACGGATACACAGGGTTTGATGCTCACTATTGGCCAATGCCCGGTCCTGACTGTATTGAGTGTAATTACCTGTTCCGCTCTTGTTGGGCGGGCGTTGGCCCCGTGACATTTTCCTACTCGAGTCAGGCACTTTCACGCCTCAGGCACCAAAGTCAGTTTCAGCTGAAGTCGCATGGAGTCACACGCATCGTTGTCCATACTCCATGGAGTCCATACAGCTATACGCTGATTGTTCGGCGTCAATAGACATCGGCACAAGACTTGATGATGTCACTTATTTGTGGTTGGAACTCAAAAAGCTGTTCTAATTGCTGTATTTCTATTGTAGCCGGATCGTGTTGAAGGTTTCACGACTGAGGGGCGGTCGTATGCATCAACAAACATCTAGCTTGCTTTGCTGATGTCTTATTCCAGACTTCCACGTGGAACCTCAACCCTTGAGTCTCTTCTCGTTGACAGATTTGGAGTCTAACTAGTGCTGGTGGGTCATAATTAGGTATGAACAATGAATCAGAGCTCCAGTCTACCTTGAAATCTTGAAAATGACATCTTGCGACTTGCGTGCCTGATTGTCATACCTAATCAGCCAGCCACTATCGGTCATGACCAGATCATGGTCTGCCTTCTGACTTGATTACCTCCGACATTCGATACAGCAGCAGTGCTGATCTTCAAGATCCCTTTTGATGCGATCATATCCTGTAAGCTCTGTTGTTTCTGAGCACTGACTCTCATTTCTGTTCTGAGTTCCTGACATGAAACACTCTATTCAACCAACGAAGGAATATCCGTATCTATTCTTAGTACTAATTTCAACTCAGCGTTTGCCGCTCCTTTGCTGCACATTTAAAGACGCGTACCCAGCTTGAGAAAAACGCAAGCGAGCGACTTACGCCTAGTCATCGTGTCATTTATGTTACACTGAAACAGTAAATGCTCAGGTCTCTAGGCTAGCACCGGTTGACCGGTAATCACTACAGTTTGTGTGAACTCAGATAAGACAAAGAAGCAAAAATGAATGTATCAGTGGAGTATATTTCGTTACGGTGTCGGTTAGAAGAGAGGCTATTAATGCCTTCAAGCCATAACTTTTTATACGACTACTTTACTCTATATAGTACATGGTCTTATTTTTACTTGCAATGCTTACGATTGCTTGATCAAGTGAACGACTGCTACTCGATGTGGACGGCCTAATCACATGTTCATATCTCTCCTCTGGCTTCAGCCTCACGCAAAACAAACCAAGAAACACTTTACAAAGGTAACTTCATAATCTCTTGGCGTCCATGAACAGATGGCCGTTTGATGAGGAGGAAGATGCTCACAGTTAAGTGGCCGATCTGCAATTCTAGGCTGGTGATGTGAAAATAAGCTTGCAGCGCCTTGCATTCACCTTAAATATATACCGGCTCTATGCCTATCTTCAATGCCTATTTATCAAGCCCCCCACCAGCTCTGATAACATCAGCTCATGGGCTTCCAAACCAGACGTGGTCTTTGCCGAGTTAGTCACCACCTGGCACTGCAATTTTGAGTGCCTTGACTGCCCAAAAAGCGGAAACGTGGCTGATTGCCACGTTCACGTTCTGGCCCCTCTTTCCTTCTGTAGGAGACCTCACGGGAGTACTGAAGCAGTGGTACTGTTGTGTTAGTGAGTTACTCCTTTTGTGTACATCGTTGCTGCTCTCTTCATCGCCTCCACCGCCTTTCCAGTGACCCCACCAAGCACCATCAGGAGTCCATTTGTCTCGTCTGAAACCAGATTCCCCTTTTGTTTCCTTTCTTCCAGAAATCTGTCTTTGTCTCTTACGCATCTCTTCAAGCATCCCTTTGGTGACACTTGACAGTCCAATTTGCATAGAGTGGTCGGCCTAGAGCTATCCACATTCTGTACCTGGTTCCCCTTACTCGAATCGTCTCCGCATCCATTGTTTGGGTCCCCTCCACCCCCGCCCCCTCGATCGATTATAGAAGATGGCCGACCACCACGAGGATGATCTCGCCGCCCAGCGGACTGAGGGCTTCAAAGTGGGCGAGAAGAAGACTCTGCAGGAGTATCAGGAGCTGGGTGAGTGTGCTTGACACTTAATGCTTCCTTGCCTCAATTGGTCTCACTGCTGTCCAAAGTCACGTACACCGGATGCTGGACATTGGTTGACACCCTCCGACTGTCATACGTACCTACAATGATCTATTTACCGCTCATGACTGACCATTGTATTCTGTCATGGGCATTCAGACAAGGACGATGAAGCGATGAATCGGTGGAAGGCCTCTCTGGGTCTGAACTCTGGCGAGCCCATCGGCCAGCCCACCGACCCTAAGTGCTTGATCAAGTCTCTCGCCATGGTCACCGCCGGCCGCCCCGACGTTGTCATCGACCTGTCCTCGCCCGGTGCGGTAGACAGCCTCAAGAACAAGCCCTTCACCATCAAGGAAGGTGCCAAGTTCCACATCAAGGTTGTCTTCCAAGTCAACCACGAGGTTCTCAGTGGCCTCAAGTACATCCAGGTTGTCAAGCGCAAGGGTATCCGTGTGAGCAAGGACCAGGAAATGCTTGGCAGCTATGCGCCCAACACGACTCACAAGCCTTCCTATACCAAAGAGTGTATGTACTCTGTCATGTCCACCTGCGCTTTTTTTTTTCGTTTTGCCCGGGTCCATTTTTCTCTGTGCTAACCTTTGTTTCCAAAGTCAACGAGGAAGAGGCTCCTTCCGGCATGCTCGCTCGCGGGCACTATAACGCGGTCTCCAAGTTCGATGATGATGACAACAACACCCATTTGCTGTTTGAGTGGTCCTTTGACATTGCCAAAGACTGGTAAATCCACACTGCATTACCCCCTCTTCCCTGTGTCAACCTACGTTGAGTTATTGAGCGAGCCATCGTTGTTTCCTTTTTCCAAGCGTGACGAATTTCCTTGATCCGATCCCCAAAAAGCCTATGACAGATGGCCTGATATCAGGGTATGGCGATTGATTTTGTATAGGATGACAAAATATTGTTCCACTCTCATCCCAACTTATCCTTCTAGATCTGCATCAGACACTCACATGCTCCATAATGGAGTGTTTCTCCCGCCTCTAGTGTCTTAGGTGTATGGTGCTGTTAACAGAGAAGAAATCTGTGGCGTAATTTGATTCTACAGGCAATCAATCCAATATTCTATCGCTAGTCCCGCAACTCCGGCGCAGTGCATAGGGTGACAATGTTATTCAATTGGTTCTCACAGCGAACCAAGAAACAGCAACCAAGAACTTTAAAACAACGAGGAGAAATCAAGAGTCTTCAAACAAATTTCCACCGGGGGTATCACAAGAAATAATCAATAACTGGCTGAGAATCCCTGCTCTGCTGCGCCTGCTGCTCACTGCGATGGACATCATTCTCAGGAGCTGCATCGAAGATGTTGAAGAATCGCTCCATCTTGTCTCCAACCTCCAACACGCTAGCCAGGTTTCCACAGCGATAGCAGTAATTTGGTGCGCTCCATACTGTACTCAGACGATCATCAAACAACACCTGATAGCCCTCGTTGCAAAGCTGGTGAGCCCGCAGAATATGCGACATGTTATTGACCTCCAGGAACTTACGCACAACCTGCGCACCAAATGTGTATCCGGCACCGCGAGGTGACAAGGAGAACTCATCTCGTTCAGGATCTGGATCAGACCAAACAAGATCGGCCATGGGTCCTTCGTGGGGGATTTCGCGGAATCGATCGATGATCTTAATCTGATCGATCGAGTGAATGGAGGGTGAGAGACCGCCGTGGACACAGAAGATCTCATCGTTGATCACCACACTTAGTGTGAGGTAGTCAAACATATCTGTGAAATAGTGCCACACATTGGCATTCCCATATTTGCGGGCGCATTCTGTGTAGAAGCCGTAGGACTGTGTGACACCGCGTGATTCATGGTTGCCGCGGATGAGGTGGACGCGATCTGGATAACGGAGTTTGAGGCAGACAAGGAGGGATATGGTCTCTACACTGAAGAGACCTCGGTCGACGTAGTCGCCTGGCCGATGATGTCAGTATACAGATATCCATTCCATCACCGTGGCGATCAGAAAAACAAACTTACCGAGGAAAAGGTAATTTGTATCCGGACAAAATCCTCCAATCCGGAATATCTCCAATAAGTCAAAGAATTGACCGTGAATATCCCCCACAACAGTAACCGGAGCTTTGATGTGCACAACGTTGCTTTCTTTCATCAGGAGCTCTTTTGTCTTGGCACAGATTGCCTCGATAACAGACTCGGCAAGCAACTCTTTTCGATAGAGGCGTGCAATGCACTCATCCAGGTCGATACTAGCTAGTCACATATTAGCATGTCATCGCTGCGAGTAAACTTCCACCTCCCCGCGATTTGTGTTCCTATGCGCAGCACACTCACTTGGTAGACCAGGCATATCGGCGATGTGTTTCTGTGCACACTCAGCAAGTCGGTGCTAAGATGGCCAAAAAAATAAAAACTAACAAAAGCAAAAGGGCTTCTGTGGTCTGGCCGACGGACCAACTGGGCGAGGCGGAACGAGGCCACGGAGCTGCGGCGTAGACGAAGGGTTCGGGGCCCGCGTTGTGCCTGACCGCTTGAGGGGGAATAGAGAATAGCCGCGGACAGTGGACAGTGGACAGTGGACACAGGAGATTAGGAGTGTGGTGTGGAGTTGATCGAGGTGGTAATGATTGGGGTTGACGAAATAGGCATCATGGGTATCACGTCTGGTTTTCCGAGAGGGCGACAACTGATCGTCCGGAAATTGCTAGCAGAAGCTCGGTCTGGAGATGATTTGTAGAACCTAATCAACACTTCTCCATGTGCGCTTATCGTCTTGTGCCGGGACATCTGCCCATCTTGACCGCTCGACTGCCGCCGACTCGGTGCCTGGCACGTGATGGCGGCTGAAGTCTCATCTATGAGAAGCTTGTGATGGTATGGGGGAAGCTGCTTTGAGTAGCTATGATTATGAGACACTGTTGAGCTTTCTCATCAGTGAAGTGTAATGAGAATGTACTCAATATCACACATCCTCCAGGGTTTGGCAGAGTATGAATTTCTCAGAGATTGCAGACTGTTCGGGGTCATACTGGCTCGATCCAATTGATTCTTCGAATCAGTCAAGATCGAGATGAAAACATTAAGATCCGGAATGATTTTCGTAACGGAGCATGAGCTTAGATTCTACGCAAAGAGGCTTCACGCCATGGCAGCGTAAGTCTTTTTCATTGTCTTATCCGAAAGATCCTCTAATACATAATCTCGTCATCCGTCACGTCACGTTTCAGGAGGCGCGAAGAGACTCAAAGGTGCATGCTACTCTTTCACTTAAGCAGCTGTTGAGCCTCTTTGTGCACGGCTTCCGTCTCAGAGTCAGTATCGTCTACTTCAGAGTCGTCATTCTCGTCCTCGTCCTCGTCCTCTGAGTCATTATCTGATCCGTCCTCGGAATCCTCTTCGGAGCCGGTCTCTTCCTCAGAATCTGTTTCCTCTTCAGTCTCTGACTCTGCGTCCGTTTCCTCCTCTTCGTCAAGCCATTGATCGAGAGTCTTCTTGCCAGAGATTGCACCGCTCACTCCACCGCCGGATCTCTGTGGTGGCACGATGCTCTTGTGTTCTCTGAGGGCCTTGTCCAAGCGGGCTCCAGCAGTCATGGAAGCATCGAGGGTTGTTGAAGTCTCTGGCTTGATCTCTTCGGCCCGTAGACTAGAGTCGGGCTCCTGACCTGGTTCAACCCAGTCAGGAAGATTGGCATACCCCCGTAGGCCGTGATGTCCTGCCTCTTGACCAATAACAAGAGTGGCCGTACCTAGTAGGAGGTCTTTGCGTGTCTCTGACGGACTAGGGGCATGCGGGACGGGCTTGGGGGCCAACAAGAGCAAGTTGGCTAGCTGTGTGGACGAGGGAGTCGCAAGAAGAGCTTTATACAAGCGAGCGCGGTCGCGGAGATCGTATGAAGGGTCATACCGTGCCAAGAGCAAGATGTAGCGCCAGAGCATAGTGATACGATCCTCGTTTTCTTCATTTGCAATCTCCTCTGCCTCCCCAGATTGCTGGGTGCCTTCCATGTGAGGTTCGTTTCCGCGCTGGTCCGAAGTCCATTCATTTTCAATGGCTTCCCCAAGGCGCGTGGCAGTCGCATTATCGATAGAAGGTAAAGCTTGGTCTGGTGTCTCGGTGGAAGATTTTTGAAGCAAGTGGTGAAGATATACCTTAGCTCCTAGAAGAACGACCTGTTGCTTGACGATCTCAGTCTCGTCCGCAAAAGACCGGATCAGGACACGCAAAACATCAGGTGCAATGTTGTGTCGGGGATCAACGCCTGCGAATTCTCCCACGAGCCAAATTATCGTTGCCCGGGCGTCAGGGTTTGTTGTTGTGCCGAGATGGCTCACAAGCTTGACAACCGTTTGCTTATGGGAAGGCGGATCTTGTTGAATCAGGTGTCGGATGACTGTCAGCGATTCGGAAACCAGGTTGCCATCCAGACTTGAAATTTGACTAAGTAGAATGCGCAGGCAGAGATCAGCAGTGTTGGCGTCACCCTGGGCGCAGCGTCCAATTGCTCGCACACTCTCTCGAACTAGCTCCGGGTCAGCACTAGCAGAGAAGTGTTCAAGCTCGCTGATGATCACACCCTTCCAGTGCTGCCCGCAGTAAGGGAAGAGAATTGTCAAAATTTCGAGTTTGAGGCGCCAGATGTGTAATGGGTCGCTAGCATGCACAAGGAACCGAGAGATGTACTTTGTGAACGGCCGAGGATCTCTCAAAGCAACCGCAACGATGTTGTACAGAGCAATATGTTGCATATCCTGGGGACACCTCAAAAGAGCCACCAGGGGGCCAATCGCAGATTGGAGGTAATCAGGCGGCGCAAGGTGGAAGAAACAGCGAACCACACTGACGATGACCGCAGAGTTGCGGTTCTGCAGCAGAAGTTTGCACGCCCGGAGAAGAAGCTCAAAGTCAGGGTCAACTAGCTGAACCTCGTACTCGGCGCCATCGACAGGCTTCCCCTGGACTTGGCCCTCGTCATTGTCGTAAAATGATTTGGTTGTGACAGCCTGCTTGATCTTCTGGCTTTTACGAGGAAAGCACTTGCGTGCATAGATAGTCAGGAGTCGCAAAGTCGCAAGCTGACCCCATTCATCCATGTCAACCAGTTTCTTCACGAGACTGCGATAGTGCTTGTGGATCAGATCGATCTGGTCCGGGCAGACCTCGAGGAAAGCAGCAACTGCAGGTCCTACCACAAAGTATTGAGGGTCTCCCAGCAATGTCGACAAGTACCCTATCAGTTGTGGCAGAGTGTTTGGATCCAATCGGTAGCATTTTGGAATCGCCAATGCCGCTGCCTTCCGCACATGTGGACTCATGTCGCCGCATCCTCGCTTGATTGCCAGAGAAACGATCTGGCTGATGACGGGAACACGAATGCCTGACATGGTGCGTAACGCTATTGTTCGGATTTGAGGGTTCTGGTCCGTCAACGACTTCTGAATGGCATTGATTGACAGCAACGCCAGGTCCGGCTCGGCTTCCGCATGGTGAACCAAGTAGATGTAGACCAGCTTCTTGACCTCAAGATTCGGAGTGGCGGCGTTTTTCACGACAGCCGAAAAAAATGGCAGGGATGGTTCGGAGCGATACATAAGCTAGATGATCGCCAATCATCAGCAAAAGTCAGTCAATTTGCAGCGTCACGGCTCCTTTCAACTTCGTCTGCCATACCGAGATCACTCTCCGCATTCCGTCCAGAACCTCGCGCTCATGGCGACTGTCCAAGAGCTTCTTAATATGCGATACGCTGTATGTTCGGGAGCCATAGTCCGGATTTGAGCTCCTGTTGCTCGCGGCGGCCTGGGCGGCTTCGAGGGTAAGCTCTCTAGCTATGCGCACAGTGACGTGCCAGGATCAGCTATCCTTGCCTTTTTGACGGGGGTTCGCTAAGGTCCACGACGGAAACAATCTTACCTGTCTCCAGCATCGAAGATATTCTGGATATAGTCTCCATCTTTGTCACACCCTCTGACAGCACTCCAGTTTTTGCAGGCCGAGAATTGACCGGGTGATAGTTTGGAGAAGAAAGGTGGGGTGTGAAGAACCCCAAAGCGGAGGAGAGCATGATCTCCGCGGCTTGGTCGATAGCGCAATCAACCTTGGAAGTGCCGTCGGTGAATGCGCATCAACCTCGCCGTCTCCTTTTGACACAAAAAAAAACGTGTCTTGACCACGCCACGATTACGGATTCTGATCAAGAGTCCTTCGTTTGGCTCAGACTCGAGACCTTGATCGATGTGATCGTGTCTTGGGTCGTAAATCCTCAGCCTGGCGACGAGGGTTCGCAATATGACCCTGACACGCATCGCCACCTCTTGCGGCTCGGTGATTGATTTACTGCAGAAGCTCATCGACCGAAATGCAAAGGCACGATTGGTTATATGTTGTACAAAGGCAGAGTTTCTGCTCCAGGCGTCTTGGGCTATCCGATCGCAATGCAAGGTGTCACAAGTCACGGCCGCTGATGACCTGCTCACCAAGACCATTGGCCTCCTTGCAAATTCGAGCAAGATCCGATTAGTATTTTGTCCGTCTCTGGAGAGTCTCCGAGCTTACCTGTCAGCCCATCAGGTCAACAGCACTACAAGTCACGAATTGCAATCTGAGAAACAGCGGAGTGATCGGCTCCTTGTCATCCTGGACATGGTCGCCTTGCATTCTACTACCACAGAGTTCTCGGCTCAAGGCTTGTCTAGGAGCTTCGCTACTGCAGCGGAATTTGCGGCAGGTGCATCCACCGACTTGATGATTGTGGAGTGCAACGATTCTGTGGACTCTTCCAACTTGAACAGAGGAGCCGCTATATGGAACATCCAAGTGCCACTACTGAATGGCTCTGTACGAATCCGCGGAGAGCAAGACAAATGGGGCGGGCGAGGCGTAGCTGTCAAAGATGTCGCCCAGCGATGGTTTGAACTTGGACCTGAGCTTCGACTTTGAAGAGTTGAAGAATTGAGGCTTGCTAAGTCACCTAGCATGAACTACGAATATTATGCGTCTCAATGCAAATCCACTCTAGAAAAAAACAACAAAAAAAATGCTTAAAATCTTCACTGTCCGGGTATCCTGAGGCTGACCGATAAACTCCCAAACCATACATAAAAAACCAAGGGTACATGAAAGCTCACAGTGACTTTTCCATCTCTGTGATATAGAGTTTAATGTGCGATTCAAGCTTCAGGTACTGGTCGTGAGCCGCTTGAATCTCGCTCTCGATATTCTCTTTGAGGTCGACCATCTGCCAGAGTGTAAGCATGTCGTCAATAATGATTGCGGCAGAGGTAGTAGACTCACCTTCTTTTCTGTCTGCTCAATTCGAATGCGTCTTCGTTCCATGTCTCGCTGTTTTTCGGCTCGCTCCTCGCGGAGCTGTTTCTGGACGGCTCGAAGTTCCTCCATTCGAATTTGTGCAGCCTCGGCCTTTTCCTGTGCCGATTTGCGCAACGCCTCAATGCGCTCTTGCCAACGAGCTAATTGCCGCTGTAGTAGCTTCTCCGTTTGTTCAACTTCTCGGACAGTATTCCCTTTGTCTGAGATCGCATCCTTGTTTCGCGCTGCGCGTGCTTCTTCTTCCTCCTCCTTCTGAAGCTCGCTGGAAATATCCTCGAGCAATTTGACGCAAGCTTGTACATCATTTGAAACGACTGTGAAGGTATCAGATGAGGTCTGAAGTGCGCGAGCACGCCTTTCCATCGAATCGATCTGCGCTTTCTCGCGCATCAAATTCTCGGCCAGCTCGGTCAACGATGTTTGAAGTGTGACAGGCGATTCCAGGACGTAGGGCCGCAATTTTTCAGCTTCTTGTCGCGCCCTGACCGTCCTCTCCATTTTCTCTTCCAGTTGCTGTTGCCGCCGCCCCCTTTCTCCTTTGACGCGATCGAGGGTCTCTGCCACACGAGATTGCTCGGCTCCCAACTCACGAAGCCGAGCCTTAAGCGCATCATTCCGCGCGACCTTCTCTCGTACTTGAATCTCGTTGGCTTGTTGATCCCGGCGCATTTCGGCCAGTCGTTGCTGCATCTCTTGATTCTCGGCTAGAAGTTGGTCGATCCGCGCCTTGGTCTTCTCGGTCTTGTTGAAATGTTCATCTATCACCGGGGTTTGCGATTCGCGGAAGCGGACAAAATTGATGAGGTATGAGAAAATCTTCACAAGTCGGTCATGGGTTGGTCTCGTGAGATCAGTGAAGGTAAAGTCATTGACTCCACACTGGCATAAGAATGACAAAGTTAGCGACATGCTTGGAAAAATCCATGAAGAGTGCACGATGTGTCCATACCTCGGCCAGCAAGGTCCGAATGCTCACAAAGAATCCCATAAGGTTGCGCGTGTCGTTTGGAACAATATCGGGGTAGTCGCCACAGATGTCCTCGGCGGCAGCATGCATCGCCGGTTCAACCGTTTCGCGCGTAATGTTCATGAGAAGCTCTGCAAACCACTCGAACACCATTTGAATTTGTTGCGCATTGGGTTTTAACAGGTCGGCGGCAGTAAAGGGGATTCCAATATCATTGATACATCCTGCAATTTCCTTGTCGGGCTATGATAAATTCAGCGAAAGCTCGTCAAGGACTTGACTCTCGCGCGCATCGCAAGTCCTCGCTGCTGGGTGCTCGACTCACCAGGCGCATCAATGCGTCATTGTCGTCTTCCTTCTTGCGAGACCGATTATTGTGCTGTTGTGAGCCAGCCATGCTCATGCGAGCGTTGTAGGCCATATCTCTTCGATGCAGCAGTTCGCTGCTTCTATTTGACCCCTGTTGCCCTCGGGAATGGCCGAAGACGTCGTGCGGAGTGTGTCCAATGTTTGGAATTGCGGTTGATTGTTTACTTTGCAGACAAGCCCGCAAAGTCTTCCGTATCGGGTTAGCGCCATACTGAGGGGCAGAAAGCAAACGTGACAAACACTATCCATCAATCAAAGAAATCGTGACTCTCGAAGATTGACTCGATAAATCCAAGAGCTTCAGGTGGCACCATGTCGACTACTAAAGCAGGGACGGCTGCGGCCGACTCCAAGTCCTTTGAGTAAGACTTCGTTTCTCAGATACAGAGACCTCACCGCTAATGCTCGACTCTCATAGCATTGTTGCGACATACAATGAGCTCCTTCGCTCTGATCCCGACATTACCATGCCCATCGCTGCTATTGAGGCGCTGGTACATGTCCTCACCCACTGCCCTTCCTCTACAATCTCCGAAACCCTCGATCTTCTAGAAAAGTCCACCGCCCACCTCAAACGATCCATTCCCAATCCTATCGGTCTGTCAGCTGGCACCGATCTTTTCCAGCGCTACCTAATTACCACACTACAACGTCCAGGCCAACTGGGACCGGCCGGCGACTTCAAAGCTATTCGCACACATTTACTGTCCAATGGCCGTCTGTTCATTCGCCGAGCAAAGGAGAGCCGTCAAAAGATTGCGGCTTTCGGCAGAGGCTTCATTCGCGACGGCTGCACGGTACTTACGAACGGTGGCTCACGAGCAGTGGCATCTTTGCTACAGAAGGCCGCTGATGAGGAAGGTGGCCCATCCGCGGTGCGCTTCCGGGTAATCTATGTCCTGTCATCGATGAGCAAGAATATTGAGGAGCCCTCTGGAGAACCGGAGGGCATGGAGACGGTGCGTGCTTTGCGGGCCAAGGGAGTCCCCGTTGCGACTATTCCCGAGTCGGCGGTGGCATATGCGCTTGGAAAGACGGATATGATCATTGTCGGTGCTGAAGGTGTGGTGGAAAATGGTGGCATCGTGTCTCGTATGGGTACTTACCAGATTGGCCTGCTTGCCAAGGCCATCGGCAAGCCGTTCTACGTGGTCGCTGAGAGCCACAAGTTCGTGCGGCTCTTTCCCCTGGGTCAATACGATCTACCTATTGAACAACATGTTGTGGATTTCAAATCCGCCGATGACATTGCCGAGGAAAAGAAGCGGAAACAACAAACGTTTGACGTGGGTAACGGCGACAAGCCTGTCGAGCTGCCACTCTCTGACTCAGTCGATTTCACGCCGCCGCACCTGATCTCCGCGCTGATCACTGACAGCGGTGTCTTGACGCCGAGTGCCGTCAGTGAAGAGCTGATTAAGATTTGGTTCTGAGAACTTGCATGCCTGGTCAGATGAGCTCTGCAAACGGAGCTGTCAAATTTCATGATGTATCTGCAAAAAGCTGGTGTCGGGGGTCGTGCGATTTAGATTACAATGGGGCTATAACACTTTACGAAATTAATGAAATGGCAGACATACTTCGGAGCGGACAGGTTCGCGCTTTGATCAACTGAGTCTGTGATTATCTCATCATATGGTTTTCCTACCTAGGGCTGTACTGTAATTGTTCGGAGCACAGATAGAGGTCAAGAGGTCCTGCTGAAGCTGTAACGGTCATCCGCTTTACCTGAGAATACCCTTCGCTTGTTCCGCCCGAGACGATCCTGACGGCGCGGCTTTGGTTCCCGGAGGCAATTGTTGCGACCCTTAAGAAGTGGCTGATAGGGCCTAATAGACTCCGGTCATTGGTCTCGAGTGTCAGAGATTGGAATGGTCAGAAGAATACTCTTGAATTCTCCCACTTGATGAACAGTTCTGGAACTGTGGACTACGTAATAGCATAGACGAGGGTGTTACCGCAGAGCATAAAGATGGGGTCTTACTCTGCAGCCACTGCCTACCTAACTACCTAGTGCCTAGTACCTAGTACATAGTACCTAGTACCTACTGCCTACTGCCTATAAGTTATTATCACTACATAAATATCTAGTGCATACCTACAGTAGAAGCACCTCCAGCATATTCAGCCTCGATGGCCCTCTGTCACGACAAACAACCTCCTTCGCCCCAGTCACGCTGGCGGCCCCTCATGACTCGTCGAAGTCGAGAGGCGAAACCACTCTCAAGCTGCGCCCAATGGAAAGTCTGTTCGCTCGCGGTCATCCACAGGTCCACGCGGTCTGTGGTCGCAATTCAAGCAATTCACTCATTTGCTCCGAACCCGCGCCACCTCCCGCCCCGCCTTGAAGGGATGGGATCTCGAATGATTACGCTGCTCCGAACTGCCCGCAGGCGAGAACGAGTACGTATATTTGTCGGTTACATCTGCTCAGTCGATCGATCAATCACCCGGAAGGCACTGCGAGATTATTCCTGGGACTGGAAACCGACGAGTGCCAATATTCTGAAACAAGGGTGTTGGGAGTTCCAAGTCCGAGTCGTACCTCTGCCATCAACTCAAACTCTCCAGGTCGAGGTACTGTGCCTGCAGAATCAGCCTGCATCTGTGTGACCCATACGCATCTTTCTTGACCCGCCGGTCCACTGAAGACAGGCCTTTGATCACTTCTTTGTTCGCATACAAACCTTCTGAAACAGTCTACCGCAGGTCGGTCCATTTGATCACTACAATGGATGCCCAGACTCTGACTAGGTCGAGCCTTGCCCCTATCGAATCGGCGAGCTCTGACATTGTGCATCAACCTAACATGGACATACCCGAAGATCGACCCCCAGTACGTCGCTCGTGGTCACTCAAGAGACTGTTGAGTGGACGCAAGAATCGGGCATATACTGTGTTGGAACGGGAGCCTAATCGTCTGCGTAAACGCACGAATGCCTGATTGAAGGAGAGCAGAGCCAGTGGGAGAAAGTCACTGTGCGTAAGGCACCGATCCAATCTGATAAGACTACTGGATGATTGCTGGAATCGGCATTCCCAAGCATCCTTTGGGTAACGATGATGAGGTGACCGTGGCTGGAGTTACGCGCTTCTGGAGAGTGTGGGCAACGAAGTGGATTGTGATACAGGCGGGGGTTTACTGCGTCGCTTTCATCGGAGAGGTACTGGTGCGCATTTTCAACATGAGAAAAAGCCGAGAGCACCATTGAGGATAACGAGTTCGCCCGCAAGTTCAATGCATGAAGTGGGGTGAGGAATTTTCCGAAAAAAAAAGCCCCCCCCCCCCGCATATTCGACTTGATTCAATACCGTCCATTCCATGTATTTCTTGACATCGTGAGGATTGCTTTATGCGCCGTATCTACGTATTGAAATCGGTGAATATAAGTGAGGTTTAACTGCAGATGCCCGATCGAGGGTCTTTTGATCAGAGTCGTGTTTGAAAATGTATGAATCCTATGTTTGGGAGCCCAAGCAGGCTGCCAGGCCAGGCTCGAGACCTACCCAGCACTTGACTCAAGGGGCAGGAGTTCTTTGTCATGCGGTTTGGTCGACTTTCACCACGGTTTCCGTACTTTGACAGACTTGTTCTTCGAGCGGTGCGGGTTCCCGCATGACGAGTATCGTGGCGAGCTTCCTCTGGCGGGGACTGACCTTGCAACCTGCAGAGTTGTAGGGTTTTCATCACTTATTGGGAAGATACGCATTTCCCTCGGTAATTGCTTTTCCTTGAAACCTGATACAAAGGAGAAGGAGTTGACTCATGTCTTGAGCATCGGTGATATCTTATGGATGAAATGATTCATGGCCTCCTCGTGTCTGAGTGCTGATTCACATGTGAGTGATGCTGAAAGTCCTCGCGATCAATGGACGACTCCGGCCGTCACATAGCATTTATGTAGTACCAGGAAGAATCTTTTCTTCTCCATACGAGCCATCCTTCATGCGTACCGGAGAGAATTGCGTCCGGGACTCCGGGTAGGGATCTGTAATTGGATTGCAGTCTGCCTGTTCGTCTTCGAATGCGACATACGAGATCATTGTCGCCGTCCGAACGGAGCACACCGATTTCTGAACGGTCTGGTTTACAATTCGACGGAACACAAGGAGCTTCCCGCCAAGCTGCCTACTAATCTGGATGGCGTTCAGAAATTCGTCATTTAGAGTGCTTACCTTAGTAGACGATGGATAGCCGGAGTTGGAAAGGGGGTTGAGGTAGTACGTGACTTTTGATCTGGCCACTTACATTGGCGTGCCTGTCTGCACTCTGCAGTACGTGGTATGAGGTCGATCTCAGTACTGTCCAGTGGTTCCAAGTAATCGAGAGGACCCGAAGCCTATTGAAGGTTGTAACACTGGGCCAGGTACCCCGAGATCTACTAGAATCCTTATGCGTCTGGCACACCGCACACTACAATGAAGATCCGGATTCAGGGTAATTGTACCGTTCTGTTTTGCCAAATTCCCCCTTTGAGCAGGCTAGATTCAGATAATAAACTTTTGACGCTCAGCTTTGAGCGATGCAATGCAGGAGGTTTGTTTCTAAGGTCTCTAATTGTTCAACATCTCGACCTCAATGACACGGGGTAACCTTCAACTGTGGACCTACATGCATGGATGCAGCTCGGATGAAGGAGCTCCTGACCGGGTCTGGTCGAGTCGCGTGTAACTATGGAAATGCTGGCCAATATTACGATCTTACCTGTCTGGGACGTGTTGCTACCAATTACTTCTGTGTTGCCGAGTATATATAGTGTATAGTGTATAGTGTATAGTGTATAGTGTATAGTGTATAGTGTATCGTACTATAGTGTATATGTTCTTGACCAGGCACACCATACATCCACGCGATATGATCCGACGGTGGCTCATCCAAGATAAGGTTACAGTGTAGCGTCAGCGCATTGGGAATCCCGTCCGAAAGCTCGCTTTAACCCTCTTATATCACCAGCATGCACCATCTATACATCCGACTTCCACGACACCGCTTCTACTTCTAGTAGTTACTGCCCTGGATCTGATCCCCAACATAATCAATCTTCAGTTCTTCACCACGCGGGTCTTCCACTAGCGGGCTGGGCGTCGACCCAAAGCGGGTATCCGTGGCTGATCCGGGCCCACTAACCCCACTTTCGACTTGGGTCATGAAAGCCGCCAGCGGGTCTCAGCCCGCACGGCGCAGTTGTAAACGTCGTCGTGTGACTGGCATCTGTGACTTGGCGTTCTCGACATCACCACTGACAGAAGCGAGGAGGTGGGTTTGTTCTCATCACTGCGAGTCATCTAGCTACCGTACCTAGGCCTACTACCTACCTGGGTAGTAGGCTACTAGTAGTACTACTAGGTGCTACGCACTATCACTTACCAAGTACTAGAGCGACGAGACGCGTACGGATCGGAGATATGGAACTCGGCCAACTTGGCGGCGGCACAGAGGTGATGCTGTTCTACGTGTTTGAAATTAGCAGCGGACGTACGACGTCTTGGCAGTGTGCTGGAGGAAGGCAGTGGGAGGAATGAGGCGTGCGTCGATTGAGTATCTGGTCTCAGGCAAGGCCTTGTCAGCAACGGGGCGAAGGCGTAAGAGCGTGGCGCAGACGTATTGGTGACGGTGCCTCAAATTTCATGCTTGGGAGAAAGTGCCAAGTAGGTACGGGAAGGATTCACTGGATGAGCTGGTCCCAGAGAATACTATTATTCATCACGATGAACACATCTTGGACTCTTCGATATTGACTGGTGTACGAAGTCAATATACTAGGTACTAGAAGGTAGTAGTAGTACTTAGCTACTACTTAGCTACTACTTAGTACTCACTACTTAGTGTAAGAGGTGTAGAACTTGACCTCAGCAAGTGGTCGTCTGACACAGGGCGGGAATAAGCGGCCCCAGCCGGGGAGTACGAGGTGTCGTTCGTTTGCTTTGCAACAAACAGTCAACACACAGTACCGACCGTTAACAGTCAACGCTATCGCCAACATGCTGACTCGACCACAGAATCGGCCAGATGCTGCACCGGGGTGTCCATGATGGTGGCGCCCCGTCACTGTTCCCGCATCGATGCCTGATCAGGTGCCTAACGGGAAGGTGGGGAGGACTCAAAAAGAAGATTGTGGTCATTCACAGCCTTGTGTAGATCGAGGGCAGAAGGAGCGAGACAGTTCCTTGATTAGGAGTCGACTTCCCAGACGCAAGAATCCGCAGGACCTGCAAAGCATGGTGGGCTCTGGACTGTGGTTCATCTTCTTTTCAGATCAAGATTCTGGGGTAATCGAATCTCTTCTGAGCAAGATGAACGGACCTCAACTGCTCAACTTTTCCAGTCGTGCGCGTATCATACATACCAAGGCAGCCACGCACGAAGGGTATCCCCTGAACACGGACAATACAATGTGTACATCGTACCCGAAGGTCCCGAATCTGGAGCATATAGTAAGGTACATTACTACGAACTACTGTACATACTTTGAAGATGGTTACAACGTTGCATTGTTGTGCCAACAGTATCAAGACTCAGTAACTTACCCAAGAACCGAGAAGACACTCGGAAATGTGGGTGGTTGGCCCGTCCAAGACGGTTGTGCACCCAAGATTCAGGAACCTGTGCAACAAGCTCGCATGCGCGATCCGATCGATGACTGAAGGGGGCAAAAAGCGCAAGTATGGTTTCCCTGGACTTGTCAGGAGTCTCTGTCACCGAGGAGCCGCCCTGAAAGCAAGCAAGGCGAAGAGTGCATCGACCAAAGGAGCCAAGGATGGATCGGTCCAAGACGTCTCTTCTCGAATCTCGTCCCATCATCCTTCTTCATCCCTCCCGAAATCCCCCATCAGGAATCCAGAATCCAGAATCCTCTCGACTCCGCGCGATGGAGCCGGCCCCTTTCTTGGGTCGCAGGATTGGGGGGCGCTGGTGGGGTTTATTTTTAGTGCCACAACAACGGCCACGTCCAAGAGGGTCTGGCCCCCGTGGAACTGTCACGCCCCTTGAAGATGAGAGTTCTTGACTCGGAACTGAATGACCACACCATTTGTCCATCCCGTCCTGGCGGTCCGCCCCGTTGGCAAGTCAATGTCGATGAAATTGAGGTGAGACTCACCTCGCTTTGGCGATTGACTTTCCCATGGGGATGCCCCCATCGACTTGTCGTCGGAGCTGGCTGAGCTTCCCCAAGAGACCGATTCCCTCTTCCTGGTGCATGCAGTGAGGGACTCCATGGGGGTAGCATCAACAATCGAGTCGTAGCTTGGCGGGTGGCAACGGTATAACAGCGGATGGTTGTTCACGAAGAAAATCATGCTGCCTTCAGAGGCTTAGCAGTAGTACTGTCGTACCTCACTGCACACATCAGGTCCTTCGTAGGCGATGATCGATTATTGAACAGTGACCTTGCCTCAAGTCACGAGCCTCCCGACAACGTGACTCGCCGCGCTCCATCGGTCATGACCCGACTGAGAAGTGATACTGAACTCTGGTACGGTAACTCAGTCGGTGGAACTTGGAACTGTACAAAAGGCGTGGATTGACTCCTCGAGTACACGTCAGCCGGGGCTTGCAAAGAGCCGGCAAGAATTCATACATCTCAAGGATGAGCTTCACGAGTCATCGTAGCCTGAGTTGTCTGATCCCCAAAATTGGCCATCCACAGTACCCGACTCTACTTGACATCGCATCTCTCGACAGCTCCTTCTTTGGGACTGCAGCGTGGTCAAATCATTCCCAGACCCCTTTCGGTATCCAGTATCACGCCTACCGTATAACCGTACCCATCAACGACGATTGATCGACACTCTCACAGTTTTCCAGGTCCAGAACAGACAGTAGAGGAGCGACCCTGGTGACTGGATAGGGCAGACATCAGTCTCCATCTCGCTCCGGCCCGAATTTTTTTTTTTTTGGTTCTCTTTCACTTGTTTCGGTCTCACGTTGTGGCCGACCCTCGAGCAGGTGACCTCTCAGTCTCACTACGAGCATTTCTCACTTTGACATACCTCTCTCATTCTCGTTGACACAACCCACCGACACCCACCTCACCCATCCATCCACCCACATCCACATACGACTTTCTCTGTCGTTGTCACGTTCGCCCCAGTCACTTCGCCCGGCTGCCTCACCGCAAGTCTCCCTCCAGCTCGTGCTTCACCATCCTTTCTCTCATTTCCCTTCCATCTCTCCCACATCAAATTTCTCGGGCCGTGCAAGTGCGACCGCCCGTCAATACTCCGGGAATCACCCAGCCTCAACATGTAAGTCGCTCCAAGTCGGTGTTGTTGCCTTCTCGTCCGCGCCCCCTTCCCTCATCAATTGCCCGGTGCCCAGACCACACACCGTCTCCGACCACCACTCCTTTGACCCGTTTTGACTCTAAAGCGCCCGACCTTGGACACCCACTAATGACGACAGTGGCTCGGTAGTCAACCCCTCTGCAGCAGATTGTGTGGTTGAGTATACACGTCCTCAGTCGCGGCGCAGCATTTTCGAATATCATCGCCCCGACCTCGTCCTCCGTGCCTCTCCATTCTTCTCCCTCCCCTCCCCTCCCATCTTCCTCTCTCTTGCGGAGGAATCCCTGTCGCACTACCGGCGTTTGCTCTTCCCTGGCGTCCTCGATGAATCCTGTCACTCGCCTGACCGACTTCTCCGCCCGATTGCGATCCTGTCCCTGCATTCACTAGCTTGTCAGGCGGCCGGCGATTGACACCCATTCCGCGCCATGGCGATATGGCCTTTTGGTCGCAAGAAGCGTCACACGATTCAAGTGAGTCCCGACGAGGCCAATGCCTTACAATACGCCATCGACGATCACCAGGCGGCCGCTCCCACCCCGGTTGCCGAACCAACCTTGAGCCGCAAAGTGTCACGGCGCGTCTCTCGACGGGGCAGCACAAGATGGTCGCGCAGTGCTGAGAGTTCCGAACCCCAAGGGCTGGGAGCTGGTCCAAGGCCTACCTCCCAACGGCCCCTCTCATCGCTCGATCACCGCCAGATGCCAGAGGTGGGCAGTGACCGCGCCAGACCCGAGGCCACCTACCCACGGCCAATGTCCCGTTCGGGGTCCCTGTTGAAGAAACAGCCAACCTCGGCTGGACCAAAGAAGCTTCGGAAAAGCAAGCGACAGACCGATGAAGTTTTGCGTGAGCGCGAAATCAAACTCCTCTCGTCCACCCCCATTGACATCCCACGCCGTGGCACTGGGATGGGAAGCAATGAGTATGGACCAGAGTACCGTCGGAGAAGGGCACAGGGACGCCGTGCGGATCGCTACATGTCTGATATCAGCCTCTCCATTCGGGACTCGGCCGCCTCCTCCTTGTCTGATGTTTCCGATTCCTACACGTACAAGGTCAATGCGTTCGCAGCATTAACTCCACGGCCCGTAGTCCGTTACGTGGAAACTCCTCGCCCATCAGGTATCCGCAACAAGTCGTCTTCGACACGTGTCGCCAGTGATAGCGACCGGAACCCGCATCTACCCACATCCGGAGAGGACCTGTACCGCTCTCGAAGACGGGTGAACGAGCTGGCAGATTCACTGGACGCGGGGACTCTGCGGGAATTGCTCGAACGCGATCGCCGTCGCAGGGAGAAGAAACAGTTGGAAGACCAAGAAAGGCTTCGTCGAAAACTGCAGGAACGAGCCGACGCACAAGCAGCCGCGGACCACGAGCAGGCCATGAAGGCGACACAGGTCACCCAAGCTACAGAACCGGAAGACGCGCCGTCCACAGCTTCACCCGATCCAGTCGAACACCGCGAAACAGTCCTAAACGAGGTGATCGCGGAGGAGTCGGAGCATGGCACGCCTGACGAAGCGGCTGGTACTTGGCTACAAGATGCATCCAAGCACAGTGAAGAGGAAGTTGAGAATGCGAACGTGGCTGAAACCCTTGACGATGGCTTTGTCCCCGAGCGTTCATTGTCCGTCCGACCCAGCTTTGCTCCTTCGCAGGAGATGGGCATGTCTCGCACGACGCTCTCACCCTCACATTCGTCTTTCCGCCAGTCGCAGACCTATGGGGCCGGGTCCACCTCCGATCTTTCAGAGCGTCGGACATCGGACTCGGTCGGTCGTCGTGGAGGCAGTGCCATCACTTCGCTGTTCCGACGCGGCTCCTCCCGTCTCAAGCGACACTATCGGGAGCGATTTCAAGACTCGAGTCCGGATGTCTCCAATGCATCTCACGAGTCATTCTATCGCGTGCAAACACAGTCATCGCCTCCCCCTCCATCTCTTCTTGCTCCACGTGTTTTCATTCCTACCGGTACCGTGAAACGATCGCAGTCCAAATTCACAGAGCACTTTGGCGACGAGCTCATCTCGCCTCCTGACTCGCGCCTCCAGTCGCCCGACATCCCTGAGCAGGTTCCAGAATCATCGTTGGAAAATGAAGATAAAGGGACCTTTTTACATGGTCCAACACCGCCCATCAGTGCCGTCGATATTCTTAACTCGAAGAGCCGACGTCACCTTTCCAGCACGGATAGCTACGATGCCGAATCCGAAAACTTTCCGCTCTCGCAATCCCTTGCCTCGATCGATTCCGAAGGGTCGTGGATGTCGGGGCAATTCTTCCGTCGGATGTCACAAAGGGCTTCCGAAAGCCCTGTTCGCCCGATCACTTCGCTTGGCGCTGCTATGGACGGCCCGGTGGATGGACATCATGACATTCGTGATTCCATGGATTCTCGTCGAGCAAGTAGTCATTTAATAGGTGATCCAGAACCCCTGGATGGTGACGAAATCTCTCCGATCGAACCCACAAAGGCCGCCGAGACCTGGCATCACAGTGAAGTTGGTCGTCGAGCGATCTTGGTCAATGCGAATTCTCGGTCTAAATCCAACTCCGGGGTCATCAAGGCTTTCCCTTCATTGTCGCCTATTTCCGCGGAGGAAGATGACAGCGACAACGAGGTGGGTGCGCAGACTTCCAAGAAACCTCCACCCCATCCACAACGCATCCAGAGTATGCATGGCGTGATTTGCAATGCCGATGACGAATGATTATCGTTCTTCGTATATATATATTTCTTTTTTCATCCACCGAAGGGGGATATTCTGGTCGTTGGTTCAAGCTTTTTTAGCATGTCTTCGGACATTGCCCACACTCCTTTGGTTGCACGCAATCTCTCTTTTGTTGGATTTCTTTTGTCAGTTTCATTTGTCCAAAGTTTTCTGGCGCCTTCGGTGCCAAGGTGCAGATGCAGATGTAGATCCGCAACCACATGTGCGATTTCAGGGACACCGAGTCCCTGGACGCTCCCTCTCTGTTACTTGCACAGCCTCTGTATAACCTCTCTCCTGTTGGCCATATTCTTGCATTTGCATCCCTTTCGACTCGGCTCGACTCGAGTCGGAAGGTCCCCTCGGTCGCCCGGTGTTTTTTGAAACCATTGTACTTCGAACTTGTTGATACCCCCCAAAGTCCCCCCGTTGACGTGTTTCAAGCCTTTTCTTATCATTACATATCGATATTCTTTGACGCATGGAATCAAGACCATTATCCGTCTTCCCCAACGCAGTAATTTTTTCGACTTCTCATCCTTTCTTGAAAGTAAACATTTCCTGGGAGTCTTGGTCTCTGCATGAGTGTTTCCTTCTCTTAGCCATGGCCTGCAGGGTGTGAAAACTGCAAAGACGTTTTTCCCCCGGACGCTCTCTACGAGATAGCTTGATGGACCCAGTTACCGCCAAGGTAGGGATTGCGGTACCGCCTCAAATCATGATCATTGATCCGGTAGACAGGCCCGCCTCCGGACAACGAGGTTGTATCCCTGCTAATGCCAAAGCCACCTATGAGGCAGTGTTTGTGCAATCTGCAAGGTCGTGAAGTACGGAAATCTGCCAGCACCTCTCCTCTGGCAGCAACCCTGTCCATCATCCAACACGGTTCTCTCCTCGAATCATTTACCCCTCCCCATGCATTTCTCCAATCATTCCTTCTTTATCCATCCAACAGCCCCATATAAAACCAACAGTTGGGTCCCCTCAACCTAGCCGCCATCCTTGTTTCGCATGTGCGTTGCGAAGGCGTGTTGGTGGCCGGCGGTTAGCGCTATGTGTTGGCCCCCCTCCCCTCCACTCCTGATTAGCCTTACGAGGTCGTGCAATTCAGGAGGGCTATCTTCGGCGGCTACGTAGGTTACGAGCTCAAGTCCAGGCAGCAGGCTCGAATAGTGTACTTTGGTCGAGATCGACCCAAAGGCCTGCCACGTCTGATAGGAGCTGATGTTATATTCGTTATGCCCGGGACGTTGGCTTTTCGCCTCTTTCGAAGAGGATGGATGGTATATTGCTTCTGGCTTATACGTCCGTGTTGCAGTTCATATCTCGCCTGACTACACGCACAGCTCTGATCTCCTACATGATATAGTATACACGCTCTATACTAAGGTATATTGATCACACCACCATACCACCACCTTAGGTCCCTCGAATCCAGCTCCAGCTATAATATGAGCGACCCCTTCTCCGCGGCCGCCAGCGCCATAGGCGTCATCTCCCTCGGCATCCAAGTAGCCCAACAACTCATCACCTTCTGCCAAGCCTACCAAAGCTACGACGAAGACATCCAGCGGATCGCAGCCAAAGCCGCGAGTCTGCGACGCCCGCTGCACGCCCTCCGCGAAATCATCCAGGACGCACAGTCGTCCAACCCTGAGTTGGCAGATGATTTGGCGGAGAAGGCGCTGGGCCTGCAGCGCATGGTGAATCGGTTGAAGGCTGCGATGGGGGCGGACATGCCGGGCCCGCCTTTGGCGGAGAGGTTGGTGTCGGAGAGGCTGAGGGGTCACTTGAAGAGGGTGGTGTATCCGTTTCGGAAGGATGCATTGAAGGATATGTGGGGGGGACTTGGAGGGGATTCAGAATGCGTTGCAGATGACGTTGAGCTTGTCAGTTGATATCAGGTGTTGAGGGGATATTTGTGGTGGAAGTGTTGCATGTGCTGATTGGCGGTGGTCTTGTTTTAGACATTCGACGCACAGGATGATGAGGTTGGGGTCGATTCAGCAGACCATCCTGGACGAGGTGCAGCAGATTGTACGTCTCTGAGACTGGATCAGAACCCCAGGGAGTTCTCAGACCGGTATGTGATACTAACAGAGTATCCAGCGCATCACTCTCCAAGATTATCCCCAGGGTATGCCGCCTCCAAGTCTATTGAGGTCCTGGTGCGAGAACCAGAGTCAGAGTCAGAGATCCTGCGACACCATGTCAATCACGCAACGCCAGAGCAACACCTACGTAGAGAGCATCACAGAGACATATACAGATGACGACGCAGGCACATACGAAGGATACGAGACCGAGACGCCGGTCACAGACGAAAGTGTGACAAATCGCAGTGTCGTCACGAGATCACACGCGAGCTCTGGCCGCGATGTATATCCCAGCAAGTTCAAGGCTCGACACAGAGTCGAGACAACCGAGAGATCCTTCAAATTCCTCAGCGGACTTCTTCGAGTCGCTATTACGGCTTCTTTTTCACTTTCAAAGGGCGCGGGTGGATACTCAATCGCTCCTTCGTTGAGTGTACAGGCAGTAATAAGATATAATGGCAGTGCTCTTCAAACATTATATGCTAAACTCAACAATATGACCAAATCCACTTTCGAAGAAGTGGTGGATGATTGCATCTACGAGGTTCGACAGGCATTTTCCAGGGGTAAAGCGCGACCCACGGATGTGTTCTACTTGGACTATTGGAATCCCGATTACAGTACGATTTCTTTCGTGGACGTAAGTGAGACGACAAACGTGTCAAGACAATTGAGGTTGTTGTTAATGGGCCGTACTTGACCAGTGTCTTGTTCAATTCGATTTGCCAATTTCACGGTCTCACTTTCCGGCTCTGGAAAGGCTCACAAAATCTCTCGTTGATATGGGGTCTATTCCGCAAAACAACTTTCACCAAGGAGCTTTGAGAGATCTTTTCCGTGCTCAGCGATTTCGACAAGAACAATATCGCCTGGCATCCTATCTTGTTGATCATGGCGGGCCCTGTGCGCTCAGCCATGGCTTATTGAATCACATTGAAAGGTATAACGTGAAGTATGTCCTCACCAGGAGCAAGGAAAGTACGTATCATAGCCACACCCTGTCCCGTCAAGAGTCTTCAAAACAGCCCGAATAACCTTACTCACATCGCGTGGTGTGTAGTCCTACTTGTTCCAGAAACTGCAAGAATCCTGTTCCAGGAATCCGAACAAGAGCTCATTGCCGGCTTACAGTCCGGGAGTATCGATCCGAATGAGACACTATGTGGTGCTACGTCACTCCAAATGGCGTTTGGGTGGCCAAGAGGGATCCAGAGACTACTGGAAGCAGGAGCTAAAGTAGGAACAAGCACTTTGGCCTCATTCTGGGGATGTCCCAGCCCCCTGGAAGAGTCCGATCTCGAATACAATGCATTCTTACAGTCCACAAAACTCATTGTCGAGGCAGGCTGTGGGCTGAGGGTGTCGAGCTTGCCAATGCATAGCGCTAGCTCGGAGTTACGGTTATTCTTCATCGATGTTCTCGCCCGTCGGAGAAAAAGTCTGAGCAAGATCGCTCGGGCCTGTCTATCACAAGATATCTTGCAAGCGTTGAATATCCGCGAAGACGCAGTGCTAGATCTGCAGGCCGCGAAGGTATGTGAGATTGCGGCCGCCAGAGGCAAGTCAATTGATTGGGCGCTTTGGGTCGAGCCGAGAGACGCAAATGTTTACTACACCCACAATATGCGCCCTGAAGTCATGGAAGACCTTCTAGGCGCCGGATTCGAGGACTTTGACTCGCCAAATTCGGAAGGTGTTACTCCCTTGATGAAGACCTACGAGTCCTTCTTTTCCGGTTGGGAGGCCGTCGAACGAATGGCCTGGTTTGGGTCGAAAGGGGCCGATCAAAGTTGTCAGCTCCCTTCATCTTGTGCTCAAGCTGCTCATCTACTGACAGTGCAGGTCATCGGATTTCTACTTGCGGCACTGGAACTCCAAGAACCGGAAACCGTTGAGTCTCGTTGGTCATCCCTCGTGGAGGTCATCTCTCAACATAAGACCGATCTATTCCCATGTCAATTGATTGAAGATAAATGTACATGCGCTTGCAGTGCTCAGGGTTGCACCATTGTGTCTGTTGCCATGAGACAGGTGGTGCGGTGGTCTCACTGGAAGCAGATGGCCAGGCCCTCGTATTGGCTTAAGCGCCTGATGGCTTGCATTCTCGATTGGACACAGCGAAGCTCATGGGCTGAAATGGCGATCATCCGATCCCTGACATTTGACGCAGTCGGCCTCAAACACACGTGTTGTATTGAAATCGACGGCGTGCACAGAGCTTCGAGCAGGAAAGACGCGCACCAAATGGTGGGCCGAGATCAACAGGAAATTTCGGAAATCAGGGAGGAAAACTCATATGAACTTGACCTATTCAACCAACTGATCGCTGATCTTGAGCGAAAATTCTATGAGCTTGAGCTTCCTTTCATGGAGTTTGTTCAGGAGTGCTGGTATCCCCAGGTTCTTGAGTATTTACGCTCCTTGGAGGCGTATAGCGAGGCGCACGACCGAGCAACGAGAGAGATTGGTGTGATTCTACAACCAGTAGAGGAACCTGACTTGGACCGGATCTCACTTTCACTCGGTCGTTCAACGACCCTTTGGGACATTTGAGCCCCTGGATGGAGCTTATCGTCGACCTGGCCAGGTGAGGACAGAGGTAGACATGGACAATCAAGTCTGCCCGAGAATGCTATCGAGAAAGAACATCGATTTTGGTCCCTAACGGTGGGTGGTCTACAGATCCTGCTTCTCTCGACTCATGTAGTGCTAACGCTCTGTACGTGCCCATAGGTCTCGCGAGCTGTCACTTGCACCTTGCTAGTTGCTACAGGTAGTTATCACTTAGCGGCCATTGCATCCTGCACATCTGAACGCCACCAAACCGATGCCCCAGCCACCGGCCACCGGCCACTAGCCACTTTGCTGGGAGCCAGAACGGATCCAATTCGTAAGCAGAGCACGCCATCTCGGGCGTTCTGCCATTTCTATCCGCTATCCCTCTCTTCTTTCGAACCGGTTCGCCTGACGTCAATTGGTTGAAACACATTCGAGAAACTGCGTCAAAGGGTCAATTCGGTGACAAATTCATGATGTTTCTGGTAAGACCGCTGATGGCTGGAATGGATCACAGACCACGTTCATTCGTCACCCTATGCGAGATCCATCCACGCATGTGTTGAGAGGTGGTCCATCCCGCCTCCAGCTGCTCACCCTCTTAGCTAAGCCAACGCCGCCCGGCTAGCGGGGAACGTCATGGCATTATAAAATCCGAATGCCCCTCTCATCTGTGCCCACCTTGGATCTTCAAAGCTCACATAACCATCTACTCTTTTAGAGACAATCCTCCCTCCGCCTGATCCGCTCGTCAGTACTGTTGAGCCGCTCAAACTTCGCCCCACGCGTCTTTCCATCAACCTCAATTGCCCAGTTTTCAAACTCGTCATTCAAAATGGGTGTCACTGAGATTAAGTCGTGAGTTCCTCCTGCTATCATCCTCCAATGAACCAACGCCTGTTGCCTGGTGATGGAGCTCACTGGCTGTCTGTCACTTTGATCTTTTGGCGTTGCAATGGACGGCTATTTTGAAGCAAAGCTCTTCAAACGCACATTGGACCTTGTTACTGATGCCCTCTGAAGTGCCAAGGAGTGGGAGGACCTCGTTGTCAAGAGCAAGGAGCCCGTCGTTGTCGACTTCTTCGCCACCTGGTGCGGTCCCTGCAAGGCCGTTTCTCCCCTCGTCGAGAAGCTCAGCGAGAGCGCCACCTCCGTCAAGTTCTACAAGGTCGACGTCGACGAGCTCTCCACCGTCGCCGCTGAGAACGGCATCTCCGCCATGCCCACCTTCCTCTTCTACAAGGACGGTCAGAAGCGTGACGACCTCACTGTTCGCGGTGCTCAGCCTCCTCTGATCCAGAAGGCTGTCGCCGAGATCGCCGCCTAAATCACGCGGGGCTTGGGAAGCGACGGGTGATGTTGACTGTCACTTCAAGCTCTTGTCACATTGAAATTATGTATCAACATGCAGAGTTTGACACAAATTAATTGATATCCGGCCTTGGGCCATCCTTCACAGTCTGTCCCGCATGATTCGAGTGTTTCGTGCGCTCCGATTCTCAATCTATTCTCAAGAATGATGGTCCACACAGGCAAAAAGCCCGAACCAGTAGGTGAGTTGTAGTCATCCACGTAGTTTATGACATCACACTATCACGACCGTCGACCTTTGTCGCGATTGGACCATCGCCTGCAATCGCCATGTGTCTGTTGATCATCGGTTCGGCATACTCGGTTTATCTCTCAGCCCGCAGCTGCGGGAACAGGGGTTCGTGCAGCAAAGTAGTTCGGCAGTGCGCACATCCAAACCTCCGCCCAAGATGAGATCTATCAGATAAGCTCAGGCCAGATGACGACGTGCAAGAAGTTAATCATTAGCCGCGAATTTATTTATTTTTTTTTTTAGAAAAAAAGAAAAGAAAAGAAAAAGCACACCCTTATCCGAACGAGCGGGTCCGGGCATGCGACCCATAGGTTTGCCTGGATTTGGAATGGCGTCTTGCCAGGATGTTGATGCATTCTGGGGAAGCCAAGTTGAGTCTTTTCTGCAGCCGGCAAGGGATGTGTGTTTTTGCATGAAAGTTAGCCTGATATCACTCCTTCGAGTAAATCTGAGCCTAGTCCTGTCTTTTGCTTGTCGATTTTCACCGGGGCCCTTGTAATAGGATCCTATATGCTTTGTCCAAGGGGAAGACAAACTTGGTCGAATAGGCCGACAGCGAGACAGATATCCAAATTTGTATGTGCACTTCTACCAACGCCAAGGGTAAAATGACACTGCAAGTTGGTGCTCAAAACGACACACTTGCACCTGTGATTTAGTCGACTTTAACAATATGCCACTTCAGCTACATAGTAGATAAGTTGCTGGACAGATACCGAGGTAGTCTGTGGTAACTTAGTAGGCGGTAAAGTGATTCTTGAACATATCTTGATTTCCTGATTCAGTCATCAACATCCAGTCCAAGATAAACATCGATCACGCAGAGAATCTAAAATCTCGTGTCTTACAACTCCCGGGCTGACAAGTCCAAACACATCAAGTTTTCAGAGGCTGGTCGGGTCAAAAGTACTCCGAGTACATCCAGTCATGAACATCCATGTAGCTGGACGCCAAAGTCCTAGCATGCCATCACAAGCATGACTAGGCGACACATTGTGCGAGTGTGTTGTCGGGGCATATACTTTCAAAGCCACCAGGCAAGCACTGCCTTGCGAAGGTGCGCATCAGATACGCAGTACACTAGGGCTTGAGAGCAGCTGCAGCTGCAGCTGCCGCACAAAATCCGGGCACCAATGCCGACATCCATGCATCAAACCACATGGCGTTCGGGTCCAAGTCTAGTCCGAGGTGACAGGTCTAAACCGACCGACAAACATCCCAAGACCACGGGAAGAGCGAGATTTTTTTTTTTTTTGCCAAGCATTTTTGGCTTTCATCGACGTCGATTAAGATGTCGATTACGGCAAGCTGCATATTCCAGGACTCTCGGCTATTTGTCCCCGCGCTAGTCTATGCACAGCACGGTGCATGAGTTTGTCTTTGCGTGGCAGCGTCAAGACAGGCCTCGTAGCGGCCACTTTTAATCCAGGCCACCCTACCAAGCAGATCTGTCGTGACCTGTCTGATGGAAGAAGATGGAGGTCGATAATTGGACATTGCAACTTCGCTGCTATGCTTTGTGTGAGCTTTTTGTTTTTTGATTTTTTTTCGCAACCACCTCCAATGATTGCAACTGCAAGGCAAGAAGTTTGCCGGACGGAGTGATGTTACCAGTCTTCCAGTAACAGTACTACTACTAGTCCTCTGCTGGATGCATAGATCGTCTGGCCGGCTACAACCGCTTGGGTCTGCCGAGCCGCGCAAGAGGTGCACATGTGTTTGTCAACAACCGCGGACTTTATACGTAATGTGATCTATGTGACATACTCAGGCGGACAACTCCTGCCCGACGTGTCCGTACTATTGTGGTGTTGAGTCTATGCAGAATGCAACTATGCACTCTGCACTATGCATTACGTGTATTGTGTATTGATTACTTGAATTGAAACTGATCCCATGAACGGTCTCTACTGTATCTGGCTGCCCGAGTCTAGAGCTCTTGTTCCCAGTCATTCCGGAATCCTCAAATCCACTAGACCACTGCCAGGCATGTCAGTTTAATGACAGGTTGCCATGTGGTCAAGAACCAAAACGGCCTCGCTTCCGGGTTCTAACTGTTCTCGCTTCCATTCTTAGGCTTCTGGGCTCAACCTGATTTCTTGGACCCCCCCCCACCTGGACCATGACTGGAGTGTTTTGCCACTCATACAGTACAATCTCTGTCTCTGTTTGGTCAGATTGACTGACCGGCCTCTTGAAGCGTACTGAGAGTCTGATATCGGCTGCAGGGGTGAGCGGCGGATGACCTCGGTCGCGAATGAACATATATACCAATTGTACGCACTACGCAGTAGGAACGACCGATTGAAGCGCGGTCCCTACCTGACAAGGAGTAATCTTCATTTCGGGGTATTTCTCAATTTTGCAAAAAGGGTAATATACTGCCAGCTCTGGAAAGGGGCCAAAAGATTACATGAATTGATCAAAATTTCTTGAAAGAACCTAGGTGCCTGACCTCTGGGAGCAGGTAGAGCTACTGACGTGAAGCCTCTTGAGCAAAGCACTTGTGTCGTCAAATGTACACACATCCAGGTACCAACTATCGGCAAAATCTCGTTATAGCCTAATGGAAAACTTGAAAGCGCGTAATTTCCCCTACCTCCCGTCCATGGACAGACGAAAATGATCCCATGCGTTTGTTCGGCTTGAATACCTTATGTACCACAAACAAATTGCAGTACTAGGTAGTTCCAACACGAATCTAGTAAAGCAACGATGGGCCATGGCCATGATGCAGAGACCTGGTGTTTGTATCTTGTCTCGAAGCTGAGTATTGCTGTTTCTCTGTTTTATTTCTCCCCAGGTCGCGTTCTCAAATCCTTGGCCATTGGAAACTCACCCCGGATAGACGTTTAGTCCCTAGGTTTCAAGAATGATAAGGCTCAAAAGCCCCTGGATTCACTGGAAAGCTAACGTGGGCAACATCGGTTCCCGAGACGAGGGATCAGATGAGATCGATCGAGAGTTCTTCACAAGTGCTCCAAGCCAAAAGTCAAACCTTAGCCTTGGAGACGATGGTGGTCATAGTCCTACAACTATCAGTCAAGAAGACCCATTGTGGCTCTGGTGGGTTGGTTGTAATCGATCCTAAACTCGCGACCCAGTCAGTACCAGGTATCTGCTGGGAAACTGGGTCCGAGAGGAGATAAAGTAATCCATTTCAAGGGAAAACACATCGACAGAAATTGTCCGATTGGTGCTCGACGGTGTCTGACTCGGCAGTTCTGCACTGAGTCCAGAATCCAGACACATGACCAGCGCAATCTGATTCCCAGATCCAGCGGATTATAATCTTCTTTTCATGCTTGCAATTGTTTCACTTGTATGTGCTGTGGACTTCTAAGTCTGACTGACTATGGAGTCTTTGGAGTGTACCCCAGCACCGCAATATAGGCTGTAGGAGGGTCTCAGCTGAATATTGATGCGAAGGTGAACTTGAAGCGACCCTCTTGCATTAGTACACTAGCGATTGAACGACCCTTGTTTGTCAAGGACATGTCTTAGTGGTCAGTAATGTATTAATTTAGCCTCTAGCAATCGACGAGACCAACATTCCAGGTACCAGACGGCGCCACTTACAGACTGCAGAGGGTGTCCGGCCTGGCGGGACCCCAATCGGGAAGGTAGTCTGCCTTGATCGATAATAACGCATTATTCATATTACCTCTCTGGGGGCTGTTCTCTGTTGAGATCACATGTGCAATCAAGAGTCACATGCTTTCCATTGTGGTTTGAGGCTTGTAGCGTACAGTATCTTTTTATCTTACTACTGTATCACTGTACTGACTGTTACAGTAATCTGTTTATTTATGATCCGAAAGAGGCACAGGGTCAGAAAGGAGGGCCCGAGAGCAATGAGAGACCTTGCGAGCTCTCCTCATCCTAGGTCCATTCAGGTAGGCTCTGATTCTAGCTGCCGCACTATCCAGTTGCGTGGATCTGACGTGCTGGAAAAAGACTCCGGGGATGACAGGGGAAGGAGAGAAAAAGAGGGTCGATCCAGGTCTCCGATCGCCGAGAGCTTCACACAGTACAGTAGTATCCCCGAGGATAGTCGGCTCGAGCTCAACGTGGCAAGTCATTTCGCTTCCGCAAAACCACTCCAGGATCATGATTGCGACATGGACGGTCGCAGGTTCGCAGGATCCCAGCGAAGAGAAAAAAAACCAACCTCAGCCGACACAGGACCAGGATTCTCGGATTCTGGACGACAGTGCATGAACCGGTTCGAGACCTCGCTAAAGCCTGCATGTCACTGGGTCCTTTGAACCTTCTCGAAAAGAGCTTTTGCCTCTCCCTCTCTCTCTATCTCTCGCTCTCTCTCTCTGCGCGCCTCTGTAGGGCGATCCTTGCCATTGTGACTGATCGTCGCGTGGTGCTTAAATCCTGTATGTCGATCCGGATCAGATGCGCAGACATGCAAACCCGCCGACCGTGCTACTGGAAAGTGGACAGTCTCCCCAACAGAGGAACAGTCACCGAGCGTGGCATATCTACCACCATTCGTCGACGGGGTCGGAAACGCCCTCGCGCGCCTCTGTGGTTTTTATTAGAGTTTCCAGTGTCGCGAGCACTTTGACTTTTTTTTTTTCCGGTTTTCAAAGCGTTTGGTCTGTGTCTGGTCCTGGGATCGCAGAGAGCGCATTGATCTTCTGGGCGCCATGTGGCCTATCTTGAAGTAGCTCCAATGGTGAAAAGGCGTAGCTGAGTGTCTGGAGGTGGGCAATTTCGGGTCAGCAGTAGTACTGTCGTACTAGTAGGCTACTATACTAGGTAATGGCAATTTCCTGGACAGCTGGTAGTTTCCATGCTTTCTCGGGAAAGCTGGAACCCAATCTACTACATTAATGGATTTAATGGATCTAGTGAGTAGTGGAGATGATCGGGCGCTAAATGAGATCTTTGCGCGTAGCCGAGAGTGCTTCTATGTTATTAGTCCGTTGACTACTCCAAAAACCAAACCTTATTGGGTGAGGAAGGATGGCCTACTACACTCTGCTATGACTACTATGAAATATACCATCGAGTTTCGACTCTCAGAGCACAAACGCTGACGGTGGAACAGAGTTGGAAAAAAAAAAAAAAAAAAAAAACCTCCCTAGTCCCGGGATCCCGTCATGGCTGGTGCAACATCCTCAACTTTTTCAAAGCCAATCGTCAAAGTGTTTGGTGTTTTTGGTGTTTTTGGTTGTTTTGGCGGCACGCTGCGATGGTCATTGGGTCCTTGGATGCTGGACTCCATCGAGTCCACTTTCGGTACGATCCCGATCGAGATGTAGCGCCATCGCAGTCGGACAAATGATCTCTGGGTCCATGTGCTGGAACTGCTCCTCGCCTGCGAACTCCAACCCACCGGTTTGGTTTGGGCTTCGCCAAAGCCCTCTTTGCCTGCTTCTGCACGTCCACCCACGGCACCCAGAGGCGTGGAACTCTACTCAAGGTTTGGCCTCGGAAGAACTTGGCCCTGCACCAGTTCCTGTACCGGGTCCGTGATGTACACAATTCCGGAGACGGCGGACAGTGGTAGGAGCAATGATTAGGGAAGGTCATATTGATCCGTCCAAAAGCTTGCGGTTCGTGGTCGCGATTCCGCGGCCACATGGCGTTTCAATGTGCATGATCTCGCGCATCTCTTGCATGGCCGCATCTGCCTTCTTTTGAGCAGTGCCGAGGGTGACAAGAATGGAGTCGATTAGACTCGATGGAGCCAACATGTCTCTCTGCCAGTCACCAAGTTCGTGGTTCGCCTGTCCCAAACTGGGAATGCCATGCGGCGAGAACACCCTGTCAGACTTAGGAGTGCCAGTGCCGACTGACGGAGGCCGCGGGGGCGTGGACCGTCGACGATGCCAGTCGAGTGATGTGCCACAGGCCAGCACTCTAGATCGAAAATAACACGGACCCACTCCAAATCAATAAAAGAGAGTTCAATACTGTACAAGTTTACAGTTGTACGGATTGAATTTGCCAGACCAAGATGGAGGTGCAGGACCCAGGAATCTGCATCCTGCAGGCCCATCTGGCGGAGAAAGCTCTGGCCCGCCTGGTGGGAAAAGGTGTGCCAAATGAGGCGTACCAGTACTAACGAATCACAATATCATAGAACTCAAGAATTACTATGATAGACCACCAGTGGGGGGATCCCTTTTCTATAACATAGATCCCTCAGCCCCAGAAATTCTGCAGGTGCTCCAGGACTTGGAGTTTCTCACCTCGTCCGCCGTCAAGTACGAGACTCCATCCTCATTTGCCCAATACATAGCCGTCGCTCATTCGATCTGTTTAACCGCTCGCTCTCTTGTTCACCGTCTCAAGCTCTCCTTCATGATCTAAATCACGATTCTGGTCCTCCTCCAACCTTGGAGACCATCTTTCCCGGCTTCTGGGCCTTGATAACCCGGGAATTCGCTCCGAGCAGCGGGTCCATTCTGATATTCATTCATTCATTCATTCGATCGACAAGCTCTTGATTTCCTCGATCCATCATGGCGATCGTCACGCTCCACGATGTCAAGCCCATGCAGGTCTCGTATCTGGGGGGATACATCTTCCTGTCCTATGTGATTAGCTCGATGGGATGTGCGACAACCCTAGAACTGCTCCATCGTCGGACCTCAAAGTCCGGATTCTACAACTGGTACGTTGAATGTTCTGATCACTGGCCGGCACGTGCAGATAAACATCTTCCCATGTGATCTCCTCTCTCATGACCCATGCTTACGTCAACAGGTATCTCCTCCTGACTTCCTCCATCACCATGGGGGGAATTGGTATCTGGTGCATGCACTTTATCGGAAACCGCGCGATTGTGCTGGGCAATGGCGAGCAGGCCATCCAGATTCTTTACAATGTTGCCTTCACGGGAACCTCATTCGTGCTCCCTGTGATTGTACTTCTAACCGCCTTTTATTCCGTCGGTGTGCAAGAGAAAGCCAGTTACGTGCGAATCTTGCTGGGAGGCTTGTTGACCGGAAGTTCCGTGTGTGGTATGCATTACGTGGGACAACTAGGTATCGCCAACTATCGATGCTCCTACGCCGTGGCCAATGTCGTGGGATCGGCAGTGATTGCCGTCTTCTCTAGTACCATCGCCTTGGGTATCTTCTTCCGATGGAGAGCCACATGGACCGATAGCTGGTGGCGACGAGGAATCTGTGCGTGCTTCCTGTCGGCAGCGGTCTCGGGCATGCATTGGACCGCGTCTCTGGGTACGACTTATAAGGAGCGCAACCAGTCTATCACATCGGGCACTCAATTGTCTCGCAGTCAAGTGGTTATCATCTGCGCTGTGTTGGTAGGTTTCACTTCGACGAGGATGTCATCAGTGGAGGACATTGAAATGATAATGCTAACAAATCGATTCCACATTGCAGGCTTGCGTTTCTTGTGTCATTCTATCCGCCTGTGCCATTGTTGCCGGAGGAAATCGTCGAAAGTCCACCACGCGTGCTCATCAACTCGTTCTGGCCTGCGCGTATTTCGACCCATCGGGCCGTGTCATGGTCACTCCGCAGGCCTTCCTTCCAACGAAGAAGATTGTGGATCACTACATCGGCAGGGTAATTTCTCTCCTTCACCAACATGTCATTCCTCAATATTATCTCAATCTAACACTGACATGCATCATCTAGACTTTCAAAGACGACGACTTGACGCGTACCCACCCTACCTTCCTCTGGGCCTTCCGGGCAAGTCGCAACTGGGCTGTGGTCAAGGAACTCATTCCCTTCATGCGCAGTCGTCTCGCCTCCGAACAACAAGCTCTGCAGAAACACGTGCTGTCTCGCGGCGCAGTCATGGACAAAGAGACCGAATTACACACCGACTTTGACACTCTGTTCAAGCAACTGTTCTGTGTATCTGCCCAAGAACTGGCCGAGGAACTCCGCTTGCCTTTAGCGGACTTGGGTACCCTCTACGACAGCGTCCTAGCCACCGCCATTCCCGTCTCCCGCTTCTCAAGGGCAATGGGGCGGACCTCACTTCGCACTGGAAAAGGTCAGCTCATGTTCACCGTACGACAGCTGCAGAAGCATGAGGCGTCTCGCTTCTCCGCACTCGGTTTCCGCTTTGCCACCGTCGAACACATCACCTCGGCCCTGTCGCGTCGTATCCACGTCCCCGAAGTGAGCCTGGTGGAATATCTCCGTGACATGAGAGACTATGCCAGCTCCAGTCGAGGCTTCGGAGAAGGCGTGCATCTCATCTCATATGTCATGCGTCCCACCGTCCAAGATCATTTCGAGATTCTTACAGCCAAGGGTACCGGAAACCCACTTCCCTCATCGACCCTCCCGATGAAACGTCTTACCATTCAGCATCTGGATATCCTTTCCCGCATGGAGGGTTGGTCCATGGTGCGATGCATCAAATATCTTCAATCAAATGCGGCTAGCCAGTCCGATCCCAACATGGAGACCTTCCGTGAGCACTTGGTGCAGGGCATCACTTCGCTCGCGCAGGCGTTCCCCGAGGAGATGCGGTCAATAGCAACATTCTCCGCCAGACCTCTCGTTGCTCCATGCCGAACCGCGCTTCGAAAGTCCGAAGAAACGCACATGTCCACCCAATGCACCCTTCTTGCATTCTGCGTCGTCGCTCCCCTCGATACTCAAGTACCCAACCCGGACTTTACCTTCACTCCCTTCCGTCTCTTCCGAGTTCAACAGCAGGTCAACGATGCACTTGCCGACCGAGCCGGTTTCTCTCGCGAGTTGAATCAGGAATTCCTCAACACAGATGTCCGCTCCACTTCCTCAATCAGCGAGTCAGACCTCAAGTCCTCTCCTCGCTCTCCAATTAGCAAATTTTGGCCTTACCACAAACGAGCCTCTTCCCAAGCCAACAATTCACAGGAATCCCTTGTCGAAATGACTAGCACGATCATCGGCGATATCACGGTGCAAAAGGAGGTTCGAGTCGATGTGACGCGGATCGCTGAGAACGCCGCAGGAAACCCAGTGCATTCCCACGATGCCTTCATTGCGGCAGGAGATGCTATCACAACGCCAGCAACGTATGTCGATGAGTTGTACAGTCTTTGCTATGCACCTGGAATTCGCCTGCGACCAAGTGCATCGATGAAAAATATGCCGTCGGCTCGGAGATCTGGTTCCATGTGATTTGTTGGAACGATGTACAGGTCTTTGGTTTTCCTGTCACCCTCACTTTCTCTCGTTTTCTTTCTTTTCTTGTTGATATCATCATTGTGGGCGTTGGCGGAGTGGAAAAAACCAGGCAGGATCAGCGCTTACTCCTTATATCTCTCTCTATTCCTTTCTCCACGTTTTCTTTCTCACCCTCTTCCCCTGTGTCTCTCTGCCACGATCCTTCTCGATCTCTATATTTCTCTCACTATTTCTTTTTATCTTATATCTTGACGATATTGGCGGCCGCGCAGAGGTGTGCAGAAGGCGAGCTATGATTGAGTTATGCTTTATACCTTGACGTACTACTCAATTCACGAATACATGTCAGCCGACTGTGGAGTTTTTTTTTTATCATACCTTCGACGGTTCATAGTTCGCGTAATGTTGAGATTAAACACATAGGCAGCGTGCTGGCTTGGCAAGGTGACTCAATCTCCGTCTTGAATTGAAAGCAACGGTTACAGTAAGACGGCCAAAGCCAGACTACGAAAAGATGGTCACTGGTCTTACGAGGAAAGACAAATAAGAACCAAGATGGAAGTCGCTTCACGCACACCGGTACATCGCTGGGTTTGGTACGAGGTACAATTGAGGATATTTGTTTGGACATGAGATCCCCTTCTGGGCATACTCATAGTCAACATAACGTCTCCAGCTGCAGCAGACAAGGTCGGGCCGGAATCATGACTAGTGGAACAATGCAGACGGAGATCCAATCTAGGCCGGCGCTCCGCAAGATCCTTCCATGCCATTGCAGTTCTCGACCATCCACCATGCAAGTGCTGCACCGGTTGACGGCAATGCTCCACAAGCTGCCGGAAAGATTGCCTTCGTTGAAGGGTGCCCGAAATACCCTTTCGCGAAGCACGAGCCCATGACCATTCTGATTGCACTCATCATATTCACCAGATACATGTAAGATGAGCATCGCGCGTAAACCTCACGAAGCAAGATCAAGTACCATACCGCGTCAGATGACGCAAAAGGTAAGTCTCTCCGCGCAATTACCGAAGTATTGAGGCGTATACCGATCTCTGAATGACCATCCTGCCATTTTAAGAGGTTCTCCGCCAATGATCCGATACCTGGCGCGCTGAACAGGCTTGGGCTAGGGTCCAACGCTGTCATCTTTTTGTCCTGCAAAAATTGAAAGGGTGCACTTGATAAAGGGAACTGGAGGTACTGTCGGGCCTCACTGATCCATGGAAGATGAGAAGCTAGATATCTCTGTGATCTCTGTCTTGCTGGTTAGATGATCCGGCGGGCTTTTGTCAAACTAGAAGGAAATTGAACGGACGGCGACAGGTAAGGGTCCAATGCCAGCTACCCCGGGGCCGCAAGTTTGCTCATTCCGACTCTTCCTGAGCCTTCGCGGCATCATGGAATTTTCCAGTCATCTTTTTGATGATCGCATACAGGATTTCGGAAAGACAATTTCGAACATAGCGTGATCGGTTTATTGCCAGTCATAGGACCGGTGTGGAGGACGACCTAGTCGGACGGGTCGGTTCTATAAGTATACGGAGTCTGGCCGGAGGGTCACGTGGCTTCCTCTCCCCGCGGGCGCGCGGCTATCCCTCCGGTACGTACCTAAACATAGCTCTCTTCGCAAGGAACAAAACAAGAACAACAACTATTTGCCATAGTTCCTTGCACGGCCCCGACACAGACTAGCCAACAAGATGGCAAAGTCCAATCTAGATCTCGTTCGCGAGTGCGATAAGTATTGAACCCGTCCAAAGACGCTCGCGCCTTCCTGTGCTCGGAACCCATCTCTTATACACCGCTTAGCTTTCCCTACTACGAGGACAACAATGTCGTTTACTCGGAGAACCTCAAGAATTACTATGCATTCCGAGTCTCCGGGTATGATGTGACGCTGGGCTACATCCTAAACTCTGTGGTGGAAAAGTTCCCCTGGCCCAAAGATATCTGGTCCATCGACTCCGCGGCTCAAACCATCACCCTGGTCGCGGCTGCAGACGCCGATCCCGCTCATCGCAGCGAATTAATGGCGCAGAGCATTGCTGAGGCTGTCAAGGCCGGCTGCTTCGAGGTGCTGAAGGGCTGGCGCAATGAAAAGTATCCTGTCTACGGACCTGGCGGTGAATTCTTGCTTGAGATGGAGCGCTGCGCTACACCCTTATTCGGCATTGTCTCGTACGGCGCCCACATGACCGGGTATGTGGAAGACTCCACGGGATTGAAGTTCTGGGTCCCTCGGCGTGCAAAAACCAAGCAGACGTATCCTAGTATGCTGGACAACACTGTTGCCGGCGGCATGTGCACCGGGGAAATTCCCTTTGAGTGCATCGTCCGCGAAGCCATGGAAGAAGCTTCCCTGCCCGAAGACATTGTGCGAGCATCAGTCAAGTCCGTGGGATGTGTCACGTATGTGCATGTGCGCGACTCCCGTGCCGGTGGAGAAATCGACCTCATTCAACCAGAGGTCGAATATGTCTACGACCTGAAGCTTGACCCTTCGGTCGTGCCCAAGCCCTGCGATGACGAGGTGGAGGAATTCAAACTGCTCACTGTGTCGGAAGTCAAAGAAGCTTTGGCGCGTGGAGAGTTCAAGCCCAATTGTTCTATTATCATGCTTGATTTCTTCATCAGACACGGTATCTTGACGCCCGAGAACGAGCCCGATTACCTTGATATCGTGGCACGCTTGCATCGCCGTATGCCGCATCCTACCGTTACGCATTGCTAGAGTTAGAGCAAATCATCGTCAACTTTCAGCACTCAAGTGGCGCAGAAACGCCAGAGGGACAATATGGGATACGCTTCATATTGGTCGATGCGGTGACTGAGCACTGTGCAGCATCGGTCTGCCAGCTTTTACCTTGGTACACACCATATAATGTCGCTAAGCCCTACCTTTCTTCCGCGCACATATGATATTCCAGCACATACCAAAATTGTGAACAACTGAAAAATGCATCCTCAATCCCCCAAAGCTGTACAGTGTATTCTCCATCTCAACGTGCGAGGTCAACAGCCTTCGATATCCCTTGTACTAGGGAAAGAAAAATGAACTGTCGATCTGGCAACTTCCGCAGCTCGTTTGCGGCGGGGACTTCCATTACCTAGTGTCTATGCATATAACATGAGAGCTGCCAACTCTGACACTCCCACTCGCCTTCATCCTCGCACATTCTAGGGAAAGCACTTGAAACAACGACATATTCCAATCATGAGCACCAGTAGCGAGGAACCCGAAAATTGGGACTCGGTGTCAGTATCTCAACCCCAAGTGTCACCTACGAACGAAAGTCATACGCAGCTAACATCGCGGTACCAGGAATGACCGTCTCGAACTCGCTTGGCTAGACGTGGAAGCCGCCCTCAAGATCGCCGACTCCCCATCTATAGCTGTCGGGATCATCCATGGAGCCAAACCGATGCCAGTCTTTCAAAAGTCTTCTGGTATCGCCAACTTCGACACCGGGCAATGTGCCGCTTTCGATACTGTGTACAACATCGCGGGATGCTCCCAGATGATCACCTGTGCCGCGGTAGGCATATTGGTCAACGAGAAACGACTGGCGTGGAACGACCTTGTTAGGAAACACATTCCGAGTTTCTGCCCTTTCACAGACTCAGACATTGGCGAGAAAGCTTCAGTCATAGACTTGTGCCGACATACGACAGGACTTGCAAATCCAGCCCCGATCTTCATGGGACCGGGCGGATCGAGCCTGAGCAAAGCAGATGAGCACACGGCGTTTGTGAATTCTCTACCCGGAACCGATGAACAAGGTCCGAGATTCCGAAAAGTATGGCAACACAGCGATGCTGCTTTTGGCCTACTTGCCCTGATCATCGAAAAGGTAGCAGAGATGCCGTTTCACGAATTCCTTCGTGAGCGTATCTTCAAGCCTTTACGCATGTGGAGCACCAATGTCATGCCCGACGAATGCAATGGTAGATTGCAATTTGCCGTGCCTTACGTCAAGTCATCCGCCGGAATATGGTTGAAAGTCCAGGCCGCGACGCTTGATCGAACTCATGGGCCGTTGTTGGCAAGTACGGGCATGACAAGCTCAGTCCTGGATATGCTCAAGTTCATGCAGGCTGTCATACATAGGTATGACCAGGAAAGTGATACAGACTCAACTCAGCCGATGGCTAAATTGAAAATCGAGAATCCGCTCCGAGAGATCGCGGCAATATGGAAAAACGCTTGGGAGCGACCCGTGAAAGACGGACTGGACAAGAAGACCGGATATACTCTGGGCTGGAACCGCACAACAATCCCCAGCGCTGTCTTTGAGCCCGACTCGTATGACCGCTACGCAGACGGCGAGAAATCGTATATCAACCCAAGAACTATTGTGGGAAAAGGATCAGACTCCCCTATGGTGTACGGATATCACGGCATCACGGATGGGTTCGTCTCTGCGACCTACCTTTTCCCAGAGACCCGCACAGCTATCGTGGCCATGAGCAACTCGGCCAGCACCGGTGATGTCGCGGAAGCAGCGGTACGAATCATGCTACAGGCTCTTTTCAGGCCCAAACCCCGTGTGAGTGCATTCGGGCCACTGCGAGCCGCGGGCCGCCGCTGTGAACACGTCTTTGAGAAAATGCTCGCGGACTGGAAGACGGGTCGCGATACATCCTTGTTCAACAGTGATCTTCAAGACTTTGCTGGATCGTACGTTGGACTAAACACAATCCGGATCAGCATAACAGGTGGCGTCAAAGAAGGCGAATCAGGTTTTACCGAGCTTATGGTCACATTTGGCGCTAATTCTGGGTCGAAGCACCCGCTTGAACCTTACAACACCGATATGTTGAGCTTTCTTCCCCAGAAAAGGGAACAGTTGCTTGCCCGGGGTATGATGATGTGGAACCACTACAAGATGGGCATTTTTGAGTTTGTCAGAGAAAAGGAAAGTGGTAAAGTGCTTGGGTTTTGGTGGCAGTGGGACGCCAACGAGACCTCATCTTTATGGGTAAAGGACCATGGTGTCATAAGTCCTCAGGAGATTCAGGAGATACAGGAGAAGATCAGACATTCTCGTATACCAGAGGAGAAAGTCACACCACCAGAGAATGGTACCGTGAACAGCAATGCTGACCCTGATGTGCAGCAAGTACAGCCATCTTGAGAAACGAATTGATCTTGCAGTCAAAAGCAAATTGCTCGACTCATGATGCCGTGGAATGAGGGATATGTTGACGCAGGGAAATGATCATCAGCGCTGCTGAGATCTCCCAGTCCATTCTAGTGGCCCCTTCTGTCTTGTAGAATGAAATGTTGCCTTCCCTGTGCGATCCACGAGACCACCAACATCGATTAAGCTCTACCGAGGCCGAGCCCTAAGCCGTGATAAAATATCGTAGCAATAGCCTCGCGTGGGTTCCTGGCCAGGTGCCATGCATGTTTGATAGAAAAGGTTAACTCAAGATCTGAACCATATTGTTCACAACAGTCTGCGACAGGTAAAAGCCCGAGAACAGATCTGATATTGACGGTTATCGACTGTCTATGGTACACGGAATTCGGAAATGCAAAAACGCCAGCGCTGACACACCCCGAATCGAAACAAATGAGAGAATAAAAATGGAAACCGGGAGCCATTGGCCACAATCAGAAACAACATCATGAACGGGCCTTTCCTTCCCTCCAGCCGCCTGACAAGCAGGCCGTAACATCACAAGTGCGCATATAAACTTATTTCTTCATCAGGAGATAGACGTGGTCGATACGCAGAGGATTGGTCTTGGCGTAAGGACCGACCAAGTAGAGAAGGAGGCCACCGAAAGAAGCAAAGACGGCCCTGCAGGAACCAGTATCAGCATACAACTGAGCGCGGTGACGATAGCTCACCAATGGGGAGATGTAAAAGCCTACATTGTGTCCTTCTCAGTGCCCTCCGCAAACCGATAGACCTTTCCGTGGCAGACGTAATCGTAGTTATCGGCAAGGCTGGGCTCACCATTGCTGACCTCGCGCCAGCTCGTGCGGCTATCCTCCTTGCCGTCGTGAGAAAGAGTCGAGGCGATCGCCATTCGGACCGAATCGCCCACGGCGCATGGGTAAAGCTCCGTGTTCACGTCCAGAGTGAAGGTAATAGACTTGTCGCGGTTCTCGCATTCCAGGCGCGAGACGCGATCATACTTCTGGGCATTGATCGAGTTGATCGTGAAGGTGTCTTCGAAGAGGACGGGGTCGGACATGGTGAATTAGCGTGAATCGAGACGGAAATGTGTCGCAATGATACACAGATCTCGTCAAAGAGATGTAGATGAGATCAGTCAGAATAATGCGACAGCCGCAATCTTCGTAGATTCACGAGTTCCTCGTCGGAAGGCCTCGATTCTGAGTGGAGATGGTGTAGAAGTTGAGGTAGAAGATGCGGCGGCACCGCGGCGGAAATTAGAGCTTCTCTTTTTTTTTCTGCCGCTTTTCGGTTTTCCCCCCGCCACCGATAATGATCTCCGCTGCGCCATTTCGAGCTTTCGACTCGGCGATTGAACATTCAATTCTTCAATTCCCACTCCGAGTCGCCAAGTCAGGTCAAAATCATCACAAGACATGTCATTTCGCAAACGCAACGTCGGTCTCTCCACCGGTGCCGACCGCTCGGCTGCTGTCTCGTCGCAATCAGCCCCAATCGAGTCCTCTCCCGGTATACGGCCTTCACCCGATGATGGAAGACCAACTACATCTACCGGCGCTCCTTCGCTTGACAATCTATTAGCAGGCCATGCCGGTCTTCCTATGGGAAAGACTATCCTGATTGAGGAAAACGGGACTACAGACTTTGCCGGCGCATTACTTCGCTACTATGCTGCCGAAGGCGTCGTCCAAGAGCAAAAGATCCATGTGGTCGGTGTCCCAGAACAGTGGGGGCGCAGTCTACCAGGCCTGATCGGCACCGCAGAGTCTCTCGAAGAGAAAAGATCCGATAGGCGCAAAGACGAGAAAATGAAGATTGCCTGGCGGTACGAGCGGCTGGGTGAATTCGGTGCTGGTGTTGCAGGCTCTCGAGATCGTAAGCACCATGTGTCTCGGCATGTACCTCGTTACAATGAGCCCCATGAACTGATCACAACAAAGCTCCAAGCCAAATTACAGCGGCAGGAGGCGAATCAGAGGCAAAGCCCGCTTTTTGCCATGCATTCGACCTAACCAAACGTCTGACGCATGCCGGCATCAGCAACATGTCCTTTATCCCACTCGTGCCCTCGAAAGATTCGCCATTCGCAGCCATTTTGAAAGAGTTACAAGGCGCACTGCTTTCCAGTCCCGCAAACACCATTCATCGAATTGTGATGCCAACCTTGCTCAACCCAACTTTATATCCGCCTAGCGCGTCTCAGCCCGAGCATGTGCTGCAGTTCTTCCATTCGCTCAAGGCGCTCATGAGCGCATATCCTACTCGAGTCACGGCCATGATCACGATTCCTCTTTCCCTCTTTCCGCGCTCATCAGGTCTGATCCGTTGGATTGAGTTGTTATGTGACGGGATCATCGAGCTGTGTCCTTTCCCCCACTCCGCCGACACTGTCGCAACCTCTGGCGCAGCAACGTCTGTCGAGGAGCCACCGCAAGGTATGCTGAAGACCCATAAGCTGCCCGTGCTTCATGAACGCGGCGGTGGAAGTGATCAGAATGTGGGACAGGATTGGGCGTTTACGCTAAGCCGTCGCCGATTCGAGATCAAGCCTTTCAGCCTGCCGCCAGCCGAGGGTGACACGGAAGCGCAGGATGCAGCGACACCAGGCGGCATGCCGAAGAAATCTGATCTTGAGTTCTGATCGGCCCAATGTCTCCCTCGACGTACTATTTCTCAGTAATCCTCCTGGAAATCACGACGAGTTCCCGGTTCAGCCAGCATATCGTCGAGTTCAATCTGCTCCGACATTGCGGGACCAGAATTGGCCATGGTTCGGAGATAGCTCTGTCCGTATGCGCCGAAGTATTGCCGTCCTGAATCCCGCTCATTGCGCAGACGATTTCCTAGACAAGTTGAGGCTGCGAGCCATGCTGCGAAAATCATTGGCAATTGTGCTTGTCATCGGAAGTACGGTACTCCCGGTCAGACTGATCTCAACTCGTCGTGTGACTCACCCGCAAACAGCATCAATGGTGCAAAAAAGACTAGGAATAAGAGAAGGAGAAAATTCATCTTCCTGATCCTGAAAGGTCCAAGATCGAGCTTGTTGGTAGGTTGCACCTTTGAGGCTCGCCCAACTGTTCCGCGGACCACGTTCTATGGAGCAGCCGCCAAGGCCCGGCTATCCCAGATAAGGCTTAGTGTGGTGCGAGCTCCCTCAAACAAAATTCGCTTCGCTCGGTCCGCTGCCTTTCATTTCTTTCTCTTTTCCTACCTTCTCGAGCTTCTGGATTTGCTGGTCAAACCACGAGCTCGCCGAATAAATAAATGGTATGTGTATCTCCAACCACACTCTTCCAACACCTCAATCTTGCGTGATTATATATCTACAAATCTGTCAATCCCCTGAAGCTCGATTTAATATCTCAAAAAAGAGCACACGTGACTGAGAAACGTATTGAAAATGACCTGCCTTGAAATTTTCATCATTGCATTTGATTACATCTGATCACTTGGAGACATTGGCTAACTCAATGCACCTGATTAGGCTCTATGAATTGAATGAAAAAGTTTGACTATGGAATCCGCACCTTCCCTTCCCATCTCGATATCCTATGTATCTGGTAGATACCTTCTGTTCTCCATCGATGTTGTCACCTACCTCCGTCGCGAGCACAACATCTGCGGGGTCCTTATTGGGACTCTCCCACAGATCCCACAACAGAATGTTTTCCTTGGTCTACCCCTGGAGCTGATGCCAGAAGAGGCTCGACTTTTGGTGGACAAGGGTGTAGCCTGCATTGTAGACGAAGTGAAAGCGCACGACGGAATGCGATCTCTCCTAGAGGAAGATCGCAGGGCCTATCTCCGCGACTTAGAAACCCAAGGTCAACTTGCAGCACGCATTCTCGCAGACCGAAAGGAACAGCAGCGTGTGCAATCCTTGAAGGAGATAGATGAGAAGAGGGCGAAAGGCTTAGCCGCGAAGGCTGCAAAGGCCGCCCAAGCGGCTGCCGAAATTCAAGCAACAGAGACTTGTCGATCCTCAACCGAGGCTGAAGAGTCCGCGTCCTTGTTTGCTCCGGTCGACGAAAAGACTTCTACATCTCGCACTACCGGTACGACCACACCAGCGCCGTTGGCAGTCATGGCTGTCACGCCCACAACTTCCTATCCACCACTTCCCGAGCCTGCCGCAGCTGAGCATCGGCTTCCCCGACCCGACGTACCTCTGTCATATCCTCTTTTCGCTCATCTTCACTCCTTGGGTTACTTCCTCTCCCCCGGTCTGCGATTCGGCTGCCAGTACGTGGCATACCCTGGAGACCCTCTGCGCTTCCACTCTCACTTTATTGTCGTGTCCGCCGAATGGGACGAGGATATTGATCTTATGAATATTGTCAACGGTGGCCGTTTGGGAACCGGTGTGAAGAAAGGCTTCCTTCTAGGCGGACCGCAGAAACGACGCGATGAAGTTGAATCTGAGGCTGATCGAGTTGGCACTGTTCGGACATTCAGCATTGAGTGGGCTGGAATGTGAGAATCTTTTGGGACAAATTCCACTATACAAGAAGGATCTGAGATGATCTCTTCGATGCTTCAACTGCCTTGTGACAAGCTACCTCTGAAGAATCTTATGCTTGTCGCAAGACTGCTGCGTCTCCAAATTGCGGGATAACGACAGGACAATCTGTCATGTACTCATGTTGGGCAGGTCGCTTTACGAATCGGCTTGACGGCCTTGAGCGACTTTATCTCCCGATCTGGGATATGATCATGTCAATGTCCGAACTATGCCAGCGCGAGCTATGAATGTGCGGTCCCACTCATCACGACTTGCGCTAAACGTGGTGCCAGCCTAAGCTGTCACAGATATCATGTCTTGCCCCGGATCATCAAGCGCTGCGTGGTAGAGGCAAGACATGGCGTCTCGGCATTTGCGAAATCGTGATCCTTCGGGGATTTGGGTAGTGCCTTGAGAGCCTGGGCAGGCAACATCGACCCGTGTTCTGGCATAACGACCTCGAGGATCGGGTTTATCACGAGCTTGGTCTAGTGTTTTGTCAAGTCACGGTGACTCTTATTCAAGTCGAGCAAAGAATGCCAAGGTTATCTAGCTGTTGGCTTGGATAATACATACTCGAAATATGAATAGACTCTTACCTCTCCAAGTTGAAGGATCGGTTTGCTTCTTGATGGCTTGTCTTGCGCTGACACAGTGGTTCCTCCTTAATCATGATGAAGAGCGCCATCTTATACGTAGTCGATGTTTCTCCACTTGAACTTCTTGTTCGCCCTGTCAACGGGTCGGTTTTCGAATTGGCTGCCATGAAGCTCAAAGACCAGCGGCTTCAACTCTGCTGCTTTGGCTTCTTGTTGATTGTCGCCATCTTGAATAGTGGCCTCCGTCGACGTTGGTTGTGGCAATGGCACCGTAAATCTGAAAACTGTATGCTCTTTGGGTATCGCTGTGGGTGGTATCACCATTAGACACTCATTCCAAGCAATCCATCAAGGGGAACGGACTCTCCGCACTCACTCTTCACATCGTCCTTTTCAGTGACAACAACAAACGTAAACTTGGTGTCCCGCACCACAATTCCCTTCAATCCGACCCGGCTTGCGCATTGACTCCGAACAACCTCCACTTCTGCGCCGTGGAAATCCGCGCTGACCAGCTTTGCTCCATGCGACGCCGGTGTGATCACACCAGTCCGTCCCCCGACTCTGAGATCCAGTATCTCTTGCATATATCCCACCCAAAGCGCATGCAGGCCCTTGAAAATGTCGTATTTGCATTCTTCCTTGGGCAAATTGTACAGGCCTGACGAGCGCTTCTCGCGCGCAGACAGTGGTTGCGGTCGCTGATGTTTGAGAAAGTACTCTTTCTTCCGAAGTCGCTCATGGCGTCGTCGTGAGCGGTTATCAGCTGCTGAGGGTGACGTTGGTCGAAGGTAGAGTGGTTTTTGCTTGACGCGCTCGGTGAATTGCTGCGCGGCGGTGTCGGGGGAGTGGGCGCGCGCGAGGAGATTGTAGGCGATGTGATTTGTAGGCGCACTTGCGGACGCCATTTTCAGATAGCTTGATCGTGCACAGAGTGAGATGTATAGATGGTTATGTTCGGCGTGGCCAGCGGGGGTTACCAATTACGTTGGCGGAGGAGTGAAACTTGGAGAAGAAAAAAGACCGGTAACTATCTCCCCGCCGCGATAAGAGATACGCTGCTTCTACCTAGTACATACACGGCATTTGGTCATGCATAATACGTCTACCACACCCATGGATTGTCAAGTTGTCAAACAGCTTGACCAACGTTGGAGACGGAAATTACTGATACTCTCGCGGTGTCCTTCGTTTGGGAAATTTTGCAAAGCTCAAAGTCTGGCCAGTGGCCCATCGGGTCTTACGACTCCGATTCTTGACGAAGTGATATCGGCGATCGATTTGCAGCCCGCCAACTGCATGCATCGCTTGAACTCATTGTATAATATCCGAAGCATTAACTCGACCCCTCGCTGTCCGTCGACCTGAGTTGTATGAGATCAGCATCAAGTCATGGCTCCGAACTGGTACCATTGACATACAGCTAGGCCCCAGAGCATTGGACGTCCAACCCAGCAGCATTCAGCGCCGAGTGCCAAGGCTTTGAACATGTCTGTCCCCGAGCGAATGCCCCCGTCAATGTGAATTCTGATCCGGCCTCTGGCTGCCTGGACACATGCGGGAAGAGCATCGATGGTGGCGGGTGTTTCGTCGAGCTGACGCCCTCCGTGGTTGCTGATAATCACTCCGTCACAGCCGTATTCGATCGCCATCTCAACATCTTCTGGGGCAAGGATGCCTTTGATCCAAATCTCCATCTTGGTGATGCTACGGAGCCAGGGGATCTCTGTCGCCCATGAGTGTGCCGCAGAGTTGAAGGAAGTGAAACTATCATCATGAGACTGTTTTTGGATCTGTTTGGAGGTCATTTCAACCATGGAGTATTCCAATCCTGCGGGAGGAAGAAAGCCATTCCTCCATTCGTTGTATCTGACCCCGAGCACTGGGCTATCGGCAGTTAACAGAATCGCTTTGCAGCCAGAGGCCTCTGCACGGTGCACAATGCGGGCCTCCTTTGCCCGATCTGTCATCGAATATAGCTGCATTGCATGGTGGATGGGACCTATCTCTGTTCCTACCGCGGTGATCTGCTCGACTGGATAGTTTGCATATGATGAGATTCCCATATTGATCCCTAGAGAGGCGCAGGCCCGACTCGTCGCAAGCTCTCCGTCGGGATGAGCCATGGCCTGTAATCCTGCAGGTGAGACACACAATGGAAACGAGATCTCCCGGTCAAACATGCCAATCTTCGTATCGACTTCGGCAACATTCTTCAAGACCCGCGGCAAGATACGATACTTTCCATATGCAGACGAATTCTCGCGAACTGTGACTTGATTTGTGGCTCCAGAGTTGTAGAAGTCTACAAGTCAAGTCAGCGTACTTTGTTCTCTCTCTCTCTCTCTCTCTCTCTCTCTCTCTCTCTCTCTCTCTCTCCCCCTACCCTTTGCCTGATCCTTCATGGTCACTTGTGGCGTGAAGTTGATACCCAATGTTTTTCACGCTTACCTGAAGTTGACTGTGGCATGACCCGTGAAGCTGCGGCTTCGAGATCCGCTATACACAGAATCTTGTGCTTCTCCATTCTGGCAACAAGACCGTTGTTTTTACGAAAGCAGGTATAATGGGAAAGCAACCATTTTCATGCAGTGATGATTGTCCTTGTAGAACAACTCCGAAGCGGGGTCAACCAGTACTCGGACTCCTTCCCCTCCTTTCCCTAAAGGCGGCTCTTTATAGCTGGTCATCCCGGGGCGAACCATGGCCACCTCCATTCAGAAATTGCTTCCATAGAGCTATGCAATTGATAGACCACTGCCATTCGTCTGTTCATCTGAGTCGGAGCAGTCGACGCAGATGTTCCCTCTTCTGGTACTCAACACAGACATCTTTTCATATGGTACTGACCAGCAAGGTAAGCTTGACACTTGGCAGGCTCAATACCTTCGTCTACTTCGGTCGCTATTCCATCCGGCAAGACAGTCGGCTCTTACAAATCATGGCTGGAAGTTCTCTTTTACTATCCGAGCACATTCCTTGAATGAGCCGGAAATGGGGGCAACACAACGCAAAGTTGACCGATTGTAAATGATTACATCTGGGAATGTCAACCCCGGGCGTGTGGTGCTGTCGTCGACCAGCACGCCACCGATTACCGATCGGGCAATAATGGAAACGCTCTAGAGAGTTACCAGCTAGAGAAGGACAGAAAGACAAAGAACGACATGACCATGAAAGAGGCCCCCCACTTCCCATGATCTGCTTGTGCGCAACAGCCCGAAAACGCCTGAATGTCAACATTCGGGCCTCGAGACTCATCGTCCAGCACCCATTTCCGGCTTCAGCTTTTGAAAGCTGACTTTTCATTTCGAAATATACGCCACGGTCGTCGACTGGTCATTAATAGATGTTCAAAGGTCAACTTTCAATCACCTTGCTGGACGTTGCTGAAGACACGAACAGCTGAAACGGTTCTCGTCATTTTACCAAGAATTATCCATACCTCCAGTACGGGTTCAACCGTCTCCCTCCCCGATTGGGCCCTTGATGCATGTGGCGTGCAGCATTTCACTTCAACGCTTGCATGACACGGGCTCGATACACATCCGAAAGAGGCAGCGATACGCTCCAAGGCCAAAGCGCCGCTACCAGCCTGCTGGGTAGGTGGTTTCCAAAGACAAATCGGACTTCTCCATGGCTCGGGAGAATGGTGTGGTACATTCGGATATCGATGTGGGCTTGTAATCTGTAGAGAGCACGGACACCAACTCTGCGCATTGTGTTGCAAGCAGAGATTAAAGTACAGAAGCGATACATGATTCATTTGGTGTCTATGTACGTACCTTGTAACTTACCTGTACTGTACCTAGATATGTACTCGACCAACCGCGCTTGCCTCGCTCAAAATCCTCGAGGCACAAGTATTGCATGATTCATGAATCAATCACCTGCACGAATCATTGGGGCTAAGGGTGGCAACCCACGTGATTTGGAGAGTCCAGTACATGCCGAGGAGGTGGACTGTCAGCTTTGCATGCCAGTAGTTAACTATAGGTTACAGTACCTGAGTACACACATTGGCGATCCCAGGGTAACGGACACAGAATGATTGCAATCACGACGGACTCGGGCCTTCCTGGTCTGCACCAATGCGACTAACTTTACGCTTTCTCTCTTTCTGCTTGGGGATTCCCTGACTCATGGGAGATACGGTATGTCTCCCGAGTCCCGTGGGTGGTGCCTCAGCGCGTCAGGCCAATGAATCCACTAACGGCTCGGTCCGAAGGTACCAGACTTGAGACCACAATAGAGCCGACCGAATGCACTGGCTGCACTGGTTAGTGTTACTCAATTCATGGCCCCCTACTATTGTGTTGGGCCTTGAACCATGTGAATCTTTCATACGTTTTTTTTCGCCCACAGTTCAGATCTCGACGCTAGTCTCAGCCATCTATACGACATTTTGTAATTCACGATGATTCGAATCTCATTTGTCTGCATGGGAAATCGCGGATTCCCCCCAAGGCTGTCTAAATGGGCGGAGCACGCGTCTCGCTCGGACGTCACCGATGTCTCCTGGATTCTGGAGAAATTACCTGCAGATATTCTCGATTTCCAGGAAAAAGCAAAGCTTCCACCATCAAAGCTTGGCTAGTATCAAAGTAGCTCATACGGGTAGGAATAGTCGTGCTTCCGATGATATCCAAAGTGAGAACAAGGCTGTCAAGTTGGAAGCAAATCCCGATCGGGCTGGACGACGGGAGACCCCGACGCCGTTGAGAGAAGAGCCCAGGAGGGTAACGGGTGGGACTGGGAAGTACATCTGCGACATCAGATTTGGGCGCGATCCGATCGATCAGTAGAATCTCGGACAGTGAAAAGCAGGGCTTAGCAGCACGGGAACGATTTCTCCCGTCTCGAGTCTCTCGGCGGTGCGCGCATTTACCAACCGTTCAACATAGAGAGACATTGGATGGAACATGTTAGAGTTCAGCTAACGGCATCGAGGGATTCCAGGAAATTTCCCACCGGGAGACGCAGATGACGAGGGTGGTAGTCCATTTCGGCCGAAGCTAGGTGAAATGGGTACCACCATGGAATTAACGCCACTTTTCTGGGCACATCATTGAATCCTACCACCATAACGGGCACTGGTGTCCCTGACTCCCTGGTGTCACATGGAAAGAATTATGGCCTGGGGATTGAGAAGGTGTCAACCTTAGCGATCGACAAGTCACGAAGCCTGCGCAAAAAAGCCTACGCCAGAGGAAATAATGATGGCTTAAGACTGTACTTCCTATTGATTAACTAAGAGGTCTCGGGTAACCGGGTAAATCCGCTTTCGCAAGATGTGCTGATGGAACACGAGTCCTGTCATGAAAAAAAAAAAAAAAAAGATGCTGCAGGAAAGAAGAGAAGACATGTAGAAGCATCCACGTCCTTCTGAACTTCATGTGCCAATGTCCGCCAGCAACGTGATTCTGTCTTCCACCCTTCTTAAGATCGTGGAGTCAGGCTCTGTCTTGACTTTCTTCGGTCTAGTTTTAGGCAAATGTCAGCAAATAAGGTGAGGAATGGCTCGGGTAGTTCAGATCCCGCGAAGTAAGAAAAAAAAAAAAAAAAAAAAAAAAGGGAGAACATACGGATTTCGGACAGTTTCCGCACACTTTGCCTGGCCACATTTGCCACAGGTACTCGCGCCGTCATTGAAGGTAGCATGACACACATGGCAGATGCAGTGGACTCTCTGTCGCGGTTTTCTGAATGTCCGCTCGGGCTTGCGAGTCGGAGGCTCCACGTCTCCTGGATAACCGTTGGGGTATTTCTCGGGGCGATGCGGACTGCGTGGACACTTTTTGCAGCGCACATGAGCGCAAGAACCGCACTCCTTTGAGCCAGGCTCGAACATGGTGTCACAGGAGTGGCACATGCGTCGCACGCGCTGAACCACTGGCTTTCGAAGATGGTCTGGTCCCCCGATGCGTGACTGCATCGTCAGCGGTGCGGCTGGGTTCCCGGTAAACTTGAGATGCGGAGTCATTGGCAGTGTGCCGGGCCGTCGGGCACAGAGTTCGAATACTTTTGCATGGCTCACGTAGGCACACTTGTCATCGTGTTCATTGTTGACAGGAGAAATTGGACAGCTTTTGCACCTCGGATGTTGGCAATTGATGCACACCGTGTTGGGGCCGAAAGCAGTTTCACACCGGTGGCAGGTCCGTCGCACTCGAATACGAATGGTCCTGTTTACTCGGGGGAACTGAATGTCAGACGAGGGGTTGACCTCTTCAGGTCCGAGATGTAACCCGTATCGGGCCAAAAGAGCTCGTGCTCTCTCACGCTGTGCGATGATGCGGTCGACATCTATAGGTTCCTCGGCGCTGAGCGGGTTTGGTTCCGCTGTACTTGTGAGGGTTGGACTAGGGTATATGTCATTAGCAACGGAAGTAAGCCGACTCGGCATAATGAGAGAACCTGGCTGATTCGAGATTGCTGGACAGAGAACGGGAAAAGGGGAAAAAAAAAGATCTCGCATACACTGGTCGGTTGGAAGGTAGATTTGAAGTAGTCGTGGAATCCGCGATCGAAGGCGGGCGCTTGGAAGCGGGGCGCGTCAGAAAAGCAGTTTCGAAGCGCTTCAGGTACGTGGAAAGACCATCCGGCCTTTTCTCTTGTTTCTGTAATGACATGATGATGTGATGTGTTCAAGGCAGCCAAGCTACTGCTGAGTGTCGTGGATGGCGCAAGATTAATGTGCCGGCGTTGATAACCCCGGTCGCGGGTCTAGCTGAATACTGGCTGATGCTGATGATAGTGGCTGGCCGATCACTTCATTAACCCCAGTGTGCTCCGACACAGGCGAGTACAAGTGTGAGCGAGGCCGAGAATATAACGCAGTTCGGATCCACGAAAATGGGCTGCTTTAAACAAGCTCTCGGCGCTGGGTTTGCCTTGGGGATAGCCCAATTCGCAGAGCTGGGATTGAGAGCTAACCACGGTACATCAAGCTCGATCGCAAAACGATCGCGATCAGGAACAGAAAAGCTCAAGAATGATCTATGCAGAATGAGGCCAAATAGGTCGATCCGGATCGAAGCGCGAGGTAACAATCCTCTCGCCAGCTGGGTGGAAAGGAACAATAAGAGTTATAAAAGACGGGCTGTCGCTGTTTGTGGACGACGCCCGCATAAACGAGCACCTGAGACGGGAAATTCTTGTGCTTCATGTACCGCGGATGGCGGGTCGACTCCAGGCAAACCACGTTGGGGCTACCATCCTATCATCATGAATTATGAATTGGATTCGAGCTTGGTTGAGGTTTCCGGAAGCCAGCCAAGTGAGCCAGGGGGGGGTCAGGGATTTGTAAGTAGGGTATACTGAGGGAAAGTCCCAGGCCGGCTGAAGCCCTTGGGCAGCGGAGAATGCCCGATTTTTTTTTGAAGCAGATCAAATGAAGATGCAGCATCTAATAATCCTACCTGGTGAACTGCTTCTTTTCCGCAACCAATCTTTGAAGACTAGAGTGTTGGAGACGGAGCATTGCCAAATACAGTTTGTGTATTGTCATCGCCACACAGGGTGACAGGGTGACAGCGCAAGAGTGGAAACGATCATCTGGATATGCGCATGCTGCAGAGTGCAGACGAGGGTGGATCACTCAACAATGCACCGTGAACCCGAGGGTTTGGGAGAGTGGCACTGCATTCATTACTGCTTGCTCCTTTTTCGGGTTTGAAAGGTCCTTTACAATGGGGTGATGTATCTTTTTTTTTTCTTTTCCCTGTGGTTTCCCCAAGACAAGTCTTGCTGATGTCGGAAAGGTACTGTGGTACCTTCGCTGTCAAGACTGATTCATGTGGGATCTCCTCGCGAGTCATGACGGAGTCTCTGGCAGGGTCAGAAATCAATTGATCGTCAGGCCCATCGCGGACTATCTTCACCATTCACCGTGACAAGGTTCATTTACTACTCGTCGAACCAGTACCGGGTACATCATATAGTTCTCCAACGTTACGAATAGTACATTAGACCATGCAGCTGGCTACTCTCCTCATGTCCTTCGACTGGAATCACTAGCTGGCACCGACAGACTGGGTCCAGTGGGCTGATTCAACGCAGAGGCGAGCGGACGAACGGACCAACGCAACGATGCAATGCTCGGTGGTCAGTAGAGGCACGAAGCGAGGACATGGTAGTACAATAGTACTACTCGACAGCAGTACTGCACAAAATAGAAATGACCGCAGGGGCCTCACTCCTTCTCCGGAAAGGCGCCCGTGCATCAACGTTGAATTTAGGCATTCATCAACGTAGTTAAAATGTCTGGTTCTGTCACTCACTTATCTGATGATAGTCTATTAGTCTAATAGTCTGACAAGCCAACAACTTCTTACGATAGGTAGCGAATGGATTACCTACGTCAAAATGTAGGACTTGTCACTACTGCGAGCACGGCCCTCATGCCCGGCATGAACAGCTGTCCATAATGTCCGACCATCGTGGACTGTCCATTGATCGGAAACCACCTGTTGACAATGTCATGATCTTTGGACGACCGCTTTCCAGCAGACGTTGTTGGACAATGACCTCGCGCGTCGAGCTACAGCATCGGTGGTACAATTCCGTCCGGCAGGTGGATCTGATCCCAAGACGCTGGATTGACGGGGGTCATGTTGTTTGTCAGAGTCTTTGACTCTTTACCCCCTTGTTCCCCATCCCCACTGGGACTGGGAGTGCTGTCACTGGGATACTCGAGGCTGGAACCAAACCCCGAAAGGAGGGACCCAGCCGGCTGGACCCTATCCGCCATCCCGTCGGGGCCTGGAGGAACTCGTGGTCGATGGTGGTTGGAAATTGGGTGGAAGGTGGACACTCGGCAGGCCTAATAGAATTGTTATATAACTTAGTTTGAATGCAAAGATCAGCGACAATCTGACATTGAAAGGATAGAAATCATCTAAGCAATACTAGTACGATTCCGATCCGATCTTGCACAGGGCGGAGACCATCTTCTGATCTGCCATACGGCAGGTATGATCAGTGATATCACCGGTTCACGTCACTGTTGCTACCTCCGAACAAAAATCTACGATTGGACCTGTGTTTGGGGCTGCTCATAACGGCCAGGTATAGGACATCGTGCGAGGAAAAGCTACAACCACAGGGGGGAATCAAATCCGCTGCCTGAATCATTGGCGGTTGAAAACGTAAAGGGGCTTTGCAGTTTGCATTCGACAAGTCACCAGCAACGTACACTGGGACAGTACTTTGAGATTGAATCATAACATGATCAGTCCCGACTCCCCGAGAGTCTCCCGTCAGGTTCCGTGCCCAAAGTTCGACTAGAGGAGACGCTACTGCGACGCTAGGAACGCCCCCTCCTCTGATGAAGTGGCAGGATGGACCATCCAGACTTTGCAAATGTCCAAATCACATGCAAGATCTCAGATACCGGAGTTTGACATACAACGGTGATGCTGCATCCCGCAAATCCATTTGGCTCAACTAGACTGGGCGAATGGAAGGAGATTCACTGGGTGAGGGTGTCGGGCTGTTGGGTTTGATCCTAGGATGACGATCGACCGGCTTGGGAGTCTTCTTCCTTCTGAACAACAAAGCTTGGACTTTCCGTTCCATTGGCAGAAGGGATCATCGGTTGATGGCCCTGAAGAAACTTGATTGTGACCTTCAAGTGCCGAAGTGGGCGTCCCTCATTGAGAGCATCGAATCTAAGTCGCAGATCCGAAATAGTTCACGGTCAAGTCCTGATCGACATCACACCTCCCTTGAGCCCGTCTCCGTGTCCTCAGCACCATTTCACATGCAAGTATCTTCCGTTCTTCACTGGTGCAAAATAACACGACCAGGCTAGCCTGCTGCCGTATTGGCGTACTGGCGCCCTGAGGTCCTGTCGTAAGTTACTCACTCCCACTGACTCAGTCGGTCAGTCCTGGTAAGGTTACTGTACGAGTGTGTGACTGTTCGCTGTAATTTTTCCCGCCCACCCAAACTCTCGGGAATCAGTCGCGGGCCAAACTGGGGGGTTGCGACCACGGCCCGGCAGGTTGGGTCAAGAAAGGTTCGGGCCCAGACTGGACCAGTGGACCAGCGTCGGTGGTCAGTGCTTTCACCCAAACTGCTGGAATCGAGGGCCCACCCATGAGATTGGGGTCGAACTGGTCTAAATTCTAGGGTAGGTCCTGTGTCCACCGAGGTGGAGAGGAGGACCACAAGGAACGGAATGGCATGGGATGGAAGATGGCCAAGTACTGTTAGTGAGTAGTCACGTATTGTGTTCTGGACTGATGTACTCAGTCCTCACACTGCACCTCACGAGTCGCCAGGAAAAGCGGTCTCTCTCCATCTCGAGAAGATCACAGTCGATGTACGCGTCTGACTTTGTGAAATGTGAAGATGATCAACACGGTATTACAGTTGACTAGTCTGTACTGTGCAGTGTGCACTCTATGCCCATTCAATGGTGTCTAACGGCCAATTTCAACCGTCTATCTCGAGTACGGTCGTTTTGCCGCTCATCCGAGTTCGCTCGTCCACAGGTATATATCGACTTAACATCAGGCACAACAAGCTATGTCTACTTTGGTAGCTTCAAGCCTCTCACTCGGTGAATAGATTAGTGTTGGACGGTCTAGGTGGGATTTGAGCTAGCACTGAATTTAGACGGGAATCTCCCATGGCTTATAAAGATACCTTTCAGAGGTGAGGGCAGTCCAACGAGAGTGATACCAAGGAGCGCCTGTACCATGGCACCTACTGCCTGACGACTACGTACATATGTATTGTGTAATCGTGAGGGTAAGTTCCAGGTGGTAACTCATCCATGTTCATAAACCCAAGTGATGAGGTGTGAGTGATGCCCGGATTCCTGATCTACATTCTACTAGCAAGGCACAATCTCAACAGGCAACTTCAAAAACATGCACCATATCCATTCTCGTGTCGCCGTGAAGTCTACAATACCCCTACCTTTTGTCTACAATACAGGGAATTGCCTTCAAGATTACTACCCAGTATTGCTATCAAGCCAACAAGATTTCACTGCCCCGAGTCCCGACTAGCTGCTACGAGAGTGCCGTCCAGGAGACTTCCCATCCTAGTTCCTCCTCTACCTAACAGCGCAAGCGCATCGCGCACATTCGACTATGGTCCCCTTCATGCCGTGCTCATAGGTGACTCAAGACTCTCCTTGGTTTCGCCCTTCGTGGCAACGCCCGGGACACTTCAAGGACAATATCAATTTGCTAACGTTCTCATTTCAGCTCAGAAGAGTAGATGTGCTTATCTGCGAGCTGATGCTCCAACGGATTGTACATGGTATGTTGGTACTGTTCAGGATTCATGGTGCTCGGGGTCCGTATCGTGGCAAGTGTCGAAGCCGTAAATTGTGACCTGGGTGAATTCGGCATCGGCAACAGATGGGTGTACGATTCAATAGACCAGTACAGATCTCTTATTCGCGAAATTTGTGCCCTTGTATAAGAGTGGATCGTGAAGGTCCCGTACCTTATGCATCGATGATGGGGCTGGAATGCCTGAGATAATGACAAGTATACGAGCAGTCTTTTGATAGTAACCTGTTAATGGTGTTCGAAAACCCGATACTCCCCGCTTGAATTGAAATATCTTGGTTGGTGTAGGTGTACCATACATGATTCATGTGTATAGGATGTTCGGGAACAAATTCTCAAATATATTAGTCGCCAAATGTTCCCACACGCGGTCATCAAGTAGCTGACAGGGTCCAAATTCTAAACCAGCCACTGCAGCTACGACCGTGCAGCCCTCATGATCCCCTCAGGTCGATTGGATCCTGGGACGCCAGTCGCAGGGTCACCATTCTTCAACTCCTTCTCTGTGCGTCATGCTGCTGAGAATCTCAAGGCCTCGGCTTCGCATTCTTCTGGGAGAGGCTCGGGCAGCTATTCAAGAACTTATCTCAGCTAGCCGTGCGCCACTGAAACCCAACACAACACCTATCAGCGACGCGTCTCTAGGATCTGCACTGCCGTATGCCTCTATCATGTCCATCTGTATTGACTGAGAATAGATGCCCACTGTCTTGATGAAATCATGGTTAAGCAAACAATACCCCGTGCTCCCGTTGTTATACACGCTTAATCATCACCAGCCAGCTTAGATTCGATGGAAATAACATCGTCTTCACTCTCCACCGGAACAAGACGGTTCACACCAGCCGTGGTGCGCATCAACTCGACTGCATTGGCATACTGATACATGGTATCTGTCTTGCAGTTTTCGGGCTTGTAGTACAGCAGAACGTAGGGCACGGATAGTCGGCCATCCTTCTGAATAGGGGAATCTCGCCATCAATACTTGTACATTGTTTTCCGGGGGTGACACACTCTACGCTCTCGGGTGAACTCACCAAGGTCAATGGATGGCTGAGAACGATGAATTGCGGCGTAGTCTCAGGCAGGTCATCGGCTACGTCCATCATGCTGGTATATGTCTCGTCATTTTTGGGGCGGATCTCCCCCGTGTTCTTGTCGATTTCATCTGGAGAAGTCGAAGTGTCGAGAGTCAGTGAAACTTTCCAACCCCAACCCATTGAAAAACCATGTGGTACAAAGACATTGACCCAGACCTCATCCTCCGGTCGGATCAGGTGTGACAAGCACGAAGGAAAGCCTCCTTTTGAGTAAAGTCGATCGTCACTAGGAGGGGGACCGTACAGATCTGGGCTTGCGGCTCCTTGGCTCTTGACGAGCTCAAGCGAAACTTGCGTAGTCGCTCCTTTGTCTCGGGTGAGAATGAATATAGGCCGGGCTAGAGGGTACCAAGAATTAGTCCACCTTCTCATATTGATCGACTTGTCCACCACTGCAAGGCTCTGCCCGCGATTGTTGTAAACATTCAGAGTGGGGGTGGGGGTGAGCGTACCATGATGCACTGGAACAGGGGATGTTTGGCGGGGCACGCGATGGTAATTCTGGAAGAAGACGGGCGCAGATTGCTCGCGATCAAGTATTCACGAGATCAAAGTCGAGGACTAGCTTCGATGATATGCGATGCAAGTGTTATGCAGATATGCGCAGGTGTGGCTTGTTGGAGAAACGGGAGAAGCAACGAAAGTCGGTGGAGTTCGAACTGGCATCCATGATTAGTAGTGGTCTGGTGCCTCTTCCACCCCTCCAGCTCCGACCGACTGATGTTCCCCACTTTCCACCTGATTGCGCTCGCTGCTCCTCGGCGCGATCGATCGATACGCCGCAGTCCTGATCTTCAAAGGGCACCGACCCTTCTTTCAATCCTTCCAGCTTTCTATACCTCCACTCTCTCGTCTCCCTCGAAGCCCTCAATTCACCTGGACTCGTCCCTCTTCTTCATGCTGAACCGACTCAATCTTCTCACACGACAGCTTGCCCGTCCCTTTGGCTCCGTCCGTGCAGCTTCCCCAACCCTTCCGACCACGTCCCTGACCCGGCGATCCGGCCCGTTCGCAATGACATCAGCTCCGAATTCAAGTACCATTCACACGGCTGCTTGCCTGATTATTGGCGATGAAGTCCTCGGCGGAAAGGTAGGGATACAATTACCCCGTCTCTCCCTTTGAAGTAACTTCCTGGTGGTCAGAATCGCGCTGACAAAGTCCTGACTCGGTGATGGAACAAATAGACGGTCGACACCAATTCGGCCTACATGGCCAAGTTCTGCTTTGGCCTCGGCATCCAACTGAAGCGCATCGAAGTGATTCCCGACGACGAGGAGGATATCATGGAGGCTGTGCGTCGTATGAGCGACAACTACGACTTTGTCGTGACAAGTGGAGGCATCGGTCCAACGTGAGAGCTCCCATCTTTTCTTCTCCCCTGTCCACCCACGAGGCCTCCAGAATGGCGACAACATGCATGCACACAACTGACGCATTACCTACCCTCCACTAAATCCAGTCACGACGACATCACTTACCAGTCCATTGCCAAGGCGTTCGGCCTGAAACTCCAACTCCACCAGCCCGCCTTTGAGCGTATGAAACGACTCTCGCGCCCACACCCCAAGCAACCGAACTTCGACTGGGAAACCCCTTCTCCAGGCCTGACCGCCAAGCTGCGCATGGTCGAACTACCCTACGACCCCAACGTGTCCGCCGAGTCGCAAGCCCTATTCGTCGCGGACGACCTGTGGGTGCCGATCGCCGTGGTCAACGGCAATGTGCACATTCTCCCCGGAGTACCCCGTCTATTCGAGCGACTGCTGCTGAACATGAAGCCTCACCTTGTGCCCCGTCTCACCGATCCCGAAGGCAAGGGAACCTTCCGGTTCCTGTTCAGCACGCCGTTGCCAGAGAGTGCGGTGGCACCATTTTTGACCCAGTTGGCTGCCAAGGTTGAGCCGCAGGGTGTCAAGGTTGGTAGCTACCCTCGCTGGGGAAAGAAGCGCAACACCGTGACTCTCGTCGGCGCCAACAAGGAGTACTTGGAGTCGTTGGTGGCTGAGGTGGAAGCTGGGGTGGAGGGTAAATTGGTCGAGAAGGAGGATGATTTGGACCCTCCCTCGGACACGGAACATGTATACAGTCAGTAACTTTGGCGGGGTGGCATATATTGATGAGAACGACATAGTTGATTGAAGGAATAACGCTTGTTGAAAGACTTGGATCTCTTGGACACGCGCGTAAGTCCACCGGCCTTCAGTCCAACGTCGATCTCTTTATAACGCTCGAAGGTTCCCGTCCAAGAGTGCTGGTAGCACCGGATACCTACCTAAGTGGGCCAAACCTCCTACTTCAGTAATGTGGACCGTTTTTCCCGCTGGAACGTCCACTACCCCAGCTAATCGAGAGCTGTCTACAAACGGTACATGTAATCAGGTCCACACGAGTGCTGGTGGGTTTACACGGGCTTGGTGTATAATCAATGACCCCATATGGCATCGGGATAACAACACAGATGAAAGTAAAAGCGGGAGATGCGCTTCGATGTGGTAATTAGAGCCGGACTTCCCTCTGGGAGTGTATATGTATATATTGACAGATAATGTCGGTCAACACCACAGTACCAAGATGGGAATGGACGGAGGCAGTAGATTTGACGGGAAATGAAGAAAAGCGAAAAACGACGCGATGAAATGAGACTGAACCCAGGCAGCACATCATGTGCGAAACCAAAATAAATAGCATAAAAACGGATAAATGGGCCATCGACGCCAGGAAATCTCACCGAGACCCGCGAGGGAATGGCAGAAGAATGGGAAAGCAAAACAAAAAGGGGGAATCAATATGTTCATGAGACGAGGTTTGGCGTCAAAAAAGATGGGAATATTCAACGATTTGCCGCGCGAGGTTGCCAAATCATGTCGTGTCGAAGCTCCAATTCGCCAACTCCGAGGGGCAGAAACAAATGGATAAACAAAGTTCAAGCGGGAGCGATTGCATAGCCTCACCCACATCGTCTCGGCGGCAGTGTTGCTTTTCAATCCCCAGGGTTTCAAGGAGAATTCAATCCAGAAGTGCGCCAAAGCTCCAAGACGAAAGTCGAGCAGGGACCACCACCCGTCGAATGTAGAGCATGGACAAGCCCGACTCCCCAAAATACGAATTGCCACGCGCAACAACCCCCCCCCCCCCCCCCCACAATCAGAGGTTCTTTCGTTTTCAAGATTTTTTTTTGTTTCCGACAAGGGCGGTGCACACCTCACAAACCCCTGATACGCCTTTTGCGTCGCATCGTTTTCGCGATGTATAAAAAATGGTATGATGCGAGCCTTGAGTGTGGTATAATGAAGATGCCATCTCCTTTTTGTTTTTCGAAAAAGAAAAGTTTCGGGTTTCGAGAACGGAACAAGGATTCGTCGCGGGATGGGCGTGGGTATCTGAGAAGCACATCTACATGACGACGCACTTGGAGCAACATCCACCGCTCTCGCCGGGCTCGCTGACTTCCATCTTGTTCTCGGGAGCACGGGCTCCAAAGGCGCCTGAGCCGGAGGGATAGGAGGACATCTCCTTGTTGTATCGGCGAATCTCGCGGACGAGGTCGTAGAAAGCGTCTTCGACGTGAATACGAGACTTGGCGGAGGTCTCGATGAATTTGCAACCGAATTGGCGAGCCAGCGCTTCACCCTCTATTGGAGCAAAAGAAAAGACGATTAGCTTTGCAGTTCGGTGCATACGACAGCGTGGTGAGCCGGCAAGAAAGATTACTGTCCCATTTGGGGAGGAATCCTCTCTGGGCGGAAGCCTGGAAAGACCATTACCGTAGAATCTCACAGAGTGGGTACGTACCTTCCGAAGACACCACTCGCTCCTTCTCCAAATCGCACTTGTTACCCACGACAATGATGGGGAAATAGTCCTTGTCTTTGACACGGAGAATCTGCTGTTGGAAAGTCATGATTTCTTCGAATGATTGACGCGACGTGATCGAGTAGATGAGCAAGAAGCCCTCGCCGGTTCGCATGTATTGCTCTCGCATGGCAGAGTATTCCTCCTGACCAGCCGTGTCGAGAACGTCCAAGAGAGCGACCTCATCATCAATCAGGCACTGCTTGCGATAGGAATCTGTCCGCGTTCGTAAGCACCCGTCAGCGATCTGGATCTCACTCCTCATCAAGGATATGAGCCGCTAGAGAGCCCGAATCGTGAGCCACTCACCTTCAATTGTTGGATCATACTCGTCCACGAAATGACTCTGGATCAGTTGGATTGTCAAACACGACTTTCCGACACCACCACCACCAACCACTACCAACTTATATTCTCGAAGGAACTATGCACCCGCAAGGCAAGAGAGTCAGCAATTGAAAGCTCATCGACGTCATTGATATGATTTGCCAGTCAATTGGTCCTCGCTGGCGGAGAGATTCATCCCGGCCGTGGAGGTGAATCTGAGCGTCGAGGTAAAGGGCCCGCAGAGGAACTCGCAGGGGGGGGGGGAGGGGGGCCTGGCGGTCAGGCACAAGCAAGAGAATAGCATACCTTGGAGGCCATTGTAACGAGAGATCAAACAGACCAACCGCGGGATCGGTCACGAAAGATTCCACAGGTGAATTTAAGAGAAGGGTCTCACGATTGGAATGGGAGCGAATCCTTCTGGACCGAGACACTGAAGATCGAAGGGGGAAGGGACTCTGTAAACGGGGGGTGGTGGGATCTTGTGTTGCGGTCGCAGGGATTCAGGAGCGACCCGAAAATTGTGCCGGGCAGCGGCACTAGTCACGAGGAAAGCGGTGTCGACGGGACGGTCGAGAGAAATGGGGATCGCGTGCGGGAAATGGTCAACGGTCAATCGTAGAGAGACTGATAATCAGGAACGAGGGTTCAATGTTCAGGCTGGACTGAGAGTGAGATGAGACCGGTGGAGAGAGATGTGGGAAAAACGAGCAGGGAGGAGTGAGAGAGAATCAGGGGAATTCGAAAGAGAAACGGGGCCGCAGTAAAATTTCGACTAGTATCTCGCGGACAGGGGCAAAGACGTTCAACCGAGAGGGTACATATGAAGATAGTAGTACTCCATAACTTAGTACATGGCTACTGTCATCCTCCAGTCATACTACGGCTCGTGATGGCAACACTCAGGGTTTAGGGGGCACATTGGCCTGCAAGTCAAAAGTCGTCCTGGCATACATCCATGCCAATACTGGCTGATGACCCGACATTCTTGTCCCTTTTTTTTTTTCTTTTTTTTTTTCGCCATCAGAGTCAATCTACAGATCTAGTCAACTCGAGACCAGACGCACCGACAGAAAGACAGAAGCACTGAGGAGCTTCCGCCAGCGGAGTCTTCAGCCTTTGCTGATGCAGTTCACTGTTGGTGATGGGGCCTGCATGAGCCTTTGAAAACCGTTTGCTGATGGATGATGGGTCACACTCACACAGCTCAGCGAGTCACCCACAGCAGGTCCCTGGCACCAGGGACAAGGGTCACCCGGTACCTGATCGAATCGACTGTCGGGCGTGTCAGCACTGGGAGGAAAAAGTACTCAGCCTCTGACGGGAGGTAGCAGATACCCGGTCGAGAGGTACCATGAGTGGATGTCGACCCCCGATGAGATGGCTGGGCAGTGGGCATTGGCCTTCCTGAACTTAGTTTCACGTTGTACGTGGACTCGATTCGATCCCTTAGCACACAGACCGGTTCACGGGATCGACCCCCCTCCCCCCAATGTGTCTGAGCCTCTGAGGCAGAACATCAACGGGACATCAACGGGGTTGCCCATGTGCGAGTGGGGGAAGTCCCCAAGGTGGTGGATGAGTGATCCCTCAGAACTCTATAGAAGTATAGAGTCCCAATCTCAATCAGTTCGGTTCGCTTGACCTCTCTCATTATCAATTTCCTCCCCCTTTTCAGCCTGTTGACGCTGCACGAGAGAAACCCATGGGCCCGCCTGGCCCCGCGAGTTCAATGGAACTATAGGGGGCAAAAGTTGGCACCCTCCAAATGTGCTAACTGCAAACTATTGAAGTTCCGAGAAAATAGACAAGACGGGGGTCCACTATGGGGGGAAAGAACCATTCGATGAGGGATACTAGAACGCGCCCGGAATATTCTACGCCTCCCACTCGACTCGAGAGGGCGTTCCTCTCCAGGAGGTGGAGGGCAATTACCGAGGGTCGTCTGGTGAGTCGGGAGTCGGGAGTCGGGAGTTCGGGAGTTCGGGAGTCGTACACTTCTTATACACTTCCCTCTTGAAAGGGCCACAAGGATTCCTGTAAGCTCCTGTCCTTCTACATGTTGTAAAGTTTTGAGATCGAAACCTTGGACATTTGGCCAACGACCGAAAAAAAAGGTCATAAAGTGCCAAAGAAGAAGAGACACAAGGTGGCATTGATTCAGGGGACCACGGAAGACCGGTGGATCTGGTTCTTAATATCGTTTTGATTGCCCGGTCTTGGCAATGGCAAGTGGGCAATCGAGCTAACTCCCATATTGCTGGACCACGTACGTAGGAGGCGGAAGGGCTCTGATTCAAGTGGTTTCGCGGGCCTAGTTCTCGGTGCATTGCAACAGTGCCGCTGTGGTTGGTCGGAAAATGGCAAGGAAGGTGTGATGGTTGCTCAGGACATGCATTCGACTGCGATTCAGCACAAGGACGGCCTCTCTACCTCCCGTCCTCCGAGCCGCGATGCGCCAACTGCAGGTCTGCAGCACAGCAGGAGCCAGTCAGGTGGCTCCGCCGTCCTGGATCACAATAGCACTTGCACCATGCTGTGGCCCAAATCGTCCGATACCATCGGTATGGCTGAGTCAAACAATAGAATCGTGCCGGAATTAAACTGTCATGTGCCCCGGGCCGATGACATGGGGGAGGGGCCCTGGGATCTAAGGCAGCGATATCGTCCTCGTTGGGATAATACCAGTCTGCTGGGTCATCTAATGTTTTGTTCAAACACGTATTGTTTAAGATATTGAGATCATTCAGCGAATAGACGTGTCGATCTCAGAGTATGAGGCAGGCTGATGCGGAAAGACCTTGTTTCGCTGCCCCAGGCATACGGACGGTAGATAGATGACAGAAAGGGGCAGTGGTATAGCTTCAAAATTCTTCAAAGACCCATGTTGAAGACGGTAGATTATAGACATGACAGCTCTGTGAAATGTGTCCATAGTATAGTCATACACCCTAAGACACAGCACTTTTGTGTTTGTATGATCACGAGGACGACCATTCGCATGGTCTAATTCCAGTCTATGCTCTATACCCAGCTCATAGAGTCGTTCATGACTTACGGTGCATGACACCCGCGGCAGCCTAGAAAAAACAATAAGTTCACTGTTATGTGGTTTTGCAGGAAAACTACCGAGCACGTGGTAGCTTACTTGGTGGCTGGGGAAGACGAGCGTATCGGCGATGACCACATTTTCACGACGGCTAGCCGCAAACACAACAACTTCGGCGATATCATCTCCAGTCAGAGGCTCAACTCCCCTAGATCCTCTGGGTTAGTCCTGCAACTCGGTACAGAGGGTCTTGGCACCGAGGACTTACTTGTAGACGGCGTCGGCCTTTGACTTGTCTCCATAGAATCGCACAACAGAGAACTCCTAGGTTATTGTCAGCCACTGCGCGTCCCCTCACTGAAGATGGATGGAACCCACGGTCTCGACTTGACCAGGATCAATCTCGATCACACGAATTCTCGTGGCAATCAACTCCTTTCGCAGGGCATCGGTGAAAGAGCGAACGGCAGCCTTGGTGGCGCAGTAGATACTTCCTCCAGCATAAGGCTCACGACCGGCGATACTTCCAATGTTGATGATATCGCCACGACCGCCCTCATCCCGCTTCTTGAAAATGGGCAGGATAGCTTGAGTCATGTTGATGAGACCGGTAACGTTGGTATTGAACATGACGTTCATATCCTCAGTGGCGATCTCAGGCGCCTGAGCAACACCCTTGACAAGACCACTAGAAAACCCACATGGGTGAGTATGACCCCACGGCCTCCACCAAAGAGCCAACGCTCAAACAGCAAGGAATTCGTAACTTACGCATTGTTCACAAGGACGTCAATCTCCTGGAACTCAGCCGGTAGAGAAGGGACAAAGTTCTTGATCTCCTCTGGGTTGCTCACATCCAATTTCACAGGAAGCACCTGGACACCCTCGCCAACCTCGGCCTTGATCTCGGCGGCCAGCTCTTTCAGGGCATCCACGCGGCGCGCAGTGACAATGATCTTGAGGTTTTTGGGCGATGAACGAGCAAATTCTTTCGCGGTGCTGCGTCCAATTCCTGATGACGCACCAGTCACAACGATGGTCTTACCCTCGAGACGCTTGGCCATTGCGGACGCCATTGCTCGTTGAATCAATGTGGGGTGAGGAGGAAGAGTAAAGATGCTCGGCTGGAGATGAGGCTTTGGGCGGTGGTGGGAGAAAGAGAGATTCCGCAGGACTGAAGTTGACAGTTGACACTTTCTCAAGAAGCTCATGGATGATAGCAATGTGCAGGGCAGCTTAGAAAGAAAAAAGTATTGGGAGGTAACCCCGCGGCGTGCGGGGAGGCCGGTCGTTGCGTGGGTGGGCCTCGGACAGGCGACGGTGCCCCGGTTCTGTTGGAGTCATCTATCTATTGTTATCGGGGGCATGCGGCACCCGCCGCAGTCTGAGCCCGAGGTCCACGGGGGGTTATGTAAGCGCCAAAGCGGGACCGGGCCGTGCCTGCATTGTTGAGGCTGTCGGCTTGAATGCCGAAAACATCGGGAGGCTGAGTCGTGGCTTGCCTTGAATGCTGCAATTTAGATCAACAGTCAGGCTCTACGCAATGCTGGTGGACAATGAGAAGATTGAAGGACGCTGTAGGACCACGCCACTACTCACAGAGAGGACATAGCGCAGTACATGGTTGCAGGATCATCCATGCTCTGTGAATATCAAATAAGTGAAGTGAGGCCAGTACAACTCTTATATCACCTAAATCTTAGACCCGAATGAGCTGATTATTAGCAGCTTGTCGTTATTATATCAGAGCCATAGGCACTTGAGAGCTTGAAACCACAAAGGTGCTCCCTAAGCCATTAATACCATGAGGGTATTGTTCGTAATCAGACCCTCTTGGACCGAATCCATCTAGGAAAGTACATGATAACAATAAAGAAATGGAACTTTCCGCATGTTGTTGGGATCAAACAATGGGATTATTTAAGACACCTGCAGCATCACAACATCTCTCCTTCTTCCTTCTCCTCACCACCGCGTTGGTTTCGAACACAGAGCACCCTACACATCTTCAAGACATTCAAACGCCTCTTCTTGAACCTCCCTCGCTATTCGCATCCCACCTTTCGATTCCCCTCTATCACTCAACTGGTTGATTTGCACTCGGTGAAGTGAGTATCAACTCGATCCTATACTCACTTTGAGGCTATTCTGACACGCAGCAGCATTCAAGATGTCACCCACAACCACCTCGTCCTCTTCCTCCCCCTCTCCCTTCGTCACCGCTGCTCTTGGACTCTCAACTCCGAGTTTGCATTTCAACTTTGACTGGGCAGATGATGTGGAAGATGAGCTGCAAACTCAGCAGCCATCTGGACGGGGTCTTTGTCACAGCTTCAACGATCATGCTCCCCCCGTCTCTGCGCAGGATTATGATGAAAGCCTTTGCAACGACTTGGCCGATTCCGCATACGATACATGTGGAAACTCATCGCGAAGTGAGAGCAAGGTGAACATTGATGACCTCACTTGTGAGGGAGGACTCAACGAACGACGCTTCACCAGCACCTCGATGACTGAACAAGTCACGCCTCTGGACCGACTGCATCAGGGACTGGCTGCCGAATTCTGGGGTCGTCAGCATGCGGTTGCTGTTGACATCGAAATTCACCACTTCAACTGGCTGGGCCACCCAGTCAACCAGGCCAGTGGCACGGCACCCACTGATAGCCTGGCTATCATTCGTTGCGGCCCAAAGGTGCCGAAAAAAATGACTCTCTGCGCGTGGAGAGTATGCTCAAGCGGGCCTCTCCCTTCCTTGACCCCGTCGTTGTGAGCTTGGAGAAGAGTTCCGACTCGTCAAGTCATCGGGACTTGAACCAGACCCACGCTCTCCGAGGCCATGTGTCCAAGTTCTACACGGCACACGGCACCTGGTTCACACAGCCATCACCTCTGGACGCTGGCCTGATCACACTAGATACAGGTAGCGTGGCTATTTACCAGAGCCCTCACCTGGCCGTGGGCAATGGCTTCGTTGAATCGAGCCTAATTCCCAGCCGAGCAGACTGGTCTGACCAGTACCAGGAGAAGCAGGTCGCTCTCGGTAGTTCACCGTGGTGTCGAAACCGTCAGCGCCTGCCACCCTCCAGTCTGCGGCAAGCAACTTTGCCTGGTGACCCAGAATTGATAGCCCCTGAGCCAGATTTGTCGTCGGTGACCTAAACCGATAACGCACAACGACGAGGCCCCAGGCAACAGCCCTAAGCGGCCGAAGCTCGGAAGGGCAACGCCCTTAAGTCAAACAAAGAAAGAATCGAAACAACGAGGGCTTAGTCAACAGCCCTAAGCGGCCGAAGCTCGAAAGAGCAACGTCCTCAAGTCCGACAAAGGAACTAACGGTACTACTTTAAGCCCGTATCTCTTTCTGATCATTACTAGTATACTAATACGGAAAAAGAATCGATAGCGTCCTACTGCACGCATCGTGTACACGGGTTCTACAACAGTTGGCACAAACCCATTGGCTGATTGTCAGACCAAAGTTGCAGGCGATATCCAGTCCCTCGAGTGGGATCCTGCACAATCCACCGCCGCAAACCGTCAAGGATTCGACATGCTGGATAACTTACGAAAACTTCAGTCTGACATTAGACAAATTCAGTCCAGACTCGGACAGACTGAGTCAAGACTGCTGAATTATCGCGACGCTGTGACGTGTCGCTTGGAGCGATGCCCCAGATTTCCAGAGGCCCGATGAAGCTTGCATCAAGGGACATGTTTCATCAATCTCCGCCACACTGAAAAACTGCCAGAGGCCAAGAGATAAACAGGGCGAGGAGGTCTTGCGGTCATCGGGGGCGTTGGGGGCGTCCGGGGTCTCGGACAGCGTCCGCCGCTTGGAATGGATATTTAGAAGCATTGCGTCAATCAACGTAGAGAGGACTCGGGAATCATGAGATGCTGATATTCTTGTATGCGGTTGCTGGGTATGGTGGATAACTACAAGAGCAAGCTTTACATGAGGTTTCTGCATGTTATTGTAAACATTCGGGAAGCCCATAAATGGCAAGCGCATTGGAAATCGGCGCCTCGATCAAGTAACGACACCGACCCAGGCAGCACACGATCGACCGACAGCCAACCAGTGAAAATGAAGATCACGACACCGACGCCTGAGTCCGACGCATGTCCTTATTCTCCCAAGTCTGAGACACCATTCGCTTCACAGCAAGTGACGAATGACAAGGCCCCGGTCAACTCTCAGCAGGACAGCGGACGGTCGACGGCTACCAAGCAACCTCCGAGTCGTGGAAACCGCATCGGAGTGAAGATGCTTCAGTTCTTCGAAGCCTTCAATGACCCGCTTGGAAATTTTATCGATGATCCCGTTCCTGAGGCTGTGATTGCGATCCCAAAGCCTCAGAAGTGCCGCCGGCCCGACAAGTCAACCAAAGCTGCGAAGAGGGTGTGGAAGTTGGTCCGCAGAATGTTTCCGTCACGCGATTGACCTGCTTTCCTTCGTTTTGTTTTTGTTTCTCTTGTGCGTTTCTGTTTTCATTCGTTTTTGATGCATAATTTGTTCAAGCGTCACCGCTGTCAGTGGTAGATATTATGTGCTGAGAGGCGTTTGAGGAATGTAAATGGAGGAATATCGATTGCGCAAACCATGGTGCTCAATAAAAAAATACTATAATCCTTCTGTGACTATGTTCACAATGCTGTGTCTTTTGATAGTAAGAGTAGAGGTGGCTACTGTCTGGTGGCGTTTTTGAAAAATTGCGGCGTGGCCACAACCGCCGAGACACTACCTAAGCGTATGAGTCTTGGCTTATCCGCACAGACCGGAGAATGGTGGCATTTCCTCATCATCGCCCTTTCGAGAAGAAGACAATGGCTTTCATCAGACCCTTGAGCTCAATGAGGGGCTACAGATGATAGTTGAAGAGGACACATTCCTTTCTTGGTTATTCCGCTTCCGATATCAAGCTTGTGACTGCGGGAGCAGAACTGATCTTTCCTTGTTGGCAAGCACTCCAACCCGCACCGAGGGCGTTTCTTCACCATCAAGGCTATCGCCATACCATATTGAGGAAATGGGTACCCATTACAATTGGGAGGGTTGCAGCGACGTTTCTGCAGATCATGAAAGCATGGAGTCAGACGACCATGTGTTGCTGCGTCTACATATGCAAAGGCTCGAAGCCATTTGCTACTTTCGGTTTGGCCCCCGACGCTGATCATCGCCTGGAGTGTGGAGAACGTTACCCAGTACGAACCTGCAGAGATGCACAAGGCTCAGCTGAATTTGGGAATCCAATGAACGTACACAGTAAGCCGATACCAGTGGATTGTGTTTTCTGAGACACTGGCTGAATCTGGAACAATGGTCAATCCTATCGTAATATACAAATGGGGGCCGGAAGACGCCTCCATTCCTCTCTTTTTTATCAACAGAGATCTTGGTATATATCCTACAATTTCTTCACCAAGGTCGAGGGTGGACGTCATTCCATCTTCAGTTCTCACATCGCTGCAATGAGCTCAAATACCCGGTTCGCATTTGCTCTGTCGCTCTTGATGGGCAGCGCTGCTATTGCCGAGCCCACTCTCGCCATCAATTCCGATTTCGCTGATCCTTGTGTGATCAGTACTGGCGATGGCCACTACGCCTTTGCTACGGGAGGCAACGGAGTGAATGTTCAAATGGCGCATTCCACTGACTTTACCAATTGGGAGCTCATGAGCGGCCACGATGCGATGCCTGGCCCATACCCGTCTTGGGTGGCAGGATCTCCTGCAATCTGGGCGCCCGATGTGATCCAACGGGTGAGTGAACAGAGGGACCTGGCTGGATCAATAGCGATTGCGCTCTATGGCTGACATTCGTGTACCAGGACGACGGGAAATTTATCATGTACGTGTCAGCTTCTGCCAGCCAAGACGCGAGCAAACACTGCGTCGGAGCTGCCGTTGCCGACCAAGTGACCGGTCCCTACACCCTCGAGCAGAGCCCTCTAGCGTGTCCACTCGACAAAGGCGGAGCCATTGACGCCGATGGCTTCAAGGACGGAAATACCTACTATGTGGTCTACAAGATTGATGGCAATAGCCTGAACCAAGGCAACACGCTCAATCCCACTCCGATCATGCTGCAGCAGCTGAACTCGGACGGCGTGACTCCCAACGGCGACCCCGTCCAGTTGATCGACCGTGACAACAACGATGGCCCTCTTGTTGAAGCTCCAAGTCTGGTCAATGTCGGTGGAACATATTACCTCACCTTCTCATCAAACTGGTACAACACTCCCAAGTACGACGTTAGCTATGCCATTGCCAGCTCGGTGACCGGGCCATACAACAAGGTCCAATATCCCGATGCTCCATTACTGGTGTCGGGACATTCGAGTAGTGCCGGTGCGTTGAGCGGGCCTGGTGGAGCTGACTTTAACGGAGATGGATCCAAGATTGTTTTCCATGCCTTCAAGAACGGCAAGAACATTGATGACGGACGTGCCATGTACGTTGCTGACATCAATGTCTCTAATGGTGTGATTCATGTCCTGTGAGAGGTCTCTGTGTCTTTTTTGCTTCTGTCTCGTCCCCGAATTAGTCGAGAAATGTAATCAAATGCAAATCATTTTATGAAGCCGCCGGGTTCAAAAGCGAGTGTCCACGCTGCCGTTCCAGGCATATCGTAGAATATCCGCAGTGTTAACGCCACCTTGATAGCTCGATGAATATCTCGAAAATACTGCCTGAGGCAAACAAACAGCCCCATTTGGCCCACTCTAAGTGTCTGCAGTGGACATCGCTACTTCAACCTCTCACGATCGAGGACTCGATAAGTTTCCTGACTCAAAAGGTCTCACGTGAACGGAGATTTTCCATATGAACCATGGCCAGAGATGCTTTGCACTTCCCAGACTCGGACAGAGCTTTTCTAGAGCCGTCTTTACCTTCTCAAGATGGCTCAACTCCCCAGCCTGATCTGCCATTCACTACTCTTACATTCGCAACGTCGCTTGATTCTTCCCTCTCATTAGCTCCAGGGATACGTACAGCACTGTCAGGACCACAATCGAAGGCAATGACGCACTATCTGCGATCTCGTCATGATGGAATTCTGATCGGCGTGGGCACAGCCGTCGCGGATGACCCCGGGCTGAACTGTCGCATTGCTGGAGTTGGAGGCTACGGCGGCGAGGGCTTGAACGGCCAACCACGGCCAGTTGTCATTGACCCTTCTTTGAAATGGAACTTTTCTGCAGACAGCAAATTGTTTCAAATGTGCAGGGAAGGCCGTGGTCGTGCGCCGTGGATCGTCACCACGGCGAAGGAAGCCCCTGCTGAGAAAGATGCCCTGATCAAAGCGTACGGTGGTCAATTCATTACGATGGATATCCCGTCCTCAGACTCAGGAAGTCATTGCATGGATTGGTGTCAATTGCTCCGGATCCTACGAATGAATGGTCTGCGGAGTGTTATGATTGAAGGCGGAGCGCAGATCATCAATTCTTTATTGCAACCACCCTACATGGCTCTAATAGATCGTGTTATTCTGACAATTGCACCGACATGGCTTGGACAGGGTGGTGTTGTCGTCTCTCCAGCCAGACGGTTGGATGACGATGGCAAGCCAATGTCCGCTGCCAGATTGAAAAATGTGCAGTGGCATCCATTTGGTGAGGACGTTGTGCTCTGCGGAGAAGTAACTATCTGAGTGAGGAAGACATTTGTTTTCTTTGCTCCCTCAGACCAGATGAAGCTCATTCACTTGGCGGATATACGACTTTATTCGGTCAAGCACACGCCAGGCACAACCACGAGAGGAAAGGTGTCTTCGTGTACTTTCATTGCGCACGCGTGCCTATTGATGCAGCGCCTCTGTTCAGCAGCTTATATTTGAGACTTATCAGCCGTTTCCACTGTTCTATCATTTCTTTTACACATTCTTAGCGTCTTAGGTCTACTCCTCGTCGATTACACTCTCGATAGGCTTGCATTTCATGTATCCTTTGCCGAAGTAGTATATGACACTTGTTGCAAGGCCACATACGATACCACCGCGAATCGCGTATTTGCAGAGAAGTCGCCCTGAGAAAGACAGACATCGTCTGACGTGTTCCTCCTCAAACTTCCAGCCTTTTCCAGAATACGACGTGCGTGATCCGATTCGACACTCGTCACGTTTTCAGCTATTTCTAAACACGACGTGGGCCTTGGAGCAAATGTTGTTTGTGCTTGACATGCAGAATCTCTCCGTTTTTCGTGTTTATCAGGGACGCGTCTCGTTTCTCCTTGATATTTTCACTCCCAGTTCTCTTTGAGCTTTCTCTTCTTCATCGAGATGTCTACCCATTCTCACTTCCTCTTCCCTTTCCTGGCCAGAAATGATATTGAGAATCGTCAGTGTCCGCTGGGACCCGAAGCTGCGGTCCTCGATTTGCCAGCACAGATGATCGGCTTAATTGGTCTCCAAGGAGGGGCACAATTCATGATTAGGGGGCTGGTACCACATGAGCTTCCTCATTTTGGGCTGACCGGGTCAAATTTCGGTCGCCTCGTCGAATCTCTGTGTCCCGAGGGACAGAGGATGTACGACAACCTCGCGGATGGACTGAGAAGTCACTACTACGAGAGACTGACGGCCTTCGAATGGGATTGATTGAAATGAACACAAACCGGCTGGAGTCGGCATACGCAATCTAGCGACTTGGAGCAAGCGCGGCAAGCGTACTTCTATCATGCCTCTCTCGGACCTGAAAGCTCACGGCCATATTCTGTACTCGGAAACGCAATTGGATCCCGGATTGATAGGTTTGAGAGGAGTGCTCCCCATGAGGAACGAAGATCAAGATGTATCCAGATATGCAGGCTCTGCTACGGCGGGCCTCATTGACTGGTCACACGCTTCTAGTCATCCTCGCGAGCGGACCACGTCCGATTTGGGAGAACGTCCTGAGGAGAGCTGTTTTTCTGGGTGGAGAGATGATCATCCTAGGAGGTGGGCGCCACTACGATCAAGTGATTATGCACCCTACAATCAAGCGGTCGGGGATCGATATCATTCGAAGTTCCTCCTACAAGGTCAAAATATGGGCTTTCGGCAGCGGCCTGACTGGCCGTGAGATCAGGATCGCTGCTGACCACGCCGTACTGGGCACGGATTTCCAGGCATGGCTACTGAGGTCGAAAGACCAGCGTGGAGGAGATCTCTACTGCTTCGATGGCCGCAATTCCACAACGTCATGTTGTCTGTGAGAGGACTGTCTCTTTTGCAGTAGCTACGATGACAAATGGGGATGTTGGGCAGGGATTTGGCAGAGGAAATCTGTTTCAGTGATAAATGACTACCTACCTTTGCGTGGGACACCCAAGTCTGTCGTCTTGCTAGAGACTGAAAACAGGCGCTTTCCAACTGGCCGTTCACCACCCGACGAGTCTGTTTCTGGGGAGATTCCTTGGAATATCCCATTTTGAGGGGTTGCTGCTTCCAATTTGCATCCTCGATGGGATTTGCTTGCGTTGATGACGAGATGAGATTGATGATCGGTTTTTCTTGCGACGATTCACTGTGGCTTGGGATTCTATCAGAGCGCGAAATGATCAAGAGTATTCTCACCTTCAAAGTGAACAACTTGAATCGCGCAACTATAATTCGACCCAAGTGCCACGTTCGAGTCATAGCTCCTTGTATCTTTGAGTACTTTGTTCGCAGAGCAAGAGGGCTTGCTGCGTTCCACCTACCTGAAACTAGTGAAGAGCTCGATTTGGCAGCTCAAGAGTCCACAGTTGGATGCCATTCTCCAAGGGCCGCATTGACAAGCTGGCCTAGTATTCCGTTCGATGTCTGTTTCACTCAGACTGTCGCGTACTATGTCTGACGAGATTCGAAAGGTTAATCTAAGGACATCAGCCGTGAGATCTAGCTACGCTTACCTCACCCAATGGAGCTGACCTGACTGGAGGAGATGGTAAATGCACAATCTGTTTACATCTCGACGTCGACGTGGTCACTTTGTTTTTTCCCCCACTCGTGCCATTCCCATGTGGTCGTGGGTAGTGTAGTTGAAGTTTCAAACTCAGTAGGAGACGTCTCCCTCCATCTCCTGCTCTCCGGTCTCAAGAAGTGACGCTTGGACAAATCCAAGCGAGTATCACCTGATCAAGGTCACCAACTACTATACCAGCCATCACTAAGGACTCAAGGAGAATGCCCGACTCATTATCGACAGTGATTCGACACGATCTTGCTCATCATGGCAAGAGTCAAGATGAGCCCCCCCCCCTGGGACACGGTCCCTCCAGTAAATCGGGGGAGGTGGAGAAGCTTTAGTGGGCCGCCATACGCATCACATCCACTCATTCTGACTCAGATCGTGTAAGTCTTGAAGGGAAGCATCTCAGGATGCGACTGCACTCTCGCACAGAGTCAGTGCAGTCTTTCCGAGGTTGTCGGTGAGTTTGGCCGGAAGATAAGGTCGTTTGAGGGGCTTTGTGGTGACCATTGCCACCTGTACGATGGACAGTTTCACTATAAATCACCTGCCGGCCTCGGCCTCGCGAGTTGAGGGCACTTCGGCGCATTCAGATCATTCTCCAACTTCTACCTTGAATTGAAAATCGCCAATCGACACAGCTCTCGCAACCAACAGCCCTTCCTGCTTGCCTACCTCTCAACCTCTCTCTCCTCCCATCTCTCTACCTCGCCATGGACTCCTGTACCTACCCACTGCCTCCCCACGGAGTCCACAAAATCCCCCTCGACCAGCTCGACACCCGTCCCGACACTGAGATCGACCATGAAATCGCCCATCCCGGTCCCGTCCAAGATGACAAAAACGTCTGGTTCTTCTGGCACTCCGGCTACGAAACCATGCACCCCTACACCAAGCGCAACATCCGCGCCTGGTACCGCCGCCTCTCCAAACAAGGCTGGGTCATCCGTGTGCTCAATCGCCAACCCCACAGCCCGCTCAACGTGTCCAACTTTCTCGACGTCCAGGATCCCTCGATCTTTCCGCAGGCTTTTATCGACGGGACGATTGGCGGCCATCACATCGCGCAGCATACGTCGGATCTGGTCCGGTTCCCCTTGTTGGCCACGTACGGCGGCGTCTACGCGGATGTTGGTCTGTTGATGATTGGGGACTTGGATCGGCTGTGGCGCGAGACTGTGGCGAACCCGGACTCGGCAAAGGAGGTGATTTCGTTCCGGTTTGAGGAAATCGGGCTGACGAATTATTTCCTGTGTGCGCGGCGGAATACGCCGTTCTTTGAGCGCTGTCATCGGTTATTCCTGAAGCTGTGGGAAGGAAAGACCTCGACGGAAGGAATGTGGAAATCGCCTCTGTTGAAAGGAGTGCCTGTCCTCGAGTCCCCCAAGGGCTTTGAACAAGACGGGAGATCGTATTCCCAGGAAGAAGCCAGCCACATCCTCACCGACTATATCACCCAGGGCCAAGTGATCTCGCTCGTCCTGGGTCTGGTGGACGAAGAAGGCGGGTGGAATGGGCCTGAGTACGCTGCGCAGAACATCTACGCCATGGATTACATGGTCGGCTCGCAATTGATCAATGAGATGACGGCGTGGAATGGCCCGCGCGCCTTTGAACTCATGTCGCTCTCTCTCCCGGGCCAGGGGGAGAAAGAATCTGAAGATCAGCAAAAGGCCCGGGAAATCGTCGAGGCGTGCCTGAGCAGGAGCTTTGCGTTCAAGTTGGCGCATGGACTGATCCTGGCGATTCTGGGTGATACGCTGGGCTCGTTGTGGAGGAGGCATGAGGGATCGGATGATGTGCCGAATACATATGCGCATTGGTTACGGTATGGGATTTTGCATTGGACGCAGGATGAGATTCCCCCGGCGCTCGACTTTGGACCCTTTGAGCCGTTCAAAACGGGGCCCTTGCTGAGCGAGTAGATTCACACTGATTCTGTTCATTTCCAAAAAAAGCGGTAGATCCAATGTATATTCCTCTTGGACATTTTGACACCCGACCCATGACGACTGGAGAATCCTTTTCCCTCGTATATACGAAGCCGGGAAAGTTTGTAGATGACGCTTCCTTGGACGTCTCAATAACAGAATGCTACTATGTCACTACCTCAGCCAGTCCTGGCAAATACCACGGCCATCGAGACCAAGGTGATGTCTGTTGACGCTCAACCGGGAGAAGCACCGATGCCGAGAACCTCTTATCGGGGAGAGGGGCGATAAGGGCCGCTTGTCGGGGGTCCCGTCTGCACTTGCGCTTTCTTTATGTCATTTGCATCATCAAAGAGTACCCCATCCGCATTCTCCGCCTCGAGAAAAAAAAAAAAAACGGAAAAAAAGGAAGCAAAAAGGAAGCTACTAGAATATAGAGAAGCCTGGTCATCCAAAAATCCCCCACCTGATTGAATAGTTTGCCTTTCCGCATAGCCCTCACACTCAATTCTCCGAGCTAGATCACAAAGACTATACAATTATACATTACTGGAGTCGCTCCCAATCCCCATCCACTCCCGGGTCTGGAATCGTCAAGTCGCAACCCCTCTCATCCACCTACAGTCGCAATGTTCTCCGTCGTCATTCCCGGCCGACCATGCCTAACAGACATTGTCGCCGTCGACGGCCAACCCAACGGCCAAGCTACGAAATTCGCCTTCTCAATCCCGGTGAGCGCATCATTCAAAGAGCTCGTGGTCTTCTTCCTCCCGGGGACGGTCTTGCCGCCCAACACCGGCGCCGCCATCTATATCCAGCTTCCAGACCCGAATACTGGATCCCCGACGGAATTCCGCTTCATCGGCGCACTCGCCAACGAGAGACCCTCGGGCATTTTCAAGATCCACCCACCTTCACAATTACCCAACGGCCAACAGAGACGCAGCGAAGCCGAAGAAGAAGATGAGATGCTCGACGAAGGGGCCAGTAACTCCGGGACTGGCAGCGGCGGTGTCGCAACGCTAGGAATCTCAATCGAGCCCGCGCAGAACATTGCGCCGCAATTATCGGCGCTGGAAGCAGAACGCGCTGGCGCTGGCGCTGGCGCTGGCACCGGCACCGGGGATCAAAGTCCGGAACAGCAACGGCAGAAGCAAATCTCGACCAAGGTGCTTGCGCAACGCATCATCGGAAGCGCGTTCAACTTCCTGGCGAGCTTTGCGGAGAGTGATCCATCGCGGAAAGGTCATGAGGTGGTGCCTTTGAAGAGCTTCCGTGACTGGTGGAGCAAGTTTGAGAGACGGATTGAGATGGATCCGGGGTTCTTGGAGCGCGAAGATCCGAATGCAACTTGAGCGGGAGAAGGTCTCTCGCCGGCCTCCGGGTTGAAGATACAGTATTTGCCGATGTTTACGACCTTCAGTCGCGATGGGAGCCAGCATTGACACGCAGAGAGTGCTATCGTGGGCTTTGTTCGAATGAGATGCAAAGCTATTCCCTCATCTACATGTCTTGATTTTCTCGAGCAATCTACATTTCCAATTGCCGATGAACGCCTTTCCCTTCCCCACCTTGGAACGATCAAAGCCAACAATCCTGTGAGACTTCTCCCCCCGCATGAAAGAGAGGGAGAAAAGACGCGAGAGTGGATCCTAAGCAAAGAAGACAATAGAAAGGGGGAAGGATGAAGTGTGGAATGCGCTATGTAGTAGAACTGAAGCTCTTATGAAATGACATGATCACTTGGACTCGTGGGTTTTTGGTTTCATTAATAGAATTGGCCAGTTTGACTCAGTAGAAAAAAAAAGGGAGGGAAAGTTTGCAGACAAGGTTTCGAATTCAACAAGGATATCAACGTCCCATCGCGGCAAGTTCTCGTTCTTTCGCTCGTAAGGCTTCGCGCATCTGTTCAGCTTCACGTTCTAGTTGAGCGCGGCGTTCAGCAGCGGGATCGGGGAAAGGTGAAGTGCTGGGAGCCGGGGATGACTGTGAAGGATGAGATTGTTGGGTTCGGGAAAAAGGTGCAGACGGCAAAGGGGGCTGATATGCTTGCGATCTGCTCAAAGGTGACTCGCTACGCGGCTCGGCTTGGTTGAGGATGGAGGAAATGGAGCTGAGCCGGCCTGGAGGGGAGGGGTTGACCGAAGTCATGATAGGCGGTAGCTGATTGGAGCCCGATTCGAGAGTGGCAGGAACCGAGACACTTTCCGTTACCGTTTCCGCCAGCGTTCGTTTCCTGGGGAGAGAATTGGGAGAGGCCGAGCGGCGGTCATGAAGGGGGACCGGAGAAGGACCCAATCGCTCCGGACGAAGGAGCTTCGGCAGTCCGGTAGAAAGCAAGGGGGTCGAGGTGATGTGGTAGCCGGTGAAGTCCACAGGAGGCGGCGCAAATGGCAGTTGACGGGGCCCATCGATGGGTTCATTGCTCATGTACCGGTGGTGATCGTGAGCTAATGTCGCAGGGGATGCCTCGGGGGAAGCCGAGGAACCATTGGAGGAGTGGGTGGTAGCGGTAGGGGATTGGTCTCGCAGAGCAGGCACCACGCGCTTGCGGCGCTTGATGATGGACTTTTTCATCGTCGTTGGACGATAGCAGCCGTGGAGTTTGTAGTACAAGCCTAAGAAGGAGATGTGTCAGCGCCCGTCGTGCCATACGCTGTGAAGTGGAGTTGTCTCCCAAGGAAGACACAATGTGCCGGAGCGAGAACAAAAAAAAGGAGATTCTACGGGATACATACCACAGGCATTACAGATGGGATGACCTTGCTCATCTCGTCGCCAGAGGGGAGTGACAGTAGTCCCGCAGTTCTGGCACGCCACTAAAGTCGAGCTTGCATCTGCAGGCGGCAGTTGTGACGCGGTGTCATGGTCATGGGGGGCTGATGTAGGCTCCACATCATGTCCGGGGGCGCGGCTGTGTGGTGCTTGACTGACAGACGCAGAACCACGGTGAGCAGCCTTGTAGATTCGATTGTTGTATGCCGGACAACCATCACAGCCTTCGGCACCACCCGTGCCATTGCAACTACCCCCACCGGGACATGAGCCCTTGCAGCCCCCTTCCGAGACGTCGGATACGGCAGGACGAAGCGCGACTGGGGCGGCATTGCTCTCGGCACCGTCTGGCCCAGCTTGCGTGCGATTTCGTTTCGTCGGACGAGCTACATTGCGAGCTTTGAGGTACAATCCACAAGCATTGCAAATCATGGCCCCGGTGGGCGAACGACGCCAAAGCGGCGTGTGTTGCGTTCCGCAATTGCTATGGAAAGGTTTGTGTTAATCGAATCCAACCACTCATCTGGAGACGCATGTATGGAGCAGAGGTAAGCTCACCTGCAGGAATGACCCAGAAACGATGTATCCTTCTGAGCCTTTGGAGAGGTTTGTTCCCGAGGGCCATTTGTGCGTTCCCCAATGGATTGAGATTGACCTGGTCCAGAGGGCTGCTGGCCTTGACTTTGAGGTGGGGGTGAGCCCGACACCTTGAGCGTAGGGCGAGGACCATACTGTGCGACATGTTCACGACCCGCCTGCGCGGATGAGATCAATTGCCGCGCGGCATCCAGATCCTCTGCCGACGGATGCACCGAGGGAGCGCCGTGGCCCAAGGGAAGAGATCGTATCGTTTCCATTTGTGGTGTGAGGGATCACCAGCTGAACGCCACCAGCTCGTGCGCTCGGCGGTCAAACCGGGGAAGTGACCGGAGAAGTCGCGGCCAGAGGGTCGGCGAGGACAGTTGAGGCAACAAAGAGTCAACGGGTTGGTATAGTGGGACCTTCCCCCTCCAAAAGCGACGCGGTAATAAGATCGCGTTGTGGGCTCTGCGCGAGACCAAACAGATGATCAGGTGTAGATTGTCGTCAGGAAGACGAAGACAAGACCGCCTGTTGCAAAGACGGTGTAATGTCGCACCACAGTCGAGAGCCGAACCCAGGGTATCACCAACGCCACCACAGGAAATCGAATACCTCCCCCAACGCCGGTGTGAGTGCCTGCTGTGGTGCGTGATCAACAGAGGCGAGAGGCGGAATGATTCGAGTATGAGGAAGACGTATGTCGATGACCCTCGGCGTCCACTATCAATTTAGTGGTGGAAAGGCAGACCCTGGAAATGACCGGAGAGGAGCACCTGGCGTGAAAGGTGATGCGAAATTAAACCGTCGTGCAGGGACGGACTCTACGAGAGCGACCGCGGCGCAGGATATCAAAGCGAGAAACTATGTGGCAAGTGGTGTGAGAGAGTGTCAGGTGATGAGCAAAAGCGAAGGATAGCAACGCAGGCAAAAGACCCTCGAATGGCGACGAATCGAGGAGACCAAATCCAGGCTCCCGGGTCCACAGACGATGCGCGCTGGTACCGCCGTGTAGGGACCAGGACGCCGTCGATGATTGTCTCCAGCTGGAGGGCTTCAGGGCGTGGATGACCAACGCTCCCACTTGGAAGAAGGTAAGGGTGAAGAGATCTGATGAACGGGCAGAGCGCGATGGAAGAAGGAGGTAGGGCAGGATTGCAAAGGAAATGGAAAAAGTACGATCAGAGCATAACATGAGTAGATCGGCGGGTAGGCCAGCGAACAGTGGAATGGCGTAGTCACCGATGAATGGGGAACGGGGATGAGCGTGCCGGGGGCACAAAAGGGACTTTTGCATGCCAAGGCAACCTCGACACCAGTCTAGAGCTCCAGGGCAGGGTGGGCCAACAGAAAGGTACTTGGAGGATCATGGATTTGTCCTGAAGGGCAGAGGGTTGGGCTGATGCGCTCTGGTCTGCGGGCGTTCCTTGACGGCAACGTGGAACTCACCTGAGATGATTTGCGGTGGCAGGTGTCAGGCCTCAAGAAACGGTGTTTTCCAATGAGGTGGCGGTGTCCCCCGAAGCTGAGGACGCCAACGATGATCGATCTCTGAAATGGAGGGAAGAGGGCCGGGAGGTGCAGGAGAGAAGAGGAGGCGAGAGCCGAGAGCGTGAGGTTTGGTCTGGTTGGTAGAGGAAGAGAGATGCAGTGGTCGATGATACCGGGTCCTGGAGATTGCTCGCAGATCGTCCAGGGCTATCAATCTGTTAAGTCTAACCGGAATGCCGAGAATCGCTATCTCATCTAATCTCTTGGTTCTGGGTCCCGTGCCCGGGTCTGATTCAATGGCGGTCCGGCGTTAGGAGGTAACGGTCTCTCTCCTCTTCGTCTACTCCTCGAGTACTCGGGTTTTCATAATCTCATCATCTCATACAAATCAGAAGACCATGACTCCATGAGTAGACTCTTGTGTAATCGGACGCTGCTGCAGAGAGTTCCCCTACGTTACCTCACTCCGAACATACATCCTGCACCTTGCAATTCCATAGATCTGCAATCCTGGATCTACCGCAAGAGAATCTCTAGTCTGTCATACAACATGGACCCTGACTCTGGCCACCTGGACCTTGAGAGACAGACCTCTTCCCCTACACCGTGAACCAGCCACACATCCCTAATCTGGTAGACCGACGACTTTTGCCCCGGATCAGTACTACAGTACTGTACTCCTCGACTAGTTAGTAGTCACCACTTACCACTAGTCTAGTACAGTAGTAGTACATAATCATAATGGTACTGTAGCCCATCCCAAAAACCCCCCCAAAAAACTATGATTGCATCGGATCCACCAGGGCCAGACCGACGGTGGTTAGGGGTACCGAATTAGACGGGGGTGACCTTCCCAAAACTCACCAACGGAGCAACCACGGTGGAGCTGCAGATGAGGCAAGCAGATTTAGTGCTCGCGTCATTGGCTTGAGGAGGTCCCCGACGGTCGGTCAGCAGCAATCTCCGCCGTCTTGTTGGTGGCAAGGAACGAAAACTTCGTCTATCCACGAGTTCCACTTCACCATTACCCGTGTCGGGTCAGTTTGCCGGGCAAGAATGATAATACAAGCATTACATACATAACCAGTAGTTATGTACCATACTATTACTAGGTAATGGTAACTATGAATACCACATTAGTAAGCCACTAAGCCTTATACCCTGATACAACACTGATCCCGTCGATATCTGATCTTCTACCTAACCGTGGGCTTCTACCTAACCATGGGCTACAGAATGAAGACTCACCGTGAACACTTACAATCGGCCTGTCATCTGTGAGCATCGTTATTGGCAGTGTGGTTCGAAGCGAGGAAAACGTAATCGCACCGATTATAGTAGGCTTGTGCTGCTCAGTTCCTAGCAGCCCGCTCGAGCCGCTTGCTGGAACGCCCGGAAATGTCATCCGTAGGAATGTGGCCCTAGCGTGAGACCCTCGGGCACGAGATTCAATAGTCAATAGACTCGATACTCATAGTCGATACTGCATCAGAGCAGAACTCATCGCGAGCCAGTCCAAGGCAGGATCTAATCAGGACATCTTGACGCTCGAGGTGCGGCTTGCAGACCGGTCTCTCTTTTGAAGCTCATGCATAATGCTGTACGTACTCGATCTGTCCCCATACGAATGACCACTGCGACCTCTTCGGTCGGTCGGGGAAGATTTCCGAAAACAGTAAGCGCTCGGGAAATGTAAAAGGATATATTGCCTATCCACGGCTCTCCCAACCAGAAGGTATCAACAAATCTCAAACACAGATAGATACTCAAGACAGGATCAAAAAAAATCGTTCATACACACTCATAGCAAGCACTCGATCGGATGATGGAGAGGACTCCAGGGCGCACAACGCAGGGCCCTCGTTTGACTGACGACGATAGATCCGCTCCAACTGTCGCACACCGAACAACCACACCCGAGAGCCGACGCTCCCATGGCTCCGGGTCAAGTGACATGGCCACCCCAGGCGTCCAGGCATCAATCGAGGGATCCAGGTACAGATGACATCGAAAGGGCCCCGATACGACCTCTCACCATTGCCCTCTCAATCCACGAAGAGTGCCAAAAGTAACTCATAGACCGTCTATATCTGCAAAGACGCAGAAAATTGCAAAACAAAAGTCTCTGCGCCCTCGCCCGGTCCTGGCCGAAATCCGTCACGCGCCCGCAGAAGGGGCTCGCCGCCAGAAGGCGGCGACGACGTCAGGTCGACATGTCAATGATTTCGGCGCTTCGCAGGGGTTGCGCATTAGACCTGCTCAGCTCCCCAGCCCTGGTCGGTTTCGCGCATGTTGGAGGGGGGCTCAATTGAGGGAATGAACTCCAGCACGAGGTAGCCAACGCCGATGATACCGACAATGGAACCGGCAATATAGCGAAGCACGTGGTCGTGCAGCAGGAGACAGCCGACGAAGATGTAGACTATGAAGGATCAGTCGCCGTGACCGATAGGGGAAGATGTGGGCAATTTGACTTACAGACACCGCGGCCCAAGAACGAGAAGAGGAAGGAAGCGTATCGGTACGCGTAGTCGGGCACGTTGGGGAGGAATTCCAGACCGGCAACAACTGTCAAGCGTGGTTAGTGGCTAAATCTCACGAGGGCACGACAGAAGGAGTTGTTGAGCACAAAAGAACTTACCCAGACCAAAGATGATAACGTATACACCGACAATGACGGAGCTCATGGAGGGAGGGAAGAATTGACTAATTCCACCCAGGACCATGAGCACACCCACCGCGATGTTGACGAGCCGACTGGGGACTTGAGTTAGCCTGTAATCATAACCCGCGCAATCGAGGGGATGGGACTGTCCCCAAGGATCTCGATCGGCGATGCGATGAGACGTACAAGATGTTTGAGAAATCCATTTTGGTGATTGATTCCAATGCCGACTTGTCGTGGAGGAAGAGGCGCTTATTGAAAGAATAGAATCGGGCGTCCTATATTGATAACGGATAACTAGGCAGACATACTGATATTAGAAAAAGTGGCAGCCAATACGGGTGCTCAACAATGCGAAGGTTTACCCCGGTGGCCTGCAGTCGTTTCACCCCCTCCGTAGATCTTCAGGTTGACTGCATGTTCATTATTGCGCAGTCGTGAGCTGCAGCTGGCCTGAAGACCATGAAGAGGGGAGTCCCGAAGGCTGGGGGGTGTTCAGCTCTCCGCGATGGGAGTGCCACGGATTCAGGCTGTCCACTTACAAAGGACAATGTGTCGCAGAAGTCGACCGGAGCGCTCGTTTGGGTTCGGGGGGTTCAATCGCAAGTGGAGGATGAGGAAGAGGGAGAAAGGGACGAGCGAGAGACACAACACCTGAAAGCTGGGTAGCTTACGTCGCTGTCGCAAGCGGCCCGGGCGGGTCTGCCAAGCCACACTGGGCTGAATCAGCACTGTCGCGGGCAACTTCCAAGCCCCCGCCGTCACCGGACACTGACAGCTTCCAACATTCGTCGATGCTGGCGCAAAGGCAGAACAATTCGAGGCGGCCCGTGTCATATCGTACGTTCACCCGTATCCGTATCGGGCGGTGCTGGTATGATACAGCAGCCTGCAGTAGCAGTATAAAGCCCTTGACCTCCAGACCAAATTGCCAGCTTTGGCGAGTTTGTCGACAGTCGGAGAATCTGCGCCAAGCCTCAGAACATCGCTCGTGGCGTCTCTCAATCGTTGCAGCACCACACTGAAGCTGCGAGCGATGGACAATGCACTTTCAAATACGTATAGAACAGGATTGCAGAATGATCGCTACATCCTCTAGCTTATGCAGGACTCATTATCAGACTGGAAACCCCCATTATTCTCTATGGCAGGACGCCATGTGCACAATGGCAGCTTCTCAATATAAAATTGGGTGCTGACTTGCGTCAGGACTATACTTCCTAGTGCATGCATGAAAGAGAATCGGTTCGACTCGATCCTCAATCCAAATAAATGCAATTGTTTCCTCGAGTCTCTACCTAACTCCCTCACAGCTCATCGATCTCGTGCTGTTTGTGCTCCAATCGAATATCCGATAAGCCACTCACGAATGTACTCATCCTCAACGGATCATGCTGGAGCTGTTCGTAGATAGCACTGACGTCGTTCCCCAGTCCAATCTCCTCGGCTGTACGGAGACTTCGTGAGTCTATGAAGGGAGCCATCGAGGGCCATATACTCTGGACATTATCCAAGAAGAGCTCGGCTCCCAGCTCTCCAATCCCCTTGAACTCTTTGACCAGTGTCCGAACTTCCTCGCGGTCTTCGTGGGCCTCTTCGAGTAAATTGTTTAGGTCGCCATCTAGGTTTTGGTAGTTTTCAAGTCAACGGCAGCCTATGGAAAACTGTTCAGGAATACTAAATTCGATCACTGACCATATTTCTCCAGTACAAGGTCGCAGAGTGCACCTAGATTAGAGGCACATTGTTCCCGGTATCGATTGTATCCGACGACTCTCAGTCGGTTGGTCCGCTCCTCCCAGGTGGTTCCCAGAAGTCGATCGATGTCGTGATACTCATCCTCAATCAGTCCGGCCACGGTGGACTCGGCAACCTGGTGTGAGATGGGCCTTGATTTGACAAGGGCATCTATCATCATTGCGAGAACAGTTCCCGGATCTGGTCTCGTTCTCATAGCCTCGTCAAGAGACGTGTGAGACAATGGAAGGCGACCATATGCGTTGGCGACCTTTTCCACCTCGTCGCCGAATTTCTGTTTCGTGCTGTCGGTCATTTTGATCAATACGTTCGATGTGGAAGTCTTGCTGGGAAGTGTTCGGAGAAAAAGTAAAAGGGCAGATTGCATTTTCATGGTAGACCCAACTCAGTCTAGATACGGCAGATGCGAAAGTCTGGCTCGAAATCACTTTGACGTCACGATTCAGGTCAGTCTCCCACCCTTTACAGTCTGCTCAATTCAGTGTTCAACTAGGGGTGTTAAGTCACGTAATTAACAAGTAAAATTTGTTATGCACTGAGAAGAGGGATGTTGGTATAAACTTGTAAATGGGCTTGTTGGTCAGAATGACTTCAGCTCAGCGCTACTTCCATGTCCACCTTCCGTCTTCCTTCAACAGCATGACGGGAGGATCATAGCTTGGCGCGGGGTTTCTTTCCCTTCACCTCTTCCACAAGAGCCACAGCACTTTGAGCGCATCCGAATGAAGCCTGATACCCGAAACCACCATGTCCGTAATTGTGTACAACTTTGACTCCGGCAACTTCGTCTTTTTCGACACGAGGGCCACCTTCTCTTAGAGGACGAAGGCCTACACCGTGGCGAACGATATCGAGTCCTTCGATTCCTTGACCCTCCTTCACCAATTGAGGTGCAATATCAATTGCGCGCTTCATGATGCGGTTGGCTAAGTTCGCGTCCGGTAGAGGATCCCAATTGTGCTTCTGGTATGAGCCACCAAGAATGGTGCCTCCTCCTGCTTGCTGTGAGCTCACAGACTGGACGGTATCCCACCAAGGGGCTCGATCTTACCTGCTGCACGTGTCATAATGTACAAGGCCTCATCTTCACCGTCATCTGTGCCAGAAACGCCGATCATTGGGCCGGGATCATTCCGCACAACCACAATCTGGCCACGAGCGGGGAGGAGTTTCTCATCACAGACCCCTCCAAGGAACTTGGACGAGAGTCCAGTGCAGTTGACGACCACATCGGCCTTGATGCCAGAGTGGTGGGCATTTGCTGCATCCGCAACGTGTTTGAGAACAGCGCGTTTAAACACTGTGCCTTTCTTGGTGCATTGGCCAACTAGCCAGGGCAGGTAAACCGCTGTATTGATACACACAGATCTGAACTGCTGTCCATTGTCCATCTCGGGTCTCAGTTGGCTCTGAGGCAGTTCTCGAAACTAGATTCACGTCAGCAGAGACCGTCTATCAGGCATTTAGGTGGCCGAGCGTACATCGGGGACCACATCCTTATACCAAGGATTCGGCTGCACCAGCTCTGCAAACCACTGACCGGTCGCGGTCTCCTGATCTTTCTTGCGGTTATAGATAATAGCATCTGAGAGGGCTGTGAGTGGTGCAATCGACCGACGAGCGATTCTGAAGAACAGACCTAGGAAATGAATGCCTGCTTCGGGATACTTCTCAGTTATCTCCTGCAGTGCTGGCCAAGTATCTCGTTCCCACGCATGATGAATACTTCCTTTCTTTCCAACTCTAGGGAGCTGAATTGTTATTATAGGCCTTCCAAAAAGATCTTGCTTTCTTCAAAACCCACGGCATGTAATTGGCTCCTGCCCATGGGGACGCGTATTCGATATCGTAGTCGCCAGGCATATGCTTTGCTAAAACAGTGATCTCATTTTCAGGGTCTTGAGACAGCAGGTAAGCCGTCGTCAGACCTGAGACGCCAGCACTACATGACGGGTCAGAATCGAAGATGAAGGTTGTTCGTAGAGTGCCGTTGTGGACTACAGCACGTGGCAACATACCCGAGCACGACGATGCGAGTGGGCATTGTGTTCTGAGACCAGATTTGTATCAACAAAGAATCAGACGTGGAGTGACTTCGATGTGAGTTCTGATGTAGCTCAGGTTAGTTCGTCAAGAGCCGAGATGGACAAAGGGACAGAATGAGTCAGTCGGCGTAAGTGGAATTGGAAGCGACGAGGTCACACCAAATAGACTGGGCCCACCTCCTCCACATGTGTATACATAAAGAGGCGGGGTGAGGATAATTGATAACCATCCGTTGCGCTGTGGGGTCCACTTCGATTTGATAAGAGAAATTGGAGAAAGTTTGGAGACAGATCCGTGCTCGAGGCGGTCTATAGCCCATACATAGTACCTCAGTACATGGCTTTTGTTGTCAAAGCCACGGATCCATCAGATACCTTAGTTATTCAAAGCATGGTTGGTGTCTGTCATTCATGACATTCGTGACATTCATGTTGACCCGGCATCAAGCAGAATCCTCAATATTCAAGGAAGCTTGGTGTGGATTTATGTATTGTAGATGCGTCCACGTCGTTGATGATTGTCAAGCGACACCTTACCTGCCGATCAAAATGTGTCATGTCAAGTCACTGTGCGGGTAGTATAACCTAGGGCCTAATTTTATGGACACTAGGTTGGCATAAGTGCAAAGTGACTATCCACTGGATCAGACTAAAGATTTGTGGGGGATTTCAAGGGAACTCGGAGGTTTATCCATATATCATCTCCATTTTCTTCTTATGAGTCTTCCCATACCTACCTAATGTATCTCACTTTGTTCAATTAGTGGGAAAATGCAGGAACATGCTTCAAGCTGCTGAACTTACTATGTGTGCATGATTCATGCTTTGTTCTGGAACATGATTTGCTTGACAAAGGCCGGGGACAAAGTCTTGCGTGGCGCCAGGACCTTTATAGCCAGGACCAGGATAGATTCTGTTGCCACAAAGTTTGCACCACTCACCTCTCCATGCTGAAACTTTTAATATTGTTCAATTTTGAACCTCACGGCGTGAATTCTCATCTTCAGATCACTAACTATCGGTCCGATGATTGATTTGTGATCCTCGCGAAACTCTTCCTTCTCCGTGTTGTCCCGCGTCTCCATCTAGGGGTCCACAATCTGTAACCCTTGATTTCAGAAATCTATGAATCACATCCTCGGCCTAAGGTGAGTGACCTGGATGTTGTTTTGCAAGATTGACATCTTGGACTATATGTTAAGATTTGCGCTTTGAAAGACTGCCGAAAATGACTTGAACTTGTAAATGTGCATGCAATTGAGTCGCGCGCAAAATCTCTAACCAACCTGTGTCTGCGTTCCAAGTCACCGATGTCATAGTTAAGGCAAGCCCTCACGGGTAGCCCAATTAGCGTGGAGGCAAGTATTCACCGCCTCGGACTCGGCTCTTAACATGGGGCAGCGACTCCGATTCCTTTTTCTAAATTCCATCGCACCCGCAGGGCTTCTCTCCTCTGCGGGCTGTTTGTTTTGTCTTGTCTTCCAGCTTCGGCTGCCTAGCTTCGGCCTAGAATAATTTCTGCATGGCTTAATGATACTGCTGCCTATACTAACAGACAAACATTTCCTAAATGACGAGTTAGGCCCGAGAAGGGTTGCCTTTCTAAAGATGTCTACACTCACCCACGGCGGCAGAATTGTGCCTATACTCACGAGTCATGAACAACATCACCGTGAACTCGACTCTTCCTCCTCACCCTCGCGCTTCCTAGACTCGCAACTTCTCCAACAAGAACCTCTCCAACAAGAGACAGAGACCTCGCTGCTGGATCAGCAATTAAATCACGAAATGACGCGTCGTGGCAAGAAAGCCGATCACGCCTCTCTGGAGATGTCATGTCTAAAGGAACGCGGGCTAGTTGCGATACCAACTGAGGGTGATGGTAAGATGGATTCCATTCACATTCAATCCAAGTTCCTCCCATTCTGCGCACACAATCGAGCTGAACTTCGATCTACCGATCCATGATCTGACGCGTAATCCCACAGGGAATTGTCTCTACTACTCACTCTCCGATCAGCTCTTTGGCAACTTCAACCATGGCGACGAGATCCGGCACAAGCTCGCGGACCACATGGCTGCCAACAAGAGCTACTTCATGCAATTTGTGGTTGCTGAAGGTGGTGAGCGCCGGCGCCCCCGAAGAGCTGCGGTCTCGGCTTACGCGACTCGGTCTGTAAACTCGTCCGCTCCCTCAGTGGATGATAAGGAACAACGATTTGCAGACATGATCGCATCAACCCGCAAGAACGGCGAGTGGGGAAGCTCAGAACACCTTCAAGCCTTTTGTCAAGTCTACCGTGTAGACATCAACGTCTACACGGTAAGTGGTGTTCAAGCTTTCAGAGATGTGAATGCTCCCTCCGATGAGCACAGGGATGTTATTCACGTGGCCTTCCATGTAAGCTCGCCTCACCTTACTTCACCTCACGCTCACTATACATGGATACTGATTGATTTAGGACTTCAAACACTACTCGTCAGTGAGGCCAGTGAATGGCACGCACAAGGGCCTGATGACAGTGAAGTCAGACCAGGCCGCTGCACTGCCATGCTCACAACTGGAGGACAGCAAGCCATCGACCCCGAAGCTTGCGGATGTTGCCTGCTCGGACTCGAAAGGAGCAGTAAGCGATGAGAAGGAAGTGCCGCCCTCCCCCAAGGTCTCTCCGTCCCCGGAGCCCGCGGATCTTGCCCGCTCTGATACCAAAGAAGCCGCAAGCGACAACAAGGAAGTTCCGCCTCCCCGGAAGACCTCCCCAGCCCATGAGCTCGAGGATGGTCAAAGCACAATCGCGGCGGTCCCCACTGGCTCTTCTTCCTCTGAAAGTCAGCCGACAAGTCCAGACCTTGCGGTCGATGTGTTTCCTCCTTGGGACATCCAGTCCATCCAGGATGGACTCGGAGGACGATATGACCGAGAAACCATCATCGACATGCTGCAGAAATGTCGAGGGGACATCGATCGAGCATTCGCCGCTCTGCTTGGGGAAAAGGAGAGTGACCCGGAGAAAGTTTCATTTCCCGGGCCCAATTTCAAGCCCTGTCTGCAAGCTTCCAGGGAATCATCACCTGTCAGTACCGGCAGCAAGCGTTCTGCAGACGACAGTGATGATTCAGAAGACCATGCCTCAACAGTCCGACAAGGCCGCACAAAAAAGAGGATGGTATCAAACCTCACCCTGGGAGTTGGCATCTTATTCCGTGATGAGCAGAACGAGGTTTTGTCCCTCAATCTACACGTGAATAGTGACAAAGACAAGGCCAAGGACAAGAAAATGAAAGGCACGCCACTTCGTGAGAGTACGGTGTCAGGTCTGCCCCAGGAGCAGCCTGAGCAACCCGAGCAGCCCACGCCACCCAACCCAAAGGGTCTCCGAAGAAGTGGTCGAAAGTCCAAGGCTCGGCTGGCTTGAAGTTCCTAAAAACTTCCAACTCTCGGCGCTCACGCCTTCCGCCGACCTCCTCTCATCAGCGCGCTCTTGCATTCGGGGGTTAATACCAGTCTCCCCATTGGTCGATTCTGCATTGCGTTGGCGTTCGTGTGGGACCGCTTAACAACCTTTGGCACATGGGCGGTTTTGTTTTGATTATTGTACCTGTCTAGGGAGAAAAGAGAAAACGGGTCAGACCGGAAAAGGGAGAGAGTTCTGACTTTACATATGCATGGGAAGATGTGCCTGGAGCAATCTTCCAACGAGCTAACGACGCGCATTCTTGGCGAAGGAGAGGACTGATGACATTGTTTTTCTTAGCTTAGACTTCATGGCTGGTGTTGATAGAGGATCCTTGATGTATGCGCAAGTACCACTTGCTGCTATGATGAATGCATGAATCCATTTGCTTGTCCCACCACAAAGGTGGTTGACTGATCGGTTGCTCAACGAAATCATATTAAATTTCTATCGTCTTTGCGCTCTGTAATGAATGTAAAGTATAGCCGGAAGAGTCACTCTTTGGTAGGAAGTGAAACTTCGTCTTTTTCGATTCTCAGCTCCAGTAGGATCCTCGACTTTGCCTTCAATGTCAACTGTCGCGCACCCTGGACGCCGCAACAATGACTAGACCTGGAGACTTTCATAGGTACCCTCTTGATTCAATGCATAGGTAGCTACCTCTCCATGCAGATCATGTTGAGAGTAGTGAAAGTCGGAAACTAAAGCATGTATCTGGAATACTATGATCGACGTAGAGCAGATTGTGGCGTCTTAACGTGTCTGTTCTAAATACAGCCTGCCGAAATTCGAATTTGAGTTTACTGCTAATGGCGGAGCTGAGAATGGAAGTCCAGCTTTGGCAAAGGACGATGGGCCTGCCGCAGTCCGCCTGAACCTGAAGGTACATAAAATCCTCAGCCTTGGCACGCTTTATCTTGCTGCACGTCAACCTGCGACCGTCCATGTCCAGCAATTTTTTTCCATCTCATTCGATATTGCTTTGTACAGTTCCCACGAAAACTTGGACGATCAACACGGTCCATTATCAATTCGAATACTCAGCTCGCTTATCATCTCTTTCAACATTTCTATCCTTGGAGACGAAATTGATTGTCACATGGTTCATAATTGTCAACCTCTTGCGACGATAGATTTCTCTGATGTCAGAAGCCGCTCCAGCAAAGAATGAGGAGACTCCGCTCCTGAGGCATTCTCGGTCTCGTTCCAATGCAGAATATCAAAGTGCGGCCGAACACTCACGAAGCTCAAGTTATAGTTCTCTTAATGGTGAGCCCGATGACGAGGTCACATTTCCCGCCCTGACGCAGGTCCCGTCTGCGTTGAGCTGGGACACTCAGCTCAATTTGGCTCCAACAACGAGTTTGAGGAAACACCACGATGGAGATGATCACCCAGTGCCACTGATCTCACCAGAGGCACCTCGTCACGACTCTCGATTCATCGATGTCTCTCCATCGCAATTTTGGATCATCTTCTCTGGAATCATGCTGGGCTACATCATTGGGTTCTTTGACTCAACGCTGATGGCCTCGAGTCATCCTGTGATTACCTCGTACTTTAATGCAGCCAATTCAGCATCTTGGCTCTCAACTGCCTTCCTTCTGACCTCCACGGCGTTCATGCCTCTCTTTGGACGCACCTCGGATGCTCTCGGGCGGAAACCCGTTTACCTCTTTTCCATCTGTACATTCTTCGTGACCACAGCATGGTGCGGCCTCGCTCAAAACATCGGTAGCTTCATTGCAGCCAGAGCACTTTGTGGAGTGGGTGCTGGTGGAGTCATGTCAATGGGCCAAGTGATATCCAGTGATCTTGTACGCCTCGAGTATCGCGGGGTCTACCAGTCCTATCTCAACCTATGCTTGGGTATTGGAAGTTGCACCGGACTGGCCTTTGGTGGCTTCTTGTGCGACTCTATTGGCTGGAGAAATGCCTTTCTCATTCAACTGCCCTTTATATTCGTCTACTTTATACTCGCAGCCGTGACGATCCCGGCAAAGCTTGGTATTAAAGTGGTTGGAACTGAGCGCATGACTGTTAGACAGGTGATTCGTAACGTGGACCTGACTGGATCTGCGTTCCTTATCTTGGCTGTCACTGCACTGATCATGGGCCTGAACCTGGGCGGCAACGTCTTTCCCTGGACTCACCCATTGGTGATCTGCTCTCTAATCTTAGCCTTTGTCTTGACTATTGTGCTTGTTCGATACGAGCGCCATGTGCCTCGGGCAGTGCTTCCCGTGGAGATCCTGACCCGAAATCCTCGAGCCAGTATCCTTAGTGGCAATTTTTTTGGAGCACTGTCGGTGAACACAATGATGTTCAATGCCCCTCTTTATTTTCAAGCCGTTAAGCTTGCAAGCCCTACAGATTCGGGTCTTCGCCTCGTAGCCGCATCGATCGCTGTGACTGTATCCAGCGTCGGAACCGGCTTTTTAATCACTTGGTTGAAACGGATGAAGCCGACCATCATTCTCGGAGCGATAAGCATGGTGGTCGGCGGATGCGCTGCTGGTCTGATGGGTCTTCACACTTCAGATTCGGTCGCCATGATATGCGTCTCATTCTCCAGTCTTGGCCAGGGATTCTCCTTCCCAAGTCTTATGGTTTCAATGCTTGCAACGAGTGAGCAGGATGACCAGGCGGTTGCGACCACGACGCTTGGCTTGGTACGCAATCTAGGTGCCGTTATGGGCGTCTCCGTGAGCAGCTGGATCTTCCAGAACATGCTCATCTGGCAACTGGACGATAGAGTGACTGGGCCTGGCAAAGATGAGGTCATCAGCCTCGTGCGAAAATCCATTCGTGCTATCTCTGAGCTAGATCCCCTTCATCAACGAGAAGGTAGGACTTTTCCCCCCTTTCCTTTTCTCCGCCACTATGTGATCTGGGTGCTAATGGGGTCGTAGTGATCGAGGCGTATGCAATGTCTCTCCGTCTCACTTTCTTATCTGCAGCCATTTGGGGTCTCGTGATGTTGATTTTGCTGTCTCGAATTAAACTGCCCAGGCTGGGACAGAAACGCGGCAATGGCTCGTAGTTGATTGGTAAGGAAAATTACATGAGTAGAGAGCATGTTCCATGTTCATGCACTTTTGCCCGAATAGATAATCTGCTACGCCGAAATGAACGATAGAAAGGAGTTTCTACCATTCATCAGTTTGAAGTATGATGACGCAGCAAAGGGTGTCACGCGACGGTAACGCTTACTCGAACCTGCAAAGTGCAAGGACTCCATCGAGCAATCAAGGCAGCTGTTGATCAGGGCGTCCCGCGCCTATCTCAACTCGGTAGTTTGACAGCGTCTCAGGTCACCTGAGGTACGCACATTTGACGCGGGGTTCCTGAAATTTAGGGCACCCACTTCGATGGCCCACCTTTTTCCCTCATTTACTCCGCGTTTGTATCTTTAGTCCTACCAGCTTTCGATCGACTCTGACGTTGCTCTGATTCACCGAGGTAATTTCGACCTCGATTGAGCAGACAACAATTGCAGGAGCCTCAAGTATCATGGGCTTGTACGCGTGGCCGCGAAAGGGTTGATCAGTAGCTGCTCATTGAAAGCCCCGGTCAACCTTCCTTTCTGCTCGCCCCTCACCTCGGCCTGTGCGCGCTGTCCGGCGTAAAGCGAACCAATACTTCCCCCGGTCGCAATTTCTTTGGGAGAACAGTCACCTCCGTGTTGCCGCAAGTGCATGGTCGTATACTTCTTTCAACCATCACAAAGGACCTGATACTGCCAGCAAGTGATCATGGCAATTCGGGAAGAGGCCTTTATGACAAAATACGCACACGATCTACCTCGATTGGCTCGAAGACCGACCAGTCCAGTCGGCGCCGGCGACTGAAATAATCGTGCGACAAGCGGTTGGTTAATTCGGGAAAACTAATTTCGACATTTTATTGCGTTTACTTGGCATTGAAGTCGATCATGAACCTCAAGACTCGTTCGCAAGCGAAGTCGCAGAGGCAAGCTTCTCCCAAGGTTAATTCGAAGCCTGCAGCATCGCAGCCCAAGGATGATAAGTCACCGCGCGTGTCCAGCGCAACCCGGGAACGATCGGCGGAGATTGCAGATACAAAGGCGAAACGAGTTCGAACCGGATGCTTGACCTGCCGCGAGAGACATCTCAAATGCGACGAGGCCCTGGGTCGATGCCTCAACTGTCGCAAATCGGACAGGATATGCCGACGCGGCATCCGTTTGAACTTTATCGACATCCAAACAGTGGCGCCTCCACACACTATCGCTCGCCCTCATGGTGCAAAAGTGACCTTCCGCGACGATTCTCGCTTCATTGCGTCCGAGTACGTGGGAGGTTCCGAGAGATACCCTCCTCCACAGCCCGAAAGTCCCATTGAGGAACGGAGACACCTACAGCAAGATGCTTTTAGCTATCTAGATCATGACCAGCTAGCGACTCTGTTTCAGTCAGTGGCTCATTCTATTGACCCCGCAGCATTTGATCCCTCCCATGCCGGGGCCTTCATAGGAGGTCCTGAAATCTGGCACTCAGACGAGGCTCATCTCTTGCCAGGGGATGAGTTGCTGCCGCATGGAACATCGAACTTTGCGCGGAAGCTCGCAGCGAAACAGTTTTACCCTACACCTCTGTCTGATCCAGAGCAAGTACTTCTTCTGCAAGCGTACGTTGATGAAGTTGGATGCTGGATGGATTCCCTCGACTCAACGCGATACGTAAGGAAGGCCTCATTTTCATTCCTTGTGCTTTGGCTAATGAAATCACAGTTTTCACAAATTCTTCCAATGCATGCTATTGGGGAACCGGTTTTGCTCAAAGCTTTCATGGCCTGTGGTGCCCGGCATCTCTCACTCGTCGATCCAACATTTGACAATCAAAAGGCTGCAAAGTACTACGACGAAGCGACACAGGATCTGATGATTGCCATGCACGACCCCAATCGCGACTCGGTACTTTGTACAACTGCGGCCTTGATCCTCAGCATCTACGAGATTCTGGCGCCTCAACAGACACAGAGCACGAATCACATTGGGGGTTCGAGAGCGTTGATTCGTGAATGTGGCTGGACAGCTCGGACGCCGGGTCTTGGAAGCGCGTCTTTCTGGATCAGCGTGGGCATGGAATTGCTGAGTGCACTGCACTATAAGTGGACCTTGTCATGGAATCCAGATACCTGGGGCGTTGACATGACCATGCAGAATAACACATATCAAGCTCATGTGGCTAGCAAGACTGAAGAGGTGTGGCTTCACAGGGCTATCTATATCTGTGCGAAAGTCGCGAATTTCCGAATCACGGCGCAGTCGTTTCAGTCAATCAATGGCTCGGTAAATTATGCGAATGAGTTAAGCGACGTCTATACGGAATGGTCGCACTACGATTCGCTGTGTCAACAGTGGCATGAACACAGTCCAAGAACTCTGAAACCTCTCGGCCATATCCCTCCCTGGCAGACTCAACCCAAGTCTTCGTTTCCTCGGATCTGGTGAGTTCGTCCGCATCCCGAAGCTCCTTAGGGTCTTGAGGTGTCTTTGGTTAACCGTACATCATAGGTTACCTAATCGGCTCGCGACAGTCTCCCAGCTGTTTTACCATACGGCCTGTTTGATGCTCGGCAAAGCGCATCCTCTGCAAGCCGATTATCATCGAACAATGCAACAGGTGCATGCACACGATATATGCGGTATCGTGGCCAACACAAAAGACAAAGGAGTCATCAATGTCTCAATCCGGTGCCTTGCCCTTGCCGCAGAATGCCTCGACACGGAGGAAACTCAGAAAGAAGTTCTGTCTATCTTCGACACTCTGGTAAAAGATACCAGCTGGCATGCCGAGCCTATCCAAGAAGAGTTGAAGCAAATCTGGGGTGTGTCTCATTCTCATCAAGAAACGATGGATCCAAGTCAGTTGTACAGCCATCAATTTGGTTTGGATCCGAGTCTGTTAATTCCCAAGGGCCCCGAGTTTCCGCCCGGATTGTCGAATCCACTGCTGGACGTTGGCGACTTTTCGATGGACAATCACCCGTACCAGGAGCATTATGTTGCACCTCATCACCTTGGACTGGACCCTCATTTGTTCTCATAGTATAGTTCTGATCTTACTTCAAACCCTGTAGGGTCCAGCTGAATCGTCGTGGACGCCTATTATGAATCAATTAACAGCTACTTGAACGATGACCCCGGCGGATGGAATGCTTATGGAATATGTCAAAAAAGCAGTAAAAGCGATTGATGTTTAGTCTTCGGAGTCGGTGTGTTGAGCCTTGGCAATTCACCAGTTTGCAATTACTCCTTGTGTTTGCAGGCAAGTTGGAGTGTTAGGGCAAGGCATAACTACAGGATTGATGCTTGAGGTAGAGGCCGGGGTTTTTTTAGAACTTGGTATATATACACCATTAAGTTTCAGATGATAAGCAATTCGGGCTTATGGTCTAGGGGTATGATACTCCCTTCGCAGCGGGTTTCAATCGAAATCAACGAAGATTGGGAGTGGTCCGGGGTTCAATTCCCCGTGAGTCCAATGCTTTTTGCTTCCCGATGGGCAGCCATGATTCATTCATTCATCTTTGCATTGTTGCATTTTTGCCCAACATTGCCATGTGTGGTCCTCATCTAGGAGAAAGGGGAGGGGTCTCAGCTCTATTTGAAATTGATCTTTTCTGCGATTTCAGCAATTTTTCCCAGAGCACACAAAGCTGGGGAGATGTGCCCCATAAAGACGACTATTGTAGCGATTGATTGTCTGGGGCGGTCCAGCGGTGCGGTAACGCGGAATTTCCGAGTAACCGGCGACTCTGGCAGGTGTGGTCAGCAACTTCAACACCTGGAATCGTAGAAAGACGGGTGGCACCTGTATGACAACCATGACGACTGAAATATCAGATCCGCCGCGAAAGCCTCTGGCAAGTCCCGCGTACATACTACGAGGACACGCGGCACCGATTCATGCACTACATATCTTTGCACAGAACCTGCGCCTCTTGTCGGCGGATGCAGATGGCTGGGTCGTACTCTGGGACATGGTTTCCAAGCGTCCAGTCACAGTATGGAAGGCGCACGGAGGCGCTGTACTTGAAGTAAAAGCTCTGAGTCTCGAGGACGAAGTCACAGAAATATACACGTACAGTCCTCCGAACCCTTTGGCAATGCTTTTCATGCGTTGGACACAGTCAGACTGACACTGAAGGAAACAAAAAAGACATGGTCGTGACCATAAGCTCTGTGTTTGGAAGCTCCGCGCTGAAGACGAGCACTTTCTCGACAAGACGCTTCCTGTCGATATCGTTGCGACAGAGACTAAGCAGAAAAGGTCACAGCCATGGTTGCTCCATTCTTTGCCTGTGAATGCGCTGAATTTCTGCGCCTTTTCCATGACATTTCTCGACTTACCCAGAGCCTCGTCAGGAGAAGCTCAACCCGGAGAATTGCAAGCCCCTCGTCGACATGTTCTTTTCGCAGTCCCTAATGCCTTGGACTCTGGGGGCATCGATATCTTCCATCTGCCGTCTGAGAGGCGTCTGGCGACTATCAAGTCGGATCCATCAGTCAAGACTGGCATGCTGATGGCTGTCAATCTATTCGTTTCCCCCTCTTCTGACGTTTACGTTGCCTGTGCTTTCGAAGACGGCCATATCATGGTCTTCATGCGCAGGGGCCCTATCCGTTCATCAGAAGTGGACATCGAGTCAAATAATCAGACTTCCTGGAAATGGAACAAAGTCTATGCCAATCAGCCACATACGCAGCCTGTGCTGTCACTTGACGTGGCGCCGTCAAAGGACTACTTCGTCTCTTCCTCTGCCGATGCCTTGCTGGTCAAGCATCCGATACCGGGCGCGGGTATGACAGCCAATTACACTGCCAACAACTTTGTGGACGATCAGGTGCTGAAGAGCGTCAACACGAAACACTCAGGCCAGCAGGGGCTCCGCATCCGCAATGATGCAAAGATCTTTGCGACCGCTGGCTGGGACAGTAGAGTGCGAGTGTATTCGTGCAAGACTATGAAGGAATTGGCGGTGCTGAAATGGCACAAAGATGGGTGCTACGCTGTTGCATTTGGAGAGGCTCACGCTGCCACTGATCCTCCAGCAAGCAGTGATGCAAGTGGTGTTGGAGCTACGCGTTCTGATGAGCACCGCACCGTCGAAACGGAAGTGCGAACGAGGTCAATCGCGGCGGTGCATCGGCTACGCTCACGGAAAATCCAACAGACCCACTGGCTAGCTGCTGGTTCCAAGGATGGCAAAATTTCATTATGGGATATCTACTGAAACAAAATGCTAATGCTGTTTGTACAATAATGATAATGACAATAACGAATGACCCAGCGGAGCATGTTCCTGGCAAAGAAAGAAACAGAGAACGAGAAAGAGAAAGGCCAGCCCGGGAAAGGATCAAGCCAGGTTAAATTCGCTGGCACCCCCCATGTGCTCCTTCATCTTGGCTCTCATCTTGCGAGCATTCTCACGAGCAGCCTCATCCACGTTTGATGCCGCTGCGGAATCACCGTCAGCCTTTCGCTTACCGAGAGCAGCTCCGCGACCAGCCTTGAAGTCCTTCTTTGTCTCTTCCTTGCTTGTTCGCAGACCGGGCACATTGATCTTGCCAGGTCGGTCCCGGAGGCCAAAGCTCTTCGCGAGATGGCCCAGATGCAGCTCTTTGATGTTGAACATGCTCCGCTCTGCGGCAATGTGAGTTGCGTAAGCGCGAACGTGAGATTGGAATGCACGTCGTGCCATCTCAAGGTACTCTGGGTTCTCCAGAGCCCATCGTTCCACGTCCATCTGCCAGTCCGTTGCCTTTTCTTCCCAGTTCTTGGAAGCGGAGTCGGTGTTGCCACCAAATCCACGCTTCAGCATTTCAGTCGCATCTGTCCGAGCAAGAGATTTGCCTCCGTCGCGATATCCACGTTTCAGAATCTCTACGTAGTTCTCTTCACATCCCGGTTGTAGGAAAATCAGAGCTCGTCCGTCTCGACCGAGACGCGCGGTACGACCAATACGATGGGTGTGGTCGTCCGCACTGAACGCGGGATCGTACTCAATAACCAAGTCGACGTTGGGCAAGTCCAAACCGCGGGAAGCCACGTCGGTACAGATCATGACCGAGGGAGATTTGCTCTTGGAGAAAGAGTTGAGTGTGAATGTCCGAACGTGCTGGGGTAAGGATCCGTGAAGTCGGTGCAGGATCACCGGGTTTGCTGAATTCGAGAATGCTGATCCAGGAGCAATAGTGCCATGGGGTGAAAGTTCAGCTCGTTCCTTCTCCTTCTCCTTCTTCACTTCCTCATCTTCGTCGTCTTCCTCGGTGTCCTCGCTCGTATTGTCGTTCTTTATGGTCCCTCTTTCGCCATGCTTCCTGGAGAAGACTTCAAACAAGAAATCGACTTCGTCGGCACATGAGACGAAAACGATGGCTTTCATGACCGAGCCCTTGCGGATAAATGTGCGCTTGAGATAAGCATTCAATGACACCAAGCGCAATTTCGCTGCGACAATGGCATATGTCTGCTTGAGCTGAGCAGGCACACGGAATGAATCTTCTTCGTCCTTGTTCGCATCCCGGCTTTGTTCATCCTCATCTGTGGGGTCGGCCTTGATGTGGACGGCATCCTTGAGACTGATCTCACCAAGTCGCTGTACGTTCATCTTTAAGGTCGCCGAGCAGAGAATTGTGGTTCTCCTCGTAGGGACACCGGGAATGCGACTCGGTCGTTGTCTCGCGTCAAGCTTCTGTACGATACCCTGCAATTCTTCCTCGAAGCCCAGGTCCATCAAGCGATCACCTTCATCGAGAACGAGCCACCGCACATTGCTGACATCCAATGCTTGCGTATTATCCAGATGATCCACCAAACGTCCGGGTGTAGCGACAAGGATATTTAACCCCTTTCTGAGACGGGCCTTTTCCGATTTTTTCTTCTCTCCACCAATGACAGTACCCGCGACAAGCCAGGTCGCGCAACGTAGAAGATTTTCCAATACCACCGAAATCTGCTTACACAGCTCACGGGTGGGAGCCAACACAATGGCAAAAAGACCGCTGTCACGATGGACACCAGCTTCCTTGGTGGCTTTCGATAGAGCCATGATCCGTTGTACCAATGGAAGAAGATATGCCAGGGTCTTTCCTGAACCAGTCTCGGCCTGAATGAACGCATCACTTTCCTCCTTCAGCAATTGTGAGATCGAAGCTTTCTGAATAGCCGTGGGTGCCTTCAATTCCAATTTGGTAAGAAGATGCGCGGCCAGACTCGGTGACAGGCCGAGGTTTGTGAAAGTGTCGATACCATCGATCAGCGGCGCATTCGTCGGTTTTGTCTCCTCGGTGGTTTCTTCGTTTCGAGGCTCTGCAGAGTTCTGCGGCGCCGGGTTGCTCGTAAATAGAGATGACACAAAGTGGCGTGGGTCTCGTGGAGTCTGTTGCTGGTGTGATCGCTGTTGACGCCCATGATCGTGACCGACATTGAGGTCATCTGAGTCGGTCTTTTGTCGCTTCACAGGCCTTGGGCCCACAGCGACTTGGTTTGGATTCTTGGGTTCATGAGGCTTGCTGCTGCCATCTCGGGGATTCACACGATGTTGCGAGCGCTTCTTCGCTGAAAGTCGGTCCCGCCATGTCCCTCCTTTGAACTTTGCCTCGGGCTTGATCACGTTGTCGCCGATGGCAAAGTTCAAGAGCATCCCATCGTCCGCCATGGCGAATCCGATAGCTCGACAAGCTGGGAGGCAAGAGAAAGAATGTAATACTTTGGAAAGTCGTATGTAAGTCCTTCAGCGACCAAACTAGTTCCTGCGATTCAAGACTTTTTTTTTCCCTTCCGTCCGCTGCCAAGCCCTGCAGTATGGAATTTCTTTGGCCCGTGACCCACCTGGACTCGTGGGGCTGGACGAAGTAGACTAAAGCGGATCGACAATGCTGTACGTTTCTCCAATTTTATGCCCTCTGGCAGCCACGGGATATACCTCGTAGTCGAGCAAGTTTCCTTTATAAATTGACCATATTATGATATCTCAACGTACTCGGGATGGCTTGATGACCTCACCTCGAGCGTACACGCAAATACAAGCCCGCGGTTTATCGCAAGGCGGTCTATAACAGGCATCTTAGGCACTGGAACAGGAAGAAGCGTATCTACAGCAGATTCTCGGCGTCCGAACCTTGCCCTACTCCCGAGGCTGTAGAATGAAGTTGTCAATCAAGCGCACAGGGACCTTCCCATCTCCGAGGCCACAATCTTCACCGGGGTTGGTTTCTTCCAGAGGTGCCATCTTGAATGCGGTACTCAAAACGGCTCCCCTCTTGGGATCTACGCAATCCAGCTCTTCTAAGCTCTCGGGATCTGCGAGAGAAATATAATCGACCTCGTAAAGTGCCCGCAGATTTGGTGCAAGCGTACATTGCTCCGCAAGAACACACTCAGCAAGACTCCGAGCGGCCCCGAGAATGTCGTCTCGCGAAGATTTGCCAGCCTGATAGGCATTCGCGCCGGCAGTCAGAGCTTTATATAATGTGAGCCCTATGTTTCGCCGGCGTGATCCCAAATAGACATTCCTTGAGCTCAGAGCCAAGCCGTCGCATTCACGCGCGGTTGGCACGATGCGAACCTCAGTATCCATTAGAAAATCCTTCACCATTCGCTTGATAATGACTGTTTGCTGGACATCCTTTTGACCGAAATAGACACGGTCGGGAGAGGTCGCGTTGAAGAGTTTCATGCAAACGGTTGCGACTCCTCGGAAAAAGACCGGACGAGATACGCCTTCAAGCTTCCTCGCCAGAGGTGTGATGGTGACAAAAGACCCATGGCCGTCAATCTCAGATGACGGCGGTAACGTCGGGTACATGACTTTGGACGTTGGAGCAAAGATAGCAGTGATGCGTCCTGTGCCAGCACTCGAGGTTTCCAGCTCTTCATTAAGCTTCTCTAATTTTGCCATATCGCTGTCCCAAGTACGAGGATAGCTCGAAAGATCTTCGTTGACTCCGAATTGAGTCGGATTGACGTAAATGCTCACAAAGACATCGGTATTCTCTTTGGCAGCTTCGCGGATCAGAGCCAGATGTCCCTCGTGGAGAGCGCCCATAGTCGGTACAAAACCCAGAGTGCGATCGTTGCGAATGATTTGTCGGCGTAATTGACGAAGCTCGGGGACATCGCGAAAAATTTGGAAGGCCAGTGGTTGGCGAGCGGATCGTGTTGCATCAGCGGAGGCGTCTGCTAGCAGCGCAGAGGCCGCAGCTAGAAGGCAGAGAGTCTGGTGTAAGCTTGACTCATACCATGACGATGCAGAGAAACAGAAGACGCACTAGAAAATGACCTCACACCGCGCATTATGCGGGACATCTTGTGCTGGTGGGATCTTTTTCAAGATATGATTGAACTCCGACTCGGTCGCAAAGCCGCTAGCTTCTTCCAGCTTCCGCGGCAAAGCGGAGAAAAGGTACAGGCCCAGTGTCCCCACGTGACCAACGCCTCGGCTGTGGCAGTCTGGGGGGATTCGTTACACCCGTGATTCCGTCGCCCGTGTAAGAAGATCCGGGGGGGGGGGGCGATCGTTTACGTTTGTTGGGAATCTAGAGCTATGGCCTGGTCCCGCCCGCGGACACTCTCGTCTAGATGAAGGTCGCTGTCCTCTCTTCTTGCTCACACTTCACTCAATGACATAACTCCCATCAAACAGCGTCCCAAGAACGAGATTGAACTCCACTAGAAGGCCGTTATCCCCCGCATTTTGCCTAAAGACCAAACATGCCGCAGCCAAAATCGACCATTCGCGACGAGCACTCTGCTCCGGACCTAGAGATTGTTGGAAACCAGGTCACAATTCATCCGTCTGGCTTCACTAGCAATCCCACTGCCCGCGATGACACCATTACCGAGCGGAATCTCGTGCGCCATATGGCTCGATTTCGCGAGAATCCTCTCGACTTTTTCCGTGAGGTTAGCTTGTACATGTCAGGTACAGGATGGCGCGCATACGATGACGTTATTGGACAACCGGTGTTCTACTCTGGATTCGGAGACAGGATGAAGTCTCTGATTCTCTCAAGCTCAATGCTACAGGACAAAGTGAGAGACTTGGCCAACACACGACTTGCGGTGGAGGAAAAGGAAGGGCTGTTGGCAGTCAAGGAAGGCGCGACTATGGACGAGAAGCGTGCGCGCCGTCGCAATGAGCTTGAGAGCGGTCTTCGCGAGGTCGTCGATACGATGTTGGACAACATGATTTGCAAGATGGAAAGCAAGTCATTTATCCGAGGCGCGTACTACTTGTGCACTCAGCTTTTGACACGCGCATACCATCAGGGTATTCACGTTTCGAGCGAAGAAGTATTGCGGCTTCGATCCGTTGCAGAGACCGCAGCCAAGCAAAATCAGTCCATTGTTTTTCTACCTTGCCACAAGTCTCATGTGGACTATGTTTCGCTTCAACTTATTTGTTATCGACTCGGTATGGGTCTGCCGGTTGTCGTGGCCGGTGACAATTTGAACATTCCCTTGTTGGGCCCATTTTTGCAGCACGCAGGTCCGTCATAGGTGTCAAGTCAACTGTACGGTGTGGTGACGATTTACTGACCCTACTGAACAGGTGCCATGTGGATTCGGCGTAGCTTTGGAAATGATCCACTTTATCAGACGGTTGTGCAGGCGTATATTGATACTCTCTTGCAGCAAGGTTTCAATTTCGAATGCTTCATTGAAGGCGGTCGATCTAGGACAGGAAAACTGCTTTCACCAAAGTTCGGTATCTTGAATTTCATCGTGGACAGCGTTCTCTCCGGTCGCGTCAAAGACACCATTATCTGTCCTGTCAGCACACAATACGACAAAGTCATCGAGACCGAGTGCGTATCAAGCCAGATACTTTTTCCGTCTGAAAGATGTGCTAATTCTTGCACAGGTCTTACATCAGCGAACTTTTAGGTCAACCGAAACAGAAGGAAAACCTCGCCGATCTTCTCTCTTCATCTTCAGTCTTGTCTTTGAAATTAGGACGTGTCGACGTCCGATTTAGTCAGCCGTGGAGCTTGCGGGAATTTTTGACCCAGCAGCTTTCACGATTAAATTTAGCTGATATCGGTCATGGGCTCAAGCTTGATTACGCCGAGCGAGGTCGCATTTTGCGAACTCTCGGCTATCGAGTTCTCTCTGAGATCAATGACGTGTCGGTCATGATGCCGCCCGCGCTCGTGGGGACGGTGCTTTTGACATTGCGCGGTCGTGGTGTTGGTAAGGGTGAGTTGGTGAGACGCTTGGACTGGCTCTGTGATCGAGTACGAGCAAAAGGTGGCCGTGTTGCACATTTCTATCGATCGCCGACAGAGGTCGTGGTGGATCGCGCACTAGATGTACTGGGTCCAAAGCTCGTGGGAGTTGTCCCTGGTCTCGCCGAGCCGACATACTATGCCGTTGATCGCTTCCAGCTGTCCTTTTACCGAAACATGCTTATTCACCTTTTCATCACCGAGGCGCTGGTGTCTGTTGCAATGTACACGAAGATCAAACAAGGCGGTGGACCCGCCAATCAGAGGATTACATTCGAAGCGCTCAAAGCCCAAGTTTCGTTCCTTTCACAGGTATGAGCGTCTTGTCGTGTGGCAACTCGTGCACTGCTCGCGAACTAACAGTCTGTAGCTCTTCCGTGGCGAGTTCATCTTTCCCCCAGAGGGCCTGGTGAGCAATTTGGAGAAGACGCTACGCAGCTTGGAGGCAGACGATGTGATTAGCATCACCCGCGACGATAGTAACACGCCGCAATTTGTGGAACTGAGTGATACCGAGCGGACTTGCGGCCGGGAGAATTTCGACTTCTATTGCTTCTTGATCTGGCCCTTTATCGAAGCTTCGTGGCTTGGAGTGGTGTCTCTACAGGGACTCACTCCTCCTCTTGATGGATCCAAGGATATCTGGATCGACCAGAAGAAGGCGCAAGACAGTGCTCAGCTTGTAAGACACTCCGACGATGCTGCGACTGAGTACCACTGCTCTCGGCAGGATGCTAATGGCATGTATAGTTGGGCAAGACGCTGTATCATCAAGGCGACCTTTCTTATTTTGAAGCCGTGAACAAAGAGACGCTCAAGAACTCATACCAGCGCTTTGAAGAAGAGGGCATCATTCTGGTGGCCCGTAGCAAGGAATCTCGTGCTGGTCCTTCCATAAGGCTGGCTCCCGAGTGGACGCCAAAGCGGGATCCGGAAACTGGAAAGGTTCTTCCTCGGGGCCGCCTCTGGGACTTTACCGAATTGATTGCACAATCGCGTCGCGAAGGGTCAGTTGCAGATGCTCTGTGTCTTTCGTCTACTGAGCGTTGGTGAATGCTGACTATGTCCACAGTAAAAACCGCCGGGACGGTGCTACAGTTTCTTCACGCGTCTTGACCATGTCCGACTTTGTTGGACGCCAGCTCTTTTCGAACGCGGCCGTTTCTACGCCTGCTGATGTGTCCTCGCGCCAGATGCGTCGCAAAGCCATCGGCACCGATTCAAAGCTGTAAGAGTCTTGTTTTGTTTTTAGGGCTTCTCTGAACCGATGCGGCTGCGACATTTCGGAAAATTAGCCCGATGAGTCCCGATGCGTGCAATCGACTGGCTCGTCGCTTATCGTCTCTATTGTACTATATACCCTGTTCAAAGCCCCCTTCATTTTGCGGGCCTGCTTTTGTATATACCTACCATGAAAATCACATGTTGACGCACCTGGTAAACGTTGCATCATGTGAGGCACTCCCGTATCTGGACACAAGCATTATGTGATTTCGAAACATCCGTCAGCCGCGGCACTGGATCCGTCTTATCCTTGCCCAAAATCATTCGAACCAGAGCTACCTGAGAAGATCCCAACGTATGTGGAAAGTTGGATTTGCGTTGTAAATGTGGAGTATCTCCTCACGTCTATATGTGAAAGCAGTTGTGACTGAGCTTGCTTTCTTGGATGTATAGCGCGCGGTACCTTGCTCGTATGGACGGTACACGCTTGCCACTACCTCGCTGTACTGGCTTGGTCTACCAGAGCCGGAAGTCTCGCACTTGCAAAGGTTTGGAAGAGGATACATCTCTAGTCTCTACTACTCTCCGATCTCCAATTGGACCCCGATTACCTAAGTTCCATCCCCTCGCTAGGTAGTGAGATAGGTTTCATCCCACCTACAAACATTCCAAGACATGCACTCAGTACAATGCACTCGAATCCGACACCAGCCTCGTGGCGCACTGCATGTCTCAACTCAACCCTGCATCTCAACCTCTGTTATCTCTGGTGTCTGATCTGTACTGCATGGAGACAATCCCATGACACTAGTCCCAGTGGAACGCCGTGGAAGCATTTATCCCCGCTGTCCGGGTCTGCGTCTGCGAGATTCCAGCCTTGAGCGGAGTGCGGCTGGAATTGAATTCCCACTCAATTAAGCTGGGCCGTCGGCTATGACTCCGTGTGGCTTGCCGCCTGCATTTGGATGTGATAGACAATACTGATTTGTTTCTTTTTTTTCCCTTCAACAGCTACGAGGACATCTCCTGTCTCCTCATCGTTATATGGAGACCCGCCCGAGCCGGGTCAGACTGCTTACCATCAAGCGGCGTCACATCCACAGAATCCGATGCACATCCACCACGGTGCCAAACTCTCTGTGTGATGCCACCACGACTTATCAGGATGCATCCTCTGCAAGTAGGCAGTATGCGGTATGCGCCGATGCTGTAGTTGTACGGGGCCGGACCGTGCAGGGAGCAAATGCAGGCAGAAGCGTGGCCGGTCTCGATCCAGATAACTGGGCCAGCTGGTCGCGGAGATGCTGGGGAAGCTACTACAGCTGACGTGTGCTGATTCAGTAGGGGGATTGGGTGAAGGACTCAAGCGCTTCGGAGACAATTTTGATAGGCAGTAGTTTTGGAGACAATTTGGATAGGCAGCAGTTTTGGAGACAATTTGGATAGGCAGTGGTTTTGGAGGGAGTACTGTCAGTGTAGGCTGTAGATTACTCGATAGTCGATAGTCGATAGTCGATACAGTGTCAATGGACTGGTTTATCCATATTGTCATCATCAAATCTACCTCTGTCTAGAAGTGGGGGTGTGCATGTACGGTGGTGGCACTTTGGGAGGAAGTCGATTGTATAAAGTTAGTAATATCCGGATTCCATGTCCGCGCGTCCCCCTTTGACTTTCTCCTCATCGCAACCACGGGGCAGAGATGCAATGTCGCGGAGAGGGGTTCCCCGGGAGAAGACATCCCACTGAAACCTTTAATTATCGGTACCGCCTGGAGCAAGGCTGTTGGACCCGGACTGCGGTGATGCGGTCTATTCTTGTCTCATGAAAGTTCAGCCGAGGATTGACACGCGATAGGCCATAGGACAGTCCAAAAAGTCCAAAAGGAAAAAGAAAGGGAAAAAGAAGATGAAGAAGCATACGAGTTGCGTCTTCGACCGTGCACGAGCGACACCAACGTAGTGTGTCTAACCCGGAAGTACTGTGCTTCTTCCATACCCTTACCGGTTCATGATGGTATCATCAAGGTGGAAATTGAGATGGCCGATGAGGTTCGGATCTGCTTGACGCCCAAGACCCCAAGACCCCAAGACAGCAAGACACGGCAGGGCTGGGCGATGGGACCCATTGTTCATCGACACTCCATCACTGGCAGGTGGAGATTGTCAACGGGTATCCTACAGTACATACGTCAAAGGCACTCGGGAGTCGGCAATAGTGGAGGATTTGGAGGGGAAAGTGGGAAAGTGGGATTGGACTAAAAAGCTAATTCGGGTGTCGATCAGAGGACGGTTAAAGGCCGATGATGATCGGGAAGCATTTGAGCAGAGTAGGTAGACAACTAGACACTGAGCACACCCCAAAATGCGGACACCTATAGGCGAAGAATCAACTTGAACCTTTATCAAGTCAGTGAAATCAAGAACCGGCTGTCACCGGTAGTATTAACTAGCCAGTACCGCCTTTGAGTGGATGACATTGGAAACTTAGGTCCAATGGCTTGAATACAATTGTGTTTAGGTGAAGGAGGTACACTGGTACAGTAGTTACCTCCTTCTCCAGCAGTGTGGCACCGACCCCTCCAAAGGGACTTCTATTCTTGTTTGACGGTCAAGTCCGAGGACCCAACGTCAAGGTCTGATGGATACAGAATGTGCCGGTCGTGGACTTGATGAAGTCATGACGGCACGGGAGACGCGGAGAGACACGACATATCCATTGGAACTTGGTACCTCACTGGATGAACAGTTTTACAGTAGTAGGTCAGAGGACTGTAGGTATGGTCGATGAGGAGTAGAATCAAAGTGGATTGAGCGGAAGACTAAGAGGTGTGGGTGATAGTTAGGTTGAGCATTTTTGCCATCGAATCAACTCCAGAGGGTGGTCATATTGTACCCTGATAAGGTTATTGTCTTATCTTGTACTTTCTGGCAGGCCTTGTCAGAGTGGGAAGTTGGAACAGTGTACTTTGCATCCTCTGAAATGTAGAGACTAGTACCTACTAGTACTCCCTACCTTCGTCACTCTACTACCGTGATGCTCGCGCGCGAATACCTCTTACATGTCCTGGCCATGGTATGAAGTACTCTCGAATCATGAATGTACTACCAGTACCGACCCCCTCAGTCCACACGATAAGAGACTCGGTTCATGGAGCGGTTCCAGGCCCGGATCGGCCAGTCGGAGAATCCCACCAAGGTAAATTACATCCCGCCCGGTCATGCATGGTCACCGTATTGTGCCTTTTCCCCTTGCCCCGCAGCCACACTGCATCCAAGCACGACCGAACCCGGACCGAGTGCCATCTGCCACTCGTCCTCGGAGTGTAACCAGTGACCTCCAGTCTGGCCCCACAGAGGGTCTCGCCCCCCTCCGTCACGTACGGTATTTGCCTCCCGCTGTCGCGTCCCTCCCGATCGCTCGGCCGTTTTGAGACTTCCCAGGATCCCCAGCGGTACTACGGTACTACTGTGGTACACGGAGGACGGCGTCCTGAGTCCTCTCTGACTCTAGTCACTCTCCTGAGTAGACCCTTCATCGACGCCTCCGCAATCCACCACTTCTGACTCGCCAGTTCTCGCCTCTCGCCTCTCGCCTCTCTGCTCTCTGCTCTGTTATCCGCTGCAGAGGTCTTATCGTGTTTCTCTTCCATCCGGGAGTCCAGTCCCGAATCCGTCTCGCTTTTGGGGCCCTTCAGATCTCCCCCCCTCAACCGTCAACTCTCAACTCTCCAAAGTGCTGCATCTCGGCACGGTCCCTAAACGGTTCTCTCCCTCGATCGTCGCTCGCTACAACTGTCCGTCTGCTGCATCCCGAGGTCTCCATCGGACCGTGTTTCAGGAGTTCTGCGCCCGCGATCCTATCACTCGCTCGCTCGCTGTCTCTCTCGAGTCTCTCTACCTCTCGTCCCTCTCCAATTGATCGTCTCTTATCTGGTCGCCAGCTGGTCATGCCCCGTGGATAGTCTCGAGTCCAAATGGGCAAGTGTAGGTGTTCTCCAGAAGCTCCTAGTGTCCCCTTCAAATCCTCATTCTCGCAGTGTGACTTCCTCAAGCTAACAGGTAATCTCTTCTTAGGGCGTTACGGCGTTGTCCTAGACGCGGGATCGTCTGTACGTGTTCAGAAACACCGGCCACCCCCCAATTGCGAGCTTTTCCTAATCCTTTCCGTTCTGTTCGTTCCGCTAACTCGTGGTCGCATAGGGGACCCGTGTACATGTCTATCGTTGGTTGCGCAATGCGGTCGCCCGCAAGAAGGCGGGACAGGAGGAATTGAAGTCCTTACCAGAGATCAAAACGAAAGAGACCTGGGTGAAGAAGATCCATCCCGGTACGCCACACCAAGAGCCGCGAAGGGTTATCCCATGTCCCGGGTCCACGCTGCTGGAGAGGACGTTCCATACTGACTCGTGCGCCCTTGATAACTTAGGTGTCTCTTCTTTCGCAGATCGACCCGAAGCGGTCGGACCGGAGCACCTCGAGGACCTCCTCAATCATGCGAAGAGCATTGTGCCCGAAGAAGATGTCAAAGACACGCCAATTTTCCTGCTGGCGACGGCCGGCATGCGACTCCTCGGAAACCTGGAGCGCCAGCTACTGTTGGATCAGGTTTGCAGCTACGCCCGCGCAAACACCGATTTCCTACTGCCGGACTGTGGCGTGCACATTCAGGTCATCCCAGGTGTGACGGAAGGACTCTACGGATGGATTGCGACGAACTACTTGATGGACGCCTTTGATGCGCCCGAGAAGCACGACCATGGAAAGGGTCACCATACATATGGATTCCTAGACATGGGTGGCGCGTCCGCCCAAATCGCCTTTGCGCCGAACGCGACGGAGACGGAAAAGCACGCCAACGATCTGATCTTGTTGCGTCTCCGCAATATCGACGGCTCAATTCAAGAGCACCGGGTCTTTGTGACCTCGTGGCTCGAATTTGGCGTCCATGAGGCTCGTCGGCGGTACTTGGAGGCCCTGCAGGCCGCGGCGGGTCCCGATGCACTGGAGCTGCCCGATCCCTGCCTGCATGAAGGGCTGCGTACAACGCTGGATGGCCGAGAGCTGTCGTCGACTGATGCAGAGGAGCCTCACTTGCTCGGCACGGGTAAATTTGATGAGTGTCTGCGACAAACTTACCCTCTGCTGGACAAGGATGCCCCTTGCGCGGATCACCCCTGTCTGCTCCACGGTGTACATGTTCCCGCGATCGACTTTGACGTCAACCATTTTATCGGAATTAGTGAATATTGGCACACGACTCACGAGATCTTCGAGATGGGATACAAGGACAAGGCATACGATTTTCACACATATCAACAGCGGGTCAATACCTTTTGCTCACAAGACTGGTCCTGGATCGAAACTGGGATCCAGGAAAAGAAATGGGGGAAGAAGGTGGACATGGAAAAGGCTCAGGAGGTGTGTTTCAAGTCATCATGGATCATCAACATGCTTCATGATGGGATCGGGATACCTCGAGTCGGCCTCGAAAAGACCCCGAGCTCAGGTCACAATGGCACGAAGGAGGTTCTTTCTCACACCGAAGACAAAGGGTACTTGGACGCTTTCCAAGCTGTCAACAAGATCGACTCGACAGAAGTGAGCTGGACCTTGGGCAAGATCGTCCTCTACGCGTCGTCTCAGGTCCCTGCGCAAGTCAAGGAAGCAGCACTGCCCGTCGGGTTTGGCAGCAATGGTCCTGGAATCCCCCCCGACTTCCAATATCCTAGTGTGGAGCTCGTCCCCGGCACAGACGGGCTACACAGCGATGACTGGCAGGATTCCTTGTTCGTCGGCGACTCCCCTCGCCGAATTCCTGGAATAATTTTGTTCGTCTTCCTCATCGGAGTCGTGTGCTTTTTCCTCTGTGGTCGCGCCCGCCGATCACGCATCTATCTCCAGATCAACAACGCTCTCCGACGAGGAGGCCCTTCTCATCCCAATCATCCGAAGAAACGCAAGGGACTCGGGGTGATGTTGCCCTTCCTCAACCGAAACGGGGCTGTTTACGAGCGTGTCATGGAAGAAGGCGCCAATGACTTTGAACTTGGCAGCACCGACTCGGATAACAGTGATACGGAACCTGGGCGCGCCTCAGAGGGTGATTCAGTTGCCCTACGCCCGACCACCAAACGAACCCAGAGTTGGGGCTGTGCTAGCAATACACCGGCTTTGAAGTACAGTCTGGACAACGCATCCTCAGGCACCATCGGACTGGGCATCAGTGGTGGTTCAGGGACTGCCATAGACCGCGCTGGTCTAGTCGTCAGAACCGAAAGCCGCGACCACCTCGCGCCCATCGCTCTCGGACCGACTACCAACGGGCGTCGGTCGCGAGCCACGAGTCCCACCCGATCTCATCATCCTAAATCTCCCAGCATGACCCCCCTTGCCGACGACTAATGTTTGACCCGAATTGTTTTGCTTGATTTGTCTGAACCCAATGATCCCAACCCTTGTCGTTACTGTTTCGCGACGACCTCATTTTCGAGTGGAGAGGCATAGTCTGCGTTCACTCTGCATTTACACGCGGTGTTGACTGGTTCAATCTGGAATGCATGTGATTTCCTTCCCTTGACCTTGCTTGCCATTTGCGCCCGCATCTATCTTGCTCTTCGCATGTATTTCCTCCCCGAAAGCGGGTTGTGCCTGAGGAGGTGGTCAGGCCTGCTTTTCTATTGCTCTGGGAAGAGAATTGTCAACTCCACAATGGTGGCGCTGTCATTCTAATTCTTCGCTCGGGCTGCATGGTGCTCTGGCGTACGGTATTTTTGTTCCTGTGGCTGCGATTCGATCCAGGAGATTCGAAGCAATGGCAGTGTATCTTTAGAACCTCTGTCACATATCATTATAATGACCACTTACTTAATGGCGATTTGCCGGTTTACGACTACCTACTAGAGGTTCCGTGGATAGTTCTTGAGGTTTGAGGGGATGTCTCTTTGGTTAGAGCCATTCGCCCGTTCGTTTACATGTGTAATGACGCTAAAGGGAGTTCTAGTCGCTGCTCATTAGGCAAGCTGTACCTTTTTGGGATGCATCGGAAGATGAGCTGTAGCTGAAGGACACGATGCGAACTACTATTCAGATAGGACGCCGAGCCTCGATTAAGACACGGTTCGAAGAGCTGATGTAGACAATGTGCACATCACGTGGGACCAGCCGTACATCATCGACCGCCCGGCAGAAAGGGCTGCGGTTGATGAGGCTAGAGAAACTGCGATAGATAGGCCAACTGACATCAATTACCAAAAAGAATTAATCCGTCACTCTCTCACACTTCATTGACGTGTCAGTCCAGCCTGGTCGAATTTCCCGGGATAATCTTACTTTCCTTCGCCTGCGCGCTTCGACACTATCCCCAGGCCTCAGGTCCTGCGACTGCAACCGCCGCCATGCGTTTGACCGTCGAGCTCATCCAGAACTCCCTCTCATACATCAACCCACTCAAAGACCGCGAGCTGGACCTCCGAGGTGCGTTCAACAACTTGGCTGCAACCTGAAAAGGGCAGATTCTACATCTTGACTTGAAGAGCTGGATTGATATCGTCTTTGTGCGTCACATATAGGGCACAAGATCCCCGCAATCGAGAACTTGGGTATCGCAAAGGTGAGTTGAGGTCTCCGCGCGTTTCTTAGCATGGGTGTTATTTCTTTTTTTCTTACACGGCCTTGAGCTCCGGCCAATGGCGTTTGGATGAGCATGGTAATCAACGTGATGCTAAACCTTCCCTGCAGGATCAAGATGCAATTGACCTTACGGACAACGATCTGTCCTCCCTCGGCAATTTCCCTTTCTTCCCTCGACTCCGCACTCTTCTTCTTGCTCGCAATCGGATCAATCACATTCAACCCAATCTGGGGTCATCAATTCCATGCCTCACGAATTTGGTGTTGACGGCGAATAACCTGGCGGAATTGGCGGACGTCGAAGCGCTGCGCACTCTTCCCAAGCTCACACACTTGGTTCTGTTGGAGAACCCCATCACACGCAAAGAGGTAGGGACATCTATCTGGCTAAATCATTGTGGCGATCACCATTCCGCGGGAAAGAAGCTAAGGGATACGTTTTAGAACTACCGGTATTGGGTCATTTGGCTGGCCCCCTCTGTCCGATTCCTCGACTATCAAAAAGTAAAGGATGTGGAGCGGGAAAAGGCAAAGGAGCTATTCGGAACCGTCGAGCAACCCTCTGCACTGGCTTCCAAGACGATGGGCATCAAGTCTCGAGCCTTTGATTCATCAAATGCCGCCGCCACGACTGGCCAAACAGAGAAGGCGATTCGGGTGAAGCTCACAGATGCCGAGCGCAAGCGCGTGGAGAAGATGATTCGGGAAGCCAAGAGCTTACAAGAGATCACGCGGTTGGAGAAGGAATTGAATGAGGGTCGGATACCGGGTGGTGCCCTCGGTGCCAGCGACGCTGACGGGGACGAAAAGATGCAGATGTGAGAGTTCTGTTTCCCTCGAGCCATGGGTTATTCGAAAGATGTCATGCACTTTGAGGCATGTCCACATCTTGCCTCGGCTTAGCTGCCACTTGAATGATCTTCTCCAGTCCATCAGCCTCCTCACAACCTGGGAAAACACATACGGAAGTGTGCTTCCAGCTCCTTTCCACCTGTGACAACCTGTCACTTCTCTGGAATACCTCTCAATGTCTAACACTGCCACCAGCCTGGCACACTGACGTGACACATAAAACATCTCAAGAACTAGATTAGGATGGTCCAATTTCATACCCCCCAGGCCGTCTTCCGATATGCTCCTGGTCATTTTGATACACGCAAGTTTCACCCTCGAGTTTCGCACAGTTTCGCGTCGCGTAGACTAATCAAAGTTGAAAGTTTTTCTCTTCTGCTTTTTCTTTTTCTTTTTTTTTCTGAAAGTCCAAAGGGGAGCGCCATGTCACAGCTTTTGCGACCCCAAGTCAAAAGGTGCCTTGAGCTTGGCTCCCGAGCACCATCATTCAGATCTGAGCAGAATCGTAGTCGACGCATTGGATAAGACGATGATCTCTTGGTGTCTACCAAGCGGGATGTCCCTGGTTATAAGCCTCGGTCGACTAAGTCGAATCAGCACGGCATTACTCGAAGGCAGCCACGTTAGCGGTCGACTGTGAACTTGTGAAGTGTGAACAGTGTGAAAACACGGAGCACCCGTCCACCCACGAAGCATTCAGTCATGTTCCATTGTCGCTCGGTGCGTCGAGTACCATTGTAGACAATATACTTTGTCTATGCACATGGGCCGTGGTCACTGGTCAGTCCATACCTCGAGCCAAGCATCCCGCTAAATCACTAAGGATTCTAATATTGACGGGAATCTGTAAGACTCCCGTCTGACAGTGGATACGGTGCAATTTCTACGCACTGACGCAGTGAGTAAGATGCTTACGGCGGGGAATGGACTTTCCTTGGTCACGTAGCTTACAAGCTACTGCTAGTAGTACATAGGCCAGTAGCTAGTTTGCCAGTCAGCGCGGTGTATGTTTCCCATTCAGTAAGCGTCTCCGAGACGCCTTTATCAACCGACCTGCACGACGTCGATACTCGGTACAAGGTCCAGAAACAGATCACTTAGTACGCGCTTTGGGCTATTTTCAAGACTCATAGGTAACAGATAGGAAATCTTAGATAGTAGATGCTGACAGTAGAGAGTAGAGTGTAGTAGACCCTCTCGCAGACTCTCTGAAGCGCCATGGCCCCGAAAATGAGCAAATAGGTAAATGGTCCTTTTGACATGCGTGGCTGCAGCGGAGTCGGACCGTACAGTGTACACAACTATCTAACACCTCCATGTACTCCTCGGAAAACTCATGATTCACCGCTGTGTGAAAGGATTCGCATGAATAGCGTGTACAAGCACTTGTACATTGACTACATCCGGAGCTATTCACATTAACACAGAACATTAGGTAGTTCCACACCTTGCCCAAGTACCTAGACCGTGGACGGCGGGAGGGGGGGGGGGGGCTGAGGTACCACCAATTTTAAACTTTCTCCTAGGATCGGGGTCCCAAGCGAAAAGATCAAGGGAGTTGGCCCCGGCCCGTCTGGTGGCCCCAAGGTTCAGTGAAACCCTATTCCATTCACCCCATCTACACCTGCGCATCGTGCATTGATCGCTCCGGGAGATGTAAAACCCGCCAAATAGTGGTGTTCTGTGTTCATCCGCGGGAAATGAAACTCTACAAATGCCTGGGCTATGTGTCGACCAAGACAATGCGGTACTTTTGTCGGTAGTCAAGTACTGTACCAGTGTACACATGGAGGTTTCATCTCGTACGGACTAATTACGGAAGAGGGCAAACGAGGTGTAGGGTGGAAAACCACTCCATCGAGTCATCGACTACATAGTATATACTACATAGTACATAGTGACTTCTGTATGGTACTAGCGCTATGCTGCTTAGCTGCTACCATATTGCCACATGCACCCTTGACTGTGGTACGCAACAACGCAAAAATGCGATGATAGACACCAGCCAATTGCATAAACATATCAGGGGGGACCTGCTCAAACCACTAGGCGTTCTTGACGACTTCTGTGCAGATAGGGTCTCGGCAAAATGGAGCCTTGCCGGGGGGAGATGTCGAGTCGTGTGGTAGATCAATTGATGGTCTCGTCAATGGGGAGGCGCTCAGAGTGGACAATGGCCATTGATCTAGGCAGAATTGAGGGATGAGCGTATTGCCTCGGAAAAGAGAAAAGAAAAAGACGAAAAAAAGGGTCTCTTATTGACCTTTGGAGATGATGGATTATCATGTTATGTTATGTGTCTTGTTTCCAGCGCTATAAGAGGATTCGGAGACTACGCGAGACGGGAGAGGTTGACAAGGACGTGGTTGGCGTTCCAGCGCACCTTTTGTCAACTTGTACAAAGACCTCGCTGAATGAGAGACTACCGTATCAGTGTACAGTGTACAGTGTATACACTGGATAGTAGTAGTAGTGTATGACCGTGTGTACCTTTTTCCTCTCACCTTCCGCACATATAGTAGTGAGTCTAGTGACTCTAGTGAGTAGTCCAGTCTGGAGTCTCTGAGCCATTCTGCCCTTCCACATCGACGACGTCCAAGTGAGCAACAATGACATTCAAGATCTGAGATGATTCGCTACGTAGACGAACTATGCACCATGCGATTGGAGACTCTTCGCATCTCAGGTCCATCGACGTATCTTTTACATTACGTGATCTACCTGACAAGCAAGTTGACCAAACTGGCACGCAGTCTCGCTTAAGGGGACTACGCAGACAGTAGTTTCGAATTTAGGTTTGAAAAGGCGCAACAGCCGTAGAGGGAATTTTTCCGCTCATGCAGGGCCATAGGGGTTATCCATTCACCATTGTAACAGCATGCTCATCTTGTGTCCAGTGTCCAGTGTCCACTGTGCACTCAAAACAGAAGTGGTCCAGGCGCTCCAGCAACAGAAGAAGCAAACAATGTGCATCACCGACGTGATCCGCACCCACGCGAGAGTCCTCAAGTCCGGGATCACAAGGGCCCTGCAGGATCAACCAGTCTTATCCACTCTGATATGCACTGATCATGGTGCGTCTGCTCGGAGGCAGCATTCAATCCAATCATGATGCATCATGGTTGGATTTGCATTTGACCCCGTCGATCAATGATGTCCCCGAGGTTGTTGTGTACTGATGAGATACGGCTACGGTAGGAGCAGCTGGATCGGATGTGAGAGACATAAGGATTTGAGATTGCTACCGAGGAGAGATTCTACCTAAGCTGTGGTGAGCGGCGAGTGAATGGTAGAAACTAGATTCACCATACAAACGAACATGTACGATGCAAATCAGACACACACCTCGAGGAATTCACGGGCTCACGCGTTTCCCGCCCCGGTGGGAACCAAGGTTTTCGTCGTGACTTTCCTGGGCAAAGATCGTTGCGTAAACAACTCCTGGCTCTTCGAACTTCCACCCTCCATCGCGAGGGATCAACACGGCGGTCGACATGACGACCTCGGGCAAGCCTCGCAACTGCCATCTCAGATGCTTTCGGGCTCCCTGCGATCATTGTGATCTTGAGCGCCGCCGTGGTGGTATCATTTTCCATGAACAAAACACCCCGTCGAGGCCGGTGGAAGTGGATCCGCGAGAGACTTTTTTTCGCTCCGGCTCAACTTTTCAACATGGTGAAGGAGCCAACGCAAGAAATCCTTTTCTGCCACTGCTCCCGGCGAATGAGACCCGGATCAAAAGAGGGTCTCATATGAACTCGCCCCAGCGCCTGAAGCGAATGGCACTCCCATCACCAGGGTCGACGAATGTTGAGAAAGTATGGAAGCGCAGCTGTCATCTCCACTCCGACGCTCCGTTGTCTCACTTTATTCATCCTTTCCTTTTTGGGCTGGCTCCAGCCGAACTGTAGCAGAGGAAGAGGTTGGTGAGTGCGGTCCCCGTCTGGACTTCGTGTCAAGACGATGATCCGGAGATTTCATGGCCGGGTATTGTCCACTCGCCACCTCCTTTCTCCTCCGTCAACTGTTCTTTTTCTTTTGCTTTTTCTTCGTCCCAAATCGTGGAGAAAGGTGCATGGGATCAGGCTGCAAAGAGGCCCAGGGGAATGGTACATGGGTCCCGATGCGCTGCAGTACGGACCATGCCAATTTCCTCAGTTGCCAATGGTCGGCTGAAAGGATGCCCAGCATCGTGGACTAGGACTAGGTTCGTTCGATGCTTCTTCTGCGCGACGGGGGTAAGTCGTGTTCGGCCGTACGCTGTTCGCTCCTCCAGTCCTGCAGTTGTGCACTGGTGCAGTGAACCACTTGCTCGGTGTCGATTGATGTGGAGCCCACTTCTTGTAGGGTTCTTCGCGCGATTCGATTGCTTCGTCAGGTTGCTCCTGGGTGGAGTTCCGGACAAACGACGACGATCATGCCTGAATAGAGAAAGATGAACATGGACTATTGTTCTGATCAGTTGGGCATGGCCTTGTATCAAATCACGCTTGAAGGAGCTGGGCTTTTTTACCAGCCGTGATCTTCGACTTAGACTCCAGTAGTCGATGCAGGGTCATGCATGGTCCTGGACACATGAATTACAACTGTACTCATGTGCTGTCGCTCAATTTTCAATAATCCGGTTCAGCACAGCTGTTTCATCCATGACAGCTATGACATCTCGACAACCAGAACAACTTTCTGTCCAAACTTTCGCCGTGGCTCCGCTTGAAGTCAAAGCCGGACACGGTGGAACGGAGGGAAACATGAGAGACAATAGTCAGAATAATTGGAAAGGTAATTATAAAAAAAAAAAAAAAAGGAAAAGCCTACTCGCTACATCAACACATCTTGAACACAAGGCAAAAATCATGCTAGCTAGACCTGAATGTAAATTAATAAATCCGATCCACACGCCTTCGACTATCTTGTCATAAGACTTGTAGTACACTCTCTACCCCGGCGTCTTGCTGGATCCAGGTCTAGCCAGCTCTTTACAAAAGTTCCCTTGAAGCCTCCGCCCCGTTCACCATTCCCAACCCTACGTTCATTTATTGCGACTCGCGCCATCACGTTGTCCCTCCTCCCCAGCGCAGGCCGAAGAGGTGCCTAGCCAAAGTCGCCCATCATGACTTCAAATACAATCATTCCGGCAATGCCGCCGCCAGCGGGCCATACGTCCAACTTTGTGAATCCAGACTATATCGGGGGCAAGTTCGTGGCCGTCAATTGCATCTTTCTTTCTCTCGCACTCATATCTCTTGGGGTACGGATATGGACGCGATGTTTTGTGGTGCGCAACTTTCGTTGGGATGATTGTAAGTCGTCTTGTCGGTGCAAAGAACGACCTGTGTCGAGGCGATCCAGCGATTAACCATCGACAGATTTGATGATAATGGCGCTTGTACGTATGCGACAAAAGAGCGCAAGATACAGGATCCTTGGACCAGAGTCTCGGACAAGACTGACCTCAGGCCACTGCGCTTATAGATTCTTTCTTGCATTCTCAGTGCATTAACACTGGACAGTGAGTTCTGCAAAGGTCATGCGAGGGGCTCGTGTTGGAGATGCTAATTCTGCCAAAAGTGCTTAACTGGGGACTGGGAAAGCACATGTGGGATGTTCCGATGTCATCCGTGACGCCCAAGTTTCTCAAGGTTCGAGGGTTTCTCCCATCCTTTGAATAAGAGGAGCAACTGGCTGACACTGTGCTTGAATGCCGTAGCTTAATGTGATCGCCGCCATCATCTATTGCGCCGCGACCGGCTTCACCAAAATCTCCGTCCTCATCTTCTATCTTCGAATCTTCCCCAGTCGCAACTTTCACTTCGCCGTCTGGACAATCGTTTTCATTGCTGGCGGGTACAGCGTCGCCAGCATTATGGCCAATATCTTCAGTTGCAACCCGATCCCCAAATCATGGGACCTGACCATTACAACCGGATCATGCATGAACAGACCGGTGTTTTATTTCGCCAATGCAGGACTGGGCATCTTTACCGACTTTGCGACAGTCGCTGTTCCAATGTATGTCGCATCTGCAGCCGAAGCCGCGTGTAGTGATGTACGGGGAGGGAAACGGGGAATAACTGATTGACCCCATCTTTCTCTAGTCCCTGGCTGCGTCGACTCCAAATGCCTATTCGACAGAAAATTGCCGTCGCTGTGATTCTTGCGATGGGATGCTTGTTAGTTTTTGGCACCTCCTCAGTTGTTCATATGACGTCGCAGAAAGGCCTGTCAACTGACATGACTCTACTACCAGTGTCGGCATCGTCAGTTGCATTCGTCTCGGCAGTTTATACACTCTACTCACCAGTCCCGACCTGACCTGTAAGTCAGATCTCCATGGCTCATAAGAGATTTGCATAGTCTGCAATCAGCTGACAATCTCTCTTTCTTGAAGGGGCCACCACAGACGCTCTCATGTGGTGCACGATCGAACTCAACCTTGGCATCTTCGGCGGCTGCGTGACGGCCATTCGACCCTTTGCACGCAGATACTTCCCTCGCTTGCTCGGACTCTCTTCTGGAGTTGGCTATTCCTCTGGACAACAATCTCGATCCCGCAAACATGGCCATCCACTCGGATCGCTCGCTCAGAGCGAGCGCAACAACTTTTCTACCAACGGCGCGAACCAATATACGACCACCCTCACTACACTCCGGGGCGCTCCCGATAATGACAGTGAAGAACACATCCTTTCGACTTCTCCCCATAATGCCACAGGCAAAGAGGGTGATCTCTCCACCGGCATCATTCGGACTGTCGAGTTCGACGTCAAAAACAGCTCTACGGTTCCGTGAGCCTCGGTACTAATCTTCACCTACACATATTCGCTCTTTAACATTCTCTTATACATAATTCCAATCATGATTTCGACGTGTCAGGTCAAAGACATACACATGATTAGGTAGAATCAGGTGACTCCTTTTTTGGCCCATAGGCGAGAGGTGTACTCCAGCTTATGTAGTGATCGCACTCCATAGATTCCGCCCGTTCACAGAAGAGCCTGGTAGACGGGAAGGCCGGTAGGGCGCAAAGCACATGTGCACTGTGCAGTTCTCGGATGGACCGCTCCTCGTCTGAAGCGGGAATCATTTCCACACAAGGATCGCATCGAACCCACTCGGCCGAGTTTAGCTTTGATTTGGTATGAAACCGAAATGAAAACGAGGGCATCTCCGAGGAGTCAGAACTGCCAGGTACGAAGTGGATCCTGCACTGTCGGTAACGGGCGCGATTCCCCTGTGCCTGTGCTGGAGTAGTGAGTCGACGACTGGACCGATGCAGGCGCAGTCGCTCGGCCGTAAAAGTCAAATTTCCAGGTGGCACTTCCATCGAGCGAACAAGACTCAGGAGAACAATCCAACCGGATTCAGTAGTTGGCTACAGGCTACTGCAGTGGGCGTCGCTGGGCAGGACTCGCAGGAAGGAATAATGTTCAAGTCGATGGCAAGACGAGACTGAAGGTCGTCAGGTGATTCGTTCACGGACAGACATCCGCCCCGCGCCGTGCGCCACCGAGGAGCTCGACTACTGGAAGTTTATTATTGTTGTGTCCAATTTGTCCATACTACTCCAATGGGGATTGTGCACTGCACGACCAAGTGTACAAAGTGCAAAGTGCAATTCGCAATTTGCAATCATCTGCGGTGAGCGCGACAGTGCCATATTCTTGACCTACACTATTGCAATGTGAATCGATAAGTGTCTGAAGATCCAATGATCCGCTGATCGACATGGAACGTGATCTGTTGTCATGCTCGCACGTGGTTTTTGCATCCTCATCCACGACGAATGACTTCTGCAGTCGTGGAGTGGTCAAAAGCCCACCTTAGCCGAGTGCTTGATCTTAACGATGCATATCCTTCCTGCTTCGGAATACACGAATCAAGATTCAGGCCTCTCAGGCATGACTGCAGGCCAATCTGACTAACGTACCCTGGTCAAACCTCGATTTGTCGGCGTGTCCATTTGTCCTGGCCATGTTCATGGACATGAACAAGAACAATAATTCCCGCGCTCGTGGCCACTAAGTGGACATCATCCACACCTTCCTCCTCCACTTGGTCCCGACTGCTGCTTCTAGCGTCTCCTCTTCTTCGGAGTAACGACCTGCATGACAAAGCTCAGTATGAGGAGCCTGCCTTGCCCCGAGGTCCAAGTCTATCTAGACCGAAGGCTTGGAATTGAGTCTGTGAGGAAGATCGGTTATCGACTAGTGCCGTGGGAAAATAAAAAAAAAGAAGTCAAATCGCTCTAATCGTGTCTCCCTGGGGCCTCCACCACCGATCCCGCCATCGCCGAGTTCCCTTTGCTGTCTATTTAAATGATAGAAGGTTTCCGATCTCCCTTCTTTCTTTCCTTTTTTGCTCCAAGCGACCTCCTTGGTGTCTCTCCCTTGTGGCTGTTCCCGTTCTCTTTGTCGCGACACTCATTGTCATCTGCCAAAAGAAAACACCTAAACGCTCACCATGCGTTTCGCTTCAACAGTACTGCCTTTGGCAGCGGCTGTCGGTCTGGCTAGCGCCTCCGACTGCGCTCCTGCAACGAGCAAGGGCTGCCGAGCTCTGCAGAATGGTTATCTCGGTGACTCTCTCTTCACTACGGGCAGCCCTGTCTACAATTGGGAGACCAAGCAGTTCTGGTCCAACACAGAGTTGATGTCTCCTGGCTGTGTGTTCCGTCCTAAGAACAGCCGCGATCTGGGACAGGCCGTCAAGGCCCTCGTGGAGGTAGATGCCAAATTCGCTGTTCGTGGCGGTGGCCACATGGGTATCCGGGTGAGTTGCATACGGATTGGGTGCCGAGTCACTAAAGAAAATTAAACGGGAAAGGCTGACAGTTCGTGGTGTAAAAGGGTTCCAACAACATCGACGATGGTGTTCTGATTGTCATGTCCAACTTGACAACGATGGCGTTATCTCGGGATCACTCTGTGCTGTCTCTCGGCCCCGCCTACCGGTAAGCTTCCTCCCCCACGGCACATCCCCAAAAGTACCGGCATTCCGGGGAGAGGCTAATCTCGAATCTGAGAATAGCTGGAGTGAGGTCTACTCCTACCTTGCCGACTATGACCTGACGGCCCCTGGTGGCCGTCTGGGCCCCGTCGGTGTTCCCGGTCTGCTGCTTGCCGGTGGTATCAACTTCTATGGTAACCAGGTTGGCTTCGGTTGCAACTCGGTCATCAACTATGAGGTCGTTCTGGCCAATGGTGATGTTGTGCAGGCCAACAAGCAAACCAACTCGGACCTGTTCTGGGCCTTGAAAGGAGGCAGCAGTAACTTTGGCATTGTGACCCGCTTCGATCTTGAGACCATCAAGTCTACCAAGGTCTGGGCTGGTGCTCACACCGTGGACGCCCAGTATGTGGATCAGTTCTTGGCTGTAAGTTTCTCCGATTCCTTCCTTCATTGCAGAATACCTCTTTTTTTTTTTTTTTTTTTTTTGATAAACGCAGGGAATTATATGGTCATGTACTGATATCAAACCACCTACAGGCCGTCGCCACCTACGCTGCAAATATCTCCGATGCCAAGAGCCACATTGTCCCTGCTCTTGTTCCTAGTGCTTCGGGTGGCTCTACCCTGGCCTCGGCGATTCTCTTCTACGACAGCGACACTGTCAGCTATCCTGACATTCTCAAACCCTTCACCGACATTCCCTCTATCAGCAGCACTGTCGGCTTCAAGACCGTTGCCGAGTTTGCCAATGAGCTGGGCCAGATGGTGGTTCCTGGTATCAAGTAAGTACACACAGTGCAAATGCAGCTCCTCTTAAAGAAGAATTGAAGGGAGAAAAGTTGCTGACCATCGCCCAACAGCGACATCTTCGTTGCCGGAACCGTCAAGGGAACAACCTACGATCAGCTCCACAAGGGCGTGAGCATCATCAACTCGACCTTCTTCAACGAGCTCCCCAAGCTCCTGGCCCAAGTTCCCGCTGCCAACATCTCCACCATCCAGCTTGACTGGCAGCCCATCGGCGCCAAGTGGATGGACGCCTCCAATGCTCGTGGCGGTAATGCCCTCGGTCTGGACTCTTCCAAGGTGTACCTCTGCTACGCCGAGGTCGTCGAGTGGATTGGCTCCGAGTACGACAACATTGTCGTCGACTGGTTGAAGGCTACTACCGAGGCCATCAACAAGGCTACCCAGGCGGCCGGCATCTACGACGAGTTCAACTATATGGGAGACTCTGCTGGGTTCCAGTCTATCTTCCCAGGCTATGGTGCGGCTAACCACCGCCGCCTTCAGAACATCGCTTCCGCGTATGACCCGAACCAGGTCTTCCAGAAGCTGATGCCTGGCGGTTTCAAGGTCTACTAGATTTGAGATGGTTGTTGTAGAATAGACATCTTTTGGTTTTTTCCTCTTCACTTTTGTCTATCCCGCTAGACGATGACCTTATAAACTCCCAGGAATGATCTGATTTTGTCAATCCAAAAGAAATACCCAACTGTCATTGCCAGTGTACAACCGCCTCTTCGACATCAAGAAAACTACAGTGTCTTTACACTCCGGCCCTGTCAGACCTTGCCGGCAACCTCGAACATGAAGCCCCCTTTGATCGTACAACCCAAATCTGAGCCAGACAGCAAACATCTGAATCTCGCTTCTCGAAGTATCTGTACAATCGTGCTCCTTCCTCTCACCACCGGCGTGTGCTGACCGACCTCTAGCAAAAGCATGATAGCGTTGTGAACTTTGACCAACATGCTGCTTCTCCTCTTTATCTGACACGAAACAGACCGAATCTCAAGTAGACTACCGTCTGGTGCCATTCAATTGGCAGCCAAGAACTCCCTCCTGTACCGGTGTGCATTGCATACTGGTGTGCAGTGTGCTCTTTCTTCGTATTCGTATCCGCTGACTAGATGAGAGTTCAATATCTGACACCTTCCATGATACAGAGGGCGACAATCTCATAGGGACAGGCTTTTGAAGTATTCTCTTAGTATTAGAATTGAACCTCTTGAGTACCTACCAGTCTTCTCTGAACCTAATCAAAAAATACTAAGGTTGCTGCCCGGTGACGCCTCCAACTCTTGACAGGTTCCAATTGGTGGATGTTAAGCCACATTGTGGTCGCCGGTTTCAATTTTGTTGTCAATGAGTGAATACGGCTTCGGTTTCTAGGAGTTTCGATCTTGCGATGACAGACGAGGCTAATGTAGCTTTATCAGGTGTGGTGGGATACAGAATGTAGGGAAGCTCTGCTGCTCCTACAAGTCTCATCGGCTTCTTTGAGAAGACGGACATTCAACTGGGTTGACTCGAATGTTTTGAGCTACATCGAATGATAACTTGTATCGCTTTGTGTTATAGCCCTTTCGCAAAAGAAAAAAGGAGATTCCACTGATTACACGTGATGGGGGTGACATCTGATGCGGAAAGGGGAGTCTTTGGTCCGCGTCTTGAAGAATGTGGTTTCATCGTGCTGGAATTGAGTGGACTGGCTTTGACGGCGTGTCTGCTTGGCTTTACGGCGGTCCTCTCTCTCGTCTGGGTACAGCAGCATCTATACTACTGAGTAGTCCCGGCGCAAATGAGGCAGCGAATGCTCGAGGAATACTAATATTCATCAGGTTCATTCTTCAAAATTCAGCGCTCTTTTTGTAGACAAGTACCTTCGCACTCTCAACAATGTGTCGGCGGCGATATTTCCACCCGTGAAATCCTTCGAGGCTCTAGGACCAAACACGATAGATCTGGCTGGCGGCAGGAAGATCCTGTATTCTTTGGCTGGCGTCGGTGCTGCAGTGATATTTGCCGCTGTAGTCCCACTTCCCGGTAGGAAAGTCCGCTTGCCAATCGGTCCAGCCACGACTGGAAAGTTGGATTGTTAGTCCGAAAGAAATTCAAAAAGCTGACAACCATGGTCACAACTCACGTGTAATCGCCATCACCGCGCTGAGGCTCACCGTTCAGGGGCGATTTACAGGTGCGACGAACGTATCCCCAGACTCGGACGTATTGGTAAGTGGCAACGATCTTGTGGCATTGATTGTTGCTCCTGCAGGAGATCCAGATACGCATATTAGCATGGCTGTAACCTCGTGTGTGCGAGTAACCCTTGCAGGTTTTATATTATTCAAAACTGACCACCCAAGGCTATAAGTGTTTGAGCTCGTCGTGCATGATGACCCCCCGTGCTCTGAAGTATAGCTTGCACCGATGTTCAGGACTTCGCTGGTAATCCCGGCGCTGAATCCAACAGAGGTCGACCAGGTTGCGCACGCCTGGATGGAATTGGTATGGGCGATGGAGCAGGAAGTCGCGTGAGCACAATCAATGTAGTCTGAGCAATCCTGCCAGGGTTGCCATTGGACCTGCGTCTGGGTCACGTAGACGTCGCTCCAGCAGTGATGCGAGTTGTGTCCTGAATCACCGCACGATCCCGTGTAGTGGCCGGTGCCGTCATTGTCATGGTTGACCCATTGGGACCCTTGACCGGTGGCGTCGGGGCAGGCCTCGTCTCGCTTGACAAGAGTTCTGGCAATGTCGGCATTGGTGATGTTGGCCAACTCCGGATCTTCGACGACTGTGGCGGGCAGGGCCTGGACGAAGAGTGGTGCGGCGCACGAGACTAGGAGGAGGAATCGAGCAAACATGGCGATTCTTGAAAGATTAAAAGATCTTTGATAATCGGAAGAGAGTAGGTTGAGGGAGATCCCAAGCACTTTAAATCACTTCATTTTCCTACATGGTAGGTCGTCCAAAGTACCGATGCGAGGCTGCTAATCCGGTGCCATGCTATCCATGACTTGGAAGTGATGAATTCCTTCTTTGGGAATATGGGGCCATGGACTCATACAGGATGGTTCAGGAACTTGAAACACCTCGTCTACTTGACTGCAAAATTAACATTAGATGACGATCATACCTGGCTGGGAATTAGTTTATTTCGATGTCTTGGACCCTTGAGGATTGATCTCTCACGGATGTTGTTCGAAGACACCAGTTTCCTCAAACGGAAAGCAAGATGTAGATCTGCAAGCGCACCGCCCCCATCTCGGAGCATCCTTCCGCTGTTGCGGATTGATACAACCACGGGACACGCACGAATAATGGGGCGATACAACGGGATCTGCGCATCCAATATCAAGATCTGCTCATGGTGGATTCTTTCTTCATGACCCGTCCAAAGAATGTTCGTGGACACTGATCAAAGATCTGGGGCCATCTTTGGAAACACATCCCACTCATGTCCATCGCGCTGTCATGGCGCCCGCCCGATTTTCTCCATATTGACGCCAAAACGGTGCTGATGATATCTAGCCCCATCTGATGCAGTAGTGGGGTTCTCTCTTGCTTCCATGGGCACGAGCAATCAGAGTGTCCTCGAGTGGAGGTCGCCAGGGTGATCGCCCCTTGCATTGATCGCTCCATTCTGAGGTCAAGGCTTTCGAGTAAAGACGCTCATGTGCGAGCGAATATCGAGTGCGTATAAATACGCTGTCCGTGGAAATCAGATAGCCAAGATAATGCTGTTCTTTGTCGGACAGCCCGAAGCTGTGTTTCCTCTCTGGTTCTGATATTGTTTCGATAAAAAATTCTTGAGTGCTAGTGGACATTCGATTCATTTGGGGAGGAAATCCAGTATAGGGTCCCATACTGTCTCGTGTATGTATGTTCAGAAGAACAAAGTCTAAACAAGAGCTCGTAGCAACGCGGCTCCAAGACGCATCCGAGACATCCTCCACTGAAGTCTAGTTGTACTTGACTCGCACAGGAATCTCCCAGTCCTCGGGAAGCTCATTCCAGCGACTCTTATAAACTCGACCGTCTTTCATCACGCCGAGGACGTACTTCTCAGGATCATCGAAAACCGTGACATCCTCAAGAGGATTCGCAGCCAAAATAAGGATATCAGCTGCGAATCCATCTTTGATCTGACCAATTGAATCTCCACATCCCATCATCTTCGCTGGATTGATAGTTGCGCTTCGTAGCACCTCAAGTGGAGTCAAGACCTTTGCACGAAGCGCAAATTCTCCGGTTTGCGCAGAGCCAAGTGGGCCGAGTAGATCAGAGCCATAACACATTGTGACGCCTGCATCTGCGGCAGTCCTCAAAGCCTGTAGTCCCGAGGTCAGGACTTGAGAATTCTTGGCTTGTGACTCTGGAGGCAAGTATCCCTTCCACTGGTCCGACGCCATTTGAGCGTATGCTATGAGAGTAGGAGTGAGATAGACGTTCTTCTCGGCCATCAGCTTGGCCGTTGACGCATCTAGAAAGTTTCCATGCTCAATGCCCTTGACGCCATTGTCGATGCAGTGCCGGATAGCCTTGACTGTATATGCATGAGCTGTGACAAAGGTCCCGGCATTCTCGGCACATTCCACCATTGCCTGGATCTCAGCAGATGTGAACTGAAGATGCTCCAGCTTGTCAGTGGGCGAGGCAACGCCTCCAGAGCCCATGATTTTGATAAAGTCGGCGCCACAGCGGATCTCCTCCCGTACAGCAGCCATGCACTCTGGTACGCCATTGCAGAGGCGCCCTAGACTGTTGTTGTTATGGGTCCCGCCACAGCACTGGATCTGGTCATGGGAGGCTCGAAGATCTCCGTGGCCACCATGTTGAGACAGGGCATGACCGGATATAAACATCCGGGGACCGGGGAAAACACCGTCTTCGATGGCTTCTTTCATGGCCAATTGAGCCCCACCGCAATCACGGATGCTGGTGAATCCGCGGTGCAGCATTTGTCCCGCTGTGTAGGGCTGTCGAAGCAAGTGAACATCATTAGGGTTTCCAAATGCCTTGGACAGGTCGTTGAAACCAGGAACGGCACAAAGATGTACGTGAGCATCAAAAAGTCCCGGACAGAGGAAGCGACCTTGGCAATCGATCACTTTTGCGTCAACTGGGATAGACTTCGAGCTATGTATACTCACTGACTGGATTTTCCCATTGCAAGTGATCACCAAAGAGTCTGTATAGACCACTCCATCTTCCATGTCAAGCACGTTGGCGTTGATGAAACAGTATTTTGAGGCCTTGGGTCGAGCCCAAGGCTTGATATGGGAGCCTGGCACTTGGCAAGATGGAGTCATGATAGCAAACGCAACCCGCAGGAGATGTTCGGTGCAGTGACAGAAATGGACAATCTAAGCTCAATTGAGATTCAATGTGTTCCGGAGAACCGCTATTTAGAAGTTCAGGCTAGGTAGGATCTCACTCCTGGGGTCGCTGATGGAAGGTGATCGCTTCGGCCGCCTTGCATTAGCAGGTGGGGGTGACGCAAGTGACGTGGCAGCGATCATCATCGGTCCACGTGTCCGAAGTTTTTGTGCTCGAGGCTGTATTTCAAGATGAAGAAAATGAATCACTCGCAAAAGGTGAAAACATCGCTGGGAAGGAATCTGTGTATGGTTCCCGTTAATTTGGATGACTGTGGCCATGCAGGGAAGGTGATTGAACTATAAAAAGAGCGAGCACTGAGCGCGATTTGAACGCGCGACCTCGGGATTTGCAATCCCACGCGCTAACCCCTGAGCCACCAGTGCTTGCTGTGTCTGGCACAAATTATTTTCTCGATATATCCTTATATAATGAGGTCTTTCACTTATCGTTTTTCTTCGAAGCAGCTTCACAGGGACAGTGGCTGGCCAGGTAGAAAAAGACAAGGTTGCACATCCCAGTATCAAGTGAAACACGGTCCTCGGTCTATTTACGACGTAGATCAACCAGGGACGCGGCTATAAGAGTTTAGACAGAGACAACTCATAAGAAGATGCTTGGTAACCACATATAGCACCAGTTCTTTATTACGGTGCACACTTGCCTATGATTGAAGTGAGATGGAGTGACAACGAGAGTGCATTCACTAGTGACTCAAGTAGTCTGCTACTCGTGATCAAGAACATAGAGGCCAGGAAAGTAGACAATTCATTGAACATGCCACAGTAGACAAATTTAATCTTACAATATTCGCTCATAACCAGGTTAGATGCTGACTTGGCAGCCAAATAAAGACATTGGACCTGTTATCTTCCTTCAATCATCTTGCAGAGAATGAATGAGGAATACCTAGCCGTGCAATAGCTAGCCGATCTTGTCGGGTTCCGGGTGCAAATCTACTTTAGTGAGAAATAAACATACTAGCGCTAAATAAAATCAAGTGAGAGCAAGTATAAACATGTAAATAAGGGCACTGTGGTCTGGCAATTCATTATCGAAGCGCATGCTGACTTCCGCACCTGTGCACCTTTTGGGCTTCCAACAATGGCTGATTGGTGATAGAACAGCTTGCACAATGTATTCATTATAATCCATATATAAAGCTTACTCATCAAGCACCAGCACTGGTGGCTCAGGGGTTAGCGCGTGGGATTGCAAATCCCGAGGTCGCGCGTTCAAATCGCGCTCAGTGCTCAGTGACTTTTTTGTCAGTCTCTTAACCGTTTCCCTGCTGGACAACCCCCGAGGACTGATGTCCCATGATCTCAACAACAACGGTGAAACAGCCCAAGCCTTTGGTCTTCTGGTGCTGAGAATTCCTCAGTTGAAAAGAAGCCTACCTTGGTTAACGAATCAGTGAAACCCTCTCGGGACCACTTTTTCAAGCCTGTTTCGGCAGCCGAGCCCAGTGATGTGCCGAATAGCCAGGAAAAGGATCGAATTTGACCTGTTCGACTCATCCTGAAAATGAAAGCCGCCTTGGATTTTGTGTCCTCCTTCTCTGATCATTGAGACCATCAGATGCCTGTCACAGACATCTCGACTTGCCTTAGTGCTATCTGAGTCGGTTCTCGAAGGACTTTGCATTGACACCCTGAACGCTTCAAATGGAGAGGGATCAGTCACCCAAGCCGGCATCTGTAGCGCCATCTTTGGCATTTGCCGCGAAGCGCTCTTTATCACGGTTGTCTGCATGGCACAATTTATGACCCAAACGAATGTTGGAGTCTGCCTATCGAACCTTGATATTCTCGGCGCCAGTTTCGGCATCACAGACTCTGGGATATTGAGCTGGTTCTTGGCCGGCTATTCGCTGACCGTTGGAACCTTCATCTTGATCTTCGGCAGATGTGGCGATTTCTGTGGCGATTTCTTTGGATATCGACGAATCTTCCTCTCGGGGTTCCTATGGATCGCAATCTGGTCGTTGGTCGCCGGTCTCGGTGTGTACTCGAATCACATCTTGTTCATCTTTGCACGTGTCTTGCAGGGCATTGGAGCTGCCATGGTGCTTCCCAATGGGCTGGCCATCCTGGGTGCGACGTACCCACCGGGCAAGAAAAAGGCCATGGTCTTTGCGTTATTCGGTGCGGTGGCACCGAATAGCGCTGTATTGGGTGCAGTCTTCAGCGCTCTCTTCTCGCAACTTGCATGGTGGCCGTGGACGTTCTGGACGCAAGCTCTTGTCGCGATTGCGTGTGCGGGTTTAGGTGTCATGGTGGTCCCATCCATACACCATGATTCTAACCCGCCCTTGAATACGTGGGCTGAAATATTCAAGGCGTTGGACGCTTTGGGAGGCATTTGTGGCGTTGGAGGATTAGTCCTGATCAATATCGCCTTGAATCAAGCTCCCGTGGCGGGATGGAGTACGCCGTATGTCTACATACTGCTGATTGTCGGCATTCTGTTGATTATTGGATTCTTCGTGGTGGAGTTCCGATTTGCGGAGCATCCTCTGATCCCTTTCCACGCCTTCAGCCGAGATGTTTCTTCCGTGCTGGGCTGTGTTGCGTGTGGATGGGGCGCTTTCGGAACTTGGATCTGGTACTTCTGGAGATTCCAGATCCAGTTCCGAAACATCAGTCCTCTGTTGGGCTCAGCAGAGTTCGTGCCAGCAGCCCCGGTGGGCATTGTGGCTTGCTTTGTGACTGGACTGTTGATTGCCAGGATTCGACCGGGGTGGATTATGGTCATGTCCATGACAGCGATCACCCTTGGAAACATCTTTACAGCCATAGCTCCGGTGGTCCAGACATACTGGGCCTTGACATTCGTCTGCCTTCTAGTCATCCCGTGGGGAATGGACATGTCCTTCCCAGCAGCGACACTCATGTTGTCCGACTCGGTCGAGAGAAAGCACCAGGGTATTGCTGCGTCATTGGTCACGACCGTGGTGAACTACAGTATCTCGCTGAGTCTGGGCTTCGTGGGAACAGTCGAGGTTCATGTCAACAACGGTGGGAAAACACCCGAAGACGTCCTTAAGGGGTAACGAGGTGCGCTTTACTTTGCGATAGGACTGGGAGGGCTTGGAATCCTGCTCAGCGTGATTTTCACGCTCAAGTGCTACTGGGAAGAACACCGATCACAAGCCAAGGACTCGGCCGCAGCCGAGGGAATTCGTTACGCACGCTAGATGAACGCTCGCGATCCAAAGTCGACGACGTGTAAATTGCCAACCAAGCATATACCGTACTGACCCAGTGCTGCGTACTGTTGTTGACAACAGTCACAAAACACTATCCTTTAGAATGAAATCTGCGTCATCTGGCGGACCATGCAGTCTCGGGGCCAAGACGATTCACATCTTGTCCGTTCGTCATCGACGTGCTTCTGAGCAAATCTGACAATCGCCGATGCGAAGGAAGCATGTCTCACTGTAGTGGTACACCGGATCGTCACGCATCGGACGACGGTACCAAACAAGGTAAGTGAAAGGTGGACCGAATGATCCTGCCAGTCGCGTGAATCAAAAAGCCGGGCACTTTTTTTTTATCAATCAGTTGGCCTGGTTCATCCGATCGTTCGAAACGATCATATCAATCAGATAAAAGTCGCTCAACTCATTCCGCACGCGAATCCGGACAGTCTCCACTTGCCCGTGAACCCTGGTTGATCATGCAATTGGTCATGGGCCCCTCGTATGCGAGATGGAGACTAGCGTAATGGCTTGATGCTGCGGCGACGATCGAGTCTCTCATTGGACTCGGGTCACTCGACTTATCCGAGGACCGACTCTGCCCGCATCTCCTACAGAAGAAGCCGAGTGGCACGAAACACCGCATTTTGTAGTATACAATCGTCCCACATGGGGGCTTGTGGAAAGTACGATCGTCTTTCGGATATGTGTGGAAACACTATTATCTTCCTGCCCAAGTTTAAGCCCCTCTAGACAGGAAATTTTCTCGTTTGTGTGAACGCACGCTGCAGCAATGAATCTGCGGACCAGCTGTCCCGATTGCAACGAGGGGGCTGATCGAGTCAATCGCACAGCGTTGGGCTTGGCTCCTTACCACAGGTTTCTCCGAATGAATCAGGCTGGCCGAGTCTGAGTGGATCCACAGCAGTACCACCAGGCCCGGTCATTGACTCAAATGATCAGATATGGAACTGAAGTGGGTCACCGACTGAGCCTAACGTCTTGGCTTCGGTACGCTTGTAATTTTCAACTCCTCAAGCGGCGGACTTGCACGGGGGAAACCGAGATCAACAGACCGGCAGACCAACCAGAAAGATTCAGTTCTCTCCCACCGGCCCTTATCAATCAGTTCCTATCCCTCCTTCTGGATGGAAGCTTGATTGTTTTTTTCACATCCCTTGCTTTTTGGCGCGCGTGTGCGGATGCGGACTCGGACCTTGAGCCTGGACTGAACCTTCTTTTCTGATCCCTCTAACCTTGAACTGCCGTCTCTCATCTTGCCCGGCCCTTTTGAGAGTATTCACGATGGGAGCCAATCCGGTCTTTGCAGTCACTGGTACGCTATTCCCACGGACATTATGATGCATCTGCGCGGCTGTTGGTCGGTATCGATTGCTCCTCAAATCGCGAGACTAACACCAAATCCCGCCATATAGTCTTCTTTATTCTCTTCCGAGAATGTCTGGAAACGACAGTGGTGGTGTCGGTCCTGCTGGCATTTTTGAAGCAGACTCTGGGAGCCGAAGAGGACAACACAGTTTATAAGAAGCTGGTCCGACAGGTGAGCTTCTCTCCTTTGTAAAGCAGATTGCGACATTGTGTGCTCGTCTGACCAATTGCACGCGCGTTTAGGTATGGCTAGGATGCGCATTGGGGATCGCCATTTGTCTGGCGGTCGGTGCCGGCATGATCGGTGCCTTTTACGGCCTCGGCACCGACACCTTCTCCGCCACGGAAGATATCTGGGAGGGTGTGCTGGGTATTGTGGCCGCCATCATCATCACCATTATGGGTGCAGCTTTACTGCGGGTGTCGAAAATCCAGGAGAAATGGCGCCTCAAGCTGGCCAAGGCTTTGAATCACGACAAGAACCCCGACGAGTCGTCGGGCGGACGGATCAAGCGTTGGTCGGAGAAGTATGTGATGTTCATGTTACCATTCATCACCGTCTTGCGTGAAGGTCTGGAGGCTGTCATCTATGTGGGTGGTGTTGGCTTGGGTCTACCCGCCTCGTCCTTCCCACTCGCGGTGTTTTGCGGTCTGCTCGCGGGGTTCATTGTTGGATACATCATCTATCGGTAAGACATATCTTGATGCTTCTGGCATATCTTTCGCCTCGTCATCGTGTCCCTTGGAGAATGCAAAGACACAAATGCTGACGGGATCTCTTGACAATAGCGGTGGGCGTGAAACTTCCATGCAAATCTTCTTGATTGTCTCGACATGCTTCCTCTACCTGGTGGCCGCTGGCCTCTTCTCTCGTGGTGTCTGGTTCTTGGAGAACAATACCTGGAATCACCTCGTCGGCGGTGACTCCGCCGAGACCGGGTCGGGCCCCGGATCATATGACATCGGCCAGAGTGTATGGCATGTCAACTGCTGCAATCCTCTGATCGGCGGCGGCGGTGGCTGGGGTATCTTCAACGCGCTGTTTGGCTGGACCAACTCGGCGACAGTGGGCTCAGTCCTGGCATATAATTTCTACTGGATCGTCGTGATTGTCGGCTATAGCCTGATGATGTGGCGTGAGCGTCACGGACCCTTGCCCTATCTGGACCCGGCCGTGGCCAAGATTGCGCGGGCCAAAGCTCGTGCGAAGGCGTTTGTGTTCCGCACGAAGTGGGATCAACCTGACTTGGATGAGCCCGTTACCGCGGGGTCATCCCGTGTCGAGAGAGACAATCTTGAGGCCGGTGTGCTGCACTCCGAGAAAGGTGCTGGGGCTGCGGTGTCTAATGTCACGCGACCCTAGGCTGAAGACTGTCTATGGAGAAAAGCGAGTTCTTTTTTGCATATAGATTCGAGATTACCTGTTTGAAATGATACCAATGACGAATGATAGACATCTTGATAGAGACGCGTTACTTGCGAAGACCTGTTCAGGATTATGTTTGAATATGCCGAGGTTGTGCAAGTAGGTTGATGAGCACCAGCGGCTCATACGAGTTCAAGCATAAGTGATCCTATCAAAAGTATACCCTTATCCGGATTGAGCGGATTTCACCATGAACGATTGAGCAGTAGCAGATATTCTTTCGGGATGATATGCACTGCACTGCTACACCTACCAAGAATGTTCCCGTAGGTTGATTGAGTTCTCGCCTGACCGACTGGGCATGATATCACCTGCGACGCACGGAGTGAGTCACCCAGGAATAGCAAGATGCCAGTCCATTAGAAGGTGCAAGGCCCTTGCATGGTTCTGCATCCTAGTGTTTCAATTCTCTCCTGTGGGCATTGCGTACCGCGCACAATTTTCAATTTCATCCCCACTTATGCAGAAAATTGAAAACTCAACTCTTGTGGATCTTCATCAAGAAAGTTTGGGTCCTGCCTCGGTTTCTTCCTTCCACATTCGGGGCCCGCCAAGAAGCACTCGAAACGTACGACGCGAGACTTGACTGCGATAGATGTTCAAGTAGCGAGTGTTCGCCTTGCTCTTCGTTCGCGCGTAGTGCACCGATGTATCACAACCCGTGTGATTATCTTGGTTACACATACCACTACGACTGCCAGACTCAGATGCGCTAGCATCTGGAGCAGAATTTCTTTGGACCTTGTCCATATTATGACTTAGATCATGGCCTACTGTAGCCAAATTTCTATGTGTTTTATCTCAGAGATAATATCCTCCAGTCTCGGAGTCCAGAGCTGTCTCCACGTGAGTCTCCTCGAAGTCGCTCATGCAAAATCGGTCGTTCAAAGATTCAAAGACAAGATTAGCACTTGAATGCGTAGCCTGGTATTGAGAAATGTGATTTTTTGCTTCGATCTGTTCCGTCTCCTAAATACTCGTTGAGGGACACCCTTTGGGCCTCTAGCTATGGGGTAAATGATCGCCTGGCAGAGCCGTACCGGAGATCCATGGAATGCCTCACAGCGACTTATGCCTAGCCTCGCTTCCATGAAGTCTCCAAGAACAACAGATTCACGATTCATCCTGCCCTTCCCGGTGCCCCTCAGAATGTGGGAGGCAAACCACGCGCGGAAAACTCCGTGGTTCGCACCAACCCGGTCACAGGCTGAAAGAGTATCGTCGCTGTTGAATCCCTCGTCAGAAGGCAAATGGCGTCATCGAGGAGGAGGAGAGTGAACACTTGCTGAAGCAGTTCGAGAATTTGATCGTCAAAAATCACGACCTACAAGCACGCCTCCGATGGCAGAATCCGAACGCTCTTGCTCAGGACCCTCGAATCTCCAAGACACTCTTTCACCTATTGGTTTGCATGCTTCTGGGGTCATAGTGCAGTTGGACTTGGTGAAGGGCCGTACTTTGACCCCAAGGGCGTTAGCGAAAAGCGGGTACTTCACGACAGTGGGCAGAGAACAGTGTCGGAAACCACCATCAATTGAAATGCTTCGCTACTTGGCGATATTGAGAGGCTACTGTGTCTCGGCTTCCACGATGAAATACTAGCGCTCTACGTTACAACGGTGCTGCCGACTACGGCTACTCATAGCTGCCAAGTCTGCAGCTCGCAACATTCAAGTATTTTAGGTTGCCGCTCTGTGGCCGGACCACTATTCGGGAGGGTTAGCATATTCCTGGTGTTTTTGGCAGCAAACTAACTGACATTTGCTGCTTGGTCTGCTTAATGGTGATGCTGCACCCCAAATGAGAAGCTGTGGATCTCAAACTTTGGTTATTCGGGACACACGGTCTGGATCGATTGGTGCAAGCGACGTCCGACTGGGCATCTGATTACCGTCCGAGGAGCAAGCCACCAAATTTAAAGTCCGGCTGCTTCGGCTAATCAATCAAATCAATCAGATACGCACAGTCAGGCGCGTGCCCGTGGAGATGATTTGGTTGCATCCTAAAGACATCATCACAGAACCTCAATGCTTCGACAACTTCATGCTGGCTGATGCCTTGAATCAATTCTTCTTTGCTTCAACCACGATCTCCGCCAAGATTACCTCCCACTCCTTTGGGCAATCAAGATACCCTGTAGATCGGCTTGGCCAACAGCTTAGCACCTTCGAAGGATACGAGGCCTTTTATAACTACGGAGTATGCACTTCTTCATCAGTGACCTGGGCGGCACACGTGCGCAACGTAAATGTTCCCACTTTGCCGAGATTGCAACGCCCGAGTTCTCGGGGAAATGGACGAGAGAGTTTGAGAAGATGACGTGACGACTCAACCCCCGAAGAAAGAAAAAGACGGACCTAAAAAAAAAAAAATAAAACATAAAAAAACAAAAGGCGAAAGCAAAAGCCGCGGATGCGAGTTTTTCGTAAGGTCCGGGATGGGCCCACCTCGTCGAGGGATTTCTGGGTTTTGGCACGCCCAGCCATCCACCTCATCCCAATGATCCCACGCGGCTTGTCCAAGCCCGACGAGAAGCGGCCGAATTATTTGCAATTCGGTCTCGTCTTCCTTACCGGTGTCGTTGTTTCTGGTAATTTGTGATCCTTTCCGCCCCCTGGTTCCAGTCTGTGCCCCACACCGGAGCCGGTGGGAGCGAAAAGGTCGCAATCAGATCACGCCTCACGCAGAGATTGATAATCTTATCATGGCCGGTTGTGTCCGAGCATGCAGAGTGAGAGAGGAAAAAAAATACCTAAAGTTATTCGGTTCTAAGTGCCTTTCTAGAGGTCGGGAGTGGATTTGTCGCTTTAGTGGCTCAAGCTAGAGGAGCATCTCCATACTGTCATCGGGCAGGGTTCACTCATCCCCACAGGTTGTCTTTCGTTTTTCTTGCTTCTTCAACTTGTTCCATATCCCCCTTCCCCGATTCTTTCCTCTGCACAAGTGCTGCAACGAGAAACTGGGGAGGTCCCTTCGCCATGACAACTTCACTAGGCGGCCTGTTGGCGCGCCTCGTCACGGTGTTGTTCATCATCCAAGTTACCCAGGCAAAGACCGTGACCTATGATTTCAATGTGACTTGGGTCAATGCCAATCCGGATGGTCTGCACGAGCGCCAAGTGGTTGGTATCAATGGACAATGGCCTCTCCCCGTCATTGAGGTCGATAAAGGCGATCAACTCGTGGTAAACATGTACAATGGTCTGGGATCGCACAGTACCTCCATTCATTTCCATGGCATGTTTCAAAACTCGACCAACAACATGGATGGCCCGTCCATGGTGACTCAGTGTCCCGTTGTCCCCGGCGCTTCCATTACCTACAATTTCACGGTCAATCAAAATGGTACATACTGGTACCATTGCCACACCGATTTCTGTTACCCGGATGGGTACCGTCAAGCACTCATTGTCCATGACAAGGACTCGTACTTCAACGACATGTACGATGAGGAATACACACTCACCATGAGTGACTGGTACCATGAAATGGTCAGAGACATCCGATTCATCGATAAAACCAACCCAACGGGTGCAGAGCCGATCCCGGATGCGTTCTTAGTCAACGACACCCAGGGCGGCGTGAACCTTCCCATGAAGCCTGGCAAAACCTATCTTCTCCGGTTGGCCAACGTGGGTGCGTTTGTAGCACAGTATTTCTATATCGAAGATCACACTTTCCAGATCGTCGAGATTGATGGTGTCTATACTGAGCCTAAGGAGGCGGACATGTTGTATATCTCTGTCGCACAACGATACGCGATCCTTGTCACGGCCAAGAATTCAACCGAGAAGAACTATCCCATGGTCACCGTGGCAGACTCGGTGCTGCTGGACAACATCCCTTCCAACCTGCAACTCAATCATACCAACTGGCTGGAGTACAACAAGACCGCTGAGCACCCGCAGGCTGTGATGCCCGTGGAGGTTGCCTCTGACCTCGACCCGGTCGACGACATGACTCTCATTCCCCACGATCGGGAGGAGTTGCTCCCAGAGGCTGATATGGTCCTTAATCTGACCGTGGCTATGGTCAACTTCGACGATGGCGCCGGCTATGCCGTGATCAACGATATCTCCTACACTAAGCCCAAAGTACCTACTTTGTACACCGTCATGTCCTCCGGTGATCTGGCCACCAATGCCGAGGTCTACGGCGATTTCACCCACTCTATGGTGCTGGGCCACAACCAGGTCGTCGAGATCATTCTCAACAACCTGGATGGCGGCTCTCATCCTTTCCATTTACACGGACACAATTTCCAGCTTGTCGATCGTGCTCCTTCCTATGGAAGTCATTTCTATGACTACCAGGACACCAACCCTGTGTTCTACGATCCCAACAACCATACAGAGTTCCCCAAGTATCCCGCTCGCCGAGATACGTTTGTCCTCCCACCCCACGGCTATTTTGTTGTCCGCTTCGTTGCCGACAACCCGGGAGTCTGGCTGTTCCACTGTCACATTGATTGGCATTTGGAGCAAGGTCTGGGCATGACCTTTGTTGAGGCACCTAGGCAGATTCAGGAACGAACGACCATCCCTCAGAATCACTACGATGTCTGCAAGGCAGCTGGAGTGGAGTGGACAGGCAATGCCGCCGGCAACACACAAAATTATCTGGATCTGTCCGGACAGAACAAGCAAAAGGACTGGCTACCCGCAGGGTTCACCACCAAGGGTATTGTAGCCCTGGTCTTTTCCTGCGTGTCAGCCTTCCTTGGAATCGCAGTCATCACAATGTACGGTGTGTCTGGGATCAAGGACACAAAGAAGAAACCGGTCACGCAACGTTCAAACGAGGCCGCGTCCACAGACAGTGTCCGAACTTAACTTCATTGACATATGTAAAAATATCATGACATATCATGCCTATCACAAATGCAGTCTCCATTGCTCAAAATTATCGACGAATCATGCACTGCGCTCACTCTCATAAATTCACGCCATGTGAACGCATCAGGTATCCAAGTTTCCTTCAACACACCTCATCTAGCCGTTTACCAGACTGGTTCACCTAAGACCTTGCAAAATGATCGTCGTATGCATTGGCATTCCGCCTTTTTTTTCCTTCTTCGATTCAAAAAGATGCCCGAAATGGTTTCTTGGAATTTTCCAATTTTGGCAATAAACAAGCAGCATGGCACGGGTTAGTGTCAAACACGGTGTCACATGCATCAAACATTTGTCCAAGAATTGAACGTGGGCCTTATTAGGAAAGGGAGAAGTAGACAGCTATCCCAGTCAAGCTCAACTGGACTTTTTTTACCTCTTTGAGGATATACCTGTGGCTTTTCCATGCCTCACTGGTTAGGTTATCTCGATGTCTTTACCGTGTTTGCGAAAGAAACGACTACTACATCTCTCATTTGTCTGATCGAGCATGGCATCCTTCCACTCAACCAAAGGACTCTCATCCGTCTCTCACATGTGAACAACACGAAATTACAAGAGGACGCGCAACGAAACACTCTTGCCACTACAGTCTCCTTGATTGATCAGAAGAAGTAGACTATTAGATGAAACAACTCTAATCCGACTCTTGACTGTCTCTCACTTATTCTATGAGTTAACTTTTACCTGCCTCTTACCTGTCTCTCACCCATTCCTCACTTATCTGTTAGGAATGATAATCTGTCAGACAGAATAACTCTCGCGAGTCTCTCAATTGCTCGTCAGGCATAAGAGTTTAGCAGGCGCATTTATCCATATTCATCTTTCATTTGATTGTCACGCACTCTGATCCAGTCTGTCACCAGGCGGCAGGCTTTTACCTCGTTTGTGTTCGCAAACAATGACCCTCTGACGAGCAGGCACAGATAGGTACCATACAATTCACATGTTAATATGTTTGTTCAAACTTAGGCACCCGCGAGCCTGACTTGATGTTCAGACGCGACCCATAAACGGGAAATTCCCTTTCGCCTGCCTACCACTCATCTCAATGCTGCCTATACATGAAGGTTCGTCTGTGCTAGCGCGTATCAACAAGCTTTGTGCTGCTACCTTCAGCCCCCGAATATCTATATAAAACCTCGCATCCGATATGTTTCTCTTCTTCTTCAACAACACCTCTCCCTCCCCCACAATGGCAACGAAGAAGAATCTTCGTGCTCCTTCTGCTCCTCCTGCTCCTGGTAAGTGCATCATGTCTACTCGTTCATGGTGTCTTAGCTCAACAGAATACTGATAACAAGTTCTTCGTCTTTTCAGCCTCGCGGGCCGAGGCCCACACCAAGAAGACCGCCGGGGCATGCGCTGCATGCCGCAAGTCCAAGAAGCGGTGCAGGCACCGTCCGTCGCCCTCGCCTGCGCCCTCCTCGTCTGCCGTTCCTGCTGGCCCTGCCTCCTCGTCTGCCGTTCTCTCCGGCTCGGCCCTGGGCACCACCCAGGTATGTTGATCATTTCACCTCAATATATCGCTTTACCATCTTAACTGCCAATACTGACCGACTCTTTCCTTATAGGGCCGACGCGCAAAGTCGACGCGTGTGCGCTCTGCCTCCGTCGCCGCCGCTGGCCCCAGCGGCGAACGCCCGTCTAAGCGGGCTCGACCCTTGGAGCGTCCAGCTCCTACTTCCACCGACCCGGTCGTGGAAGCCGCCACGTTGTCCGTCAACGTGGTCTTCGCCAAGGAGCTGGCGAAGAGACTGGCCGAGTTCGAGGCCAGTTTTGAGGCCTCTATGGCTGCCCACAAGGCAGTCATGGAAGCTGGTCGCGCCGTCCGTGAGACGGTGAAGAGTTGGAAGGGGACGTGGTCTGCCGCGTCGGTGCTTCCTGTGGCGGAGGAGGCCACAGAGGAGAGAAATGGGGATGATTGAGCTGGGCTCGTCCTCTCCTCCCTTCGTGGCTTTCTTTCTTCTCTGGCCTGTCTCCTGCGTTCTTTTTTTTTGTAAATAGTTTTAATCCAATCCCTCTCGTTTGGGCGATCTTCCCTCGCAAGTAATTAACTGATATCAAGATAAGTCAGTAATCATCTAGGTCTGTGAATTGAGCCAACTGGGTGGGATGAAAGCTGCCTACTCACTGATTTTAGTGACCTGTTCATCTCATCGGAGTATCAAGCGAGACTTGATACGCCTGCCCAAGGTATGTTCGAGTGCATCCTCTTGTTTGTGCGTAAAACGTTCAGATTCAAACACATGAATTGATTGTGCGATTGTCAATTGGAGAATTTCAGTAAGGACCTCCTGGATGACCTGCAATTAAATATAATATAGATGTGCTGATAAAGACCAAGTTCTACGATGCAAATATCGACTCACAAAGTGCTAATCTGAAGGCAGGCTGGGGAGGTTGCGTCCATGTCACTGGACAGTTGACTTAAGCTTAAATGCCGCCAAGCCCTCCCCGTCTTTGCACAGCGCGACTTTGTGACGTGCGGATCAACCCATCAGTGTTACATCGTCTCCACTCCAGATTTTCTGAGAACTGCCTACAACTATTGTTGAAACATTGACTTGGTCTCGGAACAGTCGACTGAGTTCAACTCTGACATGGTAGTCATTTCATGGACACCCTTCCTGTCCGATATCCAGGGCTTATCGCCACCTGACTACCTGATGGCAGCTTGGATTCTCTCACCACAAACATTTTCTAACCTTCGCAATATCACCTTGTTTCATTACTCTCCCTAGCTCTTCGAATTTTTACACCATTTTAAAACTCATTTCAATGTTCTTCGACCTGGTGGACGTCGATTGAGCTCTTCTAATTTGATGAAGAAACTTGGTCTTAAGAATTCAATTCGACTTGCGTTTGGTACCAACGCCGAGCCTGGGCAGAGATACTCGCCCGACGCAATTTTTTTGGTTCGACGTGGACTCGAAATCGTTTCCCCCTGCAGACGACATTACTTTGATAAGAATAACGATGAAGAGGGTGCAGCATATTTTTCAATCTGCTTCGATCGGGCAACGAGGAACCGAATATCATTAAGCCATACTTGACTGACGGAGATTTTCATGCCAGACGTTGGAGGAATGGGTCTTTTCTTATCGCACAGCTTTGCAACGGCTGTGCATGCTCGTACAGCTACAATAGCGGTACTGGCGCGCCGCTGGGATCACTGACATACTCGTCAAAGATCCAATGATCTCAAGTTCAAAGAATGGGCGCAAGCCTCTAACAAAACTCCGTTGTACAAAACTCCCCTACAGCGGTACAGTGGTCTCAAGGCCATTTCAGCTTCTTTTTGTTGACTGGGTTGATGTCCATGTGTATCCCCCTTGCGATGCTGTCCGTTGATGACACCGATCAAGCAATGAGAGCGAGATTCCGATCGAATCTTTTTCGATCATTGTTATTGTCTGACTAGTGGACACTTGCAGATCCAGTCACGAGCTCGAGGCCACTCGTATGCGAGTGCAGGGATTACAACACTTATCTCGCCGACTTTGTAAGTGCACGTGCCGTTACGCGGTTGATTTCAAGTCCGTCGACCTGCAGCTCCCCTCCGATGCAGCTTGCGTGCACCCGAGATGAACCGCTCACTATGATGATGGTTCCAAAAAGACTTGCCATTCTGCACCATCGTAGGAAAGATCTGCGCTGCACCTCAACTCGGCCGGAAGCTGTCTCCTCACAGCATCTCCAATGTGCCTCCTCACCGACGTTGATGGCCGTGTGGTATGAGTCGGGTTTGACTCCGACTCTGAAGCTGTCAATCGACTTATTCGGCGTGGTTGTGTTGTCTTGCACACGTCCAAACCCGTCCGATGTGAGTTTTCCACCACCATAACAAAAGTCCAAGATGAAGCACATGCATCAGTAGAATGTCTGATGCATGTGCTTCAAGGTTTCAATAGCAAGGAATGTGACCTGTGTACTCCGTCCGCTCGGTGTTTAGAGATGTCTGTCTAGCGCGCTTACAGTCCACCTCATGAACCGCTTAAGCTTACGACAAAGTTCGTCGATCGGTAGCGATCAACCAATCATCCACGGCTATTAGTGAGATCGGTGAGATCGAACAAGCTGCCATCTGAGTTCTGGTCAATCTGGTCTGGCGTGCTGAGAGATCGCCCGGCACCCGCGGGGAAAGCCATCCATGTCGAAGCGGCCAAGCTCCTGCAGGGCTCCGTCCCGTCTGTGATTGAACGCCCTGGTCCGCCCGCAATTAGTGATGATCAATCATACTAGGGCTCCTTAAGACGACTAGTCCTGACACGAGGATCGGGCTCCAGACACTAATGGAGATCCCCGAGTCCCCGATGGGTACCTTTGCGTTCTCTCACGTTGAATTACCGGGATCCGCTGTCATCGCGCCACTGCCAGGATAGGAGAACTGGAGAAACTGGCTCCCACCCGACCACTCCCGTCATGACCATTTAGTAATCTAGCCAGACAATGCATCTATTGGAGCGACCGTTACGTGTCATGTCCTACTTGGGAAGGACAACCGTTGACTTCAAGCTCCCGACTGAAAATTGAGATCAAAGGATCAGCGCCGTCGCACCATACATGCATGAGCTTTGAATCGAAGTAGACTCTTGCACGATGCCAAAATTGTCTCGCCCATCGAAATGGATGTCCTGGGTCTCGACGGTACAGCTTTTCATGAGCAAAGCAGCTGTCATCTACGTAATGAAGATGAGAGAATGATAACCAAAGAAAAGCAGACCAACAGCGATGATATCGCCAAGTCAGCAAAAAAACTTGTTTCAGATCCTCGCACTCGAAGTCGTGTCTAAGATGTCTCAAACTTGCCGTGGACATTGAACATCGATCAATTCAATGGTAGTGAACGAGGACACGCCGCGAACAGGTCTGACTTCAAGAGGTGAACGCACTCATCGACTGTACCACAGACTAAATTTCGTGGACTGTACATCATGATCTTGCTTGAAAACGGACGCGCATGATGGACAGTGGACCACTGGACACGACAGTGCATACTGTACGTATGGATGATCCTTCTCATCGGCGTTACAGATGATGATCTCGGTCGCAAATGAGCCCACCATCGGTCACACAAACACTCGGCCGGCCGCGGGAGTCAATCCTTCGTTGACTTCAAGTCTAAGAATCCATGTCGACGCCGGTCCAAGGTTTGCAGGATTGACAGCGTTGATACTCTTGGGCACCTTGTCACATCCCCTAGCAACGGTCCCTTTGGGTAGGGGATCCTAGTTTGAAACGGAGACCATTGAATAAAGCGCTTTTTTGGGTTCCATATACTCAGATATCGAGTCTATTGAGTCCAGTCCAGAATCGTCGATCGCGTTTCTACCTGAGGGATTGACTAGGTGTGCACGACTAGGATATTGATGGCTCAAAGTCGACCTAGAGGCTTTCGGTCTGCCTTGGCGTGATCACGACAATCACATACCGTATTTCATGCTGATGGCTTTTGGCGCTTCGTGGGTTTGATCGAGCATCGACTACATCAGTGCATGCCTGCATCGAGACCACTAGATCTAGTGGAGTACGCCGTATGCCCAATGTGGGTAGTAATCAAACCAATTCATGGAGAAGAATGGGTCATGCCAGGATGACCTACACCGCGCTAGTTTGATGTTAGCCACCCGTTTAGGCCTGTTCGGTGGTGCTCGTCTGCAGATTGCGAAATGGTCTCCAAACATCAAACGGTGCATCACCTGGAAAGTCGTCCCTGGGCCGCTTTTCTGTATTGAAACCGCCCGTCCCCACAAGATTTCGGGACAAAAGTACCAGCCATACCATCATGATACATCGAACCAAGGTACTGTCCGTATTTCCCCCCTCTCGCCGTGGGCTCTCGACTCTTTTCTCGACCTTTCTTCCCCAGTTCCATTCTTCAGTCCTTCCTCTTTCTCCCTTCACCCCTCATCAATAACATCGCACAACTCCGGGCCTTGCGCCTTGTTCATTACGATCGCCTTTCGACATTGACCTTGAAATTTGTCGTCCGCCAGTATCCATAAGCCATCAGCCATTCAGCATCGTGTTCCCGGGCCTTCATCTCCATACAAACATTCAACATATGACTTGCACATTCAACCTTAACGACTGGACGAAGAGACGATCACCTACACCCATCTCGACCCTCAACACACTGCGCTCTGTTGCGTAAATCAAAGGCTGACGGCAAACATATCGGTCGCCATTTTCTTCACACCTGCAGTCCTCAGCAATACATCTTCCTCAACCTTGTCACTTGAGGCGAGATTGCAGCAGAACCGCAACAATGACATCCATCGACGCGCTGGGAGCATTTTCTCATTTGCAAAGTAATCTACCCAGCTGGATTACCCGTGTCTCAAAGCTAGCAGCTCACGCCTCCCTCAAACATGCCGAGTACAGCGCGGCGTACGGGCGCCACGCCACACATAAGTCTCGCCGCCGCAAGAATAGCTCTATCTCCTCCATCCACACTACCGACGTGGAGCCCATCTCACAACGCCCGTGTCCTATGACAGAGTCGACTGATACAGTTACACCCGCCGAACATGAACCTGCTACGCCGCTGCAGACCGCTGGACGGAAGCGCAGCGCGGAGCAGACACCCTCCATTGAGTCAGACGATCGGTATGATTTTGTGAGCACGCGGCACAATGTCATCATAGAGTATGATGGCCATATACAGAAGTCTCTGGAAGAGATCGTACGGGACATTGGAATTGCTAGAAATCACCTCCGAAGAGGCAAAATGTCCATGGTGACCCGCCGCAGCCCTCGATTCGGTCTTCGACACCAGATCTCTCTTGAGGGCGTGCAGCCAGCCGAGAATGAATCGCCATTGTCCTCGCTATCCTTTGTGCGAAGCACTCGAGCTGGCAGTGGCCTGCCGTCCATGAACGGGTCTATGAATGGATCTACGGCGATTGCTAAGGAATCATCTTTTGACTTTGCAGAGAAGCAGTTGGAATTAGCCCATAGCCTGTGTGAGACGGCTGCCTATCAGGTTCTTCGATTGGGAGATTGCGGTACGGAGCTTGATGGTGTTGAAGAAAAGTTCAAGATTCTCTTCGAGATGGCCGAGAGAGAAGTCAAGCGTCTCGAAGAAGAAAAGAGGCAACAGCAAGAGGAGGTCACCCTCGAATTGAAATCCACGCAGAAGGGCGTCGAAGAGGATGGGCCGATCAAACCATTGACCCCGACTGCCGCACGACTGGCTCGGTTGGCCGCCATTGCCGCCAGCAAGCCAACAACGACTGCCCCTGACACCATTGAGGTCGACGATGCATCATCCATCTCTGTCGAATCGATTGATCTTTCTGCATTTCGAGCCTCGCGGATCCGAATTTAACCCACGTTCTCTTCTTTCTCCTATCCACACATGCATTTGCACGCACCTACCACTTCTTAGCCATGCGTGTTCCAGCAATTTAGCGATCCTTTGCCAATCTTATTTGCTGCAGATGCGAAAAGCGAGTTCTGTGTCTGTCCATGCCTGCCATTTCTCCCATTCTGTCACTATGGAAGTTGAACCATGTCATTCGTCTCAAATTCTTGTCTGTCGATTTCCCAGCAAGATAAGTGATCCCTTGCTGGGTGCCTGCTTTTCTCTCTCTCTCTCTCTTCCAGCCCCCTTTGTCAAATTCAAGTTAAGGGCGCGTCCAACTCATTCTCATATTTTCTAATCTTTCTATCTGCATTCTTTTTATAACGGGTGTGCATTGCGTTGGCGTTTCCTTTCTTTTTTTGGTCCTCTGGTGTTGGATGTGTCTAGTTTTATTTTCACTGAAGGGGTATTCATTCCATACGTGCTCTTGATTCATTGATCGTTCTATTCTGAGAAACAAAGCCAAGACACATTATCATTATCTACATGATTGCTTCGTAGCGTGGAGCTAGTTGCATGCCATCGTGCTTGATTGGTGGGTAATTCTTGTGTCGACGACCTGAAATCACGACATGGATAGCTCACAGACCCTCTCATGTGGAGTCGAGACAAAGCAATTGACAACATGAAACTTGTTCATCAAAGGGCCTTGTAAACTACCACCAAGCACAGAAACACCACAACACGGATAGCCCGGTACAATAGTCCTTGCAAGCACGGTACGCGACCCCTTCCACCTCTGAGCTTACGTGTGCTCTACGATATATGCAGCTAGCTTGCCACTGAGTTTCATCCTTCATTTTAACGGCTTTCTCGTACCCGAGGCAACGTGTCGGGCTTTCGTAATAATGTACTCTGTTGACAGTTTCTCTCTGAACAAGCCGAATAATGACCTTGCTTTGAATATTGGCATTTATTACGCTGCCTCAATGACGGGCAAATGTTAAACCAGCTGCACTTTGTCGTAGACACGTAGCTATAATTTCCATCCTTCAATAACTGATTCTGCACCTACAGCCCCTTCAGCCAGAGTCCAAGTATGCCAAGTACTGAAGGTGGAAAATACCCATCCCCATGCTGACCCTGCTGTGCCATGCACGAGGTGCATGTGGCTGACCGAACTTGCCAGTTGTTTTGCAGTAGCGGGTGTCATCTCCTACACCGATCCTGATCGCGTAGTATCATTGTCCTGCTGGCCGCCCCCATCCACCTGTCAACCTGTCAATGTGCCTAACGGCACCCTGTCATTGGTGTTGATCGCTTGCAGGTCATGTGTGCTTTGTCGTTCCTGTTTGTTGATATGATTTTGAAGTTTTGGCGGTGACTTGTGGAGCCGTGAGTCTCTCATTCAGCGTGGACATACGTACTGTAGGAGCTACTAGGTAGTAGGTACTGTGTGTGTGTGCCTAAACTTACCTGGAATTAGCACTGGACTACTAGTGGATTGATGGTTAGCTCAGTCAATTGTTTTTAGATACCACGGCCCCAGGTCTACGTAAGCTCGATTCTCGTCTATCCCTGCTTAGGGGCAGGAATCTTACACCGATCGATACACATCGACTGGGCCCCCTCGGTTTTGTCAAGGAAAAAGCAAAAAGGTCATCTGTTGAAAGGCAAAGTAAAGGCCACGGAAGATAGAAGGATAGTGCATGTATTTACGGACCGCCCGTTAAGAACCCTGCCATACACTTGAATACACTCATGGGTGGGGGGTTATGGTAGGACACCGTTAATAGTATTCCACTGAACCGTATATACTATCAAATCAAGCATAACTGGCTTACCTATTTGACGAGAAGATTTTATGTGACTATACCAATCTTTCATTCGTGCAATCCGGAACGAATCCATCGTCTAGCGAGTAGCGACCGTTGGCATAACGACTTATGAAACCAATCTCAAACCGATTTCACGTTTTTCGAGATCTCCCGTCCGTCGCGTGGGAAATTCATGGCTATACCAGAACAGGTAAAAGGTACTTGTTGAGGAAAATGACACAGTGGAGTCTTGATTGGTAAGGGAGTGGCCTAGTCTCCTTTCCACGATGCGGTCCGTCAGATTGATGGCGTGGAGGTGGTGGAGGCGTTGGAGGCAGAGCAGCGACCTGCCAGGTTGGGGTTAGCTTGGTGTCCGTACTGCAAATGAAGAAGGTGATGGCATTAGCGAAGCACGGCCGAGGGGCCGTTAAACGGTTGGAGTACTGTAGCGCGGTGTAGTTGTAGTTGTACAACTACACGGTATACTCGTTACGTCGTACACTCAAGTTTTCAACACTATACGTCGAAAGTAATGTGTTGATTAAATCAAGATCCAACCCACCGAAGGCCACTCGATCAAAGCCAATTGTGAATAGGAATACTAATAGTGTATTCGTAACGGTGCATACGGGCAGTTACAACTTACCAGTTACCAACTTACCACACTAAGAGGGATTGTGGAAACCAAAAGTTCACTCTCGCCTGAACGTAGGTATGGACGAAGCAAGGTTAGATAGAATATACGACACTGCATATCGGGCAGGTGACATTAACAATGACATGAGCGCAAGACGAGAATCGAGATCAATCCATACTTGTTCAATACTATAACACAGTCACACTCACAGTAACACACGTCACACAGTACTCACTACTCAGTACTCACTGACTTAGTAGAGTCGGTACTGTAACTGCAGTACTCTAGTTATCTAGTATGAATTGAAATTCTCAAGGAGTCCGATTAGCTGACCGATAAACTATGTTTTTTTAGCTACGCTTTCTCCAAGCGTCCACTCACTCTAACCTCTGGTCTCTACCTGACTATTCACGCCCAACAGCCATGAATGGTAGTTAAGTCGAGGGGCATGAGCAATCCATTTGACTTTCTCACTTTGATATTGTCTGTCAGATACAGTGCCTTACAAGAAGGAGTCAAGGACTACTTAGTAAGTTGTAACTATTAAACTAAGTACAATTAGTACACATGTATGCGCTGATTGCGCTCTCGTCTCTACAGCATACCGTTAATACCATATCAGACACGGGCAGTCCTTGCGGCTTGCTAACCACCGGGACAATCGATCAAATCCATAGCTACAGTACATAGCTCACATCTGAGCTATGCTTCCCTCATGAAAGCTGTATCAATCGTGTTCGAGATCTTGTGTACAGGATCAAGCTCGGAAAATAATCCTTGTACGAACGATGCCCCTCAGGGAGACCATCCTTTACTTTCCTGGAGTCTGAAGATGTGCCCGATAGGAGACTTTGACTTTGATTTAGGCTCTCTCACGATAAAAAATCATCCAGAGTATTGACTCTTCACTTTCCAAATGGCAAGGCAGCTGGTACACCAATGGCCAAGCGGAAGAATCTCACCAAGACAAGCCTCACAGCATTAACGGCGAACGTTGTCTCTGGGTACGCTTCAATGCGGACTTACCAGAACCCGATTACGATAGCAGCATATAGAGTCAGCTTCTGCCAGACAGCATGTTGTCGATCCCATGGTCTCTCCCAAGTAAGGAGCGAGGCTATAGGTATATGTCAAGCTGACATGAGAAAAGGCGGAGATTCGATCAGGGTGTTCATGTCTGCTGATTTTACGTGCGTGGTAAGGTTTCGCTCAATATTTCTGTCCTAACTTAGATGATGTGCCTTGACCTTTATAGACATTTCTGACGACGAGCGCGTCGAGTGGGACATCATAATTACATTGAAAGTGAGAAGGCAGGATGAGGCGCAGAGTTGAGTTGAATTGCATTAGTTGACATTCCAGTGCTTTATCATGATGCAACGTACTATGCCAAGCTCATCCATCACATTCATTTCAAGATTCCTCAATGCCGTCAATTTTTCAAAGGAACAGGATCATGGAAGCTGTGTCCAGCGCGATTGATCAAAGAGCGCGTAAACCACGCCCGCTTGATTAATGATCTTTATGGATTGCAACATGTATTATCAAGAAGACAAGACCAGGTGCGGGGGAAAAAAGTTGTAAGGGTGAGTCTCCAAAGAAACAAGAGAAGAAGAGAACGATATGAACAGATCCGAGTGAGCTCAACTTGAACAATAGTTTGGTAGTGTGGGTATCAAGGGACTCCCGGGCCAGGAAGGTCGAATCAACTTTGATCTGTATTTCCGTATGACCACATTAGACGTTGTGTAGATTTTTTTGTATATAGAATTGCCGTGGGGGGAAAGGCTAGAGCAAGAACCTCGTAGAAGAGACCAGTCTAGTATTCAGGCTTTTCCTCGAAGATGGGAGGACGACCCGATTCGACGTTCCACTGGATCTTGGCCTTCTCGTCCAGCCAAGCATCCTCATCTGAGCAGGCGGTGACCCGAGAGGTATGAGCAACCTCCTGTCGGCTGACGCCGGCGGGATCGCGAGGGATCCAGATCAGAGGGGTCTGAGCAACGGTGGCGGGGTGGTAGTAGGCGTTACGCTCAACCTCGGGAGAGTACGCGGGTGGGTCCACCGCAGAAGGAACGTACTGACGGAGGTAAGCGTAGCTGTCGTACTTATCCGGGCGCAACCATCTCGTGATGAAGTTGGGCTGCTTCTCTTGTTGTGTTGGTAAGGGCCCATCGGCGATGCCCTTTTCGGCGCTGGTATCGTTGATGGTGCCAACCCCAGAGTCTGCATGAGACGCACCGTTGTTCAATTTCGAGGCCGAGGAATCACCAACACGATCGGACGCAGACTCATCAACCGCAAGATGCTTGCGATCTTGAGCGAGAAGGGCCTCTTCTTCGTGCTCGAGGTTCCTGGGCAGATAGTTGAGGAGTGGCTCCATAGCAGCGTTCAACGAGACATGGTAGAGCACGATGAAGACGAGGAAAATAATCATCAGAATCAGAGGTCCCAGGGCGATATGAGCGGAACCGACACCGATGGCAAACAAACCGATCAAGCAGCCCATGAGCAGATAACATCCGACAGTGAGTTGCTGCAGAGCACGGACATAATTACGACCTTGACAGTCAATATCACCGTTGGAGACATAGAGCAAATTGTAGCGGTAGGCGAAGTAGAAGAGGTAAAGGCCGATAGTGGCAAAGCCCATGACAAGGGGAGCAATGCAAGAATAGACAATAGCGATGACGGCGAGTAGGGTGACACCAGGGTATACGGTACCCCAGCCGAGGCCGGCGAGGCTCGACCAGCGATTATACATCTTGCGCGGGGTCTTGTCGAGAAGTGTGCCCAAGATCTTGCCCACAATCAGGCCAACGATCTGCAGAAGTGCACCAGAACTGAAGGAAAGACCCTGTAGGATGATGTAAGAGATGTAGAAGTTGGACGCGTGTGGGAGCTTGTTGGCAAGAAGTTTGGGAGCAGAAGTAGGGTCGTTGATGATGGAGGTAACCACACTGGTAGCGGCGGAAGATAGAGTCACAACCAGGAAGACCTGCACCACTTGAAACGCGAAAAAGGTGTTTTGAACTTGCAACTCCACGGCCGCTAGACTGGGTTCACCGGACAATTTGGCCATCAGACGAAGAATGATGGGCACCAGGGCCAGGAGGATAGACATCAGCACGACTGGCAAAAGGCCGGTAACCACACCCAGAATCCAAGGCGGAATGCTTAAGATGAACCGCAAAAAGTGAACTTTGTCGGTCAAGGCTTGGATGTTGGAGATGGCACCCACTGCGGCAGTAGGAATGGCCCAGAAGATGATCATAGCGGTGATAAAGCCAATGGTTGCGGAGACACGAATCACACGCTCCCACCACTTGATGCGCAGGTTAGACCAGATGACTTGAGTGGGATCCAGGCCGATATAACGGGGCGCCATGTGAAGAGGTAGGTTGTGCGCCACGGTTTGATATGCCGCTTGCGCATCGGACTGCTGATGGAATTCAACGAAGACAGAAGAGACCAGGTCGACTTCATGCGCACGGTGCTTGGCCTGCAGTTCTTCAATCTCAGGCTTCAGGCGCTCGATCTCGGAGCGAGCCCAATTGATGGTGTCGACCTTCTTGCCAACCAAGAACTTCAGGCGGTGGGTGGGACGATCCTTTGGCCTCACCCAGCGAGCCGCCACGGAGCCAGACTCATCGTCGAAATCCCCCACTGTCTCATCCACGCCGTGGGCATTTTCGAGATTGCCCTCCTTCTTCAGCTGCTTGTTGCGGGCCTTGTTGGCCATGACGATGAGTTTGGTCTCGGCAGCTTCCAGTTTCATTGCCGCGTTGTCGCGCTCCTTGACCTTATCCTCCAGGTCGGAGGTCTTGGTCGCGATCCAGACATTCTTGACCTTGGAGCGGCCGAACATTGCGATGATCTTCTCTTTGCTGAGATATTCATCGGGAACGGTGGTGAAAAGAACGGTGCGCGAGGACAATCTATTTGCGTATGCAGGCGCGAAGAGATACGCTTGCCGCAGATTGATGAAGAAGATGTGTTCACGAGTGATGGTGTAGAACACGATACCTGCGAAGAGCGATCAGCAACTTGGATTCGACCAGACTCAGAGAATAGCGTGGTGTCCGCATGATTCACTTACCAACAAAGACCCACGCGACGAGGCAGTGTGCAAAGTAGCGTGCATAATCAGGCGGCAAGAGATTAGAGATGGTGATGATATTTAGTTGTGTCTCCCCGCCACTGGCTGTGGCGTCGACGGGGAAGAGAATGGGCCAGGTGATCAAGCAGCCCACCAGCATCAGACCGGAGATCAATTTCAGGAATCGAAGGAGCAAGTAAGCATCCATCGAGTGGTGGCGCAGGACGTAAGTGTCGGGTAGTTTATACATAGCGATGATCCAATTCCACAGACCAGTGGGAGAGTCTGGAGTGCGTTGCCATGGTCTCAGAGTGCCGATATAGGTACGAGGCATGTACGTTCGGCGATAATTTCGACGAAGGACGATGAACAATACCACCATCACCACAAACGAAATCAACGCGGGAATCAGCGTGGAAAGCAAGCCGGACGCTGTCTGTGGTGCCGAACTCGGATTATCCTGCTGCAGTTGCTTTACTTAGTTGACCGAAGTTTTTTTTTTCTTTCTAGAAATGAAGGAAGCACGTACAGTTGCCCGTGCAGACAGCTGGTGCGCAGCACCAGCAAAGTCTGCCATCTTGACGAGAGGAGAGTGCGTCTCCGTTCAAGTTTCTCGACAATCGAGGTCGACCCCTCGTCTAGCAGAAGAAGAGTAAAAGAATCGCGCAGACCTTCTCAGGGGATGACTGCGCGAGATGGGGCGTTTGGAGGGTGTCGTAGATTTCGTGGGTGGGTAATTCGACAACACGAGAAGAGGAATTGAAAAGAAAAAGGTGTCTTGCGACCTGCGAAGGCCGAGAGCTGGGTGGGAAAAGGTCCCAAGTTTAAGCTTTGAAAAGGGAGGCGCATGGATTTGCAGGTGAACCGACGAGCCGCTGGTCATCCAATCTGCGGTTTCACTAAACCAGCGGATCCTCTGGGCCGTGACCCTACGTAATGGAATCGCAGCTAAGGCCTTTCCGGTAAGGTGCTCCTGCTTTGCGCCATGTCCACCGCCCAGGTCGAACTAGTGCTCTGAGGTGGTCCTGATTGTCGCCTTCACTGTCCTTGGGCGACCACAAATGGTCGGCAAGCACACCCAGGATGGGCCACCGAATTACCATTCAATCCAGTCGATCAAGCACATCACATCCCGCCTAGCATTGCCCACTGCTCATGGCCACACCGGGGAGACCAAAATGAAAAAGGGGGGGCGTCAAACATCAACGGCTGGAATTGGTGGTCGCATCAGCTCCAGCCCCTGGCGAGAAGTCCCGTTTCAGTAGTTCTCTCCCTTCAAAGGTCGCCTCCCCCTCCTCCCCTGGAAAGGAATCTCCACTTGGGTGTGAGTTAGCGACGAGTGAGCAATTGATCCACAATTACATTTTGGCTGGACGATACCACCCAATTGCCCACGATCGGCATTCGCCCTATGGCTCTGTCAAGATCGATGACTCCATGAGATCTTGAGCATGCAAGAGAGACCACTTGGCAACAAGCCTCGCATGGACAGCGAGCGACCATCACTTGGAAGGAGATACATTTCTCCTCGTTCTGTACGAAGCCGATCCATGACGCATGCTCGACCTGGAATTTCAAAGTTCGGCTCACAGCCTGCATAGTGGCGCACGCCTGTACATTACTACATTGTACTGCTGGCCTGCTCCTGTACTAGTAGTAATGTGCGAAGGTGCTTAACTGCTGAGTGCGTAGTACTGTACGTACTACGTACTACCTACCAGCCTGTGATTTGGCATCTTTGCCTGAATTGACCGAGGGCAAGATTGATCTGCGCCATATGGACCACAAATGACTTTGCACCATCCAGACGAGACGAACAAGAGGGTCGAGGTATGTAGCTGAGGGCTCGCCCCCAGGAGTGGTCTAGAGCACATCAGCACAGTCACTAATAGCTGTCTGTGATGGCGAGGGACGCAGTTTCAGCTCAACGCCCGTACAAGCGCTCTAAGGGTTGACCATGTGACTTGAGGACCATGATTCCCCATGCGCTGGTTCAGGAGAACTGACCGCCGCTAAGTGATCGAGCTATGAGCTCAAGTTCAAGGTGCCCAACCGCCCATGTTTGTTGTCCATAGCTGAAAGTGGCATCCATGCAGCTCCCCCGGACGCTGGAACAGCTCTGCCCACTTCCGATCCAATGATGCTCGCGAATCTTCATTCGATTTGCCACTGCATCATTTTTGGGTCACTACTGCCAACACAGTCCCGTATCCACATGTGGTTGGTCTCATTCGGCATCGAGATAGCCAAAACCTTGAAACAATCTCCAGAGACACAATTGACGACTTTAAAGGGGTAACCAAGAATTGCTCAGAGTATCCTGCCGACCGTAGCGCCCGCTCTCATGTGGTCCTGAGTCCTGAAGATTGCCTTATCTCCGAGCTCTGTATTTTCGCTTTACGTGGAAGTCTGGGGATTGTGATTTTTACGGAAGGCCCTGAAACGGTTACGGGCGACCGCGTGTCGAGACTGTAGATGTCCGTCTTAAATCCCTGATGTCAACAAGGACACTTCAGTCTTGAGTCTACACTTTACACTCTACAAGTCTGTAATACCACCTCGTGATGATGCTGGCGTCGAACCACAAAAACACCAAGCGACATCGAGGGCTTAGATTCCAATTGTGGGCTTCCAAAAGCGAGCAAATGATTGTATAGTCCACTCCGAGGATTCCAGCGAAGCCTGTGCGCTCGCGTCAAAGAACCTACAAATGCCTGAGCTGAGACTCGCATATGGGCCTCTCTGCACTTCAGCACCATACAAGTCATTGATTGGGTGGGTCAACAACGCACATACGCGACTATTTACGGGCCAAACCTACTAGTGTCTGATTTGCCCATGATGCAGAGATTTTCACCCACGGTTTTTTGGTGGCTTGGTTTTGGAGGCTGGAGACTCCGACTGAGAGCCCGAGAGGAGACCTGCTTGCTGCATGGGGGGATCTCCGGACCTCGGAGTTTCTTAACTAATCTGTAGATCAAGTCCGATCACGTCGTGAGGAAACCACCCTGTCGTCTGTTGTCGCGAGGGGGTGTGGGCAGAGCTGAATGTCATCTGAATATCAAAAAAGGCCGAGGGTTCGCTCGGCTACTTTTGACACGATCGGAGAGCCGTGAATTACATGGACGTAGAGGGCATTGAAGAAGCGATAGGAAGTGATCGTGTAAACCAGCACTTGTAGGCATGTCAAGCCCGACTGTCTAATGGTCTCGAGTTAAGTGTGAACGGCTTCAGTTGCACACAGCAATATTCGGTCCCGGCCCTACAAGTCAATGAGGTTCTTGCACGGAGCTATTCTCCGGTCTCGAGATGTAGTATCCCTGTTTCCAGGCATTGGGCACACGAGGCATCATGATCATGACTTGACATTCTGATATCACAATGTGACCTACATATGTTGCAGACTATCTGTGCCTTACGATGGGGGAGAATCGCGTTTGAAATCTCGACAGGGTGATTGGGCAATCGATGCCGAGGTTAGAGCGGCATGCATCATTCAAATGGACCCTTCCATTCAAGTTTGGCATGTCACTGTCTGCCAAGGTAAACATGGACAGTGTACATCTGAGGTTCGTGAGGAGTCACTATGGTCATACCATGTGATAAACTCCATGGAACTTGTTCAAATAGTCAAGCACTGTCACTTTCCGCACATAGATTAGTCCACTTCGACGGGCAAATGCCCCATGCGCCCAGGCCATATCAAGAAATACATAACTACAACTGGAATCAGAGTCGAGGACTCCAGACACATTCACATTCCTATGATCCTCTACGGTCCTGTAGAATCGGGTACCACAGACACCCAGTGTAAACCGCCAGCTCACCCAGGCACACACATTCATCTACCACCTCATTACCTAGCAAGGGCTGGTATCCAACTTGGGCGTTGTCTTGCCGTGACCCAACACCGAGATGAGTGTAATCGTCATCATCAGACGCCATCTTCGCTTCCCCGGCTCCTGGGCCCTGCCAAGCTTTCGTCATAGTAGAACTTCCTAGACGGTGACGGGAGGTGCCACCGGTCTCCAAGCAGTCCTACGAACTTAAAGTCCTGTTCCTACAGTATGCGGACGTACTAAATGGACTCCCGTGTGCCTAAGATGTAACTGACTACCTAATCGGATGTTCATACCGCTTGCAGAACTCTGGATGGAGATGCTTATCTGTCACAAACTTTGCCAAATCGCGAGGTGCCATCCCTATTTTCAGTGTTACCATCAGCAGGAGCCAGGAGGTAGCTTCCAGACTTTCAAAAGCGTGAATGAGACACCCGTCATGGCTAGATATGGATCTCTTTGATGGAGGACTTGATCATCGTACGTTCGTAGATTGTTGCTCCTTCGGGCTTTCGATTGGCCGGTCTACTGTGTATCCGGATCCGGGAGGTTAGTTCCCTCTACTGTGCTTCACCGGAGACAACTGGGGAGTTCCGAGCTGATAGTCAAGTAATAAAATTCATGTAATATTGCATTCATTGTCAGCCCAAGTGGGCCTGAATGTCGCAAAGCCTCCATTCCATGCTGATGCAAATATGTCAAAATGACGCTCAATACCGCTTGTCGTTTGGAAGATAGCAAACATGCTGAATAGATAGAAAACACCAGGGCCACCCAGCCCAGCGGACCATTCCCCGTTCATGCTGGATAGAGTTTATGGAAAAGAGTGTACCGATCTGTGTCCAAGCAGATGTGGAGGCATCGCCCGGCCGGTCCCTCACTCTTGTCCGAGTCCTCATCAGAGGTATAAGGAACCTAGCTAGATCTGATCCGCATCAATTAAGCCAGTCGGTCTGTGCTCGGTGCTTTGCGTCGACATCTGAAGACCCATAGTTGTCGCACACCACGAGAAGTCTGTTCCTCTGAGGCCATGACATGACCGAGGCATGTATCTGATTCTGGGCTGCGAAATACTTGCACATATCAATGATCATCAAGGGTATGGTGAATGTCGCCTTTCACCGAAACTCGATTCAAGCTCGTTTTGAAAGACATCAATGCCTCTGACGGGCATCTGTAGTGATAAAAAGGACATCAGAAGCTCGTTATAGTGGAACTGCAGATCCGGTCGTAGCTGGCGCTGCGCCTGAAGCAGTTGCCCTGTTGACCATGCCCGTTTCGGATCTCGTAGATCGGCATCACAAGTCTGCTCCAACAAGAGCCACAGCAAGGTCTCACATGCCGGGTGTTTGCCCAGCTGGTGCTCCTCGACCAGCGCTGTCAAATACGCCAAGAATCGATGCGTCTTGTTCACGGAATCTTTGAAGTCCCATAGAGCGGCCGTGATGTAGATGAGACAACCAGACCGGCTGGCTTCTTGAGTCTCCGCTGTGCGAACAACATACACGTGCGCCTCTTGGGGCACCTGCGTGGGTCGTGGTCCGCTGGACAGAAGTGAGAAGAGGGGGCTTCCCATTTGGAAAGCGGTACGTCCGTGAGATGATTGAGGTTGATGTCCAGGAGAGCTATGCCTGTGCATAAGTTCCTGTGCGCGTTGAAGAAACAGGACCAGCAAACGTCGATTGGTCGGGCTGACCATGTCAGACAAGGGAGGCAGAATGTATCGCACATAATGGAAAAATACCTCCACACCACTGGAAGCTCCAGGTCGGCGGCTGAGAATACGAGCGGCATGTTCCAGATACGCTTCCGCATCTTGGCGACTGCCATATCGGCCTTCCGCTAAAGCCATTCCTGCCAGGGCTGTGGCTAATTGATCGTCGTGCACTTGAATGGCACCAGATACCGCGTCCTCGATGTTTTTCCTGACTTGCCCAACGTGGCGCTGGACTTCCTCGCTGTTTGACTGCCCGGTGATCTGGGCTCTCCACCGCGCGGCGTAGACCAGGATGACGGCTTGGAAGGAGAAGGGATGATCCATAGCCGTCCGGTAGATTTGCGTTTTCACATAGGGATTTTGCCCCGACCAGTAGGCCAATTTGTTGATCCACCAGTCCGTCAATTCGATGTCTTCACGGTTTTGTATAATCAGAGGAGTGGAGAAATGACCACCCCATGATGAATCGTGTAGTGTCCCCGAACTTCCGGCCCATGAACTTCCTGTTTCATGGACGAAAGAATTGGCATAAGGTGGCTGCATCTAAAATTGCCAGCGATTAAGCGCATTAGCCTTTGATTGAATGTACGGTGTGTCCTCGTTCGTGTATGACGGCGAGATCGACATGTAATACCTACCACCGACGGCTGATCAAAAGGATTGAACGTCTCTGGTGCTGAACTTGCGCTCCGAGAGCCTTCCGTGCCATGACCTGAATCCATCTCGAGAATCCGTGTGGTTGGTCGTTCAGCAACATGCTCCGGTTGTAAACTGCCCTGGGAAAGCTTTCGGTGTTTTCGTTTTTCCTGAACGTGGTGTCGCATTACATGCGCCCGTTTTTCTTTGGATGAGGAGGTCGAATCCACAAAGTAGAATGATTGAGTCTTGGGCTGAGTTTCTGTATCCGCAACGCGACGGCGCCGCGGGGGTTTCGTTTGTCCATCGCCACTGCTCGGAGACCCTGGGAGTCAATTGGTATATGTAAGCCACCGTATCTAGAGAAAATGCGAGTCCAACTACTCGAAATCAGATGTCCTTACCAGTCACATCGGGCTTAGGCGGTAACGAAGAGAGTATTGTTGGAGGGCTTTGGTTTGCTTCCGCCGATTGTGGTACGTTACTCGACATGATTGCGGGAACGGGCCAGACGAGTACAAGTTAGAGATAGATCTTGTGTATTTGCCGCAATTCGCAAACGCGATATTGGCATGCCGTACCGATGAGCACCTAGATTCGCACCAGGCAGTATAATGGCCTCAACCGTGTAGGATCATCTCCGAGTTTCGCAGTGTGGTCATTGGCTGAGAGACAGAAGATGCTTGATCTAGGCAGGCGGCTGCCCAAGCCGAATGAAGGGAGGAGGGGGAAAGAAGGAGGAAGAGGAGGAAGAGGGAGGGGGGGGGGGGGGGTTGGCCGGGATTCCCTCGAATGGAGTCTGGAAGTGATGACAATTATCTCCAATCCGCAATGCAAGGCGGGATACCGCTGATCATAGGGTCGATCTTCGTCACCTTCCGCCCGTCCGACCGAGGGAAGAAACACGACGATAGACCACAATTGACGGGCAGGAGAGCAGGCTGTTCCAGAGTAGAATAGTCTTCGCGACTGTGAGGAGGAGCACAACGCCGTCGGGCAGACGGGGAGAAAAATGATGACACTGTACCGAGACCGCAAGACGCGCGCGGATGAGCACCCTCAAAGGGGGAATGCAACGAGATTTAAACTCGTCTTCGGAAGAAACAGAAGCGCAGGTTCTGAGGGTCTCAGCGTGGAGATTGGAGCGAGGTATTACCCGAAGGAGCTGAAGGACCAAGTGGAAATGGCTTAAACCCCGGCACGAAGTGGAGAGGCCCCTCTCTGCGTTTTCCGGCTTGGGAGCTTCGTGCTTCAACTGGTGTACATGAACAGGACGCCACACGACATGGTGCTCGTTGCGGCCTGCAAAACAGGGCGATTGTAATGTGGGAAGGAGGGAAGATCAGTGGGATCTCATGCAGGTTGCGGCCAAGGACAATCCTGCACGACTAACGGCGATTTGCAATTCATGTTTCTCCGTTCCGATTGGTAGTGTACTCGTGGAGATTGCAGCTTAGGGAAGAACAGCTCTGCGAGAGGATCCTTCAAATGTACCTTAATGGAGCAGGGAGGTATGAAATAACCTCCTGACAAGCTTCACGATCATCGTACTGTAGGTGGCAACCGATGCTCCAGAATCAGTCATCGACTTGATCATAGAACCGGATAAATCCATTTGAGTAAAATGCTCCATCTTCAGCCCTCGGCTCTGGGACCAGCATCTCACCTGCTCAGGCGTTCCGCTCGAGAATATTGTTACGAGTCGCCTAGATGTACAGGGCAGTCGACTCAGTCTGAGCGGAGCCGTCTCGAGGTTTGACTCGTTCCACGACCCGAGCATCGAGGCGAGTCCGAAGAATGAGAGTAAAGGCATGCTCAGATGACTTTCAAATGTACGAGGTTGTAGACTGTCGAGCGAGTGAGTAGACGGATGTACCACTGGAGTCTAAACTCTCTACAGGTACAGACTTCCCGCCCACCAGACTGGGCTAGTCGCAAGTGGAGTGCTGTACCGTTCACCAAATTGGGCCATCTGAGCCAAAAGCGAACCGCCCATCCGAAACCGCCGAAACCGCCCAGCACTCGTGTTTTTCTGCGCCTTTGACCCCCATCCAGGCGATGAACCCTCGATGCAGCGCTCTGAAACAGCGCTTGGCGATTGTGTACAAGGAGTACGATCAGCGAAGAGAAGACCCAAGCTGCGCGAGATCGTGTAGGGGCTGGAACACAGGGGCAGACATTCCCTCTCCCTACTGGATTCACCGCACCGTGTGTTGAGCAAATGCCGAGTCATTCATATCCGAGAAGCGCAGACGAATGTCGGCGAAACGCTCGCAGCGGTGAAGGATTCCCTTGAGGTCCACAGGAAAACACGGTTGCTGGGTACACCACTACATATGTCAGTAGTTATGCAGACAAGAATCCGCCCTGCTCCGGCCGGCGTCGCTTGCGCCCATGATCCAAAGGGACCCTGTATAATCATCATGCTAGATGTACAGGTTACCTGCAGATACATACTCGTAGAGAGAAGCAATGGACCACGGAACATGGATGCGCACGGACTGCTGCACTGCAAGAGGAAGACTGATGCCTTGAACGGGGCTAGTTCTCGAGAGGCTGCCTACATCTGGGTCAGTTTCTCAGCTCTGTGTGGATCGGACGGAGCGGCGGGTTAGTTGTGGCGTCGAGATAGTAGTGATACTGACCCGTTGATTATAACGGGGGCTCGAGGGGATTGAGAACGAGTAAGCCATGGAGTAGACCAATCGAGCAGCCGAGAGAGACGCCAAACTGATTGATTGATAAGAGGTCGAGAGGGGGAGGGGTAGTGGTTATGAGCTTTGGTACATTTACAACTTGTGATGACTTGCAACTTGCGTGTATGCCTGACCTTTATGGCTTTATCCATTTTGTCGATCTTGATCCCACATCTCAGGAAGGTGTGCTTTCCCTATCTGGGACTAGTTCAGAGCCGGTAGAGTGTAGACCCCTGAGCCTTTTGATCAGTCCCGTGACAGCCGAGACACTCTGGACCTTACCCAAGACGGAAACCACTTAACGCGTCCGGAAACCGGAGAAACCAATGCTCCACTCACGCGTCGCAAGAGCGCGTCTCGTGCGAAAAATGCATGGAACAACAACCCCTCCCCTATTGCTTCCGGTGTTGAGATTGGACCCCCAATATTCACCCACATCATTCCCCGGATATTGGCGAGAGTTGACAAGTTTGCTCTGAGGGCCAATTTCTAGGCCTGTAGTTCCTCTTGTCATCATGTCTAGCCTTGTGGATGCAGTCCTACAGTCCGAGCTGGGCGGCACGGGGTCCAGTGCTCGTGATAACATTCGTTCCGACAACCTTCCCAGCTCGCGACGCTCCGAGAGCAATGGGCCCATGAGTGACATGAACGCCTTCCCTGATGATCGTGTGGTGGGAGCCAGTACCTCCGCAGTCAATCGGCTCCGAAACCCATATGCCCCCGGCCCAGCCCCTGTCGTCGATGAAGCAGGTGAACGGGTCCGCGCAGAGTTCGAAGAGCTTCTGGAAACATTCATAGAAGACCCCTCCTCGTCAGCGCCACCGTCGTCGGGTGAGGTTCTGAGTGACAAGTACTACATTGCCCAGATCAAGGGCTTGAAAAAATTCGAGCTATCAACGCTCTATGTTGACTTCAACCACCTGGCCAAGTGGCACAATCCCATTCTGGCCGATGCGATTGCAGAGCAGTACTACCGATTCTTACCATTTCTCACCAAGGGCCTCCACAATTTGGTCGCCAAATACGAGCCTGAATACTTCGTGTCTCATCGACTTGCCTCTAGTGCCTCCTCACAACCCAGCACTTCGGTCGCGTCTGCCTACGCCAGCGTAAACGACAACCCAGACTTGGAGCGTCAGATCCGCGAAAAGACTCGCCACCAACAGACCGATAAGCTATTTGCACTTGCGTTCTACAACCTGCCTCTTGTTTCGCGTTTGCGCCAGTTGCGAACGAAGCAGATCGGTCGGTTGCTCTCTGTGTCCGGAACTGTCACACGGACATCAGAGATCCGACCAGAATTGTCCCTTGGAACATTCATCTGTGAGGGCTGTCGAACAGTGGTGCCCAATGTGGAGCAGACTTTCAAGTACACCGAACCCACAGAATGCCCCAACGCGGTCTGCGGTAATCGTTTCGGCTGGCGATTGGATATTGGCAAGAGCACGTTTGTCGACTGGCAGAAAGTGAAGCTGCAGGAATCGTCCCACGAAATTCCTACTGGTAGTATGCCTCGCACGATGGACATCATTCTTCGTGGCGAAATGGTGGATCGTGCAAAGGCAGGTGAGCGCTGCATCTTTACCGGTACCCTTATTGTGGTTCCCGATGTCAGTCAACTCGGCTTGCCTGGTGTCCGTCCCGAGGCTGTTCGAGACAATAGCTCTTTCCGCGGCAGCGAGGTCGGCGGTGGTGGAGTGTCGGGACTGAAAGCCCTCGGTGTTCGTGATTTGACTTATCGTTTGGCTTTCCTCGCGTGCATGGTCACCCCGGATACCACGACACCCGGTCAGAAGCCCGAGCAGCAGCTCAGTGGACAGGCAAACAACATCTTGGCATCCCTGAATCAAAGCTTGGATCCGGATATGAATGACGAGAAGGCTCAGGAAGCCTTCTTGAACAGCTTGACCGCGAGTGAGGTCGAGGATCTGAAGAGGCTCGTTCACTCAGAGTACATCTACGGCCGCCTGGTCGACTCGATTGCTCCCATGATCTGGGGTCACCGTCAGGTCAAAAAGGGTCTTCTGTTGCAGTTAGTTGGAGGTGTCAGCAAGACTACGCAGCAGGAGAGCCTCCAGCTTCGTGGTGATATCAATTTGTGTATTGTTGGCGACCCATCTACCAGTAAGAGTCAATTCTTGAAGTAAGTATTTGGATGGCCAATTGACGTTGTCTTATATTTCATTGCTAACGGGGCCGACTTCTAGATATATTTGCTCCCTACACCCTCGGGCGGTCTACACCAGTGGTAAAGCGTCTTCCGCAGCTGGTTTGACCGCGTCTGTTGTGAAGGATGCCGAGACTGGTGAATTCACTATCGAGGCTGGTGCATTGATGCTCGCCGTATGTTACTGGTCCTCCTTATTTGCTTTACCACGTTCCTAACATTTTTCTTCCCTAGAACGGAGGCGGTATTTGTGCCATTGATGAATTTGACAAGATGGACATTGCAGATCAGGTTGCCATTCACGAAGCAATGGAACAGCAGACCATCTCTATTGCCAAGGCTGGTATTCACACAACCTTGAATGCTCGCGCGTCTATCCTCGCCGCAGCCAATCCAATTGGTGGCCGCTATAATCCCAAGGTGACGCTGCGTCAAAATTTGAACTTCAGCGCACCCATCATGAGTCGTTTCGACGTGTTCTTCATCATCCGTGATGATCCCAAAGAGCATGTGGACCGCAGACTCGCAGACCACATCATCAATGTTCATATGAACCGCGATGAGGCTGTCCAGCCAGAGCTCAGCACTGAACAGCTGCAGCGCTACATTCAATTTGCGCGAACTTTCAAGCCAACTTTCACCGATGAGGCCAAGGCGCTTCTTGTTCAAAGGTACAAGGAACTGCGTGCCAACGACGCTCAGGGTGGTATTGGTCGCAGCTCGTACCGCATCACCGTCCGCCAACTTGAGTCGTTGATCCGTCTCTCCGAGGCCGTGGCCAAGGTCAACTGCGTGGAGGAGGTCACTCCCAAGTTTGTCAACGAGGCCTACGACTTGCTCAAGCAGAGTATTGTGACCGTGGAGAAGGATGATGTTGAGTTTGACGAGGACGCCCTGCCAACTGACCGAAACGCTGATGAAGACGAAGAGATGGCCGATCGAGATCGTGACGGTGATAGCCCGATGCGGGATGAGGGCGAGACTGCGGCAGCGCCCGTTGAAAAGTCCGAGCGACCAAAGACCAAGATCACTTACGAGAAATACGCCAAGATTCTCAATTTCATCGTCCAACGTATTCGTGAGGATGAAATCCAACAGGGCGAAGGAGTCGAGCAAGAGGATCTCATTATCTGGTATCTCGAGCAGATCGAAGCCGAGCTCGATACCGAGGAGGATCTCACTCGCGAACGTGATCTTTGCTCCAAGGTCATCAAGCGCATGGTTCGCGAGGGCATGCTTCTGCGTATCACGTCCAGCCTGGAAGAGAATCAATCTACCCAACAAGAAGGGCAGGATGACAAGATTCTGTATGTCTTGCATCCGAACGTTGCATTCGAAGAGTTGTGAGCGGCAAGTGTTATTTTGAGTTTCATAATTTTACTGGGGCTGGGTCGTGTTCAGCATTTCTAGGTGGGTTGATCGGAGCATGGAGTTGAAATGAGTGATGATATCCGTTTGTGCTTGGCTTTCAGTATTCGATGATGTCTCGATGTTGGGTGATTGATACCATTTCTGTGTTATGGTTGTGATAGACATAGAAATGAGATGACCGATTTTGCACAACAGGCTACCACTACATACACTTTGAGCTTCTGGTTGCTTCCAAGTCTCCTGGTCGTTAACGCGCCAGTGATTGCGCCGAATCTACCTTCAAAACAGGTAGACTAGTGTTGAGGGCATCATCAGACGCTCAGGACCATTGCTTGCCACATAAACAGGTGGAGATTTTGCAGGTCAGATGATCGATCGTGCAGACGGCCTTCCTTCTAGATGTTAAGCTTACCAGGTCTAGAGCTCAAGGAGGTGAGCCTACGCCAGTACTGGGTTATGGAGGAGATATCTATATCCAGGGTGAGAGATGATCGGAACCTTCCCTCAGAATCAACCTTACGGACAGCCGGAGCGTACCGTCCTTCGGCCCTCGTCACTTATGCCAGTAGCTGGCTCCAACGTTGCGGACGGCGGCAAAGTGTGATCCATGCTAAAGTGAGCCAGTTTTTTAGATATAACGGACTCCATGCAGGCATGGAAGCTACCCTGGTGAAAGCGCATCGTCACCTATCAGAGAGGTGTCTCCAAAGACGGTGCAGATGAAAGCATGGAAACCATGCATTCGAAGATAAGCTTAGGTTAGGTACCTAGACACGAGTAGTTGTCCTTCTCAGCTTTCGAGGGCCTTGGATGTCGAGCGGAAGTCCGGGTGGAGGAGCTGGTAGATAGCAGGCACTGGAAGTATTCAAATGGTTATCATCTTCGCCTGCCATAGATCCTTTGGACCGCGGCAAGCATTTTCACCGCTGATTCTCTGTCAATCCACGGGGATACCTGTGTGCAACCCAGCGGCAACTCAGTGACGAGGTGAGATAAGGAAGGACTTTACCCCCAGATCGACCCAAGGCGAGATCCTGACGCACGTGCATAGCGAACAAACACAGACCTTATATGGATTTTTATTCCATGGAGCTACTGCATATTGATCAACTCAGAACGCGGATTCCAGTCGTTCTCTCGCTCCTAATTGGGGAAGTCAATTCTTGATTCAAACGATATTCCAGCCTGATCTGGCCCGACAAGCCCTACTCGTCTACTGACCGCTCCTCCCACTTGCGCTGGGGTTGATCTCATGCGCTGGTGGTCCTGTGCGCTGGTCACTTTTGGTCCGGACGTGAATCAATGCAGGTAGAGTCCAGTCATGAAGACCTCGGAAATACGTGCAAGTCCTGAATATCAGCCTAAGGAGGTGATGGGAGTATTCTGTCGCCGCTTGCACCTGAATATATCTGGGATAAGGAAAGTCAAGAGTTTTACAACGGGCTGCAGTAGCGTCTAGTACCTATACTTAGTGTGGAGATCCTAGTTTTAACTTGAACCTAGCAAATGAAGGAATTTATTAAGTCGGGGGTGTCGGCACGAGTTCAGCGGGACTTCAGCCCGTAGATCTGATCTGCTTGCAATTTGCATGAATGACTCGGTCGAGGACGGCAGCGCTTTCTCAATGGATGGTAGTCTCGGCCCTGGAAGTAGAACCGAAATCTGGCTAAAGTGGCTCGGTTGAGAAGTCAACTAATGAAGGTGAAAAATCGTATAGTCGAAGTTGACGTAGCTGTGTGATTCACGACTCGAGGATCAGAACCGATTACAAATGGCCAGTAAGTACGATGAAGTAAGGTCGATGCCGACATAATTCCACGGACTCATTACCAGCAAGTAGAGGAGCTCGCAGCCTATCTGCGATCGGAAAATTGACTCGACGGAGACTAGATTCGAGCGAATGAAGGCCAAAGATAACGTGATCAAATAGATGCTCGACTGTGTTTCCCCATCAAATCACCACCAAGAGTATTCTGATGAGAGAAAGAGCCTTTTAAATCTACTGGTTGCGTTTCACAGGGTTTGTGCTGCAGTGGCAGCGACTGATATCCTCCGATCGCGAGTTTTCTCGCTGATTGAAGGGAGACACATAGGTCCAGAACCTCCCGAGCGTGAAGATCTATTTTGGTGCTGACTCTCATCTCCTGTGTCTCTATGTCAGAAACTTACTCCCTGTCATGTTTTGATGACTGAGACGTGTCATTGGATAGGTCGCTCGGGGTCTCGAGGGCATGTCGATGGTCAAAGGTCCCTATTTGATATTTCAAGACACTGGTCCTTGAGACTCGCCTACCTCTTCTCCAGTGAAGGAGAAGAGCTGGAGAGGTCTTGAGTCTGGCCAACATGCACGCAGGTGGCAGTGCTTTCCGGATTCAGAGAAAAGACAAAATCGACAAGCTCAAGGTCTGGCCTAGATAGAGCAATAAGAGTTTTTAGATCAGGCCCATCTAGACTTACCCGATCATGCGAAAAGCTGGTTTCCCACCTGTGTCTCTCCATTTGGTGAACGTGCAGATTGTTTGAAAAGGTCCGAGAGTCCAGTGCGGTCCTGCCTTTGAGATTCTCATAGTTCATTTGACGCGTCGACCTCGTCCTCGGAAAGCTACCCCTCCCTCTTTCCGCCTCTCCAGTGTCTCTCCTTTCATGCATAGACGCGTGTACACAGTACACACACAGCTCAAGGGAGGAGAGTCAAGGCATCAAAAACGGAGGGTTGAACCCTCCACGGTCCATGCGACGGCCAGATGATAGGATATGCAGCGTCGTACTTTTCACAATTGATCTCAGATCTTGGAGATCTTCATCCAAACCCCGACCAAGATGCAGCACCGCAGTGCCGCCGTGACAAGCACGATCCCTTTCTTCCCATCGCAGTCGACAAGCGCAGATCGATCTTCCCTTTCCGCGCAGAACCCGCGATGACTTTTCGACTGCGGATTCGCGGTGAAGGGTTGGGATAGTCACCGATCAGTGCCCGTGCGGCGAGACCGCGGAGTCGGTTCCGGAAGGGTTCCAGACTCCCAGGGTGAACCATGCAGCATTGGGGGTGGGGGGCCTTTTGCAACCTGGTAGATGGCAGATGGTAGATGGAGTAATCATCAGTCTGACCTCGTTCTCGTTCGAGAAAGGGTACTTTCGTGGTCGGCTTGTTCCTGTCAACGTTGTTGTGGCTTTTTCCTGTTGCCGTTGCCAAATTCCCCTGCTATCAAGGATGTAAGCTATAGTATGTCCAGGTGCTCCAGATTCTAGTGCGTACACATGCCTTGAAAGACTGGAGCAAAGATCTCCCTGTCCAAAAGCGGGGGAACGGATCTCAGTCGATATTCATGTCACATTCAACGACCAGTGCAGTGGTCCATTGTGGACCCCGGCATTGATGTACCCAAATCCATATTCAGCTGATAAAGTTCATCCGACCAGCCGGGGCCTCCGTCCGATCGCCTTCCCAACGGGGAGGGCAATAGCTCTCCACGTAATGGGTACAGTACGATGGCGCAAACGCAGCCATTTATGGAATCTGGCAATGATTTGTCGGTTGACTCCGAGTTCAGAAACAGAATTCGAGAGGCGTGCTACCATTCCCTGTCGATTGTATCGATGATTGGCGAAGACAGAACTGCAAGGCTGATCGATGGAATCGATCAGAGGTCAAATGAATCGTCCGCTATTATGGTCGGATCAGTGGCTGGAGTGGCGTGGAGAATGAAGCATCAAATGCCTTGAAAAAACAGTACGAGTGTATGCGTCTGGCATCTCAACAAATCAAAAGACCCGATCGGGCAGCGATCATGTTTGCTTGGACGGTGGCAACTGCATATCTTCCCCGGATCGCTGCCCCGGACTCGACAAAAGGTCCAGGGGCGGTGGCTCACAGCTGTCGAGGTGGCGGTGACCACAACAATAACATGAGCGCTCGGTTCAATCTGGCGATAGAGTGGAGCTACAGCGTAGCCTGTCTCCATACTTTTCGTGTAGATACTGCAGAGCTCAGGTGGAGATGCTGCATCTTCTTTGTGGCTTGATATTCATGACTCGGATTCGAGCCCCCTTTCGTCTGTGATGGGCAGAGACTGCACTGGAGGATAGAGGGAAACACAGAGTCATAGCCTCCTTCCTGCGACCGATTCGATGCATGATGCGTGCGATGCATGCCTCCTCTGGACTCCAAAGTACGAGGAATGGATCGAAAAGGTGCTTTTCCCTCCAGTTCATCAGTCAATGCTACCGTACCAGCACCAGCGTCAGCGCCATCGCCGGGGAACGAGATCCCCGGAGGTGTAAGGTTGTATGGGGGGAATGGTGTCCTTGCTTCTTCATCTGCTGGACCGAGACAGATCGGATATGGAATATGCAGCTGCGGATGTGGGAAAAGGATCCGGTTGACTTTGGAGCTGGAACTGGAGCTGGAGTGGATGTTGGATGGGTCTCCCGTCTCCCAGAGCCAAGGGAATGGGGTCAAGGGAGGGAACTTTTGGCACTTCCGAGTGGACCTGGCCGCCCAGCATCGTCATCACTTTAATTGCCCATTTGTGATGATCATCACCATCGGATTGAGGAGCTTTACATTCCGCGCGGGAGAATAACTTCACTATCTGACCAATAGTAGTCTGGAGGATTTCCTGCAAAATGGGTGTGTTTACTCAGCATTGTTGACCTTGTGATGATCTTCACGGCTCATTGCACAAGTACCCCAGTATGTGAGCTGATGAGAAGCTCCGTCAAAGTCAAAGATGACTGCCTCGAAGTGTGCAAAGTACATATGGCTTCCGACAAAATACCCAGACTGCGTACCAATGCGTACATGGACCGAGATATTTCCACAAAGTTGCTGGATCATCTTGATCGGTGTTTTCTGATTTCTTTCTTGAGACATTCATAGAAAGAGAGCCTCGGTCTAATGGCACCAGGATCTGTCTCAGGATGCCTAGTGACTCCTGGATCCTATCATCCTACTGCTTTTGCAGAGAGCTGACCTT